AATTCTCTAGTGCTGTAGCACTGCTGCGGTAGTGCTGCGGTAGTGCTGCAGTACTATAGTGGGTCTTGTGAGAGAACCCGAGCTAATTAACCAATAAGCGATCTTATATTCCTTCAACTTTATGATCTATTTACTTGCATTCTAAATACATCTAGGTATAATGATAGTAGCTAATAGTCGCTGATTATGTTCAGCCTAAGGTAATCCATTTATATTCTCTAATTTCCCTCTTACATCAATCCTCAATCTTCAGTAACTATGTCAAATTTCAGATATTGTTCTGAGGCTGGCCCTTCTTAAGTATCATTATCATAAGTTGAATACCCCGACCGCCTAACGGATTACGACCTTCTTTCCCTCGATCTAACGCATGAGCCCCTTACACTAGACCATTTAATTAGCTAGTAGGCCCTAAACCTTACCGCACCCTCGGTCAATTCGGAATCCTACCTTATTACCACTACAACTGCCCTAGATTTACTTGAACGGATTGGTCCTGGAGTAAAGCCGTGGGTTCGATATACGAAAATGAATAAAATACAATTCATTGAGTAGTGGCGCTATACCTTAGGCGCCTAAGCAAATACGCGACGAAAGGTGAACTTCGACGCGACATATACCTCACTAATATGGGAACACTTTGATCAAGTTACACACTACTAGACTGGACAGCCAGCAGCTCTTTGTCGACGATGTGGAAAGGCAATCCCCTATCTATCTGCATCTAGAGGCCTTAATTCTATGAAAAGGCATCGTGAGAGTAAGGCTTATGAAAGAGGTGGAAAGAGTTCCACTATTCAGCAGTCATTAAAGCAATCGTTACAGTTTGCGGTAAGCCTTGATTCTACTAGTTTAAATAAATTAACACTAACTAATACTATAAATCTTAGACTGATTGTCCTCTAGAACAGAAGACAATCTTCAATATTAAGGACTAGGAACGAATTTAATTGAATTTGATCACTATGTGTCAGCTTCTATTTCAATTCCTTAGCCGCCCAGAAATCCACGAATTCATCCGATTCGCTCGCCTTTTAAAAGAGATTCCTCCGATCCTTACACCCAAAACAGCACGACGTCGCCTTAAATCGATAGTCTAGGGGGATTAACGGAAGGTTCTTTCGTTATTACTAACTAATGCGAAGCTTTTAATCGCACTTGATTACTGGACTTCACCTTTCTAACAAGCATTTATAGCAATTACTGGCTATTTCGTGGACTTAGGATGGAACTACTATGAAATTCTACTAGGATTTGAGCCAGTCTACGGGCAGTATACTGGCATTTATCTTAGTGAGGTATTATAAGAGGTGCTACAATAGCATACTATTGTTGATCGAGTGCTTATAGTCACTACCGATAATGCATCTAATAACAAGACGCTTGTCGAAAACCTTATAGAGTCTATCAAAAATCTTAACCTCCCGGATAGTACACAGATTGTACGAATTCTATGCCTTGCTTATGTGATCTAGCTTAGTTTAAAGGATCTTCTTAGATTGATGAAAGCTAACCTAAATAATGATACTACTTATTCAGTTTGGTTAGAGGAAGCTGATGGATCGGCCCTTTAAAAGGCAAAGTCAGAGCAGGGAATTATTTATATACTTGCAAAAGTAAGTCTTTAGTCTCTTATTTTCTTTTATTTCTTTATACTGATACTCGATATAGATTCGAAGCTTTGCGGTTTATGTGAATGCGAGCCCTTAACGACGGGAGTTCTTTCTATCACTTCAAGTTTCCGAGCCTAAGCTTACACTAATTTAGGATGTTCGCACACGCTAGAATTTAACATACCTAATGCTTCAGCGCGCCAATCGCCTATATGTAACATTCAAGAGATATTGTACAGTTTACAATCAGTCTCAGTTCCAGCTTAATGTATAGGAGTGGCGATAGGTCGAATACCTCCTTTATATCACAAAACCTTTCTATATATGGATAGTTGGTCTATCGAAGGTAAAGGATATGACTATCTATTATGTGTTTGAGGTGTATAATCGGCTCTTTGGACATTTTGAGGACTCTCAAAAACGCCTGATTCGAAAGAAGGTCCCTTGGAAAAAGGCAATACTTCGTGCTTTATAAGCAGGTGAACAAAAGCTTATAGCTTATTATAAAGCTACAGAGGAAGCCTATGGACATCTTTATGTAATGGGCACAATCCTTACCCTAATACACAAGCTAGACTACTTTAAGGGACCGGATTGGGTTAGTGATGATACAGACTAGTATTCAGTGTATGAAAGCTCCCTATATTCTTACCTTAAACGGTACTTTGAACGCCGGCCTATTATCTAGACATTAGATAAAGGTAAAGCACTATAGCGAACTGGAAGTATGGCAAGTTTACTTGCCTAGACAAGACCACGACCGATGGTTCAAGAAAAGGTTAGATGGCGAGATAAGCTTACAAGTTATCTGAATCTCCGTAAGTATATCCTTTCCTCTAAAACATATATACTAATTGATTTAGGGACCGATGATAAGGACCTATGCCATTTCTAGAAGCAGTATAAGGCACAGTTCCCAACGCTTACAGCTCTTGCTCGGGATATTTTCTCTATCCCTACTACTAGTGCAGGTGTTAAGCGCTTATTTAGCTCTACTCGCGATATCTGCCATTATAGGCGTGGATCTCTTAATACAACAACGATCTAGGATCTTATAATGCTTCGCTATATAACACAGTTTGATGCAAACTATACTGAAAGCCAGCTATCAGCATAGAGCGATAATCTAGTCGAGAGAATAGAAGCAGATAAAGAGGTAGAGGGCCAGCTATCTGAATATGAGATTGTTGCTATTAGCGATGATAAAGGGGATCTTAAGATAGATTCTGATGGCATAAATAAGCAGGATGAAAACAATGATCGCACATTGAATTATTCGGATCTAAATGAAGCCTTAGATCAGGAAATCGACTCGGTTGAGCTCCCGCTTCAACCAGTGGTGAGAATCATACAAAGCGACAGCCAGCGACCGCATCGAGAGCGTAAGCGTCGGAGGGATGAGGATGAATATGAGTATAGTACGCAGCCTAGGCGCAGAATATAACTGTACTATAGTGTAAATTAATTTCAATAAATAATAAACTACATTCAGTCGAAATATTGAAGCTATATTGTAGTAAAAAATCTTTTTGAAGTGTAAGCAAAATACGCAGAAATACAGGATATTTCTACATAAATTATGCATGTCACAGGCCCAGCAATGTTTGCACTGAATGCAGTGCTGCAGCACTGCTGCGTTGGTGCTGCAGCACCGGACTAGGCACTTGGTACCGTCGCACCTTAGTGCTGCAGCACTGGTACTGCAGCACTTGTCAAGGCCTAACTAAGACTAACTTCTTTAGCTTCTTAATACCGGGGTAAGCAACTAATGGTTATCGATGTAGCTCGTCTAATAAGCGAGCTCGGAGGTCGTCCTAATCGGGCACTTCTAAATTACTATTATAAAGCAGAAGTTCATTACTAATAGTCTATACCGTACTACCCTTTCGGGCCATTTCCCGATATTCTTCTAGTTCCGAGCTCGCCTTATTAGTATATTTAACACGATCTATAATTAAATCTGCAGCTCCTGAATCTCCAACCGAAGCTCTTGCTCCAGCGAATTCAATCGCTGCTGCAAATGGTCTGTTCTGGTGCTGGCATACGATCAGCGCTCTGTGCCACGACAAGATAAAAGAGACTTACGGGTACTCTGCTCTCCTCTGCGCAGCTCTTAGCGAAACAAAGACACATTCCGCATTGTTTTCCCGACATCGTTGGCAGGGCCTTCTACTAGGACCTGAACATTTAAGTTTTTGTCTCCTGCATCGTAAACATGCCGAGGTCGCCCTATAAAAATGAGAATGTGACTACAGAGTGTCTTATCCGTCATATCGAAAGAACTTACCTTGCTGGATCAGTCATGGATAATGGGAAATATGTTTGGCCACCGTGATTGTGGGTTCGGCATTCGCGGCTACGGAGGCTGCGGGCGAGGACATCGCTGTTACCCGTTGATAGTTGCCGCATCCGTTGCAATTTCTTGGCGGGATCACGGCTTCCAATCGATCCGAGGTCAAGTAACGGCTTTCATAGTAGGTAGGGGTGGGTACGAATAACGATCTTCTTTGTTCGAATTCGAAAGGAATCTCGAATGGTCTATTCGTGTTGAGTATTACGGCGGTCAAAGCTTGTGGCGGGGACTACCAGGAGATATGTAAATCTCGGAGATCCACCTCCGGAGAAGGTGTGAACTGAACTCAATAAACTTATTTTATCTAGGTGCCATACAGTCTAGCGGTATCCGCAGCACCACTTGTTTTGTGCAGAAAATGAATAGGAATGGTACAGAGGCGCTCCAGTAAGATAAAGATCCTTCGGCAGTGGCCATCTGAACAGATCATCTATTAACAATTTGATCCTCTCCCAATTACTAGCATGTACACCCTTTTCATGGTCTGACACGAGGCATTTACTCTGTGAACGATATAAGTATCGTCTATTTCGGTTTTTGGGCATTCAGGGGCCGGTGAGAATCGGATGCGAACATTCGATGGGCTTTCCGCATGGCACATAGGTGAGCTGGGCCTATTGAAAACCCACAAAAGGGCTATTCACGGACAAGAGCCACCGAACTTTTGATGGAGCTTAGCGCTTCTTCTTCTCAAAGTAACCCTCAGAGGCATCAAGAGCGTAAGCAGCAGCCTGAGCACCGGGTGTGGGTGTGACAGCACGCAGAGCGCCAATAACATTGACACTGCCACCAGTTGTCTCAGCAGGTGTCGCAGAGTGGTTGAGACCAATGGTTATGTATCCCACAAGACCATTGGCGAGAGACTTGCCCAGCTTGGATACAGAGACCACAGATGAATAGCCGTCTCCGTTGGCCGTGGAATAAAGTGAGTCCTCGGAATTAGTGGTACGGTCCAAGGTCGAAAGGTGAGCCTTGTAGGTGTCGAGCTGGTAGACCGAATCTATGAGGTCCTCGTCAAAGAACAGCTGACCCAGATGCTGGACGCCAGCATCGCTATAGCTGCTATCGTTGCCTGTCAAAGTGATCTGATTTGTAACGTGGATGTGGGTGGTGCGGAAGATGTTGTAGCCTGGGAATATGGTCGGCAACAGAAGGCGTGGGCGGCGCAAGGAAAACGCTCGCTCAATGCTTGCGCCCGTTCTGAGCCTGCTCGTTCTCTTCGAGCCCGGAACATCAAGCGCCGTGAACTCAAGACCCGCGAGCTTCGTGAGAGGCTAGCCACATCTGACAGTAAGGATTTTACCATGATAAACTTCAGGTCTATTTCTAACTCAGTAGAATCTCGTATGAACCTTCGCACTGCGGCTGACCTCGCGAAGTGGGACGCTATCAGCCACAATCAAACCGGAGTTTCTAATGCGGCCACCGTCTTTGATACTGAAACCAGCTGTATTTTCGCGCCTGTTATTATCGATAGTCCTTACTCGTCTGGGGTGAGATAATTCGTCAGAATGTCGTTGAAGATGCCTACTGCCAGGGAGTGCCCATGCACGTGGAGATTCAGTAAATTGATGTCAACACTTGCGAACCTCTGCCCGATCTTTTTATTGATATTTGGAACGCCAATGCGATGGGAATTTATAGGTATTCTTCTGGTGCCCCAACACAACTACTTTTGGGAAGCTGACTTGGTCCATAGTGGAATTTCCGACCAAGGAAACTATGCAGCTGATGGCTGGAACAGCACGTACTTGCGAGACATTCAGCCTACTGACAAGGACGGTGTTGTTTTCTTTGATACCATCTTCCCTGGTCACTACTCCGGTCGTGCAACTCACACTCATCTTCTAATTCGCAGCAACGCGACCCTGCTGCCCAATGGGACGCTTCTCGTGAACTCAGGCTCTATCACCCATAACGGTCAACTGTTCTTCCACGAGGAGCTGCGCTCCGCTGTAGAGGCAACATATCCCTACAAAACCGACACAATTGCTGTCACTAGCAACGCCGATGATCAGTGGGCTAAGCGGAGTATGACCCCTTCGAGGAGTATGCGTACATCGGCGACGATATTACCGATGGCTTGTTTGTTTGGAAACATATCGGAATCAAATCCACTGCGCATTATACCAATAACTCTTACTAAGCTATTGCTGCCTATATCCAGGCTGATGGTGGCTTTGAGATCACTGGCGCTCATAAGTTCACAAGGGGCAATGATTTCTGCACGGTTATTATCTATTCCCAGAACTACGGGTGAGCACTGAGCGCTGTGTTAAAGAAGATGATGGGTTCGGAACTTATTGTAAAGCCTTTGGCCCAGAATACTACGGTCAGAATCCAATCAAAATCCTGCGGGCATACATTCTTGTTTCTGTGATAATGGACCCAGTTTTAGCCGCTCTAACTGCAAACAAGCAGAACATGCTCCAATTGACGAGATTTTGCAAATAGAACCACAGAACAGGACTACATATACAATGCATAAATTTCTGTCTATGGTGACGCTTCTTTCGCCAATCTTTTATACTGTTTCTTTTCCTAGTAACTTTGCCTTCATTTCGTGTCTTGTTCTTCTACCCTCTTTATCACATATAGATGCAATCTGGCTTGCCAATGAAACCTTGGGTCATCTAGGTTAAACGTGAAGTATGTAGGTATTAAATGACGCACCAACCGTCTTTGCTCACAAAAGAGAAAAAATTTAGTTACATCTTATATTCACAGAACCGCCTCAAAGCACTGCCTTTTGTGTTTCTACTAAGATTGTAGGTCGCCACCCCTGTTTCCCCGAGAGGCTTAAAGCACGAGTCAACGAAGCAGGTGGGCGTGAAATAGCTGAAATGGGATCGGAGGCGCGATATAGGTCAGGTGGTTGGATAAGACATTGAGACTCCATTCTCCATTAGCTATCTATTTCGAGCTAGAATGAGTAAATTGATTATTGAAATGGATACATCTGAGCTGAGCTTTCAAATCGAAGCTTGAATCTTTCTATAGCTTCCTCTTATCTGCTTCCCTCATTAATTCTAGCGCATCCCTAATTTTCTTTCTTGTAGACACCCACTCGATCCTAGGGGATGAGATCTGTGGGTACCTGATAGAGATTTGCGAGGGATTTAATTTGGAAATAATGGGTGTACAAGAGAGCTGGTTTGAATATATGAAGCAAAGAAACACGTGGCATGGAATTTGATCAAGACACAGCAGAGCGACGTTGCAGGCAAAAAGCCTGATCAGAAGGAGACATAAACAGGGTGATTCTGCGATTTGCCTGCTTTTCTTTTTGTCGAAATGTTTTTGAATGAAAATTCATTGAAAATTTATGTTGCCAATTTCGTAGACGAAAAATTTTTCACATCGCCACCTGGACACTTTCGATGGTTTGTCTGGCTGGAGATTTATGAGATTGGGACACGTAAGTATTATTGCATGTTCACTAGCCATTTTATTTTTAAAAAGTACTGGGAAGACAAAGATTGGACTATACATTGCCAGCTATGATGTTTACTTCGTATTGTATTGCAACGACCAGGTGTGTCAACTGGTCGAATTCGGCAGGGGCTTGATTCGCCAGTTTACTCAGATGCTCAGAAATGGTCTCCGAACCATCTGAAAACCGCAAATTCCCCATAACTTCCCAATTAAAGAAACGGTGACCGATAGACGAGAGAACCTCTCTAAAATAATTGAATTTTAATTGAATTAAAGGGTTCTAATTAACCAGATGTTGCTGTAATGTAGACGAAATTCGCTCTAAATATGCGTTATTTGTTCGGCCCAGTGAAGCTGTTGGGATAACCTACAGCCTCCAACCAACGATACGGCCTTTCTCCGACGCTGATTTAATCACTCAAATTGACTAATCCGGCAAAGCAAAATCGAATTTAAGATAGATTCGATTTTTCCGATTCGCTCTGACTATATGGTTAGACGCACAGACAACTCCACGTGCCGACAGTGCACAGGGTATGTCAGATCCACTGTAGTTTCCTGCTGTCATGCTGAACTAATGCACAGGATCTGTTAGTTTCATTGTAAACTCATTGGATGATTAAAGCTCTCATAGATGTACCAAATGAGAAGGAGGTCTCCTCCCTGACAGCTATCGATATCCGAGTCAGTAAAAATCGCTCAAGAGCAGATTCCCTCATAGTGTCCGTAGAAAGGTATAAATCCCTGCTGTTTAGCACGATATTTTATTTTGCTTACCTCCTTGTATATTTCAAGTTTGCAAAATGCCACCCTTGAGAACGGCGTTGCGTTGGAAAACTGGAGACGAGGAAAAAGGCGATGCGATTACCGTATTGGGTCGAGTGTCGGAAGAGACAAGCAAAAAGCCCGAGAAAATTATTTCGAGTGCGAGACGGAGATCGATTGACCCCGCATCTGCCATTCCAATAGAACATAGGAGTTTGTATGAAACCCCTCTGACGTCTTTGTGGCCGTTTGACTCACTACGGACACAGGTCATTTGAGATCGAAGACAGCGCCGAACGAAAGCGGCGCGGCAAACTTAGTGAGAAAAGAGAGAAGGCAGTCGAAGGTTCGATCCAGGCGCAGCTAATGTCATAGCTTGCTAACGAAGCTATGCAGAGTGGGAAAATGCTGAATGGCATACCCTCCCCACGGAGGAGGTTCAAAAGCGACTCGGTGTCGATGCGTCCGCCGGGTTGTCGTCCAACAAGGCTGAAGAAAGGCTCCGAAAATATGGAAGAAACAAAATCTCTCCCTTACCAAATCCGTGGTTCTGGAAAATATTTGGCTACTTCTTCAAGGGATTCGGATCTATTTTACTTGTTGGCGGAATACTGGTCTTCATCTCTTGGAAGCCACTAGGAGAACCACCAGCTGTGGCCAATCTTGCTCTTGGAATCGTGCTCATTGCGGTTTTTGTTATTCAAGCTGCTTTCAATGGTTGGCAAGACTGGTCTTCTTCGAGGGTAATGGCATCGATCACAGCTATGTTGCCCGAGTCGTGTATCCTTCTGCGTGACGCTCGTCGCGTTGAAGTTTCTGCCACCGATATTGTGCCCGGAGACGCCGTCTTTATCAAAGCAGGAAGTAAAATTCCTGCTGATCTGAGGTTCATTGAGGTTTCGCATGACTTCAGCTTGGACAGATCTATTGTGACTGGTAAGTGCCCTCTTGAAACTAGCAAAGAATTTTCTAACGTTTGACTAGGTGAATCAAACCCCGTCAAGGGAAGTCCTGAGTCAACCTCGGATAACTATCTCGAAACGAGATGTATTGGACTGCAGGGAACTCACTGCATTTCTGGAAACGCGACTGGTCTGGTGGTCGCGACGGGCGACTCGACGGTGTTTGGACGGATTGCCAAGTTGGCAGGAGAGCCAGCGACTGGTCTGACAACCATTGAAAAAGAGGTCTTGAGATTTGTGATGTTGATTTTCATCATCATGGTCACTTGGATTGTCATCCTTGCGGCCGTTTGGTGCGTATTTGGTATTTGCGGATTCCGGGTAAGGCTAACATTCGTTAGGGGCGGATGGCTTCACAAGGCGCATCCAGACTATATCAACGTCGCAGCGCTGATCGTCGACTGTGTCAGTGTAGCGATTGCGTATATCCCGGAGGGTTTGCCCATTGCAGTTACAGCCAGTTTGACAATAACTGCGAATTTGATGAAGAAAAACAAAGTTCTCTGCAAGTCTCTCAAGACAGTGGAAACTCTTGGGTCGGTGTCTGTTATTTGCACCGATAAAACAGGAACTCTCACCATGGTAAGTTTCAAGATATGTGCCCTTTTGGTTTCTTTTTTCGAGTATATTGGCACTGCCTTAACTCACGTGTCAATAGAACCGTATGTCAGTCACGGATCACTCGAGTTATACAAGCGCGTTCAACGTCGCCCAGACAGACGAACAGACAACAGAAAGCACGAAAGGATCTGTCATGCCACAGATTCGAGCAATTGCTGCTATTTGCAACGCGGCAGAGTTTGACATCGCGTCGGCAAATTTGCCACTTATCGACAGGAGTATATTCGGAGATGCCACCGATCAAGCGATACTGAGGTTTTCAGAAGGATTGGGACCAATTTCTGAGGTCCGCCGGGACTGGAAGATATGCTTTGATCTGGCTTTCGACAGCAAGAATAAGTTCATGATCAAGGCATTCACAGCTGTGGATCTGGAGAGTCCCAAAAGATGGCTTTCTAAAACAGAGACCACGAGCTTTGATATGCAAAATGTGTATGTGGATTCAAACCCAATTTGGTGCTTTAAGCTGACCTTTCTTCAAGTCTTTTGACTGTCAAAGGCGCCCCAGATATCTTAATTGATAGATGTACAGATATTGTTGGCCCTGATGGTGAACCAAAGCCTTTCACTGAGGTAACATGCGCGGCGGTCAAACAACTGAAAGATCAATGGTCGTCGGATGGCAAGCGAGTCATTCTCCTAGCCAGGAAGGTGATTTCAAAACCAGTCACTATAGCTGATCCTCAATCTACAGAGTACGAAGTCCAGATGCTGCGAGAAGCAAAATGTGGTTTGACACTTGTTGGTCTGATCGGCATGATTGATCCACCAAGATCTGAGATTCCAGACGTTATGCGCACTCTACGTCGCGCCCACATCCGGGTATTTATGGTGAGTCCCTCTTTATCAGCAAATTGATTCCGACTGTAACTTAACCTCCCCTCCAGGTCACTGGTGATTTTGGACTTACTGCTTTGGCAATCGCTCGCCAATGCGGCATCGTCACGACTGAGTCAATTCACGATGCATCATCACTCAAGCGATTCCCAAGTCTAAACGAAAAGCAAGAAGATCCAACCAACTCCGCACTGGCTGTCAGTGGAACTGATCTCATGAGTCTCAATGAGCACCAATGGGAACAGCTGTGTCAATACCCTGAAATAGTCTTTTCCCGCACAACACCAAACCAGAAGATGCGAATCGTCCGGGAGTTGCAAGCAAGAGAACAGATTGTCGCCATGACCGGTGATGGTGTCAATGATGCTCCGGCTTTGAAAGCTGCAGATATTGGAATTAGTCTCGCCAGCGGCTCTGACATTGCCATTGAAGCGGCTGATATGGTTCTGCTTGATTCCTTTGCGGCGATTGTTGAAGCCGTTCGGTATGGCCGGGTAGTGTTTGACAACCTGAAGAAGACAATTGCGTATCTACTTCCAGCGGGCTCATTCTCGGAATTTTGGCCGGTTTTCACCAATCTCATTTTTGGTATCCCTCAAATTTTGTCTTCATTTCTGATGATTATCATTTGGTGAGTCAGATTGCTATCTTCGAATGATGGCCTCACTAACATTTTAATAAGCTGTTTCACCGATTGTGCTGCAGCTGTGGCCCTAGCATATGAAACACCAGAAGCAGATGTTCTCCTTCGCCCGCCCCGTCACCCTACCAAGACTCGGTTGGTTGATTGGAAGTTAATGTTTCACTCCTATGCCTTCATTGGACTTATCGAAACCATTTGCTCTTTTTCCATGGCCTTTTGGTATCTCGAGCGAAACGGAATTCCATTCTCAGACCTGTGGTTTAAATTTGGTGAACTCCCTCCAGGCGTGGACGAGGATTACTACTCTGCCCGTGTAAACGAAGCTAGTTCCATCTACTTTATCAACCTTGTTATTATGTGAGTTGCTCAATTTTCATCCGTTGAAAAGTCTACTGACAATTCAAAGGCAATGGTTCAATTTGATGGCGGTGCGTACCCGTCATCATTCTATTTTCCAGCACCCGCCCGCATTCAATAAATTGACTCAAAATCTCTACCTCTTCCCGGCTATGGCGTTTGCTCTTGGAATCGCGGTGATCTGGCTTTATATCCCCAGCTTGCAGGTTGTTCTCAGTACATCTGGAATCCCCGCAGAACATTATTTCCTTCCGGCAGCTCTTGGTGTCGGGCTTCTGTGTCTGGACGAAGGAAGGAAGGCAGCCGCTCGACGTTGGCCCAATGGGGCTTTGGCCAAATTGGCTTGGTAAGATTGAGAACACGGATCTTTGTCTCAACTGATGCAAACCGGTGTGACCTGCTTATATGTGACAAGATAATGTGGTGGGCCCTCTAAGCCGAGTTGTTTCTGGTTACTTCTTGTTTCGAGCCTCTGATTGTGTCGTACAAATACAGCTATGTTTGAAATTGGCTTCCATGTTTCACACAGAGAGACCATCTCAAACCCTCATGCTAAGCCAGGGGGCCACAATTAGCTAGGCCGCAAATCATACCCACCCGTCAGAATAGGGATGTAAATTATATGACAAGCAGTACGCGTCTAATCATGTACCATCCACATTGCCCCCACCCGAGCCTGATTAACACTAGCGTGATCCGAGTGGGTTGTTGGGAAAGAAAGCGTGAGTGTCCCGGGGGCTATTTGTGCTCGAATTCTTCTGTAGTGCCTGCAATTTCCACCCTAAAATCCATCAATTCCTCTCAGTCTCGCTATCAATGAAAGTAATGCTTACCATGCCACTCAACCCTTCACCTGTTACCGCCCGTGCAACAACCCTGACATACCGATAGCGTAAAGTGAGCAGAACATTTGATCTAAGTCTGCACATTGGAGGCAGTTATAGGGACAAGCGAACTAATGAATGAAAATTTGTCAGAGCCCAGGACGGTTAAAAACTAAGTCCACAAAGCAATAACAGCCTACCTGTAGTTCATGGCCAAGCGCAAAAGTTGCCCTCCCGTGGGAAGATGCTTCAATGGCCTTTTTCACATCACTAGCACATTTTATCCGAGTGTCCCTGTAGAGACGCTTGACAATCTGTTCGTGTCCATTCCGAGCTGCTTTGCATAACGCCGTGTCCCTAAATATATCAGTAGCGGTAACATCCAGTCCATTTCCATCTAGCAAAAACTTAGGGGTGTGGTTGTATCAATCCCCTATAATTAGGTGCGATAGGAAGGATCGGGAGAATAGTAGCTAATGGTCTAAAGAAGCTCTTACTAAGACAGAAACATAAAAGTTTTCTAAGGTTATCAAGAATGGCCTCTATCGATTATATGATTAGTAAATCCTAAATAGGAAACAGAGGCTGTTTGATGAAAAGCGCCTAAATAAAGCTCTCAAGGAACAATGGATTTACTAAGTCGTCATCGAGGTCAGAAGTGCAGAGAAATATGACCTCGATGAGGGGGTGTGTCATTATTTATTTGTAATTTCTTAGTGATGTTGAAATGCCTATAGATTGCCAGAACCAGGGACAATAAAATAAAAAATTTTTCGCACACTTCTATTAGCCAGGTCAGAATAGCATCTCACTTATTTAGCGCTACATGCCAACAACTAGGTTTCTGTGGATTCCATATTGAGTAGGCACTATTTCTTCCCTAATTTGTTGAGCGAGAACTGGATAAATGCATTGAGTTGACGCCTCAGATAACGATTCAATATTGATTCTTCCTACTTAGATTCATTTTCAGCACAGCTTGTATCACTCCTGGCTGTGAGTCGCGAATAGCAGCAGGTCCTTGATGTGTATTCGCTTGTGAGCGGAAATATAGCATATCCGCTTGCCAAAACACAACAATTGCACACGCACTTCGAGAAGTGGGCTTATTCCTTAAGTGAAGTTAAGAGGCTGAGCTTGAATCTTCAACATCATTCCTATCAGAATAAAAGCGATTTCCACGTACATTGCTCTCTCGAGCTGCCTCACTTGACTTGAGAGTCTTCGTATCAACCCTCCACCCACCCAAATGTATTGTAGATTTGCGATACGTCGATGGAGTCAAAGCAACATTGGGGATTTTCGAATTGCTCAAGTGGTCTGTTCCATGTATCGGATGGCTCTGCTGGCAATCTGATAGAAACGGCCTTTTCACTTGCATCTCTTTGGGATTGATCGACTTGCGATTTCTGACGAGAGCCAATGTTGACTCTGCGACATCAGCATATCCCTTTGGATCCGAAGATATTGTTAGATGCAATAATCGGTAGTTTTGTCCAGTCGAAATGTTTGAAGATGAACTTGATTCACTCGTGTGACCTGGAATGCTTGGGAAAAGATTGGTCTGCTTTCAATAGTATTATTTAGTGCAAGTCTCTTTTCATTCATGAGTATCTCTCACCGTTGAAGTATTAATTGGAGGCAATTTTGGCCTCTTTCTGGCAATTGCAGTTGACTCGGTAGGTGCGGTCGAAGTCTTGATTTGTTGTTCCATCGTGGGTACTTGAAACTTGACACGCAGTGAAGAGAGCACTAACTACTAAAACAACTTAATTTGCTGACAAATACGTCTATACTAGCCCGAACAAAAATTCGATCATAGATTAAATCTCGATCATGGGTTGAATCTCGATCTGAGATCGGGGGATTGACTAACACATTCACATGCCAGCCACGGTCCTATGTGAGATACATTTCTCCCTTCCAAGAATGTGACTAGCCAACCGCAATGCATTATGAAAAGAATTTACATTCCTGAAGCAAGGATCTTATTCCATTTCCTACAGACTACAGGGTGGGCGGTCAATAATCTCGAATGGCAATCAAATTCGAAGATCTAGCCACCTCAATTGTTTTAAATAGCTCATGTTAAGCTTCATCTAATCGCCAGCGGAAACATTTTCCGGGAGCCAGCTACTCGGTGCTATTGATGGACCAGACGATGGGCTAATGCCTTACTTTCAATCGAACTGTCCTCTATGGTCATTCCCTCGCACATTCATATACGGTAGGTATTCCATCGCTAGGCATGTCCCCATGCTCCTGGGGAGGCTACGGAGACACGGGCTACACCCATATCTCTACTGACCTCAAATGTGAACACCCCACTCACACACTCTCACAAGCCCACACACTATTCGGCACCATGAATGCGTGGTAAAATTCCACGAGAATTTAAATCGGCGTGGTGCTCATTCAAACGCTTCAAGCCATATATGGCGAATGTTGTAAGTGAGCTGCAATCGCCCAACTCTACGAATTACTATCCCTGTGGCAGAATTCACAGTCGGCTATATCAATAAAGATTAATATCTCGTGGCGCTGGGTTTTTGACGAGGTAATCACAGGGCAATTTTGGCATTTATATAGACGAAAAAAAGTTTCGCTCTTTATAGTCGACTGACAAGACTCGGAGATTCTCTGAAACCTCCAAACAGTGTTGCTAGACAATGATTGAACACACCTATCAGTTCTTACTATTAAAGGAGTGGTAATTGACTCAATTAATATCATTTCTCATTTGATATTATTTCTTCCGTCAATGCGCATCTAGAAAAGAGCATTGATTTTATACTGCAAAGAGATATTTAGACTTGGCTTAGATAGATCAGAATTAGGGAACGGTAATCTAGAACATCTAAACTATGGGATGAGGAGGAACATCATCTACCCAACCCCGCTTCATTCTCGGCTTGGAGAGAAGCAAAACAAGTAAGAAAAATTAAGGTGGAACATCTATGAGATTTTATTTATTAGGAGAAGCTTATGGTTCTCACCAAGCTAATCGGCCCGGCCCGAACCACAGCAGAAATCTTTTATTCAGTAGAGGCCCAATTGCGAGTAGTTAGTCTGTTTGGTGTGGTGTGGGGCCGATCAATACATGTTAACAGAACGAAGCCAAGGAATGCGGATATGAGAAATCAGCATATAAATTTTTTGAGCACGAGAATGTTGATCCATCGATCGCCGATAGACACCACAAGGCGAAATCTGGTACTGAGTACTCCTTACTTGTGTTCGCTTCTCGATCCTGATTCCGATTAGTCCGTTCACCGACTATGTATCCACCCATTCTTACCAAATGTTGAGATCTCAAAGGTAGGTACTATGATATAGGTGTCTTACTCTGTAAAGATTGTGCATAAAAATGGCTGTGCACGGCTGTGCACCAATGAATGAGGTGCTGGGGCTCTACCAGGGGGCTGGAGTCGCTATTTACATCCCACCAGAATGTTTGAAGGCATTCAGTGACGGCCCAGACTCTTTTCTAAACTTGCTTTAGGCTCATTCTATTCATCACACAGAATTCATATAGTAAGGAGACCCCTGATAACGAGGCTTGCGCCAATGCTGCCTTGAGAAAGCAGACTGTGCTGATCCGACTACTCCTCGAAATCGCAATACGAGTTCACAAGATGATTTGCTTCCGTCCTCTTCTTGGTAACATCTCTTCGTTGGTTGCTTTTATTTTACTTCTTCTTTGTTTGTTTGCTGGTAGCTCGCGTCAATTTCTGCCAAATGCTACAATACTAAGGGTTGGGGCCTCTGAAAACCGCTTGGAATGTTTAACTAACGCTACACCATATCTTTCCAGATCGACACATCCAAATTGACACCGGCAGATATACCGGACTTTCTCAATGTATACCTGATGTCTTACTGCGTCGGTTTTGAGAAGGAGTGTATTGTTGATGATGCTACAAACGCAATCACTATCCAGAGCGTAATCACCTCATGTTCCGACCTAAATCCTCTTTCTCGCTTCGACCCTGGACAAGCTCTTCTTGCAGCAGCCGAAGGAGCCGGTGGCACGACGGAAACGGCATGGCCCGGCTACCTAAGTGATGACTTTCTAGCTTTGGTGCCCACAACCCAGGCCATGGCTTTGCTGTTCATACTGGGCACATGCGCCGTCGCAGTATCAATTGTTCTTCGCCTGAGTACTGTTCGCTATATCTGGCAGCCTCCAGTACCTCAAAGCCCTGCGAATGGGGTTGACCCTCCTCCCAGCTATCCAGCTTACCCGGGATCTCCATCCTCGGACATACCTCCATCAAAACTGCAATTGATGAACTTCATAGTAAGAGTCATAGCATCCGAGTCCTATGCTTGAATAAATCGCTGATTGTGCCAGACAAGCACCATTCTGCTCACCTTTGCCTCGATTATCGCGACTGTGATCTCTACCCAATTTGTTTCTCTAATCTCTCGAAGTGGAAGCCCCATCATATCAGCCGAATCTAACGGTAGGTTTTTGGGAATGGCGTGGTCTGCTGTAGCCATCCAAGCCCTTCTCACAGCCGACGCACTAGCTGCTCTACTACGTTACAGAGCTCGCCATTGCCGCTGTGACTGGGAAGAACTGCCTGCAGCACCAGTGCCAGAAGCCAAGCGACTCGTTTCCGGTTATGACTAAGGCTGAGGAGGGAACAAGATAATATGTGATGGGATGAAACAATATATGGCTTTTCCGCAATGTACACCCGGTTTAATTTACTGGTCTTTTCGTCCTTGCAGATGGCTGAATTCATTGGGCCGCGCTTCGAAATGGCCACTTGCTTCATAATTGATTGGTCTTCCTAAAATTGATCACCGCCCCCCCTCTCCTTGTATTTATATCTGCAAAGTACAATGATGAATATCGTGCATTTGTGCTGATAGTAAATCGAAAATCGAACAAGCTGATCTCAAGCGTAATTTTTGAAAATCATAAAAAAAGTCCCTCGAGCTTCACGAAGCTAGGTTAATAGCTGAAAATGGACATACATACTGAGCCGATGATTTTGACAAAGCAGGTGTCTTGGCAGGAGCTCTAGACGCTCGGGCCAGTGGATTGTTTCGGTAGCTATTTGGAAATTTCAGCCCCCACCTGGACATCTCCTGCGTCTTCCAAACTTCCCTTCAAGATTTTGAAGATATGGACTTTCCGCTACCATCAAAGTTGACAATAATTGTGTTGTATTACATTATTGAGGAGCAGAAGACCAATTTGGCCCCATATGCCGCTGTCAATCGCGACTGTGAGGCAATTATCGAGAGGCAAACATTTTCAATGATCAAACTCGACACTGCGAAGCAATGAGCAGAAGTAAATAGTTCCTACGGGGCTATCTATCGTGGACCCAATGAAGATACCACGTGCAAAGAGTCAATTCAGTCGTAGCTGACAACGAACATGTGATAAACAGTTCTAGCATTTCTGTTCCCACTCTAATATGACCAACTCTGGACAATGGAACATCATTTAGGTCAGTTGTCTGTCGTCTTCCTCGCTGCAAGGAGAGCGAAGTGATAGACATCCATGAGTTGCGCAGGGTGGTCAGAGATCTGCTAGCAATGAATGTCAGTGAACCCTATCTCCTGCAAAGAGAAAGGCAAAAGTTATCAGACAGCATCAATTTTTTTGAACAATACCAAACTGATTGGGGTGAAAGAGCATGTTGTTCACAGTACAGTTAAGCTTCCTCCGCAGATTGAACGAGGGGCATGTTTGCGACAAACAGCCAGCACAGAAATGAACAATGAACCTTCACGCTCCCATTGTATTTGTCGTATCCGAGGGATGAAACTAAGTGCAGATTTTTCGGAAGATTCTGTACGGTATCGACCTCCCAGGTTCTGAAGCGGCACGATACATGGCCAACCACAGTGCTGACCGCGTGAAGGAAATCTGCGAGATAAAGAAAATGTCTGTCAAATCTAGGAGATGACATTCGAGGTATAGCAGAAACGAACATGCCAGCTTCAAAAAGGCGGACAAAAGAGCGGTACATTCCATTCTGTCACAGCATTTGACGAAAGTTCTGAAACATGTCTTCGACCCTTCCGGTACTCGCAAGTGTATGACTGCCACATTAGCATGTGCAAATCTAAGCCTTACATACAATGTAGCAAGCAAAAATACAATTCCCTATGTGCAAATGCTCTGTGCGATTTGAATGGTTATTAGTCGGCGGACCACGATCATGCAATATCAAAGTCATAGAGAAATGAAGATAGTTGAGTACATGACGATCGCAGTTAGTCTTACAATAGGAAAGGCATAAACAAAATATAAAGTTCCGGAAAGCTCATGATATTCTGTTTGGTTCTTGTGAAGTCCGAGTGCATCTAGTCCAGCGAAAATTTTACCTATTGGAGCCACATTGTATTTAAATAGTGAGCGATGCTCCTCCTGCATGTAATAATTATAGAGCGGACAAGTCACCTAACTCATTTCATACTGAGATAAAACCCTATTACTCACTCGCAACGACGATATCTTGACAGTATTGACGCTGGTATGACTCAAAATTACCCCCATCGATAGAACAAACTTCATTTTATTCTTCATTAAACGCCTTGGGTGATGCACTAGACCCAAGTAGTACTAGGAAGATTGTAATAGCCACCCGTAGATGCAAGAAGGTTATCACTTCCACCAGACTTTCCAACCAGGGCTAATAGACGATAGATGAATAAAGAAAGATAGCAAAACAGAACCTCACAAGGAATGAAAATCGAACTAAATTGTCAGCTTTTCGCATTCCTCTATCAGCTCCTCGATATACCCATGAAGGCGTATATGGCTCCCTAGGAGTCGATGTATGGCTTTCTAGGAGTCGATATATGGCTTTAAACATTGCGATTGCCGGTGGTGACTGCGAGCATTAAATGACCAGCATAGTTGATACCCCCTGACTTCTGCAGTATTTTAATTCCATGTATCTTGATATGCACTTCTTAAAAATTCATTCCGGTTGCAAGTATGATGATTTGGTTGATTGACTCAGAGCCAACTGTCAAAATCATGACCCATGTTGAATGCGAATGTATTGAAGTGTTTGGTAACGAGTGTGTAGGGAGAACTATGTTGAATGGGTTCGGAAATGAGAAAGTGAAAAAGACCAGAAAAGACAAAGAAAACAGTGAATACTATGCCAATGGCGCCATGAAATGACTTCAATAATCATTTCCGCGACTAAGCACCTCCTTACATGATTCTCGCAAGAGAATTGTCTGGGAAATTTAGCAGGTGATCTTTGCAAGAAATGCCATGTACATACATGTTCAAATTGAGCAGAGTATGAGCCTTCGTTGTCCATAAGAGGGTGGTAGACCTCGACAATGTCGTTCGCTACGAGATAGTTCATCTGCTGAATGTAAGCCCGTAATCCAGCTAACATATTAATGAGAACTGACGCCTGCCAAATAACGTTGAACTCCCAACCGTTCGAGATACCGACGACAGAAAACAAGGGAGCCAAAATTGTCATTGATCGTCTTGTAGACAGATTTGGCAGAGGCAAGGGGCGAGGTGATCTTTTTCGGCGCAAATGCATCTCTTCCATATCCATAGACTCCAGGCTAGAGATTCATGTCAGTATGTCAGTATGTGACGAAGACAAAGAGGAAGGGAAACGGACCCCTTCCAAAAGATGACCACGACCGGTCGTACCAAATGTTTCGATGGCAAATATCTCACCCTCTTCCATCTTGGTGTTGTCCGAGTTTTTGGTAAATGGTATGGACTTGCCAGCGTGGATTCTGTATTGGTCGATGTTGTGTCCAGATAGACCGCGGACTGCCTTGATAGGAAATGTGCGGCCGTTTATATCCACTTCATAGCTTTCCATTGCTTCCTGAATGGCAGCGCTGACATCACTAATACGAACATCGATCCCGGCGTTCTAGAACAAGTCAGCCGTGGTCAACCATCGGGTGGGAGCCTCTGGTACCTTGATGCCAGTATTTGTGGCATCAGTCACAGCGGCAAGCAAATTGTCGTAGGTTGGGTCAAATGACATGGTGAAGGCACTATCAACAATCCAACCGTTGATGTGAACGCCAAAATCGACTTTCATTACATCACTTTGACTAAGGACCACATCTTTCTGACCAGGATTGGGTGTGTAGTGTGCTACACAATTGTTTAAAGAGAGACCAGTCGGAAATCCGAGTCCAGATATGAGACCATCACCTGGCTCAACCCCGGCGTTATCGAGCAACGCTCTCACTCCATCCTCGATTCCCACCGCAATATCCGTGAGGGTCTGCCCCGGGCGGACAGTGTCCTGCGTCCATCGTCTAACCTGGCGGTGCACCTCGGCTGCTTTGCGGTAGTCGTTCAAGAATGTGTCATCCTCAAGGTGAGTTCGAGAGTGGTATCGAACTTCTGCAGCGGTCACGCGAGCGGTGTTGTCGACTACAGAATCATAGCTTTGTATTTCACCATGTGGGTATTGACCGTTAGGGAAGAGGTCACAAATAGGGATCCGTGGGGGTGAAGACTGTTTCAAAGAGGATTTCTTCTTAGGCTTCTTTCTTTTCTTCTTTTTAGAAGCAGATGCGAGCGGAGATTGCGAGGTCAGCGATACGGTAACAGTACAGGGCATATCGTCGCCGTCGGAGCCATCACCATCAGTCCCTATCCCCGTCCCCGATGATACCATCACCGTCTCGGGACAAATGGACACCTCTAGGCTCTCCGCCAGTGGCATTGAGCTTTGTTGGGGTTGGAGGAGAATCTGCGGCACGTCAGCCTTATATTTCAACAAAACTACAGGTTGACGCACGTCCACCTCCCTGGCCCTCATCATCAGCTGTTTTTGAGCCCATATCGACATGAAGATATAAATGCCTGATCGAATCTACAAATCCTGAAGACCAAGTGACCCCATGGCAAAAAAAAAGCAGTGAGGGTGGGGCCAGAGCGGTGTAAAGGGCGGCTTTAGTTCTGCCAGCAGTACGACAAACGCTTATCGTCGATCAATTATCTTATCGCGCATCTTATCCTTCCAACCGTGCAAGGTAAAGAAATAGGTTCCGCAGTGTTCTTCCCCTTGTTTGCTCTCACTCTCTTCTGTCGTTTCACTATAGAGAGAGAAAGAGAGAGTACACAAAGTCCGATACCCTGGAATTCAACAAAACCTGGAATTCAACAAAAGGATTTCCATATCTACTTATGTGAGGATCTTTGTGTACTTGAAAGCCTTTGGAACATTCACTGCTTACACAAGGAAACAATTGTAACAACCTTCCAAGATTGGACCGTACATACATATGTGCTCGAGATTGATATATATCCATTGAGATTCTGTTGTACAGGCAACATACTGCCTTGAAATATAAGAATGACAGTACGTACTCTGTTGTACAACAACATTGTATGTTTTAAATATGTAGTGAGCCTAAACTAATCTCAGAAATCCCCACCTTCTCCGCTTCGCGTGATTCAACGCGCAAATCCCGCCATAACATTAGCCGACCAGCCGCCGATACTCCGACTCCTTCCTGTGTATACTTTCTTTTTTAAACACAACTGTTGAACATGGGTTCAAATGCTAAAACTTCCAGATCACGGTTTGGTATGTGTGATCTAGAACATACCCTGGACTAAATTTTCATTTTACTAATCTGCATAGGCTGCCATACATGTCGTGCCCGCAAAGTAAGAATCTAGCAATTCTGATCGAAGTGATTGAATCTAAATGTATTCGCGTATTGATAGGTCAAGTGTGATGAAAAACCAGGTGAATGCGGCAACTGTGCTCGATTGCGACTAGTCTGTTCCGGCTACACAACGCCCAAGTCACACGCATCTAGTGATGTACTACTCCAGAGTGGACCTTCGAGAAAAAAAAGAACCTATCGCTCTTGCACCGTATGTCGTGGCTCCAAAACAAAATGTTCAGGTGCACGACCAATTTGTCAACGGTGCCAAGATAGGGGTCTGCCATGTGTCTACGCAGAGTCGTCACAGCCTACCTGGGTACGGAGAATCAATGAAACAAAAGAGCATAATACAGAGGCATGTCCATCCGTCACTTCTGTACTTGATGAATCCCCCGGGCACAGTCAATCTGGCCAGGACGGCCTTCCAGGGTTGCTCGAGACACCGCCTATATCACACCAAACTCCACTGTCATTGGGAAGTCTTGATGTGTCATCGTCCCCACTTGATTGGTGAGCTTGAAAGAACCAAATTCAATTCCTGGTGTCGTGCTTATATGACCATAGGTTGGCTACGCCTCATCTCCCTTCCTCGTCGAGGATAAGGATGCTAGTCGAGCAGTATTTTGACAACATTCACCCGCTTCGTGCTTTTGCCTTCACGCATAAACCTTCATTTTTGCAAAGACTAGATGGGGAACTCTTGGAACACCGCCACAATCATGCTCTTTTGCATGTTATCTGTGCGTTCGGAGCCCAGTAAGCCCAAGGCATAAATCTATCTCTTCACACAGATCAGGCAGCTTATTTAATGTCATCAAGGTTTCTTGCCTTGAATTACAGTGAGACTATAGCGCCTCTTCCACCTAAATCTGTTCTTTTTGCGGGCACTCAATGGGCCAAGATTACCCAACGACTCATCCTTGAAGCACTGGATACAGTGACAATTGAAAACCTAATGGTGTGTCTCTCCCATGAAGTTTATTTAGCATCTCCACTCAAAATCCAGCTAACCTTTGTCTAAGGCTGCCGTCTTGCTTCATGACTATTCAGTTCGACTTGGGAACTTTGCAAACGCGTTTATGTTGAGTGGGATTACTACGCGCATGACCCAAGCATTGCAAATCAATCTTGAATACAACACTGACATACTGTGCCAAGACTCATATGGAGGCCTTTCGGTTACTGCAAAGGAATCCCGCCGGCGCTTGATGTGGAGTTGTTATATCATGGATGCTCTCGTGGGAAGTGGAGTGGACCAGCTGACCCTAATAGATGAGCGGGACATCAATATCCAACTTCCGTGCAACGACCGGAATTTCGCTCAACAAGTCCCTTGTCTGACGGAAACTTTACGTCCGGGAAACTGGCTTCGGATTTTCCCTGGTGATCTAGATACTGATACTTTGATTGCGAACATGGGAATCATGGCATATTTTATTCGACATATTTCAATCCGCAAAAGGGTCCTTAGGTATGTGCATTCGTCGGTGCTTGTATGTGGCTTTCTCTCAATCCTTCTAACCGATACTGGGCAGATATATCAAACATTTGGAAGATGCTATCGTGCCTTGGGCTCCTGAATCTGAGTTTTCCTTGCTAGATTCAGACTGTCGGGCGTGGTATGATTCACTTCCAGCTAGTCTGCAGTTCACACCCGAGGCAATGTACATCCGCAAAGACACTTCGCAGTTAGGTGCCCTTTGTGTACTACATTGTGCCCATCATCAAACTATTTGCGACTTATATCGGTTGGGGGCGCCAGCCCTTTACAAGCTACGAGCCGCTTTTGACTTTCCACCAGAACAGCACGACTTTCTTCGCCATCTTCAACAAGTTCTCTTCGATGCAGCTCGGACTTTGGCGAGTATAATTGAACAGACAGCCCGCCATGGATCTCGAATGTTAGCAGATTCCTGGCTTCCTACCATTGTATATGACAGCTGCCGTATCATGGTATATCATTTGACTCAGGTGCTTGATCCTCAGTCCGAAAGTACGAAGGTCTTGATATTAACAGCGATCCCTCTGCTTCGAAGCAACATCAGGGCTCTCAAGTTGATGAGTTCCCTCAACGGGATTGCCAATACACTGGTAAGTTAGCTTTTTCTTTCTTACTCTTTATCGCCCCGCCCTTCCCCAACGGCGCGGTCTTGAGTTTGAGATTAATTTGGAATCTGAAACAAACAGTGTGCAGCGGCGGAAACAATGCTTGATAAGTCCGGTATCGAGTCGGAAATAGTCCACCGAAACATTATCCCCGATGATCCATACCAACCTAATGAGCAGGAAGGCACAAGGTAAAAGTGAAAGGCTATCCTACTTCCCTGGTTCTACTAACATCTTATCTAAGTCAACTCCCTCTGGGGACCCCACCCCAGAGTGCACCAGATTACGTGCTTAACCCATTGACGATTTTTCGAATGGCACGCAAATCTATCCCGGAACGACATGCCCCTGAAACAGCCCGTACTTCTTCTGCACCGAATAGCGTTATCCCCGATACAAATGTCGATGTTGAGCGTTGTTCTGGTACATTTACGCTCAAATCCAGTTCAGTAAATGCATCAGATAGACGACATGTTGGCCAGGCCAGCCTGGAAGAGCTACAGAATCTGTTCATGTCCGATTTAGGATGGGCATGGCAGCCAGCAGACACAGCAGTCGGATCTGGAACCGAGGGTGCTGGCCTGTTGCCATGGGCTGGAGGATATCCGTATGCTCAGTCAGAGTCATGGCTGCCTGTGTTTCCTTTTCCACAGCAAAGTTAATTGGAGTTAATGTTTTCAGCGCTCAATGCACTGTTTTGCTGACTGCTATAATTCGTTCTAAATGTATAGAGGCACATAATGTTCCTTTCTCAGTCATAATTACCCTTCGTCTATATCATATAGGAGTGATCAGCTTGAAAACAATTGATGTTCTTTTATGCGAACCAAGTTAACTAGGGTCGAAGCAATGAACATGTGGCCACTATATTACGTAAATTCACTCGGCATCCAATGGGCAGACAGGCGGGGTGTCGTTGACCTGAATACCTCCTCGTTTCTTCTCCATGGTATCATGGTACGGAAGTCTCCATCCACCTTCAGACTCCGGGGCCGCAAGCCAAAGTCGCATTAGATGTCGACGACGAGCAGGCCGGCCTTCCTCATCCACTGCCCCAGGAGGATGATCTGTGTAGGCAGTTCGTGCATGGAACACCTGTGCATTGCTCAAAAATTGAATGTCGCCTGGAGCTAGGATCATGTGCAAGGATAGCTCAGCGCAGGTCTTCTCAAATATTTCGAGAGCGCGTTTTTGCCTGTCGGACAACGGAGGGATGCATGCATCGGGTCCAGAGTTGAATCGAGCCAGCGATGTCACATTCATAGGGTCAAATTTTGCATAGATCCGGGGGCTGACCTCCGGCAATCGTTCTCGAGGTAGAAGATACTTCCTCGAATCCAGCCATCCTCGCCTTCGGAGATTTCCCCCTTGCGGTCAAAATACCAGTTTGGCTCACAAAGTGTTTGCACCACGTCCGGATGTCTCTCTTGGAGAACATTGAACACATGATGTGTAGACGCGATGTCGGACTCTCCGCCAGATAGAGATTTGGCGATGCATAGAAGCCCCACAAAGTCGGCTCCATCAGTGTGGAAGTATTGACTAGCAGGTTGATCAGCCTTGACTCTAGCTTAGTATATTAATGTCTTGATTGTGTTCCTACCGAGCATTCGTTCGGTAAATGCGAACTCTGTCAGTCTTGGTGGGATCTTCTCCTAAATCCTTAACATGGCCAAGAACATGACCGCGTCCATTTTGGCTCACGAAATAACCCAAATATGTGCCAATGCCCATATACGCTGTCGCACACTTCTGGAGATCCCAGTCCTGAACTGGAAGGCCTCTGAAAAGAAAGAACCCCTTTCCGTCGACAAGATCCTTTCTGAGTGCTTCCAATCGTTCACGCAAGTGTGGCAGATGGAAGTTTTCCTGTACACAATTTAGTCATCACATAACATGGCCCGAAAAGCACGGTCAAGGCCATCATACCTTTGAAATACCAGTCAAAGGAGCTCCCTTCTTAATAAAGTCATCGGACGCAGTGCTGATCTCCGCAATCTCTTCGGAGCTGAATCGATGTGTCCAAAGCTCCGGATTCTCTCGGTAGTCCTCTGCCTTCCACACTGTGGGCCCGGTCTGAATTTTGGGAAAGTCTTTGTATGGCCGAACCTGAGAGTACACAGGAGGGTGCTGTCCGGATGTTTTAAGGCCATCAGGAAAAGCAGAAAGCTTGACTGGGCTGGACAAAGGCTGCTGTAAAGTGCTTGTATTGACAAGTGCGGGAGCCATTATGGAACAGAGGTGCTGGACTTGCAACAAATTGATTTGGGTGAAAAGAGCAATTTGCCGGTATTTCTTTCAGCTGATATTAATCAATGACAGGACTTTATGTTGTCTCATTTATATACTGTATTCAGCATTCTTTAAGGACCGGCGAAAGGAGGATTGTCCGGCTCGTCGTAACGATCGGCTACGGCCCATCGCTCCATCACTCCCTTTGCTTCCCCCATCCGCAATTCATCTGATGATACACTCCTGGTTGCTCAAATTTGTACATCAATTTCAAAATCAATAAGTCGGACTTTGAGGATATCAACAGGCGGGGTCCACTGAGAAAATACCATTAGGCCTTAATGCGGGACAGGTGCTCGTCACGGCTGATCGGCCCATGAGCTAAGATATGGCAGACGTAGCATCACACAAGTTGTATCCATATAATCGCAAGCATCAGGGACCCGGGAGCTCACGTATATTTAACGATGTATAATTCGTGGATTTGTGCGGTCTGGATCGACAATGTAGCAAACATCTTAAGTCAAAACCATCCACAACATCGATATATGAGTAAATTGAAACATAAAGTCGAATCAGCTGGCTCAATAATCTATCATTCAATGTCAATACCCATCCAGACAGCGAGTTTGCCCTAAGTTCATTGACTGACATACGAACATAGGTGATGTCCCTTTGATATTGTTATATCTCGCACCTGAGTATTCTGCAAGATCTTTCAATCCAATTTTAAGCATATGTATTGCTATCACGGATTACTCCAGCTGAAGTATCTTTATCCTTCTCTTTAGCAGTGACTCCATTAGGGTTCGACGCTGACTGTGATGAGCTACAGCCATTTTTCTTTACTCCATAATGGGCAAACTGTTGAAATCAAGAAGGTGCAAGTACTAATAGTAGGTTCCTAATATCTGATTCAGTCTTGACATTTAGCGGATGCACCCATAAGCCTGACATACTGTAGAAAATGGCTCCGCCAATAATGTTGCCAATCAAAGTGGGAACGATAACTTCCCAGATATATGACCCCATTGTGATGTGCGTCGCTCTAACCCAAATAGCCAATGGAATAAATGTCGTGTTCGCGACGACATGATAGAAATAAAGTGAAACAAAAGAAATCATAGCAGACTTGAAACGATCTGCCGAAAGTACCTTTCCGTCTATGGGCCCCCATTCTGGCAATGACCTTGGTCACCTGTTGAGGAGAGAAGGCATCGAAAGTCATTTTGAACCAAATTATGTGTCGATTACCGCGAGCAAAGAGCGAGAGTTGATCTTCGGATTGGTTTTGTCTTCCGTTCGGATGCAATAGGCAAAAGGGGGGGCGGAGATGGACAATATACCTATTAGTTATACATTCATCAGTGGGAAAACCTATCTCTCTCACTTTGAAAATTACTAACATGCTTATGGTGAAATAAGATCAATTTAGTAGTATTTGGCATTCACCTGCTTTTTTTAGCGTTGCGGCGATCATTGAACTTAGATAACAATGTAAGCTTGTGGACAGGCTGTCGGCTTAGCGATCATGTTCGTGGAGGAAGGACGTATCGAGTTAGATAAAGGAGACTTAATAGCAAAGCGCTTGGTGGGATAAGGATGGTTGGTTCAAGATCATACATCTCCGCGGGTCTATGAAGGCTACGAGGGATTGTATCAGCGTTCTGTTTACTCCGTCCCGCGTACTGTACTACTAGTTGATGTCCCACAGTCTTGTGTCTTTTCACGGACCAAAGAAATCTTTCGGGTTGAATCTAGTATGAAAAGGAAATTGGCTGTATCAAACTCTGGTTTGTGTGATTACCTGGGTATGACATGTTATAGAAGCATAGTTCCGGGGGCTTTTTGTGTTGTATTTTATAATCGTGACGTAAAGATGTTAATCACGCTAGTTACTTCAGATATCATTTTCAAAACCTAAAATTTACGTCTATCAAGAAAGATCTAAACTAAAGCTGTGTAGATCGAAGCAATGGTTAAGGATAGAGATACCGTTATTGAGTGCGGTTTTAAACCTAGCTACTCATGTGAAGTTATTTAATAAGTCGACAAGCGAGTTTAATGATGTTGTTAATATGACTCCGACTGGACTTCGGGATTCGCTCGAAAAAGAACGATCAGAGTCATTAGGGTGGATGGGTGATTCTGGCGAGACCGTCGGTCATCAAAGGTCAGACAAAATATATCGTGGTGTAAGTCAAAATACCACATCTTGAACGCGGTTGTTAACGAGAAAATTATGCGCAGTGGCCGAAAGATTGTGAAAAGCCTTGAACAAAATCAATACCACGGAAAATCCATCGGAATGCAGCGATCGAAACATCGACCATATGCGTCGAGTGGCATCCTACTACAAGCGCCATTTAGCGTAAGAGCAGCACGCTAAGCATAACACGAACAGTCAAAGCTATCATTCACTCAAAATTTGGGACCATGATGCACTTAAGCAGTGACTTTTGTAGGGATTCTGTGTTTTGAAAGTGGAGAAATTTGGTTGTTTCAAATGGTTGTCTAGGTTCCGACTGAGAGGCTACATGTTAGGCCCATCTAGATGGCATTTCGCGTGAAACCACTCTAAACTTCTCTCCGGTGACGATATTCTCTTTCTCCGTCTACTATTATCGGGTGAGAAGTAGTGATAGATAAGCAGTGCTTATAAAAAAGAAAGAAGTGACAGAGGGTTGCACGGTCGCGTTCCACGGCTGGCTATTATTCATAATAACAGAACCTTTATTTCTACTGCTCTTCTAACTACATCTGTGAGTTTCCTCGATTGTAATGTAACATGATTTCAAACTTCATCTCAGCGACTTGTTCAACACAATTTAAAAATTTATTCGCTTAGCTACCGTAATGAAACGTCAGGAAAAACCAATTTATGACACTTAGGTACTCCCCTTGTATACATCATACTCCGTTCTCCGTATAAATTCTGTTAATAATAAACTGAGGTTAATTAATTACTAACCATTACTTCATGGGATTTATCGTCAGATGGTAAGATAAACATTACATATCCATTTTATCCCCATTTCAAAGTCCAACCTTAATGGCATGTGAACGATAACATATATTTTGGATTATGTCGGGTCGTCAGAATGCCCAAATTCCTTCACCGGCATCTCTTTAGGTGAAACGAAGCTCTAAGTATTGCTCAAAAGCCGATCTCAGACACCGGCTTGTCACTTTAGTACCCGAACATCAAATCATAATGCTAACAACAACCTTGAAATTGCCTGATGCTTACCCCCACGACCCCGAGTTTCGGTTTGCCTCGGTAATCACGGACTGCCCGAGAAGAGATCTCCACTCCGAACGCTGACTGGGTATTTTCCTGGGGAAAACATCATCAATCTACCAATCGATCGGAAAGAAAAAAGATAAACTAATCAACATGTGGTAAGGTGAATTCGCTAAATGTCTTGGCTTTTCAAGTCGGATCAAATAAAATTTCGTGGGATGCGGAGGCGTGGGGGGGGCAAAACATTGGGGAATATGGGGAAACCGGTATCTGATGACGACGGGATGCAAACGTGGGGGATAATATCCTAAGACATATATGTGCGACTTCAGACCCCCAACATCATCCAGCTATAGGTCTCTTTTTCCTCCACAATGCAAGACCCTACAATGCCGAAACCAGATGTTTCTCACGATGAAGCCGCAGTTCGGCCGGACAAGCTTACCGATACCAGTGGTATACCGCGTGTCCCATTGACCGAGGAGGATAGCAAGAGGATTTGTCGTAAGACTGATCGGACTATCCTTGTTGTTCTGGCTTGGGTGTACTTTTTGCAGATCCTCGACAAGACTGTCCTTGGATACGGTGCAACCTTCGGTTTACAGGCGGACACAGGCCTCACGGGAAACCAATACTCGCTTGTTGGATCCATCGGTCCCATTGCACAATTAGCCTGGCAACCTTTCTCCTCTTATCTCATTGTTAAGGTTCCCCATAAGATTTTGATGCCATTGCTTTGTCTAGGGTGGGGGCTAGCGCAGACATGCATGGCTGCATGCCACAATTTTAGCTCTTTGATGGCGGCTCGCTTCTTTCTCGGTCTTTTTGAGGCGGGTTGCCTGCCGCTTTTTGGTGTTATCACCAGTCAGTGGTATCGACGAGCAGAGCAACCAATTCGGATCGCCGCCTGGTACAGTACCAACGGTCTAGCAACTATCGTTGCTGCTGCGCTATCATACGGACTGGCCAAAATTGAGTCTGACGTGTTGAAATCGTGGCAGATGTAAGTTTTCATATCTGTATGCTAAAGTGACGGTGTATTCTGATCTATTCTCAGCATTTTTCTGGTTGTTGGCTTAATCACCGTGGTTTCTTCTCCCATCGTCTATTGGCGCTTAGACAACGACATCTCTACTGCTCGGTTCCTCAGCGAGAATGAGAGGTCTCAAGGAGTAGAGCGCCTCAGAGCCAACCAGACTGGAACCGGAAACACTGAATTCAAGTTTAGTCATGTTCTGGAAGCCAGTTTAGAGCCAAAGACCTATCTGTGGATTGGAATGGCAATGCTCCTCAATATTGGTGCAAGCGTGACTAATATTTTCGGTCCATTGATTTTGAGTGGACTTGGCTATGACAAGTACAGAACTACTTTGTTGACCATGCCATTTGGTGCCTTGCAATTCATCATAATCATCCTGGCCAGCTATCTGGCCCAAACCGCGCGAGTGAAGAGTGCCATTATCGCAGCTTTCATGCTCCCAGTCATTGGTGGCCTAGCCATTTTATACGCCGTGGCTCGGACCAAATCCGTTCAGAGTGAATTGCTCGCTGGCTACTATTTACTCGCATTTTTGTTTGGCGGCAATCCGTTGATTGTGACATGGATAATCGGCAACACAGCAGGAACCACCAAGAAATCAGTAATCATGAGCCTCTACAACGCGGCAAGCTCAGCAGGAAACATCATCGGCCCGTTGCTTTTCAATGAGAAGGACAAGCCATCCTACCACCCAGGCTTACGCGCGTGCCTCGGCATTTTCAGCACCTTGGCTGCAGTGGTGCTAATTCAATGGGTCAATCTCTGGTTTCTCAACAAACAACAAGCTCATCGGCGTGTTCGCAACGGCAAGAGAGCCGAAATTGTGGACCACTCAATGCAAACCCATTATCACGAAATGCAGGAGGATAACCTAGAGGATGCTGGACCCGACACCCTGCAGGTGGGAGAAAACGCCTTCCAGGATCTGACTGATCGTGAGAATGATGAATTTGTATACATTTATTAGATTCAATTGCAAGATTCTAAGCTATTCAATGCATATCAGCTAAATTTCAAGAGATGCAGCAGTTTCCTCGTACTTGGGTAGAATGCAATTATATTGCGACGCATCACCTAGAGAATACATTCATTGACGATCAAATTCAATGAATTTGTACAAGGTTTTTCTCTCCGGGATATATTTCCTCCACAATGTTTATTGTCGACAGGGGTGTTGGTGATGCCTCAGGTTTACAGGACTCATGGCAGCAGTCGGTTTTCCTACTCCAAATCCCTCTTTTTTCCTCTTCCTCATCCCTTTCAGTTCCAGCAATCTGCGATAAGTACTCCAAATTGTTATGCTGATAATGTGTCCATACTTCGCCGTGTGCGGGAGAAAAGCGATCACTCAGAAACAAACAAGACAAACAAACACAAACCCACGTCGAACAGACCTACAGCATCGTTCAAGTCCCAATAATGTTGAACTAATGGCCGCATAATATCGGAAAAACAGCTGAAACCTAGCCGAATATTATTCAGCTTTAATTAGATCTGCACAAGTTTGAAACAAAATCTTGCTTCTGTTATGAATGCGCCGACTGACACGCATGGTGGTGGTTTACAGCCTCCCCGCCCGAGGAGGGTGATACTGATTATACTGATTCTCGACTGCTTGAGCTTAGACCTTGGTGTGCTTATAATCTCTATTGCTATCTTCAAACGAGTTTCACTGGGTGACAAGGGACGAATATATGGGTGGCACGGGGAACCGGATACAAACATCCTAGCATGGCAGTGGCCGAATTCAAACCCAACCGAGAATATTTACAATTGAAGCCTGAGGGGGGATTGATTGAATGATTTTTGATTAGCTTTGGGTTAGAGATAAAAATTACGAAGGCCCGTCGTACCGGACTCGGACTCGGCCTTGGGATTCAAACTAACCGAAACGGCAAAACCTAGAAAGCTTGGATCTTCGGAGTCTCTTATTTGATGGAAGCTTTAGTAACGCGACGGTAACACCAAGCAAGGGCAAGTTGAGGTTTATATCTGTGCACGTGGCGAGACCCTGATGGATCCTACGCCAGTGCGGTGATTTGCTTCGTTTCATATCGCCGAACAGAGAGAGCTTCGGAGTCGGAACGAGCTGAACAAAATGATAAGCTGATGCGAGAATAGATCTCCGATGTTTCCCAATCCGAGCATCAATGCGAGCCTCGGTCTATTGATATGTACCGCTCCCCGTCCTTCAACACTGAAGTTTGAATGCCACGGAGCATTACTCGTCCCGCCGTTCGATCATAGATACCCTCTACAATATTCGTTGCGATCCGACTCGCATATCTGTTGTACCAACACGTGGGTAGTTAGTGAAACTCATATTACATCATGACGAGTGATTGTGAACATATCGGGGAACCCATTGCCATTGTAGGAAGTGCTTGTCGCTTTCCTGGTGATGCAACAAGCCCCTCAAAGCTTTGGGAACTACTCAAAGCACCTCGCGATGTTCTGAGCGAAATTCCGGAAAGCCGGTTCAGTACCAAGGCCTTTTACCATCCCGATGGCCTACACCATGGCACAACAAATGTTCGACACTCTTACCTGTTGTCGGATGATCATCGATTGTTTGACGCCCAATTCTTTGGAACGAAGCCAGTGGAAGCGAATTGCATCGACCCTCAACAAAGACTGCTACTCGAAACTGTTTATGAGGGACTTGAAGCTGCTGGTATTCCCATGGAAGGGCTCCAAGGATCCAACACGGGTGTTTGGGTCGGGTTAATGACCAACGACTATGCCGACATGCTTGGTCGCGATGTTCAGAACTTCCCAACCTACTTCGCATCTGGTACTGCTCGGAGTATTCTATCTAATCGAATCTCTTACTTCTTTGACTGGCGTGGTCCATCCATGACCATTGATACCGCATGCTCTTCTAGCCTGATTGCACTTCACCAGGCCGTGCAGAGCTTGCGTAGTGGTGAGACCAATGTCGCTGTGGCTGCGGGAACCAACCTGTTGTTGGGACCTGAACAGTACATCGCGGAGAGCAAACTGAAGATGCTTTCTCCAACTGGCCGCTCGCGTATGTGGGATAAAGGAGCCAATGGATATGCAAGGGGTGATGGGATTGCAGCCGTCATACTGAAGCCATTGAGTGCTGCCCTGGCCGATGGTGACCACATTGAGTGCATCGTTAGGGAGACAGGTGCCAACCAAGACGGCCGTACCAAGGGTATTACGATGCCCAACCCCCTAGCTCAGGCAGAGCTCATTCGGAATACATACGCTCGAGCCGGACTCGATCTCTCGAAACCAAGCGACCGCCCACAATACTTTGAAGCACACGGGACAGGTGAGCCAATATCAATCATAGAACGATAGTTTGGGGCCCTGCTGACAAGGATAGGAACACCTGCGGGTGACCCGGTCGAGGCAGAGGCTATCAGCACTGCATTCTTTGGACAGACTGCAAAGTACACAAGAAAGGATAGCGGTGAACACCCGTTGTACGTCGGATCAATCAAGACAGTCATTGGACATACCGAAGGTACAGCTGGATTGGCGGCCGTTCTGAAGGCATCGCTTGCGTTGCAGCATGCGGTTATTCCGCCAAATATGCTCCTAGATGAGCTAAGCGCAACTGTACGCCCGTTTTACAACGATCTTGAAATCACACAGGATGCCAAAGAATGGCCCCCTGTTTTAGAAAACACTCCCCGCCGTGCCAGCGTCAACAGTTTCGGATTTGGCGGTGCAAATGCGCACGCGATTCTGGAAGAGTACAACCCACGCCTTCTCCATCAAAAGGCAGGGGATACCAAAGCTGTGATCGTCTCACCATTCAACTTTTCTGCCTCGTCTGAAACATCGTTACTCGCAAACCTCGCGGCGTACTCTGCTTATCTGCGGGCTCACCCTGCTACTGATCTTCGTGACTTGTCGTGGACCTTGAACTGTCGACGTTCGACACTACCGGTACGACGTTCGATCTCTGCATCAAGCACTGGAGATCTAATCGCAAGATTGGACGAAGTCGTGCAATCATCTGATATCACGCCAAGTGCGCAAACCGCGACTATTCGTGAACCAAAGTTGCTGGGTGTATTCACCGGACAAGGAGCACAGTGGGCTCGTATGGGCGCCGAATTGATTGAAAGTTCGTCCATGGTCAGAGATTGCATTGATCGTCTTGATAGGTCTTTGCAGGAATTGCCTACCGAACATCGCCCGGTCTGGTCCCTTCGCGAGGAAATTTTGAAAGATAACAAGACCTCTCGAATTGGAGAGGCCGCATTTTCCCAGCCACTCTGCACTGCCATCCAGATCGCGCTAGTTCAGCTTCTTGCTGCCGCAAATATCAAATTCACCGCCGTAGTTGGTCATTCGTCTGGAGAGATTGCAGCAGCGTATGCGGCAGGATATCTGAACGAGCAAGATGCAATCAGGATTGCGTTTTACCGCGGATGGTCCCTCCAGTACGCGAATGATCGCGATGGACCCAAAGGCGCAATGATGGCTGCGGGAACTTCTTTTGAAGATGCTAAAGAGCTTTGTGAGTCGCCGGAACTTGAAAACAGAATTTGCGTGGCTGCCAGCAATTCCTCTGCGAGTGTCACACTCTCCGGAGATGCGGATGCGATTGATGAGGTCAAAGAGATTCTAGAAGATGAGAAGAAATTTGCCCGTCTGTTGAAGGTTGATAAGGCCTACCATTCTCATCACATGCTCTCGTGCGCAGCTCCTTATATCGCAGCGATTCGTAAGTGTGGAATCGCTGTTCAGCCCCGTCTCAGCGACAGTCCCACCTGGATCTCTAGTGTATACGGCGAGAATATCGATGAAGTCGATGATAGCCTCCCCGATACATATTGGAGCAATAACATGATAAATCCCGTCTTGTTTTCACAGGCACTCACTTATGCCGTTGGTGTCGCAGGGCCATTTGACATGGCATTAGAAGTTGGTCCCCACCCAGCCTTGAAAGGCCCTGCAATTCAGACCATCCAAGAGGCATCTGGTCAAACTCTACCTTATGCCGGGACTTTGAGCCGTGGTAAAAATGACCGAGAAGTTTTCTCTTCCGCGCTCGGTTCCTTGTGGGTTGCGCTCGGCGACAGTGTGGTGGATTTCGCAAGCTTTGAGAGCAGAGCCACACAAAGCATCCAGAATCCGGAGCTGCTGAAAGGTCTTCCATCATACTCATGGGACCACGATCGGGTTTATTGGCATGAATCTCGATCATCCCTTGCAATGCGCACCGAAAAGGAATCTTTCCACCCCCTATTGGGTGTCAAGTGTCCGGATGGAACAGAGAAAGAGTTACGCTGGCGTAACTACCTTCACCCACGGGAGGTATCCTGGCTAGCACATCACCAGGTTCAAGGCCAGATGGTGTTCCCAGCAGCTGGGTATATCTCTGCTGCAGTTGAGGCTGTCATACAGAAATATGGATTAGGGTCTGTCCAACTCATTGACTTCCACGATATCATTATCGGACAAGCATTAGTGCTCGAGGAGAACGGCGGAGTTGAAACAGTTTTCAGACTCTCAATTGATCTAGTTGAAACTTACGGCGTCTCGGCATCCTTTGCCTGTCACTCCGATGCGAACAAAGGATCGTCCGGCATGTCCCTCCACGCTTCTGCGACATTGAAAATTGTCTTGGGCGACCCGAAGGACGATGTTCTGCCGAAAAGAACCAATCCCCAGGGCTCTTTCCTTGATTTGGAGGTCGATCGGTTCTACAACACAGTGTCGCAACTCGGTTTCGGGTATACCGGCCCCTTCCAGGCACTCTCCGGACTGCGCAGAAAGATGGACGAGGCATTGGGCCTGATTGCGGTCCCGGAACGGGATGAAAATGGACAATCTTTGATCATTCACCCGGCCTCTCTGGATGGCGCCATCCAATCGATCATGCTTGCTTATTGCTACCCAGACGATGGGCGTATGCGCACAATTTACCTGCCCACCCGAATTGATAGACTGCGCCTGAACCCATCTGCCTGTGTTGCTCTTGGGGCTCCTGGTGTTGATCTTCCATTCTACTCTGCAGTCACAGAGGCTCAGTTTGCCGAACTCTCTGGTGATGTTGATATCTTTTCTGCGGATGGTAGACATACATTGATCCAACTTGAAGGACTTCATACCACTCCCTTAACTCCATTGACATCTGTTGACGACCTTCCATTCTTCACAGAAACTGTGTGGGGTGTTGACAGACCCACTGGCCGAGATTTCAAAATTGATAAGGAATTGACCATACACGACCGCTCTCTGGGCTTGGATCTCGAACGTATTGCACACTTTTACTTCAAGGAACTCGATCGTTCGCTTCAGATATCTGACCGGGAAAAGGCTGCCTGGAATCATGCCCATCTTCTTTCCTATGTGGATCATTGCCTATCATCCGTTGCCTCCGGTAAACACAAATTTGCGAAGCTAGAATGGGCCAGTGATACTATGCATGACATTGCCCCCATTTTGGAAAGGTATGAGTATACAGCCTCCTTGATGTCAAAAATAGCACTAATTGTTCTAGGAACGCCAACCACATCGATGTCCAAGTACTTCGTGCAGTAGGGGAATGTTTTCCAGCTGTTATCCGCGGAGAGTCTAATCTCCTTGATGTTCTGACAAAGGAAAATCTTTTGTCCAAATTCTATGCTCAAACTCTCGGAATAGATCTGTACCTGGACGAAATCGTCCGAATCGCTCAGCAAATCAATCACAGGTACCCACATCTCAACATATTGGAAATTGGTGAGTCTTGCAGCTTTCTCTTATCACGCTCGATGCTAAGTGATCACAGGTGCTGGAGCAGGTACGACGACGGAACGAGTCATGCATGCAATGGGCTCGGCATTTGCGTCATACACGTTCTCCGACATTCTCGACACACAGTTTGACGATGTTCGTGAAAGGCTTTCCGATTATCAGTCAAAAATGGCGTTCAAGTTGCTGGACATTGAACAAGACCTTGGAGAACAAAACTTCCAAGAAGCCTCCTTCGATCTTGTTATTGCGCCATTGTGTCTTTATGCGACGAAAAGCCTCGAATCCACCCTCATTAATGTACGACGATTGCTGAAGCCCGGTGGCTATTTGATTATGCTTGAAATCACAAGCCCTGAAGTCATGCGCTTTGGCCTCATTCTTGGAGGCTTGCCGGGCTGGTGGCATGGGTTCGAGGAAGGCCGAACATTGTCTCCATGTGTCTCGGAAGATAAGTGGGAATCGTTGATGAAGACCACTGGATTCTCTGGGCTTGAAGCACTGGCACCTTGCTCTTTGCAATCGCCTGTGCCATTTTCTGTTATGGTGACTCAAGCAGTGGATCAGCGCATCGATTTTATCCGTGATCCATTGGCGCCTGCTCACCAACCCCTCGACGTGGGGTCTTTGACAATCATTGGGGGGAAGACTCCGCTAACTTCCACAATTGTCGCCGATATCACGAGCCTAGTTCAGCGTCACTACAGCAATATCCGTACAGTCAGCTCGTTGAGCGAACTGGTTTCGTCGGACTTGCCGTTTATGGGCACTGTTGTTAGTTTGGTTGAATTGGAGAAGCCAGTGCTTAGGCATTTGACACCTACGACCTGGAAGTCTTTCCAAGAGCTGTTCAAACAGAGCAAAAATGTTCTTTGGCTAGGACATGGCGCCCAGGGAGACAATCCTTACGGCAACATGTTCACGGGTGTTCAACGTACCCTTGCAATGGAGATGACCCACCTTCACATCCACTTCATCAACTTCCATTCGTTGGGTGAAGCCGATGGCAAAATCGTTGCGACAAAGCTTCTCCATCTTGAAGCCGCGGAGCTTTGGGATCAGCGTGGACAGCTTGATGATATACTTTGGATTAATGAGCTGGAGCTGGAGTTGAGAAATGGGAAGTTCCACGTGCCTCGACTCCGCCTCAACTCCAATAGAAACGATCGATACAATTCTGCGAGGCGTCTGATCATCAAAGAAGTTCCACGTGCTCAGTCCACCGTCGCCGTTCAGCCAACAGAAAAAGGATATCTTGTTGAAGAGAAGGACACCCGCACATCGCCTTCTTTCCGAAACGGCATTGAAGTCCATGTCACCCATTCACTCTTACGTGCCGCAAGACTTACAGAAACGAGCAGTTTGTTCTTGGTGGTTGGCAAAAACGTCCAAAACAATGAACATGTACTCGCTTTGACACATACTTTGGACTCCCAAGTCTATGTACCGCATGGCCTAGCTTTGCGATGTGGAGAGAGCGAAGAACAAAGCATTCGGTCTATGCTCACGCTTTATGTTCATCTTTTTACCCTCTCCATGTTTCAGAATATCCAAGCTGGTGATGCGCTAGCCGTTCTGGACCCCGACTTTTCCCTTTCTCCGCTCTTGACAAAATACGCAAACGAAAAGGGTGTACAGCTTGTGCTCTTAACGACAAAAGAAGGACATCGCTCGTGGCCATGGGTCCAAATACACCCGAATTCTACCAAACGCGAACTGACTGCCAAGTTACCTAGCAACATCTCCCGTCTTGTGAACATGGGTGAGAGCGAAGAGGTTCTACATGTGCTTAAATCGTGCTTCAAATCAAATTGCCAGTTTGAAAACGAGACCACGTTGACCACAAACCGCTCTCGGTCCGACTATCTTTCCGACATGAGTCAGATAGCCACGCAACTGCAAAACTCTTGGATTAAAGCACAGTATGACCTCACTCCAGTTAATCTACACAGGTTCGCGACTTTAGGACTTCAGGATTTGATAAGGGCACAAGAGACGTTTAAGACGCAGTCTCTTCTTACTTGGGACCAGTCAAAGCTTGCTGTCCAAGTACAACCGGCCACTAAGCATGTGAAGTTTTCAAAGGACAAAACATACTGGCTCATTGGTCTCACAGGTGGACTTGGTTTGTCTCTGTGTCAGTGGATGATTCGACAGGGGGCACGTTTTATTGCGCTATCCAGTCGTAACCCAAAGATTGATGACGCATGGTTGGCACGAATGGCCGCCGCCGGCTGCACTGTCCGCGTCTTTCCTAAGTAAGTTAATTGCTAGCTCGACCTCCGTGCTTCTTTTGGCTGATGTTTCCAGTGATATCACGAATCGTGAATCCGTTCAAGCAACCTATCACCATATCAGTGAGACTATGCCGCCCATTGCTGGTGTTGCACAGGGTGCCATGGTTCTACAGGACACCATGTTTATCGATTTAGACCTCCCTGCCTTGGAGAAAGTGCTCCGGCCTAAAGTTGATGGTAGTATCTTGCTGGATGAACTGTTCCCTGAGAACACTTTGGATTTTATGATTTTCTTTTCGTCGATGGCTGCCTTGACTGGAAATCCTGGACAGGTCGCTTACAACGCCGCAAACATGTTCATGGCGAGTTTGGCCGCGCAGCGTCGAGACCGAGGCTTGGCAGGACACGCGATCAATATCGGCGCAGTTGTGGGCAATGGTTATGTGACGCGAGAACTGAACATGGAGCAACAAACATACCTTTACCGTGTGGGTCTTGAATGGATGTCTGAGCAAGACTTCCATGAAGTGTTTGCTGAAGGTGTTCTGTCTTGCTTGGACAGAATTGGAAGCGCTCAATTGTCCTGTGCTATCAGAATAGACGATGACCAGTCCAAGAGTTGGATTTTGAACCCCATTTTCCAACACCTGGTTTATAAGTCTAGTAGCATTCTCGTCGCCGACAAAAAGGGAAAACCTGGGGTTTTGGTCAAAATGCGCCTGTCTGAGGCCACTTCAGCCCAAGAAGTCACGGAAATTCTACAAGGTACGGATATCGCAGGCTTTTGACTGAGGATGAAGCTAACCGTGATTGGTAGAGGGCTTTGTGCTGAAACTTCAGTCAGCATTGCAAGCAGACCCAAATAAGCCCATGTTGGACATGAGTCCAGATGAGCTCGGTGTCGACTCATTGGTGGCCGTAGATCTTCGTTCGTGGTTCCTCAAAGAGTTGGGAGTCGACATGCCGGTGCTCAAAATTTTCAATGCCGCGTCGATCCGAGAGTTACTAGCTGCGGCTGCGGAAGTTCTTCCCGAATCACTGGTTCCAAAGCTAATGTCTGACGCTCAGTCTTCGCAACTGCCAACTGGGCAGGTAGTCCCATCTGCACCATTGGCTACAACTTCTACAACAAATGTCCTTTTGGATGCTGCCGGGACAGATACAAAGGATACTATGACCGAGCTTAAATTTGCACTTCCAGATGCCACTAACGCATATAGCACCAGCTCTGCTACTTCCTTGAACGCGGAGGACTCTAGTTCGGAAGTAAATGATGACACATCATCATCGATCTTCACTGAATCCAGCGAGATAGCACCACCGAAACGTGAGATTCAGAGAACGGTTCCCATGTCTTATGGCCAGTCGCGTTTCTGGTTTTTGGAACACCTTGTGGAAGATAAGACAGCATTTAACATTACGCCGACTTGGGAGTTATCTGGTCGATTAAAAATTGCGGAATTTGCCAGAGCTATCGAGACTGTCGGGCAGCACCATGAAGCTTTACGTACATTCTTCTTCACTGATAATGAGAGGAATCATATGCAAGGCGTTTGGACCAAATCGGCATTGCAATTGCAGCTTACTGAAATCTCTGACGAGAAAGAAGTCGAGATGGCTACCAGGCAAATGAAAGAACATGTCTTTGACCTTTCAGCTGGTGAGATTATGCGTGTGCGCTTACTTACCCTGAGCCCCGAAAGACACTGGTTGGTTTTCGGGTTTCACCACATCAATATGGATGGTATCAGCTTTGAGGTCTTCTGGTCAGACGTGGAGAAGGCGTATCAAGGTCAATCACTCTCTCATGATGGCCTTCAATATCCAGACTTTACCTTGAGGCAGCTTCGAGAGTACGAAGAGGGTGCCTGGGCTGGGGACCTAGCCTTCTGGAGGGCTCAATTTTTGGAGATGCCGCCAAGACTCCCTCTCCTTCCATTCGCTTTGCAGCCTGTACGCCCCAAAATTGCGCAATTTGGGTCTCATATAGCCCACATACGCCTCGATGCAGCTATATCGGACGCTATTGACCGTTGTTGTCGGATGTTTAAATCAACACCTTTCCACTTCCACCTGACAGTCTGGCGAATTTTCCTCCTTCGTTGGTTTGATTTGGATGACGTTTGTATTGGTATCGCGGATAGTAATCGCACGGACGCCGATATTCTACGAAGCATGGGCCTTTTCTTGAATCTTCTCCCTGCCAAATTCTCACAAAAGCCCGCTCAGTCCTTCGCGGAGTGCCTGAGGGAGGTCCGAGATATCACGCAGGGTACATTTGCCCACTCACGTGTGCCATTTGATGTGATACTGACAGAGCTTAATGTGTCACGATCTGCCTCACACAATCCCATGTGTCAAACATTTTTCAATTATCGACCCAAGGCTGACATGTCGCGACAATTCTGCGGATGCACTGTCAATGGAGCGCTGTTAGGTGGTGGCGAGACCTCCTTTGATATTAGTCTAGACGTTGCCAACGTCGGTGCCGGTGAGACAATGATCCACATATCAGCTCAGAAGAGCTTGTATGGAATGGAACATGCGGAAATCCTCCTTCGCTCCTACTCCAATCTTCTTCAATCCTTTATCCAAAACCCAGCAACCCGAGTGACTTGGCCTGGACTACACCCCAAGGGTGACATTGAGCAAGCAGTGGCTGCAGGACGAGGCAAGTTCCCCCGCTGGTATTCTATACCAAATTGACTGACTGTTATTCTACATAGGTCCGGAAATGCGACAAGAATGGCCATCAACCATAGTCCACCGGTTGGATGAGATTACTTTGCTGTATCCGGACCGTATCGCGTTGAAGAATCATGATGGAAACGCACTCACATATACTCAATTCCAGAATCGGGTAGGTGTGATTGCTAATGAGCTGCTAAGCAACGGAGTTGGTGCAGGTACTCGAGTCGGAGTATTCCAGTCGCCTAGTGCGGATTGGATCTGCTCTATAATAGCCATTCTTCGTGTCGGTGGTTCGTATGTTCCATTGGATAAAAAGGTGGGCATGGAAAGGCTTGCAATGATCACGAAAGAAACGCAAGTACTTGTGGTATTGCTTGATACGTCCACCATATCTGATTATGGGCTTTTGCATACCATGGCTGAACCCATTGATGTGTGCAGCCTCCGTGGCTCTACTGCGGAGCCTGTCCCGAACATGGCGACGTCAGATCAAATAGCTGTGATCATGTATACCAGTGGATCAACTGGAGTTCCCAAAGGAATAATGATCGCCCATTCAGCATATATACACCATGCTCAGTCATCGAGTGCAACTTGGAACCTCAAACATGGAGCTGAGACTGTCTTGCAGCAATCCTCTTACGCCTGGGATGCCTCCCTGTGGCAGACGATGGTCTCGCTTTGTATCGGCGCAACTGTTGTAATTGCTTCCAGTCTCATTCGGGGTGACCCTGTTGCTCTGACAGATCTCATTTCATCGGAAAGTGTTACATGCTCTCTCGCAACTCCAACCGAGTATCTGGCTTGGCTGCGGTATGGTCGCTCCAGTCTCAAGGGTTCGCGCCTGACAACCGCTTTGTGCGGTGGTGAATTTTTTTCCAGTGGGTTGATAGACGAGATCAAGGCACTTGAAAAGTCAGACTTGAGAGTCATCAACGCTTATGGGCCCGCTGAGATAACTTTCGCATGCTCTGGCAAAGAAGTCACATACAACCTCCATTCAACCTCTGAATCTCCTGCACAACCACTTTACACTTTACCAAACTACTCTGTGTATGTTGTCGATAGAGCGCTTAATCCTGTTCCCGTTGGAGTCCCTGGTGAAGTTGTTGTTGGAGGAGCAGCAATTGCCCAAGGCTATATTGACTCCTCTATGACGGCTGATCGCTTCCTGAATGATCAACATGCAAGTACCTTCTTTCGAGAAAGGAACTGGACAAGAATACATCGCACAGGGGATCGTGGAGTTCTCAGGCGTGATGGAGGTCTAGTCCTTCTAGGGCGGATGGATGGTGATAACCAGGTCAAATTGCGAGGAATTCGAATTAATGTCGAAGAAATTGAGACTGCAATTGTCCAATTTTCGAAGGGTGCTATCACGCAAGCTGTTGTGTCCGTCCGATCAGATACAGCCTCCAGCAATGACACACAGTACTTTGTTGCTTTCGCCGTAATGGCCGATGCAAACAATGTTGAAAATGCGAACCAGTTCCTAAACCAACTTTTGAGAGAGATGCCATTACCGGGGCATATGCGACCAGCTGCCATTATTCCCATTACCACTGTTCCTCAGAACACCTCAGGGAAAACAGATCGAAATGCTGTCGATAAAATCCCTATTCCGCATATTGCAGTTGAAGCAATTGATAATGAATCTCTCACTACCTTTGAGCAAAGTTTACGCCAGCTCTGGCTACAGGCACTACCGCAGGAAGTCGCTAGCTATCATGCAATTGAGTCTCAATCTGACTTTTTCCACGTCGGCGGGACTTCGCTTGCCCTCGTCAATTTACAAGCACTAATCAAAGAAAACCTTGGTGCTTCTCTGGCCTTGTATCAACTTTTTGAAGCAAGCACCTTACATGGAATGGCTACCAAAATCCAAAACTTTTCTCGCCCTGCGCTTCAACTGGATGTGGATTGGGATGCAGAAGTCGCAGTGGAGTCTGATTTAAGGCCATCTCCGGATCACATTGGTGCGCACATTATTCCCTCCGGTGTCAGAGTTGTGGCGCTTACCGGCGCAACTGGATTTCTTGGCAAAGAAATTCTTCGAGGGCTGTTGAACGACGAGAGAATTCTTACGGTTCATTGCCTCGCTGTCAGGAAACGGTCCACAGAGCTCCACGAACTGTTCTCCCACCCGAAAGTCCGTTTACATCACGGTGATCTTGGGGCCCCGCGTTTGGGACTCTCGGAGTCTGACGTCGGCTCTATATTCTCTTGTGCTGATATTGTTATTCATAATGGAGCAGATGTGTCATTCATGAAGACATATCAGACGCTTAAACTGATCAATGTGGCATCGACAAAGGAGCTCGTCAAACTCGCTTTGCCTCGGCGGATTCCCTTCCATTTTGTTTCCACTGCTGGTGTTGCGCGCCTTGCAGGCCAAGAGAGTTTTGGAGAGACTTCTGTTGCACTCTTTCCTCCTCCCTCCCCACCAACGGATGGCTATATTGCAGCGAAGTGGGTAAGCGAGGTCTATTTGGAGCGCGTCAACCGTCAATTTTCTCTTCCCGTATGGATTCACCGTCCATCCAGCATTACCGGCGACGGTGCACCAGAGCTTGACTTGATGGGCAATGTCATGCAATACATCCAGGAAACCCATAAACTTCCAGATTTCAACCTATGGTCTGGGGTCTTCGATCTCATATCTGTCCAGTCGGCCGCAAGCCAGCTTCTGAAGGCCGTTCACCAATCCGGTATGTCTACATCAATGACAAATACGGTGACATATCTCTATGAGTCCGGCGAGACCACAATTGGTCGTGACGAGATTATGCCCCTTCTCTCTGGCACAGGGCAAGAATTCCAGATAGTTGCTATCGATGAGTGGGTCCGTTCCGCTGAAGAAGCCGGAATGAGTCCTCTACTAGGAGAGTATCTGCGCAGGGCTTCAGATGGGCAAGTTCTGCTTCCCAGGTTGGTGAAAAGCATTAGGGCTGCCGGATATGAATGAGAGTGGCAATCGGCATAGTCAATGATACCGCCTATTTAGCAAAATCAGATATGGATAATCATTTCGTTGCTAGACACAACTTCTTCGCCGTTTTGACCAAATACCTAACTACCTACGCTTCCCAACTCTTGTCATTCATAACCGGCGATTCGACATCTAAGAGTCTCCCATTTCGGCTCGTAAACCTATATTGAAAAGCATGGCTAAGTAATACAGTATGACACTACAGCAATAGCTTCTTCTGGTGACTTCAACGCCTTCTTCATTCAAATCCCATATAATTCTAATTGACAGCCATAAAGAACCATTCAGCGGTACATTCCATCAACTTTTTCTTCTCCAACCACAAAGCCTTGAAAATGGGCAAAACTTCAATCCAAAATCGAATATTCAAATATAGGTAATATGCAGTCAGCCTTGCTCATCCGAACATGTCATGTTTCATTTCAGTGGCCGGACCGGGAACCCTAGTGCTTTTGCTGATACTAGCGTTCCTAGTCTGTTGTTCCCAAATTTCGAACGTTGCATTCATCCAAGAGGAAAAGTATTAATATCTTCGGAGCTACTTCAACTTCCATCTCCCAGATCATATACGCTCTCATAAAGATGTGGTGGTATGTATACTGAAAGGTAAAGAATCTCTAGTTGAGGACAGCATGTTTGACAAACAAGAAAGTGCCAACTGGTACGGAGTACTTGCAACACAATATCACTTATTTAAACTCCTAACTTCCACACAGGTCATTTACTCGAAATTTTTCTTTGCTTTCAAATCGAACGCCCCTCTTTTTTCGCTTTGAAACATGTCCCTGCTGTGATGTCGACTTTGACTAGAGTAGTCGATTTTGGTTTCGTCGGAAACATTGCACTGCACAGACTCGGCGCACAACCGGTTCCTTTTTTATATTTTATTTTTTTCATCTCACCGAAGGCATTGTCAACTAGAGCTCATATATTAGGCACACCCATATTTGGCTAAAACTTGAGACTTCATCAATCGGTATCTGAACTCAAACTTTTGTTAACAAGCCATTTTATTCACCTCACAATATGGCCTCCCAAAACGATATCCCCTCGAGCCAGACCGCTATCATTCAGCACAAAGGTGGTATTCTCCGAATAACTCATGACCTGCCGATCCACGAACTTGAGCCGCATCAAATTTTGGTGAAAACCGCATCTGTGGCCCTCAATCCATGTGACTTTAAGATGCCTTTGAGATTTCCAACCCCTGGTCTCTGGGATGGATGTGATTTCTCGGGCACGGTCGTTGCACTGGGCAGCAAGGCGGTTGAAGAAGGCCGGCTGCGCGTTGGAGATCTCGTGTTCGGTGCTGTTCAAGGCTCGAACCGGTTGCACCCGACATCTGGGGCCTATTGCGAGTACATTCGGACCGAACCAGATTACACTTTTCAAATTCCTAAGGGAATTGCTTTAAAAGATGCACCCGCTCTTTCTGGCACTGCCATTGCAACTCTGGGGGTTGCACTCTTTTGGTCGCTTCAATTGCCCGGTACCTTTGAATCCCCGGCAGTCAAATCCGAGGACGTTCTTGTGTACGGAGGAAGCAGTACTGTGGGACTTCTAGCAATTCAGATGGTGAAACTGTGAGTTCTCTTCTTCTTGATGACTCTGCTGGTAACTTGTATTGACGTGTGGGCGCTTAGATGTGGCCACCGGGTGATCACCACTTGCTCGCCTCACAATTTTGACTTGGTGAAATCCTATGGAGCAGATCTGGTATTCGATTACAATTCTCCATCTTGCGCTGAAGACATTCGAGCGGCCACAAAAAACAGGTTGCGTTTTGTTCTGGATCCCTTTGCAGAGGCAAAGCCCCTGCGATTATGCCACGCAGCTATAGGTCGTACGGGAGGACGCTATTGTGCTCTGGAGCAATACCAGGAGAGCCTTTGCGCACGGAAAACAGTCAAACATGAACTTGTGATGGGAGGAGTCATTAGTGGAGAAGGTGTCGACCTCCCAGAACCCTATGGTATCCCACCTCGACCTGAGATTGGAGCTTGGGCTCGAGAATGGTATAAAAAGGTTCAAGAATTGATAAACGATGGACGACTGAAGCCATGCCCAATTCAGGTTCTCTCCGGTGGGTTCGAGGGGGGTTTTAGAGGGGTTGGAATTGCTGCGAAATGGAAAGGTTTCGGGGAAAAAGCTCGTTGTGCCAATAGTCAAAACCTAAGCGGAGCAACTCACCTTTTCTTTTGATGTGCGCCTTGCAGTGTCTAGTTAGGTCTTCTAGTGCGATGAATCATGGGTCGTTTTCAGGTTCACTCTAGCGAGAAAATAACTACGAATTCGAATTTTCAGCTAGAATTATGCTCCCGCTATCAAATATTAGAATGCTTTTCTCTAAATCAACCCAAAGATTGCCTGTTGTGTGATTAATATCTTCAATTGGGGCTATGAAGCTCAATGTTGTGGGGAAGTCAATCTGGTAGTAATCTTGGCCTTTAGTTTAGCATGACTTTGAAGGATTCCTCTACTTGTTGGAAGTTTCAAGCAACATTGAAATAGAATTCCATCTGCTCAATCTAATCCACAAACAAGACACGCGCACATTCTTGCAATCTCTAGGCACAGCTGTGGGCTAACATCCACTTAAACCGTCATAGACCATCTTCCCGATGACTTTCTTCTCATCTTTGACTGTACTAACATTTCTAGTGAAATATTTCTTTCCGTCAATGTTCTCAAATCCCCAAATCACTTCCGCTTCCCACCCTTTTGAGGTATTTTGGGCCAGTTCTTGGATTGCCATGTTGCCGCAGCTGGTCGCGCGAAATGTTTGCCGAATTGAATCATCCTGGATCTCAGATAGATCTATGAACTTCATTTGAGTGCGAATATCTCCGAAGATAGGCAATGATAGTTCCTGGGTACTTCCATCAACAGTGAAGTATCCTTCGCTGTCAAAACCGCCAGGGTTGACAATTTGCTTTAAACGGAGATTTGTGACCGGTTTGATGGCCTCGTCCAATGCGACCTTTCCGTTGGAGCCTTCCTCGCGGTCGAGGCCATCTGCTAGGGGTGTCGAGGTAGTCTGACTAATTTCCAGCGAAAGTCGGGCATGTCGCAAGGCTTTTCGTATGAACCAAGGCACGCCTTGCTACAATTAGTTAGTCAAGATGCGCTTTTTTTCTGGTGCTTTCCTACCAAAGTGAAGATTTCTTCCGGATCGGTTGATAGTTTTCGATTCTAGTCGTAATGTCACTACTAGCTTCCAAATGGTCAAATACAAGAAATGCATACTAGTTCCCATATTCCAGTGAGATCAGGAACACCAATTCGATCAGCCGTAGTCATCTTGAGAAAAAACAACCAAAAGAACAGCAGGGGAATTGAACAAACTTGAGTGTTGAGATCGATGTTCAAGATAAATTTCGGTGGGAATATGCCTTCTTTTGAGGGCAAACTCAGAAAGTCAGGCTGTAATAGTAACTTTAGTGATTAGCCATTTGTTTCAGTCCCACTCGGATTCGGTGTCGGAATACTCAGGGGTCATCAAGGTCTATAGCTGGATGTTTCAGTCTGTATCTCAATATGCGTGTACAAATTTAAAACCAGAAGATTGAGAAGAAAACGTACAATCTAGCCAGTGCTATTAATTCATCCAGGCGAATTTCTGAATCACGAGCGTCAGGTAATCAAATTTTTCGTGGCAGAAGAAAGCACCCTACTCTCCCAAACATCGGTCCAGATATCTCAATTGATGGAGGAAGAACGAAACTTCGAGCTATGAGGCACTCCTATTGTGTCATTTCTCCTCATCCATACTGACCTAGAACTTTCGCCATCTTTGATATTGATATATATGGGACCACAATGCAGAGAAGGTAAATATGAATCAATGATTTTAGGGATCCAAATAGAGCCTGGTATCAAGTAATGACTGTATCCCCAACGAGCTGCCGCAAGCACTTCATTATCTCCATCAAAGACATTTCACAAGGATCTTGCTCCTGCGCAAGTACAAAATCCCTCAGAGATACGGACCAATCGTTCTCGCGGAATGTTTCAAGTGAGCTTGGCTCTCCGTCAACTTCGGGTCGGTTGGAACTTGATCGTAATCCCAGTGCTCTGTCAATTCTCCACATCATTTTAGAGGCAATTTCGACAAGCACTTTGACCTGTCCCGTAAATTTCGTATCAAAACGATGCTCTCCGTATTGAAATTTAGGTAACAGTAGAAATGTAGCTGCGTCGGCTGGGGGAATTATGAGAAGTAATTGATACAAACGGGTGAAAACAGCACGATAGATGCGTGATAGGTAGCAATGCGCCTCCAGAACACTGAGCCACATGGTGATGTCGTATTTTGGAGATGTGGTCGTTGTCATGCGATCAGGAGAGGCTATTGTGGTCTGGTAGCCAGAATCAAGGGATGACATTGTGGTCACACTTTCATCTAACCCACTGTCACCAGCATCGGAATGATGAATGAATGGATCTTCAGAACTCGGATTCTGGAACTGAGGGGGTTTGGTAGAAGGTGTTAGATTAGGATCTTCGTCTGTTGCACCAGTCGTGCCACACAATGACTGAACAATATCTAAAAGCGAAGAAGAATGTTCAAGCAGACGAGATATGGGGAGGTTCAGTGTTTCAATAGAAGCGCTAAAATGATCATGCGCAAATAATGAAGGTGCAATGACGTTAGACCCGTTCCCCAGCAAGTCTAAATCTTCGAGAAGTCCATCCTTTAACCTCAAGAGACGTTTGCGGACATCCTGCTGTGAAGGGGGATTTTCTTTTTGAATTGGCGAGGGAATCGGTCCCTCACTAATTGCAAGATCTTGATAATTTGCCCAGTCAAAGTGTGACACATTTCTCGATCCCACAGATGATTCTAGGCCTGTATAATCAGGACACTGGCGTTGATGGGGTGTTTTGATTGCCACATTGGGGTCGCTCTTAGTTTCCAATAAATTGTCACTGTATAACTTGGAAGAGCTCGTGTTTTGCTCGGTTGGAATATACTCAGAATAAACCTGAACAGGCGTTCTGTTAGTAATTGACAGCCAGAACTACCCTTTTGTATGAACTTACGGGGCTGTGAGCACCAGTAGGCCAGTAATGATGGTTTTCCCATAATTCCGAAGGAACAGGACCATTCGCAAAGTGAAGGGACATGTCGAATGAATTGTCCTCTGGTTGAGTCAAGAGTTTGTCTTCCGGAAGAAGCGGCAATGTCGCAGACTCTCCCCAGCAGCCGTGCACGTATCTCCCCATGATTGTAGAAGGTGGATGAAATGACTTTTTCACTTTTGAGCCGAACGATTTGTGAAGAAGAGACATTGGATCACGATTTTCATTGAATCCAGAACCCTGGTGATGACGAGTAAGAATGTTGTAGTCCTGATTTGAAGGCAAAATAGCCGCTGTCGGTTGGTTGATACTTGTAATGCACATTTCTTGTGCCTTCAAACAACGCTCACAAGACATTCCATTCATGTGGGCACGCTCACACCGTAACTTTTGACCACGGCAACGATCACAGGCTGATCTCCTAGAATGCCGATAATTGTGACCTGAATGCATTATAATAACGAAGAAATGTGTTTGGTGAGGTGACGCAGATATGCCAGGAACGTGATACTTTGAGGCGAAAAATCCAACAGTGAGACTCTTCGTGAACCCCGTGGGTACAATGATTGACTTTTATCGGTATTTTCCTACATAGCACATCAAAACAGACTTCAAGTTGGAGGTACAGTAGTTTTAGTTACAACAAGAGCACAGGCAAATAGCTGGGAAAGCGCGTGGACGGGTGTCACGACATCTGTAACATGCTATAGCTTAATCATACATGGTAATTCCCTGGACGTTTTCAGTCTTGTGTGTATGATTCCAAATATCAATGGTTCATCAATCATGGCAAAGGAATCTTCTCACCGCATGTGTATGACATGTATGACATACGGCCATGCAGACGAAAGTTCAAGGCATGTTTCTATGGTATCCATTATCCAAGATCCGAGCCCCAAAGCCCTGGCACAAGGCGCATTGAAACTTGTGGAAGCTGTAGCACAGGAGCAAAAGTTCACGAAATATCCAAGGGCATGTCTGCAGTGATACCATATGGCAGAAATGCTGTCTCACATCACAGACCAGAGCTTCGGTGTCTGACCTTTTTTAGGGGTTTATTACACGTACCTCTGATGATTCATATCTACAACTCAGAAAACTCCAATAGAACCGTCACGGGCTATCAGAACATTCCAATGTCCTTGTTTTGATCCTGCCTATAGCAGGCAACTAAGTCTGTCCTTTGTGCAGGCAAAATTAATTGGTCGACTAGAAGTTTAACCAAGCCAGAGGAGAGTCGAGAATAATAAGGCAACGCCACTAACCCCTTAAGATCTATCGTTATGCAGAAATCTCGATAAGCCTCCTGAAAACCCCCGGTCATCTAGATTTGGGACTGTAAAAGCAAACGTTCGCCCCTAGACCAAATCAAATATTCGGGGAATTAATTCTGCCAAGGCGCCAGCTGAGAATTTTCCGGCTTGATGGGTCTGGGAAAGCCCTCATGCTTTCTTTTTTTGTTTATCCTTGCTACATGATCGGTTTCGCCTGCCTCATCCAATGATACAACCACTATTTGATTCTCGACTACAGACTATGGATAATCGAGGCAAGGGGGCTCGAGCCCGACTTTGCCGCCCTGGCTAGTGCTCCGTTTGATTTAGAACTCTATACCACTCGAACACCTCATGGATTGGTGTATGACAACTCAAGGGCAGACGCTTTCAACAAAGTGTTCACTAGAAGTGCTATGGGCTCCTTTGGCGATATTTGAAGGCCTAATCCGTACTAATAACATTATAATGGGTATTTGCACACAGGCTAGGAAGCGCGCCTGCCCCGATTTGGGTCTACATCATCTACCCGTCTATAAATGTAGGCAAAATCTGTACAAGTATAGCGCGCAGAACAACCAGTTTGAAGCTCTCGAGTTTCCAATATTTCACCATGCGCTGAAATCCTTGAAAAACAGGTTTCAAATAAAAGAACTATTCACTTGCCCCGCCCCGGATGTCCATTCCACTTCTTAATCATAACACGGACGCCTTGGCTTCCCTTTTTGGGGTGGCCATTGAACATGTCTCGCGCGATCCGCACATCATCAACCGTGGTTTCGTATAATTCCATTTCGAATTCTCGAAAGATTGTAGCAATAGCCAAGAGGATCTCTGCTCGCGCGAGGCTAAAACTTGGTGTTAGTATCATAGGACAAATTGAAACAACAATTGACATTACTTACGGGATGCCAATACATTGTCTCGACCCTTTGCTAAAAGCAACAAGATATTTCTCGAGAACTTTCCGCTTCTCTGGATTCATCCATCGTTCCGGAATGAACTTTTCCGCGTCGGGAAAAATGTTTTCATTATGATGCATGAACATACTTGTCATTCCCACTGGTGTCTTAAGTTAGATTGTCAGTAAATTATAGCAAGTCATAAACTGATATTAATGGGGATGTTTACCCCAGGGGGAATTGCCCAGTCCTTGTACATCATAATCTGATCTGGAGAGCTACGCTGAAGTCTTGTGGCAATAGCGTTGGTGAGTCTGAACAAATCTCAAATCAATAAGACGTAATGGCACCAAAGAAATGATAAAGAATATCAATTTGATTTCGTACCTAAGACCCTCAAGCATAACAGATGTCTGGGACATTGTCAGATATGGTGGTCTCTTTTAGACGAGTGGACTGACAGTTTAAACTCACGAGATAAGGCATTGACTCGTATTCCACCAAAGTCGCCGTTCCATTGGGGTCTAGCTGGGCCAATTCATCCCGCAGCCGATGCAGCTTGTCCGGGTTGCTCAAGAGGTGGAAGGTCAGCGTTGTCAAGTTCTTTGCGGTTGTTTCTCCTCCTGCTGCAATAACAGTGAAAACTTCTTGGCTCAAGCGGCCAGGTACCTTCTCCTCCTCGGGAAGTCTGCTGTCCAACAATGCATGGAATAAAGTTCCCTTTGGCAAACTTAACTTCTCGTGGGTCAAGCTTCTTCCAGGGGTTTCACTATCAATGATCAAATTCGCAAGTCGTAAACTTTCCACTTTTTGGTCGATTACCGGGCCAATATCAGGGTTGATGAGTACAACGGCCCATCTTGGAAGCAGCTCGAATAAGCCAATAATCCAGCGAAATTGTTTGAATTGAACGCCGACTTGCACAATAGCTTCGATTGTTTTTGACCATTGCGGGGTGAATTCTGGGTCATCTAGATAGTGAAATGATTCGCCCATTGAGTACTCCACTACAACGTCGGTTGTGTAGGCATTGAAAGCATGGTACATATGGAGTGGGGTATTTCTTTCCTTCCAAGTTCGGATTCCTGAGCAGAGCTTCATAACCATTGCTCGTAACATTGGTTCTAGCTTTCGAATTCGCTGTTGTGAAAAGAATGGGTTCATGGGCTGACGGCGTATTCGGTGACGGCGGTGGTCGACTGACCCAAAGGCTGAGGCCGGTGCCCCGAACATACCAGTCAAATGTAAAGATTTATTGCGTGGTTTATCGCGAGAATAAAGAACATCATAATACTCCGGGTCGTCAATGTGCAGCTCAAACGGACTGATTCTAACAATTGGGCCATATTTTCGATGCATTTCAGCAATTTGAAAAGTATATTGGCCTTCGAGGAAAGAATCATAGTAGAACTCGTACCACATGGTCAGGGCAGCCAGCTTCGGGCCGGGAAATTGAGCGAGTGGTGAAATCCATAACCGATATATTGCTAGCCAGGCTCCATACGTCACGCCAATCACGCTCAAAGCGAAGATACATTGTGCGGCAACAGGATGCCACCACCCCATAATCGGCAAGTTTTTGGAAGGATTGAAAGTCGCTGCGTTGTAGCTACAGTATTGTAAACAGATGCAAAACCTTCTGGTCCAAGGTTCGGGGTTTCTTTCTAATTTGTACGTGCTTGGTCTGTGACCCCATGCCCGTCAAAAAAACTTGGCATTATGCCATTAGGCATAATGAATACACAGCACTGATTGGGCCCATTTTGTCGGTACAATCCTATTTCATGTCTCCAGCGATCATATAGATATGGAAAGAGGATGTGAGAACCTCTGGGGCACCATGCATTAGCGATATTTCTGTAACCTATCGCGGCACATCCGTGACAGCAAAAGTGGCTATGATACGGACGCTAGTTTGACTACGGGTGTGAACAGTGTGTCGATAAGTTGAAGATCGTCTGAACTTGTCCATAGAAGCGGCCTGGACTAACGACTGAAATCTTGTTCAAGGGCACGGGGCCTCAGTGGAACCTTCGACTCCGTCCCATCCCTATCCCGCGCGGACAAAGCGTTGATACTCAGCTTGACAATGGGAAGGGGTGGAACGAGTTAGCTCATAAAATAGGCGGATGGTCTTGCTTTTCTTTATTCATTGTACAATTTCCCTTTTACTCTTGAGCACTCAGGGCTATGTGGGGAAACTTTTCAGTGGGTTGTTCATCAAGTTAGGGCGGATGTTCGTTCTCGTTTAGGAATGGTAGACCTGTCAAAATACCCACAACACAACGCCATCCATGGATTCTTCACGAAGAATCTTGAATCACGAAACTCTGAAACTCTTTTCGGATATGATTCGACAATATGGTTTACCGACGCTTCATAGTGGGATAGACTAGCGTCCATTTACCAGGGTCATGGGATGGTTATAGATGAGAAATTATTTAATCGTTATTTTGGCCCGTAAATAGCAATCCTTCCAAAAGAAAAATTGTGCACTTTGGGTAGTAAATGAGGACGAACTGCCGATCGTGTACTACAGTAAATATTACAAGGCAAAAGGCAAAAGGCAAAAGGAGGCGGGAGACAAAAAAGGGAAAAAAGCAAAAGAAAACAACAAGAAGCAAATCATAAGGTTTCGAATGAGTACTACCTACCTAGGTATGACCGACCTCGGGAGGTAAAAGAAAGTACTTTATCAAATTGCTTGGGGTCGAGATGGGCGAGACTGACTTAGATTTCTACTTTCGTACATGTACTGTACCTTTAGGATCTTTCATCTGAGGTCATTCAATCATATATGACTATGTATTATTTATCCAACATGCTGATATATATAGGATATCATATCATTATTATCCGTATCTTGGATGCATCCACCCGTCACTATATATGTATGCATTGTAGCTTGATATTCCCACGTGTTTCCGACATGCTGGATCTTGGAGTTTTGTATTCTGCAGGGCTCTATCACGGCTCTATCACACTGCAGGGTGGGGCAGCCATGAGGGTTTTTCGCCAGACCTTCTGAAAAAAGCTGAATAGGTCAGCTTCAGTGATTTATCGGATCATGTCTCTTCCTTCCACCATTGAACCTTTGACGCTAAAATATGCCTGGTTTCTTTGTCGCGATCGGTCGGTGGCTTCATCGAACGACCTAGATGTTTCGACCAGGCTGGTACAGTCATTGGCGTTTATTTGTCATATAAAAAAAACTTTATCTCTGACCAATTTTCGGATTTCGAGACTGCGAGCATCCACATTTGATTAGAAGCACCGAGTGAAACCAAAGCGCACACTAGTTTCCGCATTGTGTACTTACTGGGTACAATTGCTTTCCGGGCTTACCGTACCTTTGTGACTGACTTTGTTGTTCGTTTCTTGAAAGCCAACATAAAATCACTTCATTATTCTTGGAGTATTAGTATGTCTTAGTATGTCAGCCTGGATTCAGTCGCTCTCTTGACTTCACCACTAGTTAAACAAAAGCGATCATAGCGGATGTGACGTAAGAAAAAAGGCCGACACACATGTCAACTCTCACCTCTACATCCATTTGCAATGCAGAATATTTGTATTTAACTTATTTGGAGCCAACTTGGCACTTGTAATTATATAGTTTCGGGTGAGAAGCTCATTCACAGAATTGAGATGCGTAGTCGCCGAGGTCCAAATGCGGGGAAGCATTGTGTTTCCAGAGTACTAGTATACATACTCAAATATGAACTTCTTGAATTTCATCTTTGACTTCCTGCTATTTATACCTCATCATGAATTTTGACTTACCAGCAGACCTTACCTCTTACATTGAGTCGATAGATTCCTTCATCCACTCGACCATTCTTCCGTTACAGCACTCCAAAAGAAATAACCGCTTCTTCGATCATCGTCGCGAGTATGAACGAACTGACTGGGAAAACCATGGAAATCCACGACAAGAATGGGAGGAACTATTAGGTTAATTCAGTTGAAAAAGAGAAATGGTCTAACCACGCAGACTAATTTTCGTGACAGGCAAAGCACGCACCCTAGCGGATGATGCTGGCTTCTACCGATTTGCGCTCCCTGATGTCTACGGGGGCCAGTCACATCCAAACACAAATTTGTGGATGTCGGCCATTCGCTATCACTTGTCCTCACATCCGGTCTATGGTGGAGGTTTGGGGCTTGCCAATGATTTACAAAATGAACATAGTATCGTTGGGAATTTCCCCGATATTCTCATGCTTCACCATTTCGGCAACCCAGAGCAAAAGCAGACATTCATTAATGCACGTCTGCGGGGGGAGTTTCGGACGACATTTGGTCTTACTGAGCCCGACCACGGAAGTGACGCAACATTCATGTCTACTACAGCATGCCGAAGTCGCGAAGGGTTTCAAATCACCGGGGCGAAAAAGTGGCAAACAGGGGCGCATCATTGTACACATTTTTTGATTTTTGCGCGCACTTCTGGTCGAAACGGTTCGACACGAGGTATCACTGCCTTTTTGGTCCCTCGTGAGACACGAGGAGTTCGCATAGTCAGTTATGAATGGACACTGAACATGCCGACCGACCACGCAACAGTGGAACTTGACAGCGTGTGGGTGCCCGAATCGGCGGTTTTAGGATCCATCGACCAAGGACTCGCCATCGCGCAGACATTTGTACATGAAAATAGAATTCGTCAAGCGGCTAGCTCTTGCGGGGCCGCACGATATTGCCTCGACCGCAGCATTGAACGCGCCCGGTCGCGAAAGATATGGGGTGAGGGAAAGACATTGGCCGATAATCAGGCTATTCAATTCCCGGTAGTCGAGTTGATGACACAGGTGGAGATGTTGCGACTTTTCATCCTGAAGACAAGTTGGGAGATGGATCGGATTGTGGCCGAGTGCCAGGTTTCAGGTCAACCGCCGTGGGTTGCAATCGAACGACAGCTGACCGACCAGGTAGCCATGTGTAACTTTTGGGCGAATCGGTTATGTTGCCAAGCGGCCGATCGAGCAATCCAGGTAGGGGCCTTTAATGCATGTAGGAGACGCGACTAACTGATCGTCAGATTCACGGGGGCGATGGATACTCTCGCCACTATCCCTTTGAGCACATATATCGTCATTTTCGTCGGTATCGAATCACAGAGGGAGCAGAGGAGATCCAAATGCGTAAGATAGGGGCGTACATATTTGGATTTGCAGGTCCAAATAAGAAAGATGTCGATTTTGCTGTGGATTCCAAGGCAAAGATTTGATGATTTGCTCTAGCGATGAGCTGGCTGGCTGGCTCTGGAGGAAATACGTCGTACTCCGTACGCGTCAAGTAAAATCAAAGCTAAAATGAAGTTGTGCTAGAATATGAAACAGGCCCGTTTCAGAAGAGCATGCCTGGATTTTACACGTACCTACTCTACGTCGCGTAATCAAGAATTGGACGATTCTAAGAACGCTGTAGCCGTCCTGCCTAATATTTCAGGCATCAATATACTCACTGTGGAATAGTTGTATCGACCAATTACAATACCAGAGCATTGCTCACATAAGCAAAAATACGGGTTTTCGGGGTTGCGCTGCACCCTGAAGGCTCAGGCGGGACCCCCGATCTGCTATCTGGGAATAGTTCACTAACTTGTCCCTTCTCGAGTTATTATTCTCTTTTTCATACGCTTCCCCTTCTATATTTCAAGGTTGTCCTTATATCAATGTTTGCTACATATTGATATACTATTCTATATATTAATGCCAGTAAACAATCTCATTTGAACAATATATCCCTGAAGACACCTTTAATCCCTTAAGTACGGAGTAGGCCCACTGTTAATAATCCGTTCTGCCAACGTTAAGCTTAAGTGTGTGTCTAAAGTGGTTAAACATGGACAATCCAACCAAAGATTTCTAGTTATAAAACTACATTAGTTAACTACCTACCTACATGGTTAGGTACTACCACTAACAAAATATCTATTGATCTGTGCCGAATATCGCCACTTTCATCTTGTCTTTCCGGATCATTCGATTTTTTACCTAAGAAGAATTTTTCTCCACGTCTTTCTCGGAACCCCACCGAAAATTCAAGCGAAAACGGAAAATTGGAGAGCTCTTCTCTGTTTCAAAAAAAAAAGCTGCGAGAAACAGAATTTTTGACAATTCAACTATCAACGTCAAAATAAGCAAAACAATCACCTTGGAATGTTACATTAGATGTGCCTTGGGTGAATACAGGTCATAGTGTTTTATTTTTGATATTCCCACCTGGGCACCACAGTGGTTCGATATGCCTTCACAGAATGATAACACCCCGGTATACGCCGGAATACAGAAGACACGGTCTGGAAACCCTACTTCTGGGGACTCGAAGAATGTTTTTCAAGACACAAAGCAGTCTGACGCTGAGCAAAGTTACCCCGATGCATCTAATCCCGGGGAACTGAAGCGCAAGCTCAAAAGCAGACATCTACAAATGATTGCAATTGGTATGTGATATCTTGTTTTCCATTTTCCAATCAAATTATCATTTCTGTTTGCTAACCTATGTCTTTTGTTTAGGTGGAACTATTGGCACAGGTATACCTTCTTCAAGCCTTAGGCTAAGCAAATATGGAAATCTAACTCCATCTTAGGGCTGTTCATCTCTAGCGGTACCGCAATCGCAGAAGCTGGCCCAGCTGGAGCATTGATCGCATATCTCTTCGTCGGATCCATCGTTTATTCCGTTATGAGCTCTCTAGGCGAGGTCGCAACCTACATCCCCATAGCCGGCGCCTTCACATCCTACGCAGCTCGCCTGATCGATCCTAGTCTTGGTTTTTCTATGGGTTGGATCTACTGGTTTAACTGGGCCTCCACATTTGGTGTTGAATTGACTGCCACTGGAACAATTATTCAATACTGGGACCCAAGCCTCAATATCGCTATCTTCATCGGAGTCTTTTGGGTCTTCATTACGGCATTGAACTTTCTTCCCGTCAATTTCTACGGCGAGTTGGAGTTCTGGTTCTCCACCATCAAAGTCGCCACTGTGATTGGATTTATGATCTTCGCCATTTGCATCGACGTCGGAGTGGGAGAGCAGGGTTATCTCGGCTTCAAGTATTGGAACACGCCTGGAGCTTTTGCGACATATCTTGTTGAGAAGCCGGAATCCATCGGCAAGTTTGTCGGGTTCTGGGCCGTTCTTATTCAAGCTGGTTTCTCCTACCAAGGCACAGAGCTAGTTGGTGTGGCCGCTGGAGAGACCGAAAACCCACAGAAGACTGTTCCCTCGGCCATTCGCAAGACATTTGTTCGAATCCTTCTCTTCTTCGTTTTGACCATGTTCTTCATCGGACTTGTCGTTCCCTACGATAACCCCCGGCTTGCCACGACGACAACCAACGCCTCATCTTCTCCAATGGTTATTGCAGCCGATCTGGCAGGAGTCAAAGTTCTACCAAGCTTGATTAATGCGGTGCTTTTGACCGTGGTTTTGTCGGCCGCCAACTCCAACGTGTATAGTGGTAGTCGAGTCCTGACTGGATTGGCACATGAAGGCTTTGCTCCGGCCTGTTTCGGATGGGTGACAAAGCATGGTGTTCCATACGTCAGCGTGATTTTCACCGCACTGTTTGGTCTGTTGGGATTCATGAATGTCTCCAACGACGCAGGACAGGTCTTCAATTGGCTTGTGAATCTTTCCAGTGTTGCCGGGTTCGTCACCTGGGCTTCAATTAACGCATGCCATATCGCATTTATGCGCGCGTTGAAAACTCGTGCGATCTCTCGCGATACTCTCCCTTACAAGGCCATATTGCAACCGTATTTGGCTTGGTACGGACTCTTCTTCAACGTTCTCATCGCTCTTACCCAGGGCTTCACTGCTTTTATCCCACATTTCCGAGTGTCAGACTTTTTTGTCGCTTATATCTGCATCATTGTCTTCGCAGTGCTTTATTTCGGACACAAGGCGTACTACCGTACGTCATTTGTTTCTGCTGCCGAAGCTGATCTCGATACTGGTCGTTTGCACTACGAGAAGGAAACCGGTCCTCCTAAGCCATGGTACTGGAGAGTCTGGGGCTGGATCACAAAGTAAATATACACATCTTCAAGTGTTCGCGGTAAATACTGTACTGCTCGTTATTAGCGCAAAGCATGGTTGCATGGTCATTCAGGGAGCATCATGTATATAGCATTTCTTTCTGTGATATCAACGAGATCGATCTCATTTTTCATGCACTGGTTTAGTTTTGGTCGCAAGTAAACAGATAAAAAAACATAATTATAAGGGTCTTATCCCCAGCATTATATCCACTTGAAATGCCGCGCCACCACACATATTCCACCCATCAAAGCGGTTGCGCCCGTGCAAATCACAAGTGAGCCATAGCCACTTCCATACGCACCCGCCGCACGTCCTTTCCAGGGGTCCACCTTGAGCAATGCTTCACTCAAAGGCCCACTGACCACATTGCCGATTCCCCGACCTGTTTCCATGAATGGGAAGATAACAGTTGCATCTGCGAGGGGATTGGCCTTTTGAACCTCGTTAGAGACTCCAGCCCATGTAGAAGAAAACCCACCCGCCAAAAGACCATACGCAACACAGAAAATGTAAAGAGGCGGAATGGAAGTGGCAAATCCCCACACAAAGAATACGGTAAGAACAGTGCCAATGGTGGACATCAAAATACAGGTTGTGATATGATACCGGTCAGAGAGGAATCCCATGAGGACGGACCCGAACACTGTGGTTAAGTTGACCAAAGTAACCGTCAAGGATGCCATAAAATCATTGGCACCTAGACTGCGTGCATATGTCGGAAGATATATAGTGGGTAGGAAAAAGCCAATTGCTTCCAATGTGTTTCCGAGCTGATAGATGACGAAAACTTTATCGTATAGAAACCGAAAGTTGAGCCTGTGGTACGCGATCTCTGTCGTCTGCAAGCGAGGTCGGTGGAAGTAAAGAAACGGTACGGCGAGGATGAACAATGTCACCGACGAGATTCGGAGTGTTGCTTCAATGCCATACTGCCCTAGAAGCCATTGGATAGCCAAGGGAAAGATGATGCCTGATATACCGGACCCGGCCTAAGTCAAAAATTAGTTGTTGCTCAAGCAATTCATGTGCCTTTGCAACATATTTCCATCACTCACCCAGACGACTCCAAAAGCAAGACCTTTCCGTTTAGCAAACCACTCTGACATGAAGAGAATGGTCGGTGTATATGCCAAGCATCCACCGACGCCAAATCCAATTCCCTGGGACAACAGAAGGTGAGTGACGTTGGAGGAAAAGGAGCTCATTGCTAGAGAGAAGCACATGATGACCACTCCAATTGTCGACACCCAACGGGCAACCTTGGGAACTAAGATCATCAAAATGATAGCTAGTGGGGCTAGAAGATATGCGATGCCCTGTATCGCGTTTAACAAAAGAAAAAAGATTAGCTAGATCTGAGGTCATGGAGACTCACCATCGCACAAGTTCCAATACTAGCAATGTTTCCCGATCCTTTGAATGGCTCGTGCGTGCTATAGTAGTCTTCAAATATACCAAACGCAAATGCATAACCTAGTCTGGGTCAATTTCAAGCCAACAATAAAATAAGATTATCAATGGTCACGCACCCCAAACTAGAGCCTCAAGCATCGAAGAAGCTATGAGAAACAGCCATGCTTGAGCACCTCCGTCAACTGGAGGTAACTTCTTCTCGTCTAGGATGATTCTGCTGTCGGATTGTTGATCGGAGGGGACGAAAGACGTGCTTCGGCTAGTGAGGCTAGGAGGATACTCATTGTGTTCCATCGTGCGAGATTGTGTAACTCTATGTCGATGAGTTGTTTATTGGGTTCTGTGATATAGAGAACATGTGCATGAAAAACATGGGACAAGCTTCCTTTCAAAGACTTTATTCCCGAGGCGGCGTTTTGCAGAGAGGGTCAGGATCAGCACAGGAGAATAAAATAAACTAATGGAAGCTAGCTGCATGACGAAATAAATTCTCCTTGGGGGCAATCTGCCAATGGGCGTGTTAGAAGTTAGTGCAGAAGCACATACCTGGAATCCAGGTGGACTTGTGTCTCAGTAATGTGATGCCAAATCCCTAGATGTGCTGATTGGGACAACCCAAAGTCACTTCATTTACTTGTGGCCTGGCCAAAATTGCCGATTTTCAGTCAATTTATTGAGCCTCATCAGAGCATGACCTCTTCTTCCACATATTCGCATGTAATACGTAGGTAGATAGGGTGAGATTGATTTTGCCGTGGCTCTAGGCCGTGTCGATCAGAAGCGGGATCTACTGCAGAAATGATTCCAAGAAAATGTCAACACTTTTGTCAAGGCTTGCCCCACTGGGCAGGTGCACAAACTCCACACCCAAAGGTTCAAAGTGGAAATGGAATGTTGATCGGGGTCACTGCATAGCAAGGTTGGGAGGCTCGGAAGGTTTCAAGTTGATAACAGGTATCCGGCCCACTGTCATTGGCGGAGATAATCACCCAAGGAGAATAATCCAGACGGAAAGGGTGGAGAAAGAGTTCCCTTGCTGGATAAAGCTTTGTTGTTGAACACTATCAGAAAATATAGAAACTGTTCAGCTCACAGGACTTTATCTATTATTGACCAGCTTGGGCTTCTTCCAGCTGAGCACGCTGAAATCATGATTGTTTCTGAAAGGAACCATCAGCAAGGGTACCTACATTGTACTTTCCAAATTATTGTCAGCAGATCGGGTCACTGCCCTATAGCTTTTGTGGATGATCAGTGGGGGCGAACCATGAGCAACATTCTTTCCAGCGGAGCTACGCAAGCTTAGCCATCAACTCTCCAGATTTTGTGAAAGATTCCATTTGATCATACTTCTCAGTAACTTGTGTTCTGTATGGTCATCAATTTCTCAAAAATCCGGATCTCTGGTTATGACGGTGCAAAGCCCAGTCCTAACGACTTTGGAGAGATGACCTAGTTATTTCAACGCGCGTTCAAACATGTTGTCACACACCTGGAAGCTGCAGACGCATGTTGTTTTGTGGCTTGGTAAATATCGGAATAACTTCCATTATAAATTTCATAGATTATCTCGAGAACAAGTTCTTCGCGTGTTTTGGCATGAAAGCGCGTCGGGAGCCGAGGTCCATTCGAAGGATAAACATTGGCCTTAACTGTCAGGCATCACATTCTCAACCTTGCTGTAACTAACTAGTTGCTCAAATATTTAAATGTGCTGTGTATTGTCAATTTCCATTTAGAATATATCCCACATCGTCTCAAGTTGAAGGCCCAACGAAAGGTGAACCCATGCTACTTTGTAACACCGCGGGAATATCTCAGCAACTAGCACTGCTAGGCACATTCTCACAAGAGCTGCTCGTCTTGCCGCCAGTCACACTGACACCGGTCCAAGTCCAATCTGAGCATGCACCTGAAGCACAAAGAATATATATATCTGTTGCACTACTTTCCACTGTTCCCTTCACACCATTCAGGGTAAGATCGGTGATAGGGACACCAGCTGTTGGAGTACCAGTGGGACTGCCATTTTCATAGTCTTGCTCAATCACAATGCCATATTTGGTGATTCCCGAAAGCGTGATATCCTTGTAAGTGATATTGTTCACAGAGCCAGTCGCGTCGTAGACAGTCTTGATTCGCACGCCTGTATGAAATGTTAATATTTGACTCATACCAATCCAAAACCCTGAACATACCATTCTGGGAGTCTTCGATCTGCGAATTCTCAATGAGCACGTTGGCTACAGTGTTGTCGCTTCGTCCACCAACGGAGCCAATGGACAACCCATGTCCACCCGAGCAGAGGCCACCGGTAAATGTGATGTCCTAGTTGTTTTGTGTTAGCTTGGAATTAAATGAACATTGCCCTCATCTCATTACCGTGCCAGAGTTAATTGCCAGGCAGTCATCCTGGTTGTAGACAGTTGCACCAGTAATGGTGATTCCCGTGCTCGATCCCACATCGAAGGCATCAGTGTTGTGGCCGCCCTCGGTATCTCCATCGCTGTTGTCGATAGTAATGTCACTGAGCGTAAGATCTGTCGCGCCGTTGATGCTAAACACCTGAACCGGAGAGTTCACGATCTTGATGTCACTGATGGTGGAGGACACCATCTTATGAGCATAGAAAAATTTGGGCTTGGTCTTGCCTCCATTCGAACCCTCTCCATCCCACCAACGGCTCCCGTCGCCATTCAGGGTCGCACCAGATGCACCTTTGACAGTGATTTCTGTTCCAGAAACCGACACTAAAGGTCCGTCCCACTCTTCATAACCAAAAGTTGTTTCTCCTTCGAATATAACCTAGAAATGAAAGTTGTCAGCAAGCTGCCCGTGCGAACGGATGGTTGAACCTTATACCGTTGTTCCGTCATTCAGACCGGTCAAATCCAATGTGGTACCAGAAGGCACAGCTACTGCGGATAGTACAATGGTGGAGCAGGCAGTCTTGGACTTGCTTGCCGATGAGGCACCATTAGACCCGGAAAAGGTACAGCTTGTCGCTCTCTCTGCTAACTGTGGGGCGGCAGTCACCTGGGCCCTAGCTGGCTCGGGGAGTGCATGTACCGCTGCAGCTCCTAAAAGCCCAAAAATGCAAAATCTCGTGCTAGCAACCATGATGAATCGCAAGGCTTTGAGTGAAAATAGCGTGAAGGAGACAATAGTTCGCCAGATCGAATTTCCAAGGAATCGGCAACCTCTCTTATACCCCTATTTCTCAAGGATGCACCTCGCTTCCTCGCGGGAAATTTCCCAGCCCTTCTCATCTTGTGGGAAATATTGCTCCGTCCAATGCATGTTCAAGGCAGACAGATACGTCAGATAAATTGAATGGGTTCTGTTTCATCTGAGAGATCGACATCGCTGCTTGAGATAATTAGTGCAGGGGTTGGAGGAGTTCTAGAAATTGCCACGAATGGGGGCGGTTTCAAACGAGCCGTGTGATTCCATTCGTGGAATGAACAGTCAAATGAAGCTTTTTCCGGGCGCCATTAAGTATCATCCGGGGGTGCCACATTCCTAATGCTCCACATCTCTTCAACCGAGATTGAAAGTGTCAGTGGCGTGAATATATATGCATCAACAGACTGCACTTTGGTATACGTGGCCCTCAAGTGTTCCGAGGCCGGCCCTGGTCAATTTTAAGGCGACGCCGAATTTCCAAGGTTAGCAAATACCTGGGGCTACGAAGCTTTATTTAGAGAATTTATTTGAGAGATCGTCTTTCAACTTCTTCATTTCAAAACAACGGAAAAAGAATTTGCAGATATGCCAGAGGCTAATACGTCGCATATGTATCCAGCAAAGCCCAAGAACTGTATAATAAATCAGTGTTCATCATCTCATTTCACCTAATAATAAATAATGAAAGCTTAGAAATATATCGAGACTAATATCCAAATGGTTAATATAAATTTGGATACAAGTTGGCCGTGTTAAAAGTGGCTAGAGTTTGAGATTTGATGTATGAGAGAACAAGACCCCGTACACGTGCTTGAGTAACCCCTCACGATGACATTCAATCAGGGAATTGTACAGTAGTCAGATCTTCCATTTAGTTATCATTTTCCCTATGTTGCATTTCTGTGAAGCGTTCTACTATCATCATGCAATGTGCTCTGGGTGTCAAACCCGGCAGTCCACACAGCCAAATGCCGAGATCTGCTTACAATAATGCCAAATTTACGCAACTATTTACTAAAATGAAGTTCCCGAATCCACTTATATGGTCTTAAAAGAATTTAATCCGGACCAACTCCAGAGATTTAGAACTGGTATGTGATCCGTGTGTATTATTATTATACCAAGCAGGCGTCTGTGCCTAAATTGACAGTATCTTCAATACAAATATACACACTAGACAAAACTCCACTTATCAACCGCGGCCCGCAGCAGCAAATCAACGAGAGCTACAATTCTTAATCGGCTTGCCGAGTGCATAACCGAAGACTGAGTGGATTCGGAACCGCGGCAACAGTCACTCCACTCAATACAACTATCTATTTCCAAGTGGTAATTCCGATACTTGCTTTTTTTCTTGTTTATAAACTGAAAAGCATCCTATCGCCCATGTGCGTGAAAACACAATGTGCTGCTCGCTTTGCTCTTCATTCGTCTTTGAACCATGACAACCACAGATCCCGTCGAAGCGCCGCGCGCGCACCGGATTCCCTACTGGCGCATCTTGACTGACCAAGGGGTCGTCACCTCTGAGATTATCGACTACCCTTACGTTGGTTCAGGGACCGAGGAAGATCCTTTCGTTGTCGAATGGATTCGCAATGACCCACGTAACCCGATGGAGTTTGATACGCGCCTCAAATGGGTATACACCGTTATCGTCGCCTTCGCCACATTCTCTGTGTCGCTTGCCTCATCGGCCTACGCTGGTAGCATTGGTGAGGTTCTCAAGGAATTTGCCGTGAGTGAAGAAGTGGCCACTCTCGGTGTATCCTTGTTCGTGCTTGGATTCGCGGTTGGTCCACTGCTTTGGGCACCTCTCTGCGAACTCATTGGTCGCCAGATCGTATTTTTGATCACCTTCCTTTCACTATCCGCATTCTGCGCTGGCGCAGTTGGCTCTCAAAACATATGGACCTTGATCATTCTACGCTTCTTCGCCGGTTCCTTCGGTTCCTCGCCTCTCACCAACGCCGGTGGAGTTATCGCGGATATCTTCACTGCGGACCAGCGAGGGCTAGCAACTAGTCTTTTTGCTGGAGCACCCTTCTTGGGTCCAACATTGGGGCCTGTTATTGGTGGATTCTTGGGTCAATATGCTACATCTGATGGATACCTGGGCTGGCGGTGGGTTCAGGTATTCTTAGCTGTCTTTACAGGCCTGATCTGGATCGTCCAGGGTCTTTTAATCCCCGAAACATATGCTCCTCTGCTGCTCAATAAACGGGCGGACCGACTTTCTGCGCTCACTGGACGTGTTTACCGCAGCAAATTCGAGATAGAGCGCGGTCGCCTATCAGCTCGAGATGCATTTACTGCGGCGCTAGGGCGCCCGTGGATTCTGCTATTTTCAGAGCCTATTGTTTTGCTGCTCTCATTATATATGGCTATTGTTTACGGTACCCTCTATATGCTCTTTGATGCGTTCCCAATCATCTTCCAGGACATTCGTGGCTGGGGCGAGGGTGTCGGAAGTCTTCCATTCCTTGCAGTCATGATTGGAATGATGATAGCCGTCGGCCTAAACATGTACGACAATAAGCGGTATGTGAGAATTCACAAAGCCCACAACGGATTTGCACCCCCCGAAGCCCGTCTCCCACCTACTATGTGGGGCGGCCTTGCTATCCCGGTCGGGCTGTTTTGGTTCGCATGGACAAACTCTCAATCTATCCCTTGGATAGTGAGTGTTCTAGCAACAGCTCCCTTTGGGTTTGGCATGGTATTTGTTTTCCTTGGGATCATGAACTATCTCATTGACTCGTACACAATCTATGCTGCGTCCGTGCTTGCAGCCAACTCGATCATTCGATCTTGCTTTGGTGCCGGGTTTCCGCTTTTTACAACCTACATGTACCAAAATCTAGGAATCCACTGGGCATCTTGTGTTCCAGCTTTCTTGTCTCTTGCTTGTGCGCCATTCCCATTCATCTTTTACCACTACGGCCCAACCATCCGCCGCAAATGCAGGTATGCTGCTGAAGCGGATAGTTTCATGCGCAGCTTGGCCCAGAAAGCCAAGGCACATGAGGGTACAAATGACAAACTGGATGAAGTTTCATCAAATGGATCGAACGCTCCCGAAGTACCGGGGTCTGCTGACGATGCTACATCAATCTCTTCCCGCTCATCTTTGGAGCGTACCGAAACTGCGTACGATGCCAACCCTTATGACATTGACCACGTGAATACCCAAAACTCAGCCATCACTCGCCGATCGCGCTCCACAGAACGCCACTCACGGGGATTATTTGGCTTTTGGCGCAGATGAAGGGTTGGGATCAGGATAAACCCTTTGAGGCTACCTACAATTCTATTATTATTATTCCCTAATATCATGTATAACATCGAGTTGAATGCTCCACCATTGGTTTATTGAATTTATTATCTCCGGCTGCAACTTCAACGTATCATTATTATTGAGTTGAACTAACTATCTGACTTGTGACTATCGACAAGATTTATGCAATAATGAGATTCAGAAGTCTGCCGCGTCCGGCAACTTCTCTGGAGTATCACTTCGGAAACTGTTGGTGATCAAATTCCCGAAGGAAGGTGACCATTCCACGCGGGGGGAGAGACTATCCAATCCCCAGAGTTCGGACACGAACTTGAGGATGGAAGTGTGGGTGAACTCGTTGTCGTCACTGGGCTTGTGTTGTACCAAACCCTTCGACACCCACGGAGAGATCAAGACTGTTGGAACCCGAATGCCCAAGCGATCAAAATGGAAAGTGTAATCCTGACCATCCCCAGCAGTCTCAGTGTAAGTCAGACTGTCACCCGCAGGAACATCGGTGGGAGGCGAAACATGATCCGCGAAACCACCATGCTCATCCCAAGTCAAAATGAAGAGTGTCTCGTTCCACTGTGGGGAGCTGCGCACAGCCTCGTAGATCCCCTTCACAAAATTCTCACCCATATTGATTGGGGAAGGAGGGTGCATCGACATATAGGAGCAACATTCGGGGTTGATCCAAGTGAATTGTGGCAACTCGCCAGCCTCGGCATCAGTATAGAACTGAGAAATCGGCACAACATTATCTTTGCCATTCTTTGCAGTCCAGTCATAGAATAAAGCATCGGGCAAGAACGCGGGATCCGATTTAGTCGAATTCTCATAGTTCTTCCAAGTGATGCCCTTCTCTGACAGCTGCTCGAAGATGGATTTTTGTGGTAGTGCGGATGTCATGAAGTCGTCGTCATTTTTACCATGACCATGGGATGTTCCAGATGTCAAGTAAGCACGGTTGGGGTTTGTAGGGCCCGGGACAGCAGCGAACCATCGGTCAAATAGCACAAAGTTTTGTGCGATGGAGTTGAAGACTGGAATGTGGTCTGGGGTGAAATAGTTGATCGCCTCGGCTGCACGATTCAGGTCGTCCTTTGGATATGAGGCGCGCTGTTCACTGATGAAACCGTCCATGGAAGACTTGGCTCCAGAGGCGGGGTGGTAAGTGCCAAAGACTTGCATATTGCCACCCGAAATACTGTGATTGGGGTCGTCCGATGCGATGTTCTTCGCGATAGGGTTTGCGCAGACCTGAACCGAATCAGGAAGGGAAACATCGGCTGGGTTACAAAATTGGGGATTCTGCGGGCCATCAATGCTAGAATCATAATCAAGACCGCCAGCAAAGTGGTCAAAAGACAAATTTTCTTGCACCAAAACAACAATATTTTTGATGTTGTTCATACCAGACGAGGCGGGAAGGGCAGCGGCGCCCAAACTTAGGGCTAGAAAGAGTATAGAACGCGCCATGATGAGAATGCAAAATTGAATTTGGGAAGGGAAAAATCTATATCTAACGAACTTACAGGTCTTATAAGTTTCATTTTTGACTACAATATTGTATAGTCTCCCTCAACATCCTCTAAAATCCCCCTTCCATCGCATGTGCCGCATGACACAATTCTGCGTGGTAAGCCACGCTTCGGGTAGCGTCGATCGTCAACAGCCCTGAATCCCCCGCGTCGACGCATGGGCCATAAACTCACTATTATTGGCCGACTCAACCCCCTTGTCTCCGGACCATGATTTTTTGGAGAATCAGATGTTCTTTTCTTTGATTCTCATGGCCATCTGATATACTATCTACTATGCCCTTGGTCAAATAACAACGTGGGGCAAGATAGGAGTCGCTGTAGTTTGATAGATAGTATGTCCTCGTGCCTCGTGGTCTATTCTGCTGATTTCAAAATCATCTTGAGGGGATTCTTTTTACATCTGCATAATTTACAGGGACATCGGTTGCATTTGAGCCGGTCCGGGATTTTTCTTGGCCAAAAGTTAGTCTCGCCCTTGTTTGAGATGAAAATGTTGAAATTTTTAGAAGAGACACCGTTTTATCACCGCCTATTTGCTTATAGAGAAGTCTTTTTTCTTATTTTTTTACGTGCATATGATCCATTATTTGAATGTTCGGCTTGAACCGACAAGGCAGGTGAGATCTTTGTTCATTTTTTTATTCTCTCAGCATAGAGGTTCAGTCTCATGACTGCAACAATCTATCTTCTAGTCATATCTATCCCTAGTGCGCTTCATCGATCAGCTTGGCCATTTACCAAGGTCACAACAACGAAAGAATTCGGTCCTCTAGTGAGTTATGTTCTGAGTTAAATAGAGTGTTCAAGTCAGCGGGGAGATTCATATGAGGTTGACACGGTCGCACTCTAATGTCAAGAGCAGCGGTAGGTCACCCACTAACTCAACAGCTAGAATCAAAAAAAAAATCGCTGACTTCGAGTTCATCATGAAAAAGAGTGCAAGAGACTGACTCGCTATATGATATGAATAAAATAAACTAAACTTGCTTGGGTAAAAGGCTGATACTTTGAGTGCGATAAAAAATAACATGTAAAAACAGGAGCCTACCTCAAATAGACGAACCGACCAATAATTCAATCGAATGCCTCGGTGTGGATTAGGCTGACATTTAACTATGATTCGAGGCTGGGCTCAAATCAATAATAAGCACTGATCAATGTTGGCCCCCAGCCTTGGCTACCCTTAGTCTTGACTTCGTGGTTGAGGCATTCACCCCGTCGATCTGATTGGGTTGTTCGTTTAAGATCCGGAACGCACCCGTGGAAGTACACGATCGGTATCAAAAATAGAACAAAGCATCTAGAAGTCAAGTGAATTGTATTTAAATACAATATAGAGTCACTTCTCTATTCACTCAGGTAGAGCTTCGTTTCAATTAACTTTACGGCTTCACAGATTTTTTCGATTATGGCATCTACTACGACGATCTCAGCATCAGCAGCCTCTTCCACGCCTTCTGCAACCTGCATTACTATTGCCCCTGGAAAAAACGGTTACCTGCCACCGGAGTCATGTGATGCTATACTATACTATATTCCATCGTTTGAAGCCGCCATCTTCCTCTGTGTTCTCTATGGATTGGTTGCCCTGGTCCATATAATCCAAGCCATTATATACAAAAAGGTCACCTCTTTACCCTACCGTTTCCCAGTAAACACAATTGAGCTGATAGAATGGATAGAGATATGCTTGGGTACTTATTATGGGTGCTGTTTGGGAGCTGCTAGCGTTCATTTTTCGAGCTCTTCAAACACGCCATCAGAACAGCGAAATATATGATACTTTTTATGTCATATTTTTCCTTCTAGCCCCTATCTGTGAGTGAGGTTCCTTTTCTCTTATCTAATAACTCGACCTTTTATCTAACATCACTCACCCACAGGGATCAACGCTTTCCTCTACATGACTTTAGGGCGCATGATATATTTCTTTCTACCCGAACGCAGACTAGCCGGCATCTCTGCGCGTCGCTATGGTATTATTTTTGTTACTCTCGATATCATCGCATTTCTGGTCCAGCTTGCTGGTGCCGCACTCACAACCAATAACGACGCTAACGACGCGGAAACCAAGACCGTACTACTTGGCCTGCATATCTACATGGGTGGTATTGGAATGCAAGAATTCTTCATTCTCTGCTTTCTAGGCCTAGCAATCCACCTGCATCGAACAATAATTCAAATGGAAGAGATGGGACAGACTGGCATGGAACAGCTTCAACGGGGACGCTTCCCCTGGCGGTGGCTCTTTTATACGATCTACTTCACTTTGGGCATGATCACTGTGGGTGCCAAGTGCCTCACAAGACCTCCGGTATTCTAACAAAGCATTTTAGATCCGAATCATATTCCGCATGGCTCAATATGCACAAGGCACATCTACGACCAATCCTGTTCTCACCCATGAGGTATATGAATATGTTTTCGACGCAGCCCCCATGTTTTTAGCATTAATTGCTCTCAACATTATTCACCCCGGGATGATTCTCAAAGGGCCTTATTCAAGCTTTCCAAAGCAGAGTCGAGCTGAAAAGAAAGAGCAAAAGGCACAAAAAAAGGCATTCAAAATGGAAAAGAAAAGACAGAGACAGAGTCCCGTGTAGGCACAACCGTTCCCAATGCATCTGGACAAGACCAGCAAGGGTCAATGCGGTTCCACCAGGTTTGATGATTTGATTTCAGAGATGTTCTAGACTACTTGACGATAATAGAAGGCGAATGCTAGTTGTAAATGAACTTATTTACATACTGATGGCGCCTGCACACACATATACGAGCCTATGCCCCAATATTCAGGTACCAATTCCTCAGAATAGTTATCCCCGATTCCACCATTTTTCCGCCTCGTCAGCCACCAAAGAAGTAACTATAAGCGAACGGTGTGTAGCGCTACCGAATTAGGAAATTCTCATTATTCCTCAGATAAAATACATGTCTATAGTGAGTAAGCTATTGTATTCTGAGAATTACGAGCACTCAACTTTGACCATTTCTGTAATCATACAGTTAGTGAAGATGATTTAAATGTTCGTATTACAGATTTAAATGTAAATTATCAGAATATTAAAGCTGGTAAAAATGCAAATTTGAGTAATATGTGCAAGTCTGACATATACATCGAAAGCCACATCCATCCCAATCTATATTCTTAAATTCCGGCAAATTCCACAAACATAAAACATCTTCACAATTCGACAAATTCGCCGCGAAGGAACTCGTCTTCCTGGAGCTTCTCCAAGTAGCTAGCCACCTTGCTAGTCAACGTAGCAGTCTCATATCCAAAGAACCTATACGCCGCCTTGCCCGGAAGACTGTGACCGAATCGCGTCACGCAGATGCCTGCATCTGCATATCGCTCCCAGCCGTTGGGGGCATAAGGCTCAATTACAACAGCTGGTATGCCACGGTGTCGTTGCAGTGTGTCACGCTTGTACTTCAATGACTGCTTCTCAAACAGGCGCTGACATGGGAAGCTAACGACACGTGCAGTAACGCCTTTCTGTGTCTTCAGTTGATCGGCAACTTCCAATGCAAAAGATAGTTCAGCGCCAACACCAATGAGAGTCACAGTAGCTGATTCGGCTTCCAGCAGAACATATGCGCCAAGTGTCACGCCATCCCGACGTGTTTGAGCAATCTGGGGCAGAGTCTGGCGAGAGGTAGAAATGATGGTTGGCGTGTTCTTAGCGCCGATTGCAGCAATCCATGCACCCGCTGTCTCTTCATTGTCACCCGGGCGGATGTACAGGAGATTTGGCATTGCACGATACAAGTTGGCCAGCTCAATCGGCTGGTGGGTCGGCCCATCCTCACCCATGCCAATCGAGTCATGCGTGGCGACGTGGATAATCTGGAGATGTTGTAGCGCACCGATTCGAACGGCGGGAGCAGCGTATAGGTAGAACATAAAGAAGGTCGAGGTAACTGGAATGATTGTATTAGGGGAGTAAGCAGCCAAGCCGTTGGAGATGGCAGCCATGGCATGTTCACGAACGCCATAGTGAATATAGCGACCAGAATAGTTGCCATTGATGCCGCAAGTTGTACGAAGGCTGGGCTGGGATTTTTGGTTAGCAATGAAAGTAACCTGAACGTGAACTTGTTCCACTTACATGTTGGAAATCGACTTTCCCAGGCCATATCATGTTGACGGATGGCGATAGGTCTGCAGTGCCGACCATAAAGGAGTTCACATTTTTAGCAATTGGATTGAACACCAAACCGGATGCGGCACGTGTAGCGGTAGGCTTCTCGGGAAAGTTGGATGGAATATGTTCATGCCAATTCGCTGGAAGCTCTCCGCGAACGCGAGCCTGGAAGTTGGCTCCCAACTCAGGGTGCTCGGCAGTGTAGTCGCTCACCAACTGGTTCCACTCCTGAACCCACTGCTCTCCACGCTCAGGGAGTCCTTGGAAGAACTGGCGCACAGATTCGCCAATGACAAAGTGCTCTTCCGGGTTGAACCCGTACGCGGTCTTCATGTCAACTATGCTCTTAGCACCAAAGGCAGCACCGTGGGCAACCGCAGTTCCAGCCACACTGCTGTGGAGACCGATAACAGTCTTGATATTGATAAATGTAGGCTTCTCCTTCGATGCTCGACCTTGTTCCAAAGCACGAACAATACCCTCAATGTCGAAACATCCATCAGACACCTCAATCACATCCCATCCACTCGCGCGCATCTTTGCATTCACATCCTCGGTATTGGTGAGATCGACAGATCCGTCGCAAGTAATCTGGTTGTTGTCATAAATGACGGTGAGGTTATTTAACCGGAAATGTCCAGCCAACGAGATTGCCTCGAGTCCAACACCCTCCTGCAAACACGCATCACCAATCATACACCAGGTGTGATTGTTTACCACATCAAATCCAGGGCGATTATAAGTAGCGGCGAGGTTCTTGGTCGCCATGGCGAGTCCCACGGCATTTGCGATACCCTGACCCAAAGGGCCAGTCGTGACCTCAATACCTTCATGCTCAATCTCCGGGTGTCCAGGGCACAGCGCATCAACACGATCCGAATGGTATGACTTGAGTTGTTCAAAGGTCATGGCCTTGTAGCCAGTAAGATGCAGGAAAGAATATTGGAAAAGGCAAGTGTGACCTTGGACATAAATTAGTACACAATGTAGGAAGCCGATGTGTGTCTATATCAAGACCAACCATTTGATAGAACAAAGCGATCCCGGTTAAAGAAGCTTGGGGTGTGAGGAGCATAGCGCATCACGTATTTCCATAGCGAGACACCAATTGCAGCCATACCAATGGCACCGCTAGAATGAAGTCAGCTTCTATGCATATATCAAATATCTCCCGCAACCATACCCAGGATGTCCACCATTAAATTGCTGGCAAAGGTCTGCAATCAGCAATCGAAAGGTCCTCAGTACTAGATCATGTTCCTTTGATAAAGTTTGAACCAGAGGCAAGGCAGAATTGTGGATGCCATTGGCGCCGTTGCTTTGAGTTTGAACAGTCATGTTTTGAAAATATACAAAATGAATAATGATTCAAGTCAAAATCTGTAGGAAAGCTTTCCTCAAATAAATGCGAGTGGTGATGCTTAATATTTCCCAATCGGGTTATAGTCCAATCCCCGCTAGTATTGCTCTAAACATCCGCACTTTTTCACCGATCTAGTTCGAAGTTCTATTTCAATGTACTTTGAAATAACCTCAGACTGGTTTTGATCCGGTGACCAAATACCAAATTTACTACTGGTTCTTTCTTTCGGAAATTTCCCCATCTGGTTGTGTACAACGAACAAATTCTTCCTTGGTTTAGAATAGCTCCGTTCTACAAGAGAGACTCCAAACGGCAATTTGGGAATATCGGAAGAAGTCAAACAAACATGCATCCTCCCTTCGTCATGCATAGTTTGAGTTTCTAGGGCAGGTGATCCAAAAAGAAAAGTGAAGAAACCGAAAGCCGGGGAACCCCCCACGGGACAAAATTGACAGCTCCACATTCACTCCCGAACGGGTATCTAGAGCCACCACCTACTAAATCAGGTGCTATTTGGTCGAACTGCCTTAAGAATGAATGATTGCCCACTTTTATGCAAGATGCACAGAAACAAAAATGACTCCTTCAGTACTTGTGGACCAAACTAGCCAGATCACTCCGACAAAGTCGCTAGTGAGCGACCGCACTCTTCTCAAAGTCTCACACCCCAATCCCTCGTTACAAGTAACTGCAGATCATCATCTCAAATCAGTTGATGCGCCTGTTTATGCCCCTCGACCAGGTGAGGCATTAGTTCATATCAAGGCCACCGGAATCTGCGGATCTGATATTCACTTCTGGAAGACTGGACGAATTGGAGCTTTAGTCTTTGAAGGTGACTGCATTATAGGCCATGAGGCTTCCGGTGTAATCTTGCAGTGTGGTGATGGAGTGAATCATTTGAAGCCCGGTATGTTCAATGAGTTACTGAGCTAGATCTGTCTTGTGCTAATATCTTATTTAGGTGATAGAGTTGCTGTCGAACCCGGCGTGCCCTGCGAACATTGCTTCCTCTGCGACGATGGCCGGTACAACTTGTGCGAGGATGTTCAGTTTGCCGGTGTTTACCCTTATGAAGGTACCATTCAGCGATACAAGAACCACCCTGCGAAGTGGCTGCACAAGCTGCCAGACAATGTGAGCTTCGCCGAAGGTGCGCTTCTCGAACCACTCTCCGTAGTGATGCACGGTGTCAAGTCGGCTGGGCTCTCGCTGGGTCGGGGTGTAGTTGTATTTGGCGCGGGTCCCATTGGACTGATTGCTTTGGCCGCAGCCCGCGCCTCAGGGGCCCATCCGATTGTGATCACCGATTTGGAGCCCACACGATTGGCGTTTGCGAAGGAGTTCGTCCCTTCGTGTGTGACCTACCAGGTGGATCGTACCAAGGATTCCCAGGAAAATGCAGAGGCTATTCGTGCTCTCTTTGGGGCTTTCGAATATGTCGCACCCGAGACTGTACTCGAGTGTACTGGTGTGGAAAGCAGTGTGTGTACCGCAGCGTACACTGCCCGACGAGGAGGTACCGTTATGGTGATTGGCGTTGGGAAAACGATCATGAACAATCTACCTTTCATGCATCTTTCTCTTGCTGAGGTTCGTGTCTTGGTATGGTTTCAGAATTATGATACTGACTCTGCTAGATCGATCTCCGATTCATCAATCGCTATCGTGATACCTGGCCACCAGCAATTTCTTGCCTGAGTGGCGGGGTTTTGGATTTGAAAAAGCTTGTGTCCCATGTATTCCCTCTGGAAAAGGTACAGGACGCACTTCATTTATGCGCTGATACCCGGAATGGTAGTATCAAGGTCTTGGTGGTGGATGAACAGGAGGCTTCGCTATGATGAGACATTATGATTCCCTGCACCTCTTTATGGCGTACAATTGCCGAAATTTCGATAGACAATGCTTGTATGAAGGTTGAAGCGACACATAAATATTGTAATCATCGGCAATGAAGAGCTCAATTTGGATACTATATACCAATTCAAGCTAGAGCATATGTCTGCAGGATTCAAGTCCTCCGCCGCTATCACCACTATCCCTCAGAATGACGACTGACAGAATATCGACTCCACCACGGGTATCGGTTCTTTTGAAGAGTGGTCACCAGGGCCCAAGAGCGTGTTATGACCGGTACATTCGGGTCCACTGTTCTTTGTTTAGTGCGAGGATGAATATCCCAGAGCAATACCACTTACGTGAAAAGACGGCAAGGTTTTCTCAGCGAGACAGTGAGAACATCCCTGGGGCTTATTAGTTTCAGGTGAGACGTGGTTGGAAAATGAACTGACTCTTCTTCAATCGGATGGCAATCATTCAATGGTACATCAACACCACGACTCTTTTCAGCTGTTTCAATGCCAACCTGGGTGGTCTTGTTAGCAATTTCTGACAGAAACAAGAGTGAAATACGCACAATAGTTCGTTTGACGCTCTTGGTTGCGGATGCAGAAAGAAGCATCAAGCTCAGAATCGACAACTGTTTGAGGCCGTACATGACGCAAATAGACAATGCAAAGATGATAGATCCAAAAGAATACGCTGTAGAATACTCGACTGCGGAAGTCAAAGACCAATTAAATCCTGCAAGGAGATGCTATCTGTCTTTTCCAGTGTTTATATCCCTTGCGTCTGTCAAGTCCAGGGATGAAGCCAACTGGGCTGGTAGGGAGACCTTTTTTTTTCTCGTAAGGATCACCCTTGGATCGGAATGTGTGACTATTGAAGCGGCTGCAATCTATGATTGAGGTGCAGCGTTGATCTATGTGTGTCAACTGAATGTACGTTGTATACGTGTAGTGCATAATTAAACACGGACAAAAATGTATCAAATTTATTATCAGGAAAAGAGAGTGAAAGAAATACAAAAAGAATGAGGGATATGAAAAAGAGAAAAGCTTCTAAATTCTCGAGAAATATCAGGTTAGCTGGTAGATTATGACTGTCAAACATGTAAAGAGATGATTGTAAAGCCTTGAAGTATGGAGTAGACAAGTTAGAGCCGAGACTTTCCCGCCGACCGGCTTCAACCTCTAGTATCTCACCATGTTTTCTCCGAAACGACTTGATGACACTCAACAAGGTCTTTCTTCTCAAAATGACTGGTCTCATGCCCCTTTACATTCATACACACCTTCGGATTCCACTGATGCCCCTGCATTTCCATCCCCATTAGGTGCAGCCAGTTGGAGCCATGATGGCTTTTCCCACGACCCGGGCTTCCTAGCATCGCAGGAGGAGCTCCGATGCATGCTCTTCAATATCGCACATTCTGCTGCCCCGACCCGCGCACCGACACCAGAAATCCAAGGTACAGCACACTTGCATGACCGGTCGCGGACACCAACCCGTCCTGTGCTGTCAAGCCCCCGTCGCATTGAGTATTTGAAGAACTACGTTGGGCAGGTGGCGCCTTGGGTAATTGGTACCATCTTGTTGCACGCATCAATCGCTAAGGAATTACATAGCTGGATATGTTCGACTCGCAATGCACCTTTAGAGTACAGATTCCGGCACTCGCCCGATCGTTCCCCGCGTTGATGAACGCAATTCTCGCAATCTCCGCCCGACAAATGGAAAGGAAGGAGGGGATTCAAGACTCTTTCGACAGTTTGGAATTATATCAGGAAGCGATTCGTCTGCTCAGTCCGCTTCTGCAAATGCGTGATCCAAAGGTGGTCGCAGCCTGCGTTCTGTTGTGCTGCCTCGAGATGATGTCGGCGCGCGCGCAAGATTGGCAACGTCACTTGGAGGGATGTGCGGCACTTTTCGACGCCTTCGAGATGAATGGGTTCAGCAGCGGTCTTTTACAGGCAGTGTTTTGGTGCTACGCGCGCATGGGTAAGCACTGATTGAGCTGTCCACAAATTTGATTCAATGCTAATCTATTAGACCTATGTGGTGCGCTGATCTCTGATGGGACCCAGAGCACTCTTCTTCGACCCAGTAAATGGCTCGCACCTGGATGTCACGAAGATGATGCCCTCCACCTCTTTCAAGCTGCCCAGTCGCCAGACATGTACGCCAATTACGCCGTCTACCTCTGCGCCAAGGCATGTGAGTTGGTGGCCGATCGGACTCAATTCGTGGAGCTCGGTGTAAAAAATGACTGCACCGGCGAGGTCTTTAATCGCCGCTGGATCCGACTCTGGGATGACCTGCAGCATTGGCTTGACAGCCGACCGCCAGAATTATTACCCGCCCATACCACCACGACCAAACTCTTTCCGCACATCCTGTTCTTGCAATGGGCAGCTATCTCCTCAAACCAGCTATATCATACGGCGTGCATTTTGTTGCTTGACATGATACCTAAGTCAATGAATCTGCCGTCAACGCCGGCTGTCTCCGCATTGTGGCATGCGAGGCGCATCTGCGGCATCTCGCTTGCAAATCCTCATCAGGGGTGCCTGAACAATGCCATTCAGCCATTGTGGATTGCTGGTCGGTTGTTTAGCCATGCGTCGGAACACGCCATCATCGTCGATGTAATCCGCCATATAGAAGCAGAGACTGGATGGGGCGCTTGTTGGCGCATCCGAGATCTGGAACTTGCTTGGGGGTATGCAGCATCACGCCCCGACCGAGCTACGAGGCCTTGATTTCCCATCATGCGGTGATTCCCGAATGGGTATATTGAACAAACAGACCAAGCAGGCTTGCCAGCTACGTTTCGTCAAGTAAGCACCATTCGGCTCGCAATTTTTGTAAGCACCCACTCGCGTTCCATCCCGTCACTATGCGGATACGCTCGAAGCCTTGCAACACTTCTTGCTGTTGCGACTCGTGAGTCATCCGACGCGCTGCCATCAAGAACGAGGCAAGAAGACATGGATCCCAGCACTCTCGTCGGTCATTATGGAGAGCAATACTGCAGATCCGCTGTGCGTGCCACAATGGTGACATGGCAGCAAAATGGAAGCCTGCGGTCCGGGCAGTCCTTGGCCGACTTTGGAGCAACATCAGCATGGCCGTGTGGTAAAGCTGATTGCCAAAAAGCCCTGCCCCATTCGCAAATAGAACCACGGGGAAGCCCCGCTCGGGTCCAGCTAACTGATCGCCCGTTTCCAATTCCAACATGGGTTGAAATTCCTGCGGTCGCTCCCGATACCACTGCTCCAATTCTTCTACTAGCTCAATCCAGACATGGAGAGTTGGGCGATCTGGGTAACCATCTTCGTTATTGACGAACTTGACGGCCCTCGCACAGAGCCATAGCGGGCGATAGGCATAATAGAATACCATTTCGAATGGGTCGGCCACCAGGTCGACCTCAGTTAGGTATGGAAACGCTGGTGGAAGCGACACGCCCATGTCGCTGTCGCTAGCTAACGCAGTGCCGAGATCTATGCACCAGTAAGCACCATCCATAGCGATTCAGAGCATTTTGTAGTGAGAATAGGCATACCGAGTCGGAGAAATAGCCAATATATCGCAGAGTTCAGATCTCTGCCGACTGCGTGGGAACTCAGTGCGCTCAATAGCTCTTGATTGCTCGGTCCTTCTGAAGTCCATACAGCCGAAATATCTGTGATCCATTCCCTTACTTGATTCATGGCGCTTACCAAAGCAACATGAGTAATATCAACCTGCATGTGGGAGTCTTGTGGGGCAAATGAGCTTTGATTGCACCTTTGCGGGTGGATTTGACTGAAAGAGGTCTCGGAGAGGCCAAGGATCGAATTCCACACCGAGGGTGAGACCATCGCTAGCTGAAGACCATTGATTCCGAAAGATTGGCCTAAATCACATATATCCAACTTCAGATATCTGGTCAGTAATGGCATGTTTGCGCAGGTGTCGAACAGCCTACCCATGGGGCTATCTCATAGCGATAGTGCCGTAGTAGTGCCTGAGTTTCGGTGGATGGCATGTTTTCATCTTGGATATGTGGGTGAAAAGCCGGCGACAGGGTTGGCAATACAGGGGTTTTGACTATGGGAAAAGTCAAGATTCCCATATCAGGCTCATTCATCCCCAGAGCCAGTAGACCGGCGACTGCCGACTCATCCCTGTCGCTCAACCTCGGTTGCTCTTCGTTTGCCTCCCAGAATGGCCCAGCTAATATCTGACTCGTCTCGGTGTCGGCGTCTTGATTCTCGAGCCGAGGCGTTTCGATTAGATCGAGGTCATTGGCATCATGCTGGGGGTCCTCGTTGATGAACTAGAATAAATCAGATATGTGTAGTCTCATGATCCACGGACCACATACTCGAATCGCCTCATAGCTAGATGAAGTCCCAACTTGTGATGCTTGAACCGTGTGAGCATTCTTCGTCAAGAAAGTCAGTTGAGGACCATATTGACACTGGAAGTTCCGATCAATGCAATTTCGACATCGTGGTTTACCCTCGTCGCCTGAAACATTAGCCTGGTGGCTTCAAGCAGATCTTCAACACAAACATTTTCGTCGACGAACCCGACAGCGCATACATCCCGTGCGACATCGGGTGAGTCGATTCTGCTTGCGATCCATGGGATAGGGCTGCACAGGACTGCATAGGTGCACAGCTGCAACAATATGATGACAAGTGAAGTAATTAACCGGCGTTCTAATCGGGAAGGTGCCAAGTGTCCGAATCAGGAAGTTGTAACCACTGTATCACGTGGCTGTATTTTGCCGGATTCTCCCTTCCTGGACTAGGCCCATCAACGATCTGTTACGTTTTACTGCATAGTTACCTGTCACTTAATCAATATGACACTTTTTGCTTATTTATCAAGGAATTCCATCAGAAACTCTTCGTCTTTTCCCATGCAGTCAAATGCCTGCACACTCTCGAAATTATCAATAGCCTTGATACCATAGCTTCGCAAAATAATCAATCACCTTTGATCCCCGGACGCCCTTTGACGCTGCCTCCACTCGTCGACAATTCCCTTGTATGCCGATGGTCCGTATACTCCCGTCAGCTCGTGGTAAAATCCCCCACCCAGCCGGTGCGGGTTCAGCCCCAAATCGCGCATAAGCATGTCGTTGTACTAGAGAAATGGTTAGAGTGAGGTGTGCCATTCCCTTCAACAGACATACCTGGATAGCATCCACTTCAAGGCCACTGCCAGTCAACGAACCGAGCACTACATCCTCGGAGATCACGGTTTCCATTACGTTTTGCGAAAGAGTTCCCAAGCACAACGTTTCATTGGGGGCGGCCTTCATGCTCTCTGTGTCCAGCCCTCCTGTCAAGAATGCCGCAACCCAAAGAGCCTGAACCTCTGCCACAACTGCAATGGTCGATGATAGGATCACACCGAGCGTAGCGAAAGAGCGGTCGCCTTGGGAAACCAACTCAGGAGCCACCATCCGACGGAACAGGCGATATGGCACTAACGTGTCAGATGCAGCCCATGAAGGGGGACTGCGATCCGCAAGAGCGCAATTGGTGGCATTCAAAGTCTCTCGGACCACCCTCTCCGACCGATGATCTAGAGTCTCCCAGTGTGCTATGCGATCTCTGATACTTGGTTCCAGCGGGCCACTGATTTTCTCTGGCGATTCGGTCGAAATTTGAGCCTTTTCGGGGATCTCTTTGCCCTTTTTTTCCACCAAGGCAGAGAGTCCCAGTTCTAAACGGAGACATGCAGGTTCAAATTGGATTGGAACGATCGGCTTGTACCCAGTGGCGTGGACAACCAAGTCTACCGGATCAATACATGTTTGGTTGGCCAAACGCACCACTGCACTAGTGCCTGGAGATGTGTCAACTTCTTCGTTAGATGATGGAGTGATATCGGTAATGCCCGATCGGTAAACTTTGACGTGAGGTAATCGAATGGCCTCCCAAAGGTCACCTTGATTCGCAATACCAATTCCGGATGCACACGAGACCACGCTGTAAAACATCAGTCACTGCTGATCTCCAATTGAGACTGTTAAAATACCTGTTTTCTGGGCGAAGCAATTCCATCTTCGCGTCCGACCCGTATTGCACCGAGTCAACCAGGCCCTTATCAACAGACCGCCAGAACCACCCAATCCACCATCGACCAAGGAGATTACCGTGAAACAACCTCACCAGCCATGAGCCCTCCCATTTCAGACTCCACGAGGAGTTAAATGAAAGACGTTTGGGGGTCATATAGCAGCAGGGGCTGAGATAGGTGAGCAATCGGGTGCTTGCCGCTTTGTCGCTTGCAACCTTGTCGCCATTAGGGAGGGTGGACGTCGGTGGCAACATCCATGCAGGTCCTATCCCTCGATCGCGAATAATCCAATGCACTTCCACCGGAGTCTTTTGTTCTGATTTGAGGTGCAGCTTTGGGTCCTTCCGATGGAGAGTCGCGAAGAAATGCACTAAATCAAATGATGATTTTGCACCGCCATAGATGGCTACAGATCGCATTTGCGAGTAAACAGCCTCATGTTCTGACGCATTGGCATCCGAAGTTTCGGTCGCTTTCAGTGGTTGATACCCTAGATGCTGTCGAGCCCATTCTCCAACATTCTTGGCATGAATTACCGCGGCCGAATTCACAATACCCATTTGTGACCCGTGTATGTCGGGCATATTTGGCACCGAAGTTAGTCCAGTTGCCAGGACCAACTTATCGCAAATGACGGTGATGCGACGACTCGGAGTCGTGGTGACACTGATCCTGAGTTTCCACTCTTGGCTTTCAAGGCGACTGATACTCTCAACCTAAGATCAAATCAGTACACCGCGATTCCAATGGGATATCCCATCACCTTACCGTCCAGTTCAATCGTATGCGTTTTCGGAGCTTCCATTTGACCACCCATGCCCTCAGATATCGACTGATCTTCCAACCCGCAATAAATTGATTCCTGGTATCGTCCCCCTCATCCTCTGGAGCAACATCCGATAGATGGAGATCACTGAATTCATAGAGCCCATAAGAGTTTTGACTTAATAAGTTCGGATAAAGGCGTTCTTCGGCCCAAGTGCCCCCAATATCCGAGGCTGAGTCAATCACGAGAAGGTTATTCTCGTGATTGCCGGGCTTGGTTGGCTTGGTTATCTGTGTAAAACATGCTGGGACATCAACTAGCTCGATCAATCCATCCGTCTCTTCATTCTCGTGGTCATAGGCTCCTGTCACTTGTAAATATGTTTTCGCTGCGATGAGACCATAAAGACCTGAAACCTGTCAGTGTATATCTGAGTAAATATTCAATGTTTCAATGTCACAAACCTGCTCCAACGATTATGACTCTCTCCATATTTGTGACAAATGAAGTTCATGGGAGCAGAAGTAAATTACCTAGGTAGTTATCAAGTTCACCAGATATGTATGGGAAATTCCAACAAAGAGAGGCAGAACAATATCAACGTTGACATTGTTAACCCCACAACAATGTATCAAAATATATCAAGCCGGTGAAGTATTTACCAGTTCAAATTTTTTATATATCTTTGCATTCATACTTGAATAATAGAAGTCGTTTGGGAAAGTTCCTGCAGGTTAGAGATACATAACTCCCAAGTAAATGGTTGGCATAGCTGTATATATAACTATGTACATATGTACACATGTAGTAAGTAGTAGCTTCACCACATCTATGTACATGGAAAATTACTCCTCCCCCGCCCCGTTCATCCGATACTGCATCTCGTTTTTGCGTATCTTCAAGCTACCATTATCGTCTTCCCATAATATAGCTTTGGGTCCGTCCGTTGTGATCGTTTTAGCAAAGGGGACTTTGCTAGTCTCCCTGTATGAGATATAGGTTATACAAATTTTTATTGACCGATCACTGGTAAATGTTGAGATGACACGACTCTCTGCTTCAAAACTGACTTATATGGAAGGGAGGCTGTCATGTGTAAATGATGAGATGGCCGGGCCGTACACGGTCCGTCTTGATGGGACTCTGCCAACAACCCGCCTTTCCCTTTATCTTTATTAGAGACTATGCTAAATAAGATTCGTCTGACCCTCTGGGTCAAAGACATGCCTTTCTATCGTCATCGGATTATCATAAACTGGATGGCCAACTATGCCTTCACGGCCCGTGACCACCGGGTCTCCCAAACATACAATCAATGCACCGAGATCTACCAGATCCATTTAACAGATTCGACGGATTAATCTCTATCTGCGTATTTTATCACAATGGAAAAACATCAACGCATCGTTATCATTGGAGCCGGCGCCTTTGGTCTCAGCACCGCCCTGAGATTGAAGGAAGAAGGCTACGAGTCCGTCACCATTCTAGACAGATCAGTCCCTCCAGTTCCAGATGGATCCAGCAATGATATCTCACGCATCATCCGATTTGACTACGGAGATTCAATTTATGCTAATATCGCCAAAGAAGCGTTTGAACTATGGAAGACCCCCGTTTACCAGGAAGCATTCCATCAAACGCCTTGCTTGTGGGTCTGTCAAGAGAGCACACCAGAACAACCAGTACAGCCTCGAGTCCAGGATCACAGCAGTAAGACCAAGCGTGTCTTGACTGAAATGGGTCAAGAATGGATTCCGCTCAGCAGCGTGGAGGAAGCCAAGCAACATTTCCCAAAATTGACCGGCCGACTTGCTACTCCTGGCTTTGATGGATTTTATAACACTTCCGCTGGATGGGCTGATGCAGGCCTGGCTTGTGCCCGTCTCATGTCTCGCTGTGAATCTGCCGGTGTGTCTTTCATCACTGGTCCGAACGGGCAAGTTGAAGAGTTTGAAAAGAACCCTGACGGGAACATCAAATCCGTTCGTACTAAAAATGGACGACTTGAAGGCGATCAATTCATTGTTGCCACGGGTGCCTGGACTTCAAGCCTCATTCCAACGTGGAACTCTATGCTTGCTGCCGGTCAGGTTGTAGGATATCTACGCCTCACCCCCGAGGAAGTCGCGGAGCTCAAAGATCTTCCTATCTACTTCAACTTTTCCACCGGTTTCTTCGCTTTCCCTCCTCACGAGCCAACTGGGTATCTGAAGGTTGCTTGTCATGGGTTTGGTTACACTCGTGCTGAGCCTTCTGTCACATCCGCGCCCCCCAGCTCTGTGGTGGCCTCACGAGCTAACTACATCCCTGCGGATGGGCTGAAGCGCCTCACAGCTGGAATGACGGATCTTTTCCCACAGTTAGCACCAAGAGGATTCGAAAAGGTCGGAATCTGCTGGTATAACGACACTCCGACCGGCGATTTCATCTTTGACTATCACCCGGAACATAGGAACCTGTTCATTGCCACTGGAGGAAGCGGACAGTAAGTCATCAAAAAGATTCACCCGCTAGAAAAAGCTAAAATATTCTATAGTGGTTTCAAATTTTTACCAGTAATCGGCAAGTACATCGTAGGAAGCTGGCAACGCAAGCTCTCTGATAAATTGCTCACCAAGTGGAAATTCCCTACCCAATTTCGCGAGCGTTTCCAAGGAGAGGCATTTGCAGGAGATGGCAGCCGTGGGGGGCCAGAGCGAAGGGAGCTGACGGCCCAAGAGCTCAATACATTTGACACGGCATTGAAGGCTGCTTCTGCTGTATCCCGGCAAAGCAAGATTTGAAGCGGTTGGAGGGATCAAAGACCATTTCCTAGTCAATAATAGCTTGCAATTTGTGATAAAGCGTATCGGATTCCGGACCCTTATGCGACTTAGCATGAACTACATATATCCATGAATCGTGTCAATCCCATATCTCAAACATTTTCCAATTCCACTATTAACCAGATCTAGATGCGATGTTGTTTACAAAATTCTTGGAAGGTGCCATTATTGACCACGAAGTGAAAATTAACCACAGTTGAGTTCCTCAATAGGGTATTTTATTGACTGCATGGAAATTTCACCGAGCATCCAGATATCTGCTCACCGGTTTATCGGTTTGATTCAGATAATGGCATGACAATGATTGCTCCCTGATGGCCTCACAGATGCTCAGCCATATAGTCTCCTAGGATCATCCAGTCTGGAATGTCTGGTATTGTTGGACTAGTCACATCACCACCACTCCTTGTATTAAATGGCCACCCAGGAAAAGGGCTTCCGCCAATGGGGTCGGACATTGAGTCAATAGATGGAATACCATGATTTGAAAGATTTTGTGTCGTTGGACCTCTCTTGCCGGCCTTTTTTGATTGCTCGGAAACCCCTTGCGTTACAGTAGACCCATCATTGCGGAGAGACTGAACTGCATCAGTGTCGTGCGGGTGAGGAATGGCTAGATCCCCGAAATTCGCCGGGTTATTGCCCTCAGATGAGCTGCCAAAATCGAGAATCTCCCACATAAGAGCCTCATCTTCGACGGACATCCGAGGCATACTCGACGGAGTGGGCATTTTGGACAAAGCTCCGGAGAATCCGTCTTGATTATAGTAAAGGGAGCCATAATTCTGATGACGAGCAGCCAACTCATTCACTTTGTTCACCTAAAGAGACATAATGAGTACCGCAGTTTCTTCTTCTTCTTCCCTGATTTGAATAAACCATACCAATATGCTCATATTTCCCCAATATACAGATAGCTCCGTCATGAAATCCACAAGCGTTCGAAATTCTTTGTTGACCAAAAGAGCAATTTGGGGATTTTTGCTTCCAGTATGCTCCAACTGAATCGTGGCTGCAATCGCGGCCAGATATCCCAGGAATGGATCGTAAGTTTCGAAGTTGACATCGGCAATTTCTCTTATAAACCGAACTATCCATCGAGAGTGGAGTAGCGAGGTCTCAAATGACTTTTGCAGGAAGGTTGCAGAAATGTTCCCGTTGAAGTTTCGAAGCTTGGTCATGATAACAAATGGATGATGCAGCAAGCATTGGATTGAATGAAAGAGAAATTGCACAAATACCCATGTCGAGATGTAAGTACGTGATGTTGGGTCTTCTCGGGCGCGTTTTTGGAAATCAACATTGATATACCGATGGGCATCTGCAAAGTGTGTCTCGAATTGCAACCATTCTGACTCGAGGATCGCGAGAGCAGATCCAGTCTGCCAGGGAGGTAGTGTGTTCTCGGCGAAGGGTTCAAACACGTATTCTGTGGTTTTTCCCCATAAAGAATACAGTCTCAGAAGACAAGCGAGGATGCCATAATCCACTTTTTGTCCTTGTTTCCCAGGCCCATCATGCAAAGATCCGTAGGTCGATGGCACATCATCTCCAGACGATGTCTCTGTCTCGGGAGAAGGAAATGGTAATGTGAATTGTTTGTCGGAGAGAGACAATGAATAGTTCCGGGAGGCACTATAGGTGCGATCAAGCATAAAGAATGCCCAGGAAATGCGCTTTCTGGCCTCAATATCAGGGTTATTGCTTGAGAGGTACGAGGCATTTTGTTTGTTCAACCCCACAGACTGGATGGCCCGCAGACCAAGGGCCACAGACATATATCCTCGATGCGCCTGTCCATCAGAAAAGTCTACCTGGGCCAATAGAAATAGACCCTGGAGAAACGAAAGGCTCATTGCGCCATTTTGGTATTGACTTGATAATATTGACCAAGCTTTCTCGGCAAAATACTTCGCGTCGGTCCGGTCCCCGAATAATCTGTCACGAGAACGTCGAGGAAGACGAGAAGTAAGGGCCACTAATGGGAAGGCAATCTCTGGTTTTAAAGAGCTTGCAGAGCATAAGAGCCACTTTTTCGAAAATAGGCAGTAGGGTTGGTCATGAAAGTAGGTAAGATATGTCTCAATTTCCTTCTGGGTGAATATGACAGGGAGGCAGCTTCTGGTTCATGTTAGCCAAATTGCCGTGGGCGATTCAAGCATATCTTATCATACTGCTGGAATGTTATTAAATCTTTTTCTGGGTGAACTATTGCTTCAAACCCATCATAAAGTCCACGCTCCTGGCCATGATCGCTGGGCAGACTATCACTTGATGTTTCACGTAAAACACTAGATCTGGGCAAGCCTTCTCTGCACCAGGAAAAGAGATATTGGTAAGTTACTTTCGTTATCTTGGTTCAGAACTCACTGGAGCAAAAGTGCCATTGAATCTAGTCTTTCTTCAATGCGCTGAAGTCTCCCGGAGCTCGAGACATCCCCTTGGGTCTGACGAGGTTAGTATTATCCCAAACATCACCCCCAAGCTAGAAGATTCAGCAATGCGAAATAGCATACATACATCGGTGGTGCTATCTCTGTTTGTCTCCTGGTCCTGGGCTCGAGTCGGAGCCGAGGGAGCCGAGGGAGCCGATGGAAGCTTGAGACCCTTCGCACGGGCGGATGTTTGCGTTCCGTATGAGCAGCATTGCCCTAATCTATGGCATAGCGAGCATGTCGGCTTTTCTCCTGGGCAACGTGCTTTTTTCCGACTATCAATGGCAAAATTAGATATCAAAAATCTTTAGTGAAGCGGGCCGCAGGGATTTTGTCTTGGCACCTACCGACAAGGACCACAAGCCTGTCGAGTACGTTTTAGGGAAACTTTGTGTATAGTGTAATTGTCACCTGTTGTGCTCATTGTAATTGGTGGAGAGAATCAAACTACAAAAGAAGATCAAGATAGAAGATCGAGTCTACGGGTCCGGCGACTGCGGGGTACACAGTTCGGAGTCGTCCCGGTTCTTCGCCACAAAGCATTTATCAACTTCCAAGGTTGCTATTATAGAAATTAGTGATATATTCCTACGTTGCACGTTTGATTTTGAACTCGACTACATTAACATCCATGCCGTTTACCTTCATCTCAATCCTACAACGTATGATACCTCCCGAGGTCAATGGCAAACATCATCATCATCATCTACAGGCCAGACTGGATCACAATTCCCAATCAGGATATCTGCTCCTCTTTGTATAAAACTCTGACTTAATCTAATTCCTCGGCTTATATTCCGTTTTGCCGATCTTCGGCGTTAGACCGATAAGTCAAACTTGACAGGCTGTGGCTAATCTAGATCCCCGGGACGAAATATTCGGTTTTGCTGTGTTCAATTGGAATCTTGGGTTTTAATCTCAGGTAGATTTGATATGCATCATGTGGTTCTTTATATCAGGGATTTATAAGGGGTTTTTCATCAAAGAAAGTACTTCTTATCAATTCCTTTGAGCTCTGACTTTCAAGACTTGCGTCGGGAGGCATAGATAAGACACAGAAGGATAGGGATTTGAAATTCTTACCTGGGTGTTCCAATATAGACCAAGTAATATATTTATGGACATCATCTCCTAAAGAATTGAGCACAATTGAGGTATATTTGAGGTAGGGGCTTTCTTTTGTTTCGTCAAATAATTGGATAACACTAAATGATGCTATTGGTGCGATTCCTGACTAAAATCATGATTATTACTGCCTCAGATATAACTTTGGAAGATCCTTTATACCGTCAGAAGCCAAGATAATAAATCGGTTGATCTTTTGGAGAAACACATAGTTATTGACCCCACACTTTCTTCTTTTCTTCTGATAACAACATACGAGCCGCTCATGTGATCGGGTTATTGCGCCAAGTTAAGCAGGGGAAGCTCTATGTTAGTAATTTGATTTGAGGTTAGCTCTGTGGATCATAACTTTGTAAGATCCAATAATATACTAATAGTGGCATAAGTAAGCCCGAAGATGAAAAACGTTGCACCTGAGAGGGGCGAAATTCCCATGTATCGATCTTGCGAGCTTAAGTCAAAAGTAACGTGAAGTTGAGCTCTCCTGATCCTTTTATGATGCCGGTAAAAATCCCGACCATCCGAGTGGCGTTAATCAATCGCGGTACTAACCCCGTCTACCGTATGGTACCGCTTTGATCGCCAGGTCTGGCTTACCTTGACGGGACTTGTTACCGTCGGACAGTGAACGGCTGAGCCTCCGTACCGATCCTGTGATCGGCGATATTGTGTAGAATGGGCATCCCCATGGGGAAATATGAGCTCATGGTGGTGATAGCGGCCATATGGATCAAAGAATCCGTCACTATATCAAGACACCAATCTTCGGCCCAAACGATGAGAAATCCGACAACAGCGAAGTTTCGTCCTCGTCTGATCTAATCACCCATCTTTCCAACGAAATTTTGTTTGTCGATATTACCAATGTCGATTCTCAAAAGCTACCTCGGATTGGGAGGCACAGAGACCTCCCCCGCTGTCGACAACAGTTATCCAGCTCGCGCTCTCCCCGCCTCGTGGTATTCCTCAACAGAGATGTACGAGCTCGAGCGGCGTGCGATTTTCAGTCGGAAATGGCTTCTTACTACGCACCGGTCGCGTTTTCCTAATACCGGCGACTGGCTTAAATACAACATTGCTGGGTATGCCTTTATTCTAGTGAAAGATCGCGAAGGAAATGTCAATGCTTTCCACAACATTTGCAGACACCGAGCATTCCCCGTGGTTACTGAAGAGGGAGGCACTTCTCGTATCTTTTCTTGCCAATATCACGGATGGTCATACGGCCTTAATGGCAAGCTTGCAAAGGCTCCGGGATACCAAGAGCTGGAGGGCTTCGACAAGAGCAAGAATGGCCTCCTGCCAATCCATGTTCACGTCGATAAGAACGGTTTTATTTGGCTCAATTTGGATGCAGACGACAAGCCCGAAATCTCATGGGATGACGACTTTGAAGGAATTGATATGCAGCCCCGTTTCGAGGGATTCGATTCTGAAGATTATGATTTTGATCACGCCTGGGAGTCTACTGGGGACTATAACTGGAAGGTTCTGGCAGACAACTATAACGAAAACCACCAGCATCACCCGATCCCCTTCCATGTCGATGCCAAAACTTCTACAACTGAAGCCATTGCCAAACGTCTCCGGGATGCTAGCAGCTACTATTTCCCGAACGCTTCTATGATTGTCTCGTAAGTTCAGCTCCTATCTGGGGGTTTGTCACGTTTCTCAATTTGATTATAGGCCCCATGCTTTCTTCATGCAAAGATTCGTGCCTACCGGGCCTACCACATGCTCGATGCGTTATGAAGTCTTCCGTCACAAGAGCTCTAGTGACGAAGAATTTGAAATAATTAATCAATCCTACAAAACAATTGTATCTGAAGACGAGGGTCTCTATAATGAGACACAGCAAAATATCAGCACTCGGGTCTCTGCCGAAGGAGAGCTGCAGCCGCGATTGGAAATCGTACCTCTCTCCTTCCAAGGCAGCATTCGCGGCCTGATTGATCAACACCAAAGACGCGAAGAAGAGTCACATGAGGAGTTCTGGCCTGCCCGACAAAGACTTCCCAAAGATGCAGCAGTCAGCAAAGATGACATGGACTTCTGCTCTAAGCTAACTCCCGAGGGAGGTGGTTGTTGCGGAGGAGGGGCATGTGGCGCTGGACCTGCGCCTGGACCAGCTACCGCTCCTGAAATAATGGTCTCCTGATTATATGCATACTACATTTTACTTTCTTTGTTTTGAGCGATTCATTGAGTTTTTCTTACTTGGTCAATTGTCACTCATCATTTGCCAGTTGCCATTTGCCTCTTCAATTTGTGTCTATGGTTATGATTACGAGCATAATGAATTGCAGTCTCGAAACTTTGAAGTGAAGCCCAAACTCCTATCACGAGACATATATCTATTCTAGGTTCACGATATGCATCAAAGAATATAGGTCATATGAACATCTTAATTTGGGCCGCACGATTGTTCGAAAAACCTGGCCAATTAAAATGGATGGCGAGACAGACGATAACCTTATTAACTTCAATAATGCCTAGCGATTCAGGCTATTCAAACTAAATAGTTAACTAGTTCACAAAACGCCACCTCAATTGCATTCATACGTGGCCCTTTAGACCAAATAATGTTTGCTAGAATTTCCAGGAATGTTAGGAGTGCTAGGGTTCCTAGGATTCTTACAACCGTTAGGAGATTTCCAATGACAGATATCCCACTGGACATTTTAGCCTTTTTCAGAATGAGCCCCATATTTAACCTGTTTTTATAGTTCTAGATTTAGTACTCGGGTCCATGAGGGGAGATCTGAAAGGAATGAGGAGAACAGAAAAAAAAACAAGTTCATATTTCTTCATATTCCGATTCTTTTTTTTTTTAATATCATTATCATTTCCTTGCATTATCTCGAACCAAATCCACATTCCCCACCTAATTTTTCCCGCTCATGACGCCCTACATATCATGCCTATCTCAATTAGTAGCCGCCGGGTGCTTTGGTCACTGATACCCCGCAGCTAAATCTGTTCCCTTTTCCCCTCCCCCATACATGTCGAGTGGCATTTTCTCTCAAAAATACCTTACGAAGTATCAATTTGAGATTGAGCCTGTGATAATGATGCCGAGAGAAAGTGCTCGTGGGAGGTTACGGTCTCATGAGGCATGTCTCAATTGCAGGTATGGGTAATTCTGTTTATTATTCCAGGATTGGCCTGATGTCATACAGAAGAAAAAAGACCCGGTGTCCAGCCGAAAAGCCATCTTGCTCAAGTTGCGTCCGTTTAAATCAGTCATGCCTTTATACCTCAATACCTCGGGGGTCTCGGGGAGGGCAATCTGTAAGTACTGGCTTATCATCATGACTGACCAATCATTAACTTCCATCTTAGGACGATAGACTAGCTTTCCTTGAAGAGAAGGTGAATCTCATCCTTAGTGGTACCCGGCCGACTCAAGAACTTCGGCCAGAAAAGACTCATGAGGGAATCAATGGAATCAATGGAATCTCTGATCCCTACCCAAACACTACACGTCTATCATCCAATGAACCAACTACAGTCAATGACCCATTTTTCCTCGGTTTTGGATATGATGATTCAAATTCCCATCCATCATCATCCGCGATTGCCAAATCTATAGATCTTTATTTTGAATACTGCCACCGACAACCTATCTGGTGTTTTGACCGTAATGAAGTCTCGGACCCGGGCTGTCTGTCGGAGGAGCTTGTTTGCTGTCTGCTTGCCTTGACTTCACGATTTTCAAGAGATCGTGATCATTTACAACATTACGGTGACAGTGCCAGAAGCTTGATTATGCTCCGTATGGCGAACGGCACAGTCGAGCTTGAAACTATCGAGAGTCTTTGTCTGCTATCATACTCGTCTTTCCTAGGTAAGTCAACCACACCAATACAAGAAACATGATTTACTGAACTTCTTTCAGACGGAAATATACATCTCGGTCGTTTTCACCTTGGCCTTGCTCTACATCTTTGTAGATCGGCGACGTTGGATTTAGAATCGACCTATGTCGGCGAAGGTTCCGCCATTGAACGAAAGAAGCGTCTTTTCTGGAGTCTGCAATGTCTTGAACAGTCCTATGGACAGCAAAATGGGTTCCTGTGCATTCCATCAGAAATCTTACGCACATTTTATGTTTCGTCCAGTAGTGACCGGGCAAGACAGGATATGACCGAGGCTAATCCACCACCGCTGCCTACAGATGATCTCGGCTGCTCGACACCATCGGATTTAGGAATTTGGAGTCTCGCTGCTCATTTCGGCTGGGTGTGGAGCAGAGTGCGAACCTATATCTCAGATTGTGCTCGGAACAGGCTGAAAGAGCCGTGGAGACACGATTCCATGTACTCCATGGTCAATTCTGATTTGACGGAAATTGAAAACAAACTCTCTCAGTGTCATCGATATGACTCTGTCAAATTTTACGAGCGTACGGCAGAAGAGCTGAGAATGAACCGAGACTATTGGACACCTTGGCTCAAATTGCAATTCACGTATCATTGCATTTTGACTGTCCTGAACCATCCCTTTGTTTACATTGTTGCATCACAATACAACGACAACCTGGCTATTCCTAATGCTTTTTGGAGACGATCCTCTGAGTTGGTTTTGCTGCATGCCACCTGGATTGTCAGAATGATAGATATGGTATCGGAGAAAAAGATGCGACTTATCGACCCTTTCTTTGGACACGCTGCTGCCATTGCAGCTACAGTGCACTTGTACTACTGTTGTGCCGCGGATCCTCGGCTGAAATACAAATCCAAAGTCGACTTCACAAAATGCAGAAGGTTCCTCAAAACATTCGTGTCCTTTTCGCCTGCATGTGAAATTCTGGTATGAAATTTTGACACAAATCATAGCTATCAATACTCACAGAGTTACAGGACCAAACGCTTGACAAGATGACCCGCATCGCCTCTGGTTCGGAAAACGTCGATTATGACTGGGAGCCTGAGAAAATTCATCTCAGTATACCTCTGATGTGGGACGTTCTTCAGGTCAATTGCAAGCCCAAACCACACGAAATTTCCACGGGTGGATTGCTCCATCCATCATTAACTCCTACTGTCTCCACGGAAGAGGCCGATGACAGCCCAACCTCCACCCTAGAGGTGATTGTCGCAATGTCTCCTAACATCACGGTAAACACTGCAGACGGTGGTCAAACTGCACACATGCCGCCGAATATGGCCCTTAGGTCTTCGGCTCAAAGTTCTCCGAATCTGGGACTTGGTGAGAAACTAGTTGCTCCAGCTGACAGTCTAATGACCAACACACCCTGGCTATGGACTGATCCATCGCAATTTGTTGATCTGGAGAACAATGTGGGATACCCAGACTCGGAATCTAATTTCGGCAACATTGAAGGGTTTTCAACATGGTGGGATTTTGGAAATTTATAGGACTACTATTCTTTCATTGACTTCTACTCTGACTCTGCCACGGCTCTACTGTGTTCTCAGGCCGTAACTCCTGTCCCAATCTCCTCCGATTGCAGTTTGCCCAGATTCCCTTTGCGCGAAACTTCCCTTGCGAAACTACGCCTAACAGCCCCCAGATCGAAACTTGATGCCCGTGCGCTTCTGATCAAGTTATGCCGCCGCGACTGTTTTCAGCTTTTCCCCTGCAAAGCAGCGAAACTCCGTTTTATCGCTCTCTCAGTAAATTGAGCCCAAGACACCATCGGATATTTCTTCAAGGGTCCCTATACCAAAATATCCTTGGAGGGGTGATTGAAATAAGCGATGCTATATCGGTCCCCAAAATAGTCATGGGGGTCACAAGGTGCCTTAAATCGATGAATGGTTGACTTGAATCGATCATCCGACCAAGACATAAGTACATCGCCGATATTACATACGATCTCGCCCGTCGTGGCTTCGACTTTAGTCCATTCGTCCCCAATACCGAGTCCACTGACGACCTCGCGACCCGGACATATCTCCAGCCCATTCTGACCTTCCTTTTCGAAGAGTAAAGTCAAAAAGTCCCAATCAGCATGTGCCCCTGCGCGATGATACACTTTGCCATCCGATACTTCCGGCAACTCGAAGTAGTGAAGTAGACGCATTGCTGTTTGCGAGTTCGGTCGTGAGATGTCATGACACCGAATGAAGAATTTCTCAGGAAACCCCAGCTCACGTGCGAAACATCGCATTACAAATTCCGATGTCTGTTGCACGCAATTCATAAAAGCGATTGAAGCAGCGCGGAAACCAGGCAGGTGGTTTTCTTTAATCCAGAGGTTGTTCATATTCTCCAAGTTTCAGCTGATAAGACTCTTTGCGGTCAGTTTATCCGGTAGATGGTCGAACTTGTGAGTTCTTTTCCCAGCCTATATTGCTCAACGTCCACGGTACAATTACTTTGACTTCATCTGGTAGACTGAAGAAACATCTTGACTTCGCAAACATAGATTCGATGTTCTGCTTGGAGGGTCCATGGTTAACCAAAATGAAGAAGCCGACGTTCTCAGCAGCGTGAATTAGTTTTTCAGTAATCTCATCAATCCGGTCTTCAAAAGTGTGCATTGAAATGCGAGGGATAACTCGATCGACCTATCGAGTTTGAGGAACCATTGTGTCTGGTGGCAGCAAATGAAGACTTTTGCATGTTCTAACAAGTTGCTTCAGCAAATGCTTGAACCAAATCACTGATTATATAGCCCAGCCACCGTTACACAACCTGTTCTTTTGTGTCCTGTGCATCCTCAGCCGGACTATCGGCCGAGCTGACAAGTCAAAGTTGCAAGGGTACTTACTATCAACCACCTTATCTCATCGTTGGAGGAAACCATTGACCGTGCAATGATCGAATGGGATCTTTTTTTTTAGTTGGCTTAGCTATTCCCCAAATGGCCTTATGCTTCTGTAATATAACAGTGAATAACTCCCTTCGAATTGGTCATGATTATAGAAAGTACAATGCATGCGAAGTTGCCTTGTCGGTCAATCGCGAATGTAATGCGTTCTCGAGCTAGTGACTCAATTGGACTGAGTTGATCAGGGCTTTCTCTTGGGGTATCAAATGATGTTATTGAAATCGATATGTCCAAATGTCTATTAAAATGTCATATATGTACGCAGACAAGATGAAACGTCCCATAGTGCCAAATTGACCTAGCCGTTGCACACCAAATGTGCAAATTATAAGAAAAGAACCAATATTTACTCAACCTTGCGGACCTGAGTCACGGGAGACCGGTATACACGGCGGCCATGCACCATGTACAGGATGATAGCAAAAATAACAACCGCTCCAAACACAAGGATAGACCAATTCATAGTCACGGGGGTCGGGTTGTTTGCGGTTGGGAAAAAGGTGAAAATGATGGCAAAGCACAGCCATAGTAGCGAGAAGATGTTGATCGCCAAACCAAAGGCACCGAGCGAAAAGCGTGATGGAGGAATACCACCCGGTTGGAAACGAGTCCGAACGATGGCGGCAATCGGCAAGATATAAGTAGTAAAGAGAGCAGCAATCATCACCGATGCGACAGCATTGAAAGCAGCAGTGGAACCGATGTTGATCAAACTCAGTAGCACAGTGATAATAGTCGAGACCAACACGGAGCAGACGGGGATCTGAGTTCGGCGATTCACGTGAGCCAACTGCTTAGAGAATGGCAAGGCATCATCACGGGCAAAGGCAAAGGTCTGGCGAGAGACTGTTGCAAGGATGCCGATGGCGCTGCAAACTTCGAGAATGAGAATGATCGCAGCCACTCCGTTGGTGGCAGCAACGGAGCCAGTCGCGTGATTAACTGCTGGAAGAAACGAGAAGCCACTGGCAGGGGCAAGAACATCTTGCAAATCACCCATCTTGTAGAGCAATGTAATGAGCATAACGAATCCAAGTGCTCCATTGATCAGTGCTGTCGAAACCATACACCACGGCACGACCAAAGCAGCATTCTGGATCTCCTCGGCTACTCATCGTCAGTTCAAATCAACGATAAATATTCAGAATGTACTCACCCATATGCGTCGCAGCATCCGGGCCAGTCCAGGAGAAAATTGGAGTCAACTGGCCGACAAGACATGCGAGACCCATACTGGGCCATCCACCCGAGTTTGTGAATTCCTTCCAAACTTCCTCTCCAGTAGCTTTTCCTGGAGTCATCACCCACATCGGGACAATCACAGCGACAAACCCAAAGATGTGAATCGCCAAAATGAGACCTTCCATAGGAGCCAAGATTTTATAACCCCAAGTGTTGACCACGGTACCGACGGCGGCGATGGCGATGGTGAGTAGAGTACCATGCCAACGCTCATAAACGTAGACCCAACCGGAAGGGTCTGAGTAGTTGAAGACCAAGAGTCCTTGAATCAAAGTACCGACAAGATAGCAGATGCTCGCAAATGCAGCCTGCCATCCCAGTACCGAAAGCCATCCTAACACAGCATTAGTCCTAGCTCTAACCATTTTTTATTTTATTTTGCAGAACACTAACTCACCGGTGAGGTAGCTCAAAAACCGTTGGTACCTTGGCCAGGCAAACTCGCTAACCCAGTGGTACTGTCCACCGGATGTTGGGGAGCTAGATAACTGTCAATGAATATACCGCACAGGGTGTGTCGCATATCGCATTGTCGCACAGGTAGTGGGTTCGACTTACATGGACGAGATCTCAGCCATAGAAATCACAGCCGAAAAGAAACCCACAAAAGATCCAATGTATACATAGACCATCCCCGCTCGTCCACCATCGGTCAAACCGTAGGTACTCGTACTGCGCGTACTCCCATTATTTTTTGTATTCCCAAATCGCGGTCGCGTGGCAACTTACAGCAAAATCGACTCCCAAGTAGCCATCAAGGTCGTGGTGAAACCTAAGATCGAATAGAAACGGAAATTTCTCTACTGATGATCAGTTCTGATCCGCACGTCCCCACGATGATTCAGCTCACCTTGAACTGTTGTGTCTTTCCCAGACGCTGCATGTCCCAGTCATCTTGTGCGGTCGCGTCGATTCCGACCTCCTGAGAGACCATCTCCTTATCCGACCTCATCTCGTGAATATGTGGAGAAGAGAAGAAGAAGAGAAGAACATCTGGAGGTCAGGGGGGAAAGAAAAACCTTACCAATCATTAAAATGCATCCACCAAGGAAGTGGAGCTAGATGAAGTTTATCTTGGTTTTGTTTCTTTACTATTCTCTCCACGTACTACCAACTATGTTGTATGTGACTATTAAACGTAGTAGTAGTAACATATAGTGCGGTTAGAAGAAATTTGCATCTTACTCTACAATACTCCGTACTACATACACCTTTCTTACCTTCCTCATGCAGGCTAGGATCAACACAATTCCAACCAGGGGTTTTGGTGCATCCTGCATACTTGGCGTGGCGAATTGAACCTATCGGCGATCTTTTCCGGCACTCCAATATATTGTATGTGGAAAGATGATTGGAATTTGATCAATACATTGAACTCATATTGTTCAAGATAAACTATAGAAATTATTGTAGAGAATAAGTAACATCAAGAAATAGTATTGAATTGCAAAAGTTACATAGAACTCTCCCCCCACTCCACAAGCTGGAGGTCGAAGCACCCAATAGCATCCAGTTATTTATATTGGTGTTTCGGGATGACCCGTCAGACAAGATTAGAGCACTCAATTCAAGACTTGATAAAAGACCAAAGAGGTTTGAGAGAAAGATCTATTCCTTTTGGATCACTAGTCCTCAGATCAGCAAGTACGTTGTACGGTCGCATTCCCTCTATATTACAAATATTTGTAGCATCCACGACAATTGATCAAAGAGAGGAACCGGACTCTTGAAAATATAACTCGATCGGAAAATTATTGAGTCGCTTGGCAAGAAAGTAGTGCAATATTTAGTGCAAACTAAGGCCATCAGGCATCAATCAAATCCTCAAAATGGTACCCTTTATCCAGCTTATCCAGCCACCTACTAACTCCATGGCTGCATTAACCCTTGTCTAGTTCCTCACGGCATCCTCGGCTAAATCACTGGGGATTATGTGAACCATGTGAATCATCACTCGAACACACCACACCTAGTGTCTCCAAGTCTGGAAACAGCTTATATCAAGTAATTATTGCAGCGACCATATTAGGGCACATAGTATCATAGTATAGTAGCTAACGTTATATATTCACGACTGAAAAAAACGAAGAAACTCAAGATAAAAATGTGTATTAAAACAACCCTGGTAGAAACATATACAATGAAGAAACCCTATACAAAGATGAGATCTAGGCTGTGCCTAGATAACTAGGTTTCTACCCAAGTAGTAGACGGAATATACCTAGCTCCCATGGCATGGGCTTCATTCTCGGTCTATGTATTGCTCTTGGCTACGCTGGGACAATGTGTTTATAAGAAGGGCTAACCAGAATAGAGCTTACTATCCATTGCCAAACTCTTAGTGTTCTATATATACTCCGTAGTACGTTGTACGTTCAAGGCGCAGGAACTCGTGGGAAATGACGGGGTATGTATTGAGCTAACGTTCTAGTAAGGCATATATCTCCACAATGTCTACCTAAAAACCAGTGCTTACCACGCGTGCACTTCTTTATCCTCACGACATTCAAATGTCCGAAGGTGTCATCATTAGTTTCCCAATCCAACATGTCGAAGATTAGGCGAAATTCAAGTAGAACATTAGAAGACACGCGGCATTTGGAGACTGATCCTGGCAGTGGGAGAATGTCGGCTTCGACTACAATATTGAAGATATCGTACATAAGATGATCTAAAGAACGGGATTAATATGACTCCTCATATCGATGTATCGTCATGCTGTTAACCTCGAATAATAACATATTTCCAAAGTGTGAATAAAACGGGTATAGAAAGATTCCGGAAGGGTCTTTAGCCGAAATCCACACCCACTTGTATTGATTATCATTACTACTAGCCTGCAGAAAACTGCTATAATTACTCCACCGAATCTTGGCAGTCTACTCCGTAGATACATATTATTGCATTGCGTGTCTTATTGACTTCGAGATACTTTGACCTAGGTAGACTAGCCTAAATGGAGGCACTGAGACCGAATTGTGGCCCTCGTATTCGTATATCATCTTAGGTGAAATCCGCTGGGTTCATCTAGGGAAGGAGAAAAAGATCACCAGCGAGAATACAATGTTGGATATTTTGCATTGTAGATCATTTACGTAGCACGTTTCGCTTCTCCTCCTAACTAACCCTGTTGCACTTTTCAACGCATCTATGCACAATATACCACCTTGTTAACTCCGAGTTTCCAACATTTTCCCCCTTTCTTATCTGATTGGGCGGGTCCCATTCCACTACGATATTTCGACGCCACTTCCTGCTTCATGATGAGGACGCGTGGGCTGGTGGCGTTGCACTTATTGGCGCTGAGCTTGAAGTGAGACGATCTCAGAGCAATGATTTTCACTGGACGGCATATCATAGGGTTTGCATAACCACGAGGGAGACGATCCACCAGATTAACTTGTCGGCAGATAATTCTCGTCGCTGCTTGGCGCAGACGCGCAATTCTCCAGGGCAGTGTGATCCACGGAAGCTTGGCGGTCCACGACGCTTCTATGGAAGACCGTCAGCTACCGAATCATCATACGCGTCCACCCTGGTGTTTCCACTGTCCGTGCAGCCAAGAGTGGGCTATCTCTCCGGCAATTGGTTTCGTTTGTCGGATACACGGCGGAAAATTGACGTTGACCCGTTCAGGAGTGACGGGGTTAAATAACATCATGGTGCTCCATTTGATACAACCGCTGCTTCCGCCGCACAACATTCCTACATTTCTGCTCGGCTCCCTTGTTTTATCCGCGATGCGCCAATGTTCTCGCGGACTCCTTCTGGCGTATTTCGCCTGAACTCCTGGTTCCATAGTGAACGTCTGCATAAACGCCTATCCTTAACATGGATTTCCTTATCCCTCGTCGCAATTGGAGGTGCGATTGTCTTCTACATTTTTGCCCTTCCACAACTTCTCAGACTACGCATCCGCACCGACTTGAGTTGGTATGACCTAGGAGCTGAAGGGTTTGGACCGGATCGAAGCTACCTCTCTTTCGACGAAGAATCACCGAAAATTGAAGTCTCCCCACCTGGAGCGAAATGCGACTCCCGGTACACATTCCTAGCGCCTCGAGGCGATTCAATCGCCCATCCCGGTCCGATGATCCTAGACGCCGCCGGGGAACTTGTATGGACTAAATGGAACTCGGGCACGACCCAAGACTTCAAAGTCCAGCGGTATAAAGGCAAGGAATACCTCACATATTGGCAAGGAGACACAGACGACAACTATGGCCGGGGATCATGGTACATGGTACGATATACTTTTGAGGTGGCTCCTACTCCAGTCAGTGTTTGTTAACGTTATCGTTCGATTAATAGCTTGATTCGACCTATACCCAGAAGTACGAGATATCGCCCATTGGCATGTTTGACGGCGACCTGCACGATTTTCAAATCACCTCCAACGATACCGCGATCCTGATGATTTACGACCCCATCCCGGTAGATCTGAGTTCTGTTGGGGGCCCCGAGCTGGGATGGATGTATGATGGAGTGTTTCAAGAAGTCAACCTTGAAACAGGAGAGCTTCTGTTCCAATGGCGTGCTTCCGACTTCTACAGTCTAGCCGATAGTTACCATCCGATTGGAGATACTGGTCACGGGCGAACCTCGGCATACGACTGGTTGCACATAAACAGCGTGGACAAGGATAGCCAGGGCCGGTATCTGGTTTCGATGCGTCACACTCATACCATCGCATGCATAGATGGTACCAACGGCGAGGTCATCTGGTCCTTGGGTGGAAAACGGAACAACTTTACCGACATTTCTGATGGAGCTGCTACTGATTTCTCATGGCAGCACGATGCTCGCTGGCGAGGATCAAACCGTCTTAGCCTATTCGATAACGCAGCGTATTCCAACGACAACCCCTCCGCAGTTAGCCGTGGTATGATGGTTGATCTAGACTTTGAAGAAAGACAAGCGACATTATTGCAGTCCTATGAGCACCCCCAGGATATGATGGCCGTGTCTCAAGGAAATGTGCAGGTACTCGACACTGGAAACGTATTTGTGGGCTGGGGCCATTCTGCGGCCTTTACCGAGTTCTCCCCAGATGGCGAGGTTGTATGCAATTCACACTTCGGAGCCTCTGCTTGGTTCACTTTTGGTCGCGTCGTTTCGTATCGTGTGTTCAAATTTGACTGGGTTGGCAATCCACTCACGTCCCCGGAAGCAGCACTTACACCAAACAGTGTCTTTGTGAGCTGGAACGGTGCGACTGAAGTAGCATCTTGGCTGGTGGAGACATGGGACCACAGAAGCTTGACCAACATGACTTTCACCGCTGTTGACCAGGTCCCCCGTGACGGATTCGAAACGGAGATTCCGTTGGCTGCCGAGGTGGACTCGTTCTTCCGCGTTCGCGCAATTCACTCGAATGGAGACAGCCTTAGTGTGACAGAGGTGCTCCACCGGCCGCCGGTCTCTTCCGAAGAAGGCTTATATGGGAATCCGTGGGCCCTCGGCGCTGTTGTGCTTGTCGCGCTTGGCTGTCTGGTTTGTGGTGTCTATTTCGCTGTTCACCGTCGACTTCTCCAAAGATCTGAATCCAGTGGTCCATATCAACTGGTGCCTCGAAAGGATGAAGAGGATGGTGATGAAAATGAACGTCTACCATTATAGGATGCGGGCGTCCTAGATACCCCTTCTGCGTGTATATATTTTAATCTGCACATAGTTAGCATTGGAATTTTTTGTGTATATCTTCTCACTGATCTCTTTTGTTTGTCCCGATGCGCCTGATTTGAGTTTAAACAATGCGCCATTCCACGAAGATTAGGGGGTGAAGGGTTACGTAGAGAAGACCTCGGGATAGATATAAGAGTGGCTCTTAGTACGCTCTCGGCTGTTTTCGAACATAACACGTAAATGTACCTCACTTTCCATCAAGCAGTTTCGTGGTCTAGCGGTTATGATTTTCCGTTAACAATTGCCTCATAGGCGAGTGTTCCGGAAAGGTTCTGGGTTCGATTCCCAGCGAAACTATTTTTTTGTATTTCGTAATTTTTTTAATCTCCTCTTTCTACGACTTTCCAGGTAGTGAGGTTTTTTTTACTTTACTCGGTTTTGAAGGCGTTGTACATGAGGAAATTGCTCACTTAAGTCCGGCCTTAGAATTAATGACAGAGGTGGCTACTAGCTGCGGGGCCCGGGTAACACCAACTTTTATATATTATTCAACACTCCGCTTACGCTCACTTTTTAAATATATATCACCTGCATTTAACGAAAACCGAAAACACAATCAGCCACCAAACAGCGCAATAAGTATCTTCTTCACTCTTAGTGTCGATCTTCTCGGAGTGAACAGATTTAGATCGGCAGACCGACAGTGTATACGTAGGAATATTTGTAAATGGATTGTTCGCGTATGCATTCATGCAACCCGTGGACCCCAACACCTAACACCAAGTGATCTCAAATCTTCAAATTTCCGAGATATTTTTACAGTGACCACCTAGGCATCGCATCCTCTACTTTAGTTTCATGCGTTCCGCTCCTAACCAATAACTAGCACATAGTTCAAAATATGGCATGTAGTTAATCTCTATGAAGCATTGCTGTATTGTCTGCATGGTGTAACGAGCATTAACTTCAACAAATCCTGAATGTAGAGACCTCGGTGGGCCAAACGCTGCTGGAAGTCAGTTTTTTTGGTTTTATGTTAAACATGTCTGTCTCTAGTCTTGATACGTTAATATGCCCTATTCTAGATCGCTTTTTAGACCGCTATATACCGTCCGTGTATTATCAACAACCTTCTATATAATATTCAATTCGAATCATTAGTGGGTACATCTCGTTCTTATATCTCTTTTTCAGATCTCTCTCTAAATCTACCTACAAATTCAATATTTTGGATACAGTCAATAAGCTTCTACCCCGCTATAACACTACGTAGAGGTAAATTTTAAAATTGGATGGTGGGGATGGCCTTGAATTTTCAGGCATATTCCATATAAAAAAATGAATTGGACCCTTAGGCTGTACACCTTCGCACAATTGTATACAAAAACACGTAACCATTGTCGGTGTTCAGTCGGAACATTGTTGACGTAGTTCAGAATATTTTCCCAGATTGGTTAGAATTCGTACTTTCCACGGCCCGGAAAGGATTAAGGTGTCCCGAGTGGCTTTTTATGGCTTTTTAGTACAATTTTAGTATAACGTTGGAATATTATAAAGCTGTGATGGCTGTGATCAGCGGTAATCAATAATACCAGTGTCTACTAATATTCAGAATACTAATCGTCTTTATCCATTCCCGGGCCGCTCAGATTACACCGAATCAATTCCGAGGAGAAAGTCGCCGACAAGTCGGGAGAATTCAGTTACCGGAGGCCCTTCAATCTTTTTGGTTCGGTGGATACTTTCCAACGGGTGATTTCCTACTGCGGTTAGGTTGACGTAAAATTTCCTGCCGTAGGCCTCGGTTGTGGCACCATCAAGCTTGAATCGATGGTTATCCCCGAGGCGATCGGTTTACGCAACGTGGTTGCAGAATTCTCTAGAATAACTTTATTGACTTTAATGATTATTTGATCCACTTCGGACGCTGTCGACTCTTCATTGGCAATCTAGCCTGGAACAAGGACGGAGAAACGGCACAGCACATCAACAAAGCTGATAAATCGTAAGACCAAGTAAAAATCTTCATTTAGCTTTAAAAGGGGCCATATAGCCCACATCGAAATGAATGTATATTTTTTGTAAAGAAAAAACAACCATCTTTAACTACCATTTACATCATGAGCGTTACTTTCGAAGTCTTCCGCGGCTCCAAGGAGGGCAAGATCGTGGCCGACAAGACCACTCGCACCATTCAATCTAATGAAGTTTATATTGAGACATCTCACTCCGGCCTGTGTGGCACAGATGAGCACTACCTCCACTCTGGACAGGTTCTAGGCCACGAGGGTGTGGGTGTTATCCGTCAGATCGGCGGCGACGTCACAAACGTGAAGGTTGGAGAGCGTGTGGGATTCGGTTACACCCACTACGTCTGTGGTACCTGTGAAAAGTGCCTTACTGGTACGACATGAGATTTTGAATAAAGGAAAGAAATGCATAGCTGACTTGTCTACTTTCCAAGGCTGGGATCAATATTGCGAGAACAAGAAGGAATATGGTACCTCTGACCATGATCTTGGTTCGTTCGGACAGGGCGTTGTTTGGGATTCCAAATGTGTGATTCCCATTCCTGATGGATATAAGTCTTCTGATGCCGCCCCACTTATGGTAAATATTTCTATGCTCGCTCTACTTGATATTTCATTGAGACTAATCATAGATCTAGTGCGCTGGAGGTACCGTTTGGACTGTTCTGTCAGAGTATGGTGTCAAGTCAACGGACCGTGTTGGAGTGATGGGTATTGGAGGTTTGGGCCATCTCGCCATCAAGCTTGCGGCCGCCATGGGCTGCCACGTGGTCGTTTTCTCCAGTTCCGAGGCCAAGCGCGAGGAGGCTTTCAGCTTTGGAGCCTCCGAGTATCACGTCTTCAAGGCTGGCGAGGAGATCCCCAACCTCAAGCCGGTGAACCACCTCCTTCTCTGTGGTAGTGCCAGCGTTGATTACGCCTCGTATGTTTCACTTTTATCTATTCAATTGATTAGTACTGACATATGCTAGCCTTATTCCCCTGATGGATATTCACGGATCAATCTACCCTCTCACTGTGGACCTTGCCCCCTCGCCCGTGCCTCTGTTGTTCCTGAACCTCAAGGGTGTCCGCATCCAGGGCTCGTTGGTTGCTTCCCGTCACAGTCTTCGTTCCTTGGTTCAGTTCGCAGCCAAGAAGAACATCACACCGACTACTATGGAGTTCCCTTTGACAGCTGATGGTGTTGAGGAGGCCATGGAGACCCTCCGCAATGGAAAGATGAGATACCGCGGTGTCCTGGTTCGCCAGTGAATCCGATAACGATGAGACAGTGATGGGTAGTATAAAACATATATCCAGTTGAATTATAATTGTATACTAGACATAGAGAAATCCAAAAAATTCTGTTACTAAGGAAGTTAGCTGGTGGTAAGATTCCGCATTCGTGTAAGCTCCTTGCAAGCCGGCACCAAACGGGGCCCAGTATGGTAATGAGCGGGTGGTGGGTTTTAGAAAACGTGTAAACAAGAGTTATTCTGAAAGTACCAATCAATTTAATATGCCTTGATGCCGATTTACCTAAATATGTATGCATAGCTATGACCTGGCAAATATGAATTCACGTGTCACAGATCAATGTTTGTCCGAATTATCCAAAGCATCAACCTTGGCCCGTAAGTTCCGGAACAATTCAGCCTTCTGCTCTTGAGTCCTACCCGTCTGTGGGACATCGACACCCTTTTGGACCGCGGCACGTTGCTCAATATTATCGACCCACTTATTCAATGAGGGGAACTCAGAGAGATCAATTTCAATAGTGATAGGCGCAGCTCGAACCCAAGAGAAATTTGCGATATCGGCAATGGTATACTTCGAACCCGCGAGATAAGGGCTATCCTTCAGGCGTGATTCGAGGACCGAGAACAGACGCTTGGTTTCATCGGTGTATCGCTTGATTCCGTAGTCCGAGCGCACGCCAGCAAAGAGACGGAAGTGGTTTGCTTGGCCTGTGGGATATTAGAAAAAGAGTATGTGTACTAGATGTTGACCTGTACATACCTTGCATTGGCCCAAGACCTCCCATCTGGAACATCAACCAAGATGTTTGTTCAACGTGCTCGGGTGTGCCAGGGGCATAACTGATCTTGCGATCGGTGTCGTACTTTTCAACAAGATATTGCATAACCGCTCCGCTCTCAAAGACACGTTGCGAGCCATCGAGGATGGCGGGGATACGGCCGTTGGGGTTGATCTTCAGGAACCATCTTTTTAGAGACGCTTATCAGCAAGTTCTTTGGTCCTGTAAGGAAGGGTTTCATACTCTTCCTTCTGACGATTCGAGCTGATGTCAATCCCCTCAACTTTATAAGGCAAACCAAGCTCCTCAAGGGTAATTGAAGCCTTGATGCCGTTTGGCGTGGGCCAGGTATATAAGGTAATGTTTGAAGACATAGTGGAATATTGTGCGGTAAAGGCGGATGAGATTCGAGAAAGTCTAGATATAGTTTTCAGTGAATCGAAGAACATGAGGAAGAGGATGAAAGGGGAAATATAAGCCAATTGGTAATGCTTGACGTTAACTAAGGTCGGCGGAAACGTCAATTTGTCAGCTCGGCATTAAACTATCACGATGATGTAATTGATTGAAATATCCCCCGAGCTTACAGCATTCAACCATATATTTTGTCTATGTATTGTATACATATGGAGTACTCCAGGCTGTAATACAGTCTTGATGTTGATTCTCAGTGAGAATCGCAACAAAAAAGCTCCGAGGGGCTGTCTTCTATCATAAGGACCTCTAAAGACCCACGCCCACAATCTTCTATACGCAAATAAAATCAAACGTACTAACTCTTTGTTGATATACATGTATGTAGTTGAGAAAACAACTGTGCTCCCCATCACCTGAACTTATCGGCATATGGAGAATTGTGTATAGTTGAAATATGAACTCGTTGTTCCACAGATGAGGGGCAATATGGTTGCTTGGCTCGAACTCGAGAATACCTGCAACTCGTATAACTACCTTTATAGATACACTCTCCGCGCAATACATCTCAAATTCGAGATTGATGCTCCTCAGTCAGTTCAATTGAGCCAAAGCTAGTCAAGTCAGAATTGTTGCTTCACTTACAGGAGACTGTAAGCTGAGAGGGGTACCTCCAACTCCTCGTCGGAACATTTTATTTTGTTAGTTTTCAATGTGTATATAACTATATGATTTATTTCTCGTATTCAATTTATAAAAAAACCCCAGTCCACACCCAAGTAGGTTGTATCTCTCTAGATTGGCTGTGGTTCTTTTTAAGTAGGAAAACGACCATCTTAATTACATCCATTGAGCAGAAAGAACACTGTCTAAGTTCAGGGTTAGTTTAGCCAATATTGCTCAAAGGAAAGGAAGAAACCTTGGGAGTATCCGGAGGATTTGGAATGAGAGGTAGCATTCAACGTGCTATGTATATACCCGTAACACAGACTGCCCGTGGACCACCTCCCCTAAAATAAGATATTTGGGACCTAGGAGGTCAAATAACAGAGACTCTGAGTTTGACTGATGTAATGGGAATTTATTCCATTAAAAAAATAAAAAAATAAAACCTATAGCTAAAACCAAGAAGAAATCCGGGTAAGTGCCGCCTCATCATAAACTATAGCTAGGCGAACTCTTGAAGCAAGCTTCTCTCTTTCAACATTAAAGTACGAAGTACCCGCATTCAAACAGGCACTTTTGATCACATAGTCCAGCTATTGTGATAGCTAGTGGAAACATCTATTTTAGATTAGAGATCCTTGCTTTCTACGACACAGATTACCTACCATACCCACAGGCATGGTCATGCCATGGCACATATTATAGACAGTGTGGAAAACGTAATACGAGAATTGTTACAACGCTCAGATGTTCCAATAATAATATGTAGCATAACACCACCAAACAAATATTGAACGAGTCAGATTTGCTGTTGTTTTCACCCCTTGCAGCAGGGCACATAAACATTACTTCCAGATAATATCTACCATATGGATCCTAGTCAGTGCCTTTAAATTGCCGATTCCAGCGCGATTCTATAGATTCTGACATGAAACAAGTTACGAAGGATCGGATATTTGATCTGCAATGCTACCATATTGTGCTCATCGCCAATAACCTTATGTAGGGAAGACGCCAATCAATCGTAAGCATGAACCCATTTAATTTACCTGATTATGACTGAAATGTACGGAGTACTTCCGACTGTTGTGAAAACTATGGGAGCTTTAGATCTAAAAGCGGAGCTATAACGGAAGTCGGGAAAGGGAAAAACCCCCGGTCCCCACACTCCCTAGCAACAGAAAAGTCGTAAGATCAAGAAAAAATTGGTTGACAATGTGACTTGCATAGGGCTTCCAGAGATTGCAAATCCATCCCCAAACTTCTCCAAGGGATGATCACGTTAGTGTAAAAAGAAAGTCGATCCCCACATGGCTTCAGCCACGAGTCCCGTAGCGTTGCAACCTAGAGACTGCCGCTCGAGCCTTCGCCGAAAACCATTTTACACGTCGCCGGAGATGGAAGTCAAGGCTCTAAACCCACAGGGTCACCGAATGATGATGCGATCATCTTTCAATGTACCGCTTTAGTACTCCGTATATCCCTTGGTGATGGTGCGCTTTGGCAAGAGTCATGTATTTTCAAGATTTAACTTAGCAATGGAACAATTAGCCCAGTCTGGATTTGGCCACTAGTTTGGCTCAAATTACAACCTGGAGATGTACATCGGTAAGCCACGCTTACGGGGCAAATGACCGGCATGGTCCAGCCGCAAACATCGGGGCCGAATGTCTCTTGAAAGACTCATAGTTCTCGCTCAATATCTCCGATTTTTTTTCTCAAGTCGGACTCTTACTCTCCGAGGGTAATCCGTGCCCGAGGGAATAGAATTCTTGCCAAAGAAAGTGGGCTGCGTTAGCGTGAGAGGCCCAATGCAAAAGAGCGAGAGCTTAAACGAATTACCACGAATCGCACCCCCAGATTTCCACTTTTTCTCCGCAAAACCCAAATTGGGAAAATGAGGGGTGAGATTGATGATCAGGTAGTATTTGCTTATATAGTTTTCTCCAGTCAATACTGAATGCAGGTTGACTGTGCAAAAATCTGACGGTCGTGTGAACTTACAACTCTGAAGTCAAAAATATTCGACGGCCAAGCCTTTCGCAGGCAACATTGACAAGGATTAGCTTGTTTGAGCCTAATTAGCGCTAGTAAGTGAATCGGCGGCTCGCCTTTCAGCCATTCTCCTGACCCACGAATCAGAAGCCTAGTTCTCGACCAAAAAATTACTAGATACCAGCCCGTACCTTTCTGTCTCATTCAGAAAAGAATTACGACTGTGGCGGTCGGTCTCCTGGAAACGCCATCCCGAGCACGGCGATCCTGATTTTTTCTCGATAACCTGTCTTATTAAACCCCATGGGGATTGGGGAGTCAAAATTGTTGAATTTCTCGGCGTAGACCCGGGTGGGGAAGTGCCTGCAGTAATTAGTTGCAAAACATGTGAAACAAATACTGAACATTCCAGGAACAGAAGAATACGTCCGAACTTCCTTTCGCCTGATCTACCTGCACATGGGCTGACCGGGATCCCGGTCCAGGGCAAAAACAAAAGCCACGAGATAATTCCTGGGGTCTGAGCCAAATGCATGCATCTGAGTACCCTTTTAGTGGTCGGACACGCCGGTAGAAAGAGGCAACATGCAAGGTGCGGGATCTGACTCTCTGAGTTTGTGTAGCAACCATTGGGTGCTTCGAATCCTTGTAGTATTATTTCGTCTGCCGAGAACAAGCCGCCGAGAAAGACCCAGTGTTTTATTCTCTTTATGGTTTAGTCTTTCCCCATGGGTAAAAACCCCCACAAGTCACACCCCAGATTGGTGTTCGCTTTGGGAAGTAGATCAGACTTGAGAAATCAAGTCAATGAAACTAGCATTTTTCTGGGTCTAGTCGTGAGGTCTGACATCTTTTATTCAGGCGTCCAATCAAACCAAATGTCTCTTGCCAAACGGGCTGGCATAGGTAAAGATGTGAGGGCCATAAAAGGCTGATTCCCCCCTAGGATTCAACGGCCACTATTCATGACTTTATTTGTTGGTGCAATTGTCTGATCTCTAAGCCAGGTCTTTCTATGAACGGTGCAGTTGGTTGCCTTTCCAACTCGTATCCTTTCACTTTATTTTTCTTCATATACTAAAGAGTCAACCTAGCCCACTAATCCTTATTTCTTCCTTGGCTCTAACTGAAAGTCTTAGCCTCAAAGAAGATTATTCAACATGGATAAAGAGGCCATTACACAAGTTGGCTCTGATCAGCGGTGAGTTTCAATTGATTTTCTTTCGGGCATCGAACCTATCTGACTCCTCATCTAGCTCTAGCGATGATCACAACAGTGCCGAAAAGGGGTACTTCGAGCAAGTCGACCTCCACAACAATATCTCTGCCAAGTAAGCTAACTGCCGCCCCAAGATTTTGACTGCTGCCCTACGCGTATAGCCCCGACTACTGTCTTTATTTTTTACTACATACCCCTTTTGTTTGCTGGATACAACCACTGCCGTATCTTCTTCATCACGAATTCTGACCGCATTATAGAATCAAGAACCCGTTGGCTCACTTGACCAAGAATCAAATCATCCGTGACGTTGAAGAATTCGCTCAAGAATACAACGTCGCAGATATTCTCCCGGAATTGAAGAAGGGAGCGCTAGTTGCCCGGGATCCTGCCGAGTTTGAAACGGTGACAGACTTGAACGAGACCGAGCTTACTGCGCTACGCGACGAAGTGCTTCACAAGTGGCGTCAGCCCAAGCAACTCTACTTCACAATCATTCTTTGCTCCATCGGTGCAGCAGTACAGTATGTAAAACTCGCAAAAGCCTCGCGTGCAATTTCTAACATCACCATAGAGGATGGGATCAGACAGGCTCCAATGGTGCCAACCTGTCATTCCCTGATGCCTTTGGAATCTCAGACCAGAAGGGAGCCCCCAATGCGGATCGAAACCTGTGGCTTGTTGGTGTCATCAATGCTGCTCCCTACATAGCTAGTGCAGTTCTTGGATGCTGGCTTTCAGATCCATGCAATCGTTTCCTAGGCCGTCGCGGCACAATCTTCATGTCCTCCATCTTTTGTGTCCTTACCCCCATTGGCTGCGCATTGACCCAGACTTGGGTCCAATTGTTCATTGTCCGTCTACTCCTCGGCATTGGTATGGGTCTCAAGGCTTCAACAATCCCCATCTTCTGCGCCGAGAACACTCCTGCTGTTATCCGTGGTGGTTTGGTTATGTCTTGGCAACTCTGGACAGCGTTTGGAATTTTCCTCGGATTCAGTGCCAACCTTGCAGTTAAAGACACCGGAAGTATCTCCTGGCGCCTCCAATTGGGATCCGCATTTATTCCTGCTGTTCCCCTCCTTTTCGGTGTCTACTTTTGCCCTGAGTCTCCCCGTTGGTATATTCGACGAGGCGAGATGAGCAAGGCATACCGATCTCTTTGTCGTCTGCGCAACACACCCTTGCAGGCTGCTCGCGATCTTTACTACATCCATGCCCAGATCAAGATCGAGTCGAGCTTGATTGGTGAAAGCAATTATGTTACTCGATTTGTGGAGCTTTTCACTATTCCTCGCGTTCGCCGTGCCACTCTTGCGTCTTTCGTCGTCATGATCGCCCAGCAGATGTGCGGTATCAATATCGTTGCCTTTTACTCTTCTACCGTGTTCTCCAATGCTGGTGCCAATGACACAGAAGCCCTCTTTGCCTCCTGGGGCTTTGGTCTGGTCAACTTTTTGTTCGCTTTCCCGGCTATCTGGACTATCGATACCTATGGTCGTCGGTCTTTGCTGCTGTTTACTTTCCCGCAAATGGCTTGGACTTTGCTTGGAGCTGCATTCTGCTTCTGGACACCCGAGGGCACAAAAGCTCACTTGGGCTCGATTGCTTTCTTTGTCTTCCTATTTGCTGCTTTCTATTCTCCTGGTGAAGGTCCTGTTCCTTTCACTTATTCAGCAGAGGTGTTCCCTCTTTCCCATCGTGGTATGTTTTATCTCCACTGATTATCATTTTTTGGGTCTATGGATCTACTGCTCAGAACTAACCGGTTTTTTCAGAGGTCGGCATGTCTTGGGCTGTGGCAACCTGTCTGGGATGGGCGGCTGTGCTCTCCATCACATTCCCCAAAATGTTGGCTGTGATGACAGCGACTGGAGCATTCGGCTTCTATGCGTAAGTCTACAAAGCCTGCTATTTATCTACTTCGTGTCCTCAACTAACGATTCAATACAGTGGTTTGAATGTGACTGCTCTGGTCATGATTTTCCTTTGGGTCCCTGAAACCAAACAGCGCACCCTAGAAGAGTTGGACTACATCTTCGCAGTTCCCACCCGAGTTCACATGAAGTACCAGGTTACTAAGGCGCTTCCTTACTGGTTCAGGCGCTACATTTTCCGCCAGAATGTTACATTGGAGCCTCTATACAAGTTTGACCATCTTGCGAGTGGTGCTGAGGTTGATGCTGCTTCGCGGAAGCAGAGTGTTGTCTCTGAGCACATCAAATCGTAGATTGGCCTGTTTGACAGGCTTATTCTTTGGTCGTTTATAATGTTTTACCAGCTTTGGAATTTTTGTATATCCAGTCAACGAGTTATGGGCTTGGGTGTGGAGACGATAGATGAAATATTTCCGATGATACAATATGTTCTTACGCTTTCAATTTTTCAACCGCTCACCTGGAGCCCTAAGAAATCTTCTCTGCTTCTCCAACAAAAACTCTCCCACATTCCTCCTTTTCGTTTGTCAATGTGAGTCACGTCCCGGCTTTCTCAGCCTTTCAAGGCAAGATATATGACAGTACTCATATCAAACCTGTTGCTTTAAGCCCCAAGACATCCGGAACCTCACCTCACCATGACGACCAGGAATTGACTTCAAATTGACCTGGCATGCCCCTACGCAAGAGTCACTATCTTCTTAAAATTCACAAAATACGACAGCCCTCAATGAATGAGCTTTGCAATCTGTCTTGAAGACCAGAAAAAGAATCAAGTTCCATTCAATCCGATCATAGGGAAATAATTTCCATCAAGTACATAGATGTCGTATTGCAGTACTTAGTTCGCTCCACAGTAACCCATGGTTGCTGGGCAATCAGCTGTGGAGATGAATATGATAAAAAGTTTTGTTCTGTTCTTTATGATTTTGCTCAGTTGATGAGGTTGATGATATAAATTAGAAAAGTCATAAAGTTCAAGTCATATAGGTTATGAGGATATACCAGGAAATTAGAAAAAGAAACAGAAACAGAAGATGAAGAAGAAAGCTTTCTTGATAAGGTGTATCACGTGGGGGTTCGACAGCCGCTTCATGTTTTGGTCCACATTCGCCCCTCATCATCACCTTTCAGCTCACAGGGGGTTGTCCTTTTTTTCTCTACTTCTTCCCCTTTCATTTAAAGGTCATTTGGGTCCTTGGATCTGACTTCCCTTTTGATCAGTTGACTTTTTGATATTCTCAAAGATACTTGGGACCTGTCATCGTGACCCTTTCTGAACAGCAAAAAATATCACGCACCAGCAGCTGCAGTGGAGCTTAATAGAACTACTGTGGGCTGCTGGGTGAGTTGAAACCCACCTCAAGTTACCTTGACCGCTTCTCCATAGCTCACGTTTTGACCGGCGGAAAAAAAAATAAACCCTTCCTTGCTTTTGTTCTCTCAATTTGGTTTCACATCTCCCACCTTCTACCCGATTATTTCTTTCTTTAGTTGCGGGGCAAACTTGGCCGTGCGCATCCGTTGGACCTTCTCCACAGTGCGACCTCCATTCATCATTTCTCATCGCTCACAATGCCCTGCTTCAAAGGGCTCGCCGTGAGCATCCACACCCCGGATGGACCAATCTCCGAATACTCCATTCAACGCCAATCTCGAGCTTCACGGATAGGTTGTTTCATTCCCGTTCCTCCGCCCAAAGTCCCCGAATCCGGGTCAGCTAAAGCAGAACAATCAACCTTCGCCATTTCCATTACCCTCCTCAACCCCGAGCAAGATGTTCCATACTCCACCCCGAAGCCGACAGCGGACTGCCCCTCCCCGAAACCAAAACAAGTGGGCAAGTTGGCTGGTGAGCCAGGTCAAATTGCCGGAGCGGTCGCACCCTATCAGGGCCTGACTAAGTCGCCGAACGAGACCGTGGCTGCATACATTTATTTCGACGGGAGACAGAAAGAGGAAGTGGCCACACTGCTGCGGAGGGGAGAGGAGACCTGGGTGAACTCGCGCTGGGTCAGCGTACCCGATTCTGAAGGCGGAGGGATTGCCGAGCGTGAATTCCTGTTCCGCGAAGTTGGCCTGGAACGCTGGCTCAACGGGTTGGACCTAGAAGGCAAGGATGCAGCGGCCAAGATTGAACGCAGACGTCAGAAGATCGAGAAGCGACGTGTAAAGCGCGAGGAGGAGCAGACCGCCATGGAATTGGAAGACAATCATCCGGCCAGATCCAAATCCATTATGCGATATGGCAACGATGAGAAGTCGCCCCTCGAAGATGTTTCCGATGACGATCTTTCATCCGACTCGGACGATGACGATCCTATCCCCGAGACAGCGGGCCAGATCAAGGTCGCTTTATTCCGGGTGTTGGCATCGGGAGAAATCAAGCGGGGCGAGTACTCGCCGCAATTCGATGCACACGATGACGAAGAAGGTGGCCAAGAAAACAGCAGTGGAGGGGATGCCGATGTTGATCATACCACGAGCTTCGCAAAGCCCAAATCACTCGATCCCAAGACCATCAGCACGCAGACCGTTACTGGAATTGACCCCAGTGATAAACCATACGCCATTTTCACTTTCATGTACCGAGGTGAACGTAAGTGCTCTCTGGATGATTATTGAGGTGATCACTTTTAACCTTGCATTTAGGACAACTACAAAAGATGGGTATATTGAAAGATACGAAAGCGCAAGAGACACCTGGTCACACAAAGCGCAAATCGATCCATGATGATCTTGCAAACCTTGGTCCGATCAAGCCTGGCGGAGCTGTTGGATTCTTGAACTTCCGGGACAACGAACCCAAGGCGCGCACGGGCAAGAAGAGCGACGATGACATGGATAGCGATGATGATGATACCGACAACCCAATCCTTGGCAAGGCAGATGATGAAGAAGCCAAGGACGATGATCGGTTCTTGTCTCCAGATGACATCAAACGTCAAGGCGAGCTGGCGGAGAGCATGCGGAAGATTCGAGTAAGTACGGCCCTGCCCAATATTAATCCTTGCTAACAATGCCTCAGCTCAAGCGTCAACACTCTGCCGAACCCCCCGGAGGCAGTGTTGGCGACTCTGTTGATACCCCAGCCTCTGGTTCTGGATCGACCCCTCCGGCAATTGAACGCTCGACCACACCTCCGAAGGGTGCTATCACTACCACCGGAGCTGAGGCATCTCAGCCAGCAGCCGAACTTTCGGACGCACTCTTCGGAAGTCCTTTGAAGAAGCAGCGGGCGAGTGTCTCTACAGCGGACGAGAATGCGCTGAGACGCCGAATCGCCGAGTCATCCGGTAGAATCAACGAAGTCCTCGGTTCTTCTGCACCCGAACCAACACCGAGCATCTCGACATTCGGTACCGAATTCAGTCTTACGCCTGAGCTTTCGGCTGGACCCCCAGCCAACGATGAGGAACTGTAACAGCTTCTATCCTCATCGAAAATGGGTTCATTTTGGGTGGTCTGATCTCTTGTTTGAACCGGGCCTATGTTTTCGTTTTGAGAAGTATTGGCCTGTTTTTACTGTGGTCCTTACAGAACTGGGATTTTTGCGGGTTGGCGGAAACTTTGCCATATACCGGGCCCCTTGGAAATGCCCATGTTGCTTTCTACAATTACGCCGTTATGTCCACTACCTACACTACAGGGAGCATGTCGAAGGAATACATTGGCTGTGCCAGTCGGGCAGCTTGATTATGACAGTGATATTTTATAAACAGAAACGTAAAAAAGGACTAGGGATAGGAATGTATTTAGCCTATAGATCAAAAGGTGTGAAAACAGTAAAGTGTCAAATTTGCATTGTAGTTTCACATTCGAAGATCTGCAACCTTTTAAAACGCATGGCTCAAATCTATATCCTATAACCTATGTGCATATGAACATAGGCATGATCCAACACATTCTCCGACCAATATCTGCATTTCGCAGTGTTGTGGTCCCCGGCTCCTTCCCCCACCAAATCAGAGATTGTACCCGTTTGAATCTCAGTTCATTGACAGCTCAGCCAAAGAGAACAACACCCAACCACCTCATACTCATTCGATCTAAATCCGCAATGCCACTCAACCGCTCAACAGACCCCTTGGTCTGGATCGATTGCGAGGTACATTTGCCAGATCAGCTCCAAATGCGGCCCTGCTAACACCCACAGATGACCGGTCTCAATGTTGAAACCGACAAGATTCTCCAAATCTGCTGCTTCATTACAGACGCACAGCTCAACCTCCTTGAACCGAATGGTTTCGAGACCGTCATCCACGTATCAGACTCCACCCTCAACAACATGGGAGAGTGGTGCATCGACACGCACGGGCGCACGGGCCTCACGGCCGCCGTGCGTGCCTCGACCACTTCCCCCTCCACAGCTGCAGATGCTCTACTCGACTACATCAAGCAACATGTTCCAACCCCGCGCACTGCCCTGCTCGCTGGCAATAGTGTTCATGCCGACAAAGCATTCCTTGCATGTGAACCGTATGCCAAGGTGTTAGAGCATCTCCATTATCGCATCTTAGATGTGAGTTCACTCAAGGAAGCGGCACGGAGGTGGGGGAGTGATGAGCTACTACAGCAAGTTCCGGTGAAGAAGGAAGTTCACCTTGCGAGAGACGATATTTTAGAAAGTATTGAGGAAATCAAGTTCTACAAGGAGAAGCTGTTTTCTTAGGTTTTTGGGCTATATGGATAACCAGGGAGCTATTTGTGGCTTGTCTCTATTCTGAGACATGGGGGTCTGAGACTCGGAAGAAAAAAAAATGGTTGAAATCTTGGAAATCCCATGAAAATCTTTTCCCTCTAGTTTTGCATATTGAATCTGTCTACATATTGTATATATTGTATGTACATCAATTGGGCCAGACTGCGGCATTTACAATTCCCCGGGAATGATCTGCGGGCAACTGGTTCAACGGCCTTTGGGCATTGATTGTAGAACCAAGTAGCTAGTTAGCTAGGCAGAGTAACAGGTCTGTATAAGGACAATGTAGAAAATATTTAAATTAAACCTGGTAAGTACATATATGTAGATGTGGCAAAGAGATACTTTGTAGTACTTTGTAGTACCTGTGTACCTGTAACAAAATGCAAGTAAATCAAGTAACTCAAGTACCTGTCTAACTGGTGGATGATAAACACATGACGCCCCTCCCGAGCTACAAGTCGGTGAACTTTCCCCTCCCCCTCTGTTTTCTTTTTCTTCCCCCCTTACACCTATCCCTTTTTATTTTCTAATTCATTGTATTTCATCATGTCCGTCCAGACGGTGTCTATTACCCCCTTCACCGACCAGAAGCCTGGAACGTATGTTGCTTGTTACCCCGCCATTGAGAATAACAACTAACCCACCCCCCAGCTCCGGCCTCCGCAAGAAGGTCAAGGTCTTCCAGCAGGCTCACTACTCCGAATCATTCATCACTAGCATTCTCTTGTCGATCCCCGAGGGTGTTAAAGATTCTTTCCTTGTCATTGGTGGTGATGGCCGTTACTACAACCCCGAGGTCATCTCCAAGATCGCAAAGATCAGTGCCGCCTATGGAGTCAAGAAGCTGCTGGTCGGCCAGAATGGCATCATGAGCACCCCAGCTGCAAGCAACCTTATCCGTGTGAGAAAGGCAACTGGTGGTATTCTCCTGACCGCTAGTCACAACCCCGGTGGTAAGTAATTGTTGGGAATAGTCTAAAATTCAGTGGGGGGTGCTAACTAGAAATGCTTAGGCCCCGAGAACGACTTTGGTATCAAGTACAACTTGGCCAACGGTGCCCCTGCCCCCGAGAGCGTTACCGATAAGATCTTCGAGACCTCCAAGACCCTGACTTCCTACAAGATCGCCGACGTCCCCGACGTTGACACCACCACCATTGGCACTAAAAGCTATGGACCCCTCGAGGTTGAGGTCGTGCACTCTACTGCCGACTACGTGACCATGATGAAGGAGATCTTCGACTTCGATCTGATCAAGGAGTTCCTGAGCTCCCACAAGGACTTCAAGGTGCTGTTCGACGGCATGCACGGTGTGACCGGCCCCTACGGCGTGGACATCTTCGTCAAGGAGCTCGGCTTGCCCGCCAACAGCACCATGAACTGCCAGCCCAAGCCGGACTTTGGCGGTGGTCACCCCGACCCCAATCTGGTATATGCTCACGAGCTCGTCGAAGCCGTCAACAAGAACGGCGTGCACTTCGGTGCGGCCAGCGATGGTGATGGTGACCGTAACATGATATACGGTGCCAACACCTTCGTCTCGCCCGGTGACAGCTTGGCTATTATCGCACACCACGCCAAGCTCATCCCCTACTTCAAGAAGCAGGGTGTCTACGGTCTGGCACGTTCCATGCCCACCTCCGGCGCTGTGGACCGCGTGGCTGAGGCCCAGGGTCTGCAGAGCTACGAAGTTCCCACCGGCTGGAAGTTCTTCTGCAACCTGTTCGACGAGAAGAAGATGTCGATCTGCGGTGAGGAGAGCTTCGGCACTGGTAGCAACCACATCCGCGAGAAGGACGGTCTGTGGGCCGTTGTCGCTTGGTTGAACATCATTGCCGGTGTCGCCAAGGAGAAGACCAACGAGACCCCCAGCATCGCCTCCATCCAGAACGAGTTCTGGCAAACCTACGGCCGCACCTTCTTCACCCGCTACGACTACGAGAACGTCGACAGCGAGGGTGCCAACAAGGTCGTCAAGACTCTTTCTGACCTCGTTGCCAACCGTGACACCTTCATCGGCTCATCGATCGGCACCCGCAAGGTCACTGATGCCGGCAACTTCTCCTACACCGACTTGGATGGCAGCGTCTCCAAAAACCAGGGCCTGTACGCCAAGTTCGACGACGGCAGCCGTATGGTCGTTCGTCTGTCCGGTACCGGCAGCAGTGGCGCTACTATCCGTCTGTACGTTGAGCGGTACGAGGCTGACAAGACCAAGTTTGGTCTGAATGCCCAGGAATATCTCGCCGAGAACATCTCGCTGGCCCTCTCCCTGCTCAAGTTCAAGGAATATGTCGGCCGCGAGGAGCCCGATGTCAAGACCTAAATCGGGAATTGTTGTAAGGTTTAGTGTGGAACCTGCTGGATGGGGATCACCTTTTAATTGTTTTGAAGTTCCATGATCTGAACGAGAAGAATGATGATCGAAAAGCAGGATCAAGAAGAATATCAACTATGTTGGCATGCGATAGAAAAATACGTTTATAGCTTAATCTGAGCCTGTCTTGAATCAATTTGGTTTCCGTAAACCTATAAAATGGATGCATCATCCAAAATTCATACCTCATAGCATCATTAGATCATGAATACATACCTCATCGAATCTACGTCTTGAATGCAGCAGCAGAAGCCTTCAACTTCTCATCCCACCAACTCTCCCATTTAATAACCCTTTCGTCTCTCCTCGCCTCCTCAGCCGCAAAGACAACAGCATGACTCCGAACCGCCTCTTCAAGCGAACAACCAACAAACCGCGTCTGGGCAGTCTCAACATCCAACCCATCTTCAACCGCCTCAACAGCACTGACAAACTGTCTCGCAAGCCCGTAATCCCCACCACCATGCGACTCTTTCTGATCAGGCGGCGGCTTGGGCACATTGATAATTTCAGTCTTAGCGGTCGCAAAATCATACACCGAGATAGTGTGGCTATCATACGCAATCTCACCAGTCGTACCGTAAACACGGCCCCGTCTTTCACACTGTTTCTCTGTAGGAGCAATCATATGAAACGAGGCCGTTTTAGCCAGTCGATGCGGGGCAACCCCCTCATCATCCCAAGCGATAGTCACAACCTGATCGTCGCAGACATCATTGTCAGCCTCATAAACGCAGCGCCCATACCAAGGCCGCGAGGCGATGCTCTCATCAGCCACGGTTTTTTTATCATAGTCTTCGCCGAGACGAGAGAGAAGCAGAGACTCGGCTGCTTCGCTGCCGCGCGAGCGGAAAACATCCTCGATATCCGGACAGACAATATCAACCGGCCATGCAATGTGTCCTGTAACAAGGTGGCGATCATTATAGATTCTGACAGCGCTATAGCTACAGTTCCGCTCGACGGGACAAGAAACACAGTTAGTCGCGTCGCCAGCGCCAGCAGGCTTACGTGCACGACGGAACTGCGTCATCGTCCCGACAGAGGATATCGAGCGTGGGAAATGCGGCTTGCAGGCTTGTGCTTGCGAGCTATCTGTCTCATCCGGGGAAAGAGGTGAACAAAGCAACCAAAGAATAAAATCAATATCATGACAGGATTTTGTAAGAAGAGATCCATCACCCGCAGCAGTAGCACGTCTCCAATTTCCGCGCACATAGCTATGCGAGAAATGCCACCAACCAACAGGTTCACAGTGTTCAAGGGAGACAATATCACCAATGGCACGATCAGCCAGGAGTTTCCGAAGCTGGATATTATGGGGACTGTAGCGAAGGACATGGCCAATTGAGAAAATGTTCGTTGGCGGCGCGGGCATTCCCAACTCATCGGGTGGTTGAAGCGTACGATACACGCTCAGGCAATCATCAAGCGAAAGTGCAAGCGGCTTTTCACAGAGGATATGGAGTCGCAGGGGCGCAAGAGCACGCACAATTTCAACATGTGTTTCGTCGAGCGTGCAGATGAACACACCATGCACACCAACCGCAGTATGCGGATCATGCTGAGCGCGTTCCCTGCGTTCAACTTCCCACTTTATCCAATCGCGCCAATCGCTGAATTCCTGTCCCTCGCTCGCCGACTCGGCCCATATGTAGTTCTTGCCGAAAGCGCGGCGCTTGGAGATATGTGGCTCGGCAATGGAGTGGATTTTACCTGCTGTTGCTGTTGTTACGGCGCGAGCGTAGGCATTTCCTCGTGAGCCAGCACCTATTACTAGGAAGCGGAGGGGTTCGGGGGAGGATAAGGAGTTGGCAGGGGCGTTGATTGATGTTGGGATTGGTTCTTTCATCGTGGGAGGTTGGCTGATGCTAATTTGTGGAGGCATAAATTGACTTATTCCATCTTTGAACAAAGGGCAGGCACTTATAGTAGACGATGAGTCTGAACACGAGAAGTCAAGTAGAGAGAAGAGGAGAAAGAGGAGGTTACTATGGGCGCGTTGCATTTGCGGGGAACGGGGTATCAGCAATAACCCCCGGGCTTTGATTGGCTGCGGGCAACTATATAGTCGCTCGTCAAGGTATGTCATTTGAACTGAGATCTTCTCGTTCTATTGTTTGTACCTCCTATCTCATCTCTTGCTTCTCTGTTTGCTCTCTTTTCTTGTTATCAGTGCCCGACTCCTTGTCAAAAATCATCGCAACCTCTTCCAAAGACCGCCCCTTCGTCTCGGGGAATAGGAAGTAAATCAAAACCAAGAACACAACCAAACACCCGATAAAGACACAATAATACCTCCATTGAATGGCAGTAAATGCCACTGGATTGACATATTGATTGAAGAAGCACGCCACAGCATCCACAGAGAGCGTTACAGCAATACCCTTGGCACGCATTTGAAAGGTTAGGATCTCAGCTGGATACGAGAGGAAAAGAGGCGCATAAGCGATGTTGAATCCACCGAAAAAGATAAAAAGCAGGGGAACCACAGCTATTCCCGCAGAAGATATATGCTTCTCGGTATGTAGACCGGCAGCTAATGTGGACATTGACAAGAAGACCAGCATGATAATAGTGGATAAGAGCCAGAGAATGCGACGACCATATCGCTCTGATGCGACTGCGCCAGTTGCTGAAAGGAGGAAGCTCCATACCTGTAGACTCACATTAACGGCGGCTTGGTCGGCTGCTTTGGTGATTCCCACTGATTGGAGGATTGGGGCGAGATAATAAGACAGGATACCTGCGAGACTGTTAACTGGTTTAACACTTGGATATTGGAATACCTGGTTCCTACCATTTCCAGCCCATTCTTGCATCAATCCAACCAAGACACAGATGGCGAGACGGTGCATATCGCCTCTCGATGAAAAGAACGAACTCCAATTCCTCGAATTGGACATTTCGGCCGTGATTGTGGTGCATATGAGATGGAACTCATGCTTCACCAACTCGTCGTCTGGACTGCCATTGGCATGATACTTCTCCAATGTAGCCAATGCTTCATCCTTTCGGTCCTTTGAAACAAGCCATCTTGGACTCTCAGGCACAAAGAAGATCAACCCCAGAATTTGAAACAACGGATACGACACCTGCAGCAGACATGGCACCCTCCATGACCAGCTATTCGCTATACCTATCGTGGCATAGGTAACTGCCGCTGATCCAATGGCCCCCAAGTACCAAGAGGCATTGTAGAGAGCTGTGGCCGTCTGTCGCTGACGCGGATGCGCGATCTCAGTCGCCAAAAGAGGAGCCGCAGTCTGGGCAATTCCCATTCCAACACCGGATATGATCCTCGCACCAAAAAAAGCCCAGTGATTCTGAACCGCCATTCCAATAATAGCACCTACAATGGCAAGGCCGGATCCAATTCCAACACATGTCTTGCGGCCAAAAGTATCAGCTATGTAGGATGCCGGCGCGAAGGATATAAATGCACCCAAGGAAGTTGCGGCAATAATCAATCCGATTATATTGGGGTTGAGGCCGTTAACTATCACGCCAACTGCGGTTTATCCGGTCAGTGTTTTGATATTGTCGTGAGATCAGAGTATACCGACATTCGGGCAGCACCAGTAAGCTATTCACCAAACTTCCAATATATCCGGCCGAAGAAGCAGTGGAATACATAAAGAAAATACTCAGGTTCAATTTTCGAAGCCCCTTGTCCTTTATCCAATTTTGATTTGTGTTGTTCGGTAATGCATCGAGTTTGTCCATCGCGATCTCCATTGAAGGCTCGATCTCCGGCATTATATTTGCTTTGTTCGCCATATTCGCCTGTCGCATGAGCTCGTTCACAATTCAAACGTAAATATAGATACGGCTCTAAATTGTCACTGTGATGATCGGCTAGCTTATATCTTAAACCCATAGGGCGTTTACAGGAGCAAGGGATCAGCATTCTTTTCGACCCAGCAAATCTCCAGCCTTCCCCGGTTCATCTTCGGAAAACTCATGAGATGAATGATCAATAAATAATGAATGAAGGGAGGAATGCCAGATCTAACTACCTCTTTGGGTAATTTGTCCAGCACACAGGTTTAGGATCCTCAATTCCCTCCCCCGTGCAGCATAAATCTATGATCTACATCCAAAAGCAAAAACAATACCTTTAATCTTGCATTATTTCATAGTAAAGTAAAGACTCTCAAGTATACTGACACACGACTCTAGTTTAAAACCATATGAAACCTCATACATCATCATCCCCAACCAGCGAAGCATACCGATTCCCAAGACCACAAAACCCCTCACACTGCCCACCAGCCTTCTCGCCCTTCTGCAAGACCTCCTCAATACCCCAAGCAACCCGTTCCGCACCAACCCTCGCGCCCTCAAGATTAGGAGCCGAAGGACCGAGACGCAAGGATGCCATGCGCCCAGTCATGAATAGCGGCACGTCATTCCTCCACGACAAATCGTTAGTCAGACAGGGCAATCCCGATTTAACCTCAATAGGGTATTGATCGTTCATCTGGCGGAGCAATGATATTTCGCGCACGTCGACCCTCGCCCCTGTCGCAAAGTAGATATAGTCGATTGGGGGCAGGTCAGCAATTGGCGGATCAGTTGTCAGAGTCCAGGTTTCTGTTTGCAAGTTGTATTCGTGGGATTTTATCTCTGTGCAGGGGTGGATGGAAGCGCGGTGTCGGGCGGCGTGTTGTTTCACTATTTTTGTGTAGCGAGGTGTGATACTTCCTCCATTTCGGGCGGTTTGAAGCATTTCAAGGCGTTCTATCACTTTTAGTTCTGGATCGATATTAGTATTAGGTATATACATACCTTCGTCGGTGTCGGCAGACCAGAAGGCAGCTTTTTCCCAGTTTTTATACTTGCCCATCCAGGGCAGACTGATATCGAAATGTTTAACTGGTTATGGTTAGCTGTGACTCGGTTTTTGTTATCAGGATACTAGACATACCTTTCAGCCCAGAGCGCATCAAGAACCAAACTTTGGTCACTCCTTTCCGAACAGCCATGTCAACAATCTGGGCGGACGATAGCCCTCCTCCAACAACAACAACATTCGTCTCCTGTCGTCGCTGGATCTTACTTCGTACATTAGAGCTAGGGAACTGTTTGATTTCCATGCTGTGGCAACATGCAGCAGCACCCTCTTGCTCAGTTGATGGCTTCCAGGGATATATTTTTGATACTCCTGCTCCACCTGGTCCAATTGCAAGAACAACAGCCCGGCTATAGAACTTCTCCCCTGTGGAAGTGGTTATCGTGAACATCTTTGACTGCGAGTTATCAGATAGATAACCATATGAGAGATCTGTAGCTTCGCGTTGCAGTATCTGACCCGGTTCATCCAAACCATATCGATCAATGATTGAAGCGCAGTAATCGGTGAACAGATCTGTGGATGGCGAGAAATAATCTTTCCGATCTCGTTCGTCGATTTCTCCGCCAAGTGTTCTATGGATTAAAGTCAGACATACACTCGGACATCTTGACAGAAGTAACTCACTGGTTCTTCCCACCCTGTCTTCTCTTCTTCTTTTTATGTTTACTCATCTCCTTCCCGACACAGTTAGGAATCTCCCACAAGTCCGTATCTCTCCCAGTCTCCTGCGCATAAGCCAACATGCCATCGCGATCACCAGGATCAACATGAAAGAACATCGGACTGCGGAGTTGTTTAATCTCCAATGTCCGAAATGCGTTATTCCAACGCTGCATCCACTTATCGCCCGATCCGTCAAGCACGAGAGTGGAGACAGACGAGGACGAAGAAGTAGAAGAAGCAGATAACGACGGAACGGAAGAAACCGAGTCTGTAGAAGCACGACGCTCTCGTCCCTCTATATCACAAGGACATCTCTTCTCACTATCCCATTTTGCAGCTCGGACGCCGTTTTTTTTGCTGTGTCCTGCTTGAACCAGATTCATCCGGCCGGTGTGTTTCTTGATCCAGTGGTATCGTTGATGTTCTTCATCGGTGAAGACGGCAGAGGGTGTTTCTTCACCGAGTCTTGCGGCAACAGCCAGGCCGCATGGTCCGGCGCCGATGATTATTACGTCGCGGATTTCGTTCTCTTCTGGGAGAGGATGGAGGGAAGACATATCGGGTGTTTAATAGTTGGTCGAATGAATTAAATTTGGGCAAAACAGGATCTAAAACATGGACATAGGGAAACCAAATTCCTTTTATACTGTTGGAATCATAGGCATAGCACCTGCTTCTGCAATTTCCTCAGTCACACGAGTTAGCCATCGAGGTACTCTTCCCCAAGGTCCTTAGGGCTTGCATGACACCATTGTATAGCCCCGGCTCCGCATCTAGCTGGAGATCACAGGAGGGGTGGGCCTGTTAACGTGAATTTACATCCAAGTACAGAAATAAAATTAGGTATGGAGACATCCAGCTCTCCTTTTAGATGGGCGTAACGAACATCGTGCTCCACAATAAACAACACCATACATTGACCACTAAAATGATTAACACGAAGGAACAAGCAGTATCTGTGCTGCATTAGAACTTGACAATGCAAAAAATGTAGGTTTTCTACAGCAGCTGACGATTCTACAGTATGGGCGGGAAATAAGCACACAATCTGAATTGACAGTCAATCTGAGGCTACCTAGGTATTCAGCCGTGAGGACCTTGGGGCTAGATCAACATACACCTGTATTGTTTGACACATATACTACATACATTTAGTAAGCTAGCTACCTAAGAGAAGACTTGGATAGGAGATCAAAGAAATCAAATCATTATCATTAAGACATACATGGGGAATGGTAAGAGATCTCCAAAAACACCAAGCCAGCAAATAAAAGCCAACCATGCTGAATCAACTCCAAAAAAATCCAATCATCCAACCAGAGCCGAGATAAAAGAAACATCTATTTATGCCATTTCTTCGTCTTGGGTTCTCCCTTCGCCCTTTGCACTCCGCCCCCCTCCCTCCTGTGCCAAGCATCCTGAGGCCAAACCCAGCCCCTAACCCTCTTAGCATCCCGCTTCTCCCCAATCTGCGGCTCAGGAATCCACTTATCCTTCGCCTCACTCAGAATCCGCTGACGAGTCAATGCACCAGGCCCGCCAACATTGAGATGAGCAGAAGGCTGTTGCGGAAGCGGCACAGACTTAGAAAGCATCAACAAGAAATACAAAGCCAAGCTGGCCGTCATGGGAGAGTTCGCATCATCCACTTCCTCAAGAAGAGAACCAGGAGAATCACCAGAGCCAATCGACGCAGCTGAAGACGATAAACTAGGCGACATAGGCGTTGCGTCACGACGAGCAGTCTTCAACGGAATGGAAGCAGCGATCTCCAGATATCCAAAATAAGGGACATCATCACCAGCATCGCAACCAGCACGGACACAAACAAGCTCGATCTCTGTGATGATGAAACCATATCGACAGGAGTGTTCGCGCATGCAGCGCTGCAGATGCGCGAGACCATTCAAGTACTCGACACGGCGGTGGGGAGCCTCGTTGCGCATGCCCGTATTCCAACGGTCAAAGCTCTTGACGATGCCGACCAGGCGGCCGCGCGGAAGACCAGCGCTAGTGCAATCTGTGTCTCCGGGGTAATTGGCCAGGAAATGGGGATGGCCGTGATTTTTGTGTCCTGTGCTTCGGACGTCTGGGGCGGCGTAGAGCTGCAGATGATCTTCGCCTTGGGAGACGGCCAAGGCGGCGTTGACTCTTGGTGCGTAAAGGTTCCTGATTAGGGAGACGAGGGCTGGTTCTGATTCTGGCGATAGAGCTGATTGAGACACGGCAACGGGGGGAGTGAGTAGGTGTGGGATTTGGGTTTTGAGGAGTTTGGTGAGTCTGCTGTCTACAGAGTCGAAGCTTTCGAGAGAGAAGGAGGTCCAACTTCTTAGATTGCGGATGTCCCACCAGAAGTAATCGTGGAGACCGCGAGTTGGGATGACACTCACGTTGCGGACTAGTTTGATTGGCTGAATTGATTGGGTCAGATATGAGAGTAAGGTGGTGGTGTTGGTTGTTGTTATTGTCGTTGTTGTCGTTGTTGTTATTAATGTTGTTGAGCGGGGTGCTAGGTCTGTCCCGGGACTCATCAGAGTGGGTGAAGGCTGAGCTGATTCTTGGTAATGGTAACGCGGTGTCGGAACCGTCAATGAATGCTGAGTGTATGCTGGGGCTTGAACATCCGGCTTTTGCGGGTAGGAGGGATACAGAAACCAGCTCTGTATCGGTGTGACTGGAGTGTAGGTAGACTCGACCGGCGAGACAGGTGTAGTGGGATTAGTGTGAGCCTGCAGTTCAGGCACATATTCAGGGAGCCCGCGGTAAGTAGGATACCCGAAGCGGTTTAATATTGCTGAATCGACACCAGAGGCCGAGAACGAGCGTGAGTGGCCACCTGATCGGGGCTTGTTCGGTGGGGTGATGGTGATGGGCGATGACAAGGCAGACCAGCTACCCTGGGGAGCCATTATGAGCGGAGACAATGGAGACGGAGACACCGGAGAGATCAATGTCAAGCGATTTGCAATCTCACGCTTTGGGCGGCTTGTAGGTGGCCGAGCCATTGGGTAAGGTGCGAAGCCAGCCGTGCTCCTTGTGCTTGAGAGAACGCGGCTGCCGTGACGCAGAGGGCCATTGACAGAGACAGGCTCGACGATGGTGTCTTGGGTACGGATCTTAGGCAAAATAGTGGGACCATGGTGATGTATAGATGATGAGGTGGAAGGGCTAGTATTGCCCGTCCTGGTCGACCATGGAGAAGAATCGCTTGAGGAGACAGAATCATGAGTAGAGTTGTTGAGGGAACCCTCACTAGGAGGGCACGTCGGCGTCATTGGCCGATAGTGAGCGTATTCAACAGCGGAAGACATGATAAAGAATTATGTCCTGTTCGTCAACGATCCAGGACAGGAATAAAATGAAAGAAAGAAGTGAACCGAAGGTCTTGAGTCTACCAGAGATCAAGAGAGGAAGGAAGGTAATAAAAGGACATTGAGTAAATGTCAAACAGCCAAGAAGGATGTATATAAAAAGATCGACGGATAAACGCTGGCAGATCTGTAAAAGACGAAACATGGAGAAGAGCCCCATCGTGACGCCAAAGGAATTGAGAACATTTTTTTATAGATCCTGGTCTCCGATCAGGAGGAACTACCATACGATGAAACACAAGATTGCCGACATAGTATACAGAACGAGCCAGGTCGCGGATCGGAAGGTCATGAAACCGCGCCAGTGGAGATACCATTTCCGGTATAGTGCTAGTTTCAAGGACAATCATGCGTAAACTTGTTGCTACAGTTGGCATATGCCGTCGCGAGATTCTTCAGAAATCCAAAAGGAGTTAGTATGCTGCAAGTAGGAGAGTGATATCTAAATACAGCAACATTTCTAACTTAGTAAACAATTAGGTCGCATTTTCCAGGTAAATTAACGGTCTTGTTGACCCTGGCTTGCCTCAGGATTTACCAATTTACCGTGTGGGCGGTTAGGGAGGAGAAATGAGAAGGTTCACAGGATAAAAATAGGTATTTGATGAGGCCCCGGGGGTGATATTGATGTCGGCGGCTACAGAGGTGGGATAGAAGGTCCAGGTAGGCGCTAGGCCGGCGTTATGTGCAGTAATTGGAGGATTTTGATGTGACAAATGTGACATAAATGGAAGCTTTAGAACTAAATGTACCATGATTAGCAACAATTAATTGAAGTTCACATGGAAAGAAATGATATTCCTTGATATTGTTCATAGTACTCCGTCGAGAGTGGTTAGGGTGTTATCGAACCCTTGAAGCGCGCGATGACCCCTGCGTTTCTCAGGGGTTTGTATATGCACAGTAAGTGTTAGAGATCTATAACTATAATTACCTCTAATCTAATAATAAATAACATGTGTTTACAGAGTACGGAGTAAAATATTGTAGTTCGTGACTCCTCAGAAGATATTTGTTATATCATTATTTGCATTTTTGATTATTTTTCATGACATTCATTTCAATTGGGCCGGAATGGGAAAACACCCAGTTGAAGGAAAAAAAGCAAAAGAAAAGAAACAAGAAAAGCAAGGATCCTTCCAAGGATCCCTGCTGTCTATACACCATTTTGGGTAGAAAAAAAAAACGCTCGGGGGAATCTCTCTGAACCGTCTAAATAGTCAAATCCAACGGTAAAGGCAATCACAGAACATCATTAAATAATTGCGAAACAAGGATCTATGCCTTGATCTCGTACTTGCGGCGGAACATGTCGTCCACCTCGGTCAGGTAGTAAACACCGGAGCCGATGGTCTCGACGTTTCCAGTAGGCTTGAAGTCCTTCTTCAAGTGAGCGTGCTCACGGAGCTTGCACATAGCATCATAGGCAGCGGGCTCAAGGACAGTGCGGGCGTTGAGACGGTTCTGGAGGTCAAGCTTCTCAACCATCTCGGAGACATCGCCAACAATCTTAGCGCTGAACATGGAGCTGGCAAGGCCGGAACCGTAGGAGAACAGACCGATGCGCTTGGGCTCCTTGGGGTCGAAGGTGACGTTGCTAAGCAAGCTAGCAAGACCACCGTAGACGGTAGCAGTGTACATGTTACCACACTGGGTGGCGACCTGGAGACCGGGGTTGACACGCTCAGCGAAGCGCTTCTTGGTCAGACCCATGAAGGTCTTCTCAACGACCTTGTCAGAGAGAGACTTCTCGTAGTCGAGATCGCGAAGCTCGGGGGCAACCTCGGCGAAGGCGGGGTGGGTGGGGTTGGCCAGGAAGTCGTTGTAGAGCATGCGGGCGAAAGACTTCTGGACAAGCTTGCAAGTAGGAGCATGGAAAAGGATGTAGTCGAAGCGGTCGAGAGGGGTCTTGGTCTCATCGGCGACACCATTGGTGCCGTTGGTCTGAGCCTTGAGGGTCTTTTCGCGAGCATCGTAGGCCTTGTAGCAGGCATCGACAGCCTCGGTGTAGCACTTGAGGGAGTAGTGGCCGTCGACAACGGGGTACTCGCTGGTCAGGTCGGGCTTGTAGAAGTCGTAGGCGTGGGTGAGGTAGGAGGCACGGAGACCGGCATCGAAGACAATAGGGGCATCAGGTCCAATGACCATAGCAACGCAACCAGCACCGCCGGTGGGACGGGCAGCACCAGCGGCGTACAGGGCAATATCACCGGCGACGACGACGGCATCACGACCATCCCAGGCGGAGGACTCAACCCAGTTGATGCTGTTGAACACGGCGTTGGTACCGCCGTAGCAGGCGTTGACGTTGTCGACACCCTCGATGTTGGTGTTTCCGTGGGGAGTGAACAGCTGCATGAGGACGGACTTGACGGACTTGGACTTATCCAGAAGGGTCTCAGTGCCGACCTCGAGTCTGCCAACGGACTTAGGGTCGATGTTGTACTTGTTCATGAGGGAGGAGAGGGTGGTCAGGGCCATGGAGTAGATGTCTATTAATCCAATGGGTTAGTGATTGCTCTTTTCTCCCTTTTTTCCTCTCATTTTTGACATTGAATCTGAGTAAGGAGGTGTAGTAGCACATACCCTCACGATCATCACAGAAGCTCATCTTTGTCTGGCCAAGACCAATGGTGTATTTTCCGGCACTGACGCCATCGTACTTCTCGAGCTCAGTCTGGTCAACACACTGTAGCGAGAGTTAATAACGAAACAAGACCAATTAAGATCTTAGCGAAATCACTCACCTGAGTAGGGAAATAGACCTCAATGGCCTTGATACCGATGTTCTGGGGACGAGCAGCCATGGCGGGGAATATGGAGGGGAGATAACTTTTTTTTCTGAGAAAGCAGAAGAAGAAGAAGCACACACACAAAAGAAGTGTAAGAGGGTAAAATATAAGAGAGATTGAAATTGAATGTGAGGATGAAAAGAATGAAGCAGATCAGAGGAATAAATAAAAATATATAAAAAAGAAGGCAAATGAAAAGGAGTTGTGTACTCGGATCTACAGTGTACGATCTGTCACCATATACAATTTTTTTTAATTATTTGGTGGAGATCAACACTCGCTGTACACTATTCTACTAGTATTGTACACTGTGTCTTTTCTTTTTCTTTCCTTTTGTCCGATTATCGGATATTGATTTCATTGATTTAATTCACAGCTTTAAAGCTTTACTTTGGGTTGGACATTTTGTACCTCAAGTACCTGAGTACACTCCCCGCGCACAAACAAGTTACTACCAACGCTCAACTATCACTATACTAATATACTAACTATAGTTACTTTGTATACATAACTAGCTATTATTATATACACATCAATTCTACACTGTGATAAAAATTATGCTCTCGAAGCCCAATAAAGCAACACATACATACTCCGTACATCATTAACGTCTAAGCTACAGTGTAGAACTCAGTCCATCTTATCGATCTGCTCCACTTTGAATTCAAGGCTTTTTCCAAGGACTTCACGCTAACGAGGATAGTAGTATAGTACCACCAGGGAACACTCCGTCATGTAGTACTGCTAAACCAGTATATTCCATGGTCTCTCAAGTGTTTTCTTCTCTTTGTCAACTGTGATTGTTTACGCGTTTTCTACATTTTTGGTGATAGGGTCAGCTGACCATGCCTGGGCCGGTTAAAATATTTATCCGGTCAAACTGGAGACGGAGGATCCGGGTCCGTGTGGAGCCACTTGGGCAAGGTAGGGGTATATACTCCGTACAGTGAAAGGCTTTGGAACTTGCATACATACAACGTATGCAGACATCCATGGTTGATGATGGTCCGTATGATATCACTTGCAAACGCTACCCTATGTGCTTTTCAAGGCAATCGGCACCGATTCCTGATGATAAGTCGACATTGCGAACAGTCAAATCTTTATGCGACAGGCCTAAGACATCTAACATAAATATTCGTATGGTGCGGAAATACCAATAGCGACTCTTAAAGCCTTCTACTTACGAGCAGAGCTGAGCCTGCTGGGAAATCTTGTCTAGGTTCCCTCTTCGCTCATATCATTTTCGACCACTTCTTCTCTAGACTGGCCTATGGCCTGGACGATAGATCCTAACTCGCAGTCGTTAATAACTCAAACGCTTCAAATGGGTCGATAATCTGGTACCCACTTCATCCCAAGTATTAAAACGAAGCAATAGATATCTCTTTAGCCCTCCTCCTTTATATCATGCATTTTCAATTCGTTAGAAGGCCTTTAACAGACGGGCGGAATATCATTTTGCACCATATATCTCAGCATCCAATCAATTTCAAAACTGACATTGCGCGCATGGAATGAGTTTCGCGGTTGGCGTTGGTTGAGAGGGCCCCACGGAATAAGCCGTGCATGCGCAGGTAGGGTTTGATGATATTCATAGAACTTGAATTTGATCCCATGGACCACAATCGCGTAAAATCTTCCGAGTTCAGTGTTAGGAATGCTCAAGGACATTCTCAAGTTGCTCTAACGACATCTCTAATTCGTAGTCTAGGCCTTTCGCTTCGGCATATGTATGATCAATGACACTTCGAGCTCCAGGGGACCAACGTCGGATACGAAGGATGATGGAGTCGCCAACGTGGTTGTTTCGGTCTCGTTCTGATGCAACCGAGTAGCTATGAGCCACCGGAAAGTGGTAGTTGAGGACCACGGAAGCCCTTTCTTTCACGGAGTCTGCGTGGGTGGAGCCGTTTTCACCAAAGCGAACGAGCTCTTCGAGGATAGAATGGGAGAGATAGGCTTCCATGACTGTTTAAAGGCGAGAACGCGATACTTTCACGAGAAGGGTTCGCGTGCAAACGAAAATTTGAATTTCTTGGTCAACCCCAGGATGCTTGTGGCTATTGTCCCCTCATGTTCCGCGCCAGCCTGCGCCTATTTTCGTAAGCTTGCAAGGAGGTCAGAGATGATTTACAGGTCCAAAGCGAAAAAGGGCCAAGAACATTGCAATTTTCTCTGCAGTATCGGGTGACAACCTCTCTCAGGTTGTGAAGGTAGACGAAAAAGGGTACTGACAGTCAGGTCCGAGTCTTCTCCGAGAATAACCCTCGCGGCGTTAGACTATGTAGGTAATGTTATATCCCCCTCTTTGAAAGCATGATTCATGTTCATTGATTATAATTATTTTAAATCAGACTAGACAGATTTCCTTATGACTTAACTACGGCCCCGGGGCGAAGGGGCTCGGGATTCTATACGGCTCTCTGTATAACCACGGACTAGAAAGAAGAGCATATTTATGCCCTTGGATTCCCGGACAGATAGATAGACAAATTGATACAATTTTATCTTATATACAAATTCTTTCTTATTCTATTACATATGAGATCATAATTTCTTGACCTTGGTAATTTAAAAGAGTAGACTAAGTGAGTAACTATATATTAGTTATTGTGCATGACCCATCGGGGAGATCTTTTCTTCACATGGTATAGTATACAAAGAAGATTAAGTCAAATTTAACGTACATCTATATATATATTTCAATGGTGATTTCAACAAATTTCCAATATTTGAAGATTAAAACCTTGGAATCGGTAGAAAAATATTCGCCAGTTGCCAGTTCCAATGCCAATGCAATGCCAATGCTGATGCGTAATGCAGTTGCCGAGAACGTGGGTCGGGGGGCGTCTGCCTGCTCACTTCTCCGTCTTCTCCTATAACTCGTTCAAGGTACATACAATACCCTGCACTTACCTTGTAAATCGACATCGGTATGTCGGACACTCATTTGTCATTGCAATAATAAGATCATGATCTACCGCATCTCCGCATTAAACCCTTCTTATTGCTCCCCGGAGCCCTTTATCCACCATGGGCGACGAGAAGTTTGATTACCAGGCCGTCCCTATCCCCTCCTATGCCGAAGCCACCGGTCAACCCTCCTCCTCTCGTTCAGATCTCGGTGATGGAACCGATGTGGAACGACAGGGGCTCCTCAGCCGTAATGCCTCCCGTTATCAACCCCCAACGGTGGAATCCGCGCGCACCAGTCTCGATGATCTCGAATCCGCCGCTTCACACTCGGATCGAGGTTCTACGGAGGAACTACGAAGAGAATTAGATCAGATGGATGTGGATGATTCCGGGACATCGCTGACCGGACGCCCGCCCCTACGACATCGATTCTCCAAGCAACTCAATACTCTAAGCCGGGCCCTGTCTACAATACAACGACCCTTTCAACGATATATGCCGAATTTCCGCTTTACAATAAACCTAGGCGACGCGAGGGCACGCTTAAAAGATCAGGGTTGCATCATGCTCCTCCGGGTGTTCGCGCTGTTATTGGTCGTCTCCCTGGTCTATGTGTTCTTCATTGCAGATATCTTCAACATCAACAGTCGCATGGCCATGGGCCAGTCCTATAGCGCTGCATCTGTCGAGAATTTCATTCAGGGCCACATCAACGAGACGAATATCGCCGAGAACTTGCGCCGGGTCACAAACTATACCCACGTCGCCGGTACCGAAGGCAGTTTTGCGCTATCACAATTGATCGAGCAAGAGTTCCACAAAGCAGCCTTTGATGAGGTTTCGCGGGAGGAATTCCAGGTCTATCTCAACTATCCGCGCAAGGATGGGAGGCGAGTGGCCATCATCGACCCACCCAATCTAGCCTGGGAGGCTAAACTTGAAGAGGATGACGCCAAAGACCTGGTCTTCCACGGACATTCAAAGTCCGGAAATGTGACTGGACACCTGGTGTATGCCAACTACGGTTCTCGCGAGGACTTCAAACTGCTCGCAGATAAGGGCGTTTCGCTCCAAGGCTCGATCGCTCTGGTCCGTTATTATGGAACCGAATCTGACCGCGCCTTGAAGATCAAGGCCGCCGAACTGGCTGGCGCGGCCGGCTGCATCATCTACTCCGACCCTGCCGAGGATGGATTTGTCAAAGGCCCGGCCTATCCCGAAGGCCGGTTCATGCCAAGTGATGGTGTGCAAAGGGGCGGTGTCAGCATGATGTCGCAGGTGGTCGGAGACGTCCTCACCCCTGGGTGGGCATCTACACCAGGAGAAAAACACCGTCTTTCTCCAGCAGATAGCCCCGGTTTGCCCAAGATTCCCAGTCTCCCACTTGCCTGGCGTGATGCGCAGCGGCTTTTGCAGGGTCTGAAAGGCCATGGCTCCAAAGTACCAAAGGAGTGGGTGGGCGGTGTTCCCAAAGTCGAGTGGTGGACTGGTGATCAAGACTCCCCTGTGGTTCATCTGATGAATCTGCAGGATGAAGTCGAACGGCAACCGATCTACAATATCCACGCCAAAATCATTGGAATGGACGAGCGTGATAAGAAGATCATTGTTGGCAATCACCGAGATTCATGGTGCATGGGAAGCGTTGACCCTGGAAGTGGCACCGCCGCATTCCTGGAGGTTGTACGCGCCTTTGGTGAGTTGCTCACCTACGGGTGGCGACCGCTTCGCACCATCGAATTTGTTAGCTGGGATGGAGAAGAATATAACTTAATCGGATCAACAGAGTATGTCGAGAAGGAGATCGATGATCTTCGTACGAATGCTTTTGCTTATCTGAATGTCGACGTGGGCGTGTCCGGGCCTAATTTCCGTGTATCGGCGTCGCCCGTCTTTGAGCGCACCGTGATGCAGATTCTGGGCCGTCTCTCGGACCCCTATGCGAACGCAACATTGAAAGATCTTTGGGAGAAGAAGGGCTCAAAGATTGCCCCACTTGGCGCTGGAAGCGACTATGTTGCGTTCCAGGATATCGCGGGCACCTCGAGCATTGACTTTGGGTTTGAGGGTGAGCCCTATCCATACCACAGCTGCTACGAGTCGTACGACTGGATGGTGCAAAATGCCGACCCTGACTTCCAATACCACAAAATCCTGGCTCAATTTTGGGGATTGCTCCTACTTGACCTTTCAGAGAACCCCATGTTACCATTCGACATGGAGGCCTACGGTGACTCTGTCGGCGGATGGGTCAAAGACTTGGATGCATACGCCAAGTCAAAGAAGGCTGAGGTGGACATGCAACCTATTTTCAGTGCTGCAGCCGAAATGAAAGCCAACACTGCTCAGTTCCAGGCCTGGAATAAGATCTGGCATGACACCGTGTGGGGTATGGGAGGATATGAAAGTAATGTCATGGCAGTGCAGCGAGTCAGCCACAATGCTCGAATGGCTGCATTTGAGACCGATCTGCTTGACTTGGCAGCAGGCGGAGGTGTAAGTTTACTTCTTCATTTACTATCAAAACCTAGCTAACACCCTCAGGTTCCCAACCGCACACAATTCCGCCACGTCATCTTCGGCCCCGAGCTGTGGTCCGGCTACGACGCCTCACTCTTCCCTGCTATTCGAGATAGCATCAACACAGGGAACTGGACCTTAACCCAGCACTGGATTAACCGAGTTGCCGACATCATTCACGAAGCCAGCACCAAGCTTCTCCATTAATGTATTCTAGCTTTCAGCGATTTCTATTTGTCTTCTCAGCGACTTCGCCTATTGGCTTGATTCTTTTTTTGTCACGTTCTGAACGAGCACTGTACATACAGCCCACGTGCTGGGACACCTTTTGCATTTTGGGGATTTCGCCCATTATATACCAATTATGCATGTCTCGAGCTCAACAGGACCTGGCGGACCCTGATCCCCGTTTATTTGATCCATCGTGTCGTCGATTTCGAGTGTACCTATTTCTCATTGCCCTCCAGGGTCCGGCGTTCAGGAAGATATCATGTTTTCAATTATGTTTCAAGGATAGTCGAGGGACCTTGGTCTGCTCATTCCAATATGCATGTTTGTGCTAAACCTTCAACATCAAAATATTTCCTACTATAAATCTCCAATCATCACTAAACACGCGGCAATTCCGGCTCAATAGCCAAAAGAGAAGGATGATCCGCTAAACTTTGCCAGAACCCAGCCTCGAAATCCCACAAATCTTGACTCAAAAGCGCCGCCCACTCATCCCCCTGACCAACCGATTCAACCGGCACGGGATCCGAATGTGTCGAGTCCAGAAACCGCTGTATAGTCCTAGTAGCCTTAGAAAGAAGCGCATAATTCGGATCCCCGGGTCTAACAATCGTCCCGATCTGAACCTCCGCAACAAAAACACTCAGATCCTGCAGTGTGCGAGTTCGATGCGCGCGAGGCATATGCTGCTTGAGCATAGCTAAGAGCATTATCCCCGCAGCGGGAAGACCGTAATACGCCACTTTCCAAATAAGCCCAGTACCAGAATTAGTGAGGTGATCACGGAGAAGGATAATTTCCACGACGAGGGTAAGCATCTGGCCTGCTATTTCGATGATGGGAAGATCTGGTTCCGTTGGCGATTTGAGGAGCAGAAGACGGAGCAGGAAGAGGACGTGCAGATGGTGCAGCCGGACACCAGCCACGAAGTCACGCTCGAAGGGCCCTTGGGTGCATTGCTTCAGGCTGCTTTCGAGACGGAATTGAGGCGGCAGAGCTTGCCACTGTTTCTCTGCCTGGTTTTGAATGACACTAGACCATACAAACAGTTAGGATAGATCCCCAATCTAGAGTTGACGATAAAAGGAAACATCATACCTCGCTCGCTGCGCACAGGCCGGATCATGCTTATCCTGGAGAAGTTCCCAGATCTCCTCTTTCAGCGAAGCACACAGCGCCGACCAGCGCGTATCAGCTCTATACCCAGCTTCAGCATCTAGGGTCCACTCCTGGCCGTTAGCGTTCCAGCAAGCGGGGATCTGAAAATGACAAAATCGCTTATTCATGCGGGGCGGACGGCCGAGGAAAATAGCAATATTCTTGTCGGCGGAGTAAATGCGCGCAAAAGCGGCTTTGCGCAGCTCTTTGAGAAAGGGCGGGATTCCGGGCTTGGACTCGACATTTTCATGATAACCCAGTGCGAAGGTGGAGGAGATTGCATCGCCCAGTTTGCGCCAGGAGTGGTAGCTTTGATCGCCGTCGACGTAGGAGTGGACGATGAAGTTTTCGTATTGCATTATTAGTTGGAGGTCGTTTAGGCAGTCTAGGGAGAGTGAGATTTCGAGAGCGAAATCGCATAGTTTGGTACAGAGTCTTCGGAGGGTATATTGGGATTGTTCAGTAGTGTAGAGGGAAGGGAAGAAAGTGATGTCGATAGTTGCTCGAGTGACGGCCGCGAAAAAGATGCCCAGGGTTTCCCAGCGAGAATTGTGATTTAGGAACTGGGCCGAGAAAGATGGTAGATCTGAAGAATCGGTGAAGTGCAGCTGTTGGGCTGAGTTCTGGAGGAGACGCCTTGCGTAGACCAAGTGCCAGTTTACGTCATGGTAGGTGAATAGCTGACTGACGCTTTGGGTGCAGTGATTGACGAAGGGTTCTGCCAGGGCGAGATTTGCTCCTTTGGCTAACCAAAAAACGACGAGGTCTTTCATGGCCGAGAGTTCATATTTTGTCAGGAGGTGCTTTAGGATATCTGCACCTTGAAGAACGAGATGGTTATCGCCGAATAAATCCGAGTGCAGAGCTTCAGGGACTGCCTGGTGACTTCCATGGTCTCCATCTGGAGTGATATGTTTAAATATAGCTGCATGGCTAGACGATCCAAGGTATCCAGGGTTCGGATAGGGATTGCGTCTCGGGTTGAAGGATGAAGATTCATCCGGTGAGTCAAGACTGTGAATATTATTAGAAGTTGATTTATGCAAGACGAATATGATATGATGCCAACCTTTGCTTCTCAGCTCTTTTTCGCTTGAAAGGGGTTGTCCTGTAGATACATATGCCCTTGTTGGTGCTGCATCTTGTACAAACCGGTAATTTATGATCGCATGCCAGTTTAGCCTTTCTACAGCCTTCACAAGCAGCTAAACGAGAAGACATTGAGCGGACTAAAGTCCATGAGAAGATATGTGTTTTTCGGTTAACAGCGGAGTAAACGGAGAAGCGGAGAGTCGGAGAGTCGGCGATAAGATTGCGGGGAGCAACTATAAATACTCCATTTCATCAGTCTTTTCTTCTTGTACAACTATATCATATTCTCTTTCATGAAACATAAAGACATGCAAGAAATCAAGGAAATTAAACTGGCAGATTATCTCTTCACCCGGCTTCGTCAGCTGGGTGTTGACTCAATGTTTGGTGTCCCTGGCGATTACAATCTTCGTCTACTGGATTTCGTCACCCCCGCTGGCCTTCATTGGGTGGGAAACTGCAATGAGCTCAATGCGGCTTATGCAGCAGATGGATATGGCCGAATCAAAGGATTAGCCGCACTTATTACCACCTATGGTGTTGGTGAATTGTCCGCCTTGAACGGCATTGCGGGGGCCTACGCGGAGAACACGCCAGTGGTACACATTGTCGGAACACCTCCGCGTCCGCTCCAAGCTGCGCGGACATTCATGCACCATACATTCTCAGATGGCGACTATCGTCGCTTTGCAAACATGTCCATTCATATCACCGCCGCTCAAACCAGACTGACGGATGCCGCCACGGCGCCGGAAAGAATTGATTATATCCTGAAGCAGGCGTTGATTCACAGCCGTCCAGTCTATCTCGAACTCCCAGATGATATGCCCGATGTGCTTGTGTCAGCTGCAAATCTGGAAACAAAGATTCGCATTCCCGAGCCCCCGAGCTCGACCCAAGAGCCGCAAGTGCTCGCTCAAATCCTGGAGCGGATCTACAGCGCCAAGCGTCCATTCATTCTGGTTGATGGGGAGAGCACTGGTCTCGGCATCGTCGACCAACTTGATGCCCTGATCAAAGCAACCGGTTGGCCAACATGGACAACCGTGTACGGCAAAGGCCTCGTCAACGAGCAACTCCCCAACGCCTACGGACTATATGGCGGAGATTTCGGCGACAAGCCAGCAAAGAATTATTTCGATGAAGCAGACCTAATTCTTACATTTGGACCACACAACAGCGACACAAACAGCTACTTCTTCACGACAATCGCCAAACCAGCAGTGGCAATTACATTCTCTGGCACGAGCGTTAAAATCTCAAACGATACATACCTCGACATGTCAGCACGAAGCATCCTCTCAAAGCTTCTTCAGAGCCTCGATTCAACACGTCTAGTCAAACCTGAAACCCCACCAAAACATGAGCTCAGCGTCACAGGCATCCAACCTACCGACCCACTAGCCCAAAGCAACTTCTACCCACTCGTGAACCCCCTTTTCCGGGAAGGCGACATAATCCTGACAGAAACCGGGACAGCGGCCCACGGAGGTCGAAACTTCAAGCTCCCAACGGGATCCCGAATCTTCGGCGCAGTGACCTGGCTCTCCATCGGCTTCATGTTACCTGCAACCCTAGGCACCGCCCTAGCACAGCGGGAACGTAACACACAACCCGAGCAAAAGAGCCAAACAATTCTCTTCATTGGCGACGGGAGTCTCCAAATGACGGCGCAAGAGATCAGCGTGATGATCCGGGAAAAGCTTAATATTATCATCTTCATTATCAACAATGAGGGTTATACCATCGAGCGTGTGATTCACGGCCGGAAAGAAGCGTACAACGACGTTCCCTTCTGGCGACATGCACAGGCATTGAATTACTTCGGTGCTGATGAGGATCATGTCAAGAATAATACTTTCACAGCTAGGACTTGTGGGGAGCTTCAGGAGGTTTTAGCAAATGAGAATATCATCAATGGGCAGGGTGTTAGGCTTGTTGAAGTGTCCATGGGACGGGAGGATGTGCAGGGAGCGCTGCTTTATCTTTTAGAGAAGCAGCTTGCACAGGAGGCAGCGCAGGAGCAGAAGGAGTAGAATATCAGTGGAACCAAGATTTAAGATGTTAGAATTCTCGAAATAAACTTATCCCAATCAAGTGGAATATTGAATTGTGTATGATTAGTGCGCATTTCGCTAGTACACAAAAGAGAAGGACAAAAAGGCCATTCGAACGCCAATTGTTATGCTCCGGATTCCAGCGCCATGCACACGAAGAAGAAAGGTGAAAAAAAGAGGAAGAATGACCCGAAACATTTTAAAACAGACATCTGCTTGAACATGTCACGCTTCTATAACTGCCGATGATTGGGAATACTATTTGCGGAAACTTTCTACGCCCAGAGTAGGAGTTTCGACCATTCGGTCGGTAGGGACGCCCTCATCACGACGGCGAGCGAAGAAACTATCGCATTCGGAGACAATGTGGGCCCATTCTGCTAGAGCGCGGCCTGCATATTTGCTGGGCACGAGGTAGTCGTGGGTAGGTTGGGAGGGAATTTCGGGGAGAGGTGAGTTCTTTGTAGTTGGAGACCTAGGCCAGGCGTCCGAGGTAGGTTGGGTAGGGGTATCTTGGGAAGTATTGAGACCTGGATCTGAAACTTTGCCGTCGCTTTCGGTATCTGATATGGCGGGGTTCTCAGAAGCAGTGTCGTAGTCGGATTTATCTGGAGAACGGCGGTGCTCGACGTGCAATTGGGATGCAACGGGAAGACAGGGTGTGAAGAGGCGTTTGTTCTTCGTAGGCCATTGTGGGCGATCCATCCATTCTAGGGAGAACTTGAAGAAGAATGGCTGGTGGGGAGTCTTGGGGCGGACGAGCTCCTCTGCGCTGGTTGTTGGGGTTTGGTCGTGGTCCTCGAGACATTTGCTGTCTGAAGTCACTGTTGGATCTGGGATGCCGTTCTCAGAATCATCGGAGCTGTTGCTGCTGGGTACGCCGTCGGTAGGGCGTGAGCTGGAAGAGCTTCCGAACATGGATTTGAAAATCCCCCAGCGTCTTTTTGAAGGTGGGCCATCTGAGCCAGCCGAGTCTGCCGAGCCCGTTCGGCGGTGTGACATGAGTTGATCTGAAGGAACAGGAGGGACGACTCGGTCAAAGCTGACGAACAAATTGACGGGAGACAGGTGATTGTCGCATCGGATGATAATAATTCTTCTGCCTGGGGCCGGAGTACAAGGAGCAGAAGATAAGGGAGCAGTCATATCCTCTTCAGCTTTGGATTGGAACCCGATGTAGTACTCCCAAACCCGCAGGAGACGATCTGAAAGGGTCTCATAGACCATGGAATCAAGTGACGACGGATCGGTGTTGAACCGCCCGACCCTCCAGCACAATAGACGGTGGAAATATGCACGTACCATTGGACTCCAGTGAGTGAAATAGTGGTAGAAGATCGGTTCATGCAACAGGAAGTCCAGACAGAGAGAAGCTTTCCTTTCCTCTGTTGCAATCCAGGTACCCCAGATGCAGAAGAGGAAGGAAAACACTCGGACCTCGGTGAGTGAGTTATGGCTCTGCATCATCTGCCGACAAACCTCGAGCCAAAAACTCCAGTCAAAGAGTTCTGTTTCAATTGATTGGGCATAACGAGTGATGATTGGAATAACCTCCTCGAGGAAATCACACAGCAAAAAACAAGCATTGTGATCGAAGAGCGATGTCTTCTGCGCTGCGGCTTTGATGATACCACAGAAGGATTCAGCGAACAAAAGCCGAGCACGGTTCGGTTCGGCTGATGATTCAGAGAGCAAATCGCGAAGAAGGATAATCAAACGATTTTCAGCCATTGATCGATGACTATTGCTGCCGCTACGAAGATGTTGAGAGGAAGCTGAGGCGTCCGGCGACTCGATGAAATCGTCAAAGGTGATAGCAGCAGCGGAGTGGGGATTTTCAGTTGTTTGCTGTGCCGACTGCTTGTAGATGGTATCCTCCAGGACCAGCAAGAGTTGCGCATGAACCAACAACAAGCCGGGTGACAAGATTCGCTTCGCTTTCTCAGTTTCCGGGGGAATATACTCAGCATATAAGATGTGAATGTATTTCACAAAGACAAAGAACAGATCCGTGTCACGGCCGGCCCAACGTGTGATCCATGGACGATTCCAGTTGATATGAGTAGTGTTCAACGGGGCATCTGGTTTCTGGCGCAGATATCGTAGCAGAGGTGCTTGTGAGTGGAAAGCGAGTGGGCGAAGAGCGGGAGGGAAGCATAAAGAAAGCTCTTGGGTATATGCGCGCATGTTACCAGTTCTGGAGCCAGCGGACTCTGATAAGATGCGTCGGAACATGTTAGGAGGTGTGCACCACAAGCGAACCAATATATCAGCAATTCCGGGACAGAAGAAGAAGGCGTAAGCGCAGGCCTTTCCGCAAAATGCGACTAAACTAGCGGGCGCATGTCTCATCGACATGCGCTCAACCACGAAAGCCATTTGAGATAGCAAGTTTTGAATGAAGATGTTCCGAATATTGTGATGGATCGATTCAACGAGAAAATCGGAGCCTGAGGAGCCTGAGCCGTCCGACGATTCCGAGACCGATGTTGAGGCATATTTCAAAGAGTCTGTCGGTCCACTGCCTTGTCGAGCCATTGGGAAAGGGATGCGCCATTCTGGCCGAGCCATGATGCCTACAATCGCTTCCAAAAAGACGGGTCTGTCGGTTCCTGAGATAGACTGGTTGTTTTTCCCGTTGAGCATCTCCAGCATTCCAATCCACCACTTATTCAGAATATTGACTCGGCGGTCCAAGTCTTCCGGTCTGAGGTTCTTGCATGATGCATGAAGGTGATGGCGGCCGAGAAAGGGGAGGAGGGAAGAGCGAATGACATTGGCTTTGAGGGAGATGGATTTAGATTGAAACCTGTCCAGAGTCAGTAATTGCAGCACGAGAACTTCAGGTAGTAGCGCCTACTTCTGGAAGTCCGCCTCTAGACCGCGGAAGACACCCCAAAGCTCGTCCTTTTTCTTGGAAACTTCAGCGCTGCCGTTCGCATACGCCGCAGCCGTCTCTGCAGCTCCCTTGGGCATGGGTGGTAAGACAGGAGTCGACACAGAAAGCGATGCAGTGAATTTCTCAAACGAAGACCGGTGGCGTAGCGAATTTCCAGATGGGCTGCTCGGGGAGCCGGGGCTGTCTTCGGGGCCCTTTGCCACAACAGCGAGCATGGGCCGGCGCGGGCGTTTGTAGAGAATTGTTCGCTTGCGAGAAGGTTGAGACTGCTCATCGTCCGTTTTTCGGCCGAATCGAGTCGGAGATTGGGAATCTTGCTGTTTAGATCTTTTCGCGGAGGGAGAGGGGGATCGAGAAGAGGAGCTCCATGGTTTTCTAGCCAGGCTCACTATTCTTCCGGACATGGAGCGACTCTTTGATGGGCGCGCAGCTGGCTCTGGGGCCCTGGTTTCGGGGACAATTGCTTCTGTGTCTTTTAAGTCCTCCGATGACGACAATGTGAAACGTGAGACAGTGACCTTGTCCTTGCCCTTGTCCTTGGAGCGTAGAGAGGTCCGACGGAGAATGTCCTTCCCCGCAGCGACGCTTTCCTTTGTAAGTGACTCTGCCAAGGTTGGAACAGCATAATCGGAGAAGGTGCGCCTTAAACTGGGTTCTGAGGTGATTTGGCTATGGAGATCGGTATAGCTGGCCGCGCGAGAGAGCTCGGGGGTCTCATCGTTCGTGTAGCTCTGTGTCTCGGGAGAGGGCGAAGACATTGTCTGGGCAAATTGGATTTAAGAGTTATGATCTGGTCATTTCCCCCTTTTTCGATAAAAAACAAAAAGAATAAAAATTAAAAAGGATTTGACGACGCTGAGTGTAGAGAAGACCAGCTCCTCTGCACACCTTTTGGGGAGGGGGTTGTTGGTCGAAGTGGTTAGGGGCGCAGCATTTGGGTAAGGACAAACAAGAAACACAAAAGGCGCTTCACAAACGAGAAGAGTAAAGCAAAGATAAGAAGACAAGAAGTAGAGAGTAGTGGACCTGGTCTCGGGATAGCGAACGACTTAATAATATGGGAGTAACATCGGTAGTCGGTGACGGGGGGTGGATAGATCGTCTATGCAGGTAGGAAGCCACACCGATGGAGCAAGTGATCGGCGGGTTGTTAAATTCCCTTTAAGGGTCAAAGGGCCTTTGCACGCACAGAGAGAAAAGACGGGAAGTGAGGAGGAAGAGAGAGGAAGGGGTAGCGCTTAAAAGTGAGAAGAGTTTCAAGAGTTTCAAGAGATTACAAGTTGACCATGAGGGGCGACTAATCTTTTTTTTTTCTAACGACAATAACATTATCCTATCTGTGTATAATAAATAGTTAACTATACTCCGTAACTAGTTATGTCAGTTATCTTGTTACCTATAGGCATGGTCATATTATAATTAGTATTAGCATATTTCATTAAATGTGTTTCTTTTAGAGTGAGACACTGATTATATTCTCCACTTTCCTCTCTTCTTTTTCTTCTTCTTCTTCTTCTACTCTCTTCTCTCGCGAATACTAACCTATATAGTATATGCAGAGTACATATCTACTCAAATGTAGCAATTCCGTTAGCCATGTCATCCTAGTTCGAGGCCATGTTCTACGCCATACGGCTGATTCACAAGAACTAGGGACTTTTCAGCCCCAATTGTAAGGTCTCTTCAAGCGATAGAACCAATCGCATCCTCTCCGGAAGATAAAAGGGCATAATTCACCGACTGGATTATGACTCTACTTACATCTCTCATCTTTTATGGCCCTCGCATCCCATTCTTGGCCTAAGAATGTTTAGGTGTTTAGGTGTAATAGGGAATGTCGCCTATCAACCATCAGCCCTGATTCAACTAATTTCCGAAATCATTCGCATTCCAGTTATTTTCTGAAGTCATCACTTCATCACTTTAGAAAATCTTAAATTCACAAAATCATGACTATCTTGCTGCCTTGTTCATCAGTCCCTTTCGAGTATATGCTCTATACAGTAAGTTGTATCCGATTTTCAAAATACTTACGTAGTATAAATATGATGCTTGAATTGACATGAATATAACTTTTATTTTCACCTATCTATTATTATACCCCTATAAGTCCCTACAACGTATATACCCTGTCGAACACGCCATGGGTCACATTGCACAAGAACTTGGCCAATGTCCTCATCATCACCCCCTGCTTGGTAAATCAGGTCCAAAGTTCAACAGTAGGGTGGAGTGACTAGGCAATCATCCGGCAATAGTACTTTAATAGTTTTGTTTTCTGCCTTTCTTTGTTGACGGCCAATCTAGGGATGTCGTATACTTATTTATATCCTTTCCTTCCCCCCGGAGAGCATTTGCTACATCTGATAGATTAGGTTCAGGATAGGAATGTGAAATAAACACATCAGATCGATCACAACGCGTTCATGATCTTCATGGAGCTACAAGTTGATCTATCGGGTGCAGCGGTAGAGCCGAATTAGTGTCAATAATCATATGCACTGTATTCACTGTATTTTGATATAGCCATCTGTACGGAGTAGCCGTACAATATTGATATTCTATACGCTGACCAAAAAAATAGTGGTTTATTGCGTGGGCGTCATGCAAGACCAAATGATTGGTCCTTGTAACTATTTCCCCGAGTTAAGCCATTAGCCAGTCTGAATATGTCCGACTATACCATCTATGATCCACAGGCAGCGGCCTCTTGTTTAAAACATATAGGATCGCCGTATAGATTCAATCCCAGATGGTTGTGATGTTTACTACCACATGATTTCAAGCAGGATAGAAGTTACGAGTTCTGTTGCTCACGTCGCACCAAAACCAGGTTGAAGCCTGAAGAGGGTTGCACCCGCATCTGACACAAATCACCCCACGTAGCTCAAAGCTAAGCTGTTTATGGGCAGCAAACAAAAAACAAATGAAAAAAGAAGTCTCAACATTCAAATGTGTGGTCTAATTTACAAGCTTCAGGACCCGAGAGGCGGCCACAGTTGCGCCATAGGCATATAGAGCCCATCCCCCCATATCTCCCCAGACCTTGCTAAAGAAAAAGGAAAGAGCGCTTTAGTGGGCGGCGGGAGCCTCCTCGTCCTCCTCGAACCAGCTCTCCTCAACAGGGGCGGCCTCGCCAGCGGCGGCCTGACCCTCAACCTCGACCTCCTGGCTCTCGTAGGCGGAAAGTTCGCTGGCAAGGTTGGCCTCCTCGGGGGACTTGGGGGCAGCGGGGGCGGAGAACTTCTGGACGTGCTCATCGGCGTCACCGGCCTTGATGGGAGTAGGCTTGAAAGCCTTGAGCTCGCGGAGGTAAAGGTCCTGGACGGGGTCGGCTGAAGGGGGGCACGGGTTAGCGAGTGCGTCCGAGTATAGTAGAGATTATTCGCAATGAATTCAATTCAAGCAAATTGCTCGAGTCAGTACATACCCTGGCGGACAGCGGAGGTCAGGAAGGTGCGGCGAGCGACCGAGACCTGTTGCCGAGAGGCACGGGAGAAGATGGCGCGCTGGATTCACGTCAGTTGCGGGTCATAAAAAATAACTTGGTATAGGGTAGAATTCACCGAGGCCCGGAGAGATTGAGACATCATCTTGACTGGGGGTGTAGATGAGAGATGAGGCGTGGTTCTCAATAGGATAGATCTGATCCGTCTTTCCGTGAAGTTGGAGGTTGAGACGACTTCTGTTCGGAAAGGTTTCTTGGCATGCTGACTAACCACGGGCCATGTTGTTCCCGAGTCTCTCCAGGTTTTCACCATTATACCTCTTGGTGAAGATGGTTTCTAATGATTTTGGACATTGACTTAGACTGAAGTAAATGGAAATTGCAATATACATATGTAATATAGAAATCAAATATGGTCACTGGAGTCAGGAGTAGTTGGGAACCATCAATGGCTATTACTTCTCTACGCACAGCTTGTTAGAAGATATTGCTCACATTCAGTGTGTTGTTCTATTGGGTTGGGTAATGAGCATATTCTTTTCTTGACTCTTGACCCGTTTCACTAATAAATTAAGTATCCATTACATAGACAGAGAGCAAAGAGAACAAGGAAAAACACTTAATTCGTCAAGAAAGGCCTTCTATACTTCACTGGCCAATCAGATCTCAGTATCCACGTGATCTGCTTACCCAAGCCCCATTTGACCGCGGCCTACGGACAGACGACTTCCATCCTGGAGCCTCACCTCACCCTCTTTGTCACCCTCTCTCCCCCAGTCCTTGGCTTCTTCTGGTTCTCATCCTCAGCTCGTTCCTATTTTTCGTGAGAGACCTCTTGCGGAGACCTTGACTGGTTCAACCTGGACAAGCTGAGTTGAGGTTTCTGTTCCACTTTCTTACCGAAAGCGCAGACTGGTGAAGGCTCTGTTACGACTGGGGGTACTCCACACCCGAGGGCTCTGATCTCTATCAGGTAAAACAAACCTTGCTATCCGACTCGATTCTTTGCATGGCGTTGTTTGAGAATATAGTTGCCATGGTTGCCCCACTGGGGACAAGGAAGTTGATCTGGACTAGGCTAACATGACCGCACAAGACAGTAGCCTTACGCAGACCACATCCTCATTCTTACATTGTCATTGTGCTCCTCTTCCCCTGTTGAGGCGCTTCTCACAGGTGTCCCACTTCCTCTCTTTCCGCAATCGCCGTCAAGCTGTATTCGCCGCTTTTCGTCCGCTGTTATAAAAAGAAATTTAATCTGAATTCTTCCGCAAGAAAACTCGCAAAAAGAGGCCACGAAAGAATCGAAAGTTACTTGAAAGTGTCAAAAATGGCTACTCCCGTGATTGCGAAGACCGAGGCTGCGCCTGCTTGGAAGAAAAACCTCTCCGCTCACCTTCTCTGCCCTGAATGCAAGGAGGATCCTCCCAACTTGGAATTCCCCGACTCCCATGAGACTGTCTGCGGTTCTTGTGGTCTTGTACTTGCGGACCGTGAGATCGACGTGCATTCCGAATGGCGTACCTTCTCCAACGATGATCAAAACAACGATGATCCCTCCCGTGTCGGAGATGCCTCGAACCCTTTACTCAACGGAGCGCAGCTGGAGACATCCATCGCAAGTGGAGGATCAGGCCGCGCTCGCGACCTGTACCGCGCCCAGAACAAGCAGTCGGGCGAGAAGGCAAACAAGCAACTCCTGGCAGCTTACAAGGAAATCGGTGCTCTGTGCGACGGTTTCAACATCCAGAAGACTGTTGCTGATACTGCCAAGTATCTCTTTAAGATGGTAGATGACGCCAAGGCCTTCAAAGGCAAGTCTCAGGAAGTCATTATTGCCGGATGCATCTTCATCGCCTGCCGCCAGTGCAAGGTCCCCCGTACATTTACCGAAATCTTTGCCGTGACCAAGGTTACCCGCAAAGAAATTGGTCGAATCTATAAGGCCTTGGAGAAGTTCTTCACCACTCAGAACGTTGAGCGGTATCAGGCCGCTTTGTCGAGCGGCGAGACTCACAACGCTGCTGGCGACTACAACGCTACTACTTCCACCAAGCCCAGCGACCTGTGCAACCGTTTCTGCAACCTTCTTGATCTCCCTTACCAGGTCACCAGTGTCTCCGTTTCGCTTTCGGATCGCGTCACTGCCATGGGCGACTTGGCCGGACGATCTCCCCTGTCCATCGTGGCAGCCTGTATTTACATGGCATCATTCCTCATGGGCCACGGCAAGTCCGCCAAGGAGATTTCCCAAGTTGCACACGTCAGCGATGGAACCATCCGCGGTGCCTACAAGCAACTGTACGCGGAGCGTGAGCGTCTGGTCGATCCCGAATGGATCAAGGGCGGAAAGGGCGATATGGCCAAGCTGCCAGTCAGCTAAATCTCATCCACAGCATTGATTTTGACGCATGGACTTGATTGATTTGTGTCCGAGAGCCGAAATTACGGACACGCGAGTCATAATTTATTAAAAACGAAAAAGGACAAAAAAACATTTGCGCAGGACGAATAATGCCCATGAGACACCATCATACTACCTCAATGTGTTTATGGTTTTATCTTTGCTGGTTGGCTTCGACCACTAAGCCTGGAATCTGGAAATGTATAGTGGATAGCTGGATTGAAGTTTAACAAACGTTGTTTTTCTCTGAAATGCTAGAGTAATCCTAGTAGTAGTAGAAGCAGGTCCTTCGGCCTGTCCGACAAGGCTGCTCTAGAACCTTGGAAGTGAATGGGCTTTTACTAGGCATGGCCACGCTGACCAAGGGCTTTGAGCTGAACCCAACATCGTGGATATCTCACCCAACATGGATTAGTGAATAGCACGTCAGCTTATGCGGCAAACACACTGCAGATAAGCGGGTCAAATGGAGGAGCATGTTCATGTTCGTGTTGGGTTGGTTATAAATTGCAATATGATGGATATATAGACAACCATGGCAAGTACATGCACATAATTTTCATAGTAAATCTAAAGGTTTTTAAAAAAAGACAGGCACAACCTTGGAATTTCGGGCAATTCTATGCAAGACATATACGTTCAAAGACACCAAAGAAGACATCGAGTTATTGCCAAGCCATCAAGAAGCCACAATGGGAAAAAATTACGAGAGGAGATCTCGCTAAATATGCGAATAATATCAAACGAACTACTCCGTACTCCGTAGAGCTCTTAGTTTTGATGTCATGTCCATATCCATATGAAGGATAGGTAGATCTATATATTAGCAACTTCAGCCGACAAGCCACGTCTTACCTACATATATATGAAGGTAGAACTATTAATACCCTGACTGTGCTGTATAAGCATCAGTCCCTCCTGTTTTAGGAAAATTCAAAAGTACAGTTGAAGTGGATCTGGAGCTTTGCGCATGCTCAATTCGCTCGACAGCCGAATAAAGACTGTCATTGGGCACCGATACAGTACTAGGGACTTGTACCTATGTAATCGTGTTAGATGTGTCGAGTGTTTAGATCTTCTCTTTTTTTGTTTGTACATATTATCTTCTGTTTTCTCATTTGGCTTCTGAATTTCAATCTTTCCATCATTTTGTGCTTTTCGAAGCATATATATTTATACAATTCTAATATAAAGTATAAATACATATGTACATACATAACTATGTACATAATGTATTGAATAGAGGTAAGTTCTTTCCTTTCTGGGCGAGTTGGTGAGGTTTCCAAATGTGTACTCTGTTCTTCTCTTCTCTCTTCTCTTCTCTCTTCTCTTCTCTTTCTCTTCACCACATTGGTCGTTTCACATCTTGACAGCGTCACGGATTCACCGCTATTCACAGCTTCAAATCTCTCGTTTAAATTTATTTTCATCATGAAGCTTACCAATGGAAATGGAACCAAAGACCCTGGGTCTGATAATAGCTCCGCTCGCTCTCCTGCACGGACTATGTTGCCCGCTATAGAAGGTGATATATCACTTCCACGTACGCCACTTAGACCAAATCCTTCAACAGATCAAGGCCGGATCCGACTACCGCCTCTACCATCAATGCCAACATTTGTCCCTCCATTACCACGAGAATGGGAAGGTACAGAGCTCATGAGAGATTGGCTAAGGGCCAAGATCGAGGAGGACAGACGCAGACAAGAAGAAGAGAGAACACGCCAGATCAATATGGTATCGGAACAACGACGTCTCGAGCATGCAATAATATCCGATCTGTTGCGCGCTGGTGTTCCATCACACTTGGTCCCAGAAATGTTCAAGGACCTGCGTCTTACTCAAACCCAATATGAATCGCAGGATGTGCAGAGGCTATGGTCTGGCCCGGAAAACATGATATACCAACAATCCTATATAGAACTTGCATCGACACAGCAATCACAATCACAACAAACTAAACAATCACAACAACTGTCTCAGCAGTCGTCGCACCGACCACAACAGCCTCCCCAACATCCTTTCCAACAGTCTTCAAGGGTACCTCATAGTAAGTCGAAACTGCGATCTGAGAAGACGAAGATATGTCTGCCAGGAATGGATCAGTCTTCGTCGCCGCCGAAAGCTAACTCCCCGCCGCATGAATCGGAAACATCCTCTGACATTTTGGAGGCAGCCTTCCATAACACCCTCCCTCTTGTCGCTTCTTTGGAACAGGCAGCCCAGTCTCACGACCGGTCACAAGGGACTGACCGCTTGAATGGGACTGGAAGTGGAAGAAAACAAGCTGTATATCACTACTACACTCCCGACGGACAGTGGTCATCAGAACCTCAGCATTCGATTCGACATCTACGGCGCTCACAAGTCCCGGCCGGCAGTACCGCTCTCTCCACCGTTGAACCTCATCTTCGCCAGAAGCAAAAAAATTCCGGCACTAAGCGGAAAGACCCAAGATCTCATGGGGGAATTCATTCACCACATCATCCGAGTGCACAAGGTCCAGCTGATAAACCTCGCGATTCATCAAAGTTTACTCATAAGCGGCGAAAAAGTGATTTCAACACTACTTACGAGTTTCATGCTTACAACCCCGATTCTTCTAGACAACTGTCAGAATTGACTCCAGTACCGGATAGTCTACCAGGCACTCTACATGACCAACGTGAGCCAGAAGATAGTGCAGGTGAATCGGAATTATGAATCAATGGTTTATGTTGAAAGAAGAATTTGGCAAGTGTTTGAACGAGGATAATGCAGGCATGGTAATGATGTTGGTGTATGACTGTTGAACGAACATTCTTTGCTCTTTTTTACTGGCGGTTCTGTGATGTTGTACTGTTCAAGCATATTGAGCGTTTTGGCGTTGAGCTATATCTTTATTGGTGATGCATGTGGAATTTGCCACTACGGTGTTGGGCAGTGACCGAGTCTTGTTTCAAAGGGTGAAAAGATAGATACTAATGGACTATTATCATGAGTTCTACAAGTACACTGCCGACACTAACTACTACCATAATATACTTCCCAAAATAGATATAAGGTAGATCGAACTCTTGGCGTTGTATACCATGACATCGCCGTACGTCATTAGGATTAACCCCTTGTCAAACCTGATTTCATAGCATCATAGCTTATAAAGAGGCATTGGAACGGTGTATTACCTCTTTAACTTCCTCAAACGAACCCCTCAATCCGAAACGCAACCCACATCAAGCTTATTCAACACCAAACCCACCAAATTAAAATGTCGACCTTCATGCGCCTCCGGACAACCTTGTCCAAAACCTCAACACTATCACCAACATACAAGCCTCTCACCTCATTCTCACCTCTACGAAGCTACGCCACCAAGAACGACGGCAATGACTCCCAAACAACTCACCAACAAGACTCGCCCAACCACCCAATCCCATCCAACAAAGCCAAACCCACCCTCCGCGACGGAAACCAGTCACCGCTCGCAGACCAAGATGGGAATCTGAGAGATGATCTACCGGCCGATGTCAAGCAACATAATAAGGAGATGGAAGAGCGGTATGACAAGCCTTATAGCCATACGGGTGATCAGGGACAGACGGAGCCTTCTTTCGAGAATGACAAATAGATCACATTCAATGTGGTATTCTTATTCCACTTCGGGAGGGTGGATCTATGGCGGATGTACGGGGTAAGAGTGAAATGGTGCTGGTTCATCATGGCGCCTGGTGCGCGGTTCCAGGAGAACATTGCTTATATCTCTATACGAATTGATTTTGAACCTCATCTAACAAATGATATTGATATCATATCTACATAGGAAGTTAACGAACTCAAGCTGTAGCTGTAGCTATGGAAGTCGAATACCTATAGGTATCGTAATATTTACAAAAGAAATCCATTCAATTATATACTCGCAGTCATGGATGCGATCTAAGATAATCTCACGAATATGCATATAGCATCGAGGCGGCAATTAAGCCTCGTTTATACATCCCCCCGATCAAAGCGACTAAGGACCTCTGGCGGGACAGTGGGAATATACTTTCGCGCTCGTTCGCGGTTCGTACCGCCGAAGCCGGCGCCATAGCTAACCAGCATATCGGTGCTGGTCGGAAGAGAGAAAGGAAGGAAGAGAGTAGGATCTAAGAAGACGCTATTTCCGCCACCTGGGCGTTCTTCGTTCCTTTGAGCAACTATGCTGGTAGGTCTTGACCCAGCCTCATCCGGCGAGAGACCCGTATCCGGGGAGTGTGCAACGGGCTGGGTCTTCGGTGGTGTCTTTGGCCGGGAATCTAGGAACTGGGGCCCTGAGCCGGCTTCGGCTTGAGCTTTTTCGATTTGGATTCGTAGCTGTTCTGTGTGTGGAAGTTCTGGATGGAGCTGCATGTCGATGAGGAATTTCATTGATTGCTTGGTGAGACCCTTCTCCCCGACTTCTGGGCGGTAGGATTTGACGGCGTGCAGGAGTTGGGCGGGGGTGAGTTGTTGAAGTTGGAGCAGGGTGTTCACGAGGGATTCGTGGTCATCGCCAAGTGAGGAGAAGCACTGTAACCATTGAAGGAGTTGGATGGCGGGAGCTAGGTGTCTTCGAGCGGCTTCGATTGTGGATTCGCCGGTGCTATTTGTGGATCCATTTTCGTAATGCTCTGGTATTCTGTTGTTGACGCGGGCCCAATCCTCTATCGTTGAGACGTTCATGCGGATCTGCATGGCTTTGGTGCGTGCTAGGTAACGTTTTGTGCTCATGATCCGATTGAAGATCTCAGCACTGAGCCAGTAGAGAAGTTGAGAGAGAATTTGAGTGGTGATCACAGAGTGGACATCGTAGAGATCAAGTACGAAGAGAGTCGAAGATAGTAATGAGGTGATGTTTCTGGGTGAGATTTGGGCACGACGGCGCGGGGATGGAGGGCGGAACCGCTTCTCGTCAGGCTCTGGGTTTTTGCTTTTGTTTTTGCGGAAGAGCTTCCACTCGTTTTGGAAGGCAATATCCTCCAGTCCAGGGATGGTCTCATGGTCCAGCATAGCGGCATCCAGGACTTTGTTCATTCGACGCTCGGCATCACGAATGATGAGGACAAAGATCTCGTTGATTAATTCCGCCAGATGAAGCTGGAAATCAACGGTGGATTCCACCAAGCCTCCATCCTTCTTTAGATAATGGAGTAGAAGTGTGGCATTTGACAACCAAAAGGCTTGCATGGTCATATCCCACTGATACCGTTCTACGACATCGTTGATCTTTTCCATTGCAGACGAAAGCAAAGTTGTGAGTAATTCGGGGCTGGCATGATAGTGCGCGTAGCGCGCACTGAGGAAGAGCAGATTTGCAGGGACTGGCTTCTGGGAAGGAGAGCGTTGGGGAGTCATGTTGGTAATAATGATATCCAAAATGCGCTCCAGCTCGTGGTCCTGGAAGACAAACATCTGATCATTCAGGCACTTGTCCCAGACAAATTCCTGCTGCTCTTCTTCGAGCTCATCCTCGTCGGATGGCTAGCGAACAAAACAATTTACATTAGTCGGTATTACGATAGCAATTCACAAATTCGCCTTACCTCAAATTTCTCGTCAAGCCCTAGGCTAGACAAGTCAACCTCCAGATTGATTGCGCTCTCTTCCATCATCATCCGCCGCTTCATCTCATTTTCGGCCATTTCTTCCTCGAAGCGACCATGGGCCAGCCCGGCGTCATAGAAGTCATCAATAGCATCGGTGCCAAAACTGTATCCGTTTTCATGCAAGTATTCCGAAATCTCGCTGCCGGGCTGCGCAAAGTCAAGAGCCGTCCCACCAGATGATGACTTGATATCCGGCGAAGCTCCATGATCAAGCAAAATCTTCGCTATCGTCTTGTGTCGATTGGTCATAGCCCACATCAGCGCACTCCACTGATTCCGATCTTGCCTATCAACCAAAGCCCCAGCATCAATCAATGCAGCAACCACTTCGTGATGGCCCTGTACCAGTCAGCATACCATCAACAAACAGACCCAAAGACAAAAGAGCCACCCACAAAGCAACTGGCATAGATCAACGGCACAGTCCCCTCCTCATCAGGCTTATTAACATCCACATAAGTCTTAGCCTGACCCTGAACCAATTTTCGCACGCGGTCCACATCCCCATTACTAGCCGCCATATTCAAGCTCTTCTGAAGGATATCCCTCTTTTCGTCATCCGTCAATTTCTCATCGCCGGCAATCGTCTCCTCGTCCGCGGTGAGCGAGTCCACCTCCCGATGAGCGGCCTGAGCAGCCAGCATTTCCATAAGTCGGGCATCACTATCTTCCAGATCGCGACCATAGTGCGCCCGCAGCTCGTGTTCAGGATCGTGGGAGTGGTCGTCGAGCGCTAGGCTGAAGGATAGCGGTTTTGCAGCGACCGGCGTAGTCAGGAACTGCGATTGACCTAGATCAAAAGCAAAGATTAGTCTAAACTTAGAAGACAGGAAAGCAACTAAAGGAAGTTGCACGCGACCATCCTGTTTCAACCCCGGACCCGGGGAAAGAGTTCCGCAACACCACACTCACCCTGCCAAGCATCGTACATCTCTGTCTCCTGTTGGAAACCCGGCACAGAGCGACGGTCGTCTAGAGACTTAGGTAGGTCATCCGGGAGTTCTTGTTTAGCTTCGTGGAAGGACGCGGGGCTGCGATCACTGTAGTCGGGGTCTGAGTCCTCTGAAGCCCCGCGCCGAGGTTCGGTGGTGTCCATCGTGGCGGGCTCCGGATGAGTGGCAGGACATCAAAGGGTTTTTCTTATTGAAGCACTGTATAGGTGTGGAGGGTTGACCGTGGAAAATGTCGTTGGAGGGAGGAGGTGTGAGTGGATGAATTTGGTGTTCCGTTCCTGGATGATCGGCCGTGATATGACGCACTTTGTGTATTAGGCCCAGGGCTCTTTGGATGAAACAGCTATGCTGGTGCCCGAGATTTGTTAGTTAAGGATATAGTGTTTTCTATTAAGATATTAGAGATAGCGATTGTTTTGAATTCTATGTGTATAGGTTGTACGGTCCTTATACAAGACCTGTATATACAAGAGCAACGAACTAAGTACAATATACTAAGTGTACGCACTAAGAGAATGTTGGTAGATATTCACAGTATTAATTCGCTGGATTTTTCTGGATGTTTCTGATATCTCATATGCTATAGTAATCTGGATATCTCGCCTGAAAACCCTGAAAAAATATATGCTAATATGCCACGCTGATGCACGCTGTCAAGGGCCATTGTTCCCAAACCAAAAGGAAGGCTGAGAAACAAGACCCTAAAAACCCCAAAATAATGATGGCGACGCTAGAGGACGAGTCGCAAAGCGCACATACAATCGAACAGATAGGAATGAAGATGGCCGACACTCCCCTGTGGTACCGTCCCCATTCCAGTATTTCATTGCCGACGAGGTCGTGACTTGACCTGACGAGACGGCGGGAAGACCCACCTTGAACAAGAGAGAGGTGGACTGAATTCACAGAATCTCCAATCGAAACGAGTTCATATTGAACAAAAAGAAATCCAAAAGAAAGATATTAACCGACACAAAAGGGCGGTGCAAAAGTATAGCAGAAGACCAAGTCTCTGGAACGGGGGTATAAGTAGAACAGAAACCAAGATAAATAAATGGGGATATAGATGCAAAGGACCAAGGAAATATAAAAACGAGAGGTCATTCGAGCGCTTTGCTGCGAGCGGAAATCTCCTCTTCAGGAAGACAAGCAATCCACAAGCACCGCTCGACGATGCCCTGCACGGGCTCGAATCTGTATTTCGTGCTGGCGTCGATGAGACGGAGAAGACTCTTGACGATGCGGGCTGCTGTGCGATAGCGCTCGAAGTTCACCAGGAGACCGCCGTCATTGCTGTTAACTTGGGCGGGTTTCTGGGCGTTGTAAGTGAGGTCGTGGACGTACAGACCTGGAGGATGTTAGGACGATTTGAGAGTTGGTAAGTGGACTTGGAGGTAAAACTGACCGATGAAGGGAATGCATCCTTCCTGCAAATTAGCGGTCTCCATCTCAACACGCAAATCATTGAAATTGCGCACTGGCTGAATCAAACACTCCATATCCTTGAACAAGCGCTTATCCTCCATCGGAATGAGCTGCCAAGTACTTTGCAGGCGGGAGCAATCCGACGAAGAGAGGGCAATAGCGATCTGGAGCATTGTGGAGTAATTGCAGATACGGCGGGCATGAGCAGCTGTATGGATGAATTTGATGATTGTGCGAGCACGTTCGTGAATATCACGAGTTAAGACAATCTCAGATAATATCCATTTCACCATCAGATTGAAGCGGCCAACGACCAAGTCGATACCTTTTCGTTCTTCGTATGTCAGAAACTCAACCCAATTTGTGACCAAGGGGCAGGCGCTGCTCCATCTCATCTCGACGAGGTCTCGCCAGTCGATTTCGCTGAGCGCGGCCATTTCGATTAGAGTCAGTTGTTGTGCCAGGACGATTGATTCGCAGGCGAGAACGAAGGGCACGTGGTCGGGGACGAATTTGGTAGGAATTTGGTCGTGGGGGTTGTTTTCTGAGTTAAATAAAACATCGCTGGAAACCTGCTGGATGTTAAAAGGTCGCGAAGCTGTTGCTGCTTCTTTGTGTCTGGGGGATGTGTCGGGTGTCGGAGGCTGAGCCTGGAACAAGACTGTGTTGAGTGGTGAGACGCAGGAAGTGAAAGATCCAGGGTGCTGGATGGTCATTGGCGGAGAGGGAGGGTGCGCTAGAGGATGAGGCGGAATTTCAACAGCTGATGAGCCGAAACTGCGGGTGTCTGTAGATTGTCGTGGACCCATAGATTCACGAGGATCAATCAAATCAACCGAGTTATCAGACGACAGAGCCGACAAACGTGTCAGAGTAACCTGACCAGCCTCGTGAGAAGCGGGAATGGTTGAGCCAGGAGGAATGCGACGGATGCTATCAGTTTCGTGGACAATTTGAATTGAGGGATGTGATGAGACCAAGTCAGAAGTATCACGGCTGGATATGAGACTGAGCGGAGCACCGTTCAAATCATACTGAACTGGATTGCTGGTTGGTTGCCATTTCATAGACTCATCGGTCAATCCTCTCTCGAGGAGTGGAGTAGAATTATAGGACTCGTCAGACTCGGCCACAGAATCAGAATATGGTCTCGGGGGGGCTAGTCGACCCCCGACTGTGGAATAAGCAGACTTATCCGTCTGCCGCCTGCGCGAGAGAACATCCCAGTCAGGCTTGGCTGTTTCAAGTCCACAAAGAACCAATGGCTGTTCCCGATTGGAATTAGATCCACCTGGTTGCACAAATTTAGAGTCTCTATCGGCATTGGATGGACCCTCCCACTTTCCCTCCAGCTTTAATAGTGTAGATTCAATGCCACCGTCATCGTCATCTGGAATCTGCGCAAATTTCGCAATGACCGACTCAAAGGAGCGTCTAATATGTCGAGAATTACGTGGCTGAACGAGCGAGTACCGGGGGTTTGGTGGAATCAGAGTCGAAGGAGGCCTGGAGACACCCTCAGAGGAGGCCGTCCCATCTGCAATCGAATCATCCCAGGATGCAAATGAGTCTCGACCTAAAGGATGTTCGTATTCATCTCCAGTCTGCATTTGACGCAGGTTTCCGCCTCGGCGCCTGCGAAGAAACGGGCCCGATTGTTGTCTATTTTGATCTTGCGTCAGGGTGGATCCGACGGTGGATTCGCTGTTCATCGAATACCGAGTTCGCGAGATGCCGCTTTGAAATGATGCGTACTTTCTGAGTCGAAGAGACAGAGAGTTCTTCTTTTTCACGGGCGTTGTTACACGTTCCACAGAGGAGGATCGCTGTGGGGTGGGAGAACGAGGTGGGAAGAACACATTTGACAGATGTGCTCTTCCAGAGTCTTCGGCTTTGTAACAAACTGGTCGGAGATATTCCCCTTCCACTGGTATCGTTTGCATCGAAGCGGCGTCCTCTGGCACACGGAATTCAGATGTTGGATAGACACTATCATTATTTTCTGGCATTGGATCCTGCGCTGCTCCTGTCATGAAAGGCATTTCAAAGCCAGTGTCATCCACAATGACGATGGACCCGCTGCCCATGGTGATACCACTTTGGATTTTGGACTCGGCCTGAGGGGGGTTGTGCATGGGCAAAAGATGAGCGGAGTGAGATGCAGGCTCCTGAAGGTCCTTTTGAAGCCCTGATGCAGCCGGCCGATCCTGCGCCGTGGATTCTTCCTTATTCATAGCCAGGCGGTATTGTTTTAGGACCTCGTCACAAAGAAGATCAATTCTAGCCGGGCGTTTGGGAACAGCGGCCATCTTTCTCTCCCGATAAAACTCAGAACCGAACGCCATGCCACTTGGCAAAGCGGATGTCTTTCCACGAGAAGGCAAAGAAAAGGCCTCGTGGGCATTCGCAATGCGAGCAGAGACGCTCTGTCCCCCGTTCCTTGTATGCAACGCGCGCTTGATCGAGCCGATGATAGTTCTCACACCCGAGTTGGGCGCGGATTTTGGTACATATGGCGTGCTTCGACGATCAGGGTTTGTGTTTTTCGACGGGGGAGGAAGAGGAGGCGAGTCCGGTGCCATCATTGTCATGTATGACTCCGCAGGAGGATACAACTCTCCGCGAATCAAGCTGACGGGATCCAACATCTCCTGTGGCGCGGGTCCCAATTCTGGTTCCATTGCAAACATCGGTAGTCGATCGTCTCGCGCCGAGTCCGAGAAGCTTCCACTTCTCTTGTGTGCGTGGCCGTGGTATGGGTACCGAGATCCGGGTGACATAGGTTGTTCGTGAGACCTGGATGGAGACTTGGGTTTTGTGGAAGCCAATACCACCGGGCGGTTCGCCTTGCCTTTCGAGGCTGACATGGAAAAGCGCTTTGGGGATTTGGGGGGCAGTGAACATGATAGCGCCATCATGCTTTGCTCGCTTTTGGTGGACAGTGGAATGCTCTGTGCGGTTGCAGCAGAAACGTTCCGATCATGCTGAGTAGAGAAAGGAAGATTTTCACGAAACGTGGTATCTGCAGTTGGGGTCAAGCCAGGAAGGGGGATGTTCTGTTGCAGCTCTTCGGTTTTGGGTATATCAATCTGAATGTTTCCAGGGACAATTGGAGTTTCCGGATCGTTGTACGACCGCGACAAGTCTGGCGAAGCCCAGTAAACGGAACATTTTCCGTTCCAGCACCGCTTCAAATCAATGAGAATCTTGCGATCACTCGTACCGCCATTCTCCCTCGACCTGACCTCTGAATAAAGCTCGTTAATGGTATCACAAAAGTGATTCCTTAGTTCGTAATTCGTGACAAAGTCATCAACAAAATAATTAAGAATCCAATGGCGCAAAGCAGCGAATGTGCGGATCCTAATAATGCGCCCATCATCCTGTAACCGATTGATAGCCCATTTCAACCGCGCCAGAAGAAGAGCCAAAAGATGGGAAGTGGACAGGTATGACCGGAATGTCAAGAAGAAGTCCGAGACCAACTCATAGTCCATGAAGGACTCGGAAGAGATTTGCGCAACAATTCGGGCCGGCGTGGCCGCACTGATATCCTTCGTGCCGGGAATGTATCGCACCACAGATCCATCATCCATATCATAGACCAGCGTTTCATAGATCGACGGCTCAACCGGCTCTTTCAATTCATAAACCATTGAATTTCGCGGAACAGGCGAAGCGCGGCTCATATCAATAGCCGCAGCCGTGCCCGAAAACATAGAAATCGCAAAAGACGGGCGGTGCCGTGAGAAGGAATCACGCACATAGGGACTATGAAGACCCGGCAAAGGGTCCGCCATGCCACCGAGCAGGGTGGAATTCCGAAAGTTGTCCGCTAGGGAGGTTCGCGTATAGACCGAAGTCTGCATCATTGCACCTTCATTGAAACGCGGCGTGCCGAAGCGAAAGTGAGGAGTGGGAGCCTCCAGGGTAGAACTCTCATCTGCAGACCTCGGACGGTCCTCGGATCTATCGATCACGATACGCAACTCCCCACGTTTTCCAGGCCCGGCGGTGGATTGCTGTTCCTCGAGAGTGGAAAATGAATTCGGTCTTGCGCGGTGCGTACTCGAAAGGTCGGGAGGAGGGAAGTCGGAGAAGACGGGGTCGGGGTTGGGGTTGGGGTGTACACGCGGGCGTAGCTCTTCGAGCTGGGAGCTGGACCACCTGGACGGGTCGTCGCGGGTAGGTGCATGACGCGGCTGAAGAAGATTTGGTTTCGAGTCGATGGGGAAGGGTGCAGGGTGTGGGCCTTGTGGATTGGCAATTGGTCTAGTATGGTAGATTTAGCATGGATGTGACACACACAGAAGGTGTTACAATAAGCCGATGGATTTGATTATTACCTGAGGAAGATCTTGCCATTTTGGCCGACACTTCGAACTGTGAAATGACCTGCTTTCCTTCCGGGTGGACGCGCCACTAGTGGGCGATGTGTTTGGGATCGTTGTAGTTTGCCTAATAATTCATGACTCCCCTTGACAGGTACCCCCGTTGCTGTCCTTTCACGAGCTGCTTTCAACTCTAGATTTCTTTTTATAGTTCCTGGGGCCACTGTATTGGCACGTCGCAGATTGGAAGGTAGTTCATTGATTTCGACCTGAGGACCAAGGAAGGCATCTTTGAATGGTTCGATAGGAGAAAAAGGCTCCATATCGAAGAGTTGGTATACTCCCGTCAAAACGGAGGGGGGGCCAGGGGATTGACCAAGTATCAAAGCAACATAAAGAACCTATGAGGTCAGTAAGAGAAAGGGAGAAAAAGAAAATACAGGGAATCGGACAGCTCTGTTTTTGTGGAGATTGACCCGACGCGGCGGGAATGAAATGAGCTACGAACTGCTCCTTTTTTGGGGGGGTCTTGGCCTTGCTTTTGATATTTTGGTTCGAGTTCGATAGTTTCATTTATTTCTGTAATATAATATTATACTTGTATATCTGAGCTATTATTCTGCACTTCATTTGGTTGTGATGTTCTCCTACAAAACGTACATGTATGTATTGTCCAAGTTGTACAAATGATAGGTCATCAAAATAGTGAGAACTGTCTAAGATATTTGGTTGGCTAACAATTCTTCGATATTATACATTATTGTACTATTCTACATTAGAGTATAGTACATTCTTAAACTAGTCTACACCTGATTAATTACGCCCGTTATTTTCGACTCCACTTGGAAAATTCGTCAAGTCAGACGCTTGACAGATCTTGGGTATGTGAGATCGGCTCAGATTTCCTCAAAATTGATTCTACCTGGGTATACTATGAACAAGGAGAATATTAACAAATAACAAACAAATAGTAACGAATAAGAAATTTCAAATACAATGTTGTATATACAGAGGGTTGAGTGACCTTTTTACTATAAATTAAATTAAAATCAGCAATACCCTAGTTAATCCAGATTGGTTGCCTTACATTGTCGTATCGTTCTAGTCACCTAGTCACCTTAAGTACTTTACTTACTTTAACTCTTTTAGTCTCCTAGCGCAACAATGAGTCTCACATGATGATCAGATCATTTAGTTATTAATATGTAAATCAAATACAGAGAACCGCGTACTTATCCTAGAATATATTAGGATAATTGGAACATAATTAGGATCGGTGGCCAATCTCCATATATCGTACTTCAGCTCCATACTAATTTCGGTTTATCTCCGTGCCCTAATCAAATTCCTCCATTCACAAAATATTTCCCCAAACGTTTAAACGTCACATGTCGATCAAGTCGATCCAATCGATATCAAAAGCTTGGAATCGAACATGTCAAACGACACTACTCCATAAACGGTGAAGGGGCTCGAGCCCTGCTGATCGAGGATTCAAATCCTTTGCCTCGCTCCACTGTCTTCTTACATGTATATAACAAGGTTGATTTTCCTGCTTTTGGCTGGGCGATCACTGCCCATATCCGCTGTAGGGTTTCGATCTTTTAGACCGAGACTTTCTTATAGTATACATGATTAAAGATATGTGGATGTAGTTGTAGCCGTCGAGTAAGGTATTTGGTTTTGACGTGCAAAAGCGTCCCGTTTCGCTCACGCTAATTTTTACTTGACCCTCCCTTTGTATTTGGATGAGTAAGTCTAAGCGGCGCAGAAATTTTGAAAAAGGATCCGAGTGACTAATATTACCAACACATTTTACCTACCTAGGTAGAGGACACTAAATCCAAAATACGATATGTTGTCAAACATCCAGAATCACCAGAGCTTACAAGTCGGCTTCTTCTCTGGGCAACTAAAGGCATCCTTGAACTCCCTAGAGTTGGCCATGGTTTCCTAGGGCAATAGTCAGCTTAGACCAAAACAGTATACTGTACACAAAAAACTTACGATGATGCGCGCCGACTTGGGCGCATGGGGATCATTATAGATCGCCTGCTCGGCAGCCTCCTTAGTTGTCTTCCCACACCACCAATTACCATAGGAGATAAAGAACAGCTGCTCTTTAGTGAACTTCTCCAACCCCGGAAGGTGAAGATCAGGCTGAGACTCGTCGTGTTTCTTCCAAGCATGGAACGAAGCAGTTAAGCCTCCAGCGTCGGCGATGTTCTCACCTAATGTCAACCGTCCGTTCACATGGAGGACCTTGCCTTCGGGACCAGTAACAGTAAATTTGGAATACTGGTCAACGAAGCATTGAGCTCGTTCTTCAAATGCATCGACCGTCTTATCGTCCCACCAGTTGGTGTAGTTCCCATTCTCATCGTAGTGACGACCGGTGGAATCGAAAGCTACATTGCATTAGTCAATCAAAATCATTGGGGGCGAGAAGGAACTAAACATACCATGGGAAAGCTCGTGGCCGCTAACGGCACCGAACGCGCCATAAGCTAGGTACAACGGAGCGGCAGGGCCATAAAACGCAGGTGGCTGCATGATACCAGCAGGGAAAACAATTTCATTCCCGGGCGGGTTGTAGTAAGCGTTGACGGTCGGCGCAGTCATGTCCCATTCGTCCCGGTCAGTAGGTTTTCCAAGCTTAGACCATTCATCGCGAAGTCGGAATCTCGCAACGGCGACTTCGTTCTCGAAGAAAGTATTATTGGACACTTCCAGATCGCGATAGTATTTCTTTACATCCTCTGGATCCAGAACGTTGGGGCTCTTGGTCGGGAATCCGATCTTCTGGACGATGTTCTCAACCTTCTCAATGCCCAACTTTCGGACATCGGGAGACATCCAGCTAGTTTGGTCGAGAGTAAAGATGAATCGCTCTTTGATATCGGACACGATCTGATCACCGAGCTTTTTGGAGCCTTCGGAGAAGGAATCGAGAACATAGAATCGGCTGAGACTCCAACCAAGCCCTTCGTCGAGACGTACCAGGCACTGGCGCCATCGCTCCTCTTTAGCCTGGGGCTCTTTACCAACAAGCTCATTCTTGAAACGCCGCAGAGGCTCAACAGAGTCATCTTCAATCACGCTTGCATACTCTTGAATGAGCTTCCACTGCAAAAATAGCAGAACGGTCTCTCTGGGTGTATCTTTCAATAGTCCAGACAATGCCTTCATGTAAGAGGGCGATCCAACAATTAGACGATCTCCCTTGTAGTCGTGGGGCGCCAAAGATGTAATGATATCAGTGAAGGAAATTTCAGGTACCAGTGCTTCGGTTTCCTTGATGCTGAGAGGGTTGTAGTACTTGGTGACATCTTCCTGGGTTTGAGTATCAGGGGTGACGTCGGCTAGCTTCTTCTCAAAGGTCACAACGTCCTCGGCGACTTTTTCAAACCCATCACCAGCGAGACCACGGATGACCTCTTGCAAGACAGTTGTGTATTCAGCAACCGTCTTTGTATTATTATAATATTCTCGTGCGGGAAGTCCGATTGCCCGAGGAGGTGAAATCATGATCACAACATTGTCAGGGTCTCGGTCGTCGGGCTATCAAAAGTCAGAAGGTGATCCCACAGAACATGGGTTAGGCAGAAACTCACGGTAACACCAGATGAAGCCAGAGCCTCGACACCAGCATTCATCAGATAGAGAAGAGCATTGGTCAAGTGATCCTGGGCACCTTTCACAAGGCCCGTCTTTGCAGGGTAAATATTCTTCAAGTCATCCAGAATATCAGTCAATGGCTTGCTACCCCGCTTAGAGACCGTAGCCTCATCCAAGCATGCATCGTAAGCAGATTTGAGCTTCTTGAAATTATCAACATCCGACGGCTGGGGTGGCTCTGTACGCTCCAAGATGTGACGCAGTCGGGTCTGAGCATTCTCTTCCATAATTGTACCTGCAAAGATAGACCCCTGATCGGGTCGCATGTCATGACTCTCTCTCCATCCACCACAGACATACTGATCGAAGTTCGTACAGGGATCCGCATCCTTAAAATTGGGATCTAGATTGTATAGGATGTTTGATGCAGCATGGATACACTCTTGCGACTGGCAAAGCGCGGGCGCTTCCGCGTGCGGGGGCGGGTGTATTTCAGTGGAGGGTGAGCCTGGAGATCATATACATGTCAGTAACAGCACAGGATCAGGCTGAACAGATCATACTATATGGTAATCCCAGGTGATAAATGATAAAACCAGTTATCACGAAAGCGCAGAGTCCTTTCCTCAGAGCACTTGCCAAGCAGGGGCGCGGCCTTTGTCGCGCATTGTGACGGGCTCCACGAGGAACAAAATCATTATCTTTGTAGTCATCATACTCGCATTTTATGTTCACAAGTGGTCCCTTTCCGATCTTTGAGTAGTCCGAGTCGTTGGGATGATCACTTTAGAGCTATTAACACCTCCGAATAGCCGCCAAACATGAATTGGAAAGACATACCTGTATGGCGGTAGAGCCATGCTGCATCTGATGGGCTCTTATTCACCCTTTTTTCAGAAGGAACCTTGGAAGTAGTGTAGTTCTATGCGATAATGGAATTGTAGTATGGATGAGTCTTGGGGCATACAAGAGACAAAGGCTCCGGGGGGAAGATGGCGTCACAATCGGTCCACTGGTCCGATCAGCGATGACTCAGCTCCTCCAGGTCCACCCACCTGTGGACGGGTCAGGTCCAGGCCCGCATTCCTTGTGAGAAGGCAACTACATCAGTTATGGCATGGAACAAGTCATATGGCAAGGAATCGACCAGCTCGAACTGCAATCATGCTGGGTTATTCCTTGATAGGCTCAACTAAAGCAGTCAATGGGTTTCAAATCACTTTATAGATGTTTTGGTCGAAATAACTATATTATTCTAAATGTTGCACTGGCGTTGAGGCCCTATTTTGCTTTCTGTATATAATATGTTATTGTCGATCAAGATCACACCAAAGGTCCCCTCCATGTGGGTTGATAATTGCCAGGCCAGCCGGGTGTCGGAAATAGTTCTGCATCTTTCTCCGGAGTAAGGCGCCGTGATATAGCTCGGGATCCTATATCCGAGAAACAACCAAGAAGTAAGGCTCTATTGTTTGTTCTTTGCCCTGAGGTCTTGGGACTAGACCCTCTACCCCATCTTTTGTTTCTACTCCACATGGGCACAATATTACTGTATATGGAAGGTTGCGCCGTGTTGCGCCGTGTTGCGCCGTGTTGCGCCGTGAACAGATGGGAATCAAAAGCTACATATGTATCACGTAGTATAAAGCCACAGGCCCATGAATTTCGGTATTATACTCCCATTATTTTCCACCAAAATCCATATGACACCCTCGACGCATTTCAAGCTTAACACCGGCGCCCAGATCCCCGCCGTTGGACTTGGTATGATTCAAGCGCTGGTTTATGCGGGCCTTGACGGCGATTGCTGACAAGATACCCAGGCACTTGGAGATCTGAACCTGGTCAGGTACGCCAAGCAGTCTCGTTCGCCCTCAAGAACGGATATAGTCACATTGACGCAGCCCTGTAAGATCCCCATGTATCTTTTGCAGCGCATAACCCTGGCTAATAAATGATAGGATCTACGGTGGGTTGTGGAAAGAAACACAAGCAAGTCTATGGGGTGGGGTCTAAAGAGATATCTAGGAAACGAGCATGAAGTCGGCCAGGGTATCAAGGATAGTGGTGTGCCTCGTGAAAGCATCTTCATCACCAGCAAGCTATGGAACACTCACCAGTCTCATGTTGCGGAAGGTCTCCAAAAGACACTTGACACTTTAGGCACAGACTACCTCGATCTCTACGTATCAATCCTCTTCTCCCTTGGACACATGCGGTACGGCTGTCAGTAGCTCGGCTAACACAGACATCAGCTTATCCACTGGCCAGTCCGACTTGTTCCTGTAAGTTAAGCCGCTATTTCCCTTCAGCACGATCTTTGTATAGCTAAATTGTACGCATAGAACGAGTCGAGCGCACTTCTACCTGTCAATCCCGATGGCACACGATCTGTCGACCGATCCTGGGACCAGAATGAGACCTGGCGCCAGATGGAGGAGGTATACAAGGCCGGCAAAGTGAAGGCGATTGGCGTGGCCAACTGGTCAATTCCCTATCTAGAGGAGCTCAAAAAGAAGTGGACTGTGGTCCCGGCTGTCAATCAAGTCGAATTACATCCTTTCCTTCCTCAGCACGCACTGAAGGAGTGGTGCGACAAGCATGATATTCTCCTCGAGGCGTACTCACCACTTGGCTCCGAAGGTCAGTGCTCTTTGATAAGCTAGGAGGAGTTTCCATGAGGTAACTCCAGCTAACTTCGCTATATTTAGGCGCTCCGCTCATGTCCGAATCCGCAATCCAGGATATCGCTAAGAAGAATGATGTTTCACCCGCCGCGGTACTCATTAGCTACCACGTCAACAGGGGCGTTGTTGTACTGCCAAAGTCGATTAAAGAAAGCCGAATCGTGAGCAACAGTCAGATTGTTTCTCTTTCCTGCGAAGATATGGATGTTCTCAATGGTCTGGCTGCACAAGGAAAGGCGAAGCGTATCAATACGCCTCTGTTTGGATGGGATCTCGGTTTCGATGACTGGTACAAGCAGTGACGTCCCCAAATTTGGGTCTCTAGGAGAAATGCCATTTTGATAGACTTAAAAGGTTAAATCTGCTGATCAATAAACTCTATCTTGGCTAAAGTAGAATGTAATACGCGACAACTGAAAGATTGTGAGCACGAAACAGCTTGTTTAGGACGAGCTTGCTTCTAGGTCCCCATGGCCTGCTTAATTGAGCAGTTTTTGTTGTAATTAATAACGAAAAGAGACGGTATAAAATTCTGGCTTACTCTCGAGCGCATGTTGCAACGGAGAATGGTCTTGGTTCGGTTGAAGACGAATTGACGAAGTGTATTGGGAGTAATGATACCAGCCTGGAATATTTGATGCATCTTCATCAGGCCATCTTGATGTACGTACTAATGAACTTGTAGGATGGACATGCGCATCCCACGTTAAGTGCGGAGCAATTGAAGGTGGCGTGGGGGTGGTGGCATGGCATGGGTATGGATCTGAATAAGGAATGAGAAGTTATCCAATGGATAGCTCGATGTGATACTAATGCCACGGATTAAATTCAATCTCATCTTCAAAGAATATGAGATTGTTCTTGACTGTACTCTGCAATTTCGCGGCGACTGAACTGAGTCCCGGATATACCCCCGACGAGGCAGTTCTCGGCGGCGAGTTACTACTTTCGGTAATTCCTGATAACCCTGCATGAATGTTGCCGCCATTCGAAAAGCCCCGTTGTCAAATTGGTCAAACGAGCAGCGATGATCTGCAGCCGGCGATTCTCAGGTTTCCCTTGTTGGTTTTTGGATGACACAAGATGTATCGAATTCGGATAGTGTCTTGCGGAGAAGCCTGGTGTTGCGCCGACTGATAGTATAGGTCTGGCCCAGAGCAGGGACCAAAGATTAATATAAAACCCCGATCTCAGACCGCGGAAAGCCACAATCTACCGCTTGGCGAGACGTTTTCTGTTCATTACATCACATACGCCGCAATAACCACCACCACCGTGTTGTCGTTTACAAAAACATGATCTCATCACAGACACGAACCATGTCGCACGGAGACCGCCGTGTAAAGTTTGCGCTTTTTGGCCTCGGCCGCCTGGGAGTTCTTCGAGCCCGCATCCTCGCTTTCCAGCAGCCTCGCATCGAACTCGTCGCCGTCTGCGACACAAAGCCTGGCACCGATAAGTGGGCCGCAGAGAATCTGCCCCCGTCTGTAAAGTACTACTCAGACCCTCAAGAATGCCTGAAGAACAGCGGCGCTGAGGCCGTCCTCATCTGCACCGCGACTGCTACACACGCGCCTTTGATCCTGCAGGCCCTTGATCTAGACTTGCATGTCATGTGCGAAAAGCCTGTCTCTGTGGACATCGCTACTACCAAGGCAGTTGTCGAGAAGTCTGCTTCCAGACCTGACCTCAAGTTCCTCGTTCCCTTCACTCGCCGGTGTAAGTAAACCTTTGTCCCGCCCTTTGCGGATTTCAGAGACTGACTCGCGCCAGATGACAAGTCCTACCGGCAGGCCAAGGCCCTGATCGATAATGGAGATTTGGGTGAAATTCATGCTGTGGAGACGACTGGTCTCGATCAAGCAGATCCTAATGGTATGGCCCTGTTAGCCGCCACTTGTTGTTTTCCATATAGGCTAATAGGCAGACCATTCTGTTTAGCCTTTTTTGTGTCCTTTTCTGAGCAATCTGGCGGCATCTTCCTTGATTTTGGCATCCACACCGTGAGTTCCAGTATTATTCTTTCGCTCACTGTCCTATCTACTAACACGGCACTAGGTCGACGCCGGACGATACCTATTGGATGTCAAATCAAATCTCCCCAACCCCAAGAAGCAAGTCAACAGAGTCATTGCCTTTGGCCAGTTGGCTGTTTACGGGGAATTAGCCAAGTATGGTGATGCCGACAATGCATGGGGCCTGGTAGAATTTGCCAATGGCAAAATTTTTAAGACTTACCTGGGTCGCACGCTCACTAGCGGTTTCGAGGACACTACTCGGTTGTGTGGCACCAAGGGACATTCGATCATCAGCGCGAACTCGAATGTTGAGATTCGCGATCATCTGGGAATTCGCTCACAATCCGTGCCTGATGCGTTCACTCTCTTTGATGCGACGTTTCTCACTGATCTTGCCGAGTTTTCTGATGCAGTGCTTGATGACAAGCCCTTGACTTGTCAACCAGAGGATGCCTTTGAGGCGGGCAAGATCTGCGCTGCTCTGCAGTACTCATTCCGCAAGGGTTTGCCCGTATACTTCGACGACAATGGTCTGCCTATAATGGAGTAATTTATGAAGGTATTGCATATATAAAAGAGGAGGGAAAATGTATATAGAGTAAACTTCATCTCAAATTTCATGGCACGTGTAGAAGAGCTGTATCATGTTCCAAGTTTATGGTAGAACCCTTCAATCAAAATCGGCCTTGTAGCCGCTTCGGAGCACTCTATGGACCGTTGATCTTCGCGATAAAGCAATTTCCAGCGTTTTGATCAGCCACATGCCGGCGCATATAATTTAACCACGGTAAAAAAGAAAAATGCTGAATTGGCTGGGAATATGGATGGCATGACTGCTATTGGGGAATAAAGGAGCTGTCGCAAACCACGTCGATCGCTTTCTATTTTAGACGACGACACTCTCTGTGGTGGCAATCCGTGAAGGTACTTTGCTCAATGTGTACGTAGACTTATGGAAAAACTTGCCCGGACACCTCTAAACTGGTATCTATCTCCATTACCTTCTCGCTGGCCTAGACAAGGATCGGCTTCTTCTGAGTCACTCGCACCCGGTAAGGTAATATCGGGCGAATATTCCCACGGGGCAAGTCCAGAATGAACCGGAAACAGCAAGTCAAGGATTAACATGTGAGCAGATGCAAGGGTCAATCGCGTAGTGTGCGGAGCGTTGATATAAGACTCAATACGGTTGGAATGCGCCGCTACTTTCCCAATTAGGAGATTTCACCAACTTCTTAGTCTTGTGAACTCACAGTAGATCTATATAATAGACACATATGTATATAATAGGTAAATATATAATTCAATCCTTTCGTTTAACGGTATATATCAGAGTCTCTGAGGCATTCGCATTTTCGTGAGATCAGACTGTGAATATTGCCTAAGAGGCACCTTTTCAGCATATTTCCTTCCCACCATAATATGAGAAAATGGCACCTTACATTCAAGGATGCGTTCAGGAACCCGCTGGCACCGATCCCACCTCTAAGTATACTCTCCAGTCTAAGAGCACGGTGCTCAACCACGACCAGGTCCTAAAGCCCGTCGCAGACGATTTCATGTACAATTTCAAGTACAACCATAGTCTCCCCACTACCAGCACTCTAGGCGTTGAGATCCCGATTGATTGCAATGCTCAAAAGGAGGCCGAGAGTATCGTAGCGCGTCTCTCTACAGCCACATCAGAGGGAGATGCGCAAGCTTTCGCTGAGCTGTTCCTTGATTATGGTGAGACCCTTCACAGACAAGATCCGAAAAAATCGACTTCAACTAACTTCAGATGTATAGGCGTGTGGCGTGACAAGCTCTCATTTACCTGGGACTTCCGCACATTCAACTTCAAAGAGGCCATCTTAAAAGCCGCTGTCGACCTTCTGCCTCAAACCAAGGCTAGACATTTCAACTTTCTCGAGCCTGCGCCTTCCGTGTCTCGCCCATACCCTGATTTCGCTCAGCTGCAATTTGTTGTATCATTTGAGACTGAGATTGTCTTTGCTTCGGCCGTCATCAACGCAGTACTCACTCAAAATGGCTGGAGACTTTACACCATGCATACCGTTGCCGAGAGTCTCAAGCAATTCCCCGAGCAGGCTGCACCAGATGGACATATGATCGGTGTCACTAGCTGGGAGAGTGAGAGATCCGAGGCTATCAACACTGTTGACCCCGAGGTGCTGATCATCGGTGGTGGCCAAAAGTAAGAATCCATACCTGAGAGCTCCACGATATAAAATTAAATTAGTTCTACTAGCGGTTTGGCTATGGCAGCACGCTTGAAAGCACTTGGTATGGAAAACCTGATCATCGAACGTAGCGATGAAATCGGAGATATCTGGAAGAAGCGTTATGAATATCTTTCACTGCACTTCCCTCACTGGCCCGATGCCCTACCATACTTCAAATACCCTCAATATTGGCCCACCTATACCCCGGCTCAGAAGCAGGGTCTATACATGAAGTGGTATGCCTCCGCTTTGGAACTCAATGTCTGGACGAAATCGGAGGTCGTGAAGGCCGAGCAGGACAGTGCGGGTAAGTGGACCGTTGTAATCAACAAAGAAGGCAAGGAGTCTCGTACACTGCACCCTAAACAACTCATCATGGCAACATCTTTATGCGGTCTCCCTTCCATGCCGGCTGTGCCTGGGATGGCTGAATTCCGAGGCGTGGTCCGTCACTCCAGCGCCCACAAGAGCGCCCGTGACTTTGTCGGACAGAAGGTCTGCGTCGTCGGTACCTCATCCTCGGGCTTTGACACAGCTTACGAGTGCGCCCGCCTGGGAATTGATGTGACCCTCGTCCAGCGGTCACCGACCTACGTTATGTCTTTGACCCATTCTGTTCCACGCATGCTGGGAGGTTACGCGCCCGACAAGAATGGAAACCTCCCCGATACCAACGTACAGGATCGACTCATGTTCTCTACGCCAGTTGGACCCGGAGAGGAACTCGCCAGGCGCACTGCGAAAGTTCTCGAGGACCTCGACACACCCCTACTCGAAGCTCTGAACGCTCGAGGTCTGCGAACATGGCGCGGGCAGCGCGATACTGGCAACTCCACACTAGGCCAGACTCGGAACGGCGGATTCTACTTTGATGCCGGTGCTTGCGAGGAAATTATCAATGGCAACATTAAGGTGGAGCCAGGCTTCATTGAGAAGTTTACTGAAGATAAGGTGATCTTGAATGGCGGCCGCGAGAAGGAGTTCGACCTAGTCGTTTTTGCCACCGGATTTTCGAACACGATCGACTCTATTCGAGCCACCCTTGGAGAGAAGATTGCCAGCCAATGCGGACCTATTTGGGGTATTGATGAAGAAGGCGAGTATAAGACCGCCTACCGGGAAACGGGAGTGCCCAACATGTGGATCATGGTTGGTTTCCTTCCAATGACCCGGTATGCCTCCAAACTATTGGCTTTGCGACTGAAAGCTCTAAAGGAGGGCATTTCACCCCCTCCTTACAAAATTCAGGTTCCATAGATGAAATATATTGTGTCGCGAAAGGACCGAGCTTTGTCCATTCACTTGATAGATTTGTGTGACTGGAAAAAAGTATGAAAGTGCAGGTGAGACACCATGAGATGTTTCTGAGGGTGTTGCAACTTCATCATTTGTGTTGAAGGATGTTGGCCACTTGATCTACTTCCTTGGGAAATACGACGATTGCAAACCAGCAGAGACGTGAACCAGGCAAAACTTTCTTACCATTTCAGCCCGGGTCATGTTGAGGGTAACTCTGGGGAAGCATTTCTCCTCAGCGATGGTTTTCTCCTTCCAAGGATTTATCTTAGAATGTGAGGTAATAACATGATAGCTCCAACGCTGTTGAGCAGAAGAACAAAATGGCGTTCATTTTCGAACGATATAAAATATCTTAGATCAGGAGGGCAACAAGAGCAGGTGGTGATATGTATTGAAATGAAAGGGAACTTGATACATAATCGTGGATACTTATTGGAGAGAGAGGAAGAATATATACATATATACACGGAAAGAACAAAGAGGTACTGTTGGCCAGAGGCCTCAAAACCTTTAGCACCCTTCTGCTAACCTTGGAAATGCCCCCACCTGTTTGATTGACTATCTAAGCTATGTCTTTCTCCGTTCTGTGTAATTCCACGCGAACTTCCCAGAATCCGGTATATCGAGGTCAGCCATTTATCTGCTGCTGCAGAAGCATGGGGACATTTCTGTTTTGTTGTGACAAATGCTTAGAGTTGATGACTTTGTGAGTTTACAGTATGATTCTAGCTAGTTTTGAAAAGGTCCGACTTCAATGATTCTCGAGGAACTATATCACGAACAGGCGCGCGGTCATCTGCCTCGGGCGGATACCTAATACAGACTACGTCGCCGGCAAGCAAGTAGGGACGAACTCTTATTTTGGGACCTGTACGCCCCGCCACTAGCCCCAGAACACCCCTTTTGCTATACCCAACCCCATAGTATACTCGCATACCTATCCCAACATTACGGGATCGTACGAATCCACGGCGAAAACGCCAAATCAAGACCAACCCTAGCGCCATCGGCGAACACACAGCTATAATACTGTAACTAGTAACCTAAAGCAGTATCTTTGCTATGGTCCTTTTCGGAAGGGTTCCGGCTGACGATCCTGCAGAAATCCTAAAGATAGATCCATCCAAACGGCCACTAAACCCGTCCACAGTCTTCACCCTCTACATGCTCATTTTGATTGAAATCTTTCTAACCTGGAAACTCCGAGCAGAGAAAATTTGGCAGATCTATCTACTGTACAGGTATACAACCTCCGGGGCTATTCCCAAACGACCCGCGCTCGGGCTCTGCAAAAACCGGGATCTAAGCCTGTCAAATGGTGATCGACAACAGCTAATTTACTAAGTCCCACCAGGATCAACACCTGAACATTGTCGTTGAGCGCTTCCCGTTGGGTCTTTGTAGTGACTAATAGATTCCTACATATGTACGTAGCAGAGAAGGTGCACAACTTATAACGTATGATTAGTGTACCGTGACTACATGCTTCATGTGTAGCTAACGTATAATTGTACTTAAAGGTCACACATATCAAGTGGAGATTTTTGCATTGGTCGGAACCTTATTATACCTATGTAGGTAGTCTTTCGGAGAGGCGGTCCTTTCGGACAAGTCATACTACGGATGTACATAGTTTATTTCTTTGCCCGTGGGTGGCGTTGGGAGTTAAAGTACATATACCTAGCTTGTAATATATCCATGTGATATGTCTTGTTCTCTTTAGCCGATATCATATTGCAGCACGTTTGGTAGAATGTACAATGTGGTATGCAATATTGCAGAAAGCAATCCATATGTTGTATAAGAATTGCAGACGATTATGAGGCCAACATTTGTATTGAGTCATATTTTTACAAGGTCTGGAGCTTCGGAACTTCATGCAATGTTGGACTCCGTTCAAACTCACTGATTTTATACCAGCAAAAAAAGAAACAAAAACAAGGCTGCGGCATTCGGTGGAGCACCGATTATGCATAAACATGGCAGCATGGCAGGCAAGTAGACCGGCGCCTCGGGCATACCCTCTGGTCAGCTTCTATGTACTGCGAGAGAACAGTGGTTAAACCCACCATACACGTGGTAGATCCCTCGGAAGTTACAAAAACAATTTCAGGGGTTTGAGATTCTTGTTTTGCACGAGCAATTGGGGGGCCGCAGACCCCACCCCTCAGATAGCGCACAATCAAGACCGAGTCTCGATCGCATCATCCGGGTGGATAATATTAAACTATCGCTCCATTGGCCGCATCGGGAAAACGGAGAAATTTCGCCCCAAGATCGGTCAAGCAGAAAGATGATCCGAGTTCACCTAGTGCATACCCAGGTTGTCGAGTATTCCCAGGATTTCGGATGGCGGTACTATGGGCCTTTTGGGAGGTCAATCGGGGTCAATCGAACCCCACAATTGGAGTTGACCAGTCCCAAACGGATTACCCCTGCCTTAGTAGCAAGACGGCGTACAGGTGAAGTTGCCCGCAAGGGATGAAAATCACCGTGAAACCGGAGACAGTGAACCGACGGGCCAACCCGTTTGTTTCATAAAGAGCTGTGGGGGATTGGACCATTTGTATATTGGGAGAAATCCTGTGGTTTTGTAGGGACTTGTTTTGGGTATCCGAAATACTACTTCGATACTTCGTAGTTAGTACAATATTGTATGTTGTATAATGTACTCCGTACGGAGTAATGAGCTAATAGGGGTTTGACGGCTTAAACACGGCAGAAATGATGGTGCTTGTGGAGACCAACCCTGGAAGGGAAATGACAGCGATGGTCCACCGAACAATTCTACTCTCTTGAGCACATGGAGCTATTTCGTCGAGTAAGCGAACGGGCGATACGAGCTTTCTGATTGGTTCATAGTGGACACCGTCAAGCGCTCTACTCCGAGTTCACCTCGGTAAAAAATATGGAGTCCTTGCATTAAAGAAAGATCCCAGAAGCTCAGACACTTAGAAGGTCAGGGCTGACGGTTAGTAACTAGTTAGTGTAGTGAGTAACTTGACTTTGTAGATAGTAACCACTCCGTAGTAAGATGTATGAGAGATAGTAATAGGATCAAAGCCGGGACAGGAATCCGCCGACGTTTCAGACATGACCTTGCATAGGCGCATGCGGGTTTCAGTACTCCCCATGCCGATCGCTGCAGCTCGCATTACTAGTGGATTGAACCTGTCCTTTTTTTTTTTTTTCCATATATTATTATTATTGTATGGTACCGAGGGCACATGGAAAGGGATGTAATAATGCAAGGAATGAATATTATTCTGAACAATTCGATTGTTCGAGAACACGCAGCTGATTGGGAGGAAGGTTCCCGTACTTTTCAATAGTGTCGATTGGATTGACATCGGGGTTTGGTTTTAGATTTATTTGTAAGTAGGATTAGATATGTACTCTGCGTACGGAGGAGAAGGAACATGTAGAGAATATAAAATATACTATACAAACCCAAAGGCTATATATACTACTAGTCATAATGCCTGTAGAAAACCAAAATTAGTGCATAACATACAAAGTAGACAGGGGTGTCAAGCCGGTGGATCAGACTAGTGTTGTTTTTGAAGATTCAAAGAGCCTTTGTAATTATGATACAAAGAATAAACATAATTAATAGATTAGAATAGTTAATATTGTAGAATTATTTACATGCCTATAGGTAGATATATGTACGGAGTATGTAGTTACAGAATCGATTATTCGGACATTCTTCTTCTCCCCGCTTGTGGACACTCATGTAACGAACTTTGAATGCTTCTCTTCTTCTTCCCTTTCCTCTCTCTCTGTTCCCCTCTCTCTCAATTTCTCGGAGAACTTCGGCTCTCAAACCCCCCCCCCCAATCCTCCGCAATTACCTTTTACATTGTACAAAGTACCATCTCATCTTCTTCATCTCTCTTGAAAGAATCAAACTTCCCGCGATCCCCGTCACCTGTCATCCGTCTAACCTTCTCCTCCTCCCTCCCTTTACCTACGGCTGACGTTGTGTCGCTCACACTAATTCGGCGCTTGTCTCGGAGGATAATCTGGTCCAATTGGAAACCCCACTCGTCATATTCGCAAAGGAACGTGGTCGCTGGGTGTGGGGAACAAAACCTTCGAGCTTCTGCCTATCACATACACAATTCACGACAATTAAGTTGAGACTCAGACATAACACGGGAGGATATCTGCGATCTGCCTTGTTTCGGAAAGAAGGTAGGCACATGGAACATCTCGCGCAAAGGTTGATGGTCATCTGTCGAGTCTTGAGTCTTGAGACGAGTCTGAGTCGAGTCTAGTCGAGTCTTTTGTCTCTGATCTTTGACCGGATGAGCCTGTGGCGCAATTCCTCGCATCCCTGATTCAGATCAAGCACTTGCTCAAGGCCTCGAGACCCTTGTCGCGCCATCTTGGCTTTCTATGAATCCTCACTGACTGTCGCGATAGGTGTTTTTTTCCTTTTCCCCTTTTCCGCACACAATCTATAATCATGGGTTGCTTGGTTTCGAAGCCCGCGGAGGTCGATAAGGAGGCTATTCAGCGCAATCAACGCATAGAACGGGGGATCAAAAATGACAAGAAGACGCTTGATCGCACGATCAAGATTTTGCTATTAGGTGAGTATTGTCGCTGGATACACTGCCCAGACTCGTTTTTCTCTTTACTGACTCCATGATAAGGAGCCGGAGAGTCTGGAAAGTCCACGATCATCAAGCAAATGCGAATCATTCACAGTCGAGGTTTCCCCGAGGAAGAACGTCATCAAACCCGAGCTATTATCTACTCAAATATCGTCATTGCCTTCAAGGTCTTGTTGGATATTATGAATGCCGAGGGTATTGACTTCGTCGATGAACCAACTACCAGGGTACTACATTCGCTATCTCTGCTAGAAATGCTAGCTAACCTTTTCCACAGCCACTTGCAGATTTATTAGACAATACAGACCCAGATGTAGGATCTGATGAAGCTTTCTCAGATCTGAAGGTCCGCGATGCTATGAGAGCCATGTGGCAAGATGAGGGTGTTCAGAAGGCCGTTGCGCGGGGGCATGAATTTGCTCTCCACGACAACTTATGCTAGTAAGTTTCGTTTGGCGATATTCGCTCAAATTCGCGCTAATAGCACTTAGTTTCTTCGATTCCTTGGACCGCATATTCGCACCGGGCTGGCTTCCCGATAATCAGGACATGCTGCAAGCTCGACTTCGGACAACGGGAATTACAGAAACTCTTTTCGAGCTTGGACAAATGAACTTCCGTATGATGGACGTTGGGGGTCAACGATCAGAGCGAAAAAAGTGGATTCACTGTTTCGAGGGTGTTCAGTGTCTGTTATTCATGGTCGCTTTATCAGGATACGACCAATGTCTGGTAGAAGACCAGAACGCTGTAAGTACAATTCCCCCCAATGTCTCCTGCGCACCAGACTCACATCTTTACAGAATCAAATGCATGAAGCTATGATGCTATTTGAATCTCTAGTGAACGGTGAATGGTTCAAGCGCAAACCCATCATTCTCTTCCTCAACAAGATCGACCTGTTTAAAGGAAAACTCGCCATCTCTAATATCTCAAAACACTTCCCCGACTACGCCGGCTCCAACACAGACTACGACTCCGCAGCACAATACTTTGCCGAGCGATTCCGTGGCATCAACCGCATTCCAGACCGAGAGATTTATATCCATTACACCAACGCAACTGATACAACATTGCTAAAAGCAACCATGGATTCGGTACAGGACATGATCATACAGAAGAATCTGCATACCTTAATACTATAAGGTAGAGGCCCTCAAACTTCCGAGGAACTCACGACCGTCTGTCTATGACGATGATTTCATTTCTCTTCTCTTCATTTCTATTTCCATTCCAAGCTCTTCAGCCCTGTTATTTCTTGCATTCTAGGGCGGTTATCGTCTGATCACTCTTGGTGACTTTTTACCATATCTCACTTTCTCATTTCTTTTTACTTCTTTCTGATCATTATTCTTTAACGAAGGCGTCTTGATTGAGAGGTTGTTATCGACTTTTCTTTTCGCTCACGTCGGGTCTATCATGTTGCATCTAAAAGCCCATCCAATTTCGCCAACTAATGCCCCCCACGCTTCGGTTTCAGCGACGGTGTCGTTTTGCATTTCTTTTCTTTACATTGTTTTATTGCAGGATGATACCATTTGTTTTATCTCCGCAGCTCTGCGTTATACCTAACGACTGCTCTGTATTATCACAATCATTCTTGGTCTCCCATCTGCTGTCCCATCTCCGAATGAACTCAATATGCTGCTCTTTTCAGAGCAATTCCAAGCTTTGATCTTTCATATCCAGTGTTCCACTGTATATGCCGAACAATAGTAAAATGTATCGAACAGATGTTTGGAACCGCTTACCATCGGATTCTTGTAGATCGCACATCGTGCGTCATGCGCCATTCTGCATTGCCAAGATCCCTGGATTTCGAGATAAGCCAGATGACTTGGTCAAAAGTGCGGTGAATGCTGTAGCCAGAACTCTCTTTTACACATCAATATTCTATCAAGACCACTTAACCAGAGCCTGTTGTTCATGATAAATATTGCCACCTCAGGCAACGAGATTACATAAACTCCGCATGATCAGTGACCCCGAGTTCCGGGCCCGACTGATTTCGCCTTCGATTCAGACTCATTCACCTCAGTGACTGAGTTATCTGCCAACCATGTTGTCAACATCGTTACGCCGGGCGGCATGGACCCCCATGCCACTGCCCGGGATAACTCGCTCCGGTCAGAATGTTACCAACAGTTTCCTAGGCGCAACCCGACCTCTGCACCAGCGCCGGTATTCCTCCTCTTCTTCCAAACCACCCGTCCCGCCCAGCGATGGCTCTAGACGGCTTGATGCCTCTGCTCCGGCGAAGGTGAACTCGTCTAGTGAGAAGGGCAGGGGCCGCCGGGGGAAGGACAGCTCTTCGCGGAACGCATCTTCAAAGTCCAACCAGCAGCATGCGGCATTTTCCAATCTCCCAAGTGTTCCCTCTACACAGCACCGACAACCGCATGGTAAGTGATTCAACTCAAATATCTCTTTTTTCCAAACCTCCTTTTTCCCGCAAAGAAATGGCCCGAAGTTGACTTTTCTTTGTTCCCTCGTCAGATGTCCATGTGGCGTCGTTCTTCTCCATCCACCGCCCAATTTCGGTGACAACCACTGTACCCCCAACTTCGAGTACAGATGCTTTTGAAGCGATTTTCTCCTCCAAGCGGCCTCTGAAGAACGAGCCCGAAGACGTCATCTTCACTCTTTCCTCCGCCGTGCAGTCAATGGAGCTCGGCGCGCAGGGCGCGTCAGAGTCCGAGGACAACTTCCGAACCTTCAGCGAACAAGATGGTGAACTCCGCATGCTGGATGGCCCCGACGCCAAGATGTCCGTGGAAGAATACACCCGCCGTCTCCGTCCCTTCCAGCCTCCTCCTCCCCCCGTGCCCATGGACGCATCCGCCATCGAGGCTGTCGAGTCCACAGACGCCCAGATCGACAACGAGTACCAGACCTACTCGACTGTCCTGACGATCCGCGAGGGTCGTGGCGCAGATGGCCGCAAGACCTACGAGGCCCACACCGGTCCATTCGTCCGTAGCGAAGAAATGGAAGACCCATCTAGCTTCCGTGACGAAGTCACCATCGATGCCCCCGAGTCCACCTCCGGGATGACATACATGGAGCGTCTGCGCAACAACCGCACCATGCACGCCCTCAGCACCAAGAGACGGCGCAAGGCCAAGATGAAGAAGCACAAGTTCAAGAAGCTGATGAAGAGAACGCGGACTCTGAGACGGAAACTCGACAAGTAGATACAAACCTCGTGATTTTTACTGCTTTTTTGGCTTTCCTGTTTGCATCTGCGCCTGCGTCTGTGCATTTTGGGTCCAGGTAGTCCTGTGAGAGGTCAGAGCACACATATTTGTGTTCATATTTATTTTCGTTTTCTACCTACTTGCGCTCTCTCTCACGCCTATACTACCAAATATCCACATACACCTCTTATTTCTCCTTGAGTGACTTCAGCTGCGCTTGGTATGCGGTTATTTGACTGGATATATGGTTTTATACTCCTGCATAAAGATTACCCAATAGAGCTTGTTTACACTGCTTGGGTGTGGTCTATCTGGAGTAAATATTGTAATATAGAAGAATTTCCTTCAACATTTTGCTGAGCTACCTCGATAGATTTGACTGTTAGCGTAGGATCATGGACCTGGCTATACCATTTTCTTAAAAAAGCACTGGGGTCATCGATGTGAGGCCATGGACCGAGTAAGTTGGGTGGGATGAAATACGCCATGGTAGGTTCTTATTCGCGAGCAGCAGGTAATAAATCAGACCCATGGGAGAACCTGCTACATTTTACGTAGTGATACCTCCATATGTAGTCATGTATTGTTGCATCAAATAGAAGAGGTCGAAGGAGACCATATGGAGAACCGAAAGGCAAACCAGGAGAATTGCCATGTCCACTAGGAGAACATGGTCCAACAGGAAAGAAGAAACTTGTTAGAAAGATTCCATCTAAATACCAGAATGGAAGAGGGTTAAGACACACAAGTCCCGGATCAGCGAATTTCATATAAAGTACAGTCCAGCGCGGTGTCATGCAATGTAAAGCACAAAAAACCAGTATCTACCCACACCTGTCCACCGAGTCCAGGAATGTTGGAACATATTTCCCGATTCTACACCGTAATCGAACAGAAAGCTCTTTTCCTTCAAATTGGTTGAAATCGACTGATCATGATCCAAAATCGTTCACTCCTGCACCCGTACCAACCATGTTTGTCGTGTCAGTTTCCCCGGCGAAGAAACACATTGGATTGCGTCGGGAAAATGTTGAAGAAGCAACCCGGAGAACGGAGAGACCACGCGGGTAAAAGCATGGCGCGATTCTACCGCTCACCGAGATGCGGCAGGAGATTGTTTAGCAATTTCCTTTCGAGCGGGAGTTCATGAGAAGAGCAACAATCAACCCGTACAGACCTATCAGACGGAATTTGTTAGATGAGGGCCGGATAGTGATACTGAAGAGCGACTTACCCAATACTTCAGCGAAAATGAGAATCAGAATCATTCCGACATACAGTCTGGGCTGCTGGGCTGTTCCACGAACACCTGCATCACCGACAATACCAATAGCGAAACTGTGATTCCGAACTCGGTTAGAAACAGCTCTGTATACGAAATTCACACATCTCGTGTCGCAAACTTACCCCGCAGCGAGACCAGCAAGACCGACAGACAGACCAGCACCGAGCTGGATGAAACCAGTGTAGAGAGGGAGGTCCTGTCTCAGGTCGTTGGCGACCAGAACCGACACGACAAGACCGTAGATACCAATAATACCCGCCATGACAATGGGGACAATGTCTGCGATCTGAGTAAGCAAGCCATTTCTGCAAGGTTGAGAAGAGAGAGAGATCCAATCTGTGATTGGAGTGACTCTCTCGTGGAGGTCGACGTACTCTTGACGATCAGATCGGGACGGAGGACAGCCATGGAGCAGACTCCGACACCGGCCTTAGCGGTTCCATATGCGGCACCGAAACAGGTGAAGACAATAGCGGAGGTGCAGCCCAGCGCGCCGAAGAAGGGCTGTGAGAAGGATATTAGTTTGACTTCGATGCAATAGTGGATGACGCGGAGGGGCGGAGACACGGGCGATCCGCTCAATGTCCAGATATCCGGATGGAATATCGAGAAGGACTCACCGCGTAGACGGGGCTGTTGAAGATAAGATGTTAGCAAGTTTCAGCTCAAAGGGCCGGGGAATGGCGGGTGTGATAGCAAGGTGTCGATCGGGAGCTGTCAAGCACCCAGGGGCTGGAAGAGATGAGAACATACCAAAGCTCAGTGGCCATTTTGATGAATAGAGACCCGTGGAGGTTCTCGATTAGTCAATAAAGCTTGAAAAAGATGTAGAAGGGCCTAGGGTCGGTAGGCTCTGAATGCGGGAAGGATGGAGAGTCCAGAGGCTTGGAGGTCGACGGCAAACATGCTGGCCTCATTGGGTCACGTGTGAAGTCTTGGCACATCCACCCGAACGGGTAATTGATTACTATGTGACATCTATTGTTATGGATTTGTTCTTTATTGTACATCTAAATCATTGGTTATATATTATACAGATTGAAGGATCACTCGAGATGCTGGCACATCAAGTTTCGTGCTGGAGTTCGACCCCGTATGGCCAGTCACTGGCTGGGAATAGGCGATCGCCTTTTCGGACAATGCGCCAAATGTTTGAGGAAGAGTGACAATTCCACTGTTGTCCTCGACGTTATATGCTTCAAGTTCCATGGAGTCAGCCACCATACCAAAGTGGTAGCTCACAGCCTTTTCATTAGAGTCACTTTTGCTCGAGACTTTGCTCTCGGTCGGTTCTACCGACACAAAGAACTGAATATAGTCACCTGCTGTAGCGACCTGAGAAAGGAGGGATAGATCATCCAAAGCGATTCCTTGATCGATAGAAGGCAGTGTATCCAATGGTTTACCACTCTCAGGGTCGAAAATTCGAGTCACGGAGACAAGATCGTCTCGATTGACTGTCCCTGAAAAACTGACTTCAGGGTCGAGCGAAAGAAGACCTTGTTTCTTGCCCCATCCACCTCCACCACTCATGACACGGTGCAGTTTCCCGCCTTGTTGGAGAGACTGAATCAGACGATCATGGGTTGATGATCCTGAATCAGCTACCACCAGGTCAGGTTTTTCGACCAGCGCCCATACAGATACTCGATGATCAACAATATTGTGTTCTTTTATATACCGTGGGAGCTCCTTTTCAAGATCCGTCGAAGCAGGAATTGTCTCGGTCGATGTTGCATCTGTAGACTTTGCGAGCTGCCGTAGAATATTTCCCATGCTAGTCATGACCCTTCGTCGTTCAGTGACTTGGTGCAGCGGAAGCTCCAGTGTAGCGTCCACAGCCTCGGCGCGAGCCGTAATCATGCAACTTGTGAAATCGACTGATTTGTCCAAGACATACTCATTTGAGTCGTTATTCCAAAGCCAGCGTGTACCAAATAAGGTTGTGTCTTTCCCGTTGAAGAAAATAGTGTTGGCAAGGCGCAATCCGATTTCATGTGCAGACATCTTGGTGGTTTGACCGTTGGGATGGCTTTGGATTGAGAACAGGAGATTTGTTTCTTCACTAGCAGAACTTCTGATGAGACGCGGGGGTGCAGCCTTTGCTTGCACATCTGATTGACCTACCGCGAGAAGGGATAGCCCTTCCGATTCATTTGAATCTGGGTTACTGGATGTAATATCGGGGAGAGTATCCACCACAGCAGTGACGGCATGGAAAGAATTGACACCCGAGGAGTTCCCGTAGAGTCGAGTGAAGAATTGCGATAGGAAAGGACTGGAAGGATCAAGCCAGTGGGCGAAGTTCGGGGTAACGAGGAGGAGGGGAATGCAAACGGGCGCAGCTGATGGGTTCACAGGCCCCGAAGGAAGACAGGACAGGACATCATCGGGAGTCTATAAAATTTAGCATTCATGCAGATAATATAAACATATGGACAACTTACTGTTTCTTGTGCTGCTTTTGTGAGCCATGTGCATGCGAAAGGTGTAGTTAGGTTCTGTGTCGCATAGCGTCTCTTTGCATGACAGAGACTCCTTAACGCTCGGTACGAGCCCAGAAGCTGCGGGCGTCCAGAGATGAGGAATATCCCCATCTGCTTGGAGCTTGAAACGTGCAGCGAGTTCATTGACATTGATTCACCAAGACCAAAAGGTCCAATTAGGGAAAAGCGGAAGTGCGGAGGGTGGGTGGGTCAGCGGAGCGGAACATCTGTCTACGCGGTCTACGCAGTCTATACGGAGTAGGTGAGAAGTTGTTACATTGGAAATCAATGTAGATGGTTTCTTGGTGATTTAATAATGGAGAAGTGGCCTCGGGTTGTATCTGGTCATCCCCACATGTTCAACCCCTTACAAATTCTGACATGACCTGTCCCATATAGACCAAGTCTTTTCCTTCAAGAATTGCACATTCATTGGTGGTATACGAATCCCCTTCAAATGCTCACATCTTACATGCTCATCGTCTCCACCTAAGGTATCCATTGCAGCAGTCGGAAAGAAAGCAGTTGGAGCCTCATATCCCAAAACAGCAAGAAACTGTCCGTCAAAAACGACAGGTTCGTCCGCGACCCCCACAGCCTGCAGATCGAGCCCGGCTGGCGCAGCCACCCACGAGTGCGGCACAACCGGACTAATCGTGACCATTGTCTTGGGGGGTACGACGTATATCTCGCCCGCTAACTCGGCAATGGCGACTAAGTTCAGGACAATTATCTTTTCGACCACGTAGCGCATGCCTGATCCGTCCTTTTTCGGTGCCATATGGACGTGTCGCGGCATGCGACAGGTTGTGTCGAATTGGTAGAGGCCGTTCGTTCTACTGAACGAAACACAGCTGTTGTCGTCTGATTTTCCGTAACTCATGAGTTCGAGTCTACCTGGTAGCTTGATTCTGGGGGAAATGCTTGTTTGACCATAGAGCCTGCGCTGTGGATGATGCGGCTGCTGTTGGGTGAGTCTAAGCCGAGGGTTTGAGCCATTGTAGTGGATTGGGTGGATGGTGAAAAAGGATTCAGAATATTGTAGCAAGCAGTTTGAAATGTGCGTGGTTGAATCCGCGCGGGTTATTCACTGTTTGGGTTTTGACGTGGAAGCGAAATACTTGTGTAAGCTGCTGCCACGTAGGGTCGAGTGCTAGTGATTTGTCAGATAAATCAAATCATAACTTTTTCGGGCTTAGAAGACATACCAAAGATTTAGAGGCTCTGAGGCATTTTGCCGATGAATTGGTTTCAATTGGTTTCGCAGTCGACGCCCAGTGCTCTGTAAAGTTCAATCACGTGGTCAGACAATTGTAAACCGACTTTCAGCCGAACAGGCATGATACTTACGGCGTGTGAAGGAAATGACTGTGGTAGGAATTCCGGTTTGGCGAGCTGCTTCCTGAACCTCGACCTTGTTCCTGTTCACCGGAATACGGTTGCCCTGGTCATCGCATCTTGCGGCTAGATCAGAGGGAACAAATAGCTGCACTTGTGTTTTCGGGATTGCCTCAACAAAGTGATGTTGATTGGTCGCGCCACTATGTCCGACAAGGCAGCTAGGTAGAGAGACATGTATAAGCAGGGGGTTTCTAGGAAGACTTCTTTCTTTTCATTATCCACTAACTCACATGACGATATCGATTTTCTTGAGATTGTGAACCAATGATTTCTGATCAGTCAGGTCAACTTCGACGGTCTCGACATTGGCTGGTAGGCTTGAAGTATCGAAGCCAGGGCGATGGAGGACCCAAACAGGAGCACCTGAGCTAGCCAGACCCTGGACGATCCCAGAACTAGCCCATCCTCGGTGACCATAAACTGTAATGCGATCAAATGATATCTTCCTCAACATGTGCTTGTTCATGTTGATTGAAGTAAGTCAATGGAAGCCGATATCTCCATATGTCGAGAATTTTTCTCCATAGAAATGTAGATGATATTTCAAAACAATGATTGCGGACGAGGGGGAGAAAGAGAGAGGGAGAGTACATCGAAGTGCATAAGATACTATTTCTAAGTAATTGTTAGCCATAGAACTCCACTTGAAATCTTAACAAATACCTGGTTGCAACCTATAGAACGAATTCTGGGTTCAATAATCAGTTTTGATGTGCGGATCAAAAGTCTTGGACATTCCATATGCGCTGTGCAATCTCCTTGAGATCTGCCATTTCGATGGTGATATCAGACTCTACAGGAGTAGAGGCTTGTCGCCGCATCAGGAGATGGAATGGAATGACTAGAGGATGTTTTGACACAGTGATATTTTCTCCTGTTGTGTCCTCGGCGATAATGATTTCTTGGGTAGATCGGGGGCTTTCGTACAGCCATTCCCATTTCTGGATGGTTATGACAGGCTTCTTTCGATTGACTTTCAGGGTTATGGCAATGTTGGCGTTCCCTCTTTCGGGATCAAGCCAAAACAGCACATCCCGTTCCAATTTGGCCTTGGTTTCCGAGACTGCTACCTCTAAAACAACTGTCGGATGGTGGGGATATCCACAGGGCGGTCGGAGAGGACTCCAGCCGTGGTCCCCTTGTTTGCCGGATGCCCCAGCCTTGATTGCCGTTCCTGAGAAGGTTTCCACGATAGATCTCAGACCCATACGACTCAACTGGTCCATTATTGCATATCCAAAGGCCTCTATGGCCTGGCTATGCTTCCTAGTTGTCATCCTGACTAGAAGGAGGTTCTGCATGGTATCGAAAGAAGAGAATAGGAATAGTGGTCCGTCACGGTCAGGTGCGAGGAAATCACGTTCGAGAATCGGTTTGCTGATTTCAAACAATATGTATTCGTTGACAATGTCTTCGGTGTCAGAATCAGGCGTTGAATTCTCGAAACGATCGAGTTCAATGTTTTTGATGCGAAAAAAGTGTTCCTTCCCTTGGTATCGATACCTCTTGATTGAGGAAGGCATATCCTTGAGCAAGCTACGCCCATCATGCCCCGCAGGGAAAGAACCATCCATGGTCATTTTTAATCCTTGGTTGATGGATTGGAAAGATGTACATAAGGCACTAGACATGTAAATAAAAGGTCTTGGTGATCATGTATTCTTAAGGTGGTTGATCACCTCATTATGAGCAATTGGCTCGTCAGGTTGACGTTGTAAGCTTAAGTGCAAACGGTGTTGGAAGCAAGTAGCCATCAGACATTCATTTTAAATTTTGGTACGTGTCTTCCATTACAACCCACATAGGCATTGAAACTGCCTGATAGTAATACATTGTGGTAAGATATTGGAATTTGTATGTACCTGAGCCAAGATCCACTATGCTCAATTGGGTTTAGTGGGAAGTAGCCAAACCCCACGCTAACCAGTCTCATACTTTCTCATGTGACATGCGTCCTTGTTGAGCGTTGACACCCACGATGAAGCGAGATAGCCATGGAAATCCAATCATAATGATGCACCGATGGAACCGACCACCCTTGTCTTGTGCGGCTTGTCGTGAGAAAAAGCGTCGCTGTGATAGAGCGCAACCATGCTCGAATTGCGTGCAAAGGAATATCTCATGCCAATACTCTGGACAGAGCTGCGAGATTACAGGAGACAGAAGATTTTCTCAGCCAGATGTGTCTGTTGAGACTGGGCAATCGGCAGCTCAGATCCCTGCCCCGGGCGTGCAACTACAGTCTCCTCGGTAAATATGAGGTTCGACCATTTTTTGAGACTAATCGATGTACTGACATAGAAGAAAAGAGAGAGAGAGATATTAAGTCGAATAAATAAGCTGGAGGAGGCTATGTTCGAAAACTCGAAGGAAACGAGCCATGATGGAATATCTGCAGCCGCGAATCCTTTGTTGAACCCTGTGTGTGTGATCTCTCTGACAATACCCAGCTATGCTGATTATCTTTGTAGCCAATAGTATCCCGACTATTTACTCCATTTGGATCGCATCAGTTGCCAGACAATCGAGTCGACAGCAATGAAGATGTTGACTTGACCGAGGCAATAAAGAAGCTCCCCCCAATACGACAAGCCAGGGAGCTATTCATGCATTTTATCGAGGCCTTGCATTCGACATTTGGCCTTTTTCATATACCTACTACTCGATCGTTACTGGAACAAACCTATCTAGACATGCTGGATGACAAACAACCGACTTTAACTACCCTAATGCTATTTTTCGGCATCTTCGCTGGTGCAGCTCTCGTCTGGTCACCAGGTCTTCTTGCAAAGTTGAATACCACACAAACAGAAGCCAGAATAGCATTTCAAGTTTACTCTCAAGTGGCTTTGTCCATAGTGGAACACCCTAGCAAGTCCCTGCAGCCGTCAACCAATGCAATGATTGCTATGTGCATATTGGCTCATTTGCTGACAAACGATGGCGGATTTTCCATCAAAGTCAACCTTTTGCAAACCCGATGTTTTTTAATGGCACGTGCAATGCAAATTCATCGCTTGGATACAGCTCACAGCCGGGAAGAGCGCAGGCTTAAGGGATGCGATTTTATTGAGATTGAAGTCCAGCGGCGATTTTGGTGGCACATGGTGGCATCAGACTGGTAATCGTATCTTCATACTCTACACATCTAATAGCTAACTGTTTAGGTTATTAGCATTTTCGGGAAGTGCCCAGGAAGGCGCTTATATCTTCCAACCAAAGCACATGAATGTGAACTTCCCGAGCAATACTGATGATGAACTATTACTGGCCACTGTTGTCCAGCAAGGCTTTCCATTATCAGTTCCCACCGCGTTCTCAGGGTCCATCCAACGAATTAAAATGGCAACGCTCTGCCGTGAAGTAGTTGACGCGCTGCCTTCGATTCTACTGGATTCCCAGGAAGCGGAATATGAAGTCATACTCGCGCTGGACAAGAAATTCCATGAATTTATCAAAGACATTCCAGATTTCTTCAAAATGGATGAAGAAAGCGTTCGAAAGAACCAGGCAATATGCAGCGAGCGACCTTATATCACTTGGCAGCGGCTCAACCTCCATTTCAGCTTCCACACACGATTGTGCCGATTACATCGGCCATACCACTTGGAAGGTATAACGAATCCGAAATATGCCTATTCGACCAGGGTATGCATACGCTCGGCGCAGACAGTCCTAGAGCTAAGAAAGGCAATGGACGAGATCGGTCCCGAGGCGGGAGGGTATCCCGCGCGGTTCTGGAGAGTCGTGCAGCATGTATTTCTGGCAGCGCTTATTTTAGCAACAGACGTCTCATTCAACCCCGAAACACCGGACGCAGAGGCCCGCAAGGCAAAAGTACTCGCTGCATACAAGAGTTTGGAGAAATCGAAGCAGGAGTCTGGAACGCTCTTTGAGGGCGTACAAAGGAATATGCAAACTTTGTTGTCAACGCTCCAAAAGCAGAGACCGCAGGTACCTGTGGCGCCTAGCGAAACAGAGCTGCACGGTACATTTGTGGGGTCTGATGAAGTGGCCGGGACCAATCACAATGACAGTCGCATGGACATGCAGGGTGGAACCATTGCGAGTGGAGAGTTGGATGAAATAATAATGGGGGAAGAAAACTGGGAGCAGCTGTGGTCAGAATTTGTGGCCATTGCACCAGATCTAGATGTTCCGCAGTGGAACTCCTTGCTGGAGGATGTTGATTTTGGCTCAGGCTGGCTGGAAAATGTGTAAATCTTTTTCGACTTAACAATCGTAATTACAACGTGAATTTGAAACATAAAAAGGACTCGTGTGCCTTGATCCAATTCTGTCAACTCTCGGTCAACCCTGTTTATTGTGACTCGTTCGTAATAACGATCCCCAGCCACTTTGTGAAGTCATAGTCCTGTGACACACGATGCTAAACACCTTGGCAGGTGGGGACAAGGGCCCATCATAGGGCTGGCAAATTGTTCTGGGCACAACTTGGGGCTTTGGCGCCACAGAATGTATTCAGTACTTGGCAAACTTGGCTGGTGAAGATCTTCATAGAAGCGTAAGGATCGTCACTATCATGGAACATAAAGGAGCAGACGGCAACTGCATGAAATGGAATGGAGAAATCAATATTAAACACAAAATCTGGAATTCCAGGAAAATAAAAAATTACTCAATAATAATCAAAAGATGGCACAAGATGTTAATAAAAAAGCAGCCTATTTCTGCCAAGAACCAGGCAGCTAACAAAAGGACGGACGGGATAGGGATGGGTGATTCGGGTTGCAGCCAGCATAGAAGAATGGTTCCTTGGCAACCCAGACGAACGATCGTAATGCAAATTTCTACTACCATAACAAATTTATAAAATCAACCTCGTGCTTTTAAAAAACTACACAGAATATACTATCAAAGGAAAGAGGTAATCAAAAAAATAGAATAACCAAAATGGAAAAAAAAGACTAAGCCACATGCGTGCCTAGTTCGATGGCCAACGCCACACTACCTTGTGGCGGCAAGTGATGTAATGACCCAAGCTCCCCCAACTCCTTTTAAGTCTTTCTCCTCCCACTTTCTTGTTTCCCATTTCTCAAAACTTCACATCTTTCAAAATGCCTTTCACCGCTTCGTAAGTTGCTCCCTTTGTTGTTCAACTGTTGAGCTACTCTGCTTCCCTGACTTTCGATTGCGCATTGTCGCCTTGTCGCTTGTTACTTGTCGCGACTTGTCAGCTCTGCGTTGGCGCCGTTGCACCGTCGCCTCGAGACCACTTCAATGCTAACCATCTCCACAGGGACATCTGCAAGATCATCATCGCTATCATCCTCCCCCCTCTGGGTGTTTTCCTGGAGAGAGGATGTGGTGCCGACCTCTTGATCAACATCTGTTTGACCATCCTGGGATACCTTCCCGGTATCATTCATGCAATGTACGTGACCGAAATTCGTGTTTTGATTCGATTTGATCTGGAACCAGCACTAACCAGTTTACAGCTACATTATCATTAAGCATTAGTGATGCCTAACCAAACCCAGCCGCCCATACTTTCCCGCCTATACCCACAGGAAAGCGATGCTCGGCGACCAAACGTCCCTCCCTGTTTTTCAAGTAAAGAGGCGGTGCGAATCGATATCCAGACCGGTGTCAGCATGGTTCCGTGGAGGTCCGGCTCAGACTAGCCTAATGCAGCCTCCACGACTTGGCATCGGATTGATGTGATGTCCATAATTTCCTAATGTTTTTGTGTCGTCTTTTTTTGTTCTGGTTTCAATTTCCTTTGTTTTGCTCAATACTGTGGGTTCTTGATTTTTCGTTATGAATGATACCAGCTCATGCCGTGTGACTCTGGGGCTTCTTTTTTCTAAATTTTACGATATACCATGGATTCTTTTCCCACTGTATAGTGTAGGATTGTAGGATTACAGGATATTGAGTGTATCACAAGACTTGCATGATTCGAACAAAATAGCTTTCCAAATTTGTTGGCCTAGTCACTCTTAATTGGATTCCCGATTGACTTCAAATATTGAGGCCAAGTCTTGTACAACCACATCACCCAAGGCAACCTATAAAAATGAGTGAAAAATAATCAGCTACCCGGGAAACACTCCAGAGTCACCAGTCCCTTAATCTCTGGGCGTATTTACGTATAAACATATGTATGTAAGTGAAATCGCAGTCGAAGCTTTCCCGGCCCTAAAAGTCCACAGGTAGCTGAACCACAATAAAGCAATAACAATCACAACAACATCTGACTTGAGGCCCCAAATCCAAGTCAATTATTGATTAATTTTCGCAAATCCGAAACGCAGTAAGGCGCCGTCAGCCTATGATGCAGCCTAAGCGCTTTCTCTAACCCGGCGCGTATCGGTGCCGCTGACAGGTCGAGTTCAAACAGGGCGCTTCATTGATGCAACGATTCGTCCTGATAACGATCGGCCTATTTTAGATCCCAGTTTCACGAAAGCGCCAACACAGACCTAGCCTCACTTTTTATGTTTCAAGAAGATGCTACGTCCATCATTTTCGCCTCCTGGTTGACGGTCAGCGTCATGGACGAACTTGCCTCGCGCATAGACTTACGTAGTACTTTTTTCATCTTTAATTAGGCTGGAGCCCCTGTAAGTCTTCTGCTTGCCTTGACGTATGTTTTTCTGGCATTTTGTGCTTTGCCTACTGCTACCATTTTCGCTTCACACCAACGATGGTAACTATATGGTTTGAAGGGCTTCGCGGGTGATCACACGATGCAATAATAGACAAGGTACGCTGGGATAGAAATGATTATACATAGTGGACTATCACTGATGGTAAATTGCAGGGCTGCCACAGTATGCTTGTCCTTCCCATTCACAGGATACTCATCACGATCGTCGTGTTCCTCGCCCTCTACGCTAAGGCTGAAGATATCAGCGATACATCGACATTATTCAACCTGGTCCCAGACTGTGCAAAGGACTGTGTGATAGACTTTATCAAGTCTGAGTATACGCCTACAGAATGCATATCGCCTTCGAATGTCACATGTTTCTGTCGGACTAAGACAGCTAATGGTTTCACGCTGGGAGAAGCGGCTTTGAGCTGTGTTTTGTCTATGTGCGAGAAAGATGTCGCTGCCGATTTAAAGGCATATCATATTTGTGACTCGGTGTCTGGGTCCATTCCAAAGACGCATAAGACTATTACCGCGACTGTGTTCTCGGATACGAGCACGACTATTGCCGGGGATGCGACGACAACTGTAAATACGGTGGCAACGAGCTCCACTGAGACATCTAAAAGCACTTCAAAGGCTTTGTTGACGACGTCGAGTATAACACCGGCTCCAACGTCAACATCAACGTCGACTGCTTCTAGTCGGACTTCCGAGGTCACATCCTATGATGCCTCATCTTCCAGCTCTCAAGTTACATCAACGTCATCTACTCAGGGTGTTCTTCCTTCTGGAGCTTCGTATGGGGATACGAGCAATAATGGTAATAGCTCTACCAGTCCGGGGACTGTTATCGGAGTATCGGTGGCATCTGGAATTGCGGGATCGTTTGTTATCGGTGTTGCGGTGGTCTTCTTCTGTAAGAGAAGGCGGAATCAACACCGCGGACGGCCACAATCCGATCCATACATCTTCGAAATTGGAGGTGCCATGTCTGAGCCTCCCGACTTTGCAAAGACAATGCCACATACCCCGTCACTTGAGCCAAATCTCGGGATTTTCCACGATCCAACGACTGATGGAACGAGATCACCACCCGGTGCCTTCCGAATTATGTACTCCCCGCAATTTGCGACGGCATCCCATGCCCCCTCCGACCAAACACGTGAATCAAGAGACCAAGGGCGAATAGGATTCGCCGTGACCTCCGACTCGGACTGGAGCTCACCGTACACACAATCATCACAGAACAGCGGAACACGTTTACTCCGAAATTCACCAGAGCAGATGTTCCCAAAGCCACTGAAATGGAGTCACCGACCACCCAGCGGCGAGACTCTCTTCGAAGAAGACGAAACTCAACAAATACCAGCAATGACATGCACCAATTCCAGAGCAGGAGTAGCAGGCTTACCAGCCAATCCGCGTGCATTCAAGGGAACCCCCAAAAATCCCAACCAAGCATCTGGTCCAAGAAGCCTCGCATCACCCTTCAATCCAGCCTCCTACGACGCACCCGAACCCACAATCCGCGTATCCTCCTCAATCCCAAAGAACACAGAAAGGGTAACCTCCCGCCCGCACGACAACAGCCAATATGACATAGAACACGTCCAAATGTGGAATGGCCCACGCCCACACAAAGAGCTAGTGGCACCCTACTACCCCGAAGGCCCGTGGGGAGACCGCGAACAACACTCCAAACCGTATCAAGTCTCAAATCAACCGCCTTGTCCGTCGGATACATATCCCAGTAGCGTGGTTTACCCTGCTGGTCCGCCGAAGAGGGTTGAGTATAGGGTTTCGCCTACTAGTCGGAATTTGACGCCTTCGAAGCTCGGGGATGATTTGATTCTTAGGGTTGATTGACAGGTTTGTGTATAATATGTTTCATTATATGGGTGGTCTTTTTTTATATGGCATTGCATTGCATTTTATGTTTCAGTAAAGAGTACTTGTGTAGACTATTGTTGGAAATGATATATGTTTAACGATTGATAATATTGTGCGTTTGAACTTCGATGTGGTGTTCCTCAAGTTGATCAATGAACAAGATTGTACTCGAACATAATGGAGTAGACTTTTCGTTCACAAGTTGCTAGTGGAATTGTATCCATTCCGACCATCACCGCTCAGCTGGATTCTAGGGCTCAAAAAGAGAGGAACCCAAAAAGTTCTTTTTCGACATTGATGCGATACTCGTAAAGGCCTATCCTCGGCTTTTACCTTCTACTGGCTAGCCTTTTATCTAGGTTGTCTAATGTCATTTTTCAAAATACATCATGTATTGAAGGTCAAGCTCATAATTATTGCCCTAAATAACTATAAGGTCGTACAAGTGTTAGATTTGGCGACGCGCAGACGCGTAGTATGCTTTAGGCGGGGGCCGATAACACTAAGATAAGGGATTTTTGTGTCCCGCCAAAGAAAGTTGATCACAATTCATCACTCTCCTTCCAATTTCCCTATTCCCCTATTGTCCTGAATCACATCTCTGGCTCAGCATGGTAAACCTAGAGGGCTCATCTGTTAATCCAAGGAAATCTTCTTTTCTACCGCTGTTCCCATTGGAGCTATGGGATATCATCATCGGATACTTGCGCAATAGAGAATCCCCTCAGTCTCTGAGCAGACTGGCTCAAACGTGTCCTGCGCTTCATGCAAGGATTGAGCCCCTTCTATACGAGTCTGCCGTTCAACTTAACAATTCGGAAAGTGGTGCCCGTCTTGCACGCACAATCCAGTCTCGCCCGGAGTTGGCACCACTCATTCGCGAAATTCAACACAAGGCAGACACTGGTTTTGAAGCTCCTTCAAATCGCCATTTCTTGTTCTACCAAATGGCTGTTACCTTGCCAAAATTAGAGAAGTTGTTCTTAAAAAGAAACCTTCCACCTCTCGATACTTCTCGGTGGGCCAGTGAAGCGGAGCGTGCCGCTGCATATACGGACTGGATCACAAAGAAAGAACCAAAAGACCTGAAAGAGTTGCGAGAATTCAGATTGGGATCTTCGAGTGAATCTTCTTTCAGTCCCCCAAATAACGAGAAGCTCACCTTCCCAGGGGGACTTGGCAGGATTAAAAGCTTGTTTTGGTGCTCTTTATTCCAAAATCCAATAGGTTTACCTGCCCTACGCGTCTGTGGGTTGTCTAACAAATAGTCTTGAATTTCTTGGGAAACTAACTATTTACAGGTCACATTGGATGCGATGAGGATCTAAGTGATCCAAATAGAAGAACTCGTCAACCGAATTTCGACGAAACAATCTTTCAACATCCAGGTTTACGGAAACTTTGCATCACCGGTTCTATCTTCCATACAAGCTCTCCACACCCTGCCGACATACCGTCCAGGAAAACAGCACTAGAAGATTTAACACTACTGAACTGTGATATAGAAATGATGTCGCTTCCCTGGTTGCTGGAGTTTCCAAAAGCCTTAAAAAGGTTCACATTCAGGGGTCCTCTACCAGAACCGCTTCCAGAAGACCTGGCATGGCAACAAATTGAAAGTCCCGTCGAGGCAGTTGAGAAACACAATGCTTCGCTGGAGTTTATGGACTACGATGTTTATTGGGGGCATGAGGACGAGATAGATCTTAATATTTTCGAAAATCTCAAACATCTGACCATAACCCTCAGCACACTGGTGGGAAGGGAATGCCACGAGTTGGATGTCGAAGTTCCCTCTTTGCCTGAAAGTCTCGAAACTTTGACACTACGCTACGATGAATCAAAGGCCTGGGTTCTTTCCGCGTTTCTAGAATTGGTCAAAAGCTCAAAGCTTCCTAATTTACGTCGCTTCTCTTGCGAGGTACCCGAAACCATCGAAAGCATGCCTTCGATCAACCAACACAAAAAAAATCCTCCATGTTTGGAGATATGCCAGGAAGGCAATACTTGGCAAGAAGAGTTCAAAGGAGTTAACGTGGAGCTGTCTATGGTTCCGGTTCCATATCCGCTCACAGTGCCAAAATACGAACTTTGCACTTGCGAATGTCTGGAGTTCTACCACCGCATGCCTTTCCATCCACACGATGATGAGCTTGCACTGCCTTGGGAAGACGATGAGTTCAATGATGATCCATGGGGTGACACTGACATGGATGAGGCCTTTGAGGAGGTCATGTCGGACTATGATGGAGGAGATGCATCCGACATCTCAGATTGATGGCTTCTTAGAATGAGGAGCCTTTATCCAATATCTCTACCCCTTGCAACTTGCAACTCTCTCGGTAATATCAAGTTTAGCGTCAAATGACTCAATATATATGAATGGATTGGAAAGACGTCAAACCAAAGGAATTGATCACCCACACGCCACATAAAGTAGACTTGAAAATTCAGATGAGGCCCGAGAACCGACTTCAAACCTTGGCTTGCTAATCTTTTCCCAATACTTCCGTCAGTCAAAAGAGTCACAATTGGCTAGTTTTCCGCCTCTTATCCTCGATAGCGTTGCTTAGTAGCACGGCGAGAACACAACATTAATAGCAGCAGCCCAGTGGAGACAACAGGGTTCCCCAGATTCTGTCGATCGTGATCTTCATGTGCCGGCAATCACATCTTTGGGACAAGATCTCGTGGGTTGTTTCTATATCATCCATTAGGAGTGAAGTCAGAGATCTCACATCAAACGACACAGCGATCATCATCTCTCCGGCCCGGCTCGTGAAAGATCGGAAAAGTAGCCCGGACTCAAATTTCATCTTCTCATGGTCATTGTTTCCCATCCACCTAACGCACAGACTACGCTCGGATCTAAACTAAAACAAACATGGCTTTCAAGGTTATTTTCTACGACGTAAAACGCATCTAGGCGGGATACGAGACTCCCCGCACCAAGCAGCCGCGGATAGCGCTAGCTTTGACCTTGGGTTCCGTCATAGTAAAGAAACTTGCGGCATGCGGAATCTTATTGGAGTATGGGTGACAGCTAGCGTTCTGGTTGAGTTAGACACCATTTTGCATAGAGGCGGGAAGACCGTTCAATGTGTATATTACTATTTTTGAGTTGTAAGAGGTGTTCGAACGGCAAGTCCGGGCTCGATGCTGGAAGTATCGTTTACGCCGGGTAGATACTATGTCGTCTTAAGGTTTCGACATCGTTTCATAGGTATATTACATTATATCGTCATTAGAGGATAACTTACTTGCGTCTGTTCATTTACAAGGTTTTGTTCTGTTGAGTTCCGGAAGAAGCCCTAAAAGATATTTCACACCTGGGCAACACATGGAGAACACATGTAAATGATGCCTAATGTATCTATGTAGCATGATACTTGGCTCGTGCACATTACTCCAAATTGTCATCTATTACATATATATTCCTCTTGCATATTATAATATACATGCGTATAGGAAGCCTTATCCAGACCACAATCCTTGGTTGTGGCTTGCATTCCTTAACCTGAACGATGTTCCGTTGGTCCAAGGTAGTATCAACATGTGGCACCGACTTGCCTAGGCCCGTGTGTTTTTCTTTGCGCCAATTACGCCCTCGGATTCTCGCATGTACAGTATAAAAAAAGTATAGGAGGCATCGGCCGTTAAATCTCCATTCGCCCTGGACCTTTCCAAGGTTCGCCCGGGCGGGGGTTCCTGATGAGTCAGCATGATGACGTCAATGGTCAACATTCCCGCCTTCCATTCGATTGAGCAACGTTATACACCAAGGATCCTTGAGATACAACACGGGTCATGCTGGTCAAATTGGAAAACTCGATTTGCTCGAGAGACGGAAGAGGCGGTCCCTTATCATTGTACCGACGCCACGCCGAAAGCCGCCTTAGCATCCGATATTGAATTCAAAAGTTCTCCGTCATTGCCTCAAACCGGGAACGACCCCTACGTCAACCGCTTATGAATCCACTATCTGAAGTCATACATAACAGGTTGGGGTTGACTTTTCCTGTGGTCGAATCAGCGTCAACCGTATTTGTCCTTAATACGCCAAGTATACGCCGTTGTGGATCCCGACTACTTTCGATTTTAGATGCTTTGGTTTCGCTTTGATTCTGTACAATTGGTAGGATGACGAGGTCTGTGTCTGATTAGAGTGTGGAACATGGAACACCATCTAAGCCCATGATGTTTGTTCCACTTCAATGGGTCTCAGCAGGCTATATTAATGGCTCTCAATCCCCCACTAAAACTCGAACTCAGTTTGCGACTCTTCCTGCAATATACATACCTGATCCTCGCTGCAGTCTACGCATCAAACAGGATACAGTAGCTTGTGTGCGATTGTCACTTTAGTCTTGATATTCACTACTCAAAAGTCGTCCTCCGCCTTTCAGAACAAGCATCGTACCTGTTCAGCTTCCAGCGATCACCCTCGTCATTGTACCCGCCAGCCCCACCTCCTTCATTCACAATGGCCACCGTCGATGGTACTCAGAGACCCCAACTGGGCAGTCTGGACACTCGCGCCGATCTGTACGGTAGCCCCAACGTCCCTCTTCCTCCCAAATATTTGATGGCTTCTACTTCTCACCATATTTCCAAATTATCCGATATGGTTCAACACGACCAAACTTCCTCTGACGAGTCATCTCCGATCAACACACCCATGCCAAACCCGCCCATGGTCACTAGCGATGACTTCGCACTGGCTTTCGACATTGATGGTGTCCTCATCAGGGGCGGACAGCCCATTCCTGAAGCTGTTGATGCTATGAAATATATCAATGGTGATAATCCATATGGAGTCAAAGTGTATGTCATTCCCATGTTTAGTATTGTTTCCAAATAAAGAGTCAGATCAAAATTAAACTAACATTTCATAGTCCTTATATTTTCTTGACAAACGGTGGCGGCAAGACAGAGAAAGAGCGATGCCTCGATCTCAGCCGCCAACTCGGCCTCGATGTCGACCCAGGCCAGTTTATTTGCGGCCATACCCCAATGCGAGATATGGCAGAACGATATGGCACCGTCCTAGTCGTCGGTGGTGAGGGCGAGAAGTGCCGAATCGTGGCCGAGGGATACGGATTTAAGGATGTCATCACACCAGGAGACATCATCAAGACGCGGCACGACACGACACCATTCCGAACATTAACAGACGAGGAGCTTGAAAACTCACGACTCCTCGACCTGGACAACACCCGAGTCGAAGCGATTTTTGTTTTTGCAGACAGTCGTGACTGGGCCGGCGACCAGCAAATCATTCTAGACTGCCTCATGACCAAAGACGGCTGGCTTAACACTCGATCAACAACCTTCACGGAAGGACCCCCTGTCTTCTTTTCACACACAGACGTAGTCTGGTCTACATCGCATGACTACTCACGCCTCGGAATGGGAGCGCTGCGTGCATCCCTCGAAGCCGTGTACACCGCCATCACAGGGAAAGATCTGAACACTATTGCCTTCGGCAAGCCGCAACTCGGCACCTACGCTTTCGCCACCCGGCTCCTGCAGAAGTGGCGCAAGGACTCCTGCAACATCGACAAATCTCCATCGACTGTGTACTTCATTGGCGATACGCCTGAGTCTGATATCCGCGGCACGAACGAATACAACGAGACGACAGAAAACGACTGGTACTCTATCTTGGTGAAGACAGGTGTTTACCAAGACGGTTCTGAGCCGCGCTACCCTCCCAGAAAGATATGCGACACTGTCTTCGATGCGGTAAAATTTGCCATCGAGCGCGAACACAAGAAAACAGCCAAGGGCGAGAACGTCTCTGAGCTCGACTATGTTACCAGCCAAGAAGTCTCCAAATAAATTTTTGACGGTTTTGGATCTTCTTTTACGAACGTTCCCTGGTTGCCTTGCATTCGACAATTCCTGTCACCGGCTGTACGGTGGACTCTGCGCGAGTCCTTCACGGTTTTTCTTTCATGATCTGATCTGTATTCCCTATCTTGAGCATCTGCATTTTTCGCGACCTTTGGAATTTATTCCATGCAATGAAGGTTAGATATCCACAGTAATCATTTTTAGTTCTAGAATAAAACAAGAATATCTTCGAAATGAGAGACATGAAATCCAATACACTCGACTTCCATTCCCTATTCTCGCCATACTTGCCTTTTAATTTACCCCAGATTTCACAATGATGTAATAATCTCTCCGTGTCCTGGGCATTTCCCCGGTTATCCACGCTCTTCAATCTGGCAATGAAACACCTTATACAGCATTTGATTCTAGCAAAATCTAGTATGCTACGACAAAATATGAATTCGTGAGATGCCATAGAGCAACTAAAGAGATATAGGTAACTGGGCAAGAAGACTCAACAATTTGGTCAGAGGACCAACCTTTCAGGAATCCTCTGTCTGGCCGAGTGGAAAAAAGCTGAACAGGAGGAAAAGCTGACGCTGTGACGAACGGGGTCAGCTAAGCACTAAGCTCGAAAGCTGATCGAATCTTGATATCCAAGATGCCGAGTTCGATCCAAGTTTCCCCTTTCCTCTCTCCCTCTTTGGAGAGGGAGGAAGAGTTTCTTTTGCCCTATCTTAATTGATATTTTGACGTCTTTTGAACAGTCAGGTTTGGCTCTGGCAAGGCCTACCTGAAGCTCCTCTCTATATTTCGTGCATGATCCTTTCAACCATACAACGTATATGTAATCGATCGCCGAGACCCTGGGGTTGACATGACCCACTGCGGGACAGTCGGAGTCTGACAGAATTTCTCTATCAACACCTGGCCACCATCCAAATAGTCCAGCATCAAAGCAGCAATGGTAAGTCCGGGTATTCCAGTTCAATGATAACTTTATTAAAACACCCTCAGGCAAACACAGAGGCTCTTTACCTAGACGATGCCTCGCTCCGGGAATTGACCACCGAGGTCCTATCCTCACAGTCAATCACATCTCTCTCCGAAGAAGAAAAAAGCCTAGCCAAAAATATTCCCACTGAAGACATCGCACTGACAATGCGGCAAACAATATTCTATGCCCAAGGCGGCGGCCAGCCCAGCGACACCGGTGCAATTGGACCAACAGGCCAAGACGCAACATTCTCGGTATCATTAGTGCGCAAGACGCCCGACGGAAGATATCTCCATTTCGGAAAATATGTTGATGCCACGCCATTCACTGCTGGTCAGCTAGTCGTGCAGAAAATCGATGACTCGAAGCGCAATTATCATTCACGGCTGCATACCGCGGGCCACATCGTCGGACTAGCGATGCAGCTTCTAATGCCTGACAGGAAGAAAGTCAAGGCGAATCATTTCCCCAACGAGGCATCAATGGAGTATAAGGGTCTACTGTATAACGAGGACAAGCCGGTGATCCAAGAAAAGGTTAATGAGCTTGTGCGGCAAGATCTGAAAATCCTTATCTCGTGGAGTGAGGGTGGAGCCGATGGCGAGGAAGGACGTTCGCATGATGGCCGGACGAGGATAGCGAGCATTGGTGGACTGGATTACAATCCTTGCGGTGGGACTCATGTGCCGCGAACGGGACTGGTTGGGTCTATTGTTATTCGCAAGATCAGTCGGCAGAAGGGGATCAGTCGGGTGTCTTATGATGTCTCTCCCGAGGTTGAGAGGTAGTATTATCTGCATATGGACGGTGTATTGGCTATATAGTGGGGTGTTTATATACTAGACCTAAAAGTACATACGACGCTTCGAAGAAAATATGTGCAGTCATAATCAGACGGTGAACTCATTGTCCAGCCAGTGCTTCATCACCAACTTTCCTTCCGCAAACCCATCCTTGGGGCTCCGCACAATGATAGCCGCATGGCTGTGTCGATGCCTCTGAATGTGAACGGGATATGTTTTGATTCCGACCTCATTGAGTGAATCAATAATGCCAAATTGTTCCGACGTCAATGCAAGCTTGGGAGAATGCACCGCCGTCGATGATCGTCTTCTGGTAGAAGATTCGACATGGGCATCATTTCTAGCAGAATTCGAAGCAGGTGATTGACCTGCCTTCTCGGGCACAGAGTCAGAGACCTCAGTATCGCTGTTTGAGAGATAATTCGGCTCCTGGCTAGCATTGACGTTCTCGAAAACCTGCTCCATAACATGCTGGACGTCTTGAACCAGCACAGGTACTCTGTACTTACCAAAAAGGACGCCACGTTCTCCGACCTCGTGCATGCGAATGCGTTTTGAGCTGCGAAACGTTTGGATCCCGGCGTTGATCAGGAAAATTATACAGGCCAGTGGCACAAGGATGACGAGCAATAATGACAGTGGAACCCAGAGAGCCACTGATTTGCACTTTTTCCAAAGTCGCGCTGCAAATGTGCCAGCTTTCCGCTTTATCGGAGGTAGCACATAAGTGTCGGGATCGATAATAACGTCCTCATAGCCCTCGACATAGTTGATGTTCACATTTTCCAAATCGTAAAAAGGATCCACTTTTGAAAGAGCAGATGTATAGAAGAGAACTGAGCGATCATTCACGATGTTGGCGTAGATGCTTTTCCGCTGAAACTTCTTCAGTCCCTGGATAAAGATACTATCCGGATCAGCCAAAACGCTAAGAAGCGGCCGACCGGTATCGCGGAATGTATCAATGAGAAATATTTGTCGACCAGACTGCGAGATCGTCCTCGCGCCTAGAACATTGAAAACGTCATCCTTCCACCCCTTTAGCGGCGCCCTCACACCCACATGGGGCGTAGCAAAGGTTGTAAAGTTCCTAGGTTCCAGCTTCTCGAACCAACCTCGCGCATTCAGCAAGCCGATCGCATAGCGCGCAAGCAGGCCACCGAGCGAGTATCCGACGAAACTGATCTTAGTGAAATTCCGACCCATCTCAGCCAGTGATTCAAGCGTTTCCTCGATCTCGTGCACTAGTCGTTCCCCACCAAGCTCGATTCCGTCATAGGTGTAGTTGCCGCTGTTGGCTTTGGGGCAGATTATAAAGACATCTTCGTCGTATTTGTCTCTCAGGGCGGATGCCACGTAGTCGAGATGTGAAGGTTTTCCCCAGAGTCTGTTGTGTCAATTAGCTTGGTACGTCATTGGTCTTGGAAGGGACATACCCGTGGACCAGCACACAGAGGTGGTCAGCATTGGATGTATTTCCTGACATTGTGTCGTTTGCCATGAGAATCTTGTAGAGGCGAAAAGACAAGGGGGCTGATGTTGTGCCTTGCGGATGACTGTTCGTCCGAACTCTCGCGTGTCGTCATGGAGTTATCGGCGATAAGGGATTTAAGTCGAACTGAGGAGGCTGTGTGCGTCTGTGAGATTACATCGTGTCGCAACTGATGTAACTAGGCTGCAATGGAAAGAAAAGCAGGTTGAATAATTCACTCATCGGAATCTCGAATTAACGAGTCTCAAATGAGCGCAAAAAACCCTGAGAAGAACGAGTTCTTTCAACATGTAGAATTTTGCCTGCAAGATAAGGCATTTGTTTGTCCTTTTTGCATCGCCACTTATCAACTTCACGAACAACTTTCATTTGACGATGTGGTTGTCGTCTCACAATTCATCTGTTTTCTTCATTGGCCCTGTGTCTGCTTCTCTCAAATCCCAGTGGCGTTGCTTTTTTGAGATAGTGCTGGAGATGTTGCTTTGAATGGAGTTGACCAGTTCAACAGCAAACACTGAATGATACGATAGGCTTAACCTTGCAGTACCCATCTCAGTCTGTTTGCTTATACAGCGAGAAAGTGGATAGAATAGATGTTTGGATGGACGAGTCATATACCATCTAGTCTCGATTCTGAATCTTTCCACTCTCAACCCATCGTCCAGGGACACACCCTCGACTGCCAGGTCTTGCATGCCAAACTACACGTTTAAGCCCTCCGACTTGGTCTCTTTTTGTCTTTCGCTGTATCGAAAAATCATGTTTACGCCTCTCGGCTGTTTTGGGGACATAATCTGCCCACGAGGGAAGGAATGCACCCTGTTGAAATGCCTTTTCTTGCACTCGATTGAGACGAATAACACAGGCGAGCAGCGTCTGATATCAGTGGACACAGGACCTCCTCCAAAAAGGCCCAAACTGGAAAGCAGCACTGATGGCCCATCTAATCCTTACAGGGGATCTGCACTCGAAATGGGGCGACGTGCGTCGCAGGCACCTGTTTCCAAGCCACCAAGTGGGAACCAGGACGCTCTGAAAGCGCAAATGAGCAACCAAGCTAATCCCAAGTCACCAAGTCACGCTGAGTCCTCAATGTCTTCCGAGAAAGAGCCTATGAAACTCAGCAATGCTCCTGCTAAAATTGCACAACTTCCCACTCGCCAGGCTCCGAAAGAAAGTTTGAATCCTCGCATGCTCAAATCTGCACCAGCAACACATACTACTCGGACTGCTATTCTAAAAAAGCTTCACTCTACTATGACAATTCAAAATGAGAAACTGAGCAAGGACAAGGATGAATCGAACCGATGTTTCATCCTGACTCCCGACGAAGTCATAACAATGGCTCTGGATGAGGAGGAGATGTATGCTAGGGAACACCCGGGTGTCTATGGCAATGTCATCAAACTTCGAATTGTGAAAATTACGAAAATGAAGATTGACGATTGGGTCAAAGAGGTGATGGCTCACCTGAATGGGCGATACTATAAGATCAACCCCATTGAAAACCCTCGGATGGGACCCAAACCTGTTAACACAGGCCTCACTCCTGCAGGAGAGATTGCCATTGTGTCTCACCTCGTCACACCCCTCGCTGGCCTCGAAGAACATGGGTATGTCACAAAAGCTCCAACCAAGGCCGAGATGGAGTCCGCCCAAAAAGGGGTCGACGAGTCCAAGGGTTGGGAGAAATGCGACAGATGCAGCCAACGGTTCCAGGTATTCCCGGGTCGCCGTGAAGATGGCACCCTGACCACGGGGGGCCAGTGTAACTATCATCCAGGACGACCCGTCCACCCTCCCCGCAAGAAAACAGACCATGCCACAGGTCCCGCGCAACCTTACTTCCCGTGCTGCAACGAATCATTGGGCGCCTCTACTGGCTGCACCAAAGCCGACATGCATGTCTTCAAAGTTTCAGAAACCAAGCGACTTGCATCCATCCTTCAATTCAAAACTACCCCACCGCAACCCGACAAAGGTCCCCTGGAGCCCGTCAGCATTGATTGTGAGATGGGTTACACGACTTTGGGTATGGAGATGGTTCGTCTCACTGCTGTCAGCTGGCCTGGAGGTCGGGAGCTCCTCGATGTGTTAGTGCGACCCACGGGCGAGATCCTGGATCTTAACACGCGCTTTTCCGGAGTGACACCTCAACACTACGCCTCTGCCAAACCCTATGATCCTACGGTTTCTAGTTCAGAACCAACCTCCGCCGATGAGAAAGGGAAGGCCAGTGCACCTTTGCAGCTCGTGCAGTCACCCGCAGAGGCTCGTGAGTTGCTTTTGAACCTCCTCCAGCCGGAAACGCCTCTCATCGGCCATGCCATCGATAACGACTTGAATGTCTGCCGAATCATCCATCCTACAGTTATTGACACCGTCCTCCTGTATCCCCACCCAAGGGGGCTTCCCATCCGCATCGGCCTCAAGGCCCTTGTGCAGAAACATCTTGGCCGCGACATACAGATGGGAGATAATGGGCACGACTCGAAGGAGGATGCTATTGCTACGGGCGATTTGGTGAGACTCAAGCTAGGCGAGAGGATGAAGGACCTCCAGAGGAAAGGTTGGAAAATTGAGAACGGCTTACCCGTTCGTCCTAATGATCAACACCGCAAGAAAGGCCCTAGCAGGTAGTTGATCGTGCAAGTGATCGGGGATACCAGGATTGATATTTCCACTTCGCATTTATGATTCCACTTCGCATTTATGATGTACGAGATACCCTGCATTTGTTCTGCATCTTCATCAACAAGGGTGGAGCGAGTAAGTAGCATCCAATGCATGTTCGTTTAGTCTACGGAGTACATATCGCTACAATGAAAGCATGTCTACCAAAGTAAAGTGAGGGTATAAACTTTTTTAGTTTTATTCGTAGCCTCATAGACCAATATATCCCCCCATGGCTCTCGCTCATAGTCCCGAAGAACATTCCAAGCATGATCCACAGACCGAATCTGATCGATCAAGGCAGAGAAAAAGACATGTCGAAGCGACACGCTTATTCCTCATCCTCCTCAGCCTCATCGTTGACGACGTTGTAGAAGCGGAGCTCGTAGACACCCTTGGAGGTGGAGACGACACGGAGCCAGTCACGGAGCTGCTGCTTCTTGAGGTACTTCTTGGTGCTGGATTGCGAAACATTGTCAGCGGGTTTTCTTCCACAGACATCAGCGCAAAAGGTATACTCACAGGTACTTCAGGTAGCGGCCGGAGAAGGGAATGTGAGCAACGACCTCGATCTTGCCCTCGCCGGACTGGGAGATCACGACGTTGTCACCGAGGTTGCCGACACGGCCCTCGACCTTGATGCGGTCGTGGAGGAACTTCTCGAAGGCGGAGACATCGAAAATCTTGTCGGAGGCAGGCTGGGAAGCGTTGATAACGAACTGTGAACACGTTAGATGCCAGTTCGTAATCAAGAGTCATTTTTGCAGTGCAAACATACCTTCTGGGTAACCTTCTGGGCCTTGCGACCACGAGCCTATACCAAATAAAAATCTAATTAGCCTACTGCTCCATAATGTCGAGCCCCGGGCAATCCTGCAATATTCCCGTGGACATCGAGCTCGATAGATTTTTCAATATCGAACCCGGTGACGAGGAAAAAAGTGCAAGACGCCGTTGGGGGGAACAGCAAAGCGGTTTGGATTCAACGTACAGCAACGGGAGCCATTTTTGATGGATTTGGGGGGAGATGAAAATTGGGAAAGGTCGCAAAGAGGTAAATATCCTGCGCCGGCGAGAGAGATGGTCAAGACAACGTCCTAAAATTCGCGGTGGAGCCGAATTGATTATCGAAAATTCGCGCTGAGGTGTGCTGCGCTAATCCTAATTAAGATAGTTAGGGCAAAGAATGACTGTCACGTGTAATTATGACTAATACTGTTGCTGACTAATACAGCCCCAAGCCCTAGAGTGAGTTGCTGGTCTCTGATTGGCCATTTTCCTGGAACTAATGAGTCAGTTTGACGCTCTCTTATTGGATCGCTTGATCGAAGCTAGCAGCGGACCCACCCATCCGTGGGTATAAATAAGGTGCCAGGTCTTGCGAACTTAGTCTTTTTTCTTTCTTCTTCAGCTCTCTTTGCCTATTGGCTTAGATCAAGTGTAGTATCTGTTCTTTTCAGTTTAATCTCTGAAAGTGTTCTTAATGAACATACTTTGATTATTCTCATTTTTGGATCTCGCAACTTGACCTCTGTGCTTGCGCATGTCTTGTTGCACAGTGTCACTGGGCTTACACTATCCCCGGTCGACGCAAACACTTTTCATCAGCTATTCGGCTTGTCCGGGTATTTGGAGAAGATGTCAACCTCCAATAGTAGTAAATCTTATGTGTCTGATCGCTGACTGTGTTGTGTATGCTATAGGCGTCTTGACGTTCAACACCTACAGTCTGTATCTAACATGTCCAGCTCTTCCAATACCAATAATCCCCAGAGGCTTTTATCATCACTTGTGTGAATATCCTCATCCAAAACAGTTAACACTTGAAGCTATGCCACGGAAACTGAAGCATTCTTAACGCGTCATCCCACTCCATCATCGATAGCCAACGACCACATACGTACCCATCAACTCCTCCGACCGCTGAACAATATCTGGGCTGTGACTTGCAACATGCTAATCAGCAAACAGCGGTCACGAAGCTGATCCAGGAACACCTCTCGTCCCTTGAAACCCTTATACCATACCACTAGTCTCTAGTCTACCGCGATCACCACTTCAATGGAATCACTCAGATGCACTAAGCCTTGTCAAACACATCCTACGATTGGGCTTGAGAAGGCATGAGGCATGCAGCCGAGTGGTCTGCATGGTGAGGCGTGAGAGTTCTCGATTATTGACATCATCTAGTGCGGACCTTGCAATCATTTTGTCGCCATTGTAACAACTGTTCCACCCAAGCCAAGACGATCAATCAGCGTTGTATGGTTCTGCTTGATGCTGGCATAGGCCCAAACATGACATGAACTGAAGGACGACATTATTTCTTATAGTTGTAGATAGACATATATCACTTTTAGGGTGTTCGTGAGTCACTAGAAAGTGGTGGTTATGCTGTACTTCTACCGAAGTGTATTCTTCTAATGGCTGTTATACTCGTCGTATGTTTAACATTCAATGCCTAAGTGGACTTAATCCTCATATTATAACACGTAGCTATATTGTGGTAAGTCTTCTCTGAGAATGAATCATTTAACAAATAATATTCAATCTATATGAAAAGTCCCTGGGCTTATAACCTCGCCGCCAAATATATGGTCACATGACCCGAAGCTCCATCGCGGGGCCAATCGATAAGCCCACCAATTTTTCCCTTCTCGCATCCTCAGTCAACACAAGAACAACCGTCGCGATGGGTTCAATCGTTCTGCCTCATTTGCAAACAGCCTGGCATGTAGACCAGGCCATCCTCTCTGAGGAGGAACGCCTGGTGGTGATCCGGTTCGGGCGCGACCATGATCCCGACTGTGAGTACTGGAGCTGAACTTCCACTTCTGGACTTATACTGACCCATAAATCCAGGTATTCAACAAGATGAACTGCTCTACAAAATTGCTGAGCGGGTTAAGAGTGAGCAACCTATCTCAAGCTAATCGAACTACAGCTAATTTGTCTACTAGACTTTGCGGTTATCTACCTATGCGATGTCGACCAAGTCCCGGATTTCAACCAGATGTACGAACTTTATGACCGAATGACAATTATGTTCTTCTATCGCAACAAGCATATGATGTGTGATTTCGGCACGGGAAACAACAACAAGTTAAACTGGGTGCTGGAAGACAAGCAGGAATTGATCGACATCATCGAAACAATTTACAAAGGTGCAAAGAAGGGTCGTGGTCTGGTGGTCAGCCCGAAAGGTAAGCATCCTCGTCGCGAAATGAAGACATTAGTTCCTAACGGTTGGTGCAGACTACTCTACCAGATACCGATACTAAGCGCTCCATCCCTCGCGCGAATACCCTGGCACCAGTCAGTCCGTGTCGCTTCTTTACGATGTTAATGATGATAGCCGAATAAATCTGGCAAGAAGATAAAGCCTGGGGATATGGGCATGGGTCTGGAGTTTTGCTTTCTAGGGGTCGCTTTGCGATCATTTCAATTGGTATAAAAGCATACATGGATCGATCGCTTTCTGCGAGATCAGGCTTTCAAGTTGCGGACAGTTTCGGTAAAGTCTTGTAAATTGTACTTTTTAGCTGTAGGCCTGTAGTGTAACTTGTAGTAAAAGCATACATCGCCCACTAATGAAAATTATACATCTAAAAGCAAAGTAAAAAATCAACAGACACAGAATCTCCTTGTTTCATTTCTCCATCTAAAAAATACATAAAGTATGGTGCGTTGTGAGCTATTCCTCTTTTTCAACATAGAATTTGACGTAACTGCGGCCAGCACCACACCTCTCGAACCCGCCTCGAATTTTCCCATTCTAAGCTACGACCACAACAAAGCAACAAAATGATTGACCAACGCATTTTCGAGAATCTCCAGACTAAGATCGACGAGGAGACTACCGTCCGCGATGTAAGTTCAAGCTTATCCAGAGCTTGATGAATTCTTCGCATGCCAAGCCCACACCGAAAGACCCCAGCGCGGAACGTCGAAAGCTAACAGTTGCGCGTAGGAGCTCCATGATATTGTTCAGACACTTGCCAGACGAGGTATGCTTTACAATCTATAGCTAGAACAGGATATCTAAGATATCTTCCATGCGGGGGACGAGAGGATCCCGTCGAACAAAGCTAATAGTGAACCCATAGGACGTTCCACTCAGGCCATTCTGTCGCGAGCTCATTCCACACCTGCTGATCAACGTAAGTACATGTTCCAAGCGCCCGAAAATGGCATCAGGAAACACAGATCCTTGCGAGTTTATGCATTCAAGGAGATGATATTTCATCAGGGCTACCGATATTTCTTCAGGGCTACCTCGCTAACGTATAATAGTGAAGCCCGTTCTTGACGATGTCACGACAGAAATCCTTGCTCAGAAGCAAGAGGTTGCCCGTCTGAAGGCCGTGGCAGATCAGCACCCCTTCTACAAGTACAACGGTCTGTGGACCCGTGAATTGCAGAACCTGGTTAGTTCATTCGACCAAATTCAAAGCTTCTTCTAATTCGTGTATCAGGTTGCCTCCATCGAGCTTTGCGCGTGGCTCGGCGGCTTGCAGGAGCATAAGGGACCTAGCTCTGCATCATTCATGACTATCGAGGATGTGGGCAAGTTCCTAGAGAGTAGGTTATGCCGCCATGTTTCTCATTAGTCTATCACTACAAAGCTAATCGAATCTGTTCCTTAGTTCCTGTCAACCTGAAAGATCAGGATGCCTTCCACCTCACCATTGAGGAGTATCTGCTGGCACTGATTGCCATGGTTGAGGAACTAGTTCGTGTCCCGGTCGTCGGTTTCCATCCGCCTACCATTACTAACTTCGCTCAGTCTCGCCTCGCCGTTAACTCGGTTACTCTGGGTGACTACACCCGGCCGATGCAAATCGGCAATTTTATCAAGGAGCTTTTCGCTGGCTTCCAGCTTTTGAACTTGAAGAACGATATCCTGCGCAAGCGCAGTGATGGTATCAAGTACAGTGTATGTTGTCACCGATCGACTATGTCCACTTTGCTATTCTAATATATTTGTACAGGTCAAGAAGGTCGAGGATGTGGTTTACGACCTGTCGCTGCGGAATCTTGTTCCCAAAGGCGGCGCCTCCGCCTAGATCAGGTATTTAATCAAGATATGAATAGCGATCTGCCGGGCATCCCAAAAAGTACTCCAGTGGAATTTAGGTCCGGAGAACTGGTGGTGCTTGAAAATTGAGATACGAATTATTACTACCACTCACTACCACCCAGTAAATTCCCATGTAGTCTGAGCAGGAGTATAATACAAGCCGAAACCGAAATATAGATACAAAAAGTCAACAAAAGGTATCATCATAATTCACAAAAACCCCTAGAACAAATCTAGGACTGCTCAGCAGCAGCGGCACCCTTCTGCGAGGCAAGGACACCCTCCTTCTTAGCCTTCTCGATCTCCTTAACAATAGTATCCTCAAGGCCCTCGGGCTTAGTAACAGAAGCCCAGCGGCCAACAACATTTCCATCAGCAGAAATCAAGAACTTCTCGAAGTTCCACTTGACACGCTTAAGTCCCAAAAGACCAGGCTGCTTCTCCTTCATGAAAGTCCACACAGGCGCGGCATTGTCGCCATTCACATCAAGTTTTCCAAGCACGGGGAATGTGACACCGTAGTTGAGCTGGCAAAAGGACTGGATTTCTTCGTCGGAGCCGGGATCCTGGCTACCGAACTGGTTGCAAGGGAAACCGATTATAGTGAAGTCTTCGGGGTACTTGGTCTTCAGTTTCTGGTAGAGTTTCTCAAGACCTTCGAACTGGGGAGTGAAACCGCACTTGGAGGCGGTGTTCACGACGAGGACGACCTTGCCGTTAAGGGAGGCGAGGGGGAAGGGAGCACCCTTCTCTGAGTTCTAGTTAGCATTTTGTACGGCAAATCCCATCAAGTGATACGTACTATCGACAGGCTCGAAATCATAGAAAGAAGTAGCGGAAGACATATTGATGTGACGGTGTGAGAGAGGGGAAAGATTCACGTTGCGATTCAAAGTACGCGGGGAGAAATATGACGTCGTTGAAGGGATACGGAGAGAGCTGGCAGAACAAGAAGATCGGAGGATTCGGCGCGAAAACATGCTTCTTGTATTTTTTCGAATGTTCGACTGGGCCGAGGTCTGGTTTGCATTCTTACCAATTGGGCGCGGGTCTGGGCACGGAGAGCCTGGCTCCCGACGGTATTGGTAATTGTCCGAAGCCGATGATTGAAATCCTTGTGATTTGATTGGTTCGTTGTGAATTTGGGTGGTAAGCCTAAATTCTTTTTATCCACTTTGTGCATTATCTAGTGCTCTATACGCATGTACAGGTGTACCTGGATCCGTCTAAATTCATAATCAGGGCTGAGCAGTGCTAGAGAAGGATTGACGGATAGGCCAACTACATGTATGTATGTCTGCAAGTCTTGGCAAATATGTTGACATCACCGGACTCCAGAGTGTAACCTTGTAATTTGTCAGATGATGTACTATATAGTACATTGGAGGGACTGCTGTAGTATGGACATACAGATATGCTCAGGTTCACACTAGTATGTAAGCACTTGCTAGGTGGTATGATTCTGGTCCAGGTGAAGTATTTGGAATAACCTAGCATCATTATTATTACCTAGGTATCGATTTATCTTCAGTATTGATAAAGGAATGAGTAAAAATGGAACAAATCTAGATGAGTACTTCAATACATATTTTCATTCCCTAGTTTTACCTACACTTACCTGACAGAGCGTAATTCAATAACCAGTCCACTACTTTCTTTATCAAATCTTGGTACTTGGTAATAATGCGTGTATATTTGGATGTAACTCGAAATATATATGTACGTACGGAGTACACGTACTCAAGCAGCTAGCAAAAAGACATTTCTACATACCTACCCAGATAGATTAAAGAGTCGCAAAATGTCAGAATTAGCTCTTAGACATTTATTGTCGGATAGTCATGCTTTACAACAACGCTAATTGACGGAATGTTTATCTCAAACAGATTTACCAAAATCGTAGTCATCCCAATGTCGCGTGCTTGTCGTGTCCCTGTTTAAAACGTTGATTGACATTGAGGGACCTAAAGTTGTAAGAAGGCTAATTGAAAGCCGTGGAGTCTAATTGCTCCCTTACACTATCATAGAATCCTTATATTCCATCAATCTATGATTTCTCATCAGTTCTTACCAACTCATTGCCATTAATTGGCCATAAGAACACAAAGAAATTAGGTAGCTATGGAGCCTTTTGATAGAACGAAAAGCATAAATATCAGTAATTTCTGGGGGTAAAGCCCGGGGAATTTGTTGGGACGTTCACTGAACAGAGTAGCATTAAGGTTTGAATTTACCGACGCTAAGAGCAGCGAAGAAACCTTGGTAACCCTATCGATCGTCTTTCTAACTTAAATCTTATTTATCTTGGCTCTACATCTGCCACTTGATTTGTGATAATTCTATAGATATCGAGGAATTCGCCCTGGATGGGGAAATAAACATGGGGGAACCTGGAAACTCATAAATAGGGGATATCCCCTGCAATGGTCAATCATATCGCTCTATCCTTCCGTCTATATATCTATGTATCTTTCTTTTTCCTCTTGTGGTATCGTGGTACTTTTGACCGAAGACCATTCCCGATAACCATCTGTTCAACAACCTTCCTGTTACATTTAACAAGTTGACTAAAACAGAGATTGACACCGCCCGACCTGCTTACCAGAACGACAAGATTGCCGAGAGAAACAATTGAACTTGCTATTGTTTTTGAGGAGCAAGGTCAGTCAAATGCTGGTGAAATCCGCGAGATCTTTGGTAACGAGGGGTATACCGAGATTAAGTACAAAACATTGAAGTGGTGGTATGTACATGTATCCACTGAAAGCTCTTACATGCGCTGTATCAAGAAAGAGGCTCTAATGTGTCGTCTGCAAGGCAATGTGGTTTTCTCATGATCTGCGAGTCAGTGTCGCTAGGTGCCCTCTCTCTGCCATCCGCCATGTCTATACCAGGCCTGGTACCCGGAGTCGTCTTAATCATTGGCCTCGGTCTTCTCGCAACCTACACTGGTTATAACATCGGCCTGTTTCAGGTACATACCCGCATATCTAGAACCTAGGTAAGGCCGGAGAAATCTTTCTAGGCAAATTCGGCCGCGAGCTCTTCAGCACTGGTTATTTCACTTTTGGAAATTCATTATGGGGAGCCATCTTCTCGTCTTCCGCTCTATGATAAATACCCTTACCAACCACGGCACCTACTCTACCATCTTAGTATTATGAACATGATCATTTCCATCACCCTCACGCTCCCGCGTACTATGAAGGGCATGATCTGGATGTCTTTCATTTCATTTCTCAGTATTTTCACCGCCGACATGATCACCATGATCACCATGAGCATTGAAAGCGAAAGCCACGCTGACCTCATCATCCAGGCCACGGTAGAAACAAACCTTTATACAGGCTTTCAGGTCGTCTCGAATATCGTGTTCGCCTACTGTGCCCACGTTTCCTTCATTGGACTTATCGCCGAGATGAAGTCGCCTAAGGATTTTAAGGAATCTCTCTTTATGCTCCAAGGATTTGAGATCTGCCTACATATCACCATTGTTATTATTGCCTACTTCTATGTTGGCCCTGAAGTGAATTCCAGTGCTTCTAGCTCCACCGGCTCTTTAATGAGTAAGATCGCCTTCGGAAGCGCTATTTCAACCATTATCGGCGCCGGCGTCATGAACGGCCACATCGATCTAATATACATCTTCTATTGGCTGCACCTTAATTACGCTCAATGAACTGCCTCGCCTAAGAAGATCGCTCTCACGGTTCTGAACATCATTGTCGCTTACTTGCATCCTATTCTCTGTGTGCTTGGTCTATATGCTTCTGGTATCGCTATAAATGCCAATTCAAACATCGATAGTTCTACTTGTAAGAATACAGATACATAGATCACTTTTCATTTGCTTTGTTTTACAAACTTTGAGTCTCCGCCGTTCTTTACTGTATCCAAATGGCAGATCAATTTGACGCATCAGAAGAAAAGATTAATGGGAGGTTACTGGTGGGGGAAATGAAGAGGAATGATAATGCGAACAAAAAGTAGCAAAGTTGATTTGGTGGCGTAAATATTCCTTCCAGTCAGATCACCCATTGAGGAGGCATATAGAGCGCCTAGAAGGTACCTAACAATATTGTACATGAAATTCAAGCAGTCACAAAAAAATTTCGAAGGATACCACAAAGGCACGAAAAGAAGAAACAATAGGTATATCGCAGTGACCAGATACAGTCATGATTGTCTTGAAGTGCATCCCAGGTCAGACTCGAGTAAGTCTCGGCTTGATGGATTTAAAGGTGGAGGAGGGCGAGGACGGCCTGGAGGGCGGGGAGCTCAGAGAGCTGGTCCTGAGTGATCTCGTCGACGTTGACGGCATGGGCGAGGCCAGCAAGAGAAATAGCGAAACCGTGAGGGTTGTTGGTCAGAGCGGCGATGATGTTGTCGATGCTGGCTTCGAAATTGCGGGGCTTGATAGTACCATCGACGGTGGTTCCAACCTCTGTGATTACGTTAGCTAAGTATGATGGATAGTCATGGGTGGCGGATAATAAACATACTATGAACGACGGCGGGAACTGAGCTTCCAGTGACAGCGGCAGCAGTGCCAGCGATGGGACCGGCAAAATTCTCGAACTGGCGCTTGCCAAGAGCACCGGCTTTGGAAGCAGCACCATTTGCAGTGTAGGCAGCATTAGAAGTAATGCTCTCACCGGTACCAACGGCATCAGCAGCAGTGCTAACACCGCTGTTGACCACACCAGGCACAGCCTGGACAGTCTCCCCTACAGTGGTGATATGATCGCGCTTCCCAGCACCGGCGACGGTGCCAACAGCACCGGAAGCGACACCCTTAGCGGTACCAACAGCCCCAGCAGCAGTGTTAACACCGCTGTTGACCACACCGGGCACAGCCTGGACAGTTTCCCCTACAGAGGTGATATGATCGCGCTTCCCGGCACCGGCGACGGTGCCAACAGCACCGGAAGCGACACCCTTAGCGGTACCAACAGCCCCAGCAGCAGTGTTAACACCGCTGTTGACCACACCGGGCACAGCCTGGACAGTTTCCCCTACAGAGGTGATATGATCGCGCTTCCCGGCACCGGCGACGGTTCCAACAGCACCGGAAGCGATAGCAACACCACCGTCGACTATCCTGGGAACGGTTTGAACAGTTTCTTTCAGGCCATCGAAATCAGTGCGCTTCGTGGCGCCAGTCAGACCACCGGTGGTGGAGACGACGGGACCAACAACGCCTCCGACAACGGTATCTTTGACACCTGCCACAGTGGACTCAACATCGCCAAAGGCGGGGAGGGCAGCGGAGTAAGCGAAGCCAGCGAGGGCAAGGGAAGTGGTGAATCCAGTAAACTTCATTGTGGCGGATATAGAAGAAAAAGTTTAAACGAGTGACTTAGTGGGATGGATGTACAAGAAAGATCGAAGATCAGCAAAAGAGTGACTGAAGTGAATGGGTGACTTAATGGAGAAGAAACAATGCGAGCCAAGAGGGCGGATTATATACCAATTTTCTGGGGTTGTTTTGACTGTCGGCCATAAAGAGATGCCTCGCATGCAGATATTAGGGGTGATTTCTTGACCGTGGCTGATATCTTCCGTTCGGGTCAATGATCACGATTGACACCAACAGGCGAAATTGCGCCAAAGACGGGATGTATGTGCCCATGTGGTCTCCAATCAGAGGTTTCTCAACAGCATGGTCAAAGGATAATGGATATTGTTAGATTGTACTTGTGGCGGTAATATGCAGCAAGAAGGCGCACTAGTGATTTTGGGATGCTCAGTACAGTTTGAATGTGCCTATATAGAGCTGATCGAGGCTGTCGTGCCTAGGAGAGGGATCATGGGCTCTTGATGCTGCAAGTTCGATCTTCGATCTTCGATCCTTGGTTGGGCTCTCCCAAATCAGCAAAATAAAACGAAAGACCAATGGGGGAAGTGACTTGAAGTTAGGGAAAAATGCGCATTGACCACGAAATAGGCTCAGGTAAGGGTCCTTTCTTTTCCTGCGGGATCTTAAAATTACTTTGATCTTCACTTTTTGCTCTCAGAGGACTGAACGTGAGTTTGAAACCATTTGGCCCCTGCATCGAAACTTGCATCGAAAGCATAGGGTCCAGCCTGTGCCGAAGCCACCCATGGCCATTAATGGGAACGGGCTAAAGTCCAATTCCTATACTCGAAGGCCTGAGCAATTTGGAAGTGTTCCGATCCTGCTAAGGCAAATGATTTCCAATTGAAGAGGTACTTACATTTGTAGGTAGCGCCCAATAGTTAATACAACGTCTGGCCTACGTCTAACGGGTGTCACCAGGATCCACCATTTACTCGGAGAAATCAACCGAACGTGACCAGTCAGACCGCTAGTTCGCCACGGTCAATAATAAGGCGCAATCAAGAACCCTGATAGACATGACCAAGAGCTGACATGTAGTAATCGTTGTGTCCAGCAAGGCCACCTCAACAATTGGTGTTGAAGATCCGGACTGGCTCTTCTATTATTAGTTTAGTTGACCAGCACCACTTGCTGTATGGTGCAGGTGGAACGGCTTGAACTTAGTGAGCACTGGACACTGTAGCCCTAAAGGGATCTACCGACTGTTTCTGTATTAAAGAAGAAGGGAGGCCACTGTAGTCCGCATATTGCGAGTATCGAGTTGTGAAGGCATCCTAAGAACCATAAATGGAACAACAGAGAGGCTGGCTCTAGCCATGAGGATTTGAGTAACTTGGTATTTATCCATTGCATATCACTCCATGCTTGATGTTTTGCCAATATGGTTATCACATAATAATGTGCAATGAGACTTCTTGAAGACAGCGAGATCGGAGAGCTCGATGGAAGAGATGTGAGGTATTCTGTTTATGTTTGTGATGTTTGTATAGGTGTTTTGTATTGTTGTTTGTGTTTGTGTTTTTCGCAGAATGTGGAAGGCACCCAGTTTCTGCCTTAGGCAACTAGGTTGCCACGTCAACGGCCGCCACTAGTCCCAAACAGGGAAGGCACAACATAACAGTGGCATGGCAGCTGCCCCCAAAACATCATACACCTTCGACTTGTGTTGATTTCCTTTTCTTCCTAACCCCTCATCTGTACAGGACTGGTCTTCTCTTTTTATTCTTACCATTCAGAGTATCTTTGTTACTACTCTGAGCATGAGCCTTTAGATCTCTGTGCTACCGCGACCATTCTCTTACAATTGGCTTCGCCTATTTTCCGAGTCGCACCGGCAAATCCAGTGCCTTCGACGGTACCATCTCGATCTACTTCATTGACTGAATCGACGCTACAAAATCTCTCCAGGGTTTGTCTGTCAACAAACAACAAGAAAACAATATGACTACCGACCACGGCGGCCAGATGATCGAGTATATCCAAGGTCCGTACAATGCTTTGGAACGAACTAATAATCTTCCATCGTTCTTCGATAACTAAGACCACTTTGTGTTTAGATCGCCTGTATCTTGCATCCTACGATTCGCCTCCAAGCTCCAGAACTCCGTTCCCATTCCATGCGGACCATCCCAAATCTCCAAGCAAGCGCGCACGTGCCCAGCCTGCTACTCCGAGCAAGCGCCGCTCTCCTGTGTACTTCACCATCGATGACACTCTGCTTTACAATGCCTTCCACGCTGATTTCGGCCCGCTGCACATCGGTCACCTCTACCGATTTGCTGTTCTCTTCCATGAAATCCTCGGTGACCCAGCCAACAGCGATCGCCCGGTGGTCTTCTACAGCAAGACAGATGCGCGCAGCCGTGCAAACGCAGCTTGTCTAGTTGCATGCTATATGGTTATGATTCAGTCGTGGCCACCCCATCTGGCTCTAGCACCCATTGCTCAGGCCGATCCTCCCTACATGCCGTTCCGCGACGCTGGATACAGCCAGGCTGATTTTATCCTGAACATTCAAGATGTCGTTTACGGCGTGTGGAAGGCCAAGGAGCAGTCCCTCTGTGGGCTTCGTGATTTTAACCTTGAGGAGTAAGTGCCTGACGCATATTATTCTGGACATTAAATGCTGATTAATTTCCAGGTACGAAAAATTCGAGCGTGTTGACATGGGTGATTTCAACTGGGTTACACCGGACTTCCTCGCCTTTGCATCCCCCCAGCAGCAGCCAATTGCACCAATCCCCATCAACACCCCCGAGTACGACGCATTACCCACAACGATTTCCGAAATCTCGTCTTCTAAGCTTCCTATGCCATTCAAGAACGTCTTGGCACACTTCCACCAGCGCAATGTGGGCCTTGTTGTGCGACTCAACTCGGAGCTTTACTGCCCTTCATACTTCACTGCGATGGGGATCTCACACATTGATATGATATTCGAGGACGGCACCTGCCCTCCCCTGCAGCTTGTGCGTCGGTTCATCAAGATGGCCCACGAGATGATCACCATCAAGAAGAAGGGCATTGCCGTTCACTGCAAGGCTGGCCTCGGTCGCACCGGCTGTTTGATCGGCGCTTATCTGATCTACAAGTACGGATTCACCGCAAATGAGGTCATTGCATTCATGCGATTCATGCGGCCTGGAATGGTCGTTGGACCCCAACAGCACTGGCTTCACCTTAACCAGGGTGCTTTCCGTGAGTGGTGGTTTGAGGATAGTATGCGCGAGAAGCTCGCTCAGTCTGTGCCTGCCACTCCGCGAATTTCGACCAAGAAGCGCAGCAGTAACGGAGTGGTGTCCACGCCACCCAACAACAGCCACTCTAAGCGCGCAGCACTCGGAGAGATCGACCACAATGAAGCAGCCGCCTACCCCGACCAAGATCTTCCAGCACCCACCCCTGGCCAACCTCGCAAGTCCCACCGCAAGGACTCAAGGCATCATCCTTATTCTCGAACTGTCTCCGGTAATTTGGCCGTGGAAAATGACCAGCGCACCCACCGCACCCACCGCAAGAGCAACGAGAGCAGTGAGAGCGAGGAAGAGGTCCAGCTTCGCAGACTCGCTAAGAGGGCTTCTAGATCACCTGTTGCATCGCCTACATCACGGTCGATTAGCTACTCTGCAACTGTCACTGCCAGCTACACCCTTACGGAAGACAACCATCAGGACCAAGAAAACTGGGTCGACCATTCAGCCCCGAAGACTCCGGTCAGCCGGAAGAGTGGTACTGCGCCTATTTCCGTTAGCAAGGTCCGGTCCAGTCCTCGTCGGGTAACCGACAGCAACCGTAGTGAATCTCGCGGGATTCGAAAGCCCAGTGGTCGTGTTGGTAGCAACACTATCAGCCCAGCGCGGGCAACCAAAGTTGTTCACTAAATAAAGGCCACACTTGATGCTGGTGCCGGGATTTTACGTTGCCTCCCAGTGCTTCCTCTTCGATTCTCATGGTCCCCCAGGACACTATTTCTGCATACCCCTTTCTTGTGATGCATCTGGATGCTGTTTAATGTTTGAGTCTGCACGTCTTTTCGGTCTGAATTGTTGGTCTGTTTCTGCGGAGCGAATAATGGTTTTTGGGCATGTTCTGCGTGGCGTTTGGTTTGGTTTGGTTTGGTTTGGGTTCAGGAACCGAGAAGTTTGCAGTTGGATTCACTATAGCTCGTCCTTGTTGCATCCTGTTTTACCCAATTCCTTTTTTGTTCGTGTCAATACTACTTTATAGGACAATTTCAATCATGATCTTGCTCTACGTCTGTTTTCAGTGAGTTCCTAAGTCTTAAATCCATGAACAGGTCTCTTGGTAGTAGTCTACATATCGATCTCTTTAGTGAAGCAAGATAGCGACAACGCCCCATGTGTGATAGCAAGATTGCTGTAGCAAGATATCGATCGATTTATTTTACTAATCTAGGCACGGGATACGCATACCACCATTGAGCGACCTCAATACGGCGCGAGAAACTATATCGGCGTTAGCACATCATCTAAACCACCAACAAAGCAAAACCTACCTCGCGAGCCTCATCATCGCCGACCACCGAGCTCTCCACTTCCTTATTCTCAATAAGTCCAAGCTTCCCCTTCCTCACAAACCACCACAGCTCCTTTCGATCTCCACCAAGCTCCTCTCTCTCCAATTTCCCCTTAAGCACGCGCAACAAATCATTGTACGCAACCGGCTCTTCATACTCGATCAATTCCTCACGCATGGTCCTAAGACCCTCAATGACACGGTCGTAGTTCGAATGAGCGAGACTTTGCGTTATCTGAGACTCGATAATCCGTCCCATTTGCTGTACGACGTCGTGTATGGTGTCTACATTTTCCGCTCGTGAAAGCGCCTGTTTAAATTCTGGGATTGCGTTTTCGGTAGAGATCTTGGACCGCTTCGGTTCGAGGCTTAGCAGGGCGTCGACATCTAGGCCCGAGAGGGGTTTTTCGGTTTCGCGCTGGCGCTTGCGACCTTTGGTTTTTGGTGGGACTAAAGGAGCATTGGTTAGCTGGGCTCTTTTCGGTGATGTAGAATTTGAATGTGAGATGGTGCAGGTTAGTACCTTTCTTTACGTCTGCTGTGGATATCAACTTCTCCAGGTAGGATTTGGATTTGTTGATGCTGTCTTCTGAGGGATGGGAGAATTCAGTGAGCCTTTCTGCAGGCTCGAGGATTGGATCGTCGGGGTGGACTGCGCGATATCGGATGGCTGAGTCGAGACGGTGGAGTAATGGGGAGAAGGACTCATCGATTGGGAGACCCTCGACGATATCTCTGGTTCATTGACTACGTTAGTTCAGTACATCAAGTATCCGGTTTGACACTAACCCTTCCTCATCCTTGATGTCCAGATCCATGCTGTCTACGTAGTCACTCATGGCATCTTTCAACGAGGCGCTTGGGAGGTTGCGGTGCTCGGTCACAACTTTGCCCGACACAGTCAAGATTTTATCTAGAGGCGGGAATCTGTATGAACGGACATCTTCCGCAAATGGAAGCTGTACTTCGATCAAACATTCGTAGTCTGGTTCGATTAAGGGGGCCAGCAGAACAATCATTGGAGGCTTGGACTCTTTGGTCACGAGTCGAGCGACTGCATAGGATTCGGCCTGATAAAGGGCATGAACAAAAGAAGATAGCGCAAGAGATGCGTTATCATTTGCTCGCTCTGGAATAATAACGTTGGTGTTGGACATGTGCAAATACCGGTCATACTATGCGATTAGATTAGCTGCTGGTCTTGAAATAAGCATAGAAACGCACTTTGTCCTCGTGAACGAACCCGATCAGGTCCAGCCCAGCAAAAGTTTCCAGGTTTGTAACACTTTCGTCAGCTTCAGCAATTGCCACTGCTGTACGTCCATACTCGTAACCCTTTGCCAGATCATCGCGTTCAACATCGATCTTTCCTCCTGGTGCGGTTTCGTCCGAGATTTGATATGTCCGCGATGTCCGAACCAAAGTGAGAGAGTCATTCGCACCCGGAGCTTGACTACCAGGAACAGAATTTTGCCTGGCTTCACTGGAGCGTACCACGAACGAACTCGCTGAAGTCGGCTTAGCGACAGCAGTTCGGAAGTATCGTTCCACTGGAATGCGCATTGCCGTATCGTATTCGTTGGGGTTACCAAGCATGAGCATGCCTCTGAACGTTGCCGCACTCTTGGTTGATTTGACACGGGGAATGTCGAGTTCTGAAACGGCTTGGTCTAGTGTTCCAAACACACCACGCTCATTTGGAAGGGCTTTTGTTAGAGAACGGAAAATCTCTTCGTTTGCCGCCTACGAGAACACAATCAGCAGTTGTTATACCAATTATTTTGAGCTTGTTCAATACCTTCTCCGTGCTTTTGTCTTCCTCTTTCACGCCATATACAGGGTCATCAAAGTCGGCCCCACTAGTTGATGTTAGCATTATTGTAGCATCCCCTCATAGTGAGACATACAGCACCAATAACTCAATATTGAGCTCGTCCAACTTTTCGGCCACATCCTGGATATTGTCATCACTCATCATACCGGTGCCATTGGTTACGAGAATGATCTTGCGCTTGAATTTGAGTTTCTTGGTGAATGCCTCGATCATAGGGATAGCAACAATAATAGCAGAGATAGCTATCATTTAATTAGAGCCCACATTTCAGAAAATGGTGAGGGTGACATACCATCGCCGCGATTGGTATTGCTGGGTTTGATCAATTCCCGTAATTTCCGAATGTCAGGCATGAGAACCCTGAGTGAAATTTAGCTTTGCAATGCCATAGGTAAGGTTGATAGATTGACCAAACGTACTGGCCAAGCTCGAACAGAACTGAAATGTTGGAATAGTTATCATCATATTCTCCTTGCTCGTTGGAAGTGCCTAGTGTCCCAGGTGTAAGAAGGCGGTAATCGATTTGTATGGCACCTACTACCCACCATCTGTTCTGAGTCCAATTACACCAATATTTGCAGTCTTGCGACCCGTAGCCACCTGGTTTGGTTAGCATACCGTCATAGCGTATGATTTGGGGACGAACCGTCGCAGTGATCTTGTCCCAGACATACTGCATTGTCCACTCGAGATCAGTTATAGGGCGGCCATGATGGCGCTCGCCCATGGACTTTCCAACATCCACAATATAAATTGTTGCTTCTTTTTCAGCCATGATGAATTTGGTGAAGATGGAAAGTCGAGAGGCTCAACAAAGTGCAAAGTACATTGTACACCAGGCAGACGCGTGATATTTCCTTTTTTGGTTTAGATCAAAACGCGAAGGCACATGACATCACCTGCAAAAAGTACATACTGTATGAATCCCTAGGATTGCTGCCTGGACATATGCCTGATTTTGACCGCTGCTTTCACCGCTCTACACGGCGTACTGTAACCCATTTATCATAATCAAAAAAATATTACTTTACAAACTTAATCAAAATTATAATCCCTTAGCTATATCTCTTTTTATTTCTCTATTACCTCTCTCTACACCTCTTTTTACCATGAAATTGTAGTCTCTGCTATAGTAATTCAAGTATTTTGATTTTCTGCCAGACTTATGCCCGGCACTTCGTACATCACCTCATCGATGGATGTTTGTTTCTTTTGTCAGGTGCGTCGTTTTAAGGAAACTTCGCCTTGAGCTGCGTGGAGATAACATATTTCTCTATCTTCCAGGTCGTAGCGATAACCATCACTTCCAATTTAAAGCTCCAACTTTATCGTCAACTTTCCCCAACTTTGAACTCGACATACATCCAAAATGAACGATCCTCGCCCCTACCATATCTTGAGGTTTGTTTGTCCCTCAGCAAATTCCAACCTTCAAGAGCTAACGAATCAGCTACGGCACCCTTCTCGGGACTCAGTTCTACCAGGTATGAGCAAGCAGCAACATCACAACTTGCTACATCAAGCCATCTCCTTTCAAACAAAAGCCATCTTCTAACATATCGAAAGTCTTTTGTCGGAGGATTTGTTGCATTCCGCGCCCTCCCGCGGCCCCAGTTTGCTAGCTTGCAGACTGCCATCTTCCCTATCTACTTCTCATTGCAGACTGCGCTGCCAGTGGTGGTCGCCTTGACCGCTTCCCGCGGTGGCCAAGCACTGGGAATTTCGGGTCTTGTCGCACCCGAGAACCGCCTCAACACCCTCCTGCCCATGGCAACCGTGGCAGTGACCGGGTTGGTGAACATGTTTATTCTGCGCCCCATCACCGTCAATGTGATGCGCGAGCGCAAGCACCAAGGTAAGTTCACTACCGATACGGCTCTACGACTGAGATTTTATCCCTTCATTATCTTAACGTCCTGTAGAAACCCGTGATGGCAAGAGGAGCTATGACCCAGCACCACACTCCAAGGAGATGCTGGCCTTAAACAAGAAGTTTGGTCGGGTGCATGGAATCTCGAGCTTAGTCAACCTGCTCAGCTTGGTTGCGACTGTCTGGTACGGTGCTGTGTTAAGCAAGAGACTCGAGTAACTGAGTACCGAGGCTGGTAGGACTCTGTTGTGTTGCCCAGCTTGACTTGATGTACATGGATGGGCATATTCTGTTATTAATGTTGTCTATCACCACGATCTTCACTGCAAGCATGCAAGTCGTCATCGACAAGGTTGCTGATACATAAATTAAATTGAACTGTTCTTACTTTCGAGGCCTAGGTTTGCTATTTGAAATATTTTTTTGTATTTCTTTCCTATATCCCACCCCACTAATTGGAAGATATTGGGTCTCTATTATTCTTAAAAGTGATCTTCAGGACACGCGATGAAGGGGCGAGTTGCAATACTTTCAAGGTCGGTAGTCAAATTTGTAAGCAAGAAAAACATCAAGCTAAGAGCTAGTGACCAAATGGCTCGGTATCTGAAGCAGCAACCTGCACTCAAGACAGATTCTTCCCTCCTTTCGCCTCTGGCATGAATGCTTTATCGCCCACTTCCGCGAGACGCTCTGCACCTTGGTAGAAGTCTGGCAATGGCTCGAGCTTTTGACGAAGAACCCAGACTCGGAAATGCCAGAGAGCATTTTTGATCTGATACGACGCGTGCTTGCGAGTAGAGACGGAGAAGACCTGGTCTAGTTCCTCCAGAGTAAGAGCTAAAAGAGAAACATCAGTACTACGTCCTAAATTAAGTCCTTCAAGGAACTCACACTTTGTTTCAGGCACGAACAGCAAAACCAAGAACCAGCCGATGATGCACCAAGCAGCATACCAACCAAAGGCACCCTGTGGCTTGAAAGCTTCAACAAGATGTGGCCAAGTGAAAGATAAAATGAAATTGAAGCACCAGGTAGTTGCCGTTGCCCAAGACATGCCTACTTCACGGACATTTAGTGGGAAGCATTCAGCAGAGTAAGCGAATGGAACGGGTCCCTCGCCGGGGGAGTAAAATATTTCAAACAGGTACATGCCCGTAGTGACCATTGCAACTCTCTTTTTGCTTGTTGCATTATCTTCTTCAATCCAGAAAGAAAAGCCAGTCCATAGGAGGGTAATAGCGAGGAAGGGAAATGTAAACAGGAGCAGGTTTCGTCTGCCCCACGTATCAATCGTGAAGAAGGCCGGTAAGGCAAAAACCCAGTTGAGAATACCAGTTCCCATAGATGCAAGCAGTGCACTGGTCAGACTGTAACTTGCCTCTGTGAAGACGGAGGTGGAATAATAGGCGATAACATTGACTCCACAAAATTGCTGCATGAACATCACGATCCAGCTAGCGATTGTGGCGCGGCGGTTGCGGGGAATAGTGAAGAGTTCGATGAACATGGTGAAGAAATTCTTGCCTTTGTTGATTTTCCGTTCAAGCTCGACACCAACATGCGCATAATACAGATCTCTTGCCGCCTGGATATCAGTGGGCCGAAGAATTCGAAAGTTGGTATAGGCCTTTTGAATCTTGCCGTGCTGGATCAACCACCTCGGGGATTCTGGGCAAAAGTAGACCTGTGCGCAGACAATCAACGGCAGTACGACAGTAGATCCTAGCATGAGACGCCAGCTGAGATCTCGATCTAGGCTCATGAAAGCAACACCCATGATGTTGCCAAGCATGATACCGAAAGCCGTCCACATCTGCCACATCATGACCAGAGCACCACGAATTGGGGCCGGGGAACATTCTGAAAATAAAAGTTCATTAAGGGTTGATACGAAGTATTATGGGAGCCATATCATGACGCTTACCTGCAGCATACACGGGCACAGTGCTTGATTTGGAACCAATACCCAAACCAAGGACGAAGCGGGCAATAAATAGGTTGACCCAGCTGTTTGCAACGCCTTCCCATACTGAGGCAACAGCTGCAATTAAGCATGAAATGAAGATTGTGCCACGCCGGGCAAAGAACCGATTCAAGGGTTCGGTAAGCCAGCAACCGATAATTGCACATGCCAGATATGGGGCACCAACAACAAGTCCTTGGATGTTTTTGGATGTAATGTTGAGTTGCTGGGCGTGAACAGTAATTATTATTATGTTTTGCACATGGTCGAATAGCTAACTTACATCCTCAGCAAAGTAGATAGCCTGGGCACCGTTATTGACAGTCTCATCCATACCCTGGACCGCCGCTGCGAGTGAGCACATGGCTGTAGAAGTAGAATATTAGCGTTGACCAAGAGCACAGCTAAGGTTCTCTCACATACAGGCAAGGAAATAAAGCTGCCACGGCTGTGACCACTTGTGCGTATGTTCCCGCTCTAAAGCTTCCCTTTCGTGATCCGACAATTCAGGAAGACTGGTTGCTGATGCAGGATCTTGCGAGATAAGGGCTCCCTTTTTGAAAGTCTCAACGTGATCCATCAAGTCGTATTTCTGGCAAAATTCCACGACATCTTTGAAAAGTTGCTCGCGGGGAACTCCAGCCAGAGGATTTTCGAAGACGGCATTGAGATTTCCTCGAGCACGGCTCTCAACATCAAGGACCCCTGCTGCTTTCTCTTCTTTGTGACCGTAGGTTGGAGAGATCTGCTCTATACGCTCGACCTTCTCTGTCGTAGGATCGTTTATTTCACTCTCCTTCATTGTATCGAGGAAAGTGATGACTCGAGATATTCTTCAAGAAATATGCTTCCCAATCGATTATCTGCCTTAAGGGCCGAGTCAGCTTTACTCGAGATATTTATATGTATAGTCAGCCTACACAAGAGATAGACTATACCTGATTGCTGGCGCGTGAAAAATTGTATCCACTTTATCGGTGGAGATAGCGTGGGGAAAATTTTTAAGATATATGTGTGGGGAAGTGGAGGGATGTGCTTGCTTTTATGGAACATGCCGAGCCAAATAAATGACTTTTTCTCCCAGGTCTACGCGTGTTGATAGACGACATATTGGGCTTACGTTCAGCCTTGGATGACCCCCACGCGGTTTAAGCCGCTCAAAAGTGTAGCCCATGTAACATGGAGATAGACAGCGCCGCATATGACCATGAAGGTAATGGCTTCATCGAATCATTGAGTCCCTAGCGCTCACTCATTGGCTGTAAAATTGCCGAACTAACCGAATCGTAAGTAGCGATGTTCATGGAAGTGACTGCATCCTTCCCTGTCATCGAACATTAAATACGGACTGTATGGAGGGGACTGGGCCAAACGGGTGAATACCAATGAGGTCAAATCCCTGGTAACGAGAGCCAGAGCACCAGCACAACTCTGAGTTCTTCATTGCTGACACACTACTATCAAGTAAATCAATCGAAGCAATGAAGCTGCGCTGGGCGACGTATCCAAGAAACGATCAGCGTTGCATCGACCTATGATGGTGTTGATTTAGAGCTGTTTACGTCATACTTGGAATCTCTACCGGTGCACGGCTTCAAATCCCTGCGAAAGATGCGGGGAAGCCTGAGTCAGATGGATTTGCTTTTTTTGGTAGATGACTCGTGTATGAATGAATGGGTGCCACTGACGAAATAGATCAGTGAAAGTTTAGACTTTAATATAGTGTAGCTTGCTGTACCGAAGCCTCCCGCTATGCCTTTCTCCCACATTCCTGAGCTTTATTGCGTCTGGGTGGCCTAGAAGGGGCTAGTTAATATCCGTTTGACATTTAGGCGGGACATGTATGCGGTTAAGGTTAGCACAAACAGTTTAGGGTCAGCACAGCTGCGGTGAAACACAGCTAAAAGGTCTCTTGCTGCTACTAAAGCGGCACTCTGTTTGACATATTATTAAAATCGACAGGAACAGAGATCCTAAACAACATGATCTATTTAGAAGTGATGAACCAACTTAGAAGCAATTCTAGACCAAAGACATGCACGGAAAATATAGAGTGCTTGTTTACTATTGCTTTGAAGTGTGAACAGCCCCTATCGCTTTGTATCATTACGCTCTTATTAACAATGGTTGAACAGTCTTAAACACCATTGAACATCGATCTCTAAATATAGGAACGACATCCCCGATTTGTGCAAGAGGTCATAATCACTGCAATTACTATCCTCACTTTCGTTAGACATCATGAAATATGTAGAAGGCAGAGAGTTGTATGTAGGAGGAGCCTACTACTGGCAGGCAACTGCTTTACGATGCCAGTAAACACGGATTTAGGTATGTGTTCATTCTGGCAGTTGATGAACTAGTCATGCTTAACTTCCATGTAGAAATATAATCAGTAAGACCCATCCGGCAATAAGGCGCTTACCTATGTAGTATCATCAATTAGATATGCACCAACCATAATGACCATGTCAGTTGCCATTATCTTTCTGTTGAGATATATGTACGCTCAATTACTTAGAATCAAATAATGACCAGTCTGCAGTTTTGAATGATTTCTTTGAGGTCTTTCAAAACTTGTTCGTCAGTCAGGCGGCCTCTCTGACCATTTACTACCTATGTAGCATTTTCAATATATATGTTTCTAAAATTCCCAAAGGACTCTGTTATAAAAATGGCATTTTCGAATACCAAGAAGCCCCACAGAATGTTAATGTTTAGTGGCTTAATTCCTTAAATCTAGCCTACAGATAGCGATATTCACGTTGCAATTTTCAAAACACGCAACTCTCTGTCTAGATAGGTAGGTTCTAGGGCTCAATCAAAATAACAAACGTCTAGTCCAATACTATGCAAGATAAATAACAATTAAAAGTCAATGGACGCACGGCTACCATAAATAGCAAGTGTTTATTCAAGTTTGAGTAAATCCCGTTCTTTGATCCATGCCTTTGTTTTGAACAAAGGCATGCATGGCCAATTCATCGTTCAGTTTTTGAACCTGCCAGTCTTGTGTGCATATAACTACCTTCCAAGACGCCGAGAATGTGGAAAATTTCTTTTCCTTGAAAATATAAAATCATAATTAGACTATCCACATTCAAGTCAATAAAATGCTTCATCATATAGTACTGGGGGCGGTTCTCACCGGCCTCAACGGCATCAGCCTGTGGCATTCTGTACCCTTTACCGGGCTGAGCCCTTCTAATGGTATTTTATGGCGCAGTTTCAGTTCCTTGGAGATCGCGGGCTCTTTCTACGGCCTGCGCTATGTCTACCCTTTTGTTTTCCCGGATGACGATGCCACCTTGAAGGAAGACGTTTTGTTACAACATTCCATTCACTCCCAAAAGTTCGAAAATGCTAGGCTGGCCCTGCAACAATCATCCAAAGCAGTATCCTATTACACCAATACCCCGATGGATATAAAAGCGACCAAGGATCCGATAACCACAGAAAATTCCAGCTCAACACATTTGCCTGACAGCATGTCCTGGATCCGTCCTGAAGAATTAACGCAACAGCCTGGAAAATCCCAATGTTTTTTCTGGAACCTTCTCATCCTTGGTCTTGTTGGAATGCATATCTATGAGTTGAGGATTCTCCACACCATGAATAGTCAGCCCCCAACGGCTACGATTCAAAGAGAACTCGACGAAGTGACTGAAGAGATCGGCTGGTTCCGACAAGAATTCGGCCAGTTGATCCCTAACCTCCATGGCATGGGAACAAGTTTCACAGATGCCGTGGTTGAGAATGAACGCCTTTACAGAGAAACCATGGAAGCTGTGGACTTGATGGGCCTAAAATTCTCAGAAAGTATGAGCTCCATCGATTCTCAACTTTCAGAACTCCGTAAGAAGACCCAAGGGGCGTTTGAAAGCGTTTCTGATATTCCCAAACAGTTAGCCTGGCTCAACACCTTAGTCCAACAGACTCAACGCGAAGAGGATGAAAAGAAACGACAACTTTCAGGTTTCTTCATGGAAGCCACCAGCCCCAGCCTTGAGAAGAGATTCAGTTCCAGTTCTGAGTCCTTGTACAGTTCTGGTCAACTTCCTATTCCTAGTTCTTTCCCCGATCCACCCAAAATCCGTGGCGTTCCACCGCGTGACAACTCCAAATCCTCGTCTTCTACACTCTCCAACTCGGGATCTATCTCCCCCAAGTCTCAGGTCCCGTCTTCCAACACCCAATCTACGCCTTCCGCTCCTCCGGCTACACTTTCACAGCCAAAACTCAATTGGAACACGCGACCAGCACCGCCGCCGTAGTGATCGCAACACCAAGACTTCATGCATGAAGTCGGCTTGCGACTTATGGCTCTTTCTGTTCTTCTTTCTTTTGGGTTTGCATCATAGCGAAGATGGAGTTTGGCATAGACATTTTCTGTAGTCTTTTTGAGACATATTAACGAAAATCCTTTTTCTTAGTGTCCATAAATGATCAAATTAACACTGTGTTTTTAGTAATGTGACGGCACTTGCGAATTGCCTTTTCGAGTTAATTTTACCCATTGCGATGAGGAATCAAGGCGTATACTGGTTGAGGGATCATTTAGGTAATGGTGACATAAAAGTAAGGACTTTCTAATGGATGTGGTTTGGAGTGTCACTAGAATCAATAAAAATCGCAGCAATTTACATGCAAAAGTAACGTTGACTACCATGGATGATATCGATTTGTCAAGCCACCCTGCTAGACCTTGATAGAATATGACCAAAACGCTGCCTTACTTCGTTTCTAGACCAAGGTAAAAGGCAGAGTGCGCTCATGACTCAGGTTCTTCAACAAGGTATTTGCGACAGGCTGTTTTGAGCATATTAATGCGTCTCTGAGTATGAATGAAGACCTCTCGATACATATCGAGACTCTGTTGCACAACCTCCTGTCGAGTTTTGGTCCCCGAGCAGATCTCAAGCATCCGTAATTCCATTTCTTTGCGAAGGAATGGTTTGCTGAGTGACACACTATTCGGGAGACCAGCAACGATGTTGTCGTAGCCTTCAACAAGGGCAACGCCCAAACGAGTGGGAATAAGTTCTGTCACTGAGGTGCGACCACTACCTCGCTGATTTACAGCGACGTATTCACGTTCTTTAATCTTGGCAATATGTTCTGCCATCGTGGCGTCGGTGCCAATTCCATTGGCGTCCATCAGGCCGATGAGCTCAGGCTCAGTCAGATAACTTGGAGCAGTAGTTTTTCCTTCAAAAATGTTGGCCTCAGTAGGCTCAAATAATTCGTCTTTTTGGAAATTGGGCAGTTGCTGGCTGCTTTCCCATTTGTCATAGACGTATACATCCAAGTAGTTTCTCTCCAACACGACAAGGCCACTTGCGTGGAAGAATTCATCGCCGTATTGAATTTCAACCTCCGAACTCTGACCCTTTGCATCCTCAGAGCAGCAAGCGAGGAATCGGCGGACCACGAATTCATAGACCTTTTTTTCATTTGCATTCAATTGGTTTGGAGAAACCCAGCTGACTGGGTGGATTGGAGGATGGGCTTTGTCATTATGGCGGCCAGAGCGAGGAGTTCTGTATTTGCCATCGATGAGTCTGCACCAAAATTGTTAACTTAGTCCCAACATAGAGTCGAGAAATCTTACTCTCGAGCGTATTGGCCCCATGAGCTATCTGGGTATTGCTTTTCAATCAACTTTTTGAGATCAATCGCCTTGTCGAATTGATCTGTCTCGGTTCTGGGATAGCTAATATATCCCTTGGTGTAAAGTGTTTCTGCCACCTTGAAGGTTGTTAGTACACCAATCTTCGTGGCTTATATGTGCGTTTACCTTCATAATTGTTTGACTGTCTATGCGGAGAAATCTACTCCCCATCATCTGCAGGTCGACAGTGGTCAAAGGCAAAGGCCTCCATTTGCTGGTAGGCTTCTGGTTTACTTTGGTGACTTTTGCTTGTTTTGCAACCAAGCAGCGCTCCAGCATCATTGTTACGACTGCTCTATCAAAGAGATGCACCCGCCTCCAGAGAAAATTGACCTTCTTGCCCTCCCGGTTGAGGGTAACCTTGATTCCCCAAAAGGTTTCTGGTTTGAAGTTCTGGACTCTCAAATAACGATCAACAACAAATCCCAACGTAGGAAATTGACATGATCCTACGACCTGTTAGTCAGTATCTATATGCAATATTTTGAGTGATGGCTAACCATAGCTGATAATCTTTTCTTTCAAGGCTGCCACCACTGTCTGCAACTGCAGGGTTTGGAGCCGAGTGAATGCAGCGCCAATTCGGAGATCCAGTTCAATCCTGGCAGCCACGGCATTGGCTTGATATTCGTCAAGATCGACTGGTTCTAAAGCAGCTCGACGAACGTGTCTGTTTAAGCATCAGTGTTGTTGAAATGTCGAGAAGCAAGCTACCCTGACTTACGCGCTTTCTGTGTTACTGAACTTGGCTCGCTTGACCTCAATCCGGCCATTTCCGGCTTTTGCCTGGTTACGGACTTCAGATCCGATATGTTCGCCTTCGCGATCACAATCGGTCCAGATGAACAGTGCTTTGGCATACCTAGCTTGATTCCGAATGTTTTCCGCAATCGGAAGCTTGTCCTATTAAAGGAATGAGCATGATCATTCGAGACAACTGTTGATCTTCTTCACCTTATCAACAGTTTCCTGTACAGGGGCTTCGAAGAGTGATCCCGGAGGACATGACTGCCAACCCTTGTATTGGCGATCGAAATCTAGGCCAGTGAGATGTCCCACCACGCTGGTCATTGTGACCGAGCAGTTACCCCAGGCACCACCGAAATTGAAATCAAATTCATAATTCTTCACATATTGATTTCCACGAATGGCATGCTGTCAAAATTAGCCTGTCTTCATCTACTCTCTTTGAAAGAATTTACTGTTTGAAAAGCACCTCCGGACAAGTGAGTGGCCACCGCGCGAGCAATGGCAGGCTTTTCAGCCACACAGAGAATTTTGCGAGCCATTATAAGCTCGAATCGTGATCACATGAAGTTCATATTGTTGTGGCCTTGATTGTGTCGTCGGTCACATCTTTGTATTCTGGACGCGAGGGAAGAACCAATCAACGCCTGGATGCCTGAATTTGACGCGCCTTAGTGCCTGAGGCAACAAATACCCTTTCGGGCCGAACTATCCCCGATGAGGTAATCTAAACATAACTCCACCTTAGCAAAGGCTTGTGTTTTCTTTTCCCCAGCAGCTACTGTTTGATTGTGCACGATCGTATAGAAATGGCTTCTTTACCGATTCCTCGCTTGGAATCCCTCGCGGATTATACCTCCTTCGACCTCACCGTTCGTCCTTACTTATCCCAGCTGCCATGGTTGCCCGATAGCTTGTACGAAGCTGGTCGCGATGTGTATAGCTTGCAAGCTGTTTATCTGGCCACAAACCCACTGGTCTCTGCGCTGGCCTTCGGCGGAGTCCTAGCTGTACTTTTCTTTGTTGCAGCCGAGATCAACCGAAACTATTCTCAAGTGGACCGGTTTTGGAGCATTCTCCCCGCGCTGTACAACGTGCATTTCGCTGTCTGGGCCCGTTTGTCTGGTATCCAGACTCATACCTTGGATACAATTGCTGCTATTACAGTTCTTTGGAGTGTAAGTTGATATTCAACTAGTGACCATAAGCGCATGCACTAATTATATTCTCGCGATAGGTCCGCCTGACTTTCAACTACTGGCGCAAAGGAGGATACTCGATCGGTTCCGAGGATTACCGCTGGCAGATCGTGCGTTCCAAAGTGAACAATAACTTTGTTTTCGCAATCTTCAACCTCGGCTTCATAGCACTGGCCCAGTCCCTCCTGCTCCTCCTTATCACTGCCCCAACCTACATTTTTGTTGTCGCGGCATACAACCAGACATCCGAGAAATTCGGACTTCCTGACCTGGTCTTCTCGCGCGCTATCTTCTTCTTTATTCTTATTGAATTTTTCGCCGATGGCCAACAGTGGAATTTCCAAACTGCCAAGCAAGAGTACCAGACCAACGCGCGTATCCCTGAGCCCTACAAGGATCAATGTACTGCCGAGGATCTCGAGCGGGGCTTCGTTGTCAGCGGTCTTTGGTCATGGTCGCGTCACCCCAACTTTGTTGCCGAACAAGCTGTCTGGGTGACCCTGTACCTTTGGTCCTGCTATCGCACTGAAACATACTTCAATTGGGCTGGGCTGGGTGCTTTGGGATATCTCGCTATCTTCCAAGGTAGCACGCGCCTGACCGAAGAGATCAGCACTGGCAAGTACCCTGAGTACAGTGACTACCAGGCTCGCGTTGGCAGATTCCTCCCTCGCTTGTCTGTCAAGGCGAAGAAGACCAAGGCCAACAAGAAAGCTGTGCAGTCCAAGATTGAGAACAAGAAGAGCAATTAAACCGAGGGTCAAGATTTGATTAATATACATATAATCTGAATGCGGAGAAGCTGTTTTCGAAGGGCGGATTTGAATTTGCTGCGATTTTCTACTTTTTTTTCTACTTCCCTACCTCAAACATCCAATTTATTCAATGCATTTTTTTTTCTCAACACGCTCAGACACTAACATCTGCTTGCAACGACATAAAAATCGATTGACAGGTTTTCCAAAGCATATTTATTCCTCGCGACGCTTCGTGTAACGAGAAGCTTGTATACGACGTGCATCCTCCGCTTCAATGATCGGAAAGAGTCTCTTGAAGCTACTGATCGCACCAACCATTTGCTCTCCAATTTTGCACTTCTCTGCCAATGCAGAAACCCACGGTTGCCATTCCGGGCCTAGATTGACCAGTATAAACTGACACCACAGCCATTCATTACCCCCGTGACAGCGTTTTCCTCCGTGGCCGTCTTTCCCTCCGCAATGCCGGCAGTATCGAGACCTTTCTTTCTCGCCGCAGGGTTTGCATTCAATTGCACGGGCACACAGCAGCATCTTGTCTAGATATTCTCTGAGGGACTTGCACTCCTCATACCTGATACTCATGATATCGCGCACACCATCAACAGAGCGTACTATCAAAGGCACATTTCCTCCACACCTCTTCTCTAAAAATTGCCATGCTTTTCGGGCATCCATAGTTCCCAACGCGCTCAGATGATTTCTTAGTGACTCTGACACATTGCTGAAAATCATCATCCAGACATTTGAGTTGATATGCGGCCATTGCCTGTTGAAGTCACCGTACACTAAAGCAAGCACAATATCGGATTCGAGCCCCCATATTTCGCCGCACTGCCTGAGCTTCTTCTCCATTGTCGCCGCCCAATCCTTATAGTTCTCTGGGCCAAGGAGCTTCTCTTTTGCCAGTTTGGGGCCATAAAATCGCGATGGAAAACCGGGCGAGAGACCTCGTCGAATTTCTTCGTACTCGATGAGTTCGGTTTTTGACGTCAGATTCCATTTACCTCTTGACATACTGCTTTTGTTGGGTTGGATCTTGCGGATGAAAGCGCTCCAGTTCCGGATCGGACTGGAAAGAAGGACGCTGGCTGAATCATAACTGTAATGATCCAACCTGCGTAGGGTATCACTCGACCATTGCTTATTGACTGAAATGCTGTCTCCAGTCTCGGATTCGTCGCTCAATAGGTCCCGGCCATTTTCATCTCGAAGCACGGGGATTTTTGGCTTCTCCGATGAGTCAAGATACCTTTCTGAAGCTTGAATTCTTGACTTCTTGTTTGGAGGACGCAACAAACTCAATTCGATGGTTTCCCTGCTATTGGTTCTGTCGCATGCGTTCATTCTGCTTAGGTTGAAACCAGTGGTGGTATCTCCAAAAGTGAAGTTGCAATGAAATATTCACAAGGTTGAAGGAACGAGCTACGAATTTGCTTTTGGGTACGTTTAGGTCGGTAAATGCCATGTCTCAGTATCTAACAAAGGAACCAACGGTCTTTGTTCTCATTACATTGCCTTAAGATGCTTCTTTGCGCGGTTTATGAAACACCTACGTAAACAAAGCTTTGCTTCGATAACAACCATGTCTTCTACAAATCCTGATGTTGGAAATCAAATGTCTCGTTCATTGAGAAGATGATTTGATGTGTTTGTTTAGGACAAAATTTCCTAAACATAGTGCTATAGCTCCTTTAATCCTAATTTGAAACCGCGCATGTACTCTTCATATTAAATCTTCATCTGACCACATATCAGGCCAACCATCACTGTAGTTCTACAATTTGAACCGATCCAGCTGATAACATATAGATTCCCTTGCCAATAAAACGTCTTAGTACAGATAGTATGCTGCAAAATCAAGGGACTCCAGATTGGCGCTCAACATGAAACTATAAGCGCCCGTTCGGCCTTCGGCCTTATACTTGTCGCGAGTCTCCTGTCATCGAACACCGACGCTAACTCCATTCATCAACGCCTCAACTGTATCAAACCAGGCAACACAGCAGTATATCAATTTCGTGATATGGTATAAAGGATTGTCGATGTAGAAAGTTCAATTCCAATTTCAAGTCTTTGTAACAAAATGGCTAGCGATCTTCCCGTGTCAAAGAAAAGCGTACTCATTCTAGGAGGCTCATATGGCGGCATATCAATTGCACACTATCTATTGAAACATGTCATTCCCACTCTTCCTGAAAAAGCCAACTATCAAGTCACCCTAGTTAGCATTTCGACCCAAATCCTCTGTCGACCAGCATGTCCCCGCGCATTGATATCAGACGATCTATTGCAGCAAGACAAGCTATTGGTGAACATCGCCGACCAGTTCAAGCAGTATCCAGCTGGTGCCTTCCATCTTTTACGCGGAGCTGCCATTGGATTAGATCACGCCAGTCGATTAGTCTCAGTCAAACTTAGTGATCAAACCGAGTCAATAATCCCCTTCCATGCCCTCGTCATCGCAACTGGCGCATCAACACCCTCACCACTCCATGGATTGAGCAACGACGATGAAAGCCATCTGCGCAAAAGCTGGTCTGCATTCCGTGAAGCCCTACCATCAGCCAAACACATCGTCATATCAGGCGGAGGTCCAACCGCCATCGAAACAGCCGGCGAACTAGGCGAATACCTCAACGGTCGAGCGGGGTGGTTTAGCTCCAAGCTAGAAAACCCCAAGGTCTCAATCACAGTAGTAACATCCGGTTCACGGATTCTGCCCACGCTCCGCCAGAGCCTAGCGACCAAGGCTGAGAAGTTCCTTGCGCAGCTCGGCGTGACGGTCATCAAAGACAAGAAAGTGGTAGCCGTGGAACCAGCCAATGCTGGACTGGAGGGGGCATTGAGTTCCAGAGCCATGTTGACCCTCGCTGATGGGAGCACGCTCCAAGCCGATCTTTACATTCCTGCCACGGGCACGAGACCAAACACCAGTTTTGTGGATGCGGCTTTATTGATAGATGGACGTGTTGAGACGAATCCATCTACTTTACGAGTCGATAAGGCCGGGCCGCGGATATATGCCATTGGTGATGTGGCATCGTACGCACGGCCTGCTGTGCACGGTATTCTTAGTGCTGTGCCTGTTCTCGCGGCGAACGTTAAGCGGGATTTGCTTGGGACTGGGGAGGATCGGGTGTTTAAAGAGGATGTTCGTGAGACACAACTTGTTCCGATTGGGCAGAGTAAGGGTGTTGGGGCGGCGATGGGTTATCAATTGCCTAGTTTCTTGGTGTGGTTGATTAAGGGGAGGGATTATTGGCTTTGGACGACTGCGAAGTTGTGGAGTGGGGAGCAGTGGGCTAAGGAGTCTTGAGTCTTTCTTTTTCAGTTTCGGTTTTTTTTTAGATAGTTGGTCTTCATATTTAGAGCAATATATCACTTGAGACGCACATTCAATTATGGAAGGTTGTGATCTGTAGGCCCAACAAAGGATGGGAGACATGTTTGAGACAATTCAGCTACGGGGCTTACTGATATGAGTTTCTCTATAGAAGAGACAAGTTCTGACACAAGCTTCAAAGATTTAACAAAACTCCCTATTATACACTCGGTTCAATTAGGAAAGAACCAGATAGATAGACACGGAGCTGGACAGGAGGAACGAATATGAGATATAAAAAACAAGGAAACGGTCTTCTTATTTAGCGCGACATGACGGAAATGAAGAAAGGTGATGGGTGAGGGTAGAGAAAAAGAGAAGATAGAGGGGAGAAAAAAGATGCAATCCATAAATACAAAAAAGGAGAGGCTACAGTGATATCATTCCTCCCAAAATTGAACCAAACCAAAGCAATACATACAAGACACCTCTCTATAAAGGAGGAAGAGGAGTCTCGTCCCGGCCATCCTTGCCAGAAGTCTGCTCAGGACCCTGGTGGTCAGGCGGGGCAATGGTCTGTCCACCCTTACCGTCGAAGTACTTGGCGAATTCGCCGGACTCGGGGTAAGGACGAGGGCCAAGGAGACGAATGAGGTCGTCACGGCCTAGGACCTCCTTGGACAAAAGCTCCTCAGCAACGATACCAAGCTCCTTCCGCTTCTCGGTCAGAAGTTCGCGGCACTGAGTGTGAGCTTCTTCGATGATACGGCGCACCTCGAGGTCGATAGAGCGGGCGGTATCTTCGGAGAAGGGCTTGTGAAGCTGTTGTTGCGCGTCATCCTCGTAGTAGATGTATCCAAGCTTGGAGGACATGCCGAACTTGGTGACCATTGCAGTAGCCATGCGAGTAACCTTGTTGAAGTCGTCACTGGCACCGCTGGTCACGGTGTCGAAGTGAAGCTCCTCACTGACACGACCACCCAGGGTCATGGCCATGCGGTCCATCATTTGGTTGACATTCATCAGGTAAGTGTCACCGCCTGCGGGAAGATATTGAGCGTAGCCCAGGGCACCTTGTCCGCGAGGAATGATGGAGACCTTGAGAAGTGGGTCGGCCCACTTGAAGTACCAACCGCAAATGGCGTGACCGGCCTCGTGGTAGGCGACAGTGCGCTTCTCCTCGGGGGAGAGCACAAGGGACTTCTTCTCCAAACCACCAATCACACGCTCGATAGCTTGCTCAAAGTGTCTCATGATGACCTTGTCGGCGTTCTCACGAGCAGCTGTAAAATAGTTAGAATCAGGAATATTACATAAAGAATAGTTGAGAACCTACCAACAAGAGCTGCCTCGTTGACACAGTTAGCGATATCAGCACCAGCAAATCCAGGAGTCAAAGCTGCGAGTCTGCCTTCCATGTACTCCAGGTTCTCATCGGTGACAATCTTCTTCAAGTAAACGCGGAAGATCTGCTTACGGCCGTCCATGGTAGGACGGTCGATGGAAATGTGTCGGTCGAAACGTCCAGGACGCATCAAAGCCTTGTCGAGCACATCCGGTCGGTTGGTACCGGCCAGAACGACGACCTGTTCGGAGGTATTGAAACCATCCATTTCGGTGAGAATCTGGTTGAGGGTACTTTCACGCTCATCGTTTCCGCCACCAACGTTGGACTTGGCGCGGGATTTTCCAATAGCATCAATTTCATCAATGAAGATGATACAGGGAGTGTTCTTGCGGGCATTGGCGAACAGATCGCGGACACGAGACGGACCAACACCGACAAACATTTCGACGAATTCGGAACCACTGACGCTGTAGAAGGGCACGCCAGATTCACCAGCGGTGGCCTTTGCGAGCAGTGTTTTACCAGTACCGGGGGGCCTGAGAGAATAGCACCACGGGGAATCTTAGCACCCAGCTTTTCGAAACGCTCGGGTTGCTGGAGGAAGCTGACGAATTCCATGATCTCAACTTTGGCTTCGTCCATGCCTGCAACATCGGCGAACTTTGTCTTAATGTCGGTCTCGTGGTTGAAGCGTTTGGCGCGACTCTTTCCAATGCCAAAAATTCCACTCTGGCCGCCGCCGCCACCACCAGCACGGCGCGACATCCAGAAGATACCAGCAAGGAAGAGTACAGTAGGAGCAAAGGACATCAAGACACCACCCCAGGGGGTTTCATCGTGATAGGCGACAGGGATACGTTCATCGGATGGAATCTCTAGTTCATACTGCGCAGCCTCGAGTTTCATCTCAAAGCTGTCCACAGAACCAATACTGAAGAAGACACTGGTAGCGGATTGACCATTTGCATCGACCTGAGCAGCAGCTTCACGTCTGAGATCGACGCGAACCTTGTTACGGTTCACGACGGTCAGTCGCTCAACGAGGCCCTTTTCCAGGTAGTCCGCTCGGAATTCTTGCCAGGTGATTTCCCTGCCGGCAGACTCGCCGGGGAAGATGCTGCGGTAGGCGTAGTATGTGATAAGAGAGGTAATCAAGAAAGAAGCGGGATCGAAACGGAACTCGAAGACCTTGCCCATGTTCGGGGGCACCTTGCCCTTCTTGTCGTCCTGCTTTTTCTTTCCTTGCTCCTCCTTCTTAGGGGCATTGTTCTTGGAGTCTTTATCCTCCTTGGGGTCCTTTGGCGATTGTCCACTAGGTTGTTGGTTGTTTTCCTTATTCGGTTCTTGGTCCTGTCTCTGCGGCTTATCAGAGAAGAAGCTGAACGAATTACCGTCCTGCTTGTCCTTCTCTTGTAGCTTGGCGATTGTTTCGTCCGAGGTCGTAACGTTCCACAAGAATCGCATCATCCTAACACGGTCCATCAAGGTTGGGGGGTGGTTCGGGTCGAGGTGCTGCTTTACTTCCTCGGGAAGACCATTCTTCATGAGCCAGGACCGAACCTGGGTGCGTCGCACCTCATCCATACCCTCCAGCCATTCATCCACGCGTTTCAATTCCGAATCACTCAGAACAGACTTAGGCTTCTGTGCCTCGTTCTGATCGTTGTGTCCATCCTTGTTGTCTGGTGTCGGGCGACCGGGACCTTGCGTGGAGTAGGTTCTAGCGCGGTGTGATATAAGAGATGAGAGTCTTGATTGTTGTGCACGCACAGAGGCTAGTCCCGTGCGACCGGTGAATTCCGCGGCTTTCCTCGAGTAGTTAGCGAGATTGCCTGGCCGACGGAGCAAGCTGGCCATGGTCGAGGAGAGGGAGCCCCGAGGGCTACGTGGGCGGGGGTAAAAGGTAATCAATCGAGTTTAGAGGTGATGAATGAATGGACAAACCATCAAAAGGAGGCGTAGGGGGGGGCCAAATTGAGCTTGGGGGGTTGCGAAGCTCTCTGGGGCATCCGACTCCGAGTGACGCCGTCTTCTCGGTTCTAATTTTTATCCGGGGCTGAGTCATCGTACGGGAAGCGTATGGAAGGGTTGTCTTTAAACCCGTTTAAACTCCGTTAATACGTACTACTCTACAATATGACTGCAGTAATTTTCAGTTTGTCCTTTTAACTTGTTTAAAATTTTTTAATTCGATGGGAGACATCTCTATACATATGCCAATAAGATGGCCCACCTTTGCGCCATTCGCTGTATAACGAAAACCGTTGGTTATCCTAATTACTCCATGCAGACAGTTTCAAAACAAGAGGGGGGGGCGCTTCAATATACATGAGGTGTAGAGATAGTTCGTCGAGAGGAGATAGGTCGTCGCGAAAATAACAAAAATAATTGCACCTTTGCGAACTCCATAAATAAGGTGTATCAGGTTTGCTCCATCGTATCATCATCACTGTCCTATTGGCGGACCACCAGGGCCCGGTCCATCAAAAGGAGGGAAGTTTGTAGACATCTCGGCCCAATCCCATTCGATTGTCATGGGCATCTGCCACAGATCTTGAGGGACAAATGGCTGCTGGAAAGGTGTAATTCCGGGACTGGCGGTGCTGAAGGGGGGCTGATCGGGGAACCCAACGCCAGCCATCTGTTCAGGGCTCAGCATGTCCGAGAAATCCTGTCCAATACCAGGCATGGAATGAACATTGCTCGGGAGATCGGTGGGGATGCCACTTGTCGGGGGTATCGCAGTGCCGGAGAAGGATCTAGCTGTCCCGGGCGAGGGAGCTGCGGTAGGCTTTGTGAATACGGAAGGAGAGAAAGCTGCGGATGTGGGTGGTGGTTGTGGGCGTTTTGCGGATGGCGAGGTTGACTGGTCTTCTCCGTCAGACTGCTCGCCTGAATCTTCTGGGGCGTTCTTGCGCTTCTTTCGGGAGTGAGATTCTTTTTCGGCTTTGTCTAGGACGACCTTGGCGATTCGCTCAAATTCACCGCAGAGGCCAAGCATACGCTTGATGCTGCCGTTGGATTCGTCGGAGACCAAGGTGGAGAGGAAGTTGACTACCACGTTCATCAATTTAACATCGGACCGAGCACGAGCATCGTTAGGATTCTGTAGAATGTTGGCGAAGAGAGTGACGAGAGCAGACACCGGGTAGTAAAGAATCAGCCTGGAATCTAATTAGCAAACTGAATTTTTGTTCATCATTGTTTAACGGAAACATACCAAACACAAGCAAAGTCTCCTTGGGGGATATATTTAATCAGATTAATGGATGCTCTGGCGGCAGTGACGCACAGAACTGCGGACAAGAAGACCCTGGGGTTCAAGGGTCGAGCATTGAGTCCTTGTATGGCATAGTTGGACAAACGGCTTGTCCAATAACCATGGTGCACAGACATCCGATGAATGGTAGTCAAACAGTTGTAATAAGCGAAGTGTAAGACAACGACATGAATGATGAGGGGAGTGTGGGTGGCTTGAATCTCGAATTCAGGTCGAAAATCAATAGGAATGCTATCCTTCCAGTCTTCCAGCTCCTTATCAAGCTCACCGATGGTGTTGAGCAATTCACCGTCAGACTGCTTCGATGCTTTGGCGGAATACAGTCGCTTGTAAACACGGCTCTCGATGGTAGCGAATTCGCAGAGTGACCGGAATAGGTTGAACTTGCTTCTACCGTCGGAGAGTGGTACGTTTCCAACATTATCTGGCGGGTCCTCGCTCGGCAGGTCGACATTCATGTCATCGTCATCCTGCACTGGCGGTCGACCGGACCGTAGGCAGATGCTAAATATCGGTCAGCATAGCTCAAATCACCAATGTTATATATAAGCTTCATACTCTTTGTCAAGAAGATAAGCAATCCAGAACACTCTCTTCCGCTGCTCAACCTCAACTGGGTTAAGACCGAAGCCACTACCGCGTTTGTGTAAACCAATGCTGTGCGACAATCGAATTGCTGCAGCAACAAGGAAGAAAGCAGGCTGCGGGTTAGGGGTTCCCTGAAGGAAAAGAGACATGCCCAATAATGCTTGTACACTCAAAAGATCCGTGTTGCGCATTGTGAGCTCAGTCAGAACGCCCATGGCATTCTTCAAGTACAGCCAAGCTTTTTTATCTTCTTCGTGCGGCACCAAATTGCTCATAACACGAAGCCTGTGAGAGATGGCCAGAACAACATTGATACTTGCCCACCAGCCTGAGCCTTCATAGGGATCGCGCGAGTATTGTCGTTCCACCAAATGCATGAACGTGGCTTCGTGGAACAACGGGAACATGCAGTTGAAGTTCTCGAAGAAATCTTTGAAAAGCGAGAGAGCTTCATCCTTTGGTGGTAGAGGTTTGAAGACCCGTCTGGCGAAAATGTCGCTAAAGATCTCGGGCTTCCAGTACATCCATTTGTTATCGTCGACATACGCCGATGAGATCATGTCCTGGAATGATGTGTCGCCGGTCTTCTCATTGACCCATTGAATGCCTTTTGGGGAGAATATTGAGAACCCAGATGAGGATCCTACCATTGTGTTAGCCTAGTCCAGTGGTGTTGAATTGGTGCACCAAAACCCTACCAATATACCGAGTCTCCCCGCAATTATTCGTCACCAAAGAACACATCATATCCGACAAAGCTTCAACCTCGGTTTCCGATTTTTGTGATTCCGGTGATGTGGCAGCCGTCTGAGGGCTGGAGTGGGAGTCCATCCGGGGAGTAGTTTGGTGGGAACTCGGGGCCTGCTGTGCTGCCTGCGCCATGAATTTGTTGGAGCTTTTCGCTGCGTTTAGTGCGTTTGTTCGATCGGCGAGTCGCTTTTCCAATGTCCCGAGATCTGTCTTGCCGCCATCATCCTCTGACAAGAGGCCCGATAATCGCAATAACGATTCCATGCGCCCTAGGCGGTTTTCAAGTCCTTCGATGTATTTAGCACTGTTGAAGATCTGTCAGACCATGATACCAATGCAAAATTGAATATTCATACCCTTTTGGAGGGTTGCGCTTCTTCTCCACTTGTGTGAAGATGCATTCGTTCTTGTAGTTGATGCAGTGTGAGCATTTCGGCATTTTGCCATCGCATTTAATCTTTTTCTTCCGACACATATCGCAGGCCTGTTCCCATTATATTAGATCGATTCTCAAAATCACCGATCGTATGATCCTCACCCTCGCGATCCTCCGCCTCTTCGCATCGTTGGTCTCGTCCCCCGCGCCCAATGACGAATCATCGTACATGGCTCCAGGAGCACCTTGCATCTGAGAATTATCATAGTTGTACAGTTGTGGTGTTTGGTGCATCATCGCGGGGTTCATCTCGAAGCCCAAATCATCGTCCCCGATATCCATTTTGTGTCTGAGGGGCAGCGGGAGAACTCCGCGGGGTGGAGGCAATGGCGGTGTTAGGTAATATTGACTGCGGGCCCCGGGAGTGTCTAGGTGCTCAGATGGTTTCGTGTTTTCGTGGAGCTATGCACAGCTTGGTGTAGAGGCTGTCATAGTCTTTGGAACTGAAAGAAAAGAGTGGGAGCCTTATGAAAATGGATGACGCATCAAACCAGAGTCCTCCGAGTCAAGGATTTTTTTCGGAGATAACGAAAAGAGACCTCGTGTCCGTAGGAAATAAATGACTCAAGTCGAACACGAATGCGAATGCGAAAGGATTGAAATTGTTTGAAGGGAAAAGGAAGTATAGCTTGGCTCTGACAAACGGAATCCGCGTACTCCGTACCCGAGAAAGTCTGACGGTCGAGTTCGTCCGATCCGGGTGAAAAGAGAATGTACTTCCGTTCAATCAAGAAAAAAGAAATTAACACTTCTCAGCGATTATCTACATATATAGGTTATTGACGCTCTAATTTGTGCAACTAATTCCAGAGTGTATATCTTTTTGCGAGGGTGTGAAGTAATATAGTAGGGTAGGACCAATATACGTCACTTAGCAGCCTACTTTTGGACATATGTACATATGTCCAACGGACGTACGTATCTTGCGGTCTGTACTTGATATCCTCGCTTGTATCGAAGCAGTATAGATCGACATATTGCGCCTTTGGAAGGGTTATAAATAAAAGTACATTTGAAGAGCGGCGATCTCAGGATATGTAAAAGAAAACTGCATATAAATACAACAAAGTCCGAAGTTCCTGGTCTTTGTAAAATGCCAAACCAACGCCACGCTATGAGCCCAAAAGTATGGAGGTGTCAAGACTCAAATTTCAGACTTTCACACATGATTGCCTGAAAAGTAATAAAAGAATGAATTGAAACAAAGGTTCAGGCATGTTTATCGAGGAATTCCTTGGCTTCGTTGATCTTGGTAGCCAAGTATGGGCTACCACCGCGATCGGGGTGGTTGAGGAGCATGAGCTGGCGGTGGTTCTTGCGAATTTTTTCCTTGGTCAGGGTTCGCTCACTTAAAAACCAGTGATCAGTCTTTTGGGTTCATCATTCAAGATAGGAACATGTGGTACATACGCAAGTTGGAGGATCAGGGAGGCTTCGCGACGGGACATGCGCTGGTCGAATCCACTATACATCATCAGCTATTACTACATCCAATGAATCCAAAGTATTGGACTTTGGGGTAACTAACCCTTTATAAAAGGCCTTTCCAGCAGCGTTGAGACCTCCCTTAGAGCGGCGATAGGCGACCAGACCAGCACGGCCCTATAAACAGTCAATTAGTTCTCCATTTTTGTCAAGATCAATGACAATAGTTTCACCTACCAAAAAGGCCGTAGTAGCAATACCGAAACCAATAGCAAGAGCAGAAGCCATTGTTATAAATTGATGAACTGGATAGGATCAAAAGGGAAGCAAATGGGGAACGGAGAGGCGTCGGGATAGAAAAGTCAGCGCACTCTACCTAAAATGGTTTAGCGTTGTTCTGCTCCACCATTCAGGCCCAGCTACAGAAAAAGTTTCTTGCGACTCAAACGAAAGACATAATAACCAACACCCAAGTCTACAGTCATGCGGTAAGTTTTGATAATAACTTATTGTCAATATATAATCTATGGAATCTCTTATACTGATATATCCCCTTTTCTCTATAGTGTTGAAACTTGTCACTTCTGTTCCCGCCCGGCATTCCCGAGTAAGGGAATCACATTCGTCCGCAACGATGCCCGACAATTCCGCTTCTGTCGGTCTAAGTGCCACAAGAACTTCAAGATGAAGCGTCAGCCTCGCAAGTTGAAGTGGACCAAGACTCACCGTGCCGCCAGCGGAAAGGAGATGATCGTGGACTCATCGCTTGTCCTGTCCCAGTTCGCCAAAAAGAGAAACGTTCCCATCAAGTACGACCGCAACCTGGTCACTGCGACCATCACCGCCATGGAGAGAGTGGAGGAGATCAGAGCCCGCCGCGAGCGTGTCTTCACCAAACGTCGTCTGGCCGGCAAGATTGCCCGCGAGCGCCAGCGCGAGGCAGACCGCAAGGTCGTCAACGAGGGCGAGCACCTCATTCGCAAGGAACTCCGCGAGCGCGAAGAGGGTCAACCCATGGTTCCCGAACAGAGCAAGGTCTCCAACAGAGTTCACGGCGAGGAGAGAATCCGCCAGAAGCAGAAGGCCAAGTTGTTGGTGGATGGCGGGGTTGAGGAGCAGATGGATATCGATTAAATTTTTCTCCCTGGGCATCTATTCTTTTTTCTCTTTTGTTTTCATGCTTCTTCAGATACGACACGGTTCCTGCACTTTTGCAGATTTTCGGAGTTGGGCATGCTTTGGTGTTTTTAAAAGCTATCAATGTTTCTCATCATATCTCATATCCAGTGGGCTATTGGCCTCTTGCTATTTGAGAGGCTAATCAAAATGTGTTTACAATGCCCCCCAAATGTTACATAGAAGGTTGCTAGTCAGTATAGTGACCAAAATGGTCAAATGATCATAATGAGATCTTTGGAGAACGACCCCAAGAAATATTCTAAAGCCCTAGTAATTTTCTTCATTCGCCTATATTCACTTTCTCATACGGGAACTCCTTGATGACAATATAGAGACCCATCTCAGCATCTCAGCTGATATTCCCGGAAACTGAGCAGCTATATAGTAAATATTTATGATCAAGATTCACGATCAACGCATGGGCTGAGGGCAATACATATCTCACAACCTCTCTTTCTCTACCCCCACAGAATATTCACCATTGACCATTTCGACTCAGGAGGCTCCGGTGGATCAGGGTCATTCTCCGCAATCTCCACAAACCTCGCAACAGGCAACTCATCCAACGAAACAATCTTAGTCCGATACCAAATCTTATACCCAAGATAAAGAGCAGCAAAGATTACAATATCAAGATAAGCAGAGATAAAGGTCTCAGTAGACCAGCTAGAATCAACAATGAGTAATTGTACCAGCAGCCAACCCCATCATACTTACTGTCCATGTATAAAAGTAGTATAGCCCCCGGTAAGCAAGATAATCGCAAGCGAGACGAGCGTCACCCAAGCCGCATAAGGCTGCAGCGGCGCAGCCCACGGCAGCCTACTCCTCAAAATACCCTGCTTCTTCATAGCATAGTAAAAACGCAGGTACGTCGTACATATAACCATCCAGCTCATAATCTGCGCGCAAGCAACCAAGTCCTGTAACCAGGTAAACACAGTTGCAGCGGTGGAGCTGACAGACATATAGCCCAGGACCATCCACACCCCAATAGCGAGAACGCCCATGTAGGGTACGCCCCAGCGGCTTGTACGGGCAAGAAGGCCGGGTGCCTGGCCCTCACGGGCGAGACCGAAGAGGATTCGGGAGCCGCTGAGGAGAGCTAGGTTGTGATTTAGTTTACAGAGGTTTTGAGAGGAAGCTATAAAGGGGAATTCTTACTCGAATTGCCCGAGCTCCAGGCACTGCTTAACACGATTGCGTTGATAATGTGAGGCACTACACTTATTCCGGTTCTCTCTGCTGCAATGAGGAATGGTGACTGGGCGGCTGTTCCGGTGCTTCTTAGTAACATTGGGTCATCTGAGGGCACTAGAAGAGTGATCATGAAGATAGAAATGACTAGCTCCGGGTTAGACGGTACAATAGACAGGAAAGATGCGACATACCGTAAAACAGCGCAACTCTAACAAATACTCTCTTTGCAGCCTTGGGAATATTTCTTCTAGGTGCGTATGTCTCTGCGGCTGCCATAGAAATGGTTTCGACTGAGGAATAGGCGTATGCGGCATTAACAAAAACCGTCCAAAAGCCCATGAACCGACCTAGCGATCCTGGTACGCCAAGATATTGCACGAAAGGCCCAGGCTCATGCCAGTATTTGAATCCAATCGGTTTGTGGTTAGGACCGCCTCCCGCAGTAATGACCAGGCCCTATAGAAACGTCAACGCAGTGGTTAAACCTCATCTGCCTCATACATACCATGATATTCATCCCAACAATCAAACATATTTTCAAAATAGCAAGGGAAAACTCCACCTCACCATATATGCGCACAAGAAAGAGATTGCTCGCAAAAAGAACAACACTAAAAACCGTAACCCAAATAGCATTGTTAAGAGTAATCCAATACTGCACAATGACCGAAGCTGCCGAGATCTCGGCAGGAATTGATATCATATACTGATACGTGACATTCCATCCTTGCGCAAAGGAGAAAGCAGGATCCACAAAGTAAGCAGCGGGTCTGATAACACCTCCACTAAGTGGAACGAGGGCACTCAATTCTCCGATGGATAAAGTGACGCCCGATATCAAGATACCCATGAAGGTATATCCCATGAAGATACCCGCCGGTCCGGCATTTGCCAAAGCTCGTCCCGAGCCGAGGAATAGACCAGTGCCGATTGTGCCTGCCAATGCGATCATCTGGATATGGCGCTGTTCTAGGCCTTTTCTTTTACTGGTGTTAGCGACAGCAGGAAATAAAGGCACCCGCGAGACAAACCTCAGATCGTGCACCTCTGCAAGTTCGGGAGCGCCAGCCCCGTCTGGGTCTTTGGTCTGTTCAGCGTCATGTTCATTCGGGTTATGTTCGGTGTTGGAAATGCCGTATATTGTATTCTGCGCCATGATATATGATTCGAATCCACTGAAGAAAAAACAGGTTAGTATAGACTACCAAGCCCCTCTCCAAAGCCGATAGGTATACATATACAACGCCAGCGGAGATAACAAAATGGTCAAGATAAGATACAAGCTTCTAGCGTGGGGGAGCACTGCAACTTAGTAACGCACCGGATATTAGGCGTGGGGGGTGAGTGCCCTCTGCTATCGCTTGCCTGGGGTGATAGTAGATCATTGCATTTCAATCAAACAAACTTCGAGAGCTGCCGTGGTGACGAGGCAAGGTTGCAATGGGTTCCCCGCAAATTCGAGACTCCCTTTGCGGGGAAGAGAGTCCTAATCCGGCGCGTTGAGGCCTGGGGATGAATCTGTTACTTGAGAGAAACTAATTAATTGGTGATCGATCAGGAGTCTAGGATGAAGTAAATTGGGAGGTACGCGGGGTCCATGAGTGTAGAGATCTGAGTTTCCTATCTGCGCTCAGGCATAGGAACGACAGGTCTGTCTAAGGGCTAGTAGAGGTTGGGGGCTACTGGGATATATTACTGATAGCTGTTCCTCTCCATAGTCATTATTCGAGGATTAATGTAATAATTCCCTTGTTTCTTACATTATACAGCCCCAGATATCCGTTGAAATCTTGGCCCAGATTATCGATCCTCAGGCTTGATGTGTGCCAATTGAGACGATGGCGCTAACAATGAACATACCACACGTGCCGATATTAAGCTCTATTCGGATCCTAGAAACGTGGATTGCCCTTTGTGTAGGGGAAGTTCCCTATCCCTTAGGGCTTGCGAATAGGGATCTTCCAAAGCCGCGAAGTTGAGGCTTGGTATCTAATCAACAGCCCCCAAAGTAACCAACAATTCTGCATATAATTATAGATATGCCATACTCTTTCAGTGAACACCCAGTGAAACAAAGGAGAGTATATCACGATTGGATCTAGGGATATATCCAACAGCAAGAAAAAGAAAATGTAAACACACCACCAAATAATGGCTGTGGCTGGTATTGTCAAGAAGTCACGACTAAATACAATACAATCCAAAAATGGAAATGAAGAGAAGGGGGCTTCAGTATCAGGGCCGAAGAGAACAAGCGAGAGGCAATGGAAAAAAAGGGAGGGAATTTCAATCCCTTGTAGAAAAAGGAAAGAGAAAAAAGAAGAAAATATAGCGCCCCTCTGATGAGTGAAAACTCCCCAATTCGGTCACCGGACTTCCTTATATATCAAATCAAGTCCCATCGTAGTATGCGCCAAACACCACCTCCAAGCAAGAGGGGAAACCAAACAAGGGAAAAAAACAAGCGAATGCGATGATGGAGGTTGCGGCGGAGAGATAGAGAGAGATAGCATAGTAGAATCGAAGATATCAAAAGACGCAGGGGGGTATGGAGTCAACGCAGGATAAAGATAACAGATGGCTCATATAGACAGGGTATCAACGGCCACGAATCCGATCCGCGAGGAAAATAAATGCTCAATATGCAAACAACTAGGTACTGTTTGAACGCAGCAATGCCTAGGGAAAGCATTAGCCAATCTCATAACACTTAACAGGATCTTAACATACAGCTAACGTACCCGCTCATCGATCATCTCATCGTCTTTCTCTTGTGGTGCCGGACTGACGACGCTCCCTCGGCCGATAGAACCGGAGGAAGTTATAGACCGGGATTCTACAACTGGTCGAGTAGGATGCGGCAAAGGCTGCTGCTGGGGTTGTTGTTGTTGTTGCTGCTGCTGTTGTTGATTTTGGTTGTCGGAAGGCATGGAGTAGTTGGGATGCATTTCCCCACTACTAGAGATTCTCGACTCCTTGCTCTTCTCCAGCAGCGAGCCGCCGAGGGTGGCGCATTTGAGGATAGTTTGCATCATTTGATTCTGTTTGAGTGGCTTGGACAGGTACTCGTCCATCTGGGCCTGGATGCATTTCTCGCGATCACCCAACATGGCGTGAGCAGTGAGCGCAATGATCGGAGTGCGCTGGAGTCCACTTTCGCGTTCATATTCGCGGATCTTTCCGGTAGCTTCGAAGCCACCCATGACTGGCATCTGAACATCCATCAGGATGACATCGTAACGACGTTTCTTGACAGCTTCAACGGCTTCCAAACCATTGCCGACGACAAACACGTTGTGGTTGTGCTTCTGGAGAATCTTCATTGCGAGTTGTTGGTTCACGTCGTTATCTTCAGCCAAAAGGATATCGAATGACCTAGAATTATCTGTGGTGATCGGGGTTGAGCGTCCTTCCAAGGCCGGCAGCATACCATTTCCAAGATCGATCGGTTGACATGGGGTAGTCATGTATGAGCTGATACCAAGGTCGAGAGCCGACTTCAAGCTCACGCACACCAAAGGACAGACCAGAACAATCGGAATATACTTGAACTCGTCGAATGTACGCAGGATGCGGGCAGTGTCCACAGAGTCTACAATGATAACATCGTATGCATGGCCTGATTCTTTTCCAGAGGGATCCTGAATCTCGGGTGGTGGAACGTGCTCCTCGTTCCGCACTACCAAAGGCTCTAGTTCAAGCTTCTTCAACATCTTCATGACATTGGACGCTTGAACGCCGTTCTGACCCTTGTCAATGAACAGCACTCGGTGGTTTCTGTAGGGCAAGAGCTGGTTGGCAATCACGCCCAAAGATTGGTCTGCGAGCTTCACGACGCAGGTGAAGTGGAAGGTACTTCCATGTCCATACTCTGAGGTGACCCAAACGTCACCGCCCATCAAGTTGACGAGCCGCTTAGAGATCGAAAGACCTAGACCAGTACCACCGAATCGCCGGGTGGTTGAACCATCGGCTTGCTGGAAGGTATCGAAAATGAGATCGAGTTTATCCTCTTCAATTCCAATACCAGTATCAGAAACGGAGAACTCGAAGGCGTATTCGTTAGTCGTGCATTGCTCGCGATCAGACTTTCGGATGGTGAGCTTGACTTCACCATGCTCGGTAAACTTGATAGCGTTTCCAACTAAGTTCAGAATGATCTGGCGAAGACGGAATGGATCACCGATGACATAATCGGGAACAGTGTTGTCAACCTGATATGTCAGGCTTAAGAATTTCTCATTGGCTTTGACAGCTAACGTCTTGAGGGCGTTGAACACAGTACCCCGGACAGTGAAAGGAATGCTTTCGATAACCATTCGGTTGGCTTCAATCTTGGAGATATCCAGAATGTCGTCAATGATGGTCAACAGACTGTTTGCCAAATTGTGCACGACGTTCAGCATCTCTCGGGTATACGGCTTGAGATCATCCGTGTCCAAGGTCAACTGGGTCATTCCAATAATACCGTTCATTGGAGTTCTGATCTCGTGAGACATATTGGCCAAGAACTCTGATTTGGTGCGATTGGCAAGTTCGGCAGCCTCCCTGGCAGCAGTATTTCTTTGAATACTATCACGCAGGTTGGAAACCATCTTATTGATTTTTCGCTTCAGCTCGTCCATTTCACCGGATGCATTGACAGTGATCAGTTTTGTGAAATCACCGTCAGTGGCAGCATCGGTAATTTCACCGAAAGCACGCACTTGTGAAGTCAAGTTTTCGGCCATGGTGTTCACATCCTCGGTGATTTCCTTCCAGGTACCAGCAATGCCCTCTACATTGGCCTGGCCACCCATCTTGCCGTCAACACCGACATCTCTGGCGACCTTCTTCAGCTCAGTAGCGAATTTAGCGAGTCGACCCACCATGTGGTTGATGGTAACCTTGAGTGTGAGGATCTCTCCTTGGGCGTGCACCTCGATCTTCTTGCTGAGGTCACCCTTGGCAATAGCTTGCGTTACATCAGAGATACTTCGGACCTGAGAGGTCAAATTTTGCGCCATGGTGTTCACATTGTCGGTCAAGTCTTTCCACTTTCCTTCCACGTTATCAACTTTGGCCTGGCCACCAAGGGTACCATCTGTGCCGACCTCGCGAGCCACTTTACTGACTTCAAAAGCGAATGTGTTGAGTCGGTCCACCATGCCGTTAATGGTGCTCTTAAGGTCGAGAATCTCTCCTTGAACGTTGGCGGTGACCTTCTTGGTAAGGTCACCCTTAGCGACGGCGGTGGTGACGTCTGCGATCTCACGCACTTGGGTGGTCAGGTTGTTGGCCATACGGTTGACATTCTCCGTCAGATCTTTCCATGTTCCTTCGACATCATTTACAGTAGCTTGGCCACCGAGAACGCCGTCCGTACCAACCTCCTTGGCAATTTTAGTGACTTCCTGGGCGAATTGTCGTAGTTGATCCACCATGGAATTAATAATGTTCTTCAGCTCTGCGATTTCACCCTTACAGTTGGCCTGGACCTTCTGTGTAAGATCACCCTTGGCGACAGCCTTTGTGACGGTAGCGATATCTCGCACTTGCGTGGTGAGATTGTTGGCCATAGCGTTGACATTTACGGTCAATTCATTCCACATGCCTTGGACTCCTGCGATCTGGGCCTGCCCTCCGAGTACACCTTCTGTACCGACATCACGCGCGACTCGCGTTACTTCGGTTGCAAATGTTCTGAGTTGGTCCACCATGGTGTTAATAGTCTGTTGCAATTCGAGAATTTCACCTTGGGCTTGGCTCTGAATCTTCTGACTAAGATCACCGTGGGCAACAGCTGTGGTGACAGTAGCAATTTCTCGTACTTGATCCGTCAAATTCTTGGCCATGATGTTCACGTTTTCAGTAAGTTCTTTCCAGATACCATGAACGCCAGTGATCTGGGCTTGTCCGCCGAGTATTCCTTCTGTACCGACTTCACGAGCGACACGAGACACCTCGCTACCGAAGACTTGCAGTTGGTCCATCATAGTGTTAATTGTACGTTTGAATGTGGCGATTTCAGGGTCCATCTCCAGCGGGTGAATTTGGACTTTCATGGAGAGATCACCATTGGCAACTTGGGTAATGATACCCCCGATTTCACGTAAGGCTTTCTGGAAGGCCTCGTTGGCTTGCTGGTGCTTGCGTAACTCACGTTCCAGAAGAACAACATCTTCATTTTCGACCTTGGTGAGAGCGCGGCGAGTGTGTTCTTCCTGTTTTTGCAATTCATCGCGGACCTGGGCAATGATATCTTTCTGGGAGCTGATTTCCTCGGCCTGCTTCTGTACATGGTTGCGGAGGAAACTTATATCCTCCTCCCGCACGATGCGGGTACCGAGATCGTCGTCATCGGAGTCGTATTCCTCAATATCTTCCAGAGGGCGATCGTCGAGATTCTCCACCGGTGGTTGAGGAATGGTTTTTTGCTGCTGTAAAAGGCAAGAAGAAGAGTCAGAACCTTGACCGGACGCGAGACGAGAGAGCCCAAATGTCCTTAAGAAATCAGGATTCTTCTCGTTGGGTCTTTCAGCAGACGGCTCCCCAATAGGGGAGTCCGTCTGCCGTTGGAGATCGTCGGGGAATATGTGGTGACTGACAGCTTGGAATTCCAAATGGTGCACACGGCGGACCAAGGCCTCAAGCTCGGCTTCGAAGGCTGCCTTTGCAGGGCTATGTTCTCCGGGGAGTTTGGTGGATTTGGCACCGTTGGCAGATGATAATTGGAAATCAAATGGTGGTGAAGAGGAGCCGGAGGTAGGCTCGTCTCTTGCCAGATTCTGCAGCACGGCAGTCGCGGCTACGAGTGTCTCGTCCGCGCCAGCCATCGTGCCCTACCAAAGTTAGTTGCTGAACGAGATCAGAATATCATATTAAATTGAAAGGTGTTTCGATGGAACGGAATTTTCGTTTTTTTCTCGTATATAGGGCGAAGATCAAATGATTATCCGACAAGCAACGAGGCCACTGGTAAATTCGATAGGGTTCCGGAGATGGGGGGAAACATAAGTTCAAAAAGATCAAAGATCACTCACCGAATAGTCCTGACCGGGGAAAAAAAAAGATCAAATACTTCAATTATGGCGACATGAGGTGATTCCGGGGGAAATCAAAGAAAGAAAAGTCGGGAATAAATAGAGTCCCGAGTCTATCGGGGATGATAATAGAAAGGAACCTTGAATGTCGGGAAGGGGGAAAGAAAATGAGCGGTTCAAGGTTATGTAAGCCACCACTTTAGCTATGCGGGGAATAGGGAGATAGGAGAAAAGAGATCCGTAATATAGAAGAAAAAAGAAAAAAGGAAAAGGACGATCAGTACTCCATAGAACGGAATAAAAAGTAGTAGAAGAAGAAGAAGAAGGGAAAGAAAAAGATCTCGGAGAGAGTCAGAGAGAAAAAAATAATAGAGGATTTCGAAAGGGGCGGTGATGCCGGCCTCTCTGTTTTTTTTCTTGGTGTGAATCTGATCTCTCTCTCTCTCTCTAGTTATCTCTCCTTCTCTCATTCTACAACAAACTACAGCCCTAGACCCAAACCCATACACCTAAAATGGCATAATAATTTTGTAAATTTACTATCTTTTGACCAATTCATGCATCTGTGCACGGACTAGGAATTTATCTATTTAGGTTTCGAGAAACGATGTACTACGCCGTAGTTACTCAGAGTACATAGTTATGGTCACTACTATCTGTAGGCTGCACAAAAATAAAATAAAAGCGGCAAACCTCCTGATCAGCTGTTTCATATCCCGTGATCCACTTGCTAACGATGTAAGACCTAAAAAGCGTGATGATCGACTTGAAAACTAGTGACGATCAACTTAGGCTCGTTTGGGATTTGGGATATTCAAATACTAGTGCTTCTCGATAACCCTAAATACAATACAGAAAGGACATGTCATCCTACCTATGTAGACATACATGTTACGTGGTAGTACGAGATTTGGTAAATGATTGAGTAGGATTCGGTCGAAGTTGTTTCTCAGCCAGTCGGTTTAAACGAGCATTCATTGTTTAGTAGGGTCTACCAAGTCCCATAGTTCGAACTCTGTGTGGCTGAGCCGAGCTTAGCGTCTCAGCCGTTGTCGTTTGCATTCATGAGTTGCGATTGGTTTATTGAATCGCTCGTGCTCATGCGTAGTTTGATTCCTACCTTGGGTTCCCTGGATCAATTTAGTCTTTTCAAGGTTAAGAGATTGCATAGTCATCTCAACATTCATACAACGTATGTACTTATCTCGTATGTCAGAAAACCCGATAGTTACTGCCTGCAATAGGATGGAGGAAATTAGTGTGTAAAATGTATGAATTCCACTCACGAGAACCACAATAGTGAATTGGAAATGGTAATCTTTCGGATTTTTCAATGTCGACAAATGAGTACCCCCTGTTGTGTTGATGTTGTTTTCCAAGCCCTAGATCCTGGAGTCAACTGTCCAATACTATGGCGGGGTGAAATAGCACTTGTGGTCTTTATCACCTCCCGAATTTATCTTTTGGATCCCGCAGAGTCATAATTCTACGGAATATTGTCTGATCCAAAGAAACGCCAAACCTCCCTCTAAAAATTCTAGTCTGCAGGACAAGACTGCAGCTATGGATAACGATTTGATAAAGCCCATTCTGGACGCCCTGTCCGCGTCCGATGCGCCCGTCCTCGCCAGCAATGCCTTCCCCTCCGTCCCCTCATTGAAGGTCAAAAGTGCGCTCGACCGCCTTGGCGCCCGGCAGATGGTTGATTGGAAGGCTCTGGATAAGGAAATTCTTACCCTCACCGCTGAGGGCCAGGAGGTTGCCGCCAATGGCAGTCACGAAGCTAAGGTCTTCGCCGCCGTTGTCGCCGCCCTGGACGGATTGAAGATCACCGACTTGCCCGGAATTGTGGGCAAGGACAACGCCAAAGTTGGCCAAGGAAATGCTTTCAAGCGTGGCTGGATCAAGAAGGATAAGGATCTGCTCCGGGCCTCCACAGACTCGATTGTCGACGAAACGCAACAGCACCTGCTCACAGTACAAAAAACTAAGACCCTGGGCGATTCAAAGGTCCTCCAAGATCTCAAGCGGAGAAAGCTGGTCTCTCTGTCAAAGGAGCACGATTACGAAATCATCAAGGGTCCCAACTACGCCCGAGAATTCGTCAAGGAGGAGACCGACCTTACTCCCGAGATGATCGCCAGTGGCTCGTGGAAGGAGAAAACCTTCAAGCCCAAGAACTTCAACGCCAAGGGTGCTAGCACCCCGTCCGGTACTTTCCACCCTCTGAACAAGGTGCGACAAGAGTTCCGCAACATCTTCTTCGAAATGGGCTTCGAGGAGATGCCCACCAACCGCTTCGTGGAAACCGGTTTCTGGAACTTCGACGCTCTCTTCGTGCCCCAGCAACACCCTGCCCGTGATCTCCAAGATACGTTCTACATCTCCGACCCAGCCGTGGCCGACGGCCCCCGTGCAGACGCCCCCAACGACCCACATGCCCCCAAGTCAAAGGACTCCGAGAAGCCCCTCGACTACCAACAGTACTGGGACAATGTGCGTGAAGTGCACGAGCACGGCAAGTTCGGCTCCATCGGCTACCGCTACCCGTGGAGCGCGGACGAGTCTCTGCGACTCGTGCTCCGCACGCACACTACCTCTATCTCCACCTATATGCTGCACAAGCTGGCTGCCAACCCTCGGCCAGCCCGCTATTTCAGTATCGACCGTGTGTTCCGAAATGAGGCAGTTGACGCCACCCACTTGGCTGAGTTCCACCAGATCGAGGGTGTTATTGCGGACTTCGGTTTGACTCTCGGTGGTCTGATCGGTTTCATGGAGGTCTTCTTTGCCAAGATGGGTATTCACCAGCTGCGCTTCAAGCCCGCTTACAATCCTTACACTGAGCCCAGTATGGAGATCTTCGGCTACCACGCCGGTCTGGGTAAGTGGGTTGAGATTGGTAACAGTGGTATGTTCCGGCCCGAGATGCTGGAATCCATGGGTCTGCCCAAGAACCTGAGAGTCTACGGATGGGGATTGAGTCTGGAGAGACCTACTATGATCAAGTACGTTCTCGTCAGCCTTTACTGATTATATATTTGCTAATATCTGTCCAGGTACGCTGTCAGCAATATCCGTGAACTCCTCGGCCACAAGGTCGACCTCAACTTCATCGAGACGAACCCGGCTGTGCGTCTGGAGAAGGACTAAGCGGAGAGATGGTACACTCGATTATAGAAGAAAACAAAAGCTTTTTCTGGGTTGTGTCTTGCCTGTAACGTCCATGCCAGACTTTACTTGCAATCACGAGTTTATGTTGAAGGAACGTATTGCATATCAACGATGGATGAGTTGTGAATAAAATATTTGTTTAGAATACCTCTGGCAACGCCAATAGTGTAAAGTAATGTGATGTATTACATGTAGATGTGAAGAAGAAAGGCTTAAACCACCGAGGAAAACTAAAGTAATATTCAAGTAAGTTCTCTACGATAATGATGTCCTGCCCGTATCTGTGCCCCAGTGCATGGGTCTCTGCAACAGTGGCTCTTCAGCAGGCGGGAGCTCGAAGGCATGATCTTCGGCGACATGTAATTATTTTTGCCCCCTCGCTCATGGAAATGTCGACAGAAGACCAAGACCAGCGAACCAGTCTAGTTTTCAAATCTACAAAGAATGAGAAGGCTTAAAAGGCCGAGAAGGGAACAACAGTAATCAGACTTAAGGAAAAGAGACTGTATACAAGAAAAGGGATATCGTTTTGATTTTTTGGCTGCAAGATTGCAGGTGCTCGACGCAGAGCGCTATGCAGAGGCGGGATAGGAATTGGTAGAGAAAAAACACCTGAACCATCAAGTCGTCGATATTTTATTCATTCGATAAGATAGGTAGGAAAACAGGAGTTTCTCAGAGGAGATAAAAGAAAATAGGAGAAGGAAAACCCATATCCCTTGGTCCTTTTAGTTAGGTCATGGGACCAACTCCCCGAACACGGACCATCAAGCCACAGTTCCTCTGCAACAATTAGTCCAGCCCAGCAACATCGTATCCAAGACCAACAAAAACATACCATCAAATCAACCGTCAACACCACCCGGTGAAATAAACCACATCGCTGTGAATAATTTACCGCTGGCTGGAAGCAGCCCAGACGTTCTTGAGGTAGCCGTCGCGCTGAGCGAGACGGTTGAAGGAGTCGTCGCTCTCGCCGCGGGCACGGATGAAGCCGCACAGAGCGTAGGTCTGGTTCTCGCCGGTGTAGCGACCGTTCTCATCGACCTTGCCGACGGAAAGCTGGACGGAGGCGTGGTCGTTGGCCTTGATGATGCGGTTGGTGGCGCTGCACTTGCGGGGCACGTAGCTGTGTGGAATGTTAGTTTTGTGATTTTGAAGATGCGAAAGGTTCCCGTGTCCGTCCATCCATGTCCTGCTCCCTCGTCCTGTTTTTTTCTGGTGGCCTGTGGCTTGCAATAAGTGCATTTTCCGCTTTGCGCTTGCTCTTCGTGTCTCATTCGCACAGGGTAGTGTTCATGGCTGGGATCGAGGGTTTGCGGCCACGCAGACAGGTACAGGGTTTGGAATTGGAATTGGATGAACTGGAAGTGATGGCACGTACAGATCGACGATCTCTCCCTTGTCGTTCTCCATTTTGGCGGTTGTGGTGTTGGGGTTTTGACGGGCGACGGTGAGGTTGGAGGTGGAGGGTTTTTCTGCCGCACATTAAATTCAAGACTCATAATCGAGATTTGTGTGGGTCATGTGACCTTTTGTCGAGGGCTGGCGTGGCGCAAGTGGGGAGGGTGTGGCGTTAGCGGTCTGCTTACTTCTGCCGTGGCAACAGGATCGTCCATCCCATGACCAAATTTCCGTGTGTACTTTAAATCTTCATTCATGCTTCTCTTTAACACTAGATTAAATACACACTAAGGGCATATAGTTATTCTAAAGGTTACTCTTTTCCCTCTCTTCTTGCAAAACCTTATTTTTCCATCCAACAGCCACTTCCCTCGCACTCCCCTTCTTAAATCGCACAAGCACAACTCTCTCAGACTCGCCACGCCTATCTGACCCCTTCAACTCAGGTCCAGGTTCATTCAATCCCAAAACAGCCCGACCGTCACCAGTCATCTGAATCATCTTCGGAGAAATACATTTATGCACCCAAGGAGGAGATCCTGAATGAACAAACTCGACGAGGGCCCGTCGGCGCTTTTCCATCTCTTCCAAAGAGGCGCCCGCACGAGATTCCTTGTCCAAAAACTCTGAAACCAAGTGCAGCAGAAGAAACTGTGGCGGGAACAGGATGATTTCCGCCTGCTGTGCACGACTAATCCATTCCGATGCAGGAAGGAATTGAGCCTCTGTGACCTCAATACCACCATCACTAGTTGGGCTCTCCAGCTCGTCGTGTTCACCCTCAGCCGGGAGTTCAGCGAGCAGTTTCTTATCCGCGTTGGTGGGTAAAGGTAAGAAGTATAAATACATCTGGGTGGTATATCGCTTAGGAACATTAGTTGGCGTAACCCAACGAGTAAACGGTATCAATTGATCTTCGTAAGTTAGCAATGCATGCACAAACAACTTTCATAAAAGCTCACCTAGATCCGGGTCTGCGTCATTGTCTTGCTCCTTAAGCCACTCGTCAAATGTAGTCTTGTTCTGGTGGATCAGTCGGCGTCCTGCCTCTCGGGTAGGCTCATCAACAGCAATCAATTTGCCCGAGGTACGATTCTTGGCTAAAAGAATACCACTCTCTTCGAAGAGTTCTCTGATTGCTGCACGTCTGTAACTAGGAGAATCTTCATGTCTGGCTAGGTCTTCAGGGGGAGGACAAGGCCCATCTTGGGCGGATAGGTTGCCGCCTGGAAAGACGTGAGCGGATGCGAAAGAGCTGGATGTCTTTACGCGATGAAGCAGAAGGAGTTCGTTCTTTGAAGAAATAAGGAGTACACTGGATAAGTTAGCTCTGTGTCTCCAGTTGAATTTCCAAAGTAGCATCGCGTCCATCGGTAACTACCAAAGAGGCAGTTGCTTGCTGCTGACTTCTTACCTAGAACTAGGTCGAGGCACAGCGGGCTGCTTTTTCTGAGTATCGTTTTGCTTAGGCATTGTCTGAGAATGTGATAACGTGTCTGGTATGGTTGTATATGGTCTATATCCAAATCTGCAGCCCGGGTACTGAGAAAAGCGCGCCGAGGCAATGGGAGAAGTTCGAGATTTGCGAATGATGAAGCCAACAGCGGATTGATGGCCCAGTCCGTGTACTATGCGACAAATATATTCTTGGTAGATAATTGACATTGCAAGATACAGTGGTTTGATGTAGTTTATAGTAAAGAATCAAGACCCGAGAGCCTAGGCTGTTTCCCTGTTACCCCGCGTGCAGCTTAACCTCATCAAGCTTAGCCGAACGCAGCGCCATGTGCCTTGCAGAAAAACTACATGAATTCTCTACCCGTACGAAATGCAGCGTCTACGTTGGAATTATTCAAAAAAAAATTATAAACGTGATTGCTCATTAACAGAAATGGCGTAAATCTTCAAATCGTAAACTCCTATCCTTTACCCCTATTTTATTTTTCAAGGCCACATCATCGGGGGTTACCCCGATGAACTATTCACAAAAAGGCCAGTCAACAAGACGCTTGGATCTTACGCGTAAAGCTTCTTGTCATAGCTGTGCAGACCGTGGACGTTACCCTCGGTCATAGCGCTGGCACTTCTCATCTCGAAACGCACAGTGCCGTTGTTGACACCATCGTGCAGAGCGGCAAGACTCTTGACACCAATGTCCTGCAGAGAGTGCTGGACACCGGCAACGAGGTAGGGGATAAACTTGGTGACGGAGCCGCGGTCGAGGACGGAACCAGCGACACCCTGGGCAACAAGGACGTTGGACTTCTCGGAGAAGTAACGAGCAGTACCAGCGTTGCTGGCCTTGCTGTCCTTGGCACCGTTACCGGCCTTCTTATCCTCCATGGCGGCAATAGAGCCCATACCACGGTAGGCCTTGACGAGCTGGCCCTCGTTGCTGACGTAGTACTCACCGGGAGACTCGGTGGTACCGGCAAGGAGACCGCCCATCATGACGGTGCTGGCACCCATGGCCAGGCCCTTGACGATGTGGCCAAGGTTCTGGACACCACCATCGGCGATACAGGGAACACCGAAGCGGGCGGCAAAGGAGGAGACGCTGCGCACGGAAGCGGCTTGGGGACGACCGACAGCCATGACTTCCTGGGTGATACAGGCACTACCGCTGCCCATGCCAATTCTCAGGCCATCGACACCGGCGGCAATCAAAGCAGCAGCCTGCTCCCGGGTAACGACGTTACCACCGATAACATCGATCTGGGGGAGCTCCTTCTTAATGTACTTGATCATCTGGATCTGGTACATGGAGTTACCCTGGCTGGAATCCAGGATAACGATGTCCAAGCCAGCCTCAACGAGGAGCTTGAGACGGTGCTTGTCCTCCTCGCGAGTACCGATAGAAGCGGCGCAGATAAGCTGCTTAGAATCGGGGAGCTTGGAGGCCAAGGGGTAGTGGAGGTTCTTCATCAGATCGGAGCGGGAAAGCAGAGAAACGATGTTGCCGTTGGCGTCAACAATGGGGAGCTTGCCCTTCTTGGACTGGCGGAGAACCTCGTTGGCCTCGGCAAGGGTAGTACCGGCCGGGGCAGTGACAAGATCAGTGGCCATGATGGCAGTCACAGGGTCACTGAGCTCGCGGTGGAATTGGATATCACGTGAGGTGACCATACCAACGAGCTTGGAGCGGAGGGTTCCGTTCTCTGTTTTTCAACATTAGCATTCTGATTATCAAAAGCTGACGTGAAAATTGCAAAAGATAGTGAAATGCTCAGATAAGATCTGGTTCTCTACAATGCGACTTTCGTCGCTGCAGTGGAACGAAAGTTATTTTTAAAAGAGTTTGGTCATCATGCAAAGGGGGGACAGGTGCTGGTATAGAAGAGAGAGAAATTTTTTCATGACTTACCAGTGACAGGGAAGCCACCGAAGCCCCACTTGGCCTTGAGCTCCTTGGCCTCACCAACGGTGGCCTTGGGGGAGAGAACAACGGGGTCAAGGATGAAGCCGTTCTCGTATCTCTTAACCTTGCGGACCATCTCGGCCTGGGCCTCGGGAGAGCAGTTGTGGTGAATTACACCGAGACCACCGAGCAGGGCCATGTGGATAGCCATGTTGTGCTCAGTGACGGTGTCCATGGGAGAGGACAAAAGAGGGGTCTTCAAGGAGATACGCTTGGTAACGGGGGTATCAAGAGAGACATCAGAGGCGGGGAAACCTGAACAATTTAGTCATTGGAGCAAAAAGAGAATTTTGGATGGCGGGGTTCGGCTTACCGATGTAGCCGGGCAAGATCAAGAAATCATTGTAGGTCAAAGCACCGTGCTTGTCGGAATCAATGAGAGTATCAACGTCAAGACCATCGCGGGTCTTGTAGGTCTCGACAACCTCCAAGGCCTTGGTGTAGTCAGTGATCTCAGCCTTCATGGCGGCACCGGGAGCAGCGTCGCTGGCGGTGATAGGCATTGTGAAAATTAAAGAATATCTGAAAACAGACGGTGAGACACGACTTTAGGATAATAATTAATCAACAGAAAGGAAACGTTCTGCTGATGGAGAAAGTCGGGCTTTCCCAAAGAAAAGAAAGAAGAAGAAAAAGTCGGACGAAAAATTATTTCCTTTTCTTTTCCGTGCACGGCCAAGCCGATAAGGAGACTAGCCTAATTCGGTATAGTGTACCGTCTTATCTGCAAGGTCGCATCACTGATTGGCTGGTAAACGAGGTTCTTCAGGGCGGTGAACCGTCCTATATTTTATGCTTATAAATGATGATCAAGAGCCGGTCCCGGGGAGATCTATAGATCTCTGGAACTTGCCAGGCTGGTTGCTGACTTTGATTTTGATAAAATGTAATACATTCATTGGGTTTATTGTGTAGTAATTAGCAGAAATTATATGTTCTAAGCATCACAAATCATTTGGGGGCCTCGGTCACAGCAATGAAGAGACTAATGTATAGGTTGTCACAGCTCAAGTCAAACATTGAAGTCTTTGAATATAAATAGCCTTGTGTTGTCCAAGATTTTTTGACATATGAAAACATGGTCTTCTGTCCCCGGCCTCAAATCCCGTGTGCCTTCGCCATACTATGACATGACAATAGTGTGATAGCACCAGAGCAAAGAAGGGTTGACATGTTTCATAGTTAAATGCTTGGGCTAGAAGCATAGCTTCATTCTACCATCTGCAACCATATTTTATCCCTATTTTTCTATCGTAGCCCACGATACTGCGATATGGGATCATCAATGGGCGAGCACAGTGCCTTCAAGTCTGCACCGGCCGCACAGGCTCAGAATAAACCGGGGTGAGAGCATATTCATCTAAACAAGATATTTCCAATACAGCATTTCCTTTAGATTGGAGTGTGTAATGACGGAGCTCAGCAGATCAACAAAGCTAGAAGGCTTTGAGGGTTTCACTGAATATATCGGTTCGGGGAAATTGAAGGGCAGGGAGGCTCTTTTTACTGGTGGAGAGTATGTGTCGGTATGAAGCAAGCTGACGATTACTTACAACCCTGGACAGTTCCGGTACGGTATCGGGCGATCGATCGCTATTTTGATGGCCAGAGAGGGTGCTGATATCAGCATCGTTTACTTGCCATTGGAGCAATCAGACGCAGAAGCGATTATCAACACTGCAGTATCACTAACCCCCTACAGAATCGTCAACAATTCTTCTATTCTGGCCTTGCGTGGCTCGGTGAATATAATTGATTATTCTGCGACCAAGGGAGCCATCATAAGTTTTACCCGATCTTTAGCAGCATACTTGATTCCGAAGGTGCCCGGTTGAATGCAGTCGTGTAAGTAATCCACCTTCTCTCTCCCTCCAACGTTGCATTATTGACCTGTTTCAACCTCAGTCCTGGGGCAATCTATACTCCGATTCAGATCGACACCCCGAGCGCCCAACAGATGGAAGAATGGGGCTACAAGTTCGGTTTTGGGCGACCAGGTGAGCCAAGTGAGGTTGCAACAAGCTTCGTCTTCTTGGCTAGTGCTGATCCTTCTTTGTACTGTGAGTGGTCAATACTAAACGCCCCAATTTCTTTTGCCTTGTGTCTATTTTTTCTTATATGACCCTTGTATAAATCGATGGCCAGTTGTTGCATTGCTATCCACTTGGCGACTAAAAGAACCGTACATTTTTCCAATCTTTCCGTTAAAAAGCGTCATGACGGATTCATTCATGTAATCGGAATGCCACCAGAACTTTGCAGCGTAAAATAGAGCGTGTGCTTGACATTGGTATCAAATTGGAATGCAACCGAGTAACATAAATTTGCTAGGCCAGAAGCCATGGCTTCGCTCCAGTGAGGGCCTTATCCCATCCCTCATCGTTTTGCCAGATAGCGACGCTCTCAACCTCCTCTCTGCCCAGTTTGAGACCATTGTAGAGGTGCTTGGTTGTTTTTCAGCAAATGTCAATGGTTAGCCGCGGAGTTTCAACTCACAGGGAAAAGTCCCTCCCCGGGTCGAGGACCGGTCACTCTTCCATCGGGAGACTCCCACTTAATATCTTGGATGACGCGATGGTATTCAATTCGCAGCACATAGACTAAGGGCTCCTCCGTGAAAAAGGTTTTTAGTGTGTTTGCTACCTGGTGCGCTGTCGAGAGATGGATGAAGCCAGAGCCCTTGTCCAAATCACTCACTGCAAGCCGCTCGGGAATTGGCTCGCGGACTGGTGCGGTCGAGGGCACAATCTTGTAAATGTAGCGGGGCTGTGAAGAAAGCGATGCCATGTTGTAAGTGTGTGGAAAGTTGAAGAGAAATCACCGATTCAACACCTCGTTTGATAGGAAAAGAAGGTTTTGTCAGGTGATGGTTTCATTTGTTGGCGGGGTTCGGTTCAACCGGCAATCTGCCTTGGACCTTTTGCGCTTGCAGCATAGGATGATTGCGCAATTCGACTTGATGTTGTCATTGGAAATTAGTGAACAGGGCTGGGGATTTTTTTTATTGGGAGATTCTGGGCAAAATTCATGTTGGAGGGAATTATGGAAGTACCTGCGTAGGTACATACGTATGCGGAAATATATCTTGAGTTTAGAACTACAAAATATGTTGGTCCAATACAAGAACCAACAAAATCTTTAAGACGACGATTCCAACGTTGTCTTAAAATGACTTGCAACCTTGGAAGCTGCCAATGACATCTGATGTCTGAATATGAATGCCTCAATTATGTCTCGCAATGTAAATCGGTCGCAACTACAGAGTGGTACCATATTTCGATACTACACTCCAGTAACGTAACAGCAAATACTATATATCAATCTCGGCAATAGGTGCATTCAAGCATAGCGGGAACCTTGGAAGACAACCCCTTAGCCATTCAATAGATAAGTATATTCTGTAATATATGCAGACTAAACATGATATCAATTGGCGGTGGAATGGTTCAAGCAGGGATGTGATGGTCGCACGGGACTACGATAGCACTACGAAGCGTAAATCTTGCCTAATCGTACACCAGCCACCTTTGCCAAGACTGCAAGCATCCAGCCCAATCTGGGCCAAACATTGAATCAGAATGTACAGTTGAAACAGTATATGGTAATTAATCGGGAACAGACCTTTTCGGGTTGCTAAAAAAAAAAGAAAACATTACCTAAAAGCGTTTGAAGCATGATAATGTCGCGGTAGAGAGGAATAAACCGAAGATACACGTGACCAGAGATCAACAAGCCACAATCACCTGATAGAGCTATACCCGATTTGGAGATTTGTTGTGCCCCCCTGTGCCTCTTCGGGTTGGGGAATCTTCTCACTTGGACCCCACCGTCAACAATTCCATCCGATTTCACGAATACTGCATTGCAGAATTTGAGACGAATTTCTTTTGATTTTTCACCCCCAAATCGTACGGTAATGAGAGATTGCTCTTAATCTTGCACGTATCTTCAAAGGGTTTGATCAACCTTGTTTGACTCGCGCATTCCGCTTCTTCTACCGGAGCAGGGATGCGGTCGAAGGAGCGCGTCACTTGTCAATTCATTATCGCATACCCGTCTCAAAATTAAGTGATGTCAACTCATTTCCCATCGCTCAAACGGGCACAGACGGATTTTCCTGCGCAGTCCACCAGCCCATTACGACAAGACTCTACAGCGTCCACCAACTCTTCCGCATATTCCGTCGCATCAAGCTCGTTTGCTCCCAGTCGAACCAGTACGGTGTCTTCTAATGGGTCAATACACAACAATCTGGGTCACTTCCGAGGGAAGAGTGAAGCAAGCAGTATAAACTCAGCAACGACCGTCAAGGACACAATGGAGCGGGGGAATAAACCAAATGCTGGGACGACATACGACAGCATTCGCCGATCGCTGCGCCCGTTACAGCAAGTACCCAACGGTACATCCCCTGCATCGAATGTTGGGGGATACCGACATTCGCGAAGCTACACGATCGATGACTCCCAGCCGTGGAAGGATTATCGACCCAGTACCCCCGAATCGCGTCTTCAAGAAAATCAGTCCCCGCGCCGCAGACTATCGACTTATGAGCCTCAGAGCCCTCCATCCATCTCCCCTCATCACTGGTCCCCCGTTCCCGGAACATCGCGTCCATCGTCCCCACAAAAGACCACGCCCCACAGCCCTCATCCACCACAGCTGACTACTGCGCTAACAGCGCCAGAACTTGAAACGTTTCAAAAATCTTCAACTGGTCACCTGAGAACACTCTCGAAGTTTGCACAGTCGGGAGAGACCGATGAGTTCAAATTTGGTGCACCGTCAGGTTCTGTGATTGGTCTACAAGGCCGGCGACGTTTGAAGCGTGCAGATTCAGTAGCTGGAAGAAAGGGCGCGGTATCGCCTGAAAAGCCAAAGGTGTCCTCATGGGCGGCTGGAAATTGGATGGACCAACAGCGACAATTCATCCAAGCATACGAGTATCTGTGCCATATCGGAGAAGCCAAACAATGGATCGAAGATGTCATTCAAAAGCAAATCCCGCCAATTGTTCAACTGGAGGAAGGGCTACGAGACGGTGTCACTCTGGCGGAGGTGGTGCAAGCGATGTATTCAGGGAAAACCCTTCGCATTTTCCGAAACCCCAAGTTACAATATCGTCACTCAGACAATATCGCTTTGTTCTTCAGATTCCTTGACGAGGTTGAGCTGCCAGAACTTTTCCGATTCGAACTCATCGACTTGTACGAAAAGAAAAACCTTCCAAAGGTGATACACTGTATTCACGCACTATCATGGTTGCTCTTCAAGAACGGCATGTTGGATTTCCGTATGGGTAACTTGGTCGGTCAACTTGAGTTCGAACACCATGAACTTGAGAAAACCCAAAAAGGATTGGATAAATCTGGTGTCAGCATGCCTAGCTTCGCAGGTATGGCCGCGAACTTTGGTGCGGAGCCTGAGCCCGAACCTGAACCTGTCGAGTCCGAAGAAGATCGGGTCGATCGGGAGCTGCACGAAAGCGAGAGCGGCATCTGTGAGTTCCAATCCCAGATCAGAGGAGCTATGCTACGTTTGCAGCTCGGAAACACGATGAATGATCTCTGGAACTTTGAGCCTCTCCTGGTTGAGTTGCAGTCACGCCTGCGCGGAGATTGGGCACGTCAGATCAGTCAATACCGCTTGACCATGCTCCAATTTTCTGTCGGGCTACAGGCAATCAGCAGAGGATTCCTTGTACGCCGCCGACAACAAGGTGACAAGCAGTCGAGAAAGGCTCAAGAAAATGACATTCTGCAATTCCAGAGCCTTATTCGGGGCTCCAAGGCACGCGCCCAAACCAATCGTCTGCAATCTCACGCGCGAAGAGAAGAATCTGGCATTAAGCAGATCCAAGCGGCTATAAGGGGTGCAATGCAACGTATGAATGTTGCCGACCAATATGAGCAGTACCAGGAATCAGGAAACGAAGTGACTTCACTCCAAGCTGTGATTCGCGGTGCCTTGCAGCGCAAACAAATGGAAGTCCAGACTCACGAAATCAGCGAAGCTGGAACTTCTATTCGGTCACTCCAAGCAGCCATTCGCGGTTCCCTACAACGAACTCGAATGGGCGCTCAATCTCAAGAAGTTGATCAAGCTAGTACCGCCGTCAAGTCAATCCAAGCAGCTATTCGCGGTTCTCTACAAAGAAGCCGGATGAATTCTCAGGCAAATGAAGTCAAGCAAATCGAAACTCCCGTCAAGTCACTTCAATCGGTCATTCGAGGATCAATCGCCCGCCAGAACTGGTCAGAGATGAAGGTTTTGCTCAGCAAGCAAGCCTCTCAAATTACCACGATTCAATCAAACATCCGGGCTCTGATTGCTAGAGATCGCCAGACCCAGCTGTTGCACGCGCTGGAAGAAACCGAGGATGAGTGCACCGTACTGCAAGCCATTGTGCGAGCTGCCGCTGTGAGGAAGAGCACATCAGCCATCTATGCCGAGCTTGCAGAACATGTGTCACCAGTGGTCGATCTCCAAGGAATTCTGCGTGGACAGGCTATGAGAAAATCATTGGATGTGCAGAGAACCGCGCTATTCAACGAAGAGTCTTCTATCTTGGATTTGCAATCCCGATCCCGTGGTCTCTTGCACAGAAGTCATCTACTGGCAGAGCGAGCAGAATTAGAGCAGGAACAGCATGCAATCGTTGACCTCCAGGCTCTTGCTCGTGCTGCTGTTTCTCGAATGAAGGTGGGGGATATACTGTCAGCACTCGAGGACCACGAGGAGGAGGCTATTCAGCTTCAATCTTTCGCTCGGGCAATGATTGCACGACTTGAAGTTGGCGACATGTTGACCGACCTTGAGGCGGAGGAGGATGTCATCACCGACTTTCAGGCATGCATTAGAGGAGTCATAGTCCGCAATCGCTTTGAAGAAAGACGCCAACATTATAATGAAAATATGGAGAAGGTCATCAAGGCTCAGAGTGTCATCCGAGGCCGCATTCAAGGCCAAGCCTACAAGAGCCTAACAAGTGGAAAGAACCCACCTGTTGGAACAGTGAAGGGATTCGTCCATCTTCTCAACGACAGTGACTTTGATTTCGACGAAGAGATCGAGTTCGAGCGTCTGCGCAAGGTGGTTGTTCAGCAAGTGCGACAGAATGAGCTTGCTGAGCAATACATCAGTCAGCTTGACATCAAAATCGCTCTCCTCGTCAAGAACAAGATTACACTGGACGAAGTTGTCAAGCATCAAAAGCATTTCGGTGGCCACATTGGCAACCTGTTGTCCAACACCGAGATCTCCTCCAAGGATCCTTATGATCTTAAGGCCCTGAACAAGACCTCAAGGAGAAAGCTGGACCAATATCAGGTATTCTTCTTCCTCCTTCAAACCCAATCACAGTACCTGGCTCGCTTGTTCCGCCGATTGCGCGAGGTCAATACCTCAGACAAAGAATACGAGAGGATCAGGCACTTGATGATGGGACTCTTCGGATACTCCCAGAAACGCCGCGAGGAGTATTACCTCATCAAGCTCCTGGCACGGTCTGTCAAGGAGGACATTGAAAGCTTCACATCCCTTCCTGAGTATTTGCGCTGCACTTCCTTCTGGAACAAGCTCTTCGCCTCATATGCCAAGTCACCACGCGACCGAAAGTTCATGCGCGATGTGTTGGGAACTGTTGTGAAGGAGTCCGTGATTGAAAACCCAGATCTTGACTTGGAGAGTGATCCGATTCAAATCTACCGTTCTGCGATCAACAACGAGGAGCTCCAAACCGGCCAACGGAGCCGTCGGCAACCCGATCTTCCTAGAGAAGAAGCAATCAGAGACCCTGAAACCAGAGACACATTCATTCAACACTTGCAAGATCTTCGTGACATTGTTGACCAATTCTTTTTGGGACTGGAGGACTTTTTGTACCGGATGCCATTTGGTATCAGGTATCTCGCACAGCAGATGTATCAAAATCTCCTCCAAAAGTTCTCCGGCGAAGATCAAGGTTTCATTCTCCAGACTGTTGGCCACTGGGTATGGAAAAATTACTTCCAGCCTGCTGTCCTCGAGCCAGAGAAATATGGCGTTGTCGACCGGGGCTTGACCCAAGAACAAAAACGCAACCTCGGAGAAATCGCGAAGGTTCTCGCCCAAATAGCCTCTGGAAGGCTGTTTGGTGCCGAGAATGTCTATCTCCAACCGCTCAACACCTACATTGCAGAGTCAATCCAGCGGTTAGGGCGTATCTGGGGTCAGAGTAAGTTTTTTTTTTCATCTGCCTAGGTTGATGACACTAACATCATACAGTGATTTCAGTTCAAGATGCAGAGACCTACTTTGATATTGATGAATTCAATGATCTTTATGCCAAGGCCAAACCCACACTTTACATTAAGATGTCGGACATCTTCTCCATTCATCAACTTGTTGCTTCGGAGATCAACTACATGTGTCCCCACCCGGATGACTTTTTGAAAGAGCTTGTTCGAGAGCTGGGCAATGTCAAGACCAACGAGAACGAATTGATGGGTGTCAGCTCAACCGAGATCAATCTTACGCTGAACCCCAAACTGGCCCAGATGGAAGGTAAGAATTGCAACGGAGCCTTACCTCACAACTTACTAACCATATCTCTCAGACCCCGAAGCAGAAGTGAAAACACTGTTCATGGAGACCAAGCGCTGCATACTTTACATTATTCGTGTTCAGACCGGTGCCAATTTGATGGAAGTCATGCTTAAGCCACCAACGACCGAAGACGAGGAGCGTTGGCATGATTTGGTCCGTGAAGAATTGAATACCGGCAACACACGCCGAGGTGCCTATTCCGAAGCCAACAGCTTGATTGACATTAGTGCCATGGGCTATGCAGAGCTGAAGGGCATTGCACTTGAAAATATCCTTCGACTCGAGCAAAGCGGTAGAATCAATCGTCACAACCACTACCAAGACCTGTTGAACGCCATTGCCATTGATATCCGCACCAAGCACCGTCGGAGAATCCAACGCGAACGGGAACTGGAAGGTGCTCGATTGACCTCCCAGCGTCTCAGCGATCAGGCTGTTTACCTTGATCAACAGCTCAAGACGTACAATGACTACATTGAGCAGGCTATGATCACGTTGCAAAACAAGAAGGGAAAGAAGCGATTCCTGATGCCTTTCACCAAGCAATGGGATCACCAGCGTGAGCTTCACAAATCGGGGAAGATATTCAAATTTGGATCCTTTAAATACTCCGCACGCACGATGGCCGATCGAGGCGTTCTTGTTGCCTGGAAGGGCTACGCCGAGCGGCAATGGGATCGGGTCGACTTGACCATCTCCAGTAATGAAGTCGGTGTCTTCACCATCGACGGAAGTACCGGAAACATGATGATTCCCGGCGCTAATGCACAGGTACCGCTGGACGACTTGCTGCAGGCTCAGTTCAACAACACACAATTCATGGACTTCTTTGACGGACAGATGCGGGTCAACGTGAATCTCTTTTTACACTTGATCATGAAGAAGTTCTATAATGAGTGAGTGTCATGTGTTTTTCATGGCTTTATGGACTTGATGAGGGATGAACTGGGTACACATTCTTATTGATATTATTATTTCCTGCCTCTTGTTTTCTTTTTATTATTTTGTTTTGAGATACCTTGGGTATTTTGTTGATTTTGATAGCGATAGCGTTCGGTCTATATGGGCGAATGGCATGTACACAGTATGATTCCAATTATGAAGAGTCAAGTTTAAAACAACTCAGTATTTAATACGCTTCTTGTAGACTTCTTCTAGGTCTCTTCTAAACAATATCAATCCCCTAAATCTTCATTAATTATAAGAAGTATACAAAGCCCCGTCAGGGGCTTGCCACGTGACGTGGCGCATTGGATCGGGTTGCCAGCTGGAAACCGGGCATCCCCTCCAAGCATTGTCTGGCAATTCAAGTCCTGAGGGATTTCTCATTGTTCTTCCTGTGCTTGGCTGGCAATTGCCTTTTCTATTCTTATTCAAATCCCTTCTTTCTACGTGTCACGATTGACCACCTTCACCATGGATTTCTCCAACCTCAAAGACCAGGTCAGCAACCTGTCCTTGTATGACCTCAAGGCGGGTGTTCGCAAAGTGCAAAATGGTAAGTGACACCCTCTTGGTACAAGACCATTCTGGCCAAGGGCCTTGCCTTGTGGATGTCTTATAGTTTGTGGGAGTTGATCTGACCGCTCCGTCATAGCCGTTATGAACTATACCGAGATGGAATCCAAGGTTCGTATGCAACCGCTCGCCACACGAAATGACCCACTGTCCTTAAGCTGCGACGCGCGTTTCCAAGCATAATCTGCGACGCAATGCTGACTGAAGTCAGGTTCGGGAAGCTACAAACAATGAACCTTGGGGTGCGTCGACTACGTTGATGCAGGACATTGCCAATGGAACACATAGCTAGTGAGTCTGGGCTGTTCAAACCGTCTGTATCAATGCGCATGCACTGACTCGCTACTGTAGCCAATTGCTCAATGAGATCATGCCCCTGATTTACAAACGATTCACCGACAAGAGCGCGGAGGAATGGCGACAGATCTACAAGGTACGGAAAGTAATGGTGATCGGGTTGGTGTGATGTATGGAGCTGACGACTATTTTCTCCCATAGAGTCTTCAGCTACTCGAATTCCTTGTTAAGAATGGTTCCGAACGAATTGTTGACGATGCACGATCCCATCTATCGCTCATTCGGATGCTCCGGCAATTCCACTATATCGATGCGAACGGCAAGGACCAGGGTATCAACGTGCGCAATCGGTCTTCTGAATTGGTGAAATTGTTGGGCGATGTGGATCAGATTCGCAATGAACGGAAGAAGGCCAAGAACAACCGCAACAAGTTCAGCGGGTTTGAAGGTGGCATGGGTTCTAGCGGCAGCGGTGGAATGTCCAGCTCTGGCCGGTATGGAGGCTTTGGCAGCGACAGTGCGGGGTATGGTGGATATAGTGGAGGTGTCTTCGGGGATGGCGGCGGCTTCGGTGGTGAATCCCAGAGCGACTTCCAGGACACCGGACGACGGTCCAATCGATTCGATGAATATGACGAGTATGATGGAGCGGATGCCCCCACGCGCTCGCGCGAAAAGCCCGCAGCAAAGAAGCCAGAGCCGGCTCCTGCGCCTGTAGCGGACCTATTCGATTTCGGCGACGACGAGCCTGTCGCTACGACAACCTCCACTGCTGCGGGCAAGCAGCCCGCCGGCAGTGCTCTCAACATGCTCGACCCAACCCCAGCTGATGATGATGATTTCGACGACTTCCAGTCCGCAACACCGGCTGTCCAACCTACTCAATCCGCGCCAAACTTCGGCATCCCGCCGCCAGCATCTACTGCCAGTACAACTGCTAGCACACAATTCGTTGCACCTCAGCCAATCTCAGCCTCGCAGGGCGCCAACATCAACGGCCTGGTTGGATTCACGTCAGCACCTCCCACCCCATCGTCCAGCGGGCTTACCTCTCCCACCTCGCAAGCTCCAATGCAACCCAAGCCTTCAGGCTACCAAGCTGCCACGCCCAACTACTTCACCTCAATCAACACCAACATCTCCCAACAGTCCGGGTCTTCCCACGCTGCATCCCCATCCCTGTCCTCCGTGACATCCCCCACAGCAAAGCCCGCCGCACCAGCAGCAACCAAGAAGACCTCCGGCGACGCCTTCGGCTCACTGTGGTCAACCGCCAGTGCCAGCGCCGGCATCCAGAAAACAAACACAGGCTCCAACAAGGGCCCCAACCTCGCCAGCATGGCCAAGGAAAAGGCCAGCGCCGGTATCTGGGGCGCCCCTACCGGCACTAACGTATCAAGCCAGAGCCAGCCACCGCAAAAGCAGTCCAGCTCGGCTTTTGATGATCTACTTGGTTGATTTGAACAATCTTCGCGAATACCTGCTCGATTCTCAATTTGACCTGGGCCAATTAGCATCAGAATTCCAGATTTCGTGGCTCTATTTCCACGCTGTTTTTGTATACTCCATTCCCATTTCTTTTCCTTTTAGGGTCTGCATTGTGAAGCAGATCAAAATTTGCTTTCTTCTCTTTGCGTTTGAGGTAGAATTTTGCTTACCCTAGCTTCTGGCATTCGCTGATAATCACACATATCTGGTGCTTTACAGGAATGAAAAGGAAATATACATTCATAGCTCATTAGATTGTTAAATCCAAAGTACTCACCTATGGGCAATGGCCATTAGGGTCAATTCCAGACTTCCATAATATTGCTTTCACTTTAGATTGTACGGGTCTTATTCCAAAACCATTAATCAAGTAGCCCTAACATGACTACACAGCCTTACTAGACTAACAATTTTAGGCAATAGAATGAATTCAAGTAGGCATTACGCTGATGCACATTGATGCTGGTATAACGCCTGCGCTGAAGGAAGCTAGATACAGGAGTAAGGCGAGGGGGGTAATAGAAGATAGAAGAGCGAAGACAAAAAGGCGACAACGGAAGGGCGATATCTCGCACTCCCTGTATGTATTAGAGACATGGATTGTAATTGCATCGTGAAGGATATACGTTAATTGGGAATGACGGCGCAAGAAAGGGAGTAGATGGAATGCAGATGAGATGTGGGATGACGGCGAAGCCATCATGGGAGCCGTGCGCTCCGGGGGAGGAGGATTTGATTGTGGTGCCGGTGACACAGCGCGCACCGAATCACCCCCGGCTGTGTTGAGGGTCTCCTCGTGGATGATAGGGGAGCGGCGCCAAGGATCGTTAACCGGCTCTGGTTTCACTTGAAACGATGAGTAAGCCGTGCACGGAGCGCCAAAGGTTTGCATGGATGGAGGCCATTCATGGCTGGTGTAGTTCAGGTTTTTGTTAGCGTGCTGGCACGCTTCGCGGGCGAGACTTTGGTATCTGATGGAGCAGATGCGGCTGTGTTGCCGTTTGTGTCTTTGGTAGAAGCGTCGGTTCCGTCCAAAGAAGGTCGTTCTGTTTGGGTCGGCGTGGATAGTTGGTCGGACTCGTTGGAGTCTAGGCTGGCATCTGCGATGCCGGTGATGTCTGGGTTTGGTTCGCCGTTCAGAGAAGTCAGACCTCCTTCAATGTCTCGCAGGAGGCGGACAAACTCCTCTGGGACGAGACCGTTCTCGCCTGTTTTGGGATCTTCAGCAACAAGCCAGCCCTGACCATGTCGGTATGAGACATAAATGACCTGGCCCTCCGTCAGAGGCAGTTCATTTTCGTGTTCTCGTGTGAAGTCAAAGAGAGCAACGGCCTTCCCGTGCATCTCTTCATCCGGACAGCCAACAGCAAATTGATAATCCCTCGAGTACCGGTTCACACCGGAGATTTCATCCTCGGACTCGAAGCCGTGATCATTTTCAAAGCCCTGCTGGCCACCGGGGCCACTGTATCCCATGATAGAATACCGCCCTTCATTCGCGGGATATGTGACGTATTCCCCGCCGGGCCCATCGTCATTTGTGTCTCCGTCATTTACGTAGTAAGTTTCACTGCCATCGGCATTGATGCCGACTAGCATTCCACGATCATTATTCCCAGTTCCAGACATGACTCTCTCATCTACGAGACCATTCACATCGGATGATTTCTTGTGATGCCGTGAAGTGACTACCGGGCTATGCAAGTCTTCGTCCTCACTGTACGGGGGCCCATCCCCGAAAGACATAGCGGGCAATTGTTGGACATGGCCATGATTAACTTCTGGGGCTGATTGACCCGATGCCCATGAGCCGCGCATATCCCACGAGGGCGGTGGATCGGAAAGGCGTCTATGTTCGCTTGCGGGGGTGGAGACGCTGGAGGCACGAGGGGGAGGAGGGCCATAGTGGAGGGGATGGGTGGAAGGGTAGGCGAAGTCTCGAACCAGGGCGTATGGTAGACTGGTATGGAAGATGGGGAAGACGTGGGAGCCTGGGCGCGAGCGATTTTGCGATGTGATCGAGAGGTTGGAGTAGGTGGAGAGACGATCTTTCGGATTTGACTTGACCGTTCCATCGGTGAGAATGGGTGGTAGGACAGAAAGATTGTTTGTGGGAAGATTGTTCGTCAAGGACATCATGATTGACAAGGAGGAGAACCCAAAATTGGGTTCAGAAGAAGGAAGAACGGGTCGGGTCTCAGCAAGGGCAATGTGGGGTTGTTCATCGGTCGCGTGGTTGGCGCTCTTAGATTCGCATTGCGATTGATAGCCCGTCAATCGAAATGGCGCGTAAAATATCTAGAGTCTCTCGAGTTCTTTTGATGGCCGATCACACAGTATATCCTTGATGCGGAGATCGAGATCGTACAGATATTGAGTTCAGGCGCAATGCAGCAAGTGCCAAGAGTAGTCCAAAGTGAGTTTGGTTTCCTTATTTCCTTAGATTCAAGGTTTCAAGGCCAGTGACAGGTATGTCAAATGTATCGAAGGAGAAATTTGGCCAAGGGGCGGTAGATGCCAGGGCTGTGAATGGGTAATCAGACACGAGGGGAGGGGGTCAAATGTGGCCCGAGTCAGAATCGCCGAACCGTAACTGAGATTCAAATTCGACCCTTGAAGAGAATATCCAACAGGAGCAAAACTGAAACTGCAAGTTCCGCGCGGTAGAGAATGACTCGAGATTGGCGAAATCGGAGCCGTTTGGTCCAGACGTTGGTCCCGCGATCTCGAAGGGAATTGCTAAATATAGCAGAAACTGCAGGAAGTGGCTAATGTCAGATACAAAACAGAACGGCGCTTAGAAGATTTCAGGATTCACAGGAGACAAGGAATCTCATTACAAACAGCCTGAGTAAAGGATTTTTGTTTCTAAAGGAGAAATAAGGCTCGAGAGATGAACTTCGGAGATTGCCATACCTGTCTAGTCTGATCTAGAGTAATGATCAGCGCGTAATTGATTGTGGATCGGGCTGTGTAAATGATCTAGGAAGATTTGCCGAGATCAATTCATCAAGCAAAGTGATGTCTAAAGTTTCCCAAGTTGAATATGACAAGCCGATGCTTCAAGAAGTGTGAATTGAATTGAAGCTTGAACCCTCGATAGTGATAAGTCACGTGTGTTTCAGATCCGGTTTCGTCGTCTATTCCCGATTGGGTTTCTTTCTCTGCTTGCTCTCTTCTACTTTTCGTTTGGACTATATTTTATATGTATTCGTATGTCACTACATTACTATTTTGTGATATATGAATGTTGAATATCTTATGACAATGCTGTTTGATTGTTTTTCGGTTTTATCTCAGATGCTTCAAAAAAGTATCATCTCAAGTGGGTTGACTCATATAAACAAGGCTCGTACTTGTTTCCCAGTCTGTCACAGTGACAGTTTGAACTCTGCCAGCTGTGGCACTCAATGAACTAGATGATGGTGATGCAGAACGGGTAAAGGTGGTTCCAGCCTGAGACTGAGAAGTGACCGGGGTACCCAATGTGTCAAACTGCGACGGAATTGCCGCTTTGTTGAGATCCTGATCGACTTCATAGTCATCATTGGTTGCCGCCTGTTTGTTGACCGTGGCCACCACATCCACATCCATACAAGTCGTATAAGTCTCGGCCTTTCCGTTGGGGTAGGTAGGATCAACACCTGCAGCGGTAGGCCAATCCCATACCCAGTAGAGAGTGTATGGCTTCCCACTGGGGGCATTGGAGGGCAATTGAATATCTTGCTGGCACCAAAGATCTGCCCCCATCAACTGGCTGGCTGTATGGGTGTACTTTGCTTGTCGAGTCTCGGAAATCTTTCCGGAGTTGACCTGGTAGCAACGCCCGTCGTCGAAATTTTGCTTAGACAGAAGCACACCTCGTCCATCGCCTCCAGTACCATCTGCGTTCCATGTACCGTGCACATCAAGGAAATTCTCTCCAGTCTTGGGCTGAGTAGTGCCGTACACATAGACAAATCCTCGGTTCGCAGGTTTTCCGGGCTGATTCTGAGGAAGAGTCACATGGCCATTCTCCTGGAAGCGGAGGGCAATAGCAGCTCCAGCGTTGGCTTGAAGTCGAGGACTTCCATCGGATTGTTTTGCTTCTTGCTGGGTGTCCTTGCACATTTTGTCAGTTGGCAAAATTTGAGTCACGTTGGCCCTTGAGCTAGGTGGAATCAAGTATGTCATGGTGGTGTCGCTGTAACCCGCGGTCGAGCGAAGATAGTTACCACGGGGGTAGCCTGGAGTGCCGATGAATGTTCCATTTGGCGCAATGACTGTGAGCTCTTCGATCCATGAGTGAGCAACTGTTGGGGCGTATAGAGCAAAAAAGACCGCTAGTATGATGACCAGCATCATGATGGATGGATACTTGTAGAGGATAGAGAGATAGAGAATGAAAGGGAGATCTGTTTCTCGAAGACTTTGTCCAGCAAAGTGGGTTCGAGTATATCTTGCTTTGTTGAATATAGAAAGGTGCAATCAGGCGAGAGATCAGCTAAGTGGAAATCGCCGTTTTTATTGAGTGCAGGGGTTATTAGCAGCGCCTGATCGAGGACCCAACGATGGGCTTTGTGTGTTTCAGGGTGATTTGGATCTCATTGACAACAATGGCCTACGGCAATTTCAGGGTATCAATAGACAAAGAGTGTGAATGGATTCATTCATCCTAGGCCACCAGTGAACAAAGAAAACAATTCAAGTCTGAATGCCCAAGGGAATCCGTTACACATAAAAGAGTCCATTGTTTGAAGTCGAGTCTTCGTACCTAATTGGAGACGCCCCAGGTTGTCATACTCCCAAGCATCTTTGTAAATGGACCGAAACTTAAGCCTAATTTTGCTGGCGGCTGAAGAAAGCATGACTAGGGGGAACAATGATTGGGTGAGAAGACACGAATCTCAGGATATATCTGCACCCAAAATTTAGAGACACCTCTTGAGACATGCTAGGCTCCGTCTGCTGGCGCGTAGCCGTTGTTTGGCTGCAGCCTCACATCTCTCGGGGAAATTTTAAATTTAAGTTACAGTATGTTGCGAGTCTGCATGATAATAGGTCCAGCGAGCACTGTCATTGGCTGGTTGTGGGATTCTTTGGCGCTTCGCCCTTCGGTATTTCACACCAAAAATAAAACGTCCTTCAAATCTTAGTAGATAGGACCCTGAACTATATAAACAATATATTTTAATAAGCACTGGGATCGAAACCATCTGTATGTCATTTTAATCACATCTTCATGTCAATGTCAGCCTTTCAATTCTCATACTTCTGTGGCCCCTGCACCGTTTAGGGCTCTCCACCTGTGCTCCGAGCCTCGGATTTAGTGTCAGAAGATTCTTATATATCTCTACGTTCCGGTCAAGCGTATGGATAACGAGGTGATTTGGTTCTTTCGGGCTGCATTATGTATTATAGCTCTTTCTGCTCAAGGCAAGGGGAAGAAGAAAAAATACTTATTATGCGGTGTACACACCGCTAGCACTCACTTGCAGCACACTACATGCCTCGCATCTTCCACCTTTTCATATTATTGACTCCATTCTAGTTACTTTACGGAGTAAATACCGCACTCGGGATTCTCCGAGACGAAAACGATCTTATCTCATCTCTTCTGATTTTTATTTCGCTTGGCAAGCTCGGTTACCGAGTTTATTATGGATATATGGAGTCTACACCGGAGCAACCGGAGGAGATGATTTGACTCGAGTTATCAGATTTTTATCAGATTCCTCCGAGACTCCACCCAGTGGATTCTATTATGTTTTTGGCATTTTCAGGCATGAGACAAATTTAGTGGACTCTGTTTTTTTCAGATATGAAATAGCGGATTGGACAGGTAAGCAGCTCTGTCACTTGCCTTTTCAGACCAGAGCTGACGTGGACGGAACAAACCGCTCTTTGCTTTTTTGTACGCTAAGTAACCCTGGAAGAAGAGAGTGGAGACTGCTGATCGGTGTCTCCCACATTGATCTGGTGTGTAGAACTATCTTATCCTTTCTAGGTACGTGGCAAGAGATAAAAGTTACCAACGTAGGGAGTAGGAATCATGCTTTTATCTACGACATTGTACAACCCACGTCTGCGATCAACTCCAACAAAGGCACACCGGGATCGACAGGCTGCAGGAAGATAAACGAATACCCGTTCGGCAGATAGCTCGAACTAACTCTGATTTGTTGTTGCCACTCAGGAAAAAATTTAAGAGGGTTCTGGGTAAATATATAATAAAAGGCTTGTACGCTGCCTACATAAATGGGGTTTCTTGCATTGGAGTTAAAGGAATTTCTTTTGAAACCTTCCAAGGTTCTAAGGCTCAATCCTTGATTTTACTGATTTCATCTTGCATACGTTTCTTTGAGATCCAGTTGGCGTAACTCGATCTTCGTATTGTTCTATCTATTGTCTTACTGTATGTCTTTTTGCACGGATCGCCCCTACATTCCTACATATAATCTGCATAATCTACTCAATCCACATAATTTACTTAATCTGCTCAATCTACTTAAACTATTCTATGTCTTTCCAATAATTTACCAAATCTCTTTCTTCAAAACTATTTAAATTACAAAGGAAACCCGAACCAAATTCCCCACTGAAGGGCTTGGCGACCCGTTGTCGGCGATACTTAATTCCAGTCGCGGTTCGGGACTATTATTTTACTTCAGGGGGCCCTTCTATCCCGCGCTTTTTCCCCATCCTCAATTGCAAAGGTCCGGGCTGTGCCTTGTGTGTTCCTGTCTTTTTTTGCTCTCTTGGTATGTTATAGGTTACTCCATGGCAATTCATGTCCCATCTAACATGCAAAAAAATCAGTCCGAAAAAAAAAGTCCCAGTGGAACGGCCAGTCCCTGAAACACCGACTCGTGCAGCCCACATGCGGTCCTACATCTAGGTGCTTAATACTCAGATTCTACTTCACGCTTGAGGGTGTATAACATCACCCGACGGTTTTCCTTGCAGGCCTTGGTCCCTGCGGACCGTCTTAACAAACAACACCCCCAAACGCCTTCAACAGACGTCCTCACCGCTCCCCGCGACTCGTCACCATGGCTACTTCGTTCATCTCTAAACAGCTTCGCTCAACCGAGGAAGACCAGGAAGCTCGACCTAGCTGGATCCGCCGTCAAGTCGTGTCTGGTCTTCAGTCTATCTCTCGCCGTGCCTGTGTCCACCCAATTCACACCCTCGTGGTGATCGCCATTCTCGCTAGTACAACCTATGTGGGTCTTCTGGAAGGCAGCCTGCTGGACACCAGCAGGGATGCCCAAAGTGTCGCTGGACAAGTGGATACAGATGCTCTGCTCCAAGGCAGCCGTAATCTGCGACTTGGAGAATCGACTTCATGGAAGTGGCAGGCGGAGGACATGTGGACCGACTCGGAGGTAAGCCCGCTTCTTTCCAAAAGTGGATTGTGAACGAAAGATTGACTGAGGTGGAAATTTAGATCGAGAAGCCTGCCGCTCAGCACCTGGCCCTGACTACCCTTATCTTCCCGGATTCTACTTCCAGTGCTCCTACAGCTGATGATGTCCCGGTTCCTGCCAATGTCTCCGCCAGCTCTGTTCCTTATACCCCGAATCTGTTCTCGCAGTTCACCTCTGACTCTTCCCTGGTGTACACCGTGCCATTTGAGCAGGTGTCAGAGCTCTTGAAGGCTGTGCAGGAGATCCCCAACCCCTCCAACGAAGAGGACGAAGAAGAATCCAAGATGTGGATCATGAGAGCTGCTCGTGGCCCTGCCTATGGATCGCGCAGAGCTATCAAGCTCTGGGTTGCGGATGCCTGGGGTTCATTTGTGGATCTGATCAAGCACGCGGAGACCATTGATATTGTGATCATGGCTCTTGGCTACATTTCTATGCACCTGAGCTTTGTTTCACTTTTCTTCTCAATGCGCCGACTAGGCTCCAACTTTTGGCTTGCGGCTACCGTGCTCCTTTCTGGTGCTTTTGCCTTCCTGTTTGGCTTGCACGTGACCACCAAGCTCGGCGTGCCGATCAATCTGCTTCTGCTCTCCGAGGGTCTACCATTCTTGGTTGTGACCATTGGATTTGAGAAGCCGATAATGCTGACCCGGGCTGTTCTCAAGGCTTCTGTTGATAACCGTCGGCCTCGTCCCGGTGCTGCTCCCCGTCCTCTGGCCTCGAGCACACCCAGATCTATTCAGGACTCCATCACAGCAGCTATCAAGGACCAAGGTTTCGAGATTGTCCAGCATTACTGCATTGAAATTGGTCTGTTGGCATTGGGTGCCGCTTCTGGCGTTCAGGGCGGTCTCCAGCAGTTCTGCTTCCTTGCGGCCTTGATCTTGTTCTTTGACTGCGTGCTCCTCTTCACCTTCTACACCACCATTCTTTGCATCAAGCTCGAGATTACTCGTATCAAGCGTCACGTGGCTCTGCGCAAGGCTTTGGAAGAAGATGGAATTACCCACAGTGTCGCTGAGAACGTCGCTTCTAGCAACGACTGGCCCAGCGCCGGATCTGGCAGCAATGAAGCCGATACTAGCATCTTCGGACGTAAGATCAAGTCCAGCAATGTGCGCCGGTTCAAGATTCTCATGGTTGGTGGTCTGATTTTGGTTAATGTTGTGAACATGTCAGCCATTCCTTTCCGGAACACCGGCAACGGTGGCCTGCTTTCCCGTTTCTCCAGTGTCTTGGCTCCTACCCCCATCGATCCCTTCAAGGTCGCCGAAAATGGCTTGGATACTGTCTATGTAGCTGCCAAGAGCCAGAGGCAAGAGACTGTGGTTACAATTCTCTCACCCATTAAGTACAAGTTGGAGTACCCCTCTGTTCACTACGCAGCTCCTCTCGAGTCTGGTTCGTTTGACATCGAATACTCTGATCAATTTTTGGACGCCGTTGGCGGCAAGGTTCTCGAGAGCCTGCTCAAGAGCGTGGAAGACCCCTTCATCAGCAAGTGGATCATCGCCGCTCTGACTCTGAGCATCATTCTCAATGGCTATCTATTCAACGCTGCCCGCTGGAGTATCAAGGAGCCTGAGGCACCCGCCGCTCCTGTTGAGCCTGTCGTGGCACCAAAAGTCTACCCCAAATTTGAGCCCAATAAGGAATCCAACCGGACTCCTGAGGAGTGCGAGGCGCTGCTCAAGGCGAAGCGTGCCCCCATTCTTACCGATGAGGAATTGATTGATCTCTCTCTCCGTGGAAAGCTTCCTGGTTACGCTCTGGAGAAATCCATGGAGGACGAGAATCTGATGAGCCGTGTTGATGCTTTCACTCGTGCTGTGAAGATTCGCCGATCTGTCGTTTCCCGCACTCCTGCTACCTCTGCTATCACCTCTACTTTGGAGGAATCCAAGCTTCCCTACAAGGACTACAACTATGGTCTCGTCCACGGTGCTTGCTGTGAGAACGTCATTGGTTACCTGCCCCTTCCTCTCGGTGTTGCTGGTCCTATCAACATTGATGGACAAAACTACTTCATCCCTATGGCCACTACTGAAGGTGTGTTGGTGGCTAGTACCAGCCGTGGCTCCAAGGCCATCAACGCCGGTGGTGGTGCTGTGACTGTTCTGACTGGCGATGGTATGACTCGTGGACCCTGCGTTACATTCCCGACCCTGGCCCGGGCTGCCGCCGCCAAGGTCTGGATCGACTCCGAGGAAGGTCGCAGCATCATCATGGCTGCTTTCAACTCCACGAGTCGTTTCGCCCGTCTGCAGAGTCTCAAGACTGCTCTCGCCGGAACCTACCTGTACATTCGCTTCAAGACCACCACTGGTGATGCCATGGGCATGAACATGATCTCCAAGGGATGTGAGAAGGCGCTGGACGTCATGTCCAAGGAGTGTGGATTCAATGACATGGACATCATCTCGCTTTCTGGTAACTTCTGCACAGATAAGAAGTCCGCTGCTATCAACTGGACTGACGGCCGCGGCAAGTCTGTCGTGGCGGAGGCCATCATCCCCGGTCATATCGTCAAGAGCGTGCTCAAGAGTGATGTCGACGCACTGGTCGAGCTGAACGTCAGCAAGAACTTGATCGGAAGTGCGATGGCAGGCAGCTTGGGTGGTTTCAACGCTCACGCCTCCAACATCGTGTCTGCCATTTTCTTGGCCACTGGTCAAGATCCCGCCCAGAACGTCGAGAGCAGCAGTTGTATCACCACCATGAAGAAGTAAGCTATTTCCCACCATACCCTGTCAATAACCTATACTAACGACATTCTAGCAACAACGGTAACCTTCAGATCGCCGTGTCCATGCCCTCTATCGAGGTGGGCACCATTGGTGGTGGTACCATCCTCGAAGGCCAAGGTGCCATGCTGGACCTCCTCGGAGTCCGCGGAGCCCACCCCACGTCCCCAGGTGAGAACGCTCGCCAACTCTCCCGCATTATCGCCGCCTCCGTTCTCGCCGGTGAGCTAAGTCTGTGCTCCGCCCTTGCCGCCGGTCATCTTGTCAAGGCGCACATGGCGCACAACCGCAGCGCCGCCCCAACGCGGTCCTCCACCCCCGTGTCATCGGCCGTTGGTGCCGCCCGCGGCCTTTCCATGACCTCCAAATAAATGAAGATGACATGACCCAATCCTTCTGGCTCACGGGCGATTGTACAACGTGCTCGATATCCCTTTTTTGATGCAGACTGCAGACCATGCATGGCCCATGTCTTCGCATCCAGACCTCCAGACCTCCAGAGTTCCATACTTTCAGGAACGATTACCGGAAGACCTAGCCGAATTTTTTTTATCTGCTTGGACATTCATAGATGGAAATAGAGGCAAGGCAGAGCTCCTAAAATCAACGCTCCGAAGCATTAGAGCGAGTTAATGAAGTGTGTATTTAAAGTTTTGAATGAAAGAATTATATTATACTGTGAAAATATGTTTATAATGTACCTTCAACCTTGAAATAATACCTACGGAGTCCATATGTACATATTGAAGTACCTTCGTACTCCGTAGAGTGGACTTACTCGTACGGAATGAATTGTGGCCCGAGGAGAGCGAAAGGGCCTAGATTTGTCTACTCCTGAATCGGTGTATTTGGGGTGTTTACCTATAAACATACACTATTTTTGATACCGTACAAAGGGATTCTACTTGTTTACTTGCACTTACGTACATGTGTAGGATTTCAGATACATGTAGTTGTAGAATCCAACCACTCTATTTACTTGAAATTAAATATGTTTATGGCTAATGTATATGCATGCGACATCCCTGCATCCTTAAATTGACCAGCCCTTAGCCCCTTGGCCTAGTATCAATACACATACAACTAGAAAAGTCACAGATTTTTCAGATGTTAGAAGCTATAAATTAAAGAACTATCTTTATATTCAGCTGAAGATGCTAAACATAGTTATGTTGTACTCCATATGTATCTAGACATGATCTATGTAGTAAGATCTGAGATCATATTCAATGTTGTAACCAAGTGGTACATAAATGAATACTTACGGTGCTACCTGTAAGGAAGTACTGGCGGGTATCAGGCAGTAAGGGAAAGCTGGGAAAGGGAAGTTCGGAGTTTACGACCTCACACTTTCTTCTCCCTACGCAAACTTAGACCAACTAAGACCCCCTGCATCAAATCCTTCACTCATTTGGATTTGGTATTTGGTGTTCACTTCTTTTCACTTCTTAGTCCTCACTCGTGGCCGATTACGACTTCCCCTCGGCTCCATTGTCTCAGATCGTTGGAATCCTGGTGGAGAATACGGGGGACTATTTTTTGTGACAAAGTGCTTTTATCGGTTATCCGTGACAGCTCCTGGATAGTGGACATAGTGAATATCGAATATTCACCGGAGAAGCCTGGAGCGCCTTACTTTGGACTGATATGAATGGCGGTTCGGGAGCCATGTCGCCTGTCTCTGTCGATGGTAGCGACTGGTCCGGCTTGAACCAGTATGGAAAGTCGGAATCGCCCTTCTCGCCCACATTCCCTACGTCTCGGCCCAACCTAGCCACCCCTCCGCTCTCTGGCGTCCCCGGCACACCCACCGCACCTCTAAGTCCCAATGGGCCACCCCCTTCACTCTCACCCTCCAACTTGAGCAGCAATCCATCCCCGCCCAGTTCGGTCGCCGCGAGATCCAGTGTCGGAACAGTAGGGAAAGGCCCGCGCGATGAAAGACGATATCGCCAGATGGAGGAGATCCTTGGCAAGCACTATGTGGTCTTCAGAAGATTCCTAGAGGGCACGGTGAACGACGAACGTGGGAAGTCGAACAAAGCCAGAGATAAACTACTGCGGTTGTCACCAACCCAGTTCCACGAACTTTCCACGGACGTTTTCGATGAATTGATCCGGCGGCAGCAGGCCTCGCCGCCTCCCGGCCGACCACCTCGCACAGACGTGCCTCCCTACCTACCACCTCGCGCTGATTTTCACGAGAAACGCAACCATGCTCGCCAAAGGCTCGCCGCGCTTCATCATGTGCGGTTCCGAGATTTGGCGACCGATGTGTTCTGCGAGCTAGAGCGCCGCTTCCCGCATTTCACCAGTCGAGATTACCGTGGCCCCCCGGGTCCCAACATGGGTCCTCCAAGCGCTCGTACTTCGCAGTCTTCCCGGGGCCCTCCTTCGCGCATGGGCCGAGGATATCCCTCGGGTGGCCCGCCGGGCAGTCCATTCCCACCGCGTAGCGGCTCCATGCAAGGCCCACCGTCTGCGAATGGAGACGGACCGTTCCCTCGGTCTTTCCAAAGCAACACGATGGTCCCGAACAAAAGTACAATGGTTGAAGACAGCGACGACATGGGACCGGAAGACGAAGATGATGCTCGCAGCGATGCGTTCGCTTTAGATGCTGTTCTGAGTCGACGGGGTACCACAACGACATTGGGTGACAATGAGCGAAGACTGTTGGTGGAAAGCCAAACACAGGTATCCGCTTTGCAGGATAAGATCGAAAAACTGGAAGAATTGGTTCGCGCCAAGGACGAAGAGCTGGCTCAATCCGCACAAGATGCTGATTCCTCCGGCATCAGCCACAGCGAGCGTCAGGAGTGGGATGACTTGCGCCACGATCTCGAGACCAAGGTCTCAAAAGCGGAGAATTTGAACAGCTCGCTCCAGGTTGAGCTTGAGCGCGTTCGAGCAGAGCGTGATGCCATGGAACAGGATCTCCGTAGCCAGCCCGATGACTCGTCTCGTAGTGTCGAGTATACCGGCCTGCAAGAGCGCTATTCTGATTTGGAAAACCAGCACCTGAATCTTCAGGCAGAGCTACAGCAGCAAAAACAGATTACCGATGAGGTCCGCCGGGAGGCATCGGCTTCCTTTGTGGAAATCAAGAATCTCATAGCAGAGAGTCATACTAACTGGGAGCGCGAAGAACAGCTCTCCAATGAAGTCCACAGACTGGAGGCCGACGCAAACGAGTGGAAGCACCGCTACGCCAAGGTCAAGTCGCAACTGCGGCATCTTCGAACGTCCTCCGGTGGATTTGCCGACTCTCGGCCCGACGCCAGTGTTCTCACCCAAGAGCACGAGCTGGTGCAAGTCGACGGGTTGGTCAAGAATATCCATGTGACCAAATTTCAGATGTCAGTCGACGAGCTCCTCCGAGTCGCTCGGTTCGAGGAACCGCGCGTAGTGCTTCAACAGATTAAGATGGTCGTTGTGGCAGTTCGTCATATTCTCCAGGACGTGGATCACTCCTCTGATGGATCAGCTGCTCTGTGGACCAAGGCCAAGGGCCAAGTGTCCACCACTGCAAACAACCTGATCACCGCTACGCGCAACTTTGCCAGTTCGAGCGGTCTGTCGCCGGTGTCACTCCTTGATGCCGCGGCCTCGCATCTCTGCACCGCTATCATTGAGCTGATTCGGGCAGTGAAGATCCAGCCATCGACCGCTGATGATCTGGAAGATGAACATGATGAGGTGGATGTCTCACAGGAGCAATTCCCTGACTACTTCGATACCTCCGCCAGCCAAAAGCGGATGAGCAATAACTCTGTTTATAGTGCTATGAGCCAACCAGACGAGTCTCAGTTCCCTGCACAGAATGGACTCACAAATGGCATCAACCATGGCTGGGGACATGTGCAAGAGGATCACGAGGTACTAGAGCTCAAGGTAAGCATTCTAGAACCCATCACAACGAACAATATACTAACGAGAATATCAGCTGTACGTCGAAGATCAAACGGATGGCATGGTACAATCCATCCAAGCACTGGTAGCCAGCATCCGCGCTGAGGACAACCTCCAAACCGTGCAAACGCATGTCTCCGCCATATCCAGCGTCGTCAAAAATGTTGTCGGCGCTACGCAGCACCTAATGCACGAGCGCAGTGCCGACGCTGCCCTCCGCGAGGCCTCCGAACCCGCCATTGTCGCCCTAGAAAAATGCCACAACCGCCTAGAAACGACCGCCAAAGATGGCGAGGACGCCTCAACCCCGGAGCAATTGCGTGAAATCACCAACAAACTCCCGCCGATTGCATTCGAGATCGCGAGACAGACCAAGGATCTCGTCCAGCGCCTCGAAGCGACCTACGAGGAGGAAGAGGAGGATTTTCGGTAATGAAATCGGATCGGATCAGGATCCGAGTCGAACGTTGAAGTTTCTGTTTATTTAGTTTTTCTCCTTTTTCAGCGATGGCAACGAGTGGACTATGTTGAAATGATGCCCCGAGCTTTGTGGCCTCCTGGCTTTTTTTACCTTGTTGCTCTTTTCTTCTTCTTCTCTTCTTTGTACTTTATTTGAGCCTCTTCTTATCTACATACGTAGGTTTCTTGACTGGATCTTGTGTCAATTTGTTCTATGATGATTTCTTGATGGTCTATTTTTTGGCCTCTGGTCATGACTTCTCGATGGGCTATTATTTCGTTTTTACATTTGTATGTGCTGCATACATTGAATGCTTCTTTTCAGTGATCATACCAATAATCAACGCCACCATTCAAGTCTTATTTCAGTCCACATTACTCTACGCCTCTAGATTTGTCCATTGAACATTGAGTGAACCGGTGTTGCCATTGAGTTCATGCTAATAATCAATGCGAGTTTACCCCTTTAATGCCGACTAGTCCCTAGAGTTCCTATATCGTACCCATCGATCCTCGGAAGACCGGGAATATTCCGGGAGTTACATAATCAAGGCTCTAGGCGTTTTTTGGCATTGAGCTTCAGTTTTTTCCTCCTTTCTACTTCTCGTACCCATTCCTCATCAATTTATATTTCATTTGTAAGTGAGCTTGGTTCCTTGTCATATGGAGATTAGAGTGAACTCTAGATTCCACCCACTTCCTCCCAAAGACCTCACTGGGTAAAGTTGTGATAGCCCCTGGAGTCTGGAGAAGCTCTAATTCCAGCCTCAGGCAGAAAATGCACAAGTGTTATTTATGGTATACCGAATACGCTAACCCAAAAGTAGCCCGGCACCCGTGTTCACCCGTTCCGCCCTGCCCCTCACCATGTTCTGCCGATTGAGAACAATAACCCCACCTCGCTCCCTCTTCTCTTCTTCCCTTTCCAATTGCTCTACTTTCCATCCCGCAACCCGATCTTTCGCATCATCAGCCGCCGCTATGTCCAACACTTCCGCTTTCTTCGAGGTTGAGTACCAGCCCGCCGGCGCTCCTGCCCGTAAGTTTTATCCTCTGTCTTCCTGGTCCCTTCATTTGTGGCGGGGCAGAGATATTTTGCCCCTCCACTTCAGCTTCACCCTGCTGCCTGCTAGTACTTCATGTCCCTTCGACTACTTTCAAGAGTACTTTGGACTTTTTTATCATGATAATGCCATTGGTAATTGTTACTGACTCCCGCTTTAGCCAAGATCGGCCGCATCAACTTCACCCTCTTCGCTGACAAGGTCCCCAAGACCGCCAAGAACTTCGCTGAGCTCTGCAACGCTGAGACCGGCAAGGGCTACAAGGGCTCTGCTTTCCACCGTGTTATCCCCGAGTTCATGCTCCAGGGTGGTGACTTCACCCGTGGCAACGTGAGTATTTACTGAATCCTAATTTCCCAATAACTCTGACTTATGTTCTTCGGAATAGGGTACCGGTGGTCGTTCCATCTACGGCGATAAGTTCCCCGATGAGAACTTCATCCTGAAGCACACCAAGCCTGGTCTCCTGTCCATGGCCAACGCTGGCCCCAACACGTAAGTCATCTTATTTAACAACACCCAGAATCAATCTAACAGTAATCTCTTTAGCAACGGCTCCCAGTTCTTCATCACCACCGTTGTCACCTCTTGGCTCGATGGCAAGCACGTCGTTTTCGGCGAGGTCGCTGACGAGGAGTCCATGAAAGTTGTCCGCGAGATCGAGAAGCTCGGTTCCTCCTCTGGTTCTATCCGCTCCAACGTCAAGCCCACCATCAAGAACTGCGGTGGTAACTAAAAAGCTCCAATGAGTCTTAGTTAAGATACGTTTTTCTTTTTGTCAAAGACTTGACCCTGCTTCCCGCTTCACTGCGGACTAGCATCGGTGGCTTTCCCTTGTGCGCGTTGTAATCTAAAGTTTCTACCGAGCTAGTTCACTCATGCCTATGTTGCGTGGAATTCTTTTCAATTCGTAAAGGTAGTATCGAGGAATTAGTGTACTATACTTTAAGATGTAGAAAAAAAGTGCTTAGAACTGGATATAATTCTGGAATCTTTCAAGTCTCGAACAAACCATGATATTGATCAGCGAAATCACTGAACCTGTTTTTTTTTCCCGCTCCACATTCATTGGGGGCGGCTACATCACTTTTATTTACCCCGCGTTAGAGAGGGATTTTTTTTCCACTTGGATCTGACTGTAATGATACGCTTCATTCTGAAGTTATAATTTACATTGATGTTTGTCTCTGTTGATTGACAAAAATAAATTCAATAGACACTGAGGTTTATTTGCCTACTCTGTGTGGTATTACGGAGTAGGTGGTAAGCTACAATTAGTAACCTTGGAAAGATGATACGACTACATACATAGCTATGTACTTCTCCATAGTAAAGTGGTTCTGTTCTACCTACAATGTACGTACATATGTTGGTTTTTTGATATCGTCACCTGGTCATCTGCTTCCCCTTACATACGAAACTGCCAGGGCTCTCCAGGCTTTGGAGTCACTCCCCCGCGATTTTCAAAATGGATCTCATATTTTGACCTAACTTGATGTTAGCTCATCTCTTGGGTTCTCATTGGTGACAAAGAGAAACTCACAGCTTGATAATAGAACCAAAATTTCTGTCTATAAAATTGGATAGTTCCTTCTCATTAACGGAATTTCCTAGATTGGAATCCAAATCCTCTGATTCAGCTCTAGGACAAGCATCGTTAATTTCACCTGGTCTTTTGAAGAGAAAGATAGCGATAGCTGGCTCAAATTAGCAACCGTTAGGATGTTGAACAGAGGGAGGTTGGATATCTACCAGCATGAAGGTCTTCAGAAAGCGTTCTCAGATAGCTTACAGCCTCTTCTGTTATATACTGTTTGATGATGCTCCCTCATCGAAGGCGTCAATACAATGATAGTTCGTTTTCCGGCTTAGGACCTGTGACTTGCTTTCCCTGCATTCCATAAAAAACCGCCTAGCCGCCTCTATACCCTCCTGGCTGCCCTCACGGTCGTCTTCGTCTTCTTCTTCGTCGCTTGTGTCGACACGCTTATGTCCCTCTGGGAGCCTATCGTAAGCAACTCCAGGACGGCAAAGTTACGATCAATATACCGCAATAAGGTTGAGTTATCATTTTGTTCTTCTTTGCAACAGAATGCCGGTGGCGTTTGCTCTCGGCCGTCTATCTTAGACGCTATGTTCTAGGGTGAAGATATAGTTAGAACTTTATTATGAGTTGATGAGCTGACGAAGAGGTACTTATAGAATGTCTAGCCCAACAGAAAAAGATTCCTGAAACAGTAGACGACAAAGCCCAACATAGTAGACAGCGAAGCCCAACACAATAGAGAAAGCAATCTAAAACAGGAGACGACAACATCCAAAAATAGACGACGAATTCTAACACAATAGAAAAACAGATCCTGTCAATTTTAATGGCTTAGGTGCTCGGTCCTTTGCGTCCTACCGTTCAAATTAAGAAGGGCGCGAAGGACCGCGAACTATGTGTGCAGATCTGGAGACAACCAGAGCCTTTGTCCCAGCTGGGGGAAAAGTGCTTCACATAGACAAATCAACAGTGCGCTCGAGTAATCTGGGGCTTTGCAAAGAAGACTTTAGATATCTTCGATATCTTCCAATGTGATAGCCACCCTTGGAGTAGATGTTAGCTGGGTGTGCTATTTTCCGTAGCACCCGCCCTATCTGCCCCTGCTAAATCTGCCTGCTACTCCTATGTATTGGTTTATATATAGATTCTTCTGATGTTTTTCGACCGAAATAGTAACCCGGTGTACCGAGGACGCTGAGAATTCTGCTGGAGTCGCATCCACCCTCTCTAAAAGCAGTAAGATAGAGTAAAGAGATGCTCTAATCTATTCCTTCAGCCTTTACTAGCGGCTCTGGCAACCACTTGAGCCCGATAAGAGACCCAAAATGCCAGACCCAGCGCCTCTATCAAGATGAGCCCCGCCACCACCTCGATACTTAGCGAGTCGTATCCCGCTAACGCCATTCCGATCAAGAGATTTACACAGCCCCCGACCATCTCCAACCGACCGAGCCAGATATGCGCGTACGACACCCATGTCCCAGAGCGGATGCGAACAAAAATGATATGGTGCCACCAACCTAATGTGATTTGCACGAGCAGAAACGCCACGACTGTCCCACCGAGCCAAAAATGGGCAGTGAACATGGCCGATGCGGTCGCAGAACCGGCATCATGGCGTTTGTCATGGCCATGACTGGGCGCTGGAGTATGTGCTTGACTTAAGGCGATACCGGTGCCCGCCCCGACCAGCAGACAGGTAGTCGCTAGCCCCTGCATGATCCAGTGGTAGGTAAATGAGCGTGGCGAATCACTACGCATAGCTAGCACACCGACAGGAAGAAGGAGGAGAAAGCTGTTCGACATTAGGATCCCATGGGCACGCTGTAGGGGTGCTGTGGCCTGAAATTTGCGCCAAGTATTCCCCGCTGCAATCGTTATACCCGCAACACCAATTGGGGTATCCGAGGCACCCACGGTCTTGATATTGGGCCGTAGAGGTGGAAAGGAAGGGTAGTAACAGCCTGGCTGGGTGAGGGATCGGGCCATGTCAACGTAGAAGCGACCCCAGCCGCCGTTGCCGGGGTGGTGGGCGTGCATATCCAATGGAGCGTCGAAACTGTAAACGGAGAACTTTTGCTCATTATTCCAGGCCCAGATCCAGGGCTGGGAAGACGAGAGAGGGACGATGGGGGTTGTAGGCCAGCGAGCGCAGGAGTAGCAGATCAAAGAGAAATGGGCGGACTGGGCCCGCTGGCTGGTGGAGAGGGCGTATTGTTCATGATGTGCGGATGGCGAGGAAGACATCCACGCGGCTTGCAGGAGGCGGAGATCGGCTCCGTCCATGTCGTCGGGCGTCACCAGGCGAGGCTGGTGATGACCATCGACGGTTCGGATACTTAGCACTGGATTTTCACCGGAGCCTGGATCACCGTAGGCAATGAACATGAGGGAGCCGGCCATTTGAGAACCGGCGCCGATGGCTGTCCACCCGAGATTCGAGTCGTGGGTGACTGAGAAACTGAGGTAGATGTCGTGGGCGTTGGTGGAAAAGTTAAGGTGAGTGGAAAGGCCCAGACAGAAATCTACTTGGTCTTTGGCATCATGATCATGGCCGAATTGGCAGTATTGAACTGGCTCAGCTCGACAAAAGCTGCCTACCAGCAGCAGGCCAAATAGCGAGACCAAGTGGTGTAACAACTTCATCGTTAACCATAACTAAAACAAAGCAAGAGAGAGACAGTAAAGAAAAATCCCACTACATTCATTTTATTATCTTTAGCAATCGAGAGTAAAAGGTGTGAGATTGACGTTTTATGCATTGAGGCACAGATATGACAGTGCATGACAGTGACCTTACAGGCTTCATTGCTTGGCATAATTGGTCCATTTCAATCAATAATCATAATTGAAACAACCTTGGAATGCCAGTTCCTCCATAATTCTAGCAATGGGGCGGACTCTGCTTTTACTATGGGCGCTTCTAGGAGGTGCAATCGCCAAACAATATCAGCTCAAAAGTTCTACCAAGATCCCATCCGAATGGAATCAAAAAGGCCGAGCTCACCCGGACGAGATTGTTGATGTTTCAATTGGGCTTGTGCAGCATAAATTTCCTGAGCTCGAGGAAAGACTCCTACAAGGTCGACATCCCGTATCTTATGGAAAAAGCACCCAGACTCACAAATCTTTTCAGTCTCTGACCCTTCGCATCCGCACTATGGGATTCATCTCTCAGCTCAAGAAGTCCAGCAGATCGTACGACCTGCAACAGGGTCATTCCTTGAGGTCCAAGCCTGGTTGGACGAGCTAGAACCCTCGGGAGGGGCCAATATCACGATATCACCCGCGGGTGACTGGTTGGATATTACCTTACCCATATCACATCTTGAGCAGCTACTTCAGACCAAGTACTGGGTATTTGAACACTCAGTGTCTAGAATTCGAGCAATTCGCTCACAGGAATGGTCTCTACCCACTCACTTGATGGATGTAATTGATGTGATCACTCCGACCAATGTTTTCATCCACCCGACCGTCCAATTTCGATTGGGCGCACCTCCTCCAGTCTGGGAGAAAGAAGGTCGTCTACCGACGTATCAAGACCTCATCGATGAAGATCTATTAGATAGGAGCAGACTAGAGATCCCAAACCAGGACCAATTATCAGCGCATCCCACAGTGAAAGAGGCCTGTAATCGTCTGGCCATTTCTCCATTGTGCCTTCGGGTCCTCTACGGGACCTTGGCATACGAGCCTCAATCCTCAGATCGCAACACAATTGGCATCGTGAACTTTCTCGGCGAAGTCGCGAACCGGTCAGACATCGCGCTCTATCTTGATCGATATCGCCCAGACGCGGCCGCAGCCCACGCCGAAGACTCCTTCGCAGTGGAGATAGTCAACGGCGGCGATGATCAACAAACTCTCAATACCCCGACCCAGATGAAAGATAAGAAAGGATACGAAGGTGCGTTGGATGCCCAGACTGTGTTGGGAATCAGCTGGCCCACATCCCTTATCACCTACAACGTCGGCGGTGACCCTCCTTTCCACCCGCTCAAAGTTCACACTGAGAATACCAATGAGCCCTATCTTGCGTGGCTGCGCTACATGCAGACTGTGGAGCACCCACCGTCCGTCATCTCCATCTCATATGCGGAGGACGAGAAGACCGTCCCGGTTGAGTATGCTCGACGGGTATGTGCGGAATTCGCGCAATTGGGCGCGCGAGGGGTCTCGATCCTAGTCGCTAGTGGTGACTATGGGGTCGGACGCAACAAGCAGTGTCTTGACATCGACGAGAAGAAGCGACGCTTTATGCCCAGCTTCCCTGCCAGTTGCCCTTATGTCACAACCGTGGGAGCGACGCGGTTCCTCGAACCGGAAATGGTCGCATTCGATGCTCGGAGTAGTTACTCAAGTGGCGGTGGGTTTAGTGACGTGTTTCCTCAGCCAAAGTATCAGGAAGCCGCCGTCGAAGCGTATCTGCGACAACTGGATCACCAGACGAAGGTAGGCGAGCTCGCTAATTATACTGGCTTTTTCAATCGCCACGGGCGGGCATACCCGGATATTGCAGCCATGGGGTACCATTTCTCTGTCATGTGGAATGGCACTGCTCATCTTCAGGACGGGACCAGCGCGTCAACGCCGACCGTCGCGTCGATTGTCGGTCTCGTGAACGACGCATTAGTCGCTGGGGATCGACCAACTCTAGGATTCCTCAATCCGTGGCTATATTCTTCGGGATATGAGGCCTTTCGGGATGTCACGAATGGGTCGAATCTAGGGTGTAACACCTCGGGGTTTCCGGCCACAGAGGGATGGGATGCTGCCACGGGATTCGGAACACCAGTACGTTTATTCCCAAGGTCCAATATCTCGAGTTAGTGTAACTAAAATGGTCTCGTTCCAGTGGTTCCCCAAGCTCAAGGATCTGGCACTGGAACCACAATTTCGATCTATCCGCCCATGGTATTATCTGCCGGATTTGTGATGATTTGTTGTACTCTCAATCAATAGAAAGAAGCAAAGAAGGGCTAGGTGAGGCCTAGTAGTCGAATATGGACTACATGGATGCCCTCCAAGTTAGCCAGGGCACTACCAAATTGTACCAACCGAGTATCCAAAGTGCACTTTCGACTTCTTTAACCACGAATATTCTGCTATAGTATACGGTTCCTGTTATTAGAGATTTTAGATCTCTAGTTGAAACGCGCTTTGGTATGACAGAACAGTATTAGCCCTAGAGAAGGAAGAAAAGTCAATAAAGACATCTCCCTCCTCATGGAGAGGCCCGTTCTTGGCAAACAACAGAGAATAAACAATAATCACAACGTAGCCATAGGTAACATTGGAAACCCCTGGCTGTTAGTCCGATTCCCAAGGCGGAAATCCATCGCATCTGGAGCAGCCACTGCCATGTCATAGCAAATGGTTTAGAGCACATGTTCCCAGGTTAAATATGACCAAATTCCCTGAAAGTGGGGTTTGAGAATGCAGAATCACCTAGGTGCCTCCATGCTCATGGAGGCGGGTAGATTGGTGAGGCTGGTTGCTCGGCGGCTCATCTACAGATTCTGACTGCATGTCTGAAGCGGCAGTACTCTCGATGGGTCTCCCGTTTCTGTCTGATAGTTGATCAGAGCGCTCAGATTCCTGGCTGAAATGATCCAGACCAATCCCAGATGACCGACCATCGGGGTAGCTTTTGCCTTCATAAGATCTGACTTGCACGTTCAGGCAATATGATTTGGGAGTGGGTCAAGACCATCGTAGTCTTCTGTGCTAAGCTCTGTCGCAATGCTCATGCCTTGCGTGAGTCTGAATATTGTCGAGAATTTACTGCTGTACAAATCGTGATTTGCGATATGCTGAGAGGAGAATTAAACTCATATGGGAGAAAGTGGGGAGGAAAACCGATGGGCTCGCGCAGGTTCTCAGGAGTCTCAAACCGCCCAGGTGCTTCGTGGCCCCTAACCCAACCCTACTTGTCCATGATCTTGGCGTGCATCGCACTACTGCATAGTCACCACAGCGTTCATTATCATTGGCCCATCCCCACTGCTATAAGACTCATTACTCTTCCCTTTCAATTGGAACAAATGTATCCAGATACGCTCTTCCTTCTATTTTCCACATGATTTGGTAATCCTTAAGGCTTCTAGCTTGTGACAATGAGCCACTACGATGAAGAACAAACACTCGCAGGCCCCAGCCCGATAACGCCAGAAGTAGAACAAGCTGCACAATGGACCGACAAATTTGCCCCATTTCCCGAGATGTTAGATCACATTACAAAACCCAGATCGCTCGTGACATTTCGTGCAATCCTCATCGGGGCCATCTGCGGAGTCCTAGTCAACGGATCCAATATCTATCTGGGACTGAAAACCGGATGGACTTCAACAGCCAATCTCCTCGGGGTAGAGGCTCCTCTTTCCACTCGTGCAGTGTATATATGAGCTAATTGACATGGTAGTCCGTCGTTGGCTTCACCATTCTCAAAAAATGGTCGCAAGTCCACAATCATTCATTCGGCCCACACGAGAACAATATCGTCCAAACCGTGGCGACCGCCTCAGCGGGAATGTCGAACGCATTTATCTCAGCCATCCCGGCAACATATCAATTAGGGCTACTGAGTACCCCGTCGAAGGATTTCGTGCGCATTGTGCTGTTGACCGCCGCCGGGGGCTATTTTGGTTTGTTATCGGTTGCGCCTTGTATGTTACCTCTTTTATTCGTTTGATCATCATCTAATGTCTTGACCTAGTGAGGAAATTCTTCATCGAGAAGAAGTCGGCGCGGGATCTCAATCTCATCTTCCCATCTTCGACCGTGACGGCATTGACGATTCGGAACATGCATTCAGCAGCTGTACATGCAGCTTCCGCCGTGCAACAGATGAAGGTGACTCTGTGGGCGTTTTCTGGGGCGGCGGGGTTGAGAATCAGCTCACCATTAGCTGTAGGGTTAATTTGGGTAAGCGCCCGGGATTGCAATCAATCTTTTTGTGACTAACAGATCTGTGTTCAGGAGTGGCACATTTTTACATGGATACATGCAACGGGACTTTTGGGGGACTTTGCCATTGCGGCAGAAAGCTGGGGCTGGTTCTTGGAATGGACTCCTGCGATGATCGGATCGGGTATGTTGGTTGGGACTAATGTTGCCAGCTCGTTCTTCGCTGGCTCAGTTCTGGCATGGTGGGTTGGACATTCTACTTATCTTGTATCGTTGCCTGATCTGTTCATAGGGCCGTTACTGGGCCGTATCTTGTGTCGCAAAATATGGCATTTGGCTCGCCCATCTCGTCGGACTCGTCCTGGTCTGGCCTGATGTCTTATACCTCTATGTCGGCTGAATATGCAAATGCTAAACACCCTAGTCCACGATACTGGCTGCTCTGGCCGGGGGTGACATGTATGCTGGCAGTAGCACTGACCGGTATGACCTCTATTTCCCCGTGTTTGATGCTTCGGTTTCTTATCATACGATGGCTCTAGAATTGCTATGTCAATGGTATACGATAATTCAGAGAAGTGATGTCCCCTTTCTGCGACTGCTGAAGTCTGCCTGGGGTCAATGGTCCTATCCTTCTGTGCCGGATGAAGAGCATGAGGACATTACACAAAACAATAGTGATATTGCTAGCTGGATGTGGGCACCTGGGCTTCTGGTTGCCATTGCTGCTACGATCTTGAGCATGAAACTCGCCTTTGGCATTTCGTTGCTGAAGATTGTTCTCGCGCTAGGGTTGTCTTTTGTTCTGTCAATTGTTGCCATACAGGCAACTGGCGCTACTGGTGAATCCTCATGGTTTCCTCTATTCTATCCAGATATGTTGCCAACTAACCTTCGACCTTCAAACTCAGATACAACTCCACTGACCGCAGTCGCGACCATCTCGCAGATTGTCCTCGGTGCAACTCACAGCGCTGACAGCGGGAATCTAGCTCTCCGCCAACGACTAAATCTATTAGGTGGTGCTTTAGCAAATATCGGTGCCAACCAGGCTTGTGGTATACTTACACTACTTTTTCATACCTACAATCATGAGCTAATATTACTTTCACAGACCTAATGGGTGACTTCCGCGTCGGCTACCTCCTACAAACCCCCGCGCGATTTCAATATATTGCTCAACTTATCGGGACATTTATTGCCAGTATTGTCGCCCCAGTGATCTTTAAGCTCTTTACAACCGCCTACCCATGCATTATCGAGAGCGAAATTCGCAGTAACATCGACAAAACCACTGATCAGCATCGCTGTGAATTCAGCGGCCCATCCATCGCTACATGGCGCGCGGTGGCCGTCGCAAGCACCAACAGCGCCTCGGGGCAGTCGGCTATTCCAGCAACGAGCGGGGAGTTTGCCGTGCTGTTTGCGGCCGTCGGCGTGATGATTGTCTTGGGGCGAAATCTCCTAGGAATCTCCCCAGTCAAGGCGTATTTGCCAAATATGATGATCATGGGGCTGGCGTTTACGATGCCTTCGCCACCATATGGGATTGCTATGTTGATCGGGGCATTGGGGGCGAAGATATGGAAGTCAAGGGAAAAGAGGGCGTTCGCAAGCTATTCATCCGCCGTGGCTGCGGGGCTCATGGCTGGGGAAGGGATTGGGGGCATTGTTAATGGGGTGCTGACAATTGTGGTGGGTTGGGGAGGGGATGGTTGGGGGACGGCCTTGGGATGCCCTGCTGGACGGTGCTAGAAATTAGGGTTAGGGGCTCAGGGTCTTCTTCTGTGTCGGAATCTCATGACGCCGAAATTATTATTTGTCACTCCAGTCTACGAGAAGCCACCCAAGGCTTTGTTGTCAAGCAGCCAAGACCAATACAGATTTCCGGTAGTAAATCTCCTTGCTATGATATAGCTACACGAACATCTAACAAAGTTGATAGTGGAGTTAGTACTATGCAAGAAACGAGCATTCTCCATATTTACTGTCATTTGTATCTCCTAAGGTCATGAACTAGACCAAACCCCTGCATCGGATCTGCAACCTTGTCTAGTGAAAGCAAGAACATGGAAGATCAAACAAAGTTGCCAGACAGTAATTAGGTTCTTTCGCCTGCCACACTCGCCAATCTGATTCATATATCCAGCTACCTAGATATTCCTTCCCTAGAAGTCTCCACCCCGATGAACCAGCTATCCCTATGCTCCTGCATATATTCTACTCCCCAATACTGAGAGTTGCACTGGACCCATTTCTGTATTAGTTTCTATCTTGCAGGAGATGATTTGCGGGGGAAGACCTACTAAGGAAGGCACTTATTTGTCCGCAGTGTAGGCAGTGGCAGCATTGGCATCAGAGCGTATGTAAACAGGCTCGGCATCCCAGCGCTTATCCGCAACATAAGCAGTCGCAGCGTCGGCATCAGAACGCTTCTTATCCGCAGCGTATGCGGTAGCAGCATCCGCATCAGAACGCTTGTCAGCGACGTAAGCGGTGGCAGCATCAGCGTCCCATCTCTTATCAGCAACATAAGCAGTCGCAGCGTCGGCATCCCAGCGTTTGTCAGCGACGTAAGCGGTGGCAGCGTCAGCTTCGCCCCGAGCGTTCAAGGAAATAGGCGTAGCATTGACAACGGTGGTGACAAGGGCAATAGCTTGGGTGAGTGCAAGAAGCTGCATTCTGAAGACTGAGCTGATGGTATACCTCGAAGAAGGAGATAGATAAACTGAGTGGTGGTTTTTAGACAGATGTCCTGTTTTAATGATTGTCTGACGAACCTTTGTCCTGATCATGAGCGAGTGTGGATTTATAGGCAGACACTTTTCAATGCTGGAAAAAGTATGCCAGAGACTCATCTCGATGCTCAAAGTAATCTTGCCCTAATCATTATCGAATTGCACCATAGGGGCTCTGCACAGTCATCGAATCTGTCGTGGGTATACACCATAAGCTTGCCTCATTTGGCACAAGATCACCGATGGAGAGAGATGACCATGCAGTAGTACAGCTTCACTGCATAAAGAACTCACCTCATCCTCTGATCATTTTTCTCACGACCCCTGCTTCCCCTCATCTGCGAGGAGAATCCTGCTTTCGTCAAAATCCACAGCGTTAAGACATCATTTCTCACTGCATACTTGCCTCGGAGCTTCTCACGCCCATTCCCCTCGTAACTCCCTCCCTGTCTCTATAGCCACTAGGTCATTTTCAATCTCAATTATATCGCTGTATACCAAGACACTATGGGTGCAGGGGACCTTGAGAAAGAAGAGCGAAATAGTATGTCGCCTACGCGACCATTCCTCGACACCAATAATTACAATGATCGAGAATCTGGCGACTATGAAGAACTTGAACAACAAAGACCGTATCGACCCGAATCCTGGGCACGAAGACACAGGACAGCACTGGCGGTGCATGGCTTTATGGTCCTCTTCTATATCAGCCTCATGGTTTCGTCTTGGAAGGATCTTTTGGTGAAGGAACACTTTAGGCGATATCGACCTGAATTGTTCAGTGAGTGTCGAAGCCATTGTGAATGTTGTCAAACAACTAGAAGTAGCTAATATCAACTGATTCTAGCGCCTGTGCATGATCATATCGAGACCAAAGTTACAATCATTCACGATCAGCCCAGCGATGTCAATGCTAGCCCTTATGTGGGCACGCCAAGTCCAGAAGTCGACGATGCTTGGTATCGACTTTTGCGTCGTTAGTCATCCTATATTAAAGACGTTTCAAGATTATCAAACTAACCCTTCCCTTCTAGATCACAATATTCGCATTATGGAGGACGAGCTCCGGGCAATGAACCAAACCTCTATCCCCCTCCATGACGGAAGCGGATACCAAGGAATGATGGCCGTCTTCCACGAGCTTCATTGCTTGGTGTGTTTTCTTTTTTCTTTTTTATCCCATCTAACCAGCTAATTCTTCGCAGAAACTCGTTCGCGAAACCGTCCACGCGGACTACTATTATGCAGACAAATCTCCCGCCGAGAGAGCCATGTTAATCGGTCATACAGGTCAGTGTCATTTTCATTTTCTCTCACATTCATCTCCTCCGTGTGATATGATTAAGACCAAGACCAGAGCACTGTATCGACATTCTCCGCTCATCAATCATGTGTCGCGCCGACACCGCCATCTTCCCATACCACTGGAACAATGCCACTCGGCTTCCGAATCCCACCTGGATGCAGAAACACGAATGTGTGAACTGGGACTCCCTTGAGGGATGGTTGGAGAGCCGACGGGTTGACATCTTTGCTCCTAATATGCTGGTGCATCCGAAATATGGTGAATTTGCCTTTCTGCCAGTGGAATTGTTGGTTAACGTAAACCACACAGGTCCCGCATATCCGGGAGGGAAGAGGATTTCAGAGCCAAATGGACCCAAAGTGTATCCTTTGGATCAATGATCATGGGGGTCTAACTTGGGTTTGGATTGCCTAGGGAGAGACTCTTAGTGAAACTGTTGTGCATATAAAACCTTAGCAGTTGATATAGTCAGATGAATGAAGACGATTCACTTGAAGATAAGAAAACATTTTAGGTCGTCTTAGAGAGGTTAATGTGGAAAGAGCTGTAGAGTACACGAGCAACGTTAAGTTCAAAGCTTTGAATTGCATTCTTGAAAGGGACAGTTCCGGTGATAGTACCAAAACCAGCGTACATAAATGCCATGCCCTACATGAATTTGAGAGAATTTTGTTTCCATCTTTGTTCTTTGAGTCACACAAAGATCATTTACAATACAAAGAGTTTGTGATTCCGTTCAAATACTATAACCAGTGTGGGCGTGTAAAAGCTCCAAGGCCATCACTTCCCGGGATGATGACCTGCTAGATTTCCATGAGGATCAGCCGCCCCAATCTTGTCCCCTTCACCGTTTGGATACGCAACTCCTATATCAAAGATTAGACCTGGTGTGTTTACCATTGGAATGATCGAAAGAGAGAAAGCTCACCGAAAATCGGATGCACCAGCCAGTTCGGCTTCATCATATCCACCGTGCGAGTGCGAGTCCAATCATCCAACATCTTCCAGTTGACGCACTGATGCGTCGTAGCGTTGGCTACGGGGATACGACTATTATCGTGCCATTCGAAGGTGATAAGACCAATGTCTCCGTGGCACATGGAAGATTGGCGAAGGAAGTCGATGCAGTGTTCTGTTCCAGAGTTAGGGTAACGAATTAAAATAGCGACGAGAAAAATGAGGCTCTCTTACCATTGTGTAATCGATTCATCTCATGCTGCTCCGGGGTCAGATCACCAAAGTAGTAGTCCGGGTACATGTACTGGTGCAACCGCTTCAGGCAGTGCAGCTCGTGGTAGACGTTCAGAGTACCCAGGTAGCCACCTCCTTCGGGGACCGCCACGCCGATGTCTTCACGGCCATAGTGTGCCATGATCTCGGGTTCGATAATAATGTTCTCCGCTGTTTCAATTAGCGTGCTGATGAAATCTTTTGTAGGTAAAGGGGCACAAATCTACCATTCAGAAGATCATGCCATGCCTTATCAAGCTCTGCACTGGGCTTTCCAGAGAACGATCCCTTCTCCTGGATTCGGTCCTCCAGCGTAAACTTTTGTGCCTCGTACCGGATTGCGGGAATAGCGGGCGCTTTGGAATATGTCAGCCATACAGATCGTGACTATGTGTAGTGCATGTTGAAACAAGGGCTTGGGGGAGGGGCGTTAACGTACAAATGGGTAGCCCTTCTGCTCTTATAATCTTGCCTTTCTTGGTTACTATCACGAAGAGAACCATGGCATACAGAGTAAAGAGGATCAAATGTCCAACCACCAGCACAGTGATTTTTTTCCACCACGGCTCGCGGTACCGGATATCTCTCCCACGGGCAGTTCTATCTTTTTCAAGGAGGCCTTCAGCAGTTTCATCGCCGTCGAACGAATTTCGCGAAGATGAGTTCCCACTCGGGGAATATATGCTGGCGTACTTTGACTTCCGATCGAACAAAGGAAGCCATTGTTTTGGAATCGGCTTAGAAAGAAAGGCCATGATGACAAAGAGGCACCACAGCCAGGTTTGTAGTGAAGAGCAAATTGAACAGTTATGTTGTTCAATTTTTTTCTTAATTGACTGAAAAATCAACATTCGTCAGTGGAAAAGAAAAGATTTCGAAAATTCAGCTGTACGTCCTAATACAATCCCTATCTACCCATCATTCCGTGGACCTTGACGATCCTCCTTACTCATCGACCTCGACCTTTGCTCTCTGCAAGGTTTCTGACCTGCTTACTTCCAAATCGCGATCCTCGCTCGAGAGTGACAATGCATAATGTGTTACAGGGCACAAAAGCGGAGAGAAGCTGCGCAAGCGGCACACATGCACTTCCGTGCATCAAGGATCCAGATGCTTGCAGTGATAGATGCGGTCATCCTTGATTCACAAATTATAGATGGCAGAATTTCGCTCAATCGCGAAGAGATGAAATACCCCGCACGTCAGCACTTGCTCTAGTCATTTCCTTCGGGGCGTCGACTTTCACCTATCACTCTACCTCGCTAGCCTAAACTTTGCCTCTAGGTCTACCTTTATATATGTCGGATCTGGCAAATATTTCCTCAAAAGAATTGATTGGCACGAAACACAGCTCTTCCTCACAAACCTCGTAGATGCCCATCGATCTGAGGTGAGGATCATCCAGGAGCAACGATCATTCTAGTCCTTTTGACGAGCTTGCTTCCTTGAGGTAACTGAGGTAACGTTACATCGGCAGAAATGGCCAAAAGTATGGAAATGAGGCTCTGGATGGTATCATTCTTGTAAGACGGAAAATATTTGTTACTGACCTCCAAAGCGTATACTGATTGACTTGATGGCTTATAGAGGCACCTGCAAAAGATACACAAATACACAGATCGCTAGAGAGGAATCTTCTGCGCCAGTATTCGTCTTTTGGGCCACTTGAGAGAGCAAAGACCAGAGCGATGGGATCTATACAGTGGCTCCGTTAATACACCCCAGACGATCCAGGAAACAACGAAGGAGCAGGAATTATGTACCTGTTCTTTCAAAAGCTGTCTATCTTGCTTCAACAGCTGTTCCGCCCCATCATCTGTAAACAGCTGCTTAATCATATTCGTAATAAATGCTTGAGTGCGACGGATCCGCTTCGGACGTTGCTGTGGTTGTTCATCGCACTGATCCGGTGGCTCAAGACAGTGCTGTGGCTTGACGCAAATCCCGCCGAGTTCTTCCACACAGACGGTCTCTAGCAGCTGGAACTGGCCCTCGTAATATCCATGCGCCTCTCTGCCCACCCAGTCCTTGGAACTGGTATATAGATCTGTTAGCAGTCCGCGGAGCCGACGACTCCGACTGGCAGATTGGGCGTAGCGTGGGAGAGAGCCTTCAGAGAAAGAGGCTGTATAGTATGTTGTAGCAAGATGGTCAAAGCTCTCAAAGCCCATTTCATCAATCAGCCCAAGGATTTGGGCGAGGGAGTTCTCCACGGTGCCGGGTGAGATGGTTGCGGAAGAGTGGGATGTAGCTGAGGGCATTGGGATTGTGGATGTGGTGGAATATCGCCTTGAATGCGCGATATGGGCTGAGTGTGATGAAATATCCTCCTGAAGCTCGGAATTGTGACTGGGGGGTGGTGTATGATTTTCCAGTGGGGGAAGTAGATCTAATAAGCCCGGACTGGGGGAAGCAGTTCTTCGTTGAACGCGAAGCACTCTGAGTGATTTCCTGGAGGGGCTGCCATTTCCATCCACGGTGAGGTGATCAAAGTATCCCTGGAAGAGTCAATTCTGGCATAGGAAGTACATATCTTTATCGATTGTTTACCTAGGTGAACTCCAAGTGAGCACCCCTGACTCTAGAACCTCGGAAGGTATGATCTCGTTTGTTGTAGTTGTGTTTTTCTGTGCTGTATTGTTTTGCATCTTCTGCTTCTCTTGACCGAGGAAGCCTGGTCAGTGATATGCCCATCGTTTCAAGGGCAGTACATGCCTCGACGTCTTCTTTGGGCCAATCGATTTCTTGTGCGTTTAGTATCGGAGACAATGGGAACGCCGATGGGAAGTTGAGTTAAGTCTGGTAAGGGACTCATCCTGTAGGGCATTGGTAATCAGATTGGTCGTGTGGGGAGAGAATAGAAATTGAGTTACTCTACTCACTGCAGGGTATTTATGGGCATCTATGCATACCAGGTACATACATATGTACCTAGTCCATTAGTACGCTATCCATTTGATAAACAACAAAAAGTGGTAAATGGCAACATGCACGTTTTGTCACGTTACGAGTAGCCGTCTTACTATATGACTAACTAACGCTGCTTCCGCGCATTAGTTGGTCTTACCTCAGACAATTTTCTCACCTTAAACAATCTTCACATTTATTTGAATCTTTAGCCAGTCATTTAACCAAACAACATCATTTGAATAGGGCTCAATAGCCTCGGGCCCCTTCCAGAAGCCCTTTGCTCTGCTTGGAATGCTTCTTTTATTTATCTCTCTCTCCATTTGGGCAGCTCGCTCGGTAATTAGGGTCTTCTTATGTCGAGCAAATCGCCGGACCTGCCGGCGAGAATCCTCATTACTCCGCGGAGTTTATCACATTTTAGGCAGTAGCTAGGCCCAACGGGGTGCAGTTCAATAAGCGTACCGCTCGTTTGTTTCAGATGCGTTTGCCCTAGCTGCGTGGAACATAGCATTCTCAAGTCAGAGTCCGCTTGTTCGAATCTTTGACTTAACAACACATTTGCATCTATACTGCGTTTGATATGCTTTTGCATACTTTTGGCAGTTTTTTAAGGCCTTCAGCCTCTTTGGTACTGGTGACATGTATTTTATAATCCGCGCCATTGAATTAGGGGGTGAATTAGTCGCCGAACTCAAGGGTTTGAGGGAGGTAGAGGGGGTATTAAAACCCGTAAGATAGAAGTCCTCCTTATCTTTTTGTACTAACAAAGGCTGAATCCCTAAGTTCGCATCTAAAGGGTAAAACCCCTTGATTTAAATGAGGATTTAATTATTCGTTGCGTTAATGAGCGCCGGCGAACATCACTAATCATCCGGAAAAAATCCCGATATAGAAGGCACTCCCCCCCCGCTATAACTTTTTCATTATTAGTACTTTTAATGCAATGTTCGAGAGTCTAAAATGCCTAGCCATCGAGAGATTGCACGAGGTGAGTAATATGCGGAATAAAGTAGCACGGAATAATAAAAATTCACTTTGCAGTACTCGATGAAATCGTACGTATGTTGTGGATGATGTTTCTCTATGGACAAAAGCTTCGGTCAGCCCCGTTAAATCAGGTTTTCTGAGGCTCCGTTGAATGGAATAAGTCATTCTAGAGTGACGGTATCATTCATCTAGCCGTTGTCGGTATGTCGGATCCGGAACTCATTCATATCATTTGATGTATATGATTCTTCCTAGTGTCGGACTCCCTTCATAAGAAAAAATAGTAACATTAACCAACCACTTGCCGATATACACTGATGTAAGTAGGTGATTCAGCTTGACCACTATTAGGTGATTCTGTGGTTGGATCCTTTGAAACAACCTTTCGATGCTTTCTCTAGCTAATAACAAAGACAGTCTTATCCAAATCAAAGACTTCGTGCAGAAGAAGCTAGTGCTTTTGAAACAGTTCACCATGATGTTAAACTCATTGCGTAATTTCCCCAGTATTTTCAGTCTCAATGCGCTGTTTTCCTTTTGGTTTGTGTGTAATATAGTGATATTCGGGGGGTAATGGCAAAAATTTGTGTAAGGTGAGAAATTGTGTAAGGTGAGAAAATTATCTAAAGTGAGACAGACTAATGTGCGGAAGCAGCATCAGTCATATGGTAAGACGGCTGCCTACCTAGGTAGGTATTATTGGTGAAGTAAACTGACTAGAATATATTCCCTGCCCTCGTTCTGATGGTTGCCTTGTATCTTGAGGTATATACTAACATCTCGCATATCTATATAACTATTACATGTAAATAATTATACACTCATTCGAAAAGATCCCCATTTTATACTAAATCATTGGGTTACAATACTTATGGAGTGGAGACTATGGTTGGTATATCGTGGCATAAAGAGCCCTGTCAATCTTGACCTAACCCTTGCCATTTCTCTTTATGGATTAAAGCGATCAATTAATTAGTAAATCATCTGATAAGAGTTTAAGGTTACGCTCGGGATAAAGTGTTTATATGTTCCGTATTTTAAACTTTCCACTTTTCATTGTAGCGTATCCATGGTACGGCGTTTTCGATACTGTTTCGAAATCAGATAAGATTGGGTTATCCCATTTGATCTCTAGCCCTGGAGGGCTTTCTCTACTTTCCCAGACTGTTCACACTCTTCCCCATATTCTTCCCATATTCTTCCCAACATGTCTTCCGAGGCGAAAGGCACTCAAGCGATACCAGTGTCGCCCATCAATGCCCAGCAAGAGCGACTGAACGCCTTGCTCGAGGAACATGGAGTAAGTCAGATTCGTTCGATTTATCATGTCAATTCTGATATCGAAAGGCAACCTGGGACTCCCTCGAAGACCCTCACGACCCATTCAACTGGTCTTTTATGCGAAAAATTTCCGTCGCACTCATAGTCTCGCTGGGTCAACTCGTCACCCTCATGTCCACCAGCATGATGGCCGCCGCCTTGACTAAAATCGGAGCCGACCTTCATCTAGGCAGCACGGCTACTCAAATCCTTTTTTCGATCTTTATTTTAGGTCTCGCCTTCGCTCCTTTCTTAATTGCTGCTCTCTCGGAGATGTACGGACGGCGATCGATATGGATTGCCAGCAATATGTTCTATATCCTGTGGAACGCACTGTGTCCAGTCAATTCCTCGGTCGGACTCATGACGGTCGGTCGCTTCCTGGCAGGATCGGGTGCCAGTGCAGGTATTGTGGTCAGTACCTTGGTCAAGATATCCACGGTGAAACTATGAAACTCACATTTGTTAGCTCACGGGTCCTATTCTGGCGGATATGTATCGTCCTGAACATCGTGGGCGCTCTCTCGCGCTGGCTACCTTCATCCCATACATAGGCCCGGCTCTGGGTCCCATAGTTGGCGGTGTTATCTCCCAGCATCTCCAGTGGGGCTGGTTATTCTGGACTCTCTCCATGTTCGATGCAGCCATTGTGCTGGTCGGCTTTTGCTTCTTCCCCGAATGCTACACACCAGCACTGCTTCGGAAAAAGGCCGCCCTTCAACGCAGCGATATCAGTGGTGCTCCTCCAAGTAACCGAAAATTCATGCTAGACAAAGCCTTCTATCAGGACCTCGGCGCCCGGCTACGCGCCAACCTGATCCGGCCGCTTTGGCTCCTTGTCTACCGCCCAGCCATCCAAGTCATCGCGCTCATCATGGCCCTGAACTTCGCCATCTACTGTCTCCTGCTTTCAACATATGCTACCCTCTGGATCGAGCGCTACGGCGAGTCTGAGACAATTAGCAGTCTGAATTACATCGCGATCGCGGTCGGCACCATCGGCGCCTCCCAAGCAGGCGGCATATTAATGGATTGGATCTATGCATCCCTGAAAGAGCGCAACAACGGCGAAACCACTCCCGAGTTCCGCGTCCCGTTCCTCATCCCAGCTGTGATCCTCATTCCCGTCGGCCTCTTTCTCTACGGCTGGTCAGCGGAAAAACGACTCCCCTGGATCGTCGTAGACATTGGCACGGCAATCTTTGTCTGTGGCAGCTTTATGCTGGCGCAGGGAATGCTGGCTTATCTACTCGATGAGTTCAAGCATGCTGCCTCGGCCAATGCGGCAGCGCGCATGTTGTCGAATATCCTCGGTTTTGTCTTTCCCATCTTTGCGCCTAGCATGTATGCATCCTTGGGGTATGGGTGGGCGAATAGTCTGTTGGGATTTATCTTCGTTGCGGTGGGGATGCCCATACCCGTCATGTTGTGGTACTATGGACCACGCTTGAGGGCTATTGGACGGACATAGTCGTTGCTTTATTTTTACGGATGGGGCTGTGTTACATAGAATTTGGATCTTTTTAGATCAGCAATGGCGTGCTGGGTGGATTCGCCCCCGTACTAAGCCATAACAAGCAAATCCAAGCCCCTGCACCAGGACGGGGAAGGGTCTTGGCTCATAAAAATGGATGCGTTTGATACCGCTAGTCCGCCGTACTTCGATTGGCTCACAGGGCCTACTGGAACATATGTAAAATGCTGAGATTAGGATACGATACCCTTGAACACTGATGGGCGATCCTTAGCAACATTTTCTACGGAACAGTACTATTCTATGGCCTCGCCAGACTCAGCAAAGATAAACGTTGTATTGTAATTTTTCATTTCATCATCGCTACCACCTTCATAATGCATGTTAATCTTTAGCTCTCCATTTCTACCAACTTGCTTCGGAGTTCATCGATGGTGACACGGTATGTGCGTACTCTGGCTTCATATAATGCCACCCTCATGTTGACTAAATGTCGTGGTTGCGATTCTGTCGAAGTTTTCATCTCAATATTCGCAGATTTCAAGAGTTCGAGAATTTCAGTTAAAAGGGGCTGATCCGGCTCCTCCACGTGGTCAAAAAGTCGGTTTGGTGTCGGAGAGATAAGTGACGATTTAAATTTCAAGGTTCGACGTCCTCCCTGAGTATCATGCCCGAATACTGGAGTAAGGAGACATGGAGTTCGACTACGATTTTGTTGAGGGGTCCTGGTTTCGGATTTCGATACCCTTGCTGTGGGTTCATCCTCGTCCCAAAGGAAAACTTACAACCACTGTCTTTATTGGGACATCGCAGAACTATCCTCCTGATTAAAGATCGTTCTCATGGGCACAAATGCTAACTGACATTTGATGCCCTTGGTCTGGTCCTATTTTGAGGTGTAATGTCTGGCTCGGTCGCCGCAGCCGCAATACCACTCATTCTCCTTGAGTTCACCCGTCGTGTATACCGAGAAGACTTCAACCTTGTTCTGAGCCATTTGTGTATTCTTATGGATTCGTCAGCGAGTGGTGGTTATTCTAACGTTAGCATAAGAGGATAAAGCGACACGCGGGTGCAATCGGCGACCACTACATTTAAACAAGAAGTAACCCCGCTTTGACTCATATTGCAGATGATCAAGACAGTATATGGGCACGTGGCATATATGAACAAGTCGTACAGTGAAGTATAACACACCTAAATGTCATATCTGAATTGCTTCCTTGCTTTTTGTTCGAAGCGAGCAACCTGGTAATCTGCCCTTCTCCGCTTATGCAAAAACTTGCTGCTATTAGAGTTTTTCTAACCGTTTGAGATCTAGGCAGTGCTTAAATTCTATTATATCACAGATGAGACAGACCTTAGGGGCAGAACGGCTTGGGGCTATATCGTGTTCAGTTGACACTCAAGGCTTGTGACGGAGGAGACAGAGAGACAAGAAAGAATGGCGTAGAGGTTGTGTTATGTATCGCACATTTTAAAAATGCGGACTTCTGGTAGCATTCATGTCACGTAATTTATTTTATCGTGTATTCTAGAAAGCGGGTCTAGCGGTCGGGAGATCGACCCCATGCCGTCCATGATTGGGCACCTCTATTCATCGGCGCTTTTACGATGCCGAAGAGTCTTGTATCTGAAGAAATACTTAATATGGTTTCTCCGTTGCAAATAGAAGCAAATACCATCTGTGCGATAGACGTGGATCATGTCAGAGATAAGCTGGTGCTGTGAGGGGGTGTCATTGCCCGATGGACTCTGTGTCAACAAATCATTCAATCTTGTAATCAGGAGCAACACGAAACGATACATTGCGCTAATGCAAGTGTAGATAATCGGAGCTCACATTTTCTACAATATTGTATCAACCAGGGCCTTCTCCTATATGGTACATGTGGAGTAATCGCTGACCATGCATGCGACCGCCCCATATTAGGCAACTAGCCTATGACTACACATATGTTACAGTGTGCTATCGTGGCGGTTCGTCAAGCAATGCTGCAATATTGTGTGGCGCGGACTTCTTACCACAAAAATCAAGCTTGATATTTCAATCCGCCATGGCGAGTTCGGAATGAGGTTCAAATCTATGGCTGAATATGCACCACTATCGCCACGCACTTCAGGCATCACGCGCCGGACATCGGACGACAATGGACCTTCGGGCCGACGCGCATATACTAGGATTCTTGGCCTAGGTGTCTTGTGCCTGATTTCCCTTTGTGGATGGATCTTGGCCTTTTGGGTATCCCTTAATCCTAACTCAATTACTTTGAATCTCGAGCTGCCGACCACAGAAACGACTGGTGGACTTATCACAGAAAGCAGTAACGCCGGATTATCAATCAGTGAGATTTTGGACGGCAGTTGGAAACCGAAACCTCATTCTCTGCAGTGGGCAGGAATCAGTGAAGTTCTTTTGGTAGATCGGGAGAGAGATACAAATAGAGTTTCCGCATGGCAGGTCAAAGACGATCGGGACTCGCTTGCGTGGAGCCACGACTCTATCTCAGCCTTACTGGAATCCGACGACTTTTGGATTAGCCCTGGTGCACACACGGCACTGGTTGTATCCAACAAGACCAAGGAATGGCGCCGTTCTTTCCGGGGTCTCTACTGGCTCCTCGATTTGAACACATCAAAGCTCGAACCACTCGATCCCGAGCGCCCATCCGCACCAGTCCAGCTCGCAAGCTTTTCGCCTCAAGGCGATGTCACATTTGTGCGAGATGGAAACCTCCATCTGCGTCGCAGTAAAGGAAAGATCATTGAGCCGATCACCATGGATACCGACCCAGCCGTGATGTATGGAATCCCCGGCTGGGTTTACGAAGAGGAGGTGCTGGAGAGTAACAGCGCTCTGTGGTGGTCCGATGACGGGAGATACCTCGCTTTCCTACACACGGATGAATCAATGGTAGAGACATATATGATGCAAATAAACCACTCCAAACCTTATCCCGAAGACCGTCTGGTGCGGTACCCGAAGGCTGGGAGGGCCAATCCAAAGGTCGATCTGCAAGTCTATGATCTTCACACACGCAGACTTGTGAGCCTCAATACCACAGCCCAGCTGCCGGATGATCAGCGAGTGATTTTCAGCGTGGTCTGGCTCTCGTCATATGAGCTGTTGATGAAGCAGACCAATCGCGAGAGCCAGATGTTGATGGTGTTTCTTATTAATGTACAGATGGGTTCGTCTAGATTGATACGGGTCGAGGAAGGTGCGAATAGGTGTTGGGTCGAGCCAGTCCGGGAGACGGTAAGGTTTGTGCCGGCTGATTCACGGCGCGGGCGTCCGCAGGATGGGTATATCGATCTCGTCGAACAGGATGGGTATAATCATCTTGCCTACTTCACACCCGTGCACGACTCGACACCGGCCATGAATCTGACAGCGGGTAAATGGGAGGTCGTGGATGCTCCCTTGACCGTGGATCTCGAGCACAACTGGGTGTATTTTCTCGGCACTGTCGAGCACGCCCCGGACCAACGACATCTGTATCGCATAAGCTTGGATGAGCACGAAAATGGAAGTGGCCATGTGCATGCTTTGACTGATACCAGTCAGCCTGGGTATTACAGTGCATCATTCGCCCCTGGGGGCCGATATGCTCTCCTGACGAACGAAGGCCCAGGCGTCCCCCACACGGCTCTTGTAGCATTGAACGAAGAAGACGTAAAGAAGGTCGCTAACATTGAACTCAACCACAACCTAGTGCGCAAGACTCAGGCCGCGGTTTCCCTCCTCCCACAGCGTCGTTTCTTCCACACTGATCTCGGGAATGGACTTCTGCTCCCCGTAATGGAACTTCTCCCCCCAAAATTCGATTCCAACCGCCAATACCCCGTCATTTTCCATGTCTACGGCGGTCCAGGCTCTCAAAAAGTCTCACAAAAATTCAAAGTAGATTACCAGTCGTTCCTTGCCTCCCAGAACTACGTGGTCGTGACGGTCGATGGCCGAGGAACGGGTTTCAACGGTCGAGCCGCGCGATGTATCGTGCAAGATCGCCTCGGTCACTACGAAGCCCAGGACCAGATTTTCTTAGCCCGGCTCTGGAGAGAGAAGCCGTATATTGATGCCGCACGCATGGCGATCTGGGGATGGAGCTTTGGCGGATACCTCACGCTTAAGGTTCTCGAACTTGATGCCGGCAACACGTTTCGGGTGGGAATAGCAGTTGCTCCTGTGACAGATTGGAGATTTTATGGTCAGTTCTATTTTTCTTTGCCTCAGATGGTTCAACCTCATAGCAAGCTGATACTCTGTGGGATCTATAAAGACTCTCTTTTCACAGAGCGCCATATGCACACCCCACAGCACAATGCGTTTGGCTATGAAAACGCAGCTATAACCAACATGACGGCTTTGAGCCATGTGCAGCGCATTCTTCTCGCCCATGGACTGGCAGATGATAATGCGCATGTGCAAAATACACTGACCCTAGTGGACAAGCTGGTTGCTGCGGAGGTGGACAACTATGATGTCCTTTTGTTTCCGGATTCGGATCATGACATTATGTTTCATGGGGGAAAAAAGATGCTCTATCAAAGTGAGTATTAGTTTCCCGTCTTGTCTTCTTTATTTCGAGAAGGTTCTGTCTGGCTTATAATGATTACCAGGGATGTTCGAGTGGCTAGAGGGATATATGGCAATAGAAAGCTAATAAAGAATCAGAAGTTATAGTAGGATTCAACGTAAGGAAAGTCAAGATACATTTTGTCCCCAGAGCTAGAAAGTCTTGGGACATACCTTCAATTCATGTCTTTCTACCAGTCTTTTCCCGGGTTCTTTCTAGACATTCTAGGAAGTCTCTTTCTGATTCCCTTCAATGATTTGAGCAATTGAACACAAAGATCTCAATGTATTTTCAAAAGGGGAACTTGAATTACACACCCGGACTTCATAGCAAGGCAGACAACCCTTAGGATCATTCTTGGCTCAACTAGCCCCTATGAAAATCAATATTCCAATATCATCTCTTCAACTCAATTTCACCATGGACCAGATCATAAGATGATATAGCAAACCGGCCAAATCACTAGAAAAACAGTGACACGCTGACGTAGTCGTATGACCAAGACACAGTTGTAACCAAGGATCTAGCCACAGCACTTCGTAACCGACGTAGCATCCGACCTAAGGCCAAATGAGAAGCAATAAAAATGCAAAGAGGGGAACACTCACCCCTTAGTCAGATCAATAGGTTCCCACGCAAAGATAAACGCACCCAGGAACGCGCCGATGAAGATACAAATGATAATGTAGCCATTGTAGTACATGGCCAGTAGCATAATGAAGTATGCCACAGCAAACTGAACCATATGCAGCAGAGAGCGAATAGTATGCTCGATCAGCGAGGGACGGTACGGAGTCAAACACGGAGCAGAAGCATTAGCAGGCGCAGAGGTAGCTTGCTTCCGGGTGTCGATAGGGTTGATGATGTTGTTTTCAGCGGGACAAGCGTTGTCGCAAGTACTGTCTGCCAGTAGAGGTTCAGAGGAAGCTTGTCTCAGACGGGCCTTGCGAACGATGAGAGAATCATATTCTCTGCCGGCGCGACGGAGAAATTCGAGACAAAGGACGAGACAGATGACGCCGATGCAGGAGCCTGCGAACATGCCTCTAGAAGTTATGTGCCAGGATTTGGCGAGGAAGCCTGTTCTGTTAGCTTTGCAGCGAGGAGAGGGTGGATTAAGGGCATACATGTGCCGACGGTGTACCAGTTCCAGTACATCTGATATTGTTAGTGCTTGAATACAGATAAAGTGGCGGAGTTACACACTTCCATCTTGCAGTCCATAGCCATGTCGCCCATACTGGTCATGTCCATACCAGTGCTGCTTGGCATGGCTGAGGTCGTGGCCGACATATTCATTCCGCTCATGTCCATGTCTACGGCAGGATATGGAGACTGCGCGTTGAAAAAGGCAAGCAAAGAAATGAGAAAAGAGCTGAAACTGGTAAACAAGAACTCATTGAAGACATTCATGATTGTTACAAGCCCTAGAGCGTATTGCCAAGCTGAGCAAATTAGGGCAGAGGTCATTTGAGCAAATTAAATTTGAAAAAAACGAGGGTATCATTTCAGTATCATTTCGGACTTATGGTTTTTTTCAATTCGAGGTTCACCGATTAGAACCTTTGATAACACCCTCCAACAGCTCCCGAATCTGAGAGCAACCATCAATACCAACAGCAGTCATAGTCTCAAGATAAGTAGAATGAACCTTCGACTCCATCGCGAACACAGAAACCTTCATAACCTCTTCATCGTCCATATGATTCTCACCAACAGGCACAACGGTTGTCGTGCCGACCGTAAGGAAAGGCAGCTCTTGCTCTTCCGGCAATGACAAGTCAAGCAAAGGATCGAGCTCGTCGTGGCGCGGATCCCGAGGCGTAGATGCACTACCACTCATACCAGCCGTGCAACCGGTTAAGAGGCCCGGCATGGGAATACCGGCGTCCACTAAAGCGAGGGTACAAGCGTTGATAGCAGCCGCGAGGAGCGAACCATCGGCCGAGAGGACGGATACGTGGATGCTGATTGTGCTGTGGGGGTAGAGGTAGGTGTGGAGGTGCGATTGGAAGGTTGAGCGGAGGGTTGTAGCAATACGGGATGATTGTCTGTATAGCATTAGCATGTTGATCTATCGGGCCCGGACGTAGGCCAGAGTGGAGTAATACCTGTCACTTCCACCAGCTCTGCGCTTGCGATCCACGCCCGCAAAACCGGCAACATTGACATCGACCTCAACAACGGCATGGCCACTTCCCGCTGCGCCTCCGTCTCCGCGCCGACCCTCGGCCGGGCCGTGAACGGTGCACATAATTGATGTGTTGCCCATGGATAAATATGAGGAGCCGGAGCTGGCGGGGTTGGTTGAAATCTGGGCTTGGAGAAGACGGAGCTCGTTCCAACGACGGCCGTCGAGGCGCAGCCGGGTAAGCGGATATGTTGTTGAAGTATCCAGAGGCATTGTGAATGATTATGGGCCTGGGCTTGGCTATAGGTTGTGATGGGTTTTAAAAAAGCGGTTCGAGCACGGTGAAGCTCTGCAATAGTCTGTATGAATATCAATTAGTCGTTTATTGGCATTGAGGCTCTTGCGACTCACATTAGACAAATTGTATAGGCGAATTGGAGATCAGGTCAAATCGTCTCGGGTCTTTTTTTCCTGGAATATCTTGGCACGTGATAAGTGGGACACTTCTATACTGGCAATATACACATCTGGAATTTATATTGAACTGAACGCAGCACAGAACAATAATATTGAGATGTATTGCTTAAGCAAAAGATAGAACCTTTCTTCCACTAGATCCTGTGATGGCGTTTTCATAATTTATGTTCTGGATTCTTTTCGCAGTTTTGAGTATACTTGATGCCAGGTCTGAGGACTATGGTTGGTTTGTAAATCCTAAATTTTATCGCTTTTTACTACTTTTCCATGCGATAGACTTATTTCAGTATTAGATTCCGATAAAAAAAAACTAAACGTTGGAGCTGAATGGTGGATTTTCGCGCAATAGTCGTTAAAACCTTCCGTAACTTCCGTGTCGCGATAATTGGTACCAACATCATTCTAGGCACCATTTTAACTTTCGGACTGAGTTCTGAAAAGAACATGACATTATGGCTAGTAAAGATCCCACCGAGATTATTAGCATTGACTCAGATGATGATGATTTGGAAGTGACGCACTATACTACTCCGCAAAGTATGCACCTCTTGGACGCGTCAGTACACAGCTGACATTATATGCAGGTAGACTTTCCTGGGCAAAACAAGAAACTATCCCTCCAGTAATACTGGAGACAGCGCGTAATTTCTCTGAGCCATCAAGCTCGGTCAAAATCCAACCGGTTGAAAGTGATGACGACGTCAACGGTGGCGAGCTGGCTTACAAGAAGTTCAAAGAACGCAAGTCTCTCAAGCGCAAGCAAACCGCTGCAGCTGGGCGCAAAGCTAAAGTGCCACGAGTGAACGAATTTGTTGGCCGAGTGAAACAAGAGCACCCTGCGCAGGGAGCCAAACGACCGTTAGAAGAATATGGCGCGCCATCCTCTGAAGATGAGCTGATGGAGAATACACTCCCAGGTTATCTCAAATCTCGGAGGACCAAGTTCGAAAGGACCCGTGAACGTTTACAAGATTCTGGACTGAAGTTGCCGCCCACATACGAGGATGTAGATTTCTCAGATGATGAGCGCCTAGGCGAACTTCAAGAACGGCCTGTTTTTCCGAACGTGGCACCTCAGAAGGAGTACAAAGATATTGAGCTTCCATACTCGCTGGGTATCATTCCTGCGCCTATTGCCCAGTGGTTGCGGCAGTATCAAGTGGAAGGCGTTGCATTCCTCCATGAACTGTTTGTGTATCAAAAAGGTGGCGTTCTTGGAGATGACATGGGTCTTGGAAAGACCATCCAAGTGATTGCATTTTTGACCGCCGCATATGGAAAGACGGGCGATGAACGAGATGCGAAACGCATGCGGAAGGTGCGCCGAGCTCACGACAGTGCGTGGTACCCTCGTATTCTCATCGTGTGCCCTGGAACTCTACTTGCAAATTGGAGGGCTGAATTTGAACGATGGGGATGGTGGAATGTTGATTGCTACCATGGTGAGAACAAGGATATTGCGCTTGATGCGGCAAAGTCGGGGATGGTGGAAGTCTTGATCACCACCTACACCACTTACATGACCAACAAGGACTCGGTGAATATGATCGAATGGGACTGTGTTATTGCAGACGAGTGTCACAAGATCAAAGAACGCAAGTCTGGAACCACCCAGTCGATGAACGAGATCAATGCGTTGTGTCGCATAGGGCTCACCGGAACAGCAATCCAGAACAAGTATGAAGAGCTGTGGACACTTCTGAATTGGGCCAACCCCGGGGTTTTGGGCCCTGTGAACACTTGGAAAGCACAAATCTGCGAACCGTTGAAGATTGGACAATCACACGACGCAACCTTGAGCGAGCTCAGCAGGGCACGGAAAACGGCCAAGAAGCTAGTCGAGAACCTTCTTCCTCAGTTCTTTTTGAGAAGAATGAAGACTTTGATCGCGGACCAGCTACCTAAAAAGATCGATCGTGTAGTCTTTTGTCCTTTGACCGAAACACAAGCTGAAGCCTATGAGAATTTCCTCGACAGTGACATCGTCGATTATATCAAGCACTCCACCCAAATATGTGACTGTGGGACCGGCCAAAAGCGTGGTTGGTGTTGTTATCGTTTCATTCCCGAAAGAGAACCTTCAGCTTGGCAAGCTTATGTCTTCCCTGCCATCACGGTCCTTCAAAAGCTCAGCAACCATTTGGCAATCTTGATCCCGCAAGGATCGGACCCAAAAGAGAAGCAGGATAAAGACAGAAACTATCTAGAGCTTGCACTGCCTAAACAGTGGGAGGATCTATACCGCTCCCGAGACTCGATTGTCAACTATGCCAACCCCGAGTTCTGTGGTAAATGGAAAGTTTTGCGCAAGCTTCTGAGATGGTGGCACTCGAATGGAGACAAAGTACTTATTTTCTCACATAGCGTGCGGCTTCTAAAAATGTTGCAGATGCTGTTCCACCATACTAGCTACAACGTTAGCTATCTAGATGGGTCCATGAGTTATGAGGACCGCGCAAAGGTTGTGGACGAATTCAACGCCGACTCTCGACAGTTTGTTTTCTTGATTTCCACCAAGGCCGGTGGCGTGGGATTAAACATTACCTCAGCGAACAAAGTCGTGGTCGTGGATCCGAACTGGAACCCATCATACGATCTACAGGCTCAGGATCGGGCCTATCGCATCGGACAAACTCGTGATGTGGAAGTCTTTCGCCTCATATCCGCTGGTACAATCGAAGAGATTGTATACGCTCGGCAAATCTACAAACAGCAGCAAGCAAACATTGGATACAATGCAAGTTCCGAACGACGATACTTCAAAGGTATACAGGAAAAGTCGGACCAAAAAGGTGAAATCTTCGGTCTGAAGAACTTCTTCCAATACCAAAACGACAACATAGTTCTACGAGACATCGTCAACAGAACGAACGTTGCCGAAAGCCGCGCCGGCGTACAAGTCGTGGATGTAGAATTCAAAGCGGAAGAAGAAACCCCCGATTTCAGCGAACGATCCACGAAGTCAGAAGATGAAGCAATGAGCCAACTCGTCTCCATGATCTGTGATGAAGAGAAGCCGAAACTCAACCCCTCCAAACCCCCAACCCCACACAAACATGACCCAGTGCAAGCGATTCTCGCCGGCGCAGGCGTTGAATACACACATCTCAACAATGAAGTCGTTGGATCGTCCCGTGTCGAAGAAGGCCTCAGTCGTCGCGCGGAACTTGCCTCCAATGATATAACGGGCGATCTGCATGTGTTCATGTCGCAGTCGCAGTCGCAGCGCTCTGGACAAACCGAGGAACCTTTGAGATTCAAGTATCATCCGCCAGAGGGGGTGATGAGGCGTCAGTTCTGTAGTATGGCCCGGCGCTTTGGGTACGCTGATGCAACGGAATTCGCGCTTGTTGTTGAGGGCATGACGCAGGCGCAGAGAAGGTCCTGTCTTGATCAGTGGTATCGGGAGAGGAGAGACTTGCTCGTGAATGTTAATGAAGAGTCTGATGATGTCAAAAGTGAGATCAAAGATGAGAAACTGGTCAAAGACGGGGATAGGATTAAAGATGAGGAGGCTAATAAGGAGGAGAGCCCGGGTCTCTAGCGTTTTGTTTTGATTACTTTGTTTTGGTTACTGGTCTACTTGCTTGATACCCCTTCAGTTGAATAAATGTGCCAAGAATTGAGATTGAACTCTGGCAAACCTTGAATCATTGGTATTATCCATCCTCGGATGGCACTTGCAGCCTTGAAAGTGCTGCATCGACGCTAAATCGCAAAACAAGGCCGTAAAAAAGGCCTAAAGCCAAGCAATAGTCCACAAAGCCGGCAAGTTAGGATGTTTCTCCTGCCACTCAGCCAAGATCCTGGGGACATTCTCATCGAAGCTCCGACGCGCAGCACCAGACCCATTCTCCCAGCCCTCAGCACCATGCACGCGATGCTCATCAACAGCAGCGGCATTCAACCGATTCGCCAGATCAAGAATCGCCTTGCCACCAGTCAACGCCTCTTCATGATTATCCTTAATATCAACATTGAAGACATGAACGGGGTAATTCAGCGTCGACCCCTTATTCATAAGATCATCAACGACAGCATCCCAGCACCGCTCCTCGCAGGTAATGATCACATCGACGACACCACCCTCCGTCCCGACAGCACCCTTATCACCCTTATTGAGATTGTCGACGCGGGGCACACCGGGGACCCAATCTTGGAAGCGCTCGGGGCCCCATTTCAGCTGCCTGTTGCGGTCTAGCATGTTTAGGATGCCGTTGCTGCGGTACAGGCGCTCGTCTTTGCCGTGCAGCTCTTCGTACATCTGGTTGTAGGAGGTTGAATTGAAATGGTAGACATTTGGTTGTGATATTGAGGGCCCCGGGAGGCGGACGAGCGAGCCTGTGCCGAATGAGATGACTGGGAAAGCGGTGCCGGAAAGTTGGAGGTGTGCTTCCATTGAGCGGTTGTTGTTCGAGGCACAGACGGTGCAGAACTTGAGTTTGTACGAGTCTGCTGGATCTAGGGCCATTCCGGGTGGTGGAGGAGGTTGGGGCGTTGAGGTCCTCGAGTTGGGTCGGGGATCATATGCCATTTTGATGGAGAATGAAGATGGTAATGGAACTATGTAGAGGAGAGAAAAGAGAGAGAAAAAAAGCTAAGAGGGTGTTTTTCTAGATATTTTCGATCATGGAGGTTTCTTCAGTTTACAATATGCTGGTGACTTCAGAGGCTGTTAGCGACTGACTTTCGTTATGTTTGTGATGATAACATGGGTTAAGGTGAATGAATTTCAGAAAAAAAAGCGTATAAGTGTTTGTCCGCAAAGCCGAAGCTCAGACAGCTCCAATAATAGTGTTCATCATGCAAAGAAGGAGAATGAGAGAATAAATTCACACATACCTTGCTATTTCTCATGATCCAATTCAATTCATTAATTCAATAATAAGGAGCCGTAGCTCTGAACAGAAGAAGAGATGAGGTTTGGTGAAAGCTGAATCCCGCTTTTTACAGCTGTACTTACCGCCAGTAGTTCCGCCTAAATGAGAGTATTCTGCCAGACATATGTTGTTTTTGAGGTACGGATGCATGGTGTTTTCCTTCTTCTTAAAGCCATTTTACTTGTTAAGTACAACTTTGCCAGAGATCTTCGTTAAAAGCAGAGGGCAGGTCCCTTTTGTATCTGAATCGACTTTACCTATCGAACTCTGAAAGCTTCATCTATCCACAACTTCTTTCTTGGCCCCCTTCCCGGATCCGAAATGGCACCGAGTGACTCCATCAGGGCGGCCCTGATTGTCGTAGACATGCAAGAAGACTTCTGTCCTCCAGTGAGACCAACAATATCTTGATACAGCCAGACCCAAGCTAACATCAACCAGAATGGATCCCTTGCCGTCCAAGACGGCCGCAGCATTGCGCCTACAATCAACCACCTACTAACCAAGGGATTCCTAACTCGAATATTCACCAAAGACTACCACCCAAAAAACCACATATCCTTCGCAAGCAATCACCCACCCCCAAACAACCGCCCGTTCACATCAACGATCACGATGAATAACCCTGCCTTGGGCAAAGAATCAGAAACAAAATCCCAAAAATTGTGGCCAGAGCACTGTGTAGCCGAAAGTGGAGGCGCAGAAATAATCCCAGAAATTAACACATCAGCCGCCGATGTAATTGTTCATAAAGGCATGCGCGCTGAAGTGGAGATGTATTCTGTTTTCGCGGATGCTTTTGGGAACTGCGACCCTGGGATAAATAGCCATTCGGTTAGTTTGGATGTTGCAGCGAAGCTGAGGGGGGGACGGTATCACGGATGTTTTTGTTGTTGGGTTGGCGGGGGATTATTGTGTCAAGGAAACTGCTGTTGATGCTGCTAAGGCTGGGTTCAAAAGTTGGGTTGTTGAGGAAGGGACAAAGTGTGTTGTTCCCGATTGTTGGGAAGGGGTTAAAGATGAGCTTCGAGCTGCGGGTGTGTCTTTGGTCTCTGTTCATGACCCTGTTGTCGAGGGATTGTGATGGTTAACTGGCAGCCATGCTGTTGGTTGTCCCATTTGAGCTTTCCAATTTCCACAATATAGATGGTGGTCATCTTCATTAGTACGTTGTATGCTCCATAGCTACAACGTAGTGCATGGCTGGTCTTTAACTAAGCAAATAATTACCATCAAGTGGAGCGATGATCGACGCCTCTTGACACCTTAGGCGCCTCGATCTTCCGCTTTGGAGCGCTGCGGAGGGGTACTTGAACTTCATCTAACAAGCACAATTGTAACCACTTAAGCATAAAAGCAGGTAAAATCGATTCACAATGGCCGACATGGCGCACTCTACACCGAGTACTACAATAACCCTCGATGAGAAACTGACCGATGCCGACGCAAGAGCCCCAGCGCGCTCTCTACACGACCACAGCCTGACTCCAGAGAAACTCCCTTACTGGCAGGTCAATGTGCCGCCATCACAGAGGACCGAGGAATGCCCCAGGTTTCTTCGCGACTTATCTCCAAAGGCCATCCGGTGTATGTCCATTCCCGATGACCAGTATATCCGACAGGACTGGGCGGAAGTGAAGGAGATAATCAGTCAGTGCATCCGATCTGATTGAGTAAACCATCGCTAATGCAAAGCAAATAGGAACCAACCGCATTGATCGGTTCCAGCGCGTCCCCAGCGAAACGCGCAAGTATCACGAATACGTAACGCGCATCAAAGCCGAGTACTCATCAGTCGTGAGATTCATGATGAAAAAAAGACTCCACTGGGGCGACGGCGACATCACCGATCTCCAACCCCGAGGCAAACCATTTGAGTACGAAGGTACGTATTAATTTCTGGTCATCTTCGCCCTCGAATCCGGGGAAGTGGATACTTGTATACTAAACCCAAGCAGAGGACATCCGAATCCTATACAACGACTGGCCCTACGGGGTTGCAAAAGACATCATCCATCTGGTCGTATGGACAAAGTTCGCACTGGAAGACGACCCATCGACAGACGAACTGTCCGCAAGCGCGCGGGATGACATAGAAGCCTATGTGCGGCGCACGTTTTGGCGAATACCGCGCGAACAGGTAAGACAATATACGCATACGAATACGAAGCCCCTGGGGCCCGTTAGGCTGACAGATTTAGGTCATCTGGTTTAGGAATTGGAAGTCGCTCAAGTCTGTTCATGCGGTTGAACATTTCCATGTTATGATTTGGCGTCCCGATATGGAATTTATAAGGGAGATCACCCGTGGAGATGTACCGCTGATCGAACGGGTATCCATTTGAGATGTGCCGGCCCCGGGGGTCCTAGAGATTATTTTTTGGGGAGTAAAGTGAGGTAGGAGATAGTGAATAGAGCTTAGATTGAAATAGAGAAATGTAGAGGTCAAAACTACCTAGCAGGATACTAGCCATTCATATGTATATACTAAACATAGATGGGTATATGTAGTAGAGTAAAAACCAGCACTGCAGACGTCAGAGTAGCCCCTCTTCGAAGCTAAGCATTTCGTTGAGTTTCGTATTTTTGTTCCCTTTTTTTTCTTTTCTACTTCTTCTTTCTCTCTTCTCTTTTTTTTTCCCTTCTCTCTCTCTTCTCTCTTCTCGTTTAACTATTTTGCTGTGCTTTATTTTTCCCTCTTAAAGCTCAGCTGCCCAATTTCCGAATCCCCCGCCAACAAAAAAAAACAAGTCAGCTGTCTTCTAGGCTACCTGATTTATTATTTCACTTCCTTGGTTTTTCCCCCTTGAATTTGTGAAATATCCAATATCTCAATATCTTTTCATCTTAAATGCCTTCAGTTTAGAAAAACTTCCGTGTTTGGCTTAAAATCAATAATACTTTTCCGAACGCAGACATGCCGGTCCCGCATCTCCGCCGCGCATCCTTGACTAGTGAGATCTTTTCTCTCCACAACAACTCTACAATATGTCGGCTAACCAAGAACCAGGCAGATCATCTATGGAAGATTCCCCGCAAAGTGGCGAGGATGAGATTGTCGAGCCTGATCAGGGAAATGGTACGAGCAAAATATTTCCAGTGAACAGTAACGCGGGGCTAATCGTTGTGATGCATGTACAGTCCTCTCGCATATCATCTCCCAACTACGGCCTGGCGCTGACCTGAGCCGGGTTGTCTTGCCGACATTCATCCTTGAGCCTCGATCCATGCTGGAGCGAATCACCAAGTGCGTGCATATCCCCGCCATTCCGGAGCTGTTCTGCGGTCGACTAACGCACATAATCTAGCTTCATGGCTCACCCGGAAACCCTGCTTCCCATGTCGACCATTGACGATCCGGTCGAACGCTTTGTCTCCGTGGTCAAATTCTACCTGAGTGGATGGCACATCAAACCTCCGTATGTCGCGCTTTGTAACCCGAGGCTGAAACACATTCTGATACCTATATCCACGCAGAGGAGTGAAGAAACCACTCAACCCTATCCTCGGAGAGACATTCACCTGCTACTGGGACTATCCCGATGGAACCCGCGGCTACTACGTGTCCGAACAGACCTCCCACCACCCACCGAAGTCGAGCTACTTCTTCGCTGCGCCGGAGCACCATATTCGTATTGATGGAACACTCAAGCCCCGCAGTAAATTCCTCGGCAACTCCGCGGCCAGTATGATGGAGGGCATCGCCACTTTGCGACTAATGAACCATGGAGATAAAGGAAAGGGCGAGAAATAGTATGTCAGGTCCTGCGACAGGTCGGTCGTGTACCAGCTAACCGCAACCAGCATCGTGACCCAACCCAATATGTATGCGCGCGGCATCCTCTTTGGAAAAATGAAGTATGAGCTTGGCGACCACAGCTACGTGCGCTGCCCGGAGAACCACCTTGTTGCCGATATCGAGTTCAAGACCAAGGGATACTTCTCCGGTACTTATAACGCCATCGGAGGAACGATCAAGAACGAGCAGACAGGAGAGGTTCTCTACGAGCTTTCAGGACTGTGGAATGGAGAGATGGATATCAAGGATGTTCACGTATGCTCCAGCGTAAAGGTAAAATGCGAGTTCAACGCTGACGTATAATAGACCCACAAGAAAGACCTCCTATTCGATGCGACACACGCAAAGCACACCCCTCCGCTATCACGCCCACTCGAAGAACAGGGCGAGCGGGAGTCGCAGCGTCTCTGGCACAACACAGTGCAAGCAATTTTGAGCCGCAACCACGAAGCCGCAACAGATGAAAAGACGAAGATAGAAGACCGCCAACGCGACGAGGCCGCCAAGCGTGCCGACGAAGGAATCGACTGGCGCCCCCGCCTCTTCCGCCCCATCCAAGGCGGCCCCGGCGGGGCAGACGAAGGCGACGAAGACCTGGATTGGATCATCAACGCCCAAATGTAAGATTCGACCCTCTCGCCCGAAACGCACATCTAACCTGGCTCTAGTGACATGCACGATCCCAAACTGGCCACCAAGCAGATTCTCTCAATCGCACCCATCCTCCAAGGTCAGAAGGAACCGTCCCAGTTTGCGATCCCGCCGCATCACGCTTCCCAGCCGGATCCCCAAGCGACAAGCTAATACGGCCGCACACTGTAGACTCGGAGACAATAGAATTCAGCGACGCAACCGCCCCGCAGGTCGAACGAACAGATACCCAAACGGCAGAAGTGGACAAGTTTGTAGACGCGCCGGAAACCCCATAGCCCCATAGCCTATTGGAACTGGAGGCTCCCCAACCCCATCAACCCACCTGGTCTGGTTTGGCGTCTGGATCGGGGGCTTGTCCTGCCACGTAGTCAACCTGCGCAGAGCCCGGCATTACTCCAGAGGACGGCTGCGCGTCATTGTGATTCTATCTCTTGTTTCAACACAGCGGACAACCCGCCGTTCCTTATTACTGGATACCCGAGATTTTGTCTAACTTAAAAAAAATTCTTGAGAATGAATAATTTGTTATTGACTTTGGGGATTGGATGGTGTAATGTGAATGTGAATGTGAAAGACCAGATAGGATACCGGGGTAGGAGGCGCTGAAATTGTGGTTGCGGTTGTGCTGGAGAGTTGTGTTGTATCATACACCTGTGCTTGTGGTTTGATGCTTCTGTTATATACATGGACCTGGGTTGGTATTCGATGTGTACACGTAATTTTATGTTTAATCTCGTCTCTTTGTAGGCTTGCTCCAGTTTTAATCGAAAACGTAACCACATGCATATTTATGGATAAGAGAACATATGTTGATTCAATGAACTATTCATGTCCAGACTCTTATAGTACAAAGCTCCTGACAAGAGGGATATCACAAAGACAAATGGCACGCCAAACACCCCGACATGCAAAGCACCACAACGCCTCAAACAAACCCATTTAAAACAACTCCCCCTTATACCCAGCGCCACGCTCCTGCTCCCTCCTCCGGTTCGGCCTAGGAATAGCCCCTGCAGAGCCCGTATAAGCCAACCCAGAGCCAGCAGCCGCAGAAGAAGCAGCGGCAATCGACCCGCCACCATCATACTCCTCCCTCTCCTCCTCAACCAGCAAAGTCTGCTCCTCGATCTCCTTCTCGGTATCCTCCCTCAAGCCCAGAATATCCGGCGGAATAAAACTCATCTGCACACTGGGCGCGCCCTGGATATACCTCAGCTGCTCGTGGACAGCCTCAACCAAACTCTCAAGATAGGGCCTGGGATTTTTATTCTCCAGCTTCCGCATCTCAGAGAGAGGCGGAAAGAGCGAGAAATCCGGCCCAAAATGATTGCGGAACGCAACCGAGTCCGGGATCGTCGGGTCCAGGATTTTATCTGCGTCCAGCAGAATGGAGGTCTCGTGCGCCCAGGCGCGAGACACATTGCGGGGCGTGTAGCCGCCGCCACCGACGACAAGGATAGGCAGGCCGAAAGTCTTAGTGAATGCGACGCAGGCGCCGTGGGCGCGCACATTCAGATTGAAACAGCCCAGCCTGTCGCAGCCGAGGCTGTCGGCGCCGCATTGGAGGACGATCGCACCGGGGCGGTATGTTTCGACGCAGGCGCCGATGACTTCGTGGTAGAGAGCGATGTAGGATTCGTCGTCTATGCCGTCGTTCAGGGGGACATTGATGGAGTGGTGGGCTCCGGGGTTGAGGGGGTGCGAGGGGCCTGTATCGTCTAGGGCGCCGGTGCCGGGGAAAAAGCCATCTTTGTCGTATTTGTGGAAGGAGACGGTGAGCACGCGGTCCGTGGACCAGAAGGCTTGCTCGACGCCGTCGCCGTGGTGCACGTCGATGTCGATGTACATGACGCGGGGGTGGTGGCGGAGAAGCTGGAGGATGCCGAGGACGATATCGTTCACGTAGCAGAAGCCAGAGGCCTCTGCTTTTTTGGCGTGGTGCAGGCCACCTGACCAATTTATAGCGATTTCGGACTGATTATTACACAGTTTGCGGGCGGCGTCGACGGTGCCGCCGGCGTAGAGGGAGCAGTAGTCGTACAAGCCGTCGAAGATGGGGCAGTCGTCGCCGAAGTTGAAGCGGATGACGTTATCACCCTGCTCTGGGCGGTCCATGTCGCCAGGCATGACCTGGCGGAGGAAGTCGAGGTAGTCTGATTCGTGAAACTCTGCCATTTCTTCGTACGTAGCTGCGCGGGCGAGGTAGAGGTCCATTGCGTGGTGCATGCCGTAGGCCATGACGAGTTGTTTGGTGAGTGTCAAGCGCCATGGTTTCATGGGGTGGGATTGGCCGAAGTGGTGGGCTTCAACAGCTGGATTGGCGTGCCATGAGACGCGGTAGCCTTGGGGTCGAGCTACTTTATAAGTTTGGAGCTCGGATGCGGACTTTTGGTCGACTGTGAGGGTTGGTGCGGACGGCGCATATTCTTGCACCACGGATGAGCGCGCCATGAGGCAGGTTTTGGTATAGGATTCAGTTATAGTTGGGGATGTGTTTCATTGTTGGAGTAGAAGAAATGGAGTTGAGAACGAACGGTTCGTATGCACCTTAGATAAAATGCTGACTAATGGATCTCCAGGCCGAATTGGGAAAGGTTCTATGCAGGGGAATCATGCATGATCTGAACGATGTAGGTACAATGTACTCCGAATGAGCCCTCGGCCTAATATGAGATATAAGCAAAATGATTGAATTGAGTCTAAAATATATTTATATCATCTGTATCTACATCACTATCAAAAAGGTTAAACTACAGACCTCACTACAGGATAGACCTCACTAGTATCACGACCTCGGGAGACTACCCCACTTAGATCATTGAATCAATATACCTGGGCCCGGGCACAAAGCCAGTTCTCTAACCTTGCTGTTCGAGACTCCTGTGACATGATTGACATATCGGGAAATTCTCGGGTGGTATACCGGTAGCAAATGCCTCGGAACTATCGGCATCTAACAAAACCACGGCTTCAAGCCGTGCCGAGTAATCGCCGAATCCTCAACATTTAGCCGTTGAGGTTGCCCGCATCTGGCAGCTCAGAAGGTGATATACGATGACAAAGCATACATTGTACCGGTATCGGCTCAAGTGGAGAGTGTGCATCATTGAAGCAACTCGGGTGGGGAAACAAAGGTCAAAAGCTTGTCGGAAAACGCATTAAATAACGCTTCTTACCTTCGAAGAGAAAAAAGAAGTAATTCTTCCAACTTACTCTCAAGAAAACCACAACCCAAGTCTATAAATTTTTCAAGATCGACCAAGTCAATCATTGACGTCAACATAAATCATGGCTTTCCCATCAGCAGCAACAAGCCTTAGAAAGTCCCTGCAAGATCCGAAGACATTTATCACAGCCCCAGGAGTCTACGATGGAATGTCCGCACGGCTAGCACTATCCGCCGGCTTCGACGCACTGTACATGGTATGCAAACCACAAAGCACGAATTCACCGTCCCACTAACAAGAAGCAGACCGGGGCCGGAACCGCAGCCTCCGTTCACGGCCAAGCAGACCTAGCAATCTGCACACTGAATGACATGCGCGCGAATGCGGAAATGATCGCGAACCTCTCGCCGCGCACACCGCTAATCGCCGACGCAGACACCGGCTACGGCGGCCCGATAATGGTAGCGCGAACAACAGAGCAATACGCGCGGTCAGGCGTCGCAGCCTTCCATATTGAAGACCAGGTGCAGACGAAGCGGTGTGGCCATCTCTTCGGCAAGCAGCTGGTAGATGTGGAGACGTACACGGCGCGGATCCGGGCGGCGGTGCAGGCGCGGCAGCGGATTGGCAGCGATATTGTGATCATTGCGCGGACGGACGCCCTGCAATCTTTGGGGTATGAGGGGAGTGTGTTGCGGCTGCGAGCTGCTAGGGAGGCTGGTGCGGATGTTGGATTCCTGGAGGGGATTTCATCGCGGGAGATGGCGCGGCGGGTGGTTGCGGAGTTTGAGGGGTGGCCTTTGCTTTTGAATATGGTTGAGCATGGGGCTACGCCGGGAATTTCTTCGCAAGAGGCGAGGGAGCTTGGGTTCCGTATTATTATTTTTCCTTTTGCGACGCTGGGGCCTGCTCTTGTTGCTATGCGGGAGGGATTGGAGAAGTTAAAGAGAGATGGGCTGCCTGGGTTGGATAAGGAATTGACACCGCAGATGTTGTTTAGGGTTTGTGGGCTTGATGAGAGTTTGAAGATTGATGCAGAGGCTGGTGGTGTGGCGTTTGAGGGTGGCGTGGACTTGGGAGAGAAATAAAGGCCTTCAATATTGTCTCTTCCGCGGGGGCCAGTCTTGACCCTAGATAGTGCCCAGGGTGCCCAGGAAGGTGGCTGACAGCTTCGCCCCTCGAATAGATGAACCAGTTTATAAATAGTAATGACTCCACTGCATGGTACTACCTAGCTATTTTCTTGTCACACTATGATCTTGGTTTCTTCCTCGAGTACCAGATATTTTTATCGCAACCTACACAAATTTGAGCAATGAGCCACCACAGAGCGGCTCCAGGGCTGCATGATTGAACTTAGTCTTAGCTATCACGCGTTGCAAATATTGGAGACGGTGTGCAACCAATCGAATTCAACTCATTGGAATAAAGCTTGCCAAAGTTCACAAATTGGTGGAATCATTTGGCATTGTATCGTGAATCCGAGAACGGCGAATTCACTTAGAACTTGGAGACAAATGGATTGATAAATTCGACCTTCTGAATATACTTAGGGGGGAACTACAGGGACCACTTTATTACTATTATATACACTATAGGTTACAGCTCCGCAGCTGCTAGTTGGATCGTTTTTACAACATGTCAGATACAGAAACCACGGATGGAGATGTCCAGCGTTGGATAGACGCGCTAGCGCTCAAATGACATGCAAGGACATCTGCTCTGAGCTTGCTTGAAGTATTATATCCTCTACCCAGGAAGCTGGTCTCGATGCCCAAATTTCTGTATCGATGCCGTTGAATATGATGACGCACTGGCACTTGGACTAGAATACAAGCTCAACAGTTCTGAGCTCATTAGCCAGTGATATTGCTATGGGAATTGGTTCCCCCCTGCACTTTTCTTTGGGAATCGCACGGTTGCCCTTGCCTTTCGTCTAGCCTTCACCTAATTCTTGTTGAGGCTATATACTCTAAGATGACTGCAGTGAGCAGGATAATTTCAACTATGTCATTCTGTTGATTTATTTTGAGCTAGCCAATAAGAATGTAGCAAATCTCTACATGTTATCACCCCTAGTTCTGGCGATTTATGCAGGTGCACTCAGTGAACATGATTAAGAAATGATGGCAAATAATGTACTGAGTAGATGATAGTAGACTTAAAGAGGGCGGTGAATACGTCAGTCAACCTTGGAAATATTGAGTCTAAAAAAGAAGAACGGACGGTGATTGGATAGAAAATATCGAAGAAGGAAATATTGCTTTGATTGTCTTGATACTGAATGTTTGATTTCAGTTGCGCAAAGTACTTCTTCGACATTTCGGCCCGGGTACGCCGCTAACTACGTAGGTAGCCCATAGCATATATAGTCCCATGTATCTTGCAGATTTCTTTGGTGAATTCAAATGAATTCATTAAAATATCCATGGGAGCCATGATGAAATTTTGATGTGCTAATTAGCATTGCAGATTTAATTTCCCTAAGCCAATCAAATGTTTTGGAATCTATCACTGGACCAAGGGTGACTCCCGTCTCAACCCTTGGTTCTGTTTATTTACGGCGCGAAAACACAGTTTAGAGTGTTTAGAGTCATTTTAGTCGATTTTAGTCGATTTGAATCCCAAGGATCGTGTGTCTGCACAAAGTGAGGAGCAGCGGGTACCTGAGCGAAAACCCTAACGTTTCACGAAACATCAGTTACCTCACAAAAACTGTTCGTGACAGGATTTAAGAAAACATACCAGGCACCATACATATATCGTACCTACATAGACGTTTGTAGGCAGATACATGTATATCCTTGGCAAACGATTAAAGTTTCCACAGAGACAAGACACCAAAACCACTTGTAATAAAGGCAAGTCAAAATCAGTCGGATTCAGAGCGGCGAAAGAGAAAGGCCTGGATTCACGACGGGGGGCCACTTTGGCGTGCCTTTATGGAGACAACACTCCGGCAAGGCCCTACCGGAGGGAGACTCGTCACGTCCGTGGGGAATAGCTTAGACGCTACCAGGAAAAGAGACAAAAATGGGTGTGCCTTGCAGAGAATCGAGGGATCCATCTGGCGCGTAAGGGCGACTCTCTGCCGTTGATCTGCGGCCAGACCTTGTTCTGCGCGTATCCGTGGATACGATTGACAGGGTGAGCGAATAATCAATCCGCCGATAATATCACGGTAATTATACAGTATATAACGTACAATGGGAAAGAGTCAGAGTTGGGCTACCATCGTGTTTTGGGTTTTGAAGGTTTATGTTTTTTTATTTTACAACCCTATGGCGGTCAATTGTCGGTTCCACGTAGACGCTGAGTTGTCCCCGTATATTTAAGATTGCCCAAGTGATGATTCGTAAGACGAGCTTAGGTCCTTGCTGCGCAGTGCACCGATTGGCCTATGTGGAGAAAGTCGGATGATGGGGAGATGGTCTTCAAACCGTATAAGTGTAAGTTCGAAAATACTGCTCAAACACTTGGCTGCATTTGTACTAACTCTCCTATCAATATTGGGCTCTAATGGAGTGTTGTCGTACGTCTAATCTATAGAAGGTATCCAGCATTCCGATTGTACACGTGTTTGACATTTCCACAGAATTCCAATAGGAATAATAGGAGAGAAAGAAATAGGAATATGCATAGGAAATGCTAACTAGAGACAATAATTAAATTACAATATTAGACAAGACAATAATACAGAAAAGAATCAAGAGCCCCTATATTCAAGTAACAAGTACTTACACAGCCGCACTGCTTTGTTTTGTTTAGCCAAGTACACAGTACCAAGACTGAGAGTCTGGACTCCCAACGGTACACCAATCAAACGAAACCAAGATGTGCACGGCGCTCAGGAACCGACAGAAACCGACCAATCAGAAATCGATCGCCCCTGATTCTGGGAGAATTTTGGATCCGGACCCAGTCTGACCCGTTTGTGTGTAACTCTGTACTGTATGTCTTGTATTAATATTCCCACATCCCCCTAGTCCACTTGCTTTCCTCCTTCTCTTCACACTCTCTTTCCACACATTCATTTGAATTGAATTTCCTTTTTTAGAGCATTCGCTCAAGTCACTCATTTTCAGTTATTCAATTCGAACGGAAGAAAACATGCACATCTCCAATTCTATGCTTTTGATGACAGCCTTGACCGCTGGGTCGGCCATCGCTCGTCTTCACGGCCATGACCGCCGCCACGCCCACCCCAAGGACGCCGTCGAGCTCAATGTCGACGTTGAACAGCCTGCCGTGACTGCCGCCCCTGAGAAGCGTGGCGTTGGTGCTGAGGTCGTCGCTACCATTGATGGCCAGCTTGTCTCCTGGATCAACGAGTGGTCCGGTCAGCAGTCTTCCGAGTCCTCCCCCGAGACCGAGTCCACCGCTGCTCCCACCACTACTGCCACCCCCACCGCCGCTGCCACCACCAGCGAGGCCGCAGCCGTCTCTTCCGTCAGCGCTACCCCTGTTGCCTCCAGCTCCTCCAGCTCCAGCTCCAGCAATTGGGCTGACTACCCCGCCGACGGCGACTACACCACCACCGGATTCGGTGCCTCCACCGCCAGCAAGCGTGTCGGCTCCCTCGACTGGGACTACATCGGCAACGTCGGCAACCCTTGGGGTAGCAACATCATCCAAGTTTCCGAGGACAGCGCCAGTGGCTACAAGCACGTTCTCCGTTTCGAGAACGATAACTCCAAGGCCTGGACTGTCGTCATGTGGAACTCATACGGACCCAGCGGTGGCCTGAACGGTTTCTGGAGCCCCAACAAGGCCCTCAGCTTCACCGTCGAGCCCAACGAGAGCGTCTTCGTCGCTATCGACGATGACTCCCAGGGTGGATGGGGTGCCGCCGAAGGCGAGGACCTGCCCACCAACTATGTCGGCGAGTACGCCTCCACCTGGGGAGAGTTCGACATGAGCAACTCCCAGAACGATGGCTACTCCGGCTGGGACGTGTCCTGCATCATTGCCGAGCTCGCCAACATGGACATCGCCGGTATGCAAATCTGCAACCACGCCGGTGAGAAGTGCTCCTCCATCACCAAGGGCGCCGGCGCCACCGTCAACGCCTACACCTCCGCCGACCAGGGCAAGAACGACAAGGCTGTTGCGCAATCCGCCGGCCCTGTCCGTCTCGTTGTCAACCTCGGCTGGTCTTCTTAGATGGCTTCTGTGGGTAATTTCCATTTTGTTCTCATTTCTAGCCATATACACCCGACTGGGGTTTTTGTTTCTACCGCAAATGGTTCATCGCTCTGAGGTGTTAGTGTTGGTGTGTGCGTGCGCAGGATGTACTTTCCTGGCCACACATTGGTCCATCCTTGAGCTACTGGTCGCGGATACCTCTTCACCGCGATGGGTACTTACATATCTTTCGAGGTCATGATACGTGTGAATTTTGTCTTCTTTGTACATATACCACCTGATTTGAGAGTTGATATCATTTCATTTTTCCCCACTTTGATCCAAACCAGATTTCTCCTTGTAATCATTTGTAACCATGTTAATCAAACACGTCAAGTGTCAATACATAACTACAAATCCAATCGATATTCCAATTAACAGTAATATCAACCTATTTCGTTCTACGGGATCCACGCTAACGCCTGCTCGTCTCCAATTTGAAACGAACACCTACTTCATATCCACTGCCGGCGCTAGTCAACGGCGTCTATGCACGTTCATCACAACGTTCATGTATAGCCCGGTGGAATTGAAAGTAGCTTAAATCTCTGAAAGTCGTCAACTCTTACGTCTTAGGAATGTGGGGAACGTTTGATCGATATTCTTCAAACCTAGAGACTTTCTGCGATGTTTGGAATGTTAGTAGAATTAGGGCTTCGGAGGAATGTTAGGATGACACGACGCATTCTCGTATCAATCTTCCGAGCCCTTCTTCGAGAGATAAAGTTACTTTGGTTCGATGGTTTACTGTTTTGTTTTACAAAAACAAGTTACAAATCTTGGAAGTTACTCCTTTCGTCCAATGACGATAAAAAAAACAAAGATGTTTCAAGTAGAGATTCAGATCAAAGACATGAGAGTTTGACAAGAACCATGGGAACATCATCCCTCACAAAGCATAGAATGCTATCGTACAATCTTCTCCAAATAGTATCAGACATGAGCCCAGCCACAAACATCAAGACATCTACAATGCACTCAAGAAGTCAGCAGCCGGCAAATGAAGAACCTCTGCAGGTTCAAACTCTTGCTCCAATTCCTGCTCGTCTTCTTCCACACGCCCGGAAAAAGAGATCAATCCCACATGAACCATATACCCAACCAAAGCCACACCTCCAGCAACAACTGAAGCAATAGATACCCATCTATCTTTATCCTTGGTGCTAGCATAATCAAAAAGCGCAAGCTTCTGTATAGGACTAAAATTCTCATCCGCTTGAGCAGCACTCTTCAACCTCCTATTAGCCCTGACCTCCCTCAGGATAGGCGTATTATCCGCCAACATATTAAGCAGGGTCGAGCCAACGGCGGAAACAGATATCCGCGCGGGCTCGCGGCACGGCAGCGCGGCAAACACGCGAGAGCGCATTCTCTCTGTGTAAGCCGTGAGGCGGGGGGCCTTGGCGCGCATTGCATCGCGCAGCCAGGGGAACGCCAGGTCCGGGTGGAGAGCCAGGGAGAGGTAACCGATAGCGAGGCAGTCGAGGGAGGAAGGGGAGTTTTCGTCGTCAGCTGGGAGGAGTACTGGTTTGGAAGCGAGCATTGCTTCGAGGGGTTCAAAGAAGTCGGCTGTTAGGGCCTCAAGGCGGAAGTGGTTTGATTTTGCTGTTCGGCCGAGGAGCTTGGAAACTGTTTCTTTGGGCTGTTGGATGAGGGTTGCGGGGATTTGGCCGGCTGCGACTGCTGCTGAGTGGTCGCGTTTGCGCTGGTCTTCCATTGCTTGGAGGTCTAGGGAGGAGAGACCTAGGTGGTCTGTTCGGGCTTTTGCGGCGGCGTGGAGCTTTGGGGGCAGGATCCATTGGTTTGGCCACTGGAGGAGGGCGCCGTAGGCTGGGGATGTGTTTGCGTAGTAATTTTGGCTTGTTACGTAGAGGGAGAGGTCGATGAGGGGTTGGCCGCGGGATTCGATGAAGGAGGAGAAGCTGTGGGGTGTTAGTTAATGTTTGATGTAGGGGGTTGTTGGATGCATACGCCACGCTATCGGCATGTTGGACGTTGTTCAAGAATTGATCCAGGTGACATGTTTCCTCTGACCATTGGCGGAGGTAGTCGACAATATTGCGGAATCGACTTACCCAGACTGATCCATTTTGGAGAGCTGGGAGTTCACCTGTTTGAAATGGTTAGAGTGAGTTCGTATTGCTCGGTCACGTCACTTGCCGGTTGGGGACACGGAGGGATCGCTGGTCGCGACCAGCTCCCACGAGTCCTTGGGAAGAACCTCGGAGCAGTATGCGATGACAGAAAGACATTGTGCGTCAATTGAGGGCAGGTCAAAGGCCGGGCCCCATACATGCAGCTGTAGTACCATTGTGGCTTGCGCTTGGAGGAAGAAGGGCGGCGGTGATTGATTTGAGCGAGCGAATCACGTGTCCCATTTTTATTTTTATGGCCTCTACAGTTATACAATGTACAATATTGTATACTTCCATTTACATTTGACTTAAATTAGCTCGTAGACTGGAGAGATACTGTGTGATATCAAAAATAACATGTTAGCTAAGATTTTGAAGATTTTGTTCGGCCAAAGGAGTGCTCCATCTACATTTAATGCCGTCCCTAGCTTCAAGTCTCACCAAAATGAAGTACAAATATCATGACCGCAATTCTCGCCTTTTAATATGTGAAAAGAGAATGACTAGGATGGCATGATGCCATAGTGTTAAAGTGAAACACTTGGTATCTACCTGAGTATGTAGTAATCTTTCCAAGATCCCGAGGTTGAGTGTCATCATCTATCAAATTTTCGATAATTAGCTTCAAATTCGACTTAACCCCTAATTCAGCCCTGCAGCCTACGCCGGAGCTACATCTCCAAGTTCTCGCAAGGCTCAACGAATCGGAGTTTTCTTCCATGGCATTGTTACGATGCAGCAAGGTATACTATATGTACTCGACCCGCCTGTCTGGGTAGACACCCAATCTCACTCAGCCCAGGCAGAAGATTAATGGCAATGCACTCATTCAGAACACCAAGAGCCTCAACACTGCCCTGTGGCACAGCCCAAGCTTACGTAAATGCCGTATACAATTCTACAATGCATACCTGAGACACGTAACCTTGGCCGCCGACTCAAATTGAATCATGGAACCATACGATAAGAGGTACTTTATGACCTCATTACAGCACGTGGCTATTTATGGGTCAATGCAGCTCGAGCACAGTGAGACACATGAAGAAATCAGGGCAAGATCCGAGAGCCTTAGAGCCGAAAGCTTACTTTCGTCACTTGACCCCCCTAAAATTGGAATATGGGTTTAGTTCTGAAACGTTATTATAAATATCAGAAAGTATATCTGACATAATAGATTCAGAATGACAATTACAATCTGTATCTTTTGAGGGGCAGAAGCGGGGGGATGAAACATCAGCTAGGGCAAAGCTAGGAGATTGGCTCAATGCAACTTCTTCACAAGTGACGGACCAACAAGAATTCAGCATGTCTATATGGCATATTGTAACTAGGTCATAGACCGGGATCCAAGACAGATTGATATTCAATAGCAGACCTCGGTCCGGTTTACTCTAGCCACAAACCAAGGGGAAAAATAATACAATATAACTAAATCGGGCAGTGGAAGACAACCATTGGTTGGAACAGATAACCTGCCCGAGTGGTCCCAGATACCTGGATATCATCAATCGCAATGACCTCGACCTAGGTACTAGTTGTAAAGACTATTAAGTAGCAAATCCCGGCGCTCGGACGGAAACTCGTATCTCTCCGACAGTTTAGCGTTTAGCCGTTGGAATAGTAGCTTCTATTTGCATTACGATGTGCTATGACATGATTTGGCGCTAGCTTGAGTCAGATGTAAGATCGAACATGCATCCTCAACCAATCATTCTCGGCCGTGTGCGTACTACATTGTATAGGTACATATTCCACACATTATGCATTTCTGCGCTGTAAATCATAACGGGAAGCCCGATAAGGATCGCGTCAGATCAAGCCAATATCGATCCTATGATGGAAGAATTGTATGGATTACCTCGGTTGACTGAATTGGTGGAGTTGGTGTTACCTATTAGGCAGTCAGATTATAAGTCTCCCAAGACACATGGGATACTAACTGGACTAGAAAGGCCAAAAAAAACTGCGTCAATTCAACTACCGCGACATCCGCCCTACTGAACATCCCTGCTAGTTTCACTGCTAGGATAGGCCAGGGGATGATTTAGTGAAACGGGTGGTCGGGTGGACGTTTCACCCGCAGTACCCTCCTCTTTATGCACGACATACAGGTGTCAGAAATTAATGACGATAAAGAAAAAGAATTGCTCTGTTGGGTATACTAAGTCTATGGTACATGCCGATTCAGGATGGCCAGATGCAAAAGAGAAAAAAAGAAAGAAAAAACGCAAAGAGAATTAAAAAGACATTCAAAACAGTCGAAATGAACAAATCAAAGCGACACAAAAAGAGAAAAAGTTGGAAGAAAAAAATCGCCGAGCACCCAGTCAATGACGCATCGACGGGCCGATCGCAAGATAACCCCAGCTGATCTCAGAGACACAGGGGCTAGAGGCGAGGTGCATTGTCCAATCAGTACGCGGTACCGCTGGGATGCAAGTTTCTCCGCATCTGCACATAAAGATCGAACTGAAACGACCCCGCAGGTATCGTGAGGATATTGGCAAATAGAAAGGGTATGTCGGACAAGCGCCGGCGCTGAGTCCCAAGCGAGTTGCTAAAGAGGGAGGAACAAAAGGGGTGTTTCGGTAACAAGATAAACACCCATAATTAAAGAAAAAATATAGAAAAAAGAAATGTCCGAGGGCTAATCGAAACAAGTTTCCCTTTGACGCAGAGGCTTTCTTTTGAAAGATGCCAAGAGACAAAAAGTGACGCAGGCTAGCGCTCTTTGTTTTCCGCCGGTGTCTCGTCGAAGTTACTTCGAAAAAGGGAAGGGTGTTTTCTTGTTTCAAAGCGGGACGAGAAAATTATGTAGGTATCGAAATCGAAGAAGAATCGTAGAGTCGAAACTAGGTCGAAGTCGAAGTCAAGTCGTGATATGAGGAGTCCAGGTCGTGAGCGATTCTAGAGAATGCGCCAGGGTCATCAGGGTCGTTGAGGGGACTTTGGACTGTTTAGTTCGACCCCGGCAGTGGAGGGAGAGGGCCCTTAGGAGGAGGACCGGGGCATGGGGGGATCTGAGTAGAGCCGACGGAAGGCATTGTGATCGAAGTGGTGGTAAAGGAGATTGTTGGTAGAGGTAGAGATAGAGAGAGATATAGTATTCTCAAGAGTTCAAGAGTCAAGAGTAGAGCAGAGTGGTAAGAAGTCGATATAGTACTATAGCAAAAGTAGAAGGAAAGAGAAAGGTCAACCGGATCAGAGGATTCTTATAGAAATAAACAATAATCGAGAAAATAATCAAGAATTAATAACGAAATAATCGAAATAATGTCCCCAACCTTTTCGGTCAACCGTCACTATTACAGACTAAATTAGTTCCCCATCGAACATCCCTGCCATGAACAGGAGGCTGAGTATCCACCTGATCTGACGTAGGAATTTAGTGAGAATTAAATATTTACCTTAGCTTAAGAAAAAGATGGAAATGGAAATCCAATGGAAATTTCTCTTTTTCTAGAAGCTCTCCACTAGATGTGGCGCTGTTGTTTTTGGTGAACCACTCACTAGTGGGGGAAATGATAAAGTGGCATAGCATAGTACAACATTATAATCAAATAGTAGGTTTATAAGATTGTATATTGTACTACCTACAATCTAGTTTTCATATTATTTATCTATATTATATATGCATATGCAATATCTTCAGGTTTCACAGCCATCTACTTCGTATATGTACAGTAAATCATGAAACCACGCGAGATGACAACTGGTAAAGGGCAATCTCCCGTGGGCCCACCTATGGCTCCATAGGGACGGTTCCTTGATGCGGTGAGAACAAGTTTTTTTATTTTTATTTTTATTATTTTTGATTATCTTCTGCAATTATATTACTTTGTACAACTTGACGTTATAAGGAGGTGAGAAATAAGTACGCAGGTCTAAGCACACCTGCATGCATATGTAGTATAGTATACTTCGTACATGAGCTGATATATGACTCAACGTCAGAAATGTATCGACACGTGCAGGTTTGCAGATCGCCGAAAAAAACAGCGTTTGCATAATAGTGTACCGTAAATAAAGGGTGGAAAAGAAATAAAGAAATACTAATGATTATTATAGAAAAGTTCTTTTTTAATTAATTTATTGATCAGATTAGGGTCAAACGGGATGGCCGATTCGTATTAATTACACACTAAATGGGCGTGACAGCCGAGATCCCAGAATGCCGGTACTCGTTAAAGAGGGATAAGGATAAGAATTCTATTGCGATTCGTCTCTTATTGCTCGATTCAATATTGTATGTTGTATATAAATATGCCAACTGAGTTTGCACAATATTGTATATTGCCTGCTGATAACAAAGTACAATATGGTCTCAGGGGTCCAGATAAAAAGAAAGAAGTGAAAAAAAATAATTGGAAAACCTTAAAAGGCATTGAGACCTCAAATCGAGGATCCATCCTGGACCATGGTTGCTACCCGTGTTACCAGATATGATTGAGACATAGACTCAGGGTATTAATATTGTAGTTTATATTCGATATAGTACTACGGAGTAAGTACATATATGCATGTAGGTATAATCTACATGCTACGTCTACCTCGAAATAATAACACGGAGTACACAGCCGATCAACCTCCGCCAATGTGGCTGATCACTGGCCTAGGATCGTCTTACTTAGAGGACTGTGCATCGCACATCATTATCTGAAGCATGCAAGACAACCTGCAACCTGCCCCTCTATAATTACAATGTATTGGCTATTAGTGAATGTTGTACTCCATATGAAGAGGGGTTTGTTCAGACCTCCATGGCTGCACATCACTTGCAGTTTCATGGGGAGATCTACTCTTCATCAAATCCCTGTGGCGTTAATGGCGTGCTCGGTGGCTATTGCTTTCATTTGTGGACGTGAAGAATTTGGTGGACTGACTGCGTAAGTACAATATCCTAGACCTACAACGTAGAATGCATACTACATTGCCTATGTTGTACGTTGTAGGTAACTACGTACGCATACACACGAATATCGGGAGGTTTTGGACTTCCCCGGAAATTATGAGGCCCCTGAGTACGGAGTAATGCAGTCGCTGTTACATCGGGTTATCTTTTCAAAAAAGAGATGAAATGAGTACAATATTGCACGGAGTAATTTCTGGAAATACCCACTTTCTGCACTCTGCCCTATGTAGTAAAAGTAACAGCGCAGATGCCGGTATATGCATACCCCGTACCCGGGATTCGCAGCGCTCAAAGCAGCAGGTAAAAACAATTAGTAATGCGATGATAAGGCAGAACTGACTTCCCGGCTTACCGTGTTCCAGCGATGTAAAGTGTGGAGACTAAAAGTGGCAAATGCGAGAGGACGGGTGTACCTGAACTAAGGCCGGGGGAACCGAGAAAGGGGGAAAAGGAAAAGTGGGAAAAAGTGGAATAATGGAAAATAGACGAGTGGCGAAAAGAAACAAACGAAGGGAAGAAAACACATGGCATGAAAACTCTACTTCAAACTAGTTGACCGCAAACTTCAATAAGCCCTTATTTGGGTATGGTATATACTCCACTATGGATTCCTTCCGCACCGTTGGAAAGAAGCTGTGGAGAGTCGGAGATTTTGGAATTTCAGGTTTGTAAGATCGGGATCGAATTACGATCGATTTTTTTTGGAGAGATTCGCTTGTAGACTATGATATCAACCATGACATCAGTACTGTCTGATCAATTTGAAAAAAACCAGAAAAAACCAGAAGAACAGAAAGAACAAAAGAAATTAAATTACAAAAAGGCCGTGTGTAATGAAAGTTCTCATTCGAATTTTTGCAAATTGGAGATTATTTCCCGAACCCAACTCATCGCGGACCAAAAGTCTTTCTCCATTAAGAAATTATCGACTGGTGTCACGGGGTCGACAAAAGACGGGCTGTTTCAAGTTGGTATCCACTTGAAAATCTTCTAGTTTGCCTTCTGGAAGTTGCGGGCCGAGGTTGGGAACCCCCAACCACATGGGGCTTTGCGGGCTAGGTCAATTTGAAATGTCTAGGAAATCAAAATTGCAGGAGGCGACATTGATCATGATTATTCGTATCCTCACGATCTCGTAGACTATCATGAATACAACTGAGACATGCACAAACCGTAGAAAGTCAAATATTATGGCATGTCTAATAGTATGCAGATCATTGAGCTGCCACTAAAGCAAGCGCCCGTTTTGTGGCTGATATTTTTGTCTCAACCTGTCACCGTGCCTGAAGGTCATCTGGGGGGTATAAGAACCCGCCACCTGCATAACTGGCCTCAGCTTCGGTTACACCGACTACAGCATTGCATAGTGCAAGTCCTGTAGCGGCCCGTTCGTGGGATGGTGTTGTGCCCCGAAAGCAAAACCCAGCCCTGTAGACGAGGACTTCCATGTACCGCGTGACGGTAGACCCCGCAGTTATGAGTTGATTAGATGCGACATGGTTCTGACACTGCAGATACTGCATTTGCGACACAAATGAAGCACAAGCATAGCGTTTGCAAGGGTTTGAACCATTTGAAACAGTACATAGCACCAAAATATGTGTAACAGGATGCCTTGATCATGCCACGGCTGTTCACCGTTCAAGGGTACGAAAGCTTGACCATCAGTATTGATCCTGGTCAGCCACACGGGACCTACCCGAGCCCACTGTCACCCGTCATTGGCACCCTGAGTACTTCAATCATCAACAGATGTCTGTGCTTGGGTTGAAATCCATTCTTCCATCAAGGGTGGCCTTGTTTCAATTGTTGCAGCACTCGACTTGGTTTTATCGCCTTTGCGCGTGACCAACAGACACAAAACCCATCCACATATATTGAAGCTCTCATAATGGGTACTGAAACGAAGCTTCTTTTTGTCATCGCCCGTCACATCATCAGGTTGCGCTTGGCTGGCCTTGGCTCTGCGACTCCTGCTTGACCGTCTATTGCCCGATGTAACATCGTCCGTGGATTCAGGAAGGTCATGCAGTCCATCAGGTTCACTGTCACTTTCGATCATGATTTGATCATTGGTAGAGCCAGCGGTATTGGCAGCCGTGTTCTCTGGAATATCCTCTAGGTTGGTCTCCAAGTCCGGATCTTGGCCCTGCTTCTCCTGTCCGTGGAATGTTTTGTTTCGGGTAAGGAGGGAATGGCGGGTTCGAGATTCGCGGAGGAAAATGGCTACTTCGAAACCATCTAGGTGAGATGTTAGCGTACGTGATTTCAACATCGAGCAAAGTATGTTTTTTACCTTCTGCAATGACATCCTTGACTGGTTTGCCCTTCTTGCGCATAAACAGTCGTTGATTTTCTTCGCGCAGCTTAGGCAGAACCAAAGGCTGGATAGCAGCGACGATGCGCGGAAGAACAGGATCGCGTGAATCCAAAAGCCATCTTGAATCAGATGGGTTATCTAGGTAGATTCGACACTCTAGTACAGAGTATTTGCTAATGCGGAGGTATCGTCGAATAGGAGCCATGATGTTTGAAGAACAGGAAGATAGCTCAAATGTTCGATGACCTCAACATCGCGCCAAGCCTTTCTTTGCCGCCGATCGTCTGATTGGCGATCGAGACGCCAGGGGTTGAAGAATTCCAACGTTGGACCCCTTTTGATGTTCTTTGTAACTTCATATCCTCATTCTACTTCTTCTAACGAGATATTCTTCAGAAAAAGGCCCTTTAGCAAAACACCAACACCATGAGCTTGATATCGTTTCCACGTGATCCAATCACCGCTATCGGAAAGAGAAAAGCAACCCGTCCCCAAGGTACTCACCCGCTAGTCGGCAAAGTACCCGGTACACCCAGCCACGCATACAATAATATGGAACACTCAAGTACCTAGTACTCATTGACGTCTTCGAGTGCTCCCAAGGTCCTCTCCACCCCGCTGAACTCATCTCAAATTTCTGAAACTGAATTTGATTCTGATCTTGATCATTCCTTATACCAAAACGGGTTTATATCTGCGGGTCAACTTTACGGTCCTTCTCAGAGCTTTCATTCTACTGAGGAAGAAAGAAAATCTCCTATTAGCTTGGAAAAGATTACACCGTGCGACAAACGGTACGACTCATCTGCGCACGCAGCTAAAAGAGGAAATCCTTATCTCTTTGGCGACATCGTTATCCAATCGTGTCTGAATAGACAGAGTTCAGAGTTGCCAGGATCACCTGGTAATTTTTTTTTGCGTGGTTATTTAGGCTAACGCATCTCGCGTACAATCGAGGACCTTGGGGATTGCGGTCGAACTAGCCTCGCACACAGATCCCCCGCAACAGTCTGTGATCACAGTCAATTCTTCTTGTCATTGCCCAGCAATTACTCGATTGGTTGACTTGTGCGAACTTCTTTTTGCCTTGGTTTTTTTCCTCTGCATTTCATTCTTGCCTGCAGAGCTTCTTTCATCCCACTTCTTCCATACTCTTCGTGTCACTACATATAACCATGGATTACTCTGCTCTTGCCAAGCGGGCAGACGCCTGCGATTCCGGGAATGAGTTCGATGGCCGCATGGGTCTGCGCATCTCGTCTATCTTCGTGATCATGGTTGGCTCAATGTTCGGGGCTCTGTTCCCGGTCTTCGCCCGGCGTTTCAGCAAGGGGGGTGGATTTCCCAAGTGGGCCTTCTTTGTGGCAAAGTATTTTGGATCCGGTGTCATCATTGCCACTGCTTTTATCCATCTTTTGGCTCCGGCCGAAGAGGCATTGACCAACGAATGTCTGACTGGACCCATCACCGAGTACAGCTGGGTTGAGGGTATCATTCTTATGACCATTGTTGTCCTGTTCTTTGTGGAATTAATGGTTATGAGATTCTCTCATTTCGGCCAAGGACATGTGCACGATGAGGAGGGTCACTCTCACACTCCCCTTGACGACAATTCTATTGTCAACGAGTCGAATGAACCGAAGCACCTCATGCCAGGAGAAGATCACCTTGGACACTCCCGTGAGCATCATGACAACGACGACGCTGAAGACGACAAGCAAGCAATTGAAGACTATGCCGCTCAGCTTACTTCGATCTTCATCCTGGAGTTCGGCATCATCTTCCACTCTGTCTTCATTGGTCTCACTCTGGCAGTATCTGGGGCCGAGTTCACCACTCTTTACATTGTCCTCGTATTCCACCAAACATTCGAAGGTCTAGGTCTTGGGTCCCGTCTGGCTACGGTCCCATGGCCCAAGTCTAAGCGAAACACCCCATACTTCCTGGGCTTCGCCTTTGGAATCTCGACTCCCATTGCTATTGCCATTGGCCTGGGTGTTCGCAACAGCTACCCGCCCACTGGACGAACCACACTGATTGTCAACGGCGTCTTCGACTCCATCTCCGCCGGCATTCTCATCTATACCGCTCTCGTCGAGCTGATGGCGCACGAGTTCATGTTCAGCCACTCCATGCGCCAGGCTCCGATCCGCGACGTCCTCATCGCCTTCTTCCTCCTTTGTGCCGGCGCTGCCCTCATGGCGGTGCTTGGCAAATGGGCCTAAGGAATCTACAAAATCTGGGAACACAGGTTCTTCCCCTTAATGAATTACGTCTTTGCTTTCATGTTCCCAAAATTCTTTTTACATTCTGATCACATTTATTCTGCATCTGTGATACCCATTCGGGCGACCATTCGGTCATGCACATGTCGGCGTTTTCTTTAGCGGAAATACTTCCAACCAATGAACATATTTACTCAAATACTATAGACTACCATAAGTATATTAATACATATATATCATGACTGGAACTAAAACAATAGCTAGTTCATACAAACCTGTCGTTACGCCCACGTGCTCAACAGATAAAGTATATCAAGCCGAGGACCGAAGCCAACCGTGATTAAGCTTGAAAGCCATTACCTTAAATCACACACGTACATACTTTATGTATGCCATGTGTCCAGTGTATGTATGTAGTTAGTTCATAGCTTAAACATTTTCACAGGGCTGATCCCTGACAGGGATTCCCCGCTCAATCCCCAGGTCGTTGTACGACACGTTGAAACCAAAACATCTCCCTCTCTTCACTCTCAACTTTTCACCTCAAAAGTCATTCCCCTTGAGCCTCAAATGGCCTCCGCCCACATTTTGACCGCACTTCCTGAGTGCGACTCATCCAAGGCTATTGCTCATAATACCGTTCAGGTTGACACTATTGCGGTCTCAAAAGAACGACAGTCTCTTTCAGATCTCTTTACCATTGTGAGTGCAACCGCCATGATTCCGCTCTCGCACTCGCGTGAGATCTTTACTAGGATCGTGGTTGACCAACACGGTATAGTTTGCCAGCGGCTTTGCTCTGATCAGTGATGGATACCAAAACAACCTGATGTAAACTAAGCTGATTTGTCTCCTCTGTACAAGCTGCTAATAGAAATTCAAGGACCATGACCAATGTCCTCCTCAAAAAGGAATACCCAAAGGAGTATACCTCAACTGTCAGCACTCGCGTTTCCAACGCTCTGCTCGTGGGCGAGGTCATTGGACAGATTGTTATTGGGTAAGACGAAGACCGACCTACAAGCCACGCAAGCTCTAACCAAACTAGACTGACATGCGACTATCTCGGTCGCAAAACTGCCATCGTCTTCACCACTCTGATGATTGTCATTGGAGGCATTCTCGCAACAGCCTCCCACGGCATCACAATTCACGGCATGTTCTGGATGATGACAGTCGCGCGCGGTATCATCGGATTCGGTAAGATGCAGATACCACCGACATACTAAACCTCAAAGCCCGAGCTAAACAAATATCTCAGGCGCCGGCGGCGAGTACCCGGCCTCTTCAACCTCCGCTTCAGAGGCAGCAAACGATCTGATCCCCAAGCACCGCGGCCCGGCATTTATAATGGTAACCAACTTCCCATTATCCTTCGGCGGCCCATTCGCCGTATCAATCTTCCTTATCGTGCTCATGGCTTGCCAGCAAACCCACTACAGCACCGTGTGGCGGGTATGCTTCGGCATAGGCTGTGTATGGCCACTAACGGTTTTCTATTTTCGAATCCGCATGCTGAACTCAGTGCTGTACCGCCGGGGCGCCATCAAACGACGAGTCCCTTACATGCTCGTTCTGCGCTACTACTGGAAAACCTTGATAGGGACATGCGGAGCATGGTTCCTATACGGTAAGTCCAAGCCATATCCCCAGCCATATTGCGATCTCTCTCTATGACAGGCATAGACTAACGAAATGCAGACTTCGTCACGTTCCCGAACGGTGTCTTCTCGGGCACGATCATCTCGTCTGTCGTGCACAACGGGACGATTCTTCAGATAGGCGAGTACCAGCTCTTGCTCGGTGCCATCGCTCTCCCCGGCGTATTCCTCGGCGCGGTGCTATGCGACCGAGTCGGCCGCAAGCGCATAATGATGATCGGTTTCAGCGGGTACCTGATCTTCGGACTGATCATTGGTTGTGCATATGACCGGATTACAAAGATCGTGCCGCTTTTCGTTGTCTTCTATGGGCTGATGCAGAGTTCTGGGAATTTCGGCCCAGGGAATATGCTCGGCTTGCTTTCTTCTGAGTCTTATGCGACTGGTGTGCGGGGAACTTGCTATGGGCTTTCGGCGGCGATTGGGAAGGCAGGGGCGGCGATTGGGACGCAGGCTTTTCAGCCTATTAAGGCTCACTTGGGTGATAAGTGGACTTTTATTATTGCTGCTATTTGTGGTGTTGTGGGGGTTTTGGTTACTTGGGTATTTGTGCCGGATTTGAGTGGGGAGGATTTGAGGTTTCGCGATGAACGCTTCCGGGCCTACCTTGTTTCTAAGGGGTGGGATGGAGCCATGGGCGAGGATGATTTGAAGGCCGATGCTAATCAGGGGATTGATGAGGGGATCGCTGTGGGTGCCGTCAAGAGTTAGGTGCATGGCTTTGATTGATGATCAAAGTCAAGCACCGGAATGAGATGACAAGCCTTAGAAGAATTGCTAGAATTGCTTTTTTGGGCCCTATCGAGATACCTACTTACTCATAATCAAGAAATGCAATCAACAGAACTTATCACGGTGTACATTGTAGGTCTGGAGCAAATACTGGTTGATGTCAAAAGCACAGACCAACGCTAAAGTCCCGAGGTCAATTCCACCTAAACATCTCCGCAATCTGTCCACATCACAACAATCATCCTCACCATGCAACTCACCACCATCCTCGTAGCAGCCCTGGGCTCGCTCGCCGCCGCCGCCGATCTCGGCATTGAAGTAACCAAGTCCGTCGAGTGCGACCGCAAGACCGTCAAGGGCGACGGAGTCTCCATGCACTACCGCGGCACCCTCCAATCCGACGGATCAGAGTTCGACTCTAGCTACAAGCGCCACGCGCCGTTGACTTTTAAGCTTGGCACTGGTCGGGTCATCAAGGGGTTAGTCTGCAAGGCCAGATACTGAGATTGACATGCTAAAGCGATTGCAGATGGGACCAGGGATTGTTGGACATGTGCATTGGCGAGAAGCGCACGCTTACAATTCCCCCCGAGTTCGGATACGGAGACCGTGGTGTTGGCCCTATTCCCGGTGGTGCGACGTTGGTGTTTGAGACTGAGCTGGTTGCTATCGAGGGGGTGAAGGATGAGCTCTGAATGGTTATCTAGAATATGTAGATTTTTTTGCAAATTCCACATGAACATCTCTTGGTATGTCTTTCTGTCTGCCCCTGCATGGGGAGGGTATCTTCTATATCTACATATAAGTGTACAAAATCTAGAAACAAAAGGCTGGCAAGTATCAATCCATGGCATCCAAGGTATTCTCGGCCCTGAGATCATTCTCCGAAACCAGTATTCCGACAAGACACTCCCCGAGGATTCCCTCCCAATTGACCCACGGGTGGACCTCTTGGAAGAGTTGAGCAGAGTCCTTTCCTGCGCCGCGGAGAAGCTCACCCTTGCCGCCTGGATGGTAGGGGGCATAAGGTGAGATATTGTAGACTTTTCCGCGGTAGGACGTCCAAGCGTCTCGGCCTTTACGCCCGTGTTGTTCCTTGAGCATGGATGGGGTGACGCGAAGTAGACCCGGGGGCAGGTTTTCACCACGGAGCTTGCTCTTCGGGTTTGCGGCGAGTGCTGCCCAATCGAGGGGCGAGAATCCTGGCTCGAGGACAACCTTTTTGCTGGATTTCTGGAGAGTGACTGGTGTCGGGGCGAGGGTACTATTGATCTGGCGAGTGCTGGTGATAGGTGGACCACGCTGGGAGGCGGCGGCTGAGGGAGGCGGTCCGAAGGAAGCTCCGCTCAGGCGTGGAGGTTGCAAGGTGCTTTTCGGGGCGAGACGATTGGGTTGAGGTGTTGGTCGGGGGATTGGAGGTGGGGGCATCAAGGAGGAGGAGGAGCTGGGAGGTGCTGGGCGAGTAGTAGACGACTGCATTGGCTGTGGCGGAGCTGCAAAAGATGGTGGCTGTACCAAAGACTTATGAGCTTCATTGCTGCGGTCTTTTTGCGATGAATTATTAGTTGCTGCAATTGGAGGTTGTGAAATGGCGGGCATCGTCGCCGTGTCGCTATTCAAGCTGAGCTCGGGGACCGTAAGGACGGGAATCGGTGCGTTTGAAGTCGGTGCCTTCGGTGTACTTTGGGAGTCCTCATCTAATTCTACCGGTGCTGAAACCCTTGAGTCATGTCGTTCCTGTACAGGCTCGTCCGGTGTAGTAGGGGTAACTGGTCCAGTGGGCTTGGGCTCCGGGGGCGCCGTGGGCTCTGGAGGGGCAAAAGAACGAGGCTCAGCCCAACTGCGGAGGGGGTATCGGTAAAGAAAGTAGGCTGTTGCTGCGAGCACCAAACCAGCTCCTATCCACCCCATTCTCAAGGAGGACAGAAGAATGAAATGTATAAAGAGCGCGGGGTCAATGAAAGATGTTTACGATTAGCAATTCGTTCACGCAGATTCGCAGAGGCGAGTGGTCCGTGCGTCAATCAGATCTATGTAGCGCAGCCGTAACAGATCTTCTTCGCACCTATATGCCCCCTAATGTTCATCTATAGTTGAACCAATAGGCATTAAAATGACTTCTTTATCGTATAGCAAATAAATTCGAGAGCTAATTCATTACCTAGGAGGAAACACAGCTAAGTAGGTATAGTTGAGTTGTATTTCCATATACAAAGTTACACAGCTGATTATTTAGGATACGTCTCAGGAGGTACATCACCATCTTCTTAGTTGATGAATCATTTTACATATAAACATAAGTCTTTCTACGCCCCACTGCAAAATCGATAGCTTAAGAGATGGGTAGATCTAGATATAGAAAATTTATATGTTTAGATTCAATCAACTATCTAGGAGTTAAATCTGCCATCACTTTGCCTTATTTCCCTTCCGCAGCCGCAGCCGCAGACTTATCACCAATGGTCTTGGCAATAGCCGGGCGAGCCTTGATGCGGTTCAACCAAGCATGAACATACGGGAAGTTCTTCTCTAGATCCATTTCGTTCGACCAGAAGAGCGCAACCACCTCGAACCACGGCACAAAAGCAGCATCGACATAGCTGTACTTGCCGCTAATGAGGTACTCCTTATTCTGGAGCGATCGATTGAGCACACCCGAAACACGACGGATCTCGTTAACATAGCGCTCGACAGCACTAGGCACCTTCTCGGGGTGGTAGACGGTAAACCAGGTGGCCTGTCCGAAGTACGGCCCCTGGCCGGACACCTGGTAGTGTAGCCACTGCTTGCTTTCGTAGTACTCCTTCGAGCCGGCAGTGAAGCTGATGGTGTGTTGCTTATCGTATGTGTCCACCAGGTACTCGAGGATGGCGCCGGATTCCCAGATGGTGATTCCAGTGTTCGGATCCTCGAGGGCGGGAACACGACCATTAGGATTAATGGACTCGTATGGTTCTTTCTTTAGGTCGTCGAGATCAACCAACTTAGGCTCGTAGGGAACCTTGAGCTCTTCCAAGATCATGAGGACCTTCCAGGGGTTGGGCGTGCCGGCGTGTTCCCGGAGGGTCCAGAGAGTAAGGGTTTTGAGAGACATGGCGAGTGAATCAACGATTGAATGATTGGGAGAAAGAGAGTTCGGTGTATAGATAACAAGAATAGAAAAATTGGTCTGCTTAAGTACCGGTATACTCCAATGGCAGGAACATCAGGACATGGATTATTCAGTTCGGCATCCGAGAAGACCGAACGCTTGATAATCTGGACAGCCGATTGTCTCGTAAGCTGGACAATTAATGTTCTTGTGACTTTCATCAGCGTTTACCTGTTAGGCCTTGGTTATCAACACAAACCACGGACTATACAGCCAGCCCGGGACCTCAAGACGTTGATTGGTCCTTGGTCATCAATACAAACAACACAAACTATAATACAAACAGCACAAACTATGACGTGCTATCAGATACTCCGTACTAGTGAGTAGGACCCTGAGCGCCCTCATAAACCAGCGGCACCCCGATCGGGAAATTCGCATCCGCGGCCTAACATCCGGTACATGACTACTGCTACATACGTTGTATGTAAATATATGTATATTTAGGCCTTTTATCCTATGTTCTATAAACATTAAGATTCACACATTCAGATTAGTATACACATGGTAATTGGCATATTTCAAGATAACTCATGATCAAACCACTGCAGAGCTTCACTTTTTTTCCTAACCTGAGGCGCGCCGATACTAGTAGGTCTTGGGAAGGAATAGACTCCGGGGAAATTGTATTGGACTACCAATAGGACAGTAGGGCTAAATTAAGCATCAAATTGCAAAAGAAGATGGCGTTTATGATGTCAGTGCACCATCACTGTCCATAGACTTTCAAAGAGTTCACCGAATGATATGAACATTTCTTTGTGCGATATCTGTTTGTATGTCATCTCTTTGATTAAGATTATCATGGTATTAGCCCACAGGGCTTTGAGGGACAAGCTGTTCCAGGATACAGTCATGTCTAACACCGATGCGGTCACGATCTTCGATGCCGGAGCTGGTCAAGTAAGTCTTGAGGAGCATGACCTGATATAGAATTGGTATTAATCAAGAATTGGGAGGCAGTCCCAGGGAGGTAGGAATTTCCAGGAAGATCGATGCACAGTGATTCTTCCAGACCAATTTCCCTCTAAATCGAAAGACAAAATTGCATTCTTTGCAGTCTATGACGGACAGTAAGCAAATCTCTATTACTGCCCCGTGCTGCCTTGAACTGAAATCCATATCCAGTGGGTCGGGGTTAGTTTCAGAACATTTGAATCAAGATCTGCACCACCTACTTGCACAACGTCCCGAGTTCGAACGAGATGATTGGGTCGGGGCCATCAAGGCGGCACTGGCAGACGAAGACCATATCCTTTTGGATCGATTCAAACAAGAGACCTTCGAGCCAGCGATTTCTGGATCAACGGTAGCGATGTGTTGCATCAATCTCACGAAGGGCGAGTTGTTCGTATCCAATCTGGGCGACTCGCATGTTATTCTGGCCGAGCGCGATTTGAGAACCGAACACCCGTATCACATTGTACCCAATCCTTAAACGAGTTAATTTGAGCATGGCTGATACCAATCAGCGACGTCTCACAGAGGCTCACAAGCCGGAGATCCCTAGCGAAAAGGCTCGAATAGAAGAGGCAGGCGGGGCAGTTGTCAATCGCAGCGGGACACATCGTCTAGGTAAAGCAAAGAGAAAAGCAATACCCTCGAGTGAGTCAATGACTAACCCACTAATTAACCATTGATAGGATCCCTAAATATGTCTCGAGCATTGGGTGACCTGCAGTACAAAAACCCGGTAAATACCTTCACGGACAACACTGCAGCAGATACATCTGCAGGATCGGGACCTCGGGGGAACTTCCTATCCAATGATCCATATACTTCGCAACGGTCATTGCACACAGACCGCCGATACTTACTTGTGGTAGTATCGGACGGAGTGACCGATCGAGTGGATGATGACAGCCTGGTCAAACACGTGATGAAATTATCGATGCGGGGAAAAAGGACCAGTGAAATTGCGCAAGAAATCGCCACTGATAGTGCTAGTCGGCCTCATAGTGATAATGCTTCATGTATTGTAGTAATGTTGGATGGTCAAGGATCTTAAAACTTTGATATAAAATACTACCTATACGTATGTAGTGATATACTATTATAAAGAGTAAACCTTTTGAAGTATTAAAGTATTAAAGTACTAACTAACAACTATACAGTACCCAAGTACTACCATTAAAAGACGAAACGAGTTCCACAACGGAAAATGTTATGCATTACGGTTCGCCCTTAACCTAATAAAGAAGGTGGTGTCGTTACGAATGTGTCGGATGCCAATCAGAATTTTAGTTATTTTTCATTAATTCTATTTCTTATGCAGTCCAGCTCTCCATTTTTGGTCTAACCATGGAATCAATGTCTAGAACCAATGAATCAGAATAGGCAAAAACAGGGAAAACAGAAAACAGGGACTTTACAACTGGCAGTGGCGTTTTATACGATATTTCTTGGCTTTTCCCGATATGTGCGTTCTATGATCTATCTACCCACCTACAGTTTGTACCACATATAGGGAGGGAGGTATTTGAGTATAAATTGTACAATCTAGGATAAAATGGATACAATTAGAATAATTTTAGAATAACATCATAGTTTCATGGTTTCGAACTAAGAACTGCAATTGTAATTGCATAATTCGGGAATTCCGTAAAGCCCTCGCTAGGATATCTGCAAAAATACCCAATCAAGCAGGCAGATAATCGATAGTCGCTTACTGCCGCTTCTCTTATCCAACCATACCCTACCATATAATTCCAGTGAAGAGGCTCCAACAGGGGCTCCTGAGATGATCCAATATGCTGGAAATCTGTCAAACTCCTTTAGGCAGGCAGGCAACTCGGTTTCGGAGTGGAGAAGACAAAAAGAAGCATGAGATCCGGCCCTAGTCACCTTCCAGAACGGTCAACCCTGAAGAGGATCGGGTTTGATACAAAATCCCCTGTGTCATCCAACATTCCACAGAATTCGAATTTTCTTCCCCTGTCCCACTTTATAACATATTTTATTGCCTCGGCTTCCCTCTTTTTATTTTTAAAATCATCATATACAAATGAGCCACACAAAAACGCGGGCATCAACTTAACCTATCCGGCATGGCACCAAAAGAATGGAGTAACTTCCATGTGGGAAGAGAATGTAGCCACCAGAAGTGGTCTCGACGAAACACACCCAAATTGACCGTCTCATCCGGCGAAACGGTCTCTTTTGATGCCATTGACAGCAGCAACGGCCAACTTAACACGTCATCTGAAGCCTCAGCCATCCAAACATTGGATCTCGGTCTGGCTAACCCCGTCTTCGGCCCGATTTATGTGAACGACGCCCAACCCGGCGACGTCCTCAAAGTGGAAGTCCTAGACCTGGAAGTCGCAGACTGGGGTTGGTCCGCCATCATCCCCGGCTTCGGCCTACTAGCCGACGAATTCCCAGAGCCAGAAATCAAAATCTGGGAATTGAACCGCGAAGCCGGCTTCGCTCAGTTCAAGGACATGCGCATCCCTCTACGCCCCTTCCTCGGATGCATGGGTCTTGCCCCAGCCGGCGATGAAGAGCTCTCGACCGTCCCGCCCACAAACGCAGGCGGGAACATGGACTGCCGCGAGCTCAGCGTCGGCTCCACCGTTTACCTCCCCGTCCAGACAGCCGGCGCGCTGTTCAGCTGCGGCGACGGCCATGCAGCCCAAGGCCATGGCGAAGTCTGCGGTACCGCCATCGAGACTCCCATCCGGGCGACGCTACGCTTCGAACTCCTCAAGAACCAGCCTTGGATAACGGCCCCTCAGTTCCAAACCCCGCCCCGCGGCCAGATCCCAAATCCTCTCCCTGACCTTGGCACCTACGGCGCGCTTGGTGTTGCGCCGGATTTGTACGAGGCTACGCGGAGTGCTACACGGAATCTTATTCAGTGGCTCGTGCAGACCAAGGGTTTGACGCGTAGCGAGGCATATATTCTTGCTAGTGTTGCTGGTGACTTGCAGATTGTTGAGGTGGTCAACGTGCCCAACTTTGAAGTGGCCATGACTCTGCCTCTGGGCATTTTCTCTTAAACTTTTCTCTAACCCCTTTTTGGTTATCATTTGGTGATTTGGACGTTGGCGAGATACCCCGAGAAATAGTGATTAGCTTTTGTGACTTTTATTTTAAACATATACTGGTGTGGGGTTTATTTGCATGTCTGGACAAGCGTTAACTCAAGCGGAGCATATCTTCTACATAATTCAATACTATATCATTTATCATGGAGTTCTGTTACTGTCACAAATTAGAATGTGCAACGTAAACATAGATAGAAAGCGGGCCAATTTCATTCAGTACAAATACCAGGTCTTAAACACGGGAACGTCCATGGAACAAGATTATTTAGCCTAGGATCATCTATCTACCACTCCCAGCAGCTGGCAGGCCAATGCCGAACTCCGCCACACTGGAATTGGCCGTGCGTTTCTGCAACAACCCTGTCCCACTTCCTCCCAGCGCTTGTATCAGATAGGCAGGTCAGAGTCATTCAATAACGAGGCATTGGACAAGACATTGGGTCCACCAGCCGGTGAAAATTGAATAGGAACATAAAACAATCCATACAAACTTGATGTACTCCGAGAACACCTTCCAAGATCGGGGTTTCGTTCATCCACGTAAAGGACAGCTGTAAAGATCGTAGTTTTGCATATCAAATATATGACTCATTAGGGTGGAAGCACGACATTGAAGAACAACCGCTTATATTGCATGGAAAAGGGACCGGAATATTTTCGTGGTAACACTCTAAATACTTGAGATACAAATGAGCGTTTTCCTTTCTCGAAGTGATTATTGTTACAGTTGAGTAACATGAAAATCGGAGTTTTTAACAAATAGTTTCCACATATCATCTGCTGAATCAAGATAGCGGACAAAATTGCATATCCCGTGTCATCCCTTAGATTTAATTTTTAGCTGTGTGCCGGGCAACCTGACGAACCTAAACGAAAGGCGTTTATATGAGAAGTTATCCGACCAAACAGTAAAGCGTTTTGAGGCAATCTTCCTGTTCCGAGTCTCGAGTCTCGCGATCCATAGTTTGAAGATTATCACTTTGCGTGGTATGGAGTTTAGCTTGCTTCCTATGATCTTCTTTTCATATTACGACCTTCCATAATAGGATTCCAATATCCTGATCTGTGTCCAATGCAACGCCTAGCTTATACGTGTCCCGTGTTTGAGGTTGCAATAGGCGGAAGGGATCCCCTGTCATTTTTGGCAATTTTCTAGTTCCACTAGAAGGATCATGAGACTCGGAGAATTAGGAGTTGGCCAGGTTTACTGTTTGCATCGATTGATAATGTAGAGGCGGGTAAATTCGGGTTCTTGTATATATGAAATAGATGGTTGGAGATGCTCCCATGGACTATCGGGTTAATGCTAACGGGAGTAGCTGGGACTTGAATGCCATTGATAGAAGCCTTTTCATGTGTAACAAACTAGTTCCGCGTATAGAAATCGGCATGTTATTTGACGGTTTAGAACTTTACAAGAAGACTACAGTGGTGTTGCATAAGTATATGACCTCCGGTACTCCAGTATCCACTTTGGCTTGACCGCGGCCGAAGTACTCGAGGTCAAATACTTATGCAACACTGATGTACGAATGCCGACACTACTACCATGATCTCATCTTATTGTGGACATTCGGTATATCGAGGCCCTGTTCAGGACCTAAGAGAATTGCCCTTTTTACGCAAGACCCAACTTGCAAGCGGGACTTAATTAGACAGCCTTTCATACTAAAAGATACCTCTGCCATAGATGATCAGAAGTAATACAACTCCAGATGACTAGTTGGTATTCCTAACGACTCAGTTCAACCTGGATCAAAAAAATTGGAATTAATTGACACGTCATACCATGAAAGGGAAAATAGTACAAATCTCAAAGGCTTGTTTTATACAGAGGGTTCCGATAATCAAGCAATAGTTAGATCAGATATTAGATTAGCGTGTGAAGAACACTGGTATCTCCATATCTCTAAACCTACGGCGGGGTTCAACACTTTGGACAATGTACAGTTGGCCACGCTACTCTCAGCTATAAAGAAAAGTGAATCGTTAGAAATGAATCATTATATTTGCATTCAACATTCTCACACACGCCGTACATAGCTTTGTTTGCTTCACCATACTCCGTATAGTCAGAGGTGTTAAGAATACACATCTTGACTGCGAATGAAAAATGCAAAAGTTAAGAACCATTGCAATTATACTAAGCAGCAAATCAGATATCAAGTCATACATTAATCTACACGGCACTTGTATTTCTCGAGGACATGTCATCATCGACCAACCAATCTAGCAGCCGCAATAATATTGGCTGTAGGTATGTAGGCATATTCTCAAAAGGAGGTGACCACTTCTGCAAGAGCGTGATCCTGTTACCAGGATGTTGCGCTATGAAGCCACCACAACATGACAAAGTATGAGCGGCTGAGCGCTGGACCTGCTTCGTATTTTAAAAAGGAAACTGGGCAGGAACCGGGAAATAACTAGGCTTCAGGGCATGGAAGACCGATGCTTTAGCGAGATACCATATAGGAAAGCGTTCTGGTCCAACGTGACGCTAAAGGCAATAGCGCCGGAGCAGACACAGAGGTGCGATTTAAATGGGTCTTTGGTGACAAGTCAATATTTGCTATTAATTATTAGTTCTCAATTGGCCTCGCGCCTTCTTTTTTATTTCCTCACCTCCCGCCACCTCCTCTCTCCACCTCTCCAGGTCGGAATTTCGGTAAGAAAGATAATACATAACACACCAAGCCTCTACACAATGAATATGAAGTACCTTGGCTGTTCCCCAGTAGATGGCTCCAGCACCTTCAGGGTCACTATCACCCCGCTTTTTGACGATCAAGGTGCATCTTCAATATCCATCCAACAAACCCTGGATCAACCAGATTGTGTCGCCCACGAGCCCCTTCTCCTATTTGAGACCAGCTATGGCAATGTTCCTGCTTATCACTTCACCGAAGACAATGTGGTAGCTTTTGATGACGCCGGATCCCTGCCGGTTTATTTCACCAACAAAAAATCCTCAAACTCCTCTGATCAAGAATGGCGTGTTAAGCGCAACACTTCGGGTAATGTTGTGCTGCAATTCGTGGTATTTCCTCGAAATTTGGACATAACAACCCCGATGGGCCCGCGTGTTGATATGCGTCGTGACCAGGGAGGCCTCATCGCAGTCGGGAGATGATTCCTTCCACGGCCTGTGGTAAATCAGATAAGACTTAACGTCGTTGAGTGGGACCTATCCGAAGCACCACGGGAAACACGTGCTGTGTGGTCTTATGGTGAAGGCCCAGGGTCTATAACCAAAGAGGGCAATTCTATGATAGTTGCAAATTCCGTCTTCATGGTTGGACCAATTCAGAGTTTTCCTAAGGCGACCTGCTCTCCCAGCATCAATACATACTGGTTTGGCGAACTACCCGGTAATATCCACGCCTTGAATCAATATAGTATGTCTTTATTCCCTAGGTTAGCCGACTTCTTTCAGGGAGAAAACACTTCATACAGCGTCTTTCTTCGGCAAGTGATCAGAGGATATGGGGGGAGCGCATGTTTGGAGAGTTATGTCTTTGAATATGATGAGACAATCTGCAAGGAGTCAGAAAAAGAGCTTCTCTCTCTTTTCACCCACGAGATGATACACAGTTTCTCGCTTATGGATGCCGAGGATGATGGATATGATAACCGTTGGTACATTGAAGGTAAGTGGGTCTTACCATCTAGAGACTCATCTCAAAGCTCACCTTAGTCATAAGGTCTAGCGGAATATTATTCAATATTCTTGCCCTATTGATTTGGCCTCTGTGGCTTGGAATACCTCTCCAGCAGACTCAATGCGGCATTACAAGCGTATGGTGACAGCCCGCAAATCCATATGGACATAGCCAAATCTCAGTAGGAATTCTATGATGACTGGTATGCGGAGCTGATTCCTTATATGCGTGGCTGCATCTATCTTCTCCAGATCGACAGTAAATTGAGAAAAATCAGCGGGATATTTGATTTCAGCCAGATGAGTCCTCTGGACGACATTATTGTTGATATGGCTAAACGGTGGCAAAGAGGAGAAAGACTTCAGGCGTGTGACTGGCTGATGTACTTGCGGCCGTACCTTGGAGACCACTCCCGGGAATTCCACGCCATGCTGAGAGGCGCAGTAACTGATCTAAATGATGTCGTTATAGTCCACAAGGATTGGTTTTTGACTTCATCATTGCAAGAAATCTTGGATTTCGGGCTCGGTAAGTCGAGTATTAATACGCGCGTCGTTTCTGGTATTGTGCAAGGCTCGAGAGCCGTCATCGCCGGCCTCAAGAACGGAGATCAGATACTGTCTACATCGCGAGCAAGTTTTTGTGCTATGTCGCTTAGCGCAAATTTTGAGATTGTTATCGAGAGATCCTGCAAGAAAGTACACATCTCGTACTGGCCACGCTCGTTCTCGAAGGCGGAGGTCTTTCACTTGGCAAGTGTACCGAATGAGGAACATCGCATATGAGGTACAACGATAGGTCTCAATGTGATAAAGTTATACATTACGAACGGCGCGATTTATGCTTGGACCTGAAAAGAAATTGCCTCGAGCAGCAATGGAGCGATCATTTGCAAATCTGTTGTACAAATCGTCGATGCAACCACTTTCCTCGCCTAGCCCGAAGAGGATTGAGTCTTGCCGATGCAAAGACTACACCTACAGATTGCGGTATGTCAAAAACCTGTGGTCTGAGAACTCGCGATTGCGATCGTTCATAAAGGGTTTGAAGCAGCACTGACGACACTGAACCCGAGCAAATCCATACCGCTTCCGTAGAAATTTGCACAGAATATACTGTACTCTTCGACATTGGGTGCTATGTTGGCTGGGAGTGGACAAAAAGGGGGTGAGTCAGATGTTTGTCTGCTGGTCATTGGAGGTTCCATCGTGTTTTCAGACACCGGCCCCACATGCGCTCAATAACTGCATGGGGACGATGTAGTTGAAGGGTTTGACTAGAGGATAGAGCATGCTAGAATCTGGAGCTGCCATTGTCTGCGGCAGAATGTGACGAGGGAAAGTAGCTTGAGATGGGTAATCGGCGCTCTTTGTAGTACCGGTATGGTGATAGTCGATGTGCTTACGGATGAACCTAACGGCGAGAAGGAAAAGTAGCCAGAACCACTATTGCTGTATCCGGGATAAGGCTCGCCTGGCCAGGCGAAAGGGATAGGGGGAACCAATCGACGATTTCCCCTCTTTATGGCGCGCCTCTTCCCGCCGATACTTGGAAATTGTTCCAGCTCGCGATAGATGAGAAAATTACCTCGTATACGATGGGGGCTCCATCTGACGCCGTCAGTTCACCGCCTGATGCCGGAAAACTGCTCCTTGTAGACGAAGATGTTACTGCTACGCACGAGACGCAACCGGGAATAAGGTGCCAAGTGCCGTTTAAACAAGCCTCAAACAGGATGAGCGCGTCCTGCGTTGAGGCCACATACCCACTGAATGAGGGCTCTATCACAGTGGATGCGGTCTCACGTACCATAATGGATGAAGAGGATGGCCAAGGTGGAGGTAAGCGTGAGCCATATCGGGCTAAGGATTGCGGCAGCTAGTTGTGCGCCCGTCGGTCTTCTGGGCCTGCGGGTCTCCGCTGATGAGCCCTTTGAACTGTCAAGTCACGGATTGGCCCTAGGAGCGCAGCGTGGGCTCCTCGGGAAGTTATCACTAGCCTCCAGGAGCTGCGATGGATTTAAAGGCATTTATTATACCCAGAAGACACAAATACTGCGTAGACTTTACCATACTTCATCGTTCTTGGGAGTCCTCCCTTCGCCCCACGACAATGATGTCTACTGGTGTGAAGAGACCACACATATGGTATTTCACTCTGCACGAATTACTCAAGCACACATCGCTCAAGTGCAACACTGTCGAATGGTAAAAAAGATATAAAGCCAAATTAGTGAAATCCCACATTTATGTGGTTATTCAACCTACGCTCAGCTTTGGCAGCAAAAAGGAAAGCATTGGTGAAACTGTGAGCGTTGAATGTTCGTTTGTAGGAAAATTGCCCATGACTACTACTGTAGTGTATGGTAGGGCGAAGAGATGGGCCACCTAACAAAACTTTCTCCACCAGGGCATTTCGTTATCCTTGCATGTCCCCGGCCTCTGCGAGAAATCGTTTCGCCAAAGTTCTGACCAAGTTTTTCCAGCAGATCATTGTAAAAAAACCAACCTCATTCGCGGCGGAAGTGTCACATGATAACGCGCAATGGTCGCGTTCCCCTCACAACCAGCCGCACCGGTCCCCGAGCCACACACATGTCATGGATCCAATCCTACACGGATTGAATCATGCCCAGCGCGAGGCCGTCACCTCATCCGGCTCAGTTCTCCAGGTGCTTGCGCCGCCAGGATCGGGCAAAACAAAGACGTTAACAGCACGTGTCGCGTACCTTCTCTCACACCATGGCTATCAACCGCAAGATGTCATTTGTTGCACATTCACAATCAAAGCGAGTCGTGAGATGCGTGAGCGCCTTGCCAAACTGATTGGAGAAAAATTTGAATCGCGCTTGATCCTTGGGACGTTCCACTCGATTTGTCGTCGATACTTGGTTAAGTATGGATACTTGATTGGGCTACGGAAGGGGTTTGGGATTGCGGACTCAGACGACACCCGTGCAATCATCAGAGTACGCTTCTTATCTTTTGTCTGGATCTACATTCATTTCTAACTGTTTGCAGAGAACCATCAAACGATTGAAGTCTAGCATTGAAGTCAAGGCGGCACAGGGCCGTATCTCTCGACACAAGGCCCATGGGCTGAGTCCAGATGCCTTGGCTGAGCGAGCTAAAGCCGAGGAGATGGAGCTTGTTGATATATACCGCGACTATGAATCAGCGCTGGCAGCTTCTAATCTCCTGGACTACGATGATCTGCTTTTGCGCTGTAGCGATTTGCTCCGGGAACACCCACAATGTGTGTCAAACGTAGAGGCCGTTCTGGTGGACGAATTTCAAGACACGAACATCATCCAATATGAACTGATGAATCTTTTTGCATCAAAAAATCGACGCATCACTATTGTCGGAGATCCAGATCAGAGTATCTATGGTTTCCGTTCTGCAGAGATCAAGAACCTCAAGCGAATGCAGGGGCGCTACTCGAATACGACAGTTGTCCTTTTGGAAGACAACTATCGCTCTGCTGGATCCATCTTGAACGCTGCGCAGGAAGTCATCGAACAGGATACGAGCCGGCCTACCAAGGCACTCCAAGCCACGCACACTTTCGGAACCCTACCTGTGTTGAGGAGACTTCCAAACCCTAGTGCAGAAGCACAGTGGATGGTTCTTGAGATCAAACGGTGTGCAGCGATGACTGGGGGTCTTCTGCGTATGTCAGACTTTGCTGTCCTTCTCCGGTCGGCTGCGCTGTCCACGCAGATTGAAACGGCGTTCGGAAGAGCAGGCATACCGTATAAGATGGTTGGAGGCCGAAAGTTCTTTGATCGGACTGAAGTCAAGATCCTTCTCAATTATATGAGGGTTGTTAGCCACACGGGACATTCAGATGCGTTGCTGAACATTGTCAATGTTCCACCTCGCAGAATAGGCGATGAAACGATTAAGCAACTGACAGGCGGCGCGGAAAAGGCTAAGCTTCCGCTGTGGGACTTCATCAAGGACGTTATCCAGGGGCGCCGCTCAACTGAGAAGAAACTGCAGAAGGCTGCAGAGCAGGGGCTTTGCCACCTAGTGAAGCTGATTGAAGCCTGTAGGCAGAAATTGCAGGAGTGCGAGGATGCATCGGCTCCGCATGTTTTGATTGAGTTCATCACGGAACGCCTGTCTTTCCAGGAGTACCTCATTAGAGCATATCCATTGGACGAAGACAGTCGCTGGGCAAATGTCAAAGAACTCATGCATCAGGCCACTGAAGTCGCAGCATTCGAGGAAGAGGAGGTCGATAAGGAGATGGACCTCCCCGAAATTGAGGGTGTGCAGCAACAACAGGCGCATCCTGGCGAAGAAGCTCTCACTCGGTTCCTTGCAAATGTTGCTTTGGCTACAGAGATCACCACTCAGGAAGAGAATAAAGACGGTGATCAACCCACGGAGAAGGTCACTATCTCGACCATTCACGCTGCCAAGGGCCTGGAGTGGCCTGTGGTTTTTGTGCCTGCGGTGTACAACGGGAGCATTCCACACTCGCGCGCAGAGGTGATAGAAGAGGAGAGACGATTGCTATATGTCGCGATGACCAGGGCTCAGGCCCTGTTATATCTGAGTGTTCCTATTCGACAGCCCCGGCTGGGTGAAGGGGAAGATGGTGCAACTACATTGACACAATTTCTTCCTCCTAAACTAACCAAATCACACTTTCGGCAGATGGGCCCATCTCTTCACGAGAAAGTGGTGTATGCAATTGCTGATATACTGCGCCGCCCTCGGCCATTGCTAGAAGACATGTACAAAGGGCTTGAGTTCCTTCCATCGACGCTGGACGACCGATGGACACCTGAGGGTGAGGAAGATCGCAGCAAGATCGATGGTACTTCTGCCTCTCACGATACCCCTGATGAGCCGAATCCAAAAAGGCGGCGCTCAGATATGAATCAAGGGCCAAAGACAACTACCTACGTCTCTTCAACTGGGTATACCATGAACAACTCGACGGGGTTTACTATTCCTACAACCGTCTCAACGGGCTTTACATCTGCCCGGGATTACGTTGCGGCCAATCCTCAACCCGCCCAGGATTCAGCCGCGAATTCAGCCTCAAAACCCCCTGCAGATACAGCTGGATCAAATAAGCCGAACCCGCTCAGCGGTGCAGGCCGCAAGGACGGTCTCATCCAAGCAAGCATCTCGAACTTCTTCACAGGTCCAGGATCCCAGAAGAAGGAACCGATTCTACCGACTCGTCCACAGGCATCCCGAAAATACGAGGTGCCACTGTCGCAGAACCAACGTCCTCAGACGAGCAATGTCCCACTACCTCTGTCCTCCCATCGTGTCCAACCACGTCCACTCGTCCCAACCCGACCAACACTAGAGCCAACGAATGCCGATGGGTATACATGGTTGGCAACTCCATCGAAGCCCCCAGCCCCAAAACCCAGGATGTCTATGACGCAGGAACAAGGCTCGGGCAATACATCTGCAGGCGCAGTCGGAGGCGAAGTGAAACCCGAAACCTCCCGCGGGTTTCAAGCCGCCACGACGTTCCACACAACGACCATGTCAATGGTTCAACAGGCACCGCGGCGGACGTTAGGGATGCGACGGAGTATGAATGGGTGGCAAGATCGGATGAAGCGAGAGAGCGGTGGGCGCGGCTGAATGGAAGGAGGCTGAGTCTAGAATTATTGTGACGATATCATTGTGTCCACGGGATCAAGTCAGGGGAACAAGGCCCACACGGGACATGTTTCGTTGCTGGGGAGGCCCAGACACGTTACTTTCTCAGCTCGGGAAGTGATTGATCGAGGGTCCAGGGCTAGAATCTCGGTCTGGGAGGAATGACGCACCATCCGTGCCCTGATATGAGTTGTTTATGCATATTGCTCTCTATAGGGCATACCTACATTGCTGCTCGGTACGTCAGTCACATTATTACAATAGTTACCAGAATTTCATCATTATCCTTGAACATGGATCAACCAAGCGGGACGGGCAGATCTTCCGATAGAGCCTAATAGGATTAGTGATTGGGGATTAGGCATACCCATGTACATTATTATTGTCACAGATCTGAAGCAACTAACAAGGTCCAAGGGTTATGACGAAAATTGAGAATCAATAATATGAAGTGGAATATGAAGTGGAATACGGAGTAAATAATTGAGACCCAAAACGGCTAGGATTCTGGACCACAGTGGAGATTCTGGCGGTGTACAACCCCCTTATAATACGGCATTTAATCCATCAACTACGGCTAAGTAGATCCGTAGCTACAGCCGCCATTGGCGCATACTAAGTAAATCAGGTTAGCGGTGAAAGGAAGCGAGGAATCCAATCTTTTTTGTTTTTGTATTTACAGAAAGACCAGTCAAATATTTTCTGTAAAGAGTCTAGTGTGAGTGAGTTGTTGAATATGAGTGAAGTTATGCCTAAAACTAGGTGAACTATTCTTGGAGAGGAATGGCTGACTCAGCTTGTAATATTACGATAGTATTGATACCACATACCTTTGTTCCACCACGTCGTTAAGCCCTAGACTGCCTACATAATGATAGTTTACTCTGTAATGTACGTGTATGTAATATATGTAATATATGTACGAATCCTTTCTTCTTGAACTATGACTGGCTGCCCTACTTTAGTTTCTTCTCTCTAATCCAATCAATCCTTCGTAATTTAACCACGAATACGTCAGGGGGTGATCCATTCCGAGCTCTCTGCTGAAGCTGTTGGTTCCCCGGAGTGTAGATCGGGTGAAGCTCAATCTGGAATGGTTTTGCTATACAAAAAGAAGTCAATCGCCCTCAATCCATTTCATCAATTCAATCTATACAACTATATCAACAATCACTTATTCGCCTTTTTTTTTCTCTTTCATTTTGTCTTTATATATCTTACTATCTTATTTTATCTTGTTATCCTATTATCCTATCTGTCATTATATAATTTTTAGCAGTTCAACACTGTCTACACGCCCTTTACGCCTATACCTCAATACCTACCTCTGAACCTCTCTTAATATCTTAATATCTCTTGATTCATATCTCCTCTCTCGCAAGCACAATCTTCCAATTCACAATGCCTCACAAAGTGAACGACTCCAACTCCACGCTAGCCAGCACAAGCAGCGGTGACCAAGCAACCACCGAAGTTCGGAATCTGAGTATGTCAAGGGTTTTCCCGATCTCCCAGATGCAGCCTAAACTAATGCACACCCTTGCAGCCAATCCCGTCCGCAAACCCCCAGTAATTGTCCACAACAAGGGCGGCCAAATATATGACGAAACCCGGCCCTCAGACTGGGACAAACAACGCTGGAAGTAATCCTGTGGATATGACCAGATCTCAATGGCGGGTATGGACCACATTATCCGCGCGGAGAAGCATTCCCAAGCCCAAAAGACACGCACACGCACACGCAGAAAAAAAGACGCGAAAGTGAGGCGGTGATCGACGCGCAATTCAAACATTGGGCGCTAATTCCCCCTTTTTTGAGCTCGAGCTTCGTCACACTTCGCACCGACCATATTATTATTATTTTTGTCTACCCCTGACCAGATCGACCTCTGATATGGTCTGGATGCGTCCCGTTTTCCCTTTTTCGCTTGTCGATCCATATTGCCTCGCTATCCCTGCGTCTCCCCGGATTTTGTGGCGGTCTCCACTTGAGCTCTTTCTTGCTTCCCCTTGTATCATTATTGGAGTTGGCTTTTTGTTTCTTATCCCCCTCGGACTTGGTTGAGGGATTACCCGACTCAATTCTTGTCTACTCTCTCCTCTTTCTCTCCTGGTCTCTGTTGAAACAGGTTTGCTTTTGACGCCTGATTCGGTTGTCATGCTGTGAGCTTTGTTGAAACATTCTTTGTCATTTTGTTTCTTTTCTTGCGATGCATAGCGTGGGTTATTATTGGGTCTATCGAACCTAGGGTTTTACTTCGAATAAGCGAAATTGATTTCCGCAGAGAAATATCATTGTTTTACTATTAGCTATGAAGCTTGCTCCTCTATAGCTCTGTCGATTCTACTTAGATCTTTGTATACGTGGGCCGATCTTACCCGTGACTCTGTCCCAAAATACAGCCATGCTCCAGCTCAATCATCACGCTCTATGGGGATACCCTGTCAGCCTTATAGCTAGGCCAGGCATTTTATCTGCTTGAGACGAATCCGGTCTGTTCAATGCTCTACTTTGGTGGTCATGGTTGTCTGTCTTCTGCAAGCTTAGATGTGCCGTGGGCAAGATAGACAGGCTATGTAGCTCTTGTATTCGAGTCAAGCATCATTCTCTGTACTAACCCATGTTTTACTGCGTCATTGTAATTGCGGCCCCCTCGCTATTATAAGTGAATACTGCACGTTGGGTATTCTTAGCAGATAGACTTCACACCGAATGAAATATATCCATGGATATATCATTAAGGTCCATGCTGGAGCCGTGGGTTAAAGGTTGGATTCCTTATGTGTCCTAAGATATGTTGTGCCATGTCGAAATATATATCACGCCGCACAATGGCTATCAAGGGTTATTTGACACACAAAAATGCAACCGAATTCACACGGTATTTGTGCGTAGGAGGAGTGAGAAGATGGAGCTTAATCATGCATGACTAGTATCCGAAAGGCACAAACTACGGGTTTGGGGTTAGACGTGATGTTATCCGTGTGAAGTGAAGATAAGTTTACAACTAGAATCTGAGGACCTCTGGAATTGACGCTGAAAATGACCGCTTTGAAGGCCAAAAACGGCCTCCTTTTCCAGCCGTAGCTTGGGACGGCGAGCCCAGCGCTGCTAGTCATCAATTGGTCCTGATGTTGGCGCTCAACTTCAACAGTAATCCCCTCCGTTTCCACTCGCGACCCGGCGTCTTGCTTCCACAAAATAACTCTCTCCCTAGCGACTCCTCTCTAGGCAAACACAAATGTGATGTTCTCTATGCTATTTTAGAGTGTCGCAATCTCAAAGGTTGATCAGAATGCTAACGGGTAAGTGTTCCACATTCTTACCGAATTGATCTGATACCGATCCTTCACGTCAGAACCAAAATTTTCGGGCACGGCAGTTACCAAGTAGCATATTGCCCGAGTGCTGAAATTATTTCGTTCGCTTTCCGCGATGGAGCTTTTGTTAATATTGAGCTCACACCAGAGCTCATTTGGCGGTTGCGAGTTCTAAAACATAGTTCGTCCCTTCCCCCTCCGGTGGAAGCCTGAAGTTCTGGACACGCCCATCCTCCGGCGGCTTGAGCGCACTTCAAACGGCTTTGAACTTTATGGGTCTTTGTCGATGACTTATGAATGAAGTCGGGCGATGCTAGATTCGAAGACGATAATGGACATTACAATTTCTGCCGCTGGACTGCAAATGAAGTCAATTGTAAGTCACTCGTTGAGCGCATGTTGAAAAACCCTCCATGCCTACGAAGATCCTCTCATATTGGGTCTGACCAGCAGTGCATAGAAAATTTCACCAGCCAAGAGCGGTAAAGGGTGCTTGGTCAGTCTGTTGGTGCGGTTCTTGAAAAGCACTACCAATCACGATTCACTGGACGCGATCTCCAGCATGTTGTTCCCTTCGATCATCCCAGGAGGGTTTAACACGCGGCTCTGGAAGTATGCTAAGGGAAAGAGATCCATTAGCACCGTAGAGGAAATTCTGCAATTTTGGTGCCTAGTTCTAGCTGGGCCGCATTTATTCTGAATCCTCATCAACTGTTGCTTTCGCTTGGGCTTGAGGAGATTCAACTTGACGCGCTTTGGATTGAGCTTGAGCCTCCCGATTCTCGAAGTCTGCCCATTTCGTAATTTCATCGGGTCGAAGCTTCCCAGGGTAAAACTCATCGAGCATGCTCCGACCCAAACCCTCATAGTTCTCTTCGACTTCAAATAGTGTACCCATTACTTCGGGCTTACCGAAGACCTCGACAAAATCCAGGGGGATGCCAAAACTTTCTGGTCGCCGGTTCCAACCAGCGACGAAGACGTTCTGAGCAATGCCGATAGCACCAATGGCAAGAAGAAACCAAGTGTTCTTCTGTAGACCAGCTGCAACGATAAGAAGAAGAACCCAGAGAGTTGACAGTATGAGAAGAATAAGTCGGGTTACCGTCTTGGCTGAGACATCGATATTGCTCTGCCCCGATGCCAAATCCTCAAGGTTCAAGCCATTTTCATTCCCTAGAATAACGATAGCATGTTGGGAACCGTTGCCTCTTGTGAGAATATAGGTCTGCTTAGACTTAGTCCGACAGGCCCACTTTTCCTTCTTCCATTGTGGGAGAAGACCTGTTGCGATGGCAAGCGCATTACCGCAGACTGTTATCAACAAGATACCCCAATCACCGAAAAGTCCACAGGGTATAGCTGCGACTCCTAGCTGGACTATCAAGATAAGGAGGCCGCTCCAGTAGATGATATCGCGTTCTCCGACGCCGGCGGGTCGTTTCTCACTTGGCTTGTAGATAGTAACGACAAGGCCAGCTCTTGTTGGCTTCTTTGCATCCGACTTTTTGGCTTTCATCTCTTTCCACTTTTTGTCCAAGATGTCGTCGGTCTTGTCCTTGGTCTTTTGGTCGCTCCATTCATCAAAATCGCGCACGATTCTGCCTATAATCCAACTCGAATTCTCCCTGATATATCCACTCTTGCCGTTGATAACCATGCATTTGCAATCCGGGCTCTGTGGCATCAGCTTATTTTCGCCAACGGCAGAGACGAGCGTAGATACAGAATAAGCCACCCATCCTTTGTGGATACATCAAGTTAGTATGCAAATGGAGTCAGGATCGAGCCTAGAGGGGTGATACCGAAGGAGAATGTGATAGGTGTCAGTCCACCACCTGCGAGTTGCGCCAACGCGCGAGCGACAACATCACCGCCTAGAATGAGCAGGACACTAAACACATCGCTTGGGTGAAACCATTGGACCCTGAATTCGTTTGAGGTTATAGCCGGATCGAATTGAGAACCGCGAGGTATCAAGTTGGCAAGTAAAGGCGCCATGATGTTTAGCCCAGATAGGGCAAATCGCGCAGAAAGAGAGGGATGACGATGAAGATCCCTCCAGGTGTGTTTCAACATACAAATTGAAGATATAGCACGGCAACAAATTCGGGAAAATAAAACTTTTTCTGAAGGCGTAATCAACTTAGTCAACTAAGTGGACATAGTGCATATATAATTGTGACTTATCTGTAAATCGTAGTACATAACCAAATAGTGTAGGGACGTAGGGACTCTGTAATGTTGTCGCCCAGGCGAAAAGGCGGAACCAATGCAACTCATGGATGGGGGCCGGCGCGTGCAGAGGCCCCTCCGCTAGGTTACTGCGATTGATCATTGGGTATGATGGCTGACTTCACAATACAAACCTCTTGGCACTTATACATAGCCACGTCAGAGATTTGTTGATTGGTGACTTCCTCGTGTTGCTGCCTCTACGCGCCCACTGCACTGCCTACAGACCGTTGCCGTAAAGATCACCGGGTGAGAAGACGGGAAGACCACGAGATTTCGAGCGAATGCCACGGTTCTCAGTACCAAAGACTCAATTAAACCTCATGTGTCATCAAGTGACTAACTATTTGTCCGGCAGCAACTAACTATAAATTAACTACCGGTTAGCGCCCCGTTGCGATTATTGCGATCGGTCGGACCCTCCAGCGCAATCTGCGCTGCGTTCTTTAGCACGCGCCGCGAGCGCCAAGCTTCCCCGGTCTTGCCCTCGGGCTGATGCTTGTTTTCTTTGGACTCGTGGTCTGCTACCACGACGGTAAACTCGACCCCTCACATCTCTATCAGTCGGTTGATCCATCATCGATGCTGTTTGCCTTAAGATACTCACGCTCCGCTCTGTTCGGGCCATTGTAACTAGGCATTCCCGCTACAAAAATGCCTTACTCCTTGGAAACAGCATAACGTTTGAACAAGGCTGCTGACAGGCTTAGTTGATCCTATCCGCCATCTTCTCAGAACTACGGAAGCCTAGGGCTGAACTTCTTGATCTTGCTCTGGGTCTTGCAGCGATGGCTTAATTTGCGCAGATTCGAGACGACCGAGGGGACACTACAGCTTTTGACGATAATCGCAAAATCTCACGCCGATCATATCGAGATATCCGAAAGCCTCTGAGTTTCTTTTGCTGATAATGCTAGCGAGGTTAGCAAGTTTAGTTCAGAAAGCAATCCTATAGTAACCAGCGTTTCAGAAACTCATAGGTTAACTGTATACTCTAGTCAGCTTCTACAAATGCTGTAACTCTAGTACTCTTACACTACCTATTATATCTTGATCTAATACAGGACAGTCATAGGATTCGAGATAACTATATTAGCTGTAAGTAGCAGACTGGCATTGTGTAGTCGAAAAAAGGAGACTCCGGACAGCTTCTGCATTTTCCGTTATGTGGCTGTTCGACAGAATAAATCTGTCTCGTTGGCCCTTTCTAGGCGAAGGAAGCAGTCCTCAAGCTGGGTATCCATCGAGCCCAAGATATGGTGCTGATGTGAATCGAGAACTCTGTTTCGAGTGATGCGCATTGTTTGGATATCAGGCGTCAGCGCGGCTCTTAGGAAACCTGCCCTAATCATAATGGTGTCCACTACAATTGCCCCTATAGGTTAGGCCAGCTGGTCAATCATGTTTTATTTCGTCGGCACGATATCCATATTTGCCACAAAATGTTCCATCCTTGATAGATATAAATAAATTAGTGCCGAAATGCTTTTGCCCATTTATCTGCCAAAAAGCGTATGGGCTTATCGATCCTCAGCAACATTATCACGTTTGCAGGCCAATCACCTTGTGAAAACGCACTTCTCCACGAAGCCACCTTCCACGGCGAAGAAAACGCCAACATGAGGTTGGTAGCATGCGACGCAATCCACAATCGACGAGCTATGTAGTTCCATCCGATAACCACCACCACCATGGAAAACATGAAGAAAAAGTACAACCCCGCTGAGACAATAAACAGTAAATCGACAGTTCGGTAGGGCCGGTCGTCAGTATCACAGAGAAAAAGCACCCACGCCACCAACGGAGAAATCAAATGAACCACCATGACATGTAAGATCTCCAGCCCAATGGCCCAAGCGACAAATTCAGAATGGTCATATATCATCACTCGTACAACAAAATCAACCAATTTTTCACGGCGGCCGAACATCAGGTACCCGATCCCAAGAATGAGTCCTCCTGTTGCGAAACCGAAAACGATGAGGATGATCGGAAATGATAGTGAGATCCACCACATGTAGAAAGAGATTTTGCCTAGCATTGAGAGATCGGAATAGCCGGTCCGAGCATTGTGTATGATAAACGCTACCAGGCTTACGAGGTGGGATAGACCGCCTATGATTAATAGTGGCCCTGCAATTCCGAATGATGAGTTGGGGGATACCAGATATCGACGAGCTAGCGGCGAGATTGCTATGTCGGGGGGCTCTAGCCTTGGCATTAGGTTGACTGACCATCGATTCATGCGTTCGTAGGAGCAAGGTACATACCACATGGCATGGATAAATGGAGATTCGTAACTAGTAGACTGGTCCATGACTCCTGGTCTTCTGAGTTGTTGGAATTTTGTTGAAATAACACGGGACCAGAGGACCCATAGTCGTCAGATCCCCGACAATGATCACAGAGCTTTTGGTCTTCGTTTTTTTCTTCCAGGGCAGAAATCGCGCCATCGTAGATCAAACGCAGTTCCCATTCGAATTTCCCCACAGCTCGGGCCTCTTTGACATTGAAGGAGCAGCCGGCCTTCCAGGGATGTTTGCATTGTAGACCTTCTGCTGCTACCGAGCGCGGGTCAATCACTAGAAGCTTCCCTAGGGAGTACGATGTATCCGGGACAATTGTAGATGGACGATGAAACAAAATTTGATGTTTCCCACGAGCGGTTTGCAGTCGCAGACAAGGCGTATTGGGTATCTCCCCAGTCAAAGGAACTATGATCAGATCTTCATCGGTCTTGAGATGAAAAGTAAGAAGGTCCTGTTCATCAGAAAACTCTCCAAAGTCCCGAGCTGCAAGCGGATACAAAGCACGCGAGCTAGATTCATGGATAGTCTCAGGAGCCCAAGAATTAAGCGTGCTGCTAGTCGAGTTCCGTGGGCGTGGAATGTAAAGCAAGCTGAGAGGAACGCGATCCAAACTCCAGAGTATATATCGCAGACGCTGTGAAGTGGGTAGAGCTAGGATCGTATAGAGAGGAAGATTCAGAGCCATAGCTAAGATCAGATCCAAATCCCTGACCTTGCTTGTCGAGCGGAGAAGTAGTTCATTCCAGGTCCGTATGAAAATGAGGACTTGCTCGTCGTTAGATCTTTCTTCATAGTTTACTTTGGGTGGAAACCATAGCATGAGATGGGTTTGAAAGGCTTTTAGAAGATGTTTTTCCAAAAGTTTTCGAGCCGAGCAATGGTTCAAACTGGACTTTTTAAAGTGAAGACCAACCCTCACGCCTCCTCGAGCGCGGAATCGAAATCCTTCCCATGTTCGAAGCCAAAGAAGTTTGTCTACCGGATCTAGAGCGCCGTCGGCTAGTTGGACACGACACTTCAAGGCATGTGCTGACTCCTGAAATGTCCATGCTCTACTTGCCCACTGACTACCCAGCAGCCGTGCCGATATCTCTGGAAACTGCGAGCCAGACAATCGTAAGGTCTGGAGCTCGGCGTCTAGAACTAGTGTTTGTGCGGCACCTGCAAAAACCACAGGGATTTGAGATATAGCATGTTCGCGTAATTGGGACAGCTCCACGTCGTTAATTTCTGCAAGATACTTCGTTGGGATACATAGGATATCAAGCCAGAATAGCGTCGAAGTATGATCAGGTAGTCCTAGCGAGAACCTCAGTCGTTGGAGATCGATGCTGTACATACTTGAAGAGAAACTTGCAACTCCCTCGTCGTAAACAGGCATGTTGGCTAAGTGACGGCGGATTTGTTCAAGTTGGAATCTGTATACACTGTTGTCTTTCGTGTTTCCCAGTCCGTCGGACCACACGTGTGATAGCGCGATATATCGACTGCGAGTTGTGAGAGGTTCCACACTTAATATGAGCTCACCAGACGGGTCGTTCCTCAGTCGGATGAGCGGGATCTTTCCCTGTCGCAGTGTGCCCAAGACGTCTTTTATCGGGACAGGATATAGAGTACAGGCACATTTAGGCCATCTGTGCCTTGGAATGCCTGGGGTCCGGTCAGAGGATATCCCAGCAGTACATATGGCGTCTCGACACTTTTGATGATTCAGTCCTCGTGGATGGTGGCGCTTAATTTGTGATATGTAGTAAAGAGGCATGTAGCCTAGGTTTTGAACAATGCCTTTGGCTTGCTCGGGGCACCACCCATTTGAACAAAGACGATCAACCAGAAGCCGAAGGGAAGGAGGAGGATCTTGGATAGTAGTGATTGGCACTTCGGATTTGTTCACTTCTCTCCCGAGCGGATCAAAGACTCTCTCGTCATCTTTTAAAGAAGCCGACATTCGTAGGGCAATCAGTGCCTCGATCAGGATTCGTGTTGACAACACTATCAATAAACCGGGCTTGTGGCTGCGCAGGGTAACTTTTCGAGGTCATTGAGCCGACTATTGGCGAATTTGGCCAATTCCAGAAACTTGAGTACGCGCGGGGCTATGTCGTCGTCATTTTCGTCCTTGTCATCGCTATCTTCCTCATCGCAAGGCAAATCTGCAAGAATCTGAAGCGACACGCAGGAAGTCGGATCGCCATCGACCATCTGAGTTCTGGTGAGGTCGCTGAGCTTCGGCATATAGCCCAGGTGCTCGGCCAAGAGACCGAAGAAAAGCCAGGATTGAATTATAGTGGCTAGGCGTTTGCTGCTGATGTTTTTATCGATCGCGGATTCGATCCCATACCGCTCAGCGAAAGTGAAGAAATCCTGGGGCTGTGTATAGGGGATAATGTCCAATAAGGGGACATCTATATCTGGAGTGGATGATCCAAGCGGTCTGGGAAGAAGGTCCATCGTTCAAGGGCGACGGGGCATGGTCAAAATATGGAGGTGTAAAGTTCAAATTTACAGAGAGGTTTGGGTGGACCTTACCTTTTTATCGAGTGCCAGGCAGCTTGGAGCAATACCTATGAACTCGTGAGCGGCTATGAGTGCTGGTGTGGCTAATGATATCGGGCTTGGGAGCTTAGCTGAGACGCGTGTTCGTTCGGATTGACCTTTTGACCAATTCCAGATTAGCGCTTGTTGAAATCGACAAACCCCTTACTACAATGCTTGCTTGTACCGCACACCCACAAGAGCAGACAGCAACAACTAAAGGGGCGAAGTGCAAACGCTAAGGTGGGAATTGTGATAAATAACATAGCCTTGTCTATTTAATGGCTCATCAGGAATTACATTAGAGCGGCGAGGGAAACTATGAGATCTAAGTGGAAAGACCACGGTTTTGTCAACCTCAAGGCCACGCCAAATCATGGCTATTCCGCCAACACCTCCCATTACACCGTATCGGATGCTCCCTGTGGAATGGCCATGGTTCCAGGAACCATGACCTGCACGTGACTTACACGTCGAATGCACGACTGGCTCCCGTTGATCCTTAATTCGGTGCGGCCCCTGCGGGTCCGTAACACCCTGTTCAAGAAAGTATCTAAACTGGGAAAAACAGGGGCCAGGGCATTGGCTTGAGAGCCAATGCGCAGGGGTTGGTGAGGGCAGAAATGGAAAAGAGGGGAGGAAGGAAGGAAAAAACCTAAGAGATCACTGGGGCCGGGCGAGCTTCTATGTCAGGCCAACCGAGGGAAGAGGTACAGAACGACGCATTGAGGCGCTGGACTAAAAAGGGTAAAACTAACCGCATGCAGTAACTCACAGGTCCCTAGTTTGAAGCATTACGTTAAAAATACGAGCCAAAAAGATAAGCTACGACGAAAAATGTATCCAAGTTGACTGAAAATGGGATATAATTCAGGGCCATAGGCACGACCGACAGCCCCCATTCTCAAATCCACAGATAATAAAGAAAGCACCTCGCCGCCTGTCTCCAAATCAGACAGGGTAGGCATGGAGGGCCAGATATCAAGGACTAGATACAAAAGAAGAGGAGAGGGCAGGAATAGACCAATGAACCCAAGATGAACAATGGCGCAAACCTTCCAGAAGACATGTAATTTTTTCCGGGTTTTCTCGCTTTTTTTGCTTTTTTTGCGACCTGGACACTCCCACGCGTCGACCGTGATGAGCGGGCATAGTCCATCCCATGACTGGGCCGAACGCGAGGGCGAACTCAGGCACATTAAAAACGATTTGGTGATTTTCTGAGGCGAACGTGAATGGTAAGGGGTAGTGCGATGGGTAGGACAGACGGATATGCACTGCTAAAGATCGTGTAAGGGCAGGGATATCAAAAGCTGCGCGAACTGGCGCGCAGCAATACAAAAAAGTCGAGGGTTATTCCTCGATGAAGAAAAGTTAATGGGGGAGGATGGGAGTGGAAAGACAAAATGCATTCTTAAAACAAATAAATCAACATGGCTCGCGCTCGCAATGCTAGGTGGTCAAATCAAGTGCAACTGATGACCCAAAACTAATGGGTATTGGAAGCAAGTGGGTATGCAATTTTTGGAACAGGAAGTGAAGGGCTGGTCTCGACTCCGGGTACGTAGAACCAGAGTCGAATGCTAAGCAGAAAAGACGAATGAGGATGCAGTCGAATTCGAGGGATATGGCACAGGTCGACAGCTGAAATGGCGCATTGAGTATTAGGATAAGATATCGCGATGTGAATCAATGCAGGATTGGACGCTCCTTGGAATGATTCCATGAGGTGGACAAAAATGAAGTGAGACTGGAGGGAATATGTGCAATGACCAAGATCTTTTGGAAATGCTTTTGAAGTCCGCTGTCGCTTTTATGTACCACCCTAATAGGACTGGTCCATTCCCATGTGGGTAGGTGCCGCGGGGAAATGTTGGAGGGCAGCTTGTTGAGCCATGTACATAGCCTCTTGCTGGTATGCTTCGCTGTTCATGTATTGCATCTCAGACGATGGCGCGGGAGAAGGAGAACAGCCGTTGACGGTGGGTATTCCGCGAGTCATGTTGTGGTTCCCCAAGTGAGCGTGATGAGCATGCACCAGTGCCTCATTCTCCGGGGTGATGGGAGGAGTGAGGTAACCGTGAGGAATAGCAGTCAACTGCGAAGACTTCTGAGGCGTGGCAAGGCCCATTTCTCCATTGTAAGGCTTGGACTCGATAGGAGTCTCGACCGGAGGAGTGCAACGGGCATAGTTAGCCAAGGAAGCCTGGCGGTTGAGGAAGTGCTCCATAACCTTGGAGACCCGAGAGAAGTGAGCCGAAGCGTACTTGCGGGAAACCACTGTTGAGGGCTGATGCAACTGCTGGGACAACGCGACTAGGGTCATTGAATCGTATTGGGAAGCCCAGTGAGTGTGACGAGGCTGTGGCCTATTGAGGATGCAGCGTGACAACGCAAGGGCAGCGCGAGCAAGCTCAGACGACGGTTTAGCGACAAAATCCCGGTGGAAAAGGGCAATCTCCAGAATGTACAGAGCCATGTGTTCCACCTCAGCGTCGAAAGGGTCATCCAGAGTAGCGTGTTGCAAGAAGGCATCAACAGTCGGGTGTCCAATGGTCCAGCCAAGGGTCTGAAGCACATGCCATTCCATCTGAGTGAACATATCGTCATCGTAGAGGGAGCAGCACATGGACTTCAATTCCTTAATGGTAGGTACACGATCCTTCTTATCATTGTACTTGGCCGCAATGAGCAGCGCTGCACATCCAACCAGTTGATAGTGGCGCTTGTAGACCACACGCTTAGAGCAGTAACGGTCCAAAAGATTGATCGCCAAGAACAAGGTAGAAGGCAACAGCTGGAATGCAGTGTGAGCCTCAATCAAAAAATCAAGAAGATACGGTCGCATGAACCACTGAATCTCGGTTTGGATGTCAATGGATTCAACATCGGGCAGAGTTTGGCTCTATATCAAAAAAAACACAATTAGCATGGCGGTCAGATCAAAAACGGCATATATAAGACAAAACTCACATCCATCTCCAACATGTGGCTCAGGATATCATCCCGAAGCTCGACGCTGGTAAGGCGAGACAGTTCGTCGGCCATGGCATATTGACGCTCACGAGAAACAAGCTTTTGATGCTCCTCTTTCGCTTGACGTTCTTGCCGGACTCGTGATTCCATTCCATAATCGTCCTCAACGAAGAAGGTTGAGCATGTACGGTAGTTGCGGTGGTAATCCATGATTGCGGTAGTGCTTGGATGACCGAAGTAAAGAGCAGGCGAGGGGTAATGATGATGTCTTGTTTCAATGAATGGATGCCGAAAGGGCAGATCTTTCGCACAACGACGGAATTAAGAGAGTGACAGTCGTGATATTAGTGTATGGGAATGAATGACGGGGACGTTGAACAATTAAGGAGTGTGCCAGCACAAGACAATAGTCCGTATGCTGGAGAAAGAGATGGCCGAGGAGGTCCGAGGGTAGAAGTCTTCAAAGACGGAAGCTGGATAGAATTAATGTATTAGCGGCGGCCGGCGTGAAGAAAGATTAAAAAATTAAAGATCGTAATCGTCAAGTGACACGGAAATGAAGGTAAGAGAGTGTAGTGTAGCAAGAGGAAGAGATAGCGGCACACGGGGTAAAAGATGTAGTTGATATCCATCCATAAGAAGGAAAGGGTCATCGCTCCTTCGGAGAAATACTAACCCAGTAAAGAGCCTTCGGGCAGAGGGCACAATGCAACCCTTACCGTGACAGCAAGACTGGCATCTAGGCAGGAATGATCCGTTGAATTGGGATTCTGTTGGATACCAACGCAAGAGATGAATAACGAGTCAACGTCTTCACCCCTAGGCCAGTGTTCTGCGGAATGTGGAGTACAGGTACAAGACAACCCTATGAAGGGGTCAAGATCATCAGGGGAGAGGTCTTGGCAAAGGAATGATCAGAGATCAGAACTCACACTTCACGAATTAACGTGTTGAAGGAACAAGCTCAATAAAGAGATTGAACTGGAGTTGATGGGAGTGTTGGATATGGCTCAAGATGATATCCGCGTCGGAAGACGATGAGATATAGATCCAAAGTCAGATGAAACAAGTCCTAGCACACGAAATGATGTTAGCCCCCATTTCTTTGTATGGATCAAATTTCGATTGTATTGACAACAATTCATGACAATCAACAATACAATTGACAGTAGATCAATTGTGCTCATCAATGAAGTATGTGGTGCCGCGGCCTTATTAACACCCCGACATTCCAGTATGTCCAACAAGAGTATAGGATTTTCATTGACCCCTTAAATTCTTCCACACCGGGGGATATAGAAGCAGTTCATTCAGATAACCATTCGGAACTTGACGAAACAGAGCCCGTCAATCGGTAGATATGCATTCCACAATTGTATATTGAAATCATAAATTCCCATTCATGGGACCGACAATCAGAACTGTTTCCCTCCTATATCCGGATCCTGGCTTGTGTGGTGGGGTGATTGGATATATATGAGCGTCGTGTCTGCTTTTGATATTTGGATATTGAGGCCGCAAAATCAGCATGCCCTGTGGGGCAATTTTTTTTCATGCTCTCTGAAGAATAAAAATCTCATATCTTTTGGATTTTCCCAAACGATTCCCTTGGGCTCTTGTCGGATCGAAATCGAGGCTCGGTAAACATCTTTCCAATTGGGGCGTTCCGAGCATTCGCACCACACATCTTCAAAACACCAAAAAAAAGGAGATTTCCGCACTCACCCAGTATATGAAGCTCAAGATCAATCTGATACAGAAACCAAATTCGTATCAAAATAGTCAACCGATATGGTTTTCCTACACTGTCGCTCGTCTAACCGGCAGGAGCTGGAACAGGAGGGTCCAAAATGTCGATGTCCGAGGAACAGGGAGGTACCGATGAACAGAGACGGAGGGGATCGCCGTTTGAGTTAACAAACGTCGAATTGTCAAATTTGGGAGGATCGGGGGAAGGGAGGGGGGAATCTAGTGCAGCGGACTGAGGGTTGCGGTCGACTACGTCGAATCGTAACTCAGTCAGTAGACCAGAATTCCGGGGGGGTCTCCGCAAATTGACAGGGAGGGTAGAAAACAAAAGGGGAGAGAGAAAAAGAGGTATGAAGAAGAGAAGGAGGAGTACAAGGAGGAGGTTTTTTACTTTCTCTCTCCAGGCGGGTGAGGGAAAGAAAAGGAAGTTAAGGAAGCTGAGACAAAAGCCACGGAGATACCAGTAGCTGTTGTATGGTAATCCACGAGTACACAGAGTGGAGGTGGTAAGTTTACTGGTATAACGATACTTTACGGGTACCTGGGTACCTAGGTTGTACCTTTAGGTGTAAGGTTGTAAGGGTACCTCGGTATTTTTCAAAACGGGTTCTAGGAGGGTAATTTTATTATATCCCCTCACTGCAAGGACAAAAGACAAGGAGTTGAAACCTGTCGCTTGAAACTCATACTACGTACAAAAAGGGTTTAAAAGTTTCATACACAATCTACAGTTATATGCTATGAGTGAACACAGGTGAATAGGGACAGGTAATACTCATAAACCAAAATTCCACCCGAGATTTGCAATATTGGGGATATTCGGCTTTACATATTTACGATTTGTACATCTGTACGATAACTAGTAATTTGCTAGAACTGGAGTCTTTACATTGAGTATCTACGGAGTATGAATATTGTATATGATAAATCATACTACTGTGTTTCTTTCTGTCTCTTTCTTTTCTAACATAGATAACAATTAAATCCGATGTGTCTACAGCATCATGCATCTATAGCTTTGAAACTCGAATTGTGTTTTCGACCGTAAGCCGCGACCCAGTCATTTTGTTCGCACTAGATTGTCTAGTAATTTGAAGGTCTTTTTTGGTTTCTGATTTCTGGTCTTTCAATTACTTGATTATTTGTAGAATTGTATGATCTTCAAAAGAGAGAGAAATATTTCCTTGTCATTCTACATAATATATGAATTACAATCGACTCTGATAAATTCTGATAAATTTGTATACAAGTACGTAGAAAAAGCACAATACCAGACGCGAATTTCGGCCCCAAAATCCTCCTGATCGACCTGTATTTAAGGCCAACAGAGTTAACTATTAGTATTGTTGGTTCCAACGCTTGACTAGTTGATTCTCCAGAAAGCCTTCGATACGGTCTACGGTCGCGTTCTAGGGTCTCCTGCAGTCGGTGGTCGCTGACTGGCCCAGCAGCCCAGGATTGCCCCGGCATTGACTTCATCTCGCGTGTTTCCCAATGCGCGTTCTCAGCTGCGCTAGGCTGCCCTAGATTGCCTTCCGATAATCCGAGCCTCCTTTGTCTTGCAGGGATCTATCGCCATTTGGCGAGCCCATGTGGGGACAATTTCGGTCGCAAAAGCAGGTTCTACTCCGTACTCCGTAGTCATTCCACGTTGAGTTTTGGGTAATGGTGTCAAGGAAATTGGATAATGCATGTTGCTTCGATTTTACAGTCTAAAATAATGTATACTTTCGTCGCTTTGTGTTACTTTGTAATTGCGCTTGATTTGTCCCCAGGTTCGAGACAGATAAGGTTTGTAGACGTCTCAACTCGTCTGGATTTACTGGTTTTCCTGTGCCAATCTTTACCAATTTACGTGTTAGGTACTTTGATGGAGATTTTCTCCCCGTGAACCTCTACGAATCATATAAATTTGAGTTGTCGATTCACCCAAATTATGATTCGGAGGTTTCCACGGCCTCCCCTTACTTCCTCTCCTTACAAGTACAAATGAGATCGCTCTGTATGCGTGTAAGGTTCCCAGGCCTTAACTTCAGCCACTCAATCACATCTTCATAGAGAAATATTGATCGTCATGCGACTTGGTCGTTTCTCGCTAACATGCGTCAAGGTATATCAGCCTATAATTTCTCCAGTGCCTCTTGATCTGCGACACAATTCTACATGTAGGGACCCGTAAGTTTCAGGTGTTTCATGGAATGCGGATCGAATCATTCGATGGCGCTTTTTTTCATGAACCGGGGATGACAGTTGCCGAAGCAATGGCCACCCTATCGCCAACGGAGGATTCCCGCCTCGTGCCCGGCTAGCAGAAACAGAAAAGGGGAAGAGATAAGCGATGGCCATTAAAGAGTGTTCTCGGGCCTGTACAACGTCGTAAAAGCAAGGGACAGTCTAATAAGGAAACTGAATGATACCCACAGCTAGTTATTATGCAGAAGTAGATCACAAACACACTAACTACGCAGTACAATTGTAGTGTCTTGTCGTTGGAAACTCACATCTAACATGCCAGGGACATTTGTTGCACCATACCAACCGTTTAATTACAGAAGCTTTGATTGCAATGTGTAAATCGCTACTCCATAATTATCTATTCTCATTCATTCTTAGCAATGCGTCAGCTGCACAGAACGGCTTGGCTAGTTCTCATATTTGTGAGTGTCTTTTCCTTGATGAGTCTGGCACCTGCATTGCGCCGATCAGGTTGACACCCCCTATCTAGCCCTCCCCTTTTAGGCAATGGTGCTTATACAAATTCTTACAACGCATGAGAAGGGAAGTACATTTAATGACCCATAGCAGTGGATATAACCATGCACTGCCCATATAGTCCGTCCATAAATGGCGGAGATATACGAGGAGGCTGCACAACCCAGGAGGAAAAGGAACAATAACCAAGACAAACCATCACAATGATCTGCTTACCCCATAAGCACAAAAATGATATGAACCACTAAATATTCACAATACGAAATCCCAGTTATCCATCAGTAAGGAAATAAACGTAACCAAACCTGCCCAAAAAGGGGCCCCGAACGGATCAAGCCATGCAGCAAGTACGTGGTCAACGGGCACCCTATCGCAGCCGTGCGCAGTCTCAGCTAATTAGCACTTCCTCAGTTGGTAAGGGTACATGTGTCCACAGAGCACCCGGGTGCCTTGGAAACTAGTGCCTAGCCTCTGACGTGCCTAGCCGCCGCAGGCCATCTACCTACTCAAAAGGGGAAGAAGAGCCTTGCAAATCGGCACGTCAATCCTGCCATGTTTGCCCCTGACTCCTGTCTCGCCTTGTGTTTCAACTGCCAGCAGAATCAAGCATATCCAAGGGCGGCAGTCTCAAGCCGCGCACATATAACCATCGACTTGATTCGAGTTTGGTCTGGGCTGGGCCATTTATTGGTTCTAAACGATTTTAGCTTTCCGCGGCAGATAAATGGCAATGCTATCTATTTTTAGCG